TTTATTAGGCTTATTTTAAGTAAAGGTTTAGAGATATCTCTATAAATAATAGTACTATTAGAAGAAAGTAAATACTAATACTATTATAGTAGAAGTTTATCCTTAATATTTATAACTCTTATTATTATAAACCTGCCTTTAATAAATATTACTATATTTACTCTTAGTCTTATATAAGAATAATATAATTAGTCTTAAATAATTAATTAGCTATATTTACTTTAAGTATAAATCTCTAAAAGTAAAATAATAAAAATATATACTCCTATAGCTATTAAAAAATAATAATCCTTTAGATAAAAGAACTAAGAATATCTTAATCTTAATAAATAATATAATATTAGCTATATTAGCTATATTATAGAGATTAAATTAAGTAAATAACTCTTTAGGGCAGATAAATATATAGCCTATTAGCTTTATAATAAAGAATATTAAATCTATTTTATAAAGAGTATTTAGTAAGTATATAAGCTAAAAGACACTTATACTTATTACTATTTAGCTATTTATATTAAGAGCTATAGCTTAAATAAGTAATATAAATAGGCTCTCTTATTACTATTACTCCCTCCTTAATATTTATTATTAAAAAGAGGTTCTCTTTTTAAAGCTAATAATAGTATTATTATAGTTTAATAAATATTAATATTTAATTTATATTAAATAAGCTCTATCTTCTAATTGCTCTACTTTATAAGTAAGCTTTAATTAAATCCTTAATAATTAATAGGCTATATAGCTAAATACTTTAAGGTATCTTAGAAGGGCCTAACTATAAGTATTAATTAAAGATATAATAATCTTTATATTAGTTACTTTATTTTATAAATAAGCTTTAACTAAATCCTTAATAATTAGTAGGCTATATAGCTAAATGCTTTAAAGTATTTTAGAAAGACCTAACTATAAATATTAGCTAATATACTATATCTATTAGGCCGGGTTAATATTAGTAAGTAAGAGAGGGAAAAATACTAAAATTAAACTTTATATCTCTATATAATAGCACTTAGGTAATATGCTTTAGAGCTAATTTAAAGTATAGCTAAATAGAGATATAATTAATTTATTAGAATAGCTAATATAAACCTTTATATATTATATTTTATCTTATTTTACTGGGGATAATAAAGCTTCTTAGCTAATTATATATTAAACCTCTTATTATTAATTCAGGAGTTTAAGGGAGTAAAAAATTATATAATCTATATATTAACTCTCTTAATATTAGCTTAGAAGTTTAGAATAGTTAAATATTATATATTTAATTATATACTTATTCTCTTATTAGCCTAGATCTTATAGGGAGTTAGTAAATCTTATAAGGAGTTAACAGATTATTAAATAAGTTATATATTTATCTAATATTAAATACTTAAGGTAATATTATTAATAAAGATCCTATTATAGTATTTATTAATAATAATAATATATTTATTAATATTATATTTAATATTATTATTATTAATAGATTATATACTAGCAATTATCTCTATATAATAGATATAGCTATTATTAAACTAATTAACTTTCTTAGTAAATTATTCTATTTTAATCTGTAAGATATTCTCTAAATTAAATAGAGCTAAAGAATTAAAGAGATATTTAGAGTCTTTTAATATAGTAAGGTTATTAATTAATAGATTTTAAACTAATAAAAATATCTTATCTAATATAAATGCTATAATATATAAACTAGGTATATATTAACTAAATATAGACTTAATCCTTTTTTATAAACTTTATATCTAAATATTTATTAAGCAAACCTAATTAAAACTAATATTTATATTATATATAGAATTTTAATAAGCCTTTATTTTAATTTTACAGTTTATATTAAAATATTTAAGGCTAAGATTAATTACTTTAAAATAAGTAGGCTTATTTTACTAATTAATAAAACCTAATACTAGAATAATATATTATAGCTCTAGATTATTAACTAAAGATAAATACTATTAGTAATATAGCATTTTATTACTATAGTTATATTAAGATATACTAAAAAAATAGATAATTAATAGATTAACTAAATAATAAAAAAGCCTAATATTACTATATTTAATAGCATATTAAATAATAAGAAATAACTTAATTTCTTATAATAGCTAATATATAAAATAAAATCTAATATTTTAGATAAGTTCTTTTATATAGAGATTAATCTTTTTCTAGGCATTTAATATAAATACTATAAGTTAAATATCTTTAATAAGCTATAGGTAATCTGTAGCTATTAAAGTATTAATAACTTAATTATATTTTTATTATTTTTTAAGAGAGTTATTAGTAATAATTATAAGATATTCTCTATACTCTATTAAATAATAAAATAAAGCTAAGACTTAGATTATAAAACTCTATAAAACAATTAGCTCTAATTAATAATATTTAGGGTTTTTTAAATTTATTTAGCTATATCTCTATATAGATATATTAGATTTAATATAATAATATACTTCTTAACTAGATATTATAGGCGCGAAATATATTTATATTATTATATTTAATAGATTTAATTAAATATAGAATTATATAGAAACTCTAAAAAGCTACTGCCTTTAATTATAAGGTAATTTAATATATAATTATTTAGTCTATATAGTTTAGATATATTCTGCTATAAGCTAATTGCTATAGATAAGCTAGAGGCATATATTAAAATTATTAAACTTTCTTAGTTTTTAAAAAGTATAGAGATATAACTACTAAAAAAAGATATTATTATAAATACTATAAGTCCTAGCAATAATTCCTTTATCTTTAAAAATTGCTTTAAATTACTAAAATTATATCTAGTTTAAAATAAGGTAATTTAGTTCTAATATAGTAGATATTATTAATTTAATTAATTTAAATATTCTTTTAATAGAAGATAGATATATCTTTATAATTATATTTAATATAAAAAAGCTAGATATTTACTTTCTAGTGCTATTATTATTACTATATATTACTAGGGATTTAATAATATTATAGAAATTAAGAGAAATAATTAGATTATATATATTCTATAATAGGCCTATTATTAAGATATTAAGATATAATATAATTACTACTATAGTTATTATATATATTATAGCTTTATACCTAAGGATTTTATTATATATTATTTTTTTAAAATTTATATTATTATAGATTATAATAGCTTATAGGTTCTTTTCTATAATTAGTAGGTATAATTATAATTAAGGTTAGTCTTCTAATTATCTAGGAGTTTAAGGGTTATCTAAGGAATATATAAAAGTTAAAACTATTTATATAGAATATTAGAATAAAAATTAAATTATCTGCTTATAGTCTATTATTTATTTTATTAAATAATTCCCCTATATATAATTATAATATAGCCTAAGACCTAATAAAATCTCTATAACTTAATGCTTTACCCCTAAGCCTATTAAATAGATATTAAGTATTAAAAATAAGTAGTTTAACTGTTTTATATATTAAGAATAATAGATTATATTAATAATAATAAATAGGTATTATTAAAGATTTTCTCTACTATACTAATTAATATAACTTAACTAATAAGTATAATAATTTCTTAATAGATTATAAAGAAATCTATATAGCCTTAGAATAATATTTTAAATAATATTAAAAGCAGTTTTAAAATTAATATCCTCTACTAAAATAATATAATTAAACTTCTTAAAATAGAATTATTTAATAAGCTTATTAAGCTCTGCCTTAATTATAAAAGCCAGATTATATTAATTATTAATCTCTAATATCTTATTTAATATCTTTTTTTAAAAAGTTTATCTTATTTTATAAATATAATAGTAGTAATATTAAATCTCTAAAAAATATATAATTTAAATATATATAAGCTATTAAAAGCTTTAATAGGAGTTATATAAATAATTAGCAAATATCTATAGTTTTTGCTAAGTCTAGTATAAAAAATACTTATTTAAGCCCTTTAGATTATAAATATTAATATTATTATTCTCTATCCTAATATAAGCCCCCTTATATTTATTTCTATTAATTTTAGAATTATTTAGTAATATAATCTCTATAAAAGGTAAAAATAAGTAAGTTAAGAATATATTAGATAATAGTAATTTTAGATATTATTCTTAAAATATTTTTATATAAAATTAGGGCTCTATATTAAATATTAGAAATAAAGAAGATTAAAATAAATTAATTAAGCCTATTTTTAACTTAAATAGATATAATTTAAGATATAAAGTATAATATTAAAAATTAATGCTTAATTTTATATAAGGTTATTTAAATATCCCTTATAAATTATAATTAATTATTTTTAGATCTTTTATAAGGTTTTTTACTATATAATCTATTATTAATCTAGGAGTTAGTAGGGGCTTTTTTATATTATATTATTGGCCCAGGTCTTTAGTATATATACTAATACAGACTATTATAGCAAAAAGCCTACCCGCAGGGGGGGCACCTCGCTAGAGGGTCTGAGCTTGCTGAGATAACTACCACCATGATGATGACATTTTCACCCCGCAAAAGCCAAGCTGAGCTGTTCAGCTCCCATCTTAATTTGATTTAATTTCCTCCAGGGAGCTTTCACTATATAGTAGTAGATCATTGGGTGAGACGGAAGAAAATATATGATTTATTGAATAATTTGATATGAAGGGCCTTGTACGTATGGAATGAAATTGATGATATACGGGCTAAACATCCAACGACATACTTAATCGAACCGGTCGAATAACGCCCATGAAATCAGAATTCTTGTTCCGTTGCATCCGAATATGCTCCCCGTTACATGTGGAAACGATAAAGGACCCGCAAGATGCAGGAAGATAAACGACAAAGGGTGTATGTATCTCCCTCCCTCTCTCTCTTTTTTCTTTTTTTGCCCACAAAGTGCAACAGCATAATAAACGCCATGAGGATAAGGAAAACCGTGATATCAAAGGGGGTTCATGTATACATTCACTTTGTCCTATGTCGAGCTCTCCCCTAATTCATTAATCATAACAATAAAAAAAAAAAAGAAACCCAGCTGTACAGGATCTCTGGCAGTCTCTTACATGCTAGCATTGGTCCACTGGCCCCAGTCTTCGGCTCCAGCGGTTCCAGCGGTTCCAGTGATGGCATTGCCAAACAGTTCATCAAAGTTCATGCCCATATCGATACCGCCCAGGGCGCTAAAGTTGTCCACGTCCATTCCCACGTTCTGCGAACAACCCGCGCCAGATATGCGTGGCTGCGATTGTTGGTCATTGGACGGGACTTGCGGCTGGAAGCTGAAGCCCTGCCAGCTGAAGTTTTGATTGGGGATCGAGACCAGATCGGGACTCTGCACCATATCGCCCCCAGGAGTGGATGCGTTCGATGGGGGTGACTGGACGCGGGACTGTCCAGCTTGCTGGTTGAGATGCTGCAGATGAGGGGGCAGAGCGGCAGCTGTGCCGGCAGGTGCTCCACTGGGGAAAACAGGGACGTTGGCAAACCCATCGTAAACTGGGGTCGATGCATCGAGGGTCGGCATGCGGGCAGACGTGGGGGTGCTCTGCAGGGAAGCAGACTGAAAACCGTATTGCCCAGCAGCCGCTGAATTGTCGTGTTTGAAGTGGTCGTCCTCCAGCGTCGACATCGGCTGGGCAGGATACATGAATGGATCTCCAGACGGAAACATGATAGGCATCAGGTCTGGTAGATTAGCACTGTTCTCAAAAGACTGCGATCGGCCTTGCTGCTGCTGCGCTGGTCCCGCCAGCGAAGCCGAAATAGGTGAAGTGGCCGGTGACTGATTCACAAAGGCCGACGAAACAGACATAGGTTCTCCAGAAAGAGTAGATATACCATTCGTCAACCAAGAACGAGGACTGCGTTTGTAGGCATGGCTGTCATCCACAGTATTGGCAGCATCAGTGGTGGCCATCTGTCGAGCGAGTTGCGTCGGAAACGTGCTTGCACGCTGTGGAGCTCCAAAAGCAGTCCCATTGGGTCTTGCACCAGGCTCTGTGGGCGCCTGGATGCTTCTGACCTTGGTTGGGATAATTGACGGTGACGGCCGTTTGAGATTGAGAGGAGCTGCTGAACTCTGCCTCTTCTTGAGTTTCTCCGGGAGATTCTTAAACAGACACTATTGCGAAAAAAAGTTAGCTCAAGCGCTTTGCAGCTACGAGCGATTTATGATGCAAAACAGAAACGTACGTTGAGGCTCTGGGAACACCTATCCGCTGCCATACTCTTCTTGGCCAGGCCTGCCAATGTATTCTTCCCTTCGAGAGCGTCTTTAAGCACGCCGTCCTTCGCGGTGGGCGAGTCTGGGTTCTCGAGAACAAAGAAGATGAGGGACAGAATCGCAAAATACGTCGTGTACATGGTGAACCAGAAAGAACCATTGAGGAAGCCTCTCTTGTACATTCCGGCAGTAATGTGCACGACGTTCCGGGAAACACTGACACAGGCAGCAGCGCAAGCGTAAGACCGCTTATCGATTCCGCGGGATTGAATGCCGCTAGAGACGTAGTGGAGGAACGGCCGATACATGACTATCTGTACATGTGCGTAGCTGATACGGAGTAGCTGTCGTATCCTGAGGTGGAAGTCAGAAAATCTCGCGCGGAGATAAGTTGCGCCATAGTACTCACCTTTCTAATTCCGGGGCCGCCTCCTCCCCAGGACGCAGTGCAGATGGGAGCTCCTCCATCCAAGCTTGCAGGTCGCGTTCGATCTCACGGATCTTCGAATGGCTGACCATGTATGTTTGATCGTTCTTCGATCGATGCTTAGCATTCTTAACAGGATAGATATATTTTACCACCTTCACGATGATATTGACCAAGCGACTATGGGCGTTCGCCCCCTCCATAAGGGAGACCCGACCAGGTGGCATCGGAAGAATGGCGTCAGCAGTGATGAACTCGTCGTCAACGGAGAGCGGATACTCCTGGTCAATATCCTGATCGCTCAGCATCTGGGGGAGACCCAGCAAAGTAGAGACATAGACGTCCATCTTTCTAATGACCCAAAATATACGCTTTCGCAGCTCCCGTTCAATAGGGTTGAAATTAGCGGTCACTGATCGGTGGAGACCTAGTCGTAACGCAGCACGCAGAGCAATGCCAACGTACGAGTAGCATGTGCTCAACTTGGCTGAAGACTGCAGGAAAAGAACCATGAAGCAGATTGCTTGCAGTGAAGTGAGATCGCGACAGTCCGTGATGTCTATCAACTGACGTCCGGCTTTCCAGTATTGGAACCTACAAGAGTTAGTTCATCGTAGCGCGCCAGGACAGGAGAAAGCACACAAACTCACCCTTGGCCAATAGCACTCTCATAGCCTGCTATGTCCAGAGTGCTGTCCAGGTCATTCGAAAAGAGACAACCGACTGAAAGAACAATGTAAAGCAGGGGTAAGAATGCATGTTCCTCGTTGGTGAATTGCTCCGGCGGGGTATCATAAATACGGTCAAACGTGGCATAGAATGAAGGTTCATGTACAAAGCGCATTAGGGCACAGGCGTCGTAGAAGGCATTATGGCAGAGTTTCCGCGCGACCGCTTTAGGTGGGAGATCTTGTGTAGGAGGTAGATTGGCATCGTGCGGCGACTCCGACGCTGATGCTGATTTAGGGCTTTCGAGATAATGTGATATCGGGCGAGTTTTCGGTGACGGTTTTAGTTCAGGGACGACGGAGTTTCCTAATTGTTTACGAAGCCGCTGCATGAAGATGATACCGGAGGAATGTCCGTGATAATCCCAATGGCCCTGGTCGTCAAGGTCTAGACAACCAGAGTTCTCTACCATGGTCTCGAGCAAAGACTCATCTCCGTTGTCGGTAGCGGGTTCTGGCTGACTCGTGGACGTGGAGGGTGGTTTGGGTAGACCAGCCTTTTCCTTCTTCACGGCGGCCAGCACCTGCTCTGCAGCGTGCACATCGAACCGCGGGTCATCTAGGTTGAGATCAGGCAAGACAACTCGAAGCAGAGCCTCCGCTTTGTGGAGACGACTCTCCAGTGCCTCGATATACTGCGGGGCGGGGTTGCGCCGACGATTTGATGGTTGATCATATGTGCACTCTATGAAAGACAAGCAGGTCGTCAGAATTTGTTGTCAGTTACTCCTTACACCGTCTCGAACCACTTACCATAGCTGTAAACAGTGCAATGCGTACATGGCTGTTTGCCATCGCATTTGATCTTTTTCCGGCGACATTCGTCACAAGCCCGCGTTACTCTTCTTCGTTTCTGCATCGGATGAGCCTGTTTCTGCTGTGACCCTAGGGCGGACTCGTCCTTTCCCAAGGAGTCCTGGGCAGGACTGGTGTCGCCATCATCCTGGACGTGGTATTCTGATATCGCAGTCGGGTCGTCCTCATTCTCACCGGCGGACGAATGTACCGAGCTGGGTTGGGAAGCCATTGCGGGTATATTGATGTTGTAGTCCCAGACGTGTCATGGGGGGAAAACAATATGCGCAGTAATCTGTTTAGAGGAGGGCACAGTGCGTCATATCTATCGGGTCGCAACGAATGTGGTCTGTGTGGCAATCAACACAGATAAGGCGAAGATCGTTCCGTGAAAGAGATCAAGTAGACGAACAGAGATCGAGCGCGAATTCCGTGATGCTTGTCCAGCACAGTGATACGTGCCAATGCGACGACAGTATAAATCAAAAGTATGGGAATCGAGGAGGTTCTGGTGGTCTTGGCTTTCCGTTCCGGGAAAGTTTCCGCCGGTACAGGAGAAGTATTCAGAGGTCTGGAAAAAGTCCGCCACGAGAGAATTGCCAGCGATCTTCAGGAACAATCGCGAGCAGCGCTGTAAGTCGTTTCGGACCAATGGGACAGACTGGATAGTCTCAAGGACGAACGGTCAAACTGGGCGAAAGCGGTGTGCCCTTGTCTGGAATGGCCGGAGATTGCGCTCGAGTCAGGATCCGCCAGGCGATTTGGTATGCACGGTTGTGGAGCGGAGAGGTGGTGAGATGGCCGCCCTGGCGATCGAGAAGGGGGAAATGTAGACGAGAAATAAAAAAAAGAAAAAGAAAAAAGAACAAGAACGAGTAAAGAGAAAGGAGGAGAGGAGAGGAGAGGAGAGGAGAGAAGAGTGGTTGGAAAAAGGTTTTTGGCTGTACGAAGCGAAGCGCATCAGTTAGTTACGGGAGGTTGACAGCTTACCCAAGTCTCCGGGAGGGGGCAGCACCAGTCGCGGCGGATTTTAGTGCGAACGAGGGGGAAATAGACCCGAGAAACAGTGCCAGCTGCCAAAGAAACTAAGATCGAAAAGCGAACGGCGATCCCGTTGCTTGGCGATGCGATCGCCCTTCTTCTTTTTTCTATAGAAGCCTCTCGGATATTATTACAGTATTATTCTTCTCTCTACCTGCTCCAGACGTCCCTGGTCCGGTCCTGCTAGCCGTTCCTGCGTCTTGTCGCGCAAACCTACCTCCAAGTGACCAAACCCGTCAACATATCACGGCCAGTGGGGATCTGACTATCAGCCTTATTGCCATTGGAACTCTAACACTGAAGAGGGGGAGAAAAGAAAGGAAGGACGGCGGGTGAACGCCACTAGAGGCTTAAATTACGCTCCGCTCGCGACGGTCGAGAACGCTTCGAACCGTTCGATGAATAGCCTAACCGGGAAATCTATCCATGATGAACTACCGGTATGGTACTCATATGTACAAAGTTCCTCTCTCTACCATAGTTATTACCTGATATTATTATTATTCTTCTTCTTACTTGTTCTGATGGTTCTGCAGCTGGCACACGCGGTCTGTTCCTCATGCCCCTGAATTACTCAACCAGTGCAGAGCTAACTAAATGTGATACGCACAGACAGGACTCTAAATCGGGAAAAATGCAATCGACTAACAATAACAATCCGCATGAGCCGTTCTCAAAGGGGGAACCCAACGTTTGACCAGAGCAAAGGCCTCACTGAACCTTTGCGGCTCATCAGGCCCGAATAAGACCAATATACTATACGATCTCCCGCGTGCTTGTGTCGTCAGTAAGTCAAATGGAAGAACGGTTTGCCCTCCGTTTCAATTTTCCACCAGCCATTATTATTATTTCGGAATGTTCCGTCTGCTGCGCAAAACCCCAGGACGGGCCGCTGATGTCATGACCGGAGGTCCGACGCACAATCCCCGATGCTCTTTCACTACGGAGTATTGCTTTCCGCTTGGGTGAATATTAATGAAGAAGGCAAAAAAAAAAGGATAGATACGAATAGTCCAGTCGCGACAGGCCACTCAGCTCGACTGCGCTTAATCAGCCTTCTGCTCCCATGGTTCGAGCCTGCAGATTCTGAATGCTGTTTCTCCGCAGCTGGGGAAGCGGTGTGTGACTCTCATCGGCAAGTCCTGCAGTTGGGATCAGTCAGTCCAGCTATGCGTCTAGAAAGGAATGCGCAGGTGTTGCTTGTTTAGTTCTGGCATTATCTTCCTCGAGGGTTATCCAAGCTTGCAACCGGGCACAGTGCGGGGTCTGACTCAGACTCTCAGTAGCAGCACATCGTTTGCGCGGCCCGCCACTTTAGCGATATCATAATAATAGCGACGCTCAATTATTCTATTGTCCTGGAGGTAAGTATGTTGGAAGTTTTCCTTATTGCGACGCTCCACTTGGGCGCTCCCGACTGGTGTCTCTCATTGCAACTTGACCTAAGGATGCGGTACCCCGTTGGGACAAAAGTACACCCATGATGGTAAGAAATGATAGTTAGCCTGGCAGGAATAACAATAATAATAATAATGATGCATCAGGCAGCACGTTTGGTCTATTGGGAGCCCACCAATGTTTACGCCGTGCCCAAAAAAGGTGCCATGGGTACCCGAAAAGCCTGCTATTGATTATCTGCACCATGCATCGTTCTACATTTCTGTTTCTGTCACGGCTAGACTCGATGGAGCATGCGCAGGATATTATGTATTATCATGATCTCTGCGATGACTGATCACGTCGGCCGTTGGAATCCTGACTCGTAGGCGATTGTAGTCGGAGCGTACCAGTAGTCCCCATACCTCTTATGGCAAAAGACTCCGAGAATGTCTCCCCAAGGAGAAGGCGAGGGAATTAAGCATAGACTCGGACGAAAGCACAGATAGCTGCAGGTTTCGCCGAAATGGTCGGGCCCAGACTAGCTTCTTTTATGGCGCCCAATAATGCATGGGACTTATGCAGCCGGTCGACTCTAGCGTCGGTCTCTTCTCTTCTGTTCAGGAATATCGGAGGGAATACCGGGTCGAGAACTGCCCTTTTTGGTGGTCTATTCAGTAACTCAGTTAGACCATACTGGGAAGGATGTGGATGTGGACAGCTGCAAGAATCCATGATAAGATTACAATTAGCTGTTGTCAAAAGGCTACTGAGAACTTCTCCATCCAGTTTTTGGCAGTGCCGTCTTTCAAGGCGCATATCAAACATTCCATGGCTTTTATGGGATCTCATTATACCCAAATCAAATGTCTTATTCACATCCAGTCTACAGTTACTTATTCTACTGGATAAACAGAACTTCTATGTTATCCGCTCTATGTCGGCGCACAAAGCGCACGTCCAGGTGATCTGTCAATCATCCGTTTGCAGCAGGTTGTTTGCTATCCTGATTTCAAGATAGAACGTACTAGCTCACTAGGATCCAGATTCTTTGTATGCGGTAGGAGTCAAATATGGGTTCAAATTCCCAGACGTCAGCTCGCAATTCATTACAAGGTGGTTCAAATCAAACTATGCTTCCGTGCAATTCAATATTCGACACTCTACCACAAAATGTAGGTGAAGGCCGCTATGGGACTTCATCTGACCACATTCATCTCCATCCCATCAGAGTCAGGAGTATGAATGGCACAACCCCTCAAATGCCTCTTCGCTTCAATGCTTTTCTTGGGGTATAAATATCCGCACCTGGCTCTCCATCTTGAACTTTCAACTTCGATCATACAATCCCTGATCCCATATTCTCTTCTTTCTTGATCCATTATAGTCATGTTATACTATATAGCGCGGTACAGTACACTTACTTGTTACACTATATCGAGATGATCAAAACACACCATCTGTCAGCAAAGTTGCTGGAAAGTGCTTGGCTTGAATGCCATGAAGCTCAGCGGTTCTATGCTGATAGCAGAGTACGGCATTATTACACTCAGCACAGGCTACTTGATATTAAACAACTCCCCGGACTGTATATGTGGCCTTCACAACAAAATCTACTCCCGATGGTCACCCTATCTTTTTGTGCCTCCACAAGGTCTCTTAACAGAGTTCCTCCGGTTGTCAGTGTTATCCTTTTTTACTGCCTCCAAAATGATCTTTGGCACATCTTTCTTATACGGGATTTCTGTGGTTCGACAATGAAGCAGTTGTCATTTTTCAATTTTTGTTCTTTCTTCCCAACTCGGCCGCCAGGTCTTCTTTCAGACTGTGACATTGCAATGGTATAATATATACCCGTCTTGATGGAGAGTATATACAACCGGTTGCTAGCGGTGCCATTTATATATATACGGGTGAGTACATCTTCTGCTATAACAAGGTTGTGACGGGGACGATGCTTATTCGACTCCTGATTCTCCAGTATCACTCGCATGTACAAATCGCTAGCGGGCCATCGGACTGCCAAGCAGGCAGAAATCTCCGAACTAGCAAAACGATTGAACGCTCTTTTATACGTTGTTATGATTCGCAGAATGTTCGATCATGAGTGGTTTGGCCAGGTGATCATTCACCTGCCCTTCGCGACGCTGAAGGCTCCGAAAGGCCCCGTGCTAATTATTGCCCCAAGCATGACTTTAGCACAGAACTGGGAGATGCAGTGGAATTTACATGTCGATGGTAGCCATCCGCGAACTGGAATGGTACTGGTCAAAGGGTACGGCATATCCAGTGCCGTCTGGAAATGGCGCGATGGCTGCCGTGGACGCAGGGGCAACAAAAAGGATACGGTTCGGAGGGACATTGGGCAGTTGGATCGGTGTCTTTAGCCGGTAAGTGCATTTGGCCCTTCGCCTTGCGATCGTTGTCGATTTCTTGGTGAGCAATGTGAAGCCATCGGCTACTTAATGACAACGAGCGCCAACATCTCTATAGTGAAGCCGAGGACGCGTTGCAAAACATCTGCATGTCTCTCTTTTCCCGGATCATCAGCTCCAAAAGCGTGTCCTGCCGACCCTGTACTTCGTGCCGTATTTGGCATCGAAGTAGATAAGGACTTTTCGGATCAAGATTCGTTGGGTCCAAATGCTGCGCTTACATTAGATGCAGTCTACAGGACTAGCTCGATGGGTTTTGGTTTTGTCCTTCAGGGCTCGTATGCTGTTTATTCGAAACTCAAAGGCCTTCCTTCGGTTAAGCTCCTTTTCGAATGCTCGTGCGGTAATCGTCTTCCGTCTGTTTTTGCTGGGACTCCTGATGTTAGGTCGTCTCATGGACCTTCCAGGGTCGAATAATGGGTATATACTTGCTTTGGGTAATTGCTGGTGAGATGTCCGTTTTCCCTTATCGGTCGCCACAACTAATCGGATCCATAGGATACAGACGGTCTTGGTATCAGATAACCTCGCCCAGATGAATGAAGGCATGTGGAAAGATGGCCAAAAGTTCTTTAGAGTCGGCGAAAATTACGGAAAGGGTCCCGAACAAACGTTTTAGGTGGACGGCTTGAAAACTCCACTCAAACCGTACCAAGCCTACGCAGTATATTGGATGCTAGTCCATGAACAGACCACCGTGGGACCAAGAGGTGGCTTTCTCTGCGACGACATACGTCTCTGTATCATTGCCGCCAACCTGTCCTATCTTATACGGCCGGAGAATGACCAGTACAGCCTGACAGACAAGAATATTGAGGTCAATGGTTGGCATAAGAACTTCGACTCGTCGCCCTATGGCCAACATTTTGAATCGATCGTCCCCGACTCCGCAAAGCTCCACGAGGTTGCGAAGCTGATCAACAATGTTGGCAAAGACGCACTGGTCATGAGCAAGGTATGTCTGCGTCTTCTCTCCTCACGTCCCAGTCCGCTCGGAAATTTTCTCTTACTGATCTATACGCAGTGGTTATCTCGTCGATATGACGAGGAAAATGTCCATCCGGCCTTTAGTTCGACTCCAAACGACAAGCGAACTAAGTCCTATGAGCCTTTTTCCTCCAAGGATAAAGCTTTTGTCAATAAGCCGCCAAAGATCCTTTATGTCTCGTCAAACATCATCAGCGAGGGTCTTACCATCACCGGTGCAACATGTTCAATCTTGCTGGAACTTGTACCCATGAACAAACAGTTTGAGCAGCTGGTGAAGCGTATCCATCGTTACGGCCAGGATGTGGAAACCGATGTGTACCAACTATTGGCAGACACTCCAGTGGTGGATATTATGAGAAGACGCAGACGTACCTTGCTCATGACCAGTGCGCAAGCAGGAAATTGACTGGCCACAATTACCTTTCGTTCCCGACCTTTCGCGTTGTTGATCAGATAGGGATAACATATTCTTTCCCCTTCGAATCTTTCAACCAGGATTATCTGGATTACCTAACGGTCCTCGGCCATGCACTCTTTGGAAGTACACGCCAGTGTACAAACGTATAGCCCGTTTGACCCTCCTGGAAGGAAGATACGGAATACGATATAAACTTTGCGGTGGACATCCGCCCTATTTGGCTCCGGTGAGTTTCCAGAGATCTCTTTTCCCATGCATTAGGTATCTCGCTAACGATTTCTAGGAACATTATTATACAAACCGACTTCCGAACCGCGAGAGGAAGAGATACTGCGACACCTCGCATCTAGAGGTTCGCCCGAACGCTTTATGTTTCATGGTCCAATGCCGCGGTCGGTCCAGTTCATCAAACAGACGTCAAAAATAAGGGACCGGATTTCAGAATGTCAATCATCGGTCGTCCCGTAGCTGGAAAGCTACAATTCAAGGTTTTCGTCAGAGATGTCCAAAAAACAGCAAGGGTTACATGCACCCGTCCAACATTGTCCATATTGCATACCTTGAATTTGACCTTCGTCATCGTGCCGGGAAACACCCATTTCTTTATCGCTTTCACCCCAAAGGAGGGTTTTAGTTTCCAGAATGTTGCTGGCATTGTGATTCCGGACTATGTCTCTATAAAACAAGGAAACATATATATCGCGGTGCACGGCACATCGATCTTCAAGTTCATTGCCCGGACATCCAGTGACTTTCTGCTGAGCCAACGTGGAGTTTTGTGAGATTGAGGCACCTATCAAGAGACAGATCAATGCTCTTGACGTTTTTCACAACAGTGCCTCCCCATATCTGGACCTCTGTCTTTCTGAACCAGGAATTGAGCAATGTGTTTCTTCTCCTCTTTACCATGGCCATCACTCCCCGTCGTGTGGCCAAGACGTTGACCGTTCGCCAAATACGACAAAGAAACTGTTAAATCAGAATTTAGCGAAGTCTTATATTTTAAGAGATGGACCGATTGATAATTAGCTATCTTTCAAATCATCAGACAATTAAAGATTTCCCGGTTGCGGCAAGACGACCATCCTCGCCGCACTGGCCTTCACAAGGCCGGACTGCATGTACTCATTGTGACATTGTCAAATGCTGCTGTCGATGCCTTCACTTCTCAACTGCTCTCTCTGGCGCCAGATATTGATTACATCCGCGTTCGACAGGCTCAGGTCGAACAGGTATCTACTTTTAGCCGGAAAGTCGAAGATGAAGACAATCAGCTGTCAGTTTATAACTCCGCAACTGCCATTGTGAACTTGCTGGGTATTATTAAGAATTTGCAGAACCAGAAAGTACAGGGCGATCTGAGATATTCGGTCTTTGCTCACGTTGACCGCCACGCCAGACAGCAATTCGCTGCTGAAGAAAGACTTGTTGTACCTATCGGACCAGAAGGACAAGACGAGTCAGAAGATTTTCCTGCGCTGGATTTGGTCAGGATAACATAGATGAAGAGCAGTCCGATGAAGAGGGACATGCTCGTGAGACCATCGAAGCGTGCTCGGTGTTCTGTGCTCGGATGGACCAGCCTCCAGAGAAACCCCAATCTTCTTCGAGAGGTTCTGAAGAAATCATTCGGAAGTTGTGCATATGGCAAAAGGATAGATCGCGTTTGTGCAGAGCTTTTGGCGCTCTTTCAAACTAAATCATTAAGAATGTCCGTACTGTCGCCTGCACCGACAATCTGGAGGGTTCGCCGCGAGTCCGGAAACACTTCGATACGGATACTAAAGACATTATATTGGAATCATTAATAACATAGATAGCCAGGCAGTTGAGTCGAAAATGGGGATCCCTATAGCAAAACTCGATCAGGCAAAGTTTGTCAAAGCGTCAATTCATGGAGGAGACCGATCAACTCTGGCTTTTTGTTATCTTGAACTTCCAATGTCGAGGAATAAATGAGTTTTCGCGTTAGCTATCTCGTTCCTTATATAAACGCCTGCTGAGGAATGGCTTTCGCTCTTATATACTAGGTAAGCAGTACCGAATAAGGCTGGAGATCTCTCGCTTTTTAAGCGATTTCATATACTCGGGGTTCTTGAAGAACAATCTATTAATACAAAATCTGAGGATCGATCTGATTCTTGAGTAGAGTCTACGGAGCTGGATAAATATCTGTGCAGACTACCAGATTGCGTCCGCGAAAGACAACATGACGCTTATAGCTCTAGACATTGTTAATGGAGAGTGTGAGATAGCTAAAGCAAGTACCTCGAGGTATAATGAGAGGAACCTTGAGGTCTTTATAGATTTCATCCGCTACCTGATGAAGAATGGGGGCGAGCAACAGTTCGTACCTCTGATGCCTTCCACCTCCCACCACTCCAAATCTACCCTACGACAGCGGCCAGTTGTGACCAGATCGTGAGACTGGTCTTTACGTAGAGGAACAGACTCGGAGCAAAGTGAACAAGAGCAAGATGAGTTTTAAAGTGTTCCGACCTGTTAGTGCCTCATACCTTCTCGTGGTGCCACCCGTGGGATAGGTATAAAAGCCTTGCGTCTAGCAAGCCTCTAGCCCCGAAGATGAGGATATTCAGTTCTACTGTGCTAAGTTCGACTTTGGCACATACTCAATGACAATCATCACGCTTTGTGCTGAGCAGAAGTCTAGGCCCATCAAGGCCGTCATACATCTGGCCGCAGCCAAGAGAGTCCAGCAGAAGGAGATGGTGAAAGTGGCGAAGCTTGATTCTATGCAAGTACATCAAGCGGACTGTGTGGTCTTTGACTGGATTGTCTCCAGGACCAACCCTCTGAGCGATCTCGGTTTCACCACAGACAATAACATGTCGGGGCAGAGCTTAACTGGTTGGCTAATATGCCATATAGCATTCAGGCAAGAATCATTTTTCTAAAGTTGCACTTTATGTATGTAATTCCATAGCTTAGCACGTCCCTATACTCCATGGGAGGTCACCAGTGTCATGGGCGAAGCCTGTGCCCCGCTGGACGTTAATGAATACTACTACTACCAGTTCACAGAACCCATATCATTCTCGGACAGAAATCCATCTTCAGTCCCCTTGTACCATCGCTCTTCTGCGCGTATTTGGTCTGTGCGTCGCCGTAGTCGTCGTCGTGGTCCTTGCCAACAGCGCTTCTTTTTCAAATCTCTGTCCTTTCGTTGCATGTCTAGATTTTGATTCATGCGCTATAACTAATCTATGCCCCGACAATAGTTTCGTTTTCCCTTATTCCTATATATTCTTCGTTTTTTTTTTTTTTTTTTTTCCCTTTCCCCTAAACCCGTAGATGACCAGTATCGCTCCCTTTTTAACAAGGATAGCCTCGACACCTTAAAATGAGGTCGATCAGAAATGCAATGATGCGCCCTTTCTCCCCGCTTCGCAAGAAACCGATCACGGTCCCTCCTCCAGTGCGCCTCGCATCCAACGAAGAATCTATAGATGAAGAGATCTGCCCGGGCTATAATTCGAAGAAATTCTACCCGGCAAGGCCAGGAGAGATACTCGGCAATCGCTATCAAATTCTTGTTAAGGTTGGCTGGGGGATTTCATCTACCACATGGTTTGCTCGTGATATGCGGGGGTAATCTGCTTCTCTGGATCCACTGCTATTTCTGTTGTTAACAAACGATCTAGATACAAATGGGAACCAGAAAGCGTTGTAGCGTTAAAAGTAATCAACGCCAACTCTCATACAGATGACGGTGAACGCAAAATTGAAGAATGCATTGCTAAGACAGACGCGACTCATCGCGGTCGTGCATTGTTTCGAACATACTTGGAGTGTTTCGAGGTGAACAGCCCAGAAGGAAAACATCTATGTCTAGCATATGAGCCCATGAGGGAGCCGATCTGGCTTTTCCAGAGGCGTTTCAAAGATGGGAAAATTCCCCTTCCACTCGTCAAGACATACATTCGTTTTCTTTTGATAGGTTTGGATTATCTTCACACAGCATGCAGTGTTGTCCATGCCGGTATGTTTCGCCAGCTGAACTGATCCATCTGGGCTATATCAGGCTTACATCTTATACTATAGATCTAAAACTTGATAATATCATGATCACGTTCGAAGACCCTGCTGTCCTTAGCGACTTCATGAATTCTCAGCTCGACATACCGATGCAGTACAAAACTGACCCTTCGGGCAGACCCATCTATCTCTGTCAGAACGACTTCGGTCCTCTGAGGAAACTGAGTAGTATACCAAAGATAATTGATTTTGGACTGTCTACGAGACTAGATAAACAGGATGACTACGGTGTATACCCTATCCAGCCAGATCACTATCGTGCACCAGAAGTTATCCTTGGCTGCCGCTGGAATATGAGCGCAGACATATGGAACTTGGGTATTCTTGTACGTTCTATATCCCTTGATTAGTATATGCAATAACTAAGCCGATGTAAGCTCTGGGATCTCATTCAGGGTAAAGAGCTATTCCAGCAGGTCTACGATGCGCAAGGCCGTTACGTTGCAAAAGCGCATCTCGCAGAAATGATCGCGTTACTCGGGCCCCCTCCTCCTGAACTGGTTTCACGGACCTACTCCTTATCCGGTTGCAAATGGCCTGAGCCAGTGAAGAGAGAAGATGGCAGAGTCTGTGAAACTGCAGAGCAATATTTTGGTGGTCCTTTTTTTGACGAAGATGGTATTTGAGACGTCCCATAATTGTTACAGCCTTACTAACAATAAGCCAAAAAGGTAACTTTTTGCACCAAGACCTAATCCCAGACCGGAAACTGGCAGATACACTTCCCTCTCTAGAAGATAAGGAACGGGAAGATTTCTTGTCCTTCGCAAAGATGATGCTTGCTTGGCTCCCAGAGGAAAGGGAGATGGCACGTCAATTGGCGAAACATCCATTTCTTCAGCTGAAATGAGAGTACATGGTGATTATTGTCATCTATCCACATTCGGATGGATAGTCACTTATAGGGAATCATGCGTTTCTCTTCCTCGCTTTTTTTCATGTCAAGTGTCAGTGTATATTGGTAATAGAGTATGCCATTATTGTGAGGGTTTATATTCGATCCTACAAGACGGAATTCAGTAGTCATATTGAACCATCTAGCAGATTGCTTGCTTGAAGACTAGTTCTAGGGAGGGAAGGGTGGTTGACCTCGTATTGTCACTACGGGACAGGAAAGGGAGGTGTCGGTGATGACCTCCAGCTGTTACAGGTTATCAACCAATCCATAACAAAGGATATAAGAAGGGCCATGACACGGTTGAGGGTGTCATATAACTGGTATGCAATTCCTGGTTCTGGCGTAGCACATATCTACATATGCGCTAGTCCTTTCCAGATCCCTTATTACCTACCCAAAGATTACACTGACCCACAATTATAACTGCGAATATAAGCACATAAAACTCCCCGTGGATGTATTTAGTTTGATTAAAAGTCGTCTGTACCCAGGTTTGTTTCAAATATTCGTTCTGAGCTGAGAGTAACTAACTAGGTAGGTAATTAATTGTTCATCACCAGGGGTGATTAAGTAGGTGACACCGGAATGTAAGTATTAGCCGTTCCGACTACGTAGCCAGCCACGTTCAACGAAGTCGAGACGCGTCGAAAGAACCATATTGATCATCAGGTGCAAACTAAAGATCTATCACTCAAGCCATGCAATACAAATTTCCGTATCGCAAACATCTGATCCTTACTTAAGCCTTTCCTCCTACTATCACCATTGTTTTTCTCCATATAAATCATCACTTCGGCGGAATGTCAGCGACTGTTAGCTCTAAGATTGTCCATTTCGATGAAATAATCCCGCGAGTGGTAGATCCCGAATGTGAAGGTATAGAAGCCTAACTCCTTCTCCTTCCTCGACGATAGGTTATACAGATGGAGATTTTCTTTTACTGATGCACTGTTAAAGAGAAGGACGTCGAACGCCTTATTCCTTTGGTGTTTAAGTACACGGATGTTGCAAGCGAGAATATCCCTAAAGGATGCGACTTTCATTTCTTTTTCTACAATCTTCTCACGTATCACGCCGAGTTACAAGGCCTGACAGTAGTCCAAGGTGGTGTTAGAGGTGCTTTGAGAGAAAAAGAGACAATCTCATTGCTTAAGAAAAACTGGAGAGTAGAGGAAAGGAGGTTATCCGATGGCTTTATAAGGTCGCAGGGCATGATGTTAAGAGTGCTGATGACCACTATCTACTCTATCATCGATATCAGAGATCCTACAATCCAGTGAGTGGCAGCCCCCAGGACCGGCTTACCTATTGACCATTCTTAAAGATTCCCTATACGACGGTTTCAGCTAGAGTACATGATTGGCAGAGAAAGATACCTTACTAGACCGGAAGGTGCAGTCAGTGTCAACTCGCCGGAATTGCCGATTATCTCTTACACTGGTGTATGTATACTTACTCCTTGAATACTGCTACGAGTCTGTTTGTGGATCTTTTCTCACATTCCTTAGTGGTTTGAAGGGCAAACCTGGAGACAGTTCCTAGAGGAAACTCTCAGTGTGATGATAGGGCAGCTCGTCGGAAATATCAAGATTCAAGATAAGTCTTCGTGGTTGGTTTTCATGGGGTCTGTGTCCATATTGCCCATGGATTATTCACAACCGATATGATTTCTAGGGTGCATTCGAAAGGCTGTCATTCGGATGAGATTTTCCAATTGAATTTCACGCGAGGTTACGATCTGTGTTTGAAGGAAGACTGGCTTGAAGCTACACGTGCTTTGGCAAGATTATTCAGATACCTCTTGAGTGGGAATGCAAAGGTCGGCGCAGTGCAGGCATATTCGCAACCGGGGGCTGATGCCGACAAGGACGTCTAGCCTATCGGCAGCTCTACTTGGAGTAGACCTGGCGATCGGATGTTATATAATGGATGCAGTCCCTTCCTTCCATTATCCAAAGAAGGAACTATATTCAGAAACTTACAGAGCCCGAAAAGTTCTAGGGCAGCTCATCACTATATGCTGGCTATCAGAGAACTGAATACGAGGAGAATCATATCCAGCCTTTCATCTTTGACTCAATCCTGAGCAGTCTATGCTGGCTTCGGATTCCCCCAGAGACCACAAGGGAAAGAGATCACGACGGTGAGCTCGCTTTACTCGTGGTCAAGGGTCGCTGATTCTTATGTGTTAGCAGGGTCTCATCGTGCAATGCCGCGAGGCGGATGCCAAGTATCCAGGATTCTTTTCAAAAGGTTTGTGATACCCGAAAGTGGATTGAAGAAAGGAACCAGCATACATACGTGACGAGGTGCTGCTACACGCGAGCGAGCGGGCCAGCGCCGAATTCGAATATCGCATAAAACGAAGAAAACCGCAGCGGTGATATCCGTTAAAGGTTGTGGCGAATGGAGATAGTGGATTCTTCAGGATTGTAACTGAGAGCACGATTTGATATATACAGGATTCTTAATGTATGAATGCAATGCCAAATGGGAGCAATGGTGGATGGCTGAAAATTACTCCGTGGATACTGCTTTAGTGAAATCCTCTTCGTGGCAATCCAGATCTTGGGAGAGATATAGTGGAATTAACCTACAACTATGGAGTTCTCAGATACTAGGATCTGCAGATAACTGAAAATCTCTATTTCTCTTTCCATGGCTGACTGGCTGCAGAGTGCAGAAGCAAAATATGGTTATTATTAGCTCGTACCCGTCGCACGTTGTTTTTATCTTTCTTTCTTTCTTTTTTTTTTTCCCTTCGCGGCACCCTTTCAATAGGAACATACTAGTCTTCCTACAAACTATCCTTGTCATATCTTAGAGCACAGAAGCAGAAAGGAAAACTGAATGTATATCTGGACAAAGGTATGATCTGCGTTGCTTACTCTCTGAAATATACCTCCTTTGATACGCCAAGGTTGATAAATGACTTTAGATCCTCTGCCACTATTCTAAATCGCATGCCGCATCCGGGATATCTTCTTTGATATGCCATCCGGTCAAAGGAAGTTTGCTATTTATCAAGCGATTTCGGGAAGTGGAGGCATATTGCAGCTTAGCGTATGGCAGCAATGCTGCACATGAGCTGTCAATCTTTAGACCATCTCCTTTCATAGTCAAACTATTCAAAGAGGTCTCATCCTTGGAAACTTGCATATGTCTTGTAGCTCGCCTGTGCCGCAGCGGGTGATTGCCGCTTGAGGTCCTTCAACGACTATGGAATCCTGTGGAGGAATATGGAATCGGGCCTGTCAAAGGAATGAAGACATGGCCATCACTTACAGAGCAATTAACCGCGGGAACAATCATCGAAAATGAGGGGAACTCCTTCAATGATATGATGTCAACGGTGGTGATTGTAGAGCAGTGACTGAAATGCTATGGATCAAGCCCGCAGCGGCTACATTCAACAAGAAATTACCGCTCAATTTGGAGCTATAAGAACTGCAGTTTCCCATGTCAAATCCTGAGATATTTTCTACCCAAGCTTTCTTCATTATGCGTTGAGATTTCCTGGCAGTCTTATATCAGAGGTTATAATCATATCTATCTATACATGATTCTATATACATGCACCGGGGTATTTATTTAGTTGCTTGCTCCCTCAGACGCCCAGCATTGCATACACCCGTACCTGGCAGCGTTTCCGAGCACGTTCACGTACAACGGCCTTATGAAGACGGACAGTAGCTTGGCGTATCACCCTATGCGCCCAGCGTTAAAAGCTGGTTTGCTTAACTGGTTTAGAACATTCTGTCCCACCCTATTTAGAGAGCCTAATCTGCGCCTTATCGCCCTTGATATAATAAATGGCGAGGACTAGGTTGAGCCTTATAACAAATCACGATACAACCTATAAAATATTGCTATTATGATAGAGCTATTGTCTTATCTGTTTAATAGCAAAGTACTATCTTAGGGTAGTGATGTCACTATTATCACCCCATACACAGAACAGCGCTCTTATTATATAACGGCTTTTATTAATTTTGCAACACAGAAATGTATTGCATAGCGTGATATTGCGAAGGTTGTGACCGTTGATTTAATGCAAGGCCACGAAGCAGAATATGTGATCTTAGACTGGTTAGTTGTATCGCAGATTTTGGTTATTTACGACACCACTGACTCGTGAACATTTTAGCGATTGCGGTCTCCTATTCAGGCATTCATCGATATTTTCCAGCAAGTTTTATATACATCAGTTTATAAAAGAACTTCTGATTTGTCGAACTGCAGTTGTTTATTTCTTTCATTATTATTTGGCCCTATCAATATATTGTTCGAGTCAGTTTTAGTGAATCTGTTTTCGTCACTTTATGGTGCAAAACGAAGCAGTTTTCGTCGTTATTCTGCTCGGAATAGTGAGCCTTGAGGTGCGTCTCGCCTGATTACAATCGTATAATATCCCTCCTTATCCTTAGGTCAACAACTTTCAGATGCTGATTTCTTGGTTCTAATAGATGCCTCTCAGATTTCCGACTGTCTGGCTTCTCTTAAGTATCGAATAAGCTCCTCATTAGTCACACCAATAGCTTTGCGGGCCTCAGATTCACAACCAACAACAATCGTTACAATATCGCGATAACCCGTGCAAAGCAATTTTTCATCGTTATCAGGAAAGATAGCGTCACGGCCTCCACACAACAATAGAGGAAGAGAAAGAGAGACTAACAACGGCGACAAAGATAACAAAACTTCGGCATAGAGAGAGAATCATATCCTGATGACATAAAGGTCTCCAAAAAGAAGCTGAATGTCTGTGTGAGCAACGTCCGATAGGGGTCTTGTTCGGAAGAACTTTGCAGAGCATGCTACAGACAAGTCTAATGGCATAATAGTCATTAGCGACAAAGACGGACAGTCCTTGAAAACAAACGCCTGGATTCCTATCGTCTCCCTGAACCAAGCGGAGCTAGTCAAAGGTAGCATTCGCGGCGGTGATAGACATCAACTACCGCCTCTGGTTGCTTCTTCATTCAGTACAATGTCCTTCAACCAATTTAGCGGACAACTCGGACGATCCTTGTTCGACAGGCTCCTTCAGAGCGGTTTCCCTATCCAAACTCTTAGCGTTCAACACAAGATGCACCTAAGGCTCGCATTCTTTCCGAGTACGTATACGTACGGCGGAAGGATTGCTTATGATATGACCATTTCATGGAATGAAAACCGCCGGAAAGCCGTTAAACTGGAAGGGGTGGATATATCGGAAGCCATCTCGTTACTCGAGAACTTGGCGAAGAGAGGCTGAGACGGTCTTTTGACATTTTCATATTGTGTTTCCTGCGACGGTCTTGCATACTGCCCTGATTCTAAGATTTATTCTTGTTACATACTTTGCTGACGTTTATTAACCGCGTTCTTGCGAAGTCGGCCTTCCTGTTACCAGTTGTTTCGTGGCTGGTTCGACGACGACAAGGGACAGCCTGACGAGCTGTCTCCTCCTCCAGCCCCTCCGACTGCCGCTGTGATGTCGGAACCAACAACTCCTCGTACGCGGATTACGCCGTTCACCGCCATCAATAGCGGTGGTAGAGGAGCACCTCCCACCTGAGATACGCCGGGATCGGTTCGTGTCCGGCAACGTGATTCCTCCTGCGCGTGAGGAGGTGCAGGCTAGTCCGTCGCGTCTTCTGATGAATCCGAGGAAGGTAACTTCCTCCTTGTGGAATTCGCATTTGCTCAATTTTGCATAAAGGTTATGCTTGCGTAGTCTTTCTAGCACTTCCGATACGTGCTGTACATGTTCTTCTTCATCCATTGAGAAGATCAGGATGTCGTCCAGGTATACAATGCAGCAGATATCTAACAGGCCCCTCAGTGCCGTGTTGATATAGGCTTGAAATGTAGCCGGAGCACGGAAGTGCATGAGTTCTTCTGTTTAACACAGGACTCATCGTTCGACTGGCCCCTCGAACCACACGAGCGAAAACCTGTGCCAGATTATTTAAGTGAGACCCTCACCTTATGCAGTTTTGTTTATGTGCTAAAAATTTGTAGGATCCATCTTACGAGACTACAACCTTTGCACAGCGCTCAGTATATGAAATCTCTGATCAATTTCGCGGCAAAGAAAGGTGTTGCGTGGCGTAATATGGTGAAGCTTGCAACAGTTGATTCGATGCAAGGCACTTGTGCATACGACAAACGGCTAATGAGAAGTTGTTCTTGCAAGTATACTAGGCGCATATATTCTAGTAGCAGACAAAGGTCTGTGGTTGGCATGTTCCTACAGAAACCCAAAGACAGTCTTTGGCTGGAGAGGGGCGTGACTTGCTCTTCCCTTTTGGAAAGCCAAAGGCTTGCACACATAATAAAGAATGCACGCAAACTTGTCGCGCAGATGCGCAAGAAGCGACTGGCGAAGATGTGGATCTCAAAGGCCAGTAAGGTCGAACACACGCTGCGTAAAGCAAAGATTGAGGCTATGCAGAGTGCAGGAGATAAGACCACTGAAACCACGCAAAATGACGCCCCTATACCCCCTATGGAAGGCTTCTCAGAAGGACATTGGAGACCATTCTGCCTTGCAATACCTCCTCCGCAGATCACCAAAGCTGCGTGCAAGAAAAGAAAAGCCCACGGACTTTCGATAGTGGCAATGTGAACGCATTTCTCTCATCTTCGAGCTCAAAAGTCTCATCCGAAGAAGAGGCTTGCAAATCCCAAGCCCCAGCGGATCATTCCTCCTCACAGAATCAAACGAAATGTTAATCGAAAGAGACTACGAAATGCCGGGGAGGATTTCAAAGAAATCAGTATGCATGGAACTTGAGTCAAGCACGCAAGGGACGCTCTCAAGAAGCTTGAACCTGGTAGTGTTCGTGGCAGTGAACTCGATGAAACCAAGAAGAAATTCGCTGTGGCTTTTGTTGATCGGTACAACTTGATGACTACTTAGCTTAGGGTGCCCTGTCAAAAAGAAGCCGACCCAAGAGCAATTCGACCTAGCAGCATCGGTCAAAATAAGAAATACAACCGCCTCTACTCTTGAAATAGTTACTCCCTGGACTATAGCTGCCAAGATAGCGAAGAAGAAAAACTCGCGCACACAGACAATCTTGGGAAGTTCTCTTGTGAAGAATGACTCTCCTTCGAGGAAACGAAGCTTTGAGGATATCAATTAGCAAAAGGTATAGTCTACTTTGTCCAGTATACTTATCCCATTGTAGCCTTGCTAATCAGATATTGCAGTATTACATACTACAATACGGATTCTGAATTACGAGTCAGCTCAGCTATTTCATTCCTTTACCAACACCCTCCCACAGTTTCCGCGCGCCACCCCCATTTGCGAACCACTGACAAAAGATGTTATACGCTATGGGAGTGGAACAGTAATGGCGACACTATGTGGACTTTTTAATACCTGTATTTTATCGCTTTTATACTACGGAAAGGTCGGTTCAAATCTACATATCTATTATATGCAATGCTACTGCACATTGATATTGCATGTACATGTATCTTAATTCTAGTCAACCGCGTCTATGAATGCAGTTATCATAACATCCCAGAAGAGGACAAGGTGTAAAATGCCGTCTGTGTAGAACTACTACTCCGTCTCCATTGTATTTTGTATGATCCCGCTCAATATACTCATTAGCAGTCTGTACAGTCCACCTCTGAACCTGATCCTCGGTTTCCTCATTGCCAATTTGCACATTCTGTCTATTCTCTCTGCGCTCACTACACTTGATACAATCAGGCGTTTATCAATCAAGACTTTCTGGGACTAACGTCATGATAATTATGAATAATTCTGCTAGGTTCGAGAAACCCAGATTGGCGCGGCGAAAGCAGCGTTTCGACGGCGGAAGGCGAGAGACAGAAGCCCGCATAATTAGGAGAATTACTGCTTATCAGTAGAGATCTCCGGGGATATGGTTTCTGTATCCTCTATGCCACTTGAACAGCCTCTCTTCCCTCCCCTTTTGTTTGGTTCGCTGTTTGGTCCGTGGTCGCGGAGTATGTGGCGTCCTCTGCGATCGATTATTACTTCGTCGAGTTTTTCGGCCGTCTTTTTTGCTGCCTCGAAGCTCATCGCCACGCTGACTCCGTTGCCGTTTCTGGCGCTTCACCTGAGTGCAGATTGTCCGAACTGTTCTTCAACGCATCGATGAATTGCCAAAGCCTCTGCGCGGATGAACCTGCAGAATCCGCATCGGGGTTTGGTGGTGCCATCTTCGATCTTTCCCAGAAGGATGTTGCAATAATGAACCAGGTCACTTCACTGGCCCACCGCTGAGAGGGGAAAGCCTTTGATCTTCAAGGTTATCGAGTATCCGGTTCGCGAACGGATGGCACACAACATATAATGATAGGCAGGCCGGTAGGTGACAAGGCGATATGATCATAGTCGACCACCGGCTAATCGAAGAGTGCCGCTGGCTGAAGATTTCCCGCTCCGATCAGCGATGTCGCGGTAGCAACCTCTTGTCAGGGATATAGCAACTTAGGGTACTTCGTACTAGTCAAAATGTACTTTCAGTGCCTCCCTGCTATTATTTAGACACCACCTGGGCAAGTCAGCCAGACGTACGGAATGAAACGGGACTTGTTCCTGTTAGAGAGACTAAGCCCTCGAGTTCGGGGACCGTGTCAGATAAGGTCTCCCTCCATGATATCCGGCTTTTTGTTGCCCAAGAATACTTTCTGCGTGCTGTGGAGTCCTTTTTCTGGGTCAAAGTGTCTCAGTCAACTATGTCCTCAGAAGACTATCTCTTCTAAGAGATGACTTGTACAATGTACGCACGAGTCAGTCTGTGACAGTGCTGAGAAGACGTAACTCCGATTGCGCCTGAACTCGTCAGAAAAAATCATAAGGCAATGACCATTTTAGTCGTTGGTTTTGTATTCTGGCGTCGCTTGCTTACCTCGTTTGAATCCCGAGCTTAGGATGATCTCCTCAAGGTTTGCGTAGTCACTAAGTCTGTTGAATACCGGTTGATATTATTGCGCCTTATCCCCAACTATGCCTGAGGCAAATGGAAAGGATCACTCAGAACGAAATAGTCCAGCAAGGAGTCATTTGTAATGCCAAAATCCCCGGCGATATTTCCTGGCAGAGTGAAATTGTTTTCATCAAGGGAGTAGTGGCTTTCCATTGACGCATCTTGGACTATCGCGGGGTTTATTCCATGTCCTTCCAGTACGTTGTCAAGGAGACTTAGTTCTCTTGTCTTCCTCTGCCGCTGCAGATTGACGAGCATACTCGCTATTCCGTAAGATTCCTTCACAGCTCCAGTTGCGTACTTTTCGGCCACTGTCTTGAGTGTTTCCAACGCGTCTGTAAGGTGCAGGAGTGATTGTCGATTATCGATGGCTAGGAAAATGCAAACCATCTGAAATGGGATATTGACAATATGGCACCACGGGGACATGATTTCAATCAGTTCGCGGACTGAATCTAGCCCCTTAGTCGAGAGCTCGAGAATAAGACTAAGAGAACGATCCGACAAACTACGGCCGAGAGCACGCACACGACGATATATACATAGTGCGATATTGCATTGGATCAACCTTTGCATGGGGTGCGCCGGGTTCAGGTAACAGAGATGAGAAAGTTCCATCTCCAGTTCATCAAAAGTTCGTGGGACGTTTGGCTTGAGGAGTTCAGTCAAACGACAGAGCTCCTGCTGTTCTTTTGTCCAGCTGGTCTCAGGCATGAGAGTCGATGCGCCTCTTAATTCCACTTGTGATCTACTGCAATCGAGCGAAACCCATGTGTTGAACAACTGTGCGACCGAATAAATTCTCCGCCGTTGTTCAGGCTGAAGATAATCACTTAATTGGGTGGGATTCGAATCAATTGAGGATTCAAAATGTAGTTTGGTCGCTTCTATCATATGCATCAGGTTACAGGTCGCCATCCAAGTCGCCTGTTGGGAACCCGCCATTCGAAGGTAAATTGCGCGCAACAGCCAGCCGAGCACATGGTCAATATGTGGAGTGACTGTCTGAAGAGATCGCTCGAGGATAATACGCGCAATTTGGAGTAATTGTTCTTGTTGATCGCCAGCTCTTTTGCCAAAAAGACAACCGAGGGCTGCGATGCCACATATCAGACCATCGACAGGTCCGTATGAGTTTGGAACTGACCACCTCTTGCTAACAGCACTCCGCACGTACTCGCGATCTAGAAAGTCATAGACTGGGGCGACCTCTGCAAAGTAGATCGCTGTTAATTCATACATCTGGTCCCGACTCAGGATCTCTGTGAGTTGCAGGCTTCGCGTCAGGTACGTGTTCTCCCGGGGAAACCCCAGATTCCACGCATAGTAATTGAACACGGGAGACGCAGCTGGGTCAATTTTTAGCCCTAAATTCTTCAAGAACACGGCAGGCGAATTGTCCTCGATCAACTGTAGCTCCGAAGCTGTTGTTGATTCAATGTTCTCTTCGACACGGGTGCCGGTCGTATTCATCTCTAAAGCCGGTCGTCGGACATGGCCTCTTCCTATCCTTCTCCTTCGTCGTTGCTCATAAGTGCACTCATGCCCATTCTTAATACAATACATACAGGGAACTTCGCCATCGCATTTGCGTTTGCGTTCCCTGCAAGAATTGCAGGCGCGCTTGGACCGCTTGGTACCGGTTAGATTGGCGGGCATCCCCCTTGTCTTAGGAGAATAGCTTATTCAAACTGTCCAATCTCTGAACGCGCCTTGAAGATCGGTTAGCAGACCGAGACGGCGTCTTGAAGTCTCTTATTTTTATTCCGGGGGCGAGATTGATAGCCTTTACCACGTTGTCGGGTCCAGTGGGAGCTGCTGCTAAGCAGCCACTCGCAGCCACTGATTGATTATATTGCGGATCGGATAGGGACGGGGAGTTTTGGTTCAAGCACCGCAGAGATCATGTCACTTGGTGACCTTCAGGTGAGAACCGAACCGCTGGCAATCGGCCGAGATATTGTTCACCGACAGTGCTGGAGATGTTGCGAGACAGTTATTCGAGATGACTCCATGCGGCAAAACGGAAGTTCGTGCGGTCCGCACAAGTTCCGCAATCATCCTAAGTATCAATTGATAAGACCAAAAATGAGTTGGGCAGGCATTATTATGTATGATATCTTTTCTCCCCATTTCAGGGATCGATTGACGATACTGAAAAATAATCATATTTTTATTATCATAATACCCACTGTTCTCGTGTTCAGATCCCATAATGAGCAGTCCAACCTCTCTATCAGATGACCATGCAGTCTCACTATCTTCACTGGCAATGATAGAGAAACAGGCTGAGTGCCCAGATGACTCTCATGGAGGCGCAAGCTGCATCCCTATTGTCTATAAAAAACTAACCTTCCGGACAGAGGTGCCAATTGCCTCTCCTCAGATCCCAGATCATCTGAGACCACCGGATCTCAAAAGACTGGTATCGCCACACGACTGGTCTCCATGTCGAAAAGCCTTCATCACGGGAATTTCATGCTCGACAACCATATTCTCTGGGTTTGGCGCCAGTTCACTGGGTCCGGCAGAGACTCAGATGGCGGCCGAGTGGCACGTCAGCGTGGTAGCGCTCGCTGTTGGAATTATGCTGTACTGTTTCGGATTCGCAATTGCCCCTATGGTCTTAGCACCGTTCTCTGAGATCAATGGAAGAAGACCGGTATTCATAGCTACATCAGTCTTATTTCTCGCATGTCAGCTCGGCAACTCCTTTACGCATTCTTATGTCGGGTTCGAGAACCCCCCCTGTTTGCGTTTCCTTAACAGAATGCTAATTAGTTGGGTATTTACAGAATGCTTCTTGCGCGTTTCTTCGGTGGCATTGGTGGCTCGGCATTTTCCTCAATGGTAGGCGGCATCATTGCGGATATCTACCATGCACAGAACAGGAACACGCCCATGGTGATATTTTCAGGTGCAACCCTTTTTGGAATGGGATTAGGGCCAATTATCTGCGGGCTGATTGCAAGCAATACGACGTGGCGCTGGATATTCTGGCTACAGACCATCGCTGCAGGAATCATCTGCGTCGTCCTTGTCCTATTCCTCGGGGAGACGCGAGAAAACGTGGTTCTGCGAAAGAAAGCAAAGATCCTGAATAAATGGTACGAAGACCTCGAGAAAGAAGGTTTCTACAACTTCGAAAACGACACATACACCCCGATACGCCTCCGTTGGAAAATAGCAGCAGACGAGGAGCGCACGGATCTACTCACCATGCTGCGAATCTCTGTCATTCGGCCCTTCCAGCTTCTTTTCACCGAACCGGTCGTGTTCTTTTTCTCCTTATGGGCCGCTTTCTGCTGGGGTGTTTTATACCTCAACATAGCTGTGATCCCCTATGTCTTTGAGCAAATGTATCATTTCTCACTCGTCGACTCAGAAGCCACTTTCACTGCCGTGTGCGTAGCAGCTATTCTAGGAACCTTCCTATCGATCTTCCAGGAGAATCTAGCGTTGCGACGCAAAGGATGGAACTCCGTCCCTGAACACCGGCTTTACTTTAGCTGTATAGAAAGCACACTACTTCCTATCGGTCTATTCATGTTTGGCTGGACGGCAGAATACCACGTCCATTGGATCGTTCCAGCAATAGCAGCAGCCATCTCCACGCTGGGGATCTTCTCCATTTACCTTGCTGTCTTCAATTACCTCGCTGACGTCTACCACCGATACGCGAGCTCTGCCCTCGCGGCGCAGAGCTTCTGCCGCAATATTCTCGGCGGGGTCCTCCCACTTGTTTCGATTCAGATGTTCAGGAACCTGAAATATGGACCTGCGTCGAGTCTTCTGGGCGGAATTGGGGTCCTCTTGACCGCCGTCCCGTGGATTCTGGTGCTTTATGGACCGCGTATTCGCGCGAAAAGCAAATTGGCGAGCGAGATCATGCTGTAACACTGCTTACCATATTATTACTTAGATATTACTTAGATATTACCTAGACTATAGACTATAGACTGCTTCTTCATTGGGTTCTCACTAGGTACATAACATAGACTATCATCGATTTACTATACAATGTACGCAGATCTTTGATGCTTCGTGGAAAACAAGGAAGGGAACGTGATACGCTTGAATAATTGCATTACATGTTTAACAGATATTAAAGAGTATTTGGCACTTCATATACGTACAGAAAAGAAATACAATCACATGGATATGAGATAGTAGTTACGGTCAGCATAGCTGCACGTGCTCACCAATCTATGGCCAATGTTTACATGAAAGATCGCGATACAATATTGGACCTCTTATGGACGCGTCGCGTAGACATCTCGCACAACTCGAACCTTTACGCAGATTCCCGTTTTCTTCTCCACATCCCTCAACAAGCAAGAGATGAGTGATGAAAAAAAGGGTATTGAAGTGCGTATACACAGCTATGTGTATACTGAAAAGGTTCCAAAGATTAGTATAATCAATCAATCATCAGGTCGGCGCACGGCGGCAGTGTATAAAAACGAAGGATAGGTCGATCAGGAAATGTATACAGAACAAGTATCGAGGCGTGAGACTGGGCTCTCGCTCTCGATACTTGCTGTATCGTGCCCTTCACGTCCTCCCGTTCCTGCCGCCGCGGAGTGCCATCCTGATGATTGATTGATTGATTGTTTGTTTGTTTGTTTCCTTGAGGTGTCGAAACATCTCGCACGAGTTCCCCTACAGAGCCCAGCAACTTCGTAACCGGGTCCATGTTGAAATGGTCCTCAAGTGGTGTCTCCGTTGCGCTGCCCTTCCCCGTCCCTACCGAAGTAGGGCCCAGTTGCCTAGACGTTTCCGAATAGGACTTGCCTTGCCTATCGAAATAGGACTTGCCTTGCCTACCGAAGCAGGACTTTGTTTGAGAATAGAGAGTTGTGAAGAAGAAAAGAAGAAACGGTTCCAGGGGGGGGAGGAGGAGGGGGTATTTATACCATTGCAGCTGGGGGAAGATCGGCGCTAGTAGCAAGCGAGGTCTCGAAAGTTTGTCTGGTTTGTGAGATTGTTTGTTTGGATGAGCGAGGTTATTTTAATAATAGGAGGGGGTTGGGATGTGTTATTCGATGTTAAAGCGGTTGCGTGGTGGAGGGTGGTTGTGATATAGCTATAGTGGTGCACTACCCGTCACAAAATGGGGCTAGGTGCTATCAAGGAACATCAAACTCTCAGGAAATGTAATGCGGGAAGGTCATACCGGTGTTTCTTGGCATAGATAGTATCTATACGGGAGCTGGTATTGGGTTACTACGTTGATTGTTGGCGATTGTGGTCAAGACTATACCTACGTTATTGATATTCGTAGATGCTCTGCTACGGGTATAGAAAGTTTTCGACGGCGCGGTAATTCCTAAATGAAATTCCATAAACATGCGTGAATGTAAGTCCATCAGTGGGAGAATTAGTATAAAATGGACTTGACTGTAGCTATAAATCTCTGGTTAGGAGGTATATAGCGTTCTTTCTATAGCCTCAGACTCGGAATTGTATTTAGTAAATTTTATACACGAAACTTCTATTTAAGAATCGGAAATGAAATAAACAGATATGCAACTTTATTATCTAATTGTAACTAGATCTATTCTTCTAAGAGGGGAGTAGCAACTATCTATCTGACCTGTCCTAAGGTCAATAAAACCTATACAAGATATCTTCTACCTGGAATCATCTATTTGTATTCTGGGACTGTCTGGTCCATAATTAACCGTGTATCATTTGTAGAGCTGGTGATAGTACTTTCGTAAAAACCACTTGTGAATAATTTCGTATCAGATATTATAGCGCTATTGAACAATTGCGCCGCCTGCATTTGCATGTGTCAAGTAAACAAGTAAAATTGCATAACCCATATCCTATCCAGTAGCCTCCCATTCACAGATATAACCTCTCTTGCCGTTATAAAAGGTATATGACCTCCTAAACGCGTTATGCCGGAGAAAGGCCCATCAGTCCTAATGCGATCCTGGCCTCTTCACGCAGCAAGTCAATAGAAAAGACAAGCTGGTCATTTGAGTTTCTGCCTTGAAGAACTTCTCCGCCAAAAACTTCTTTTCTCGATAGGATGAGTTGTTCCGACGCAGCTTGGATCGGGGGAGGAGCTGGGAAAATAACGATGTCTTGCTGTAGACGGGGCATGTTGTTCCTGTCTAATGTGTAAAGAAGGACATTTCCTCGAACTGTATCCGTATTTCTGACTCGCCGCCAGTTGAGTATGATCGTTGCTTTCACTTGCCCCTGACCACCCACGAGCCAGAGGTTCATATCTTCCTCGAGTCTGGGGAAAGACTCGCTCCATCCAGATTCGACCACAAGAGACGGTAATCTCCGACCGTCTACTCTTAAAAGCAAATCTGGTTCCTTTCTAGAGCGCGCATACGGCCCGTGAATAAATGGGATCGCTGATTACATTGTTAGAACGGTCAATCATATAGTTAATAGGATTAATAGGATTTAGACTTACTCGTTCCAACCATAACACGCAAGTACTCATATTCATGAGCAGTGATTTGCCCGGTACGATACCAACGGAACTTCTGGGCATTGATCCAGTTCTGATGACAATCATGGAGCTCTGTGGGCATGATTCGAATCCAGATAGTAGAAGTAATGACGTTGTAGTTTTTCCTGTAAGATAAGAAAAGAAAAGAGATATAAAATGGTTAGTCTTATAAATTATCAAACAGAGGGGAAATGTCAGAAGTATTCTTTACCTGAAAGTGCCCTCAAACCTGTCGTCGAGCTGATCTAATATGGTCTGCGCCCAAGCTGGCAGAATGTGTTTGTAGATGAGTTCTTCGTGGGATGTAACAGTAGAGAGAATTCTCAAAGCGTGTTTGTAGAGATCTTCTGGAGAGGAGAACATTGACGAAGAAAATATGAGCTCTGGAGTGCCAGTCTCTGCGCCTGCCACCTGAGCGTCTGCCACCTGAGCGTCTGCCGCCTGAGCAGCTGGTACCTTAGACTTCGCCATTTTGACAGAGTCCTGTTCAGATAAGTTGACTTGGAGCAGAATATTGTGCACCTATAGACACTGCTTGAATAGAAAGGAAGATTTTAACAGGTCAGGGAAGACTTAGGGAATCTTCAGGTAAAGTAAATGTGAAGCGCAGGAATGAAGTTGAGGTCAAGTTGAGACAGAACTGAAGAAGTAAGGGCTTGCCGTTAAGTTTCCTGGTTAGGATTAGGTACTTAGGTTACACCGCTTTGTATAGGGTTCAGAATCGTTGAAGCCTAATAGTGCATAGCATGCGTAACTTTGATGTTGTAGAGAAACATTGCATCATATGCTAAGGCATCTCTAGCAGCGGAAGCATACCTAGTTTAAGTAGATGAGTGTTTGGCTTTCCGCAGGTAGAATACCTACCTAAAGTATTGTGAATTACTTACTATCTTGCGTTGTATCATTTCTACCAAGTGATGTAATGTCCAAACTCAGAAAGGCTCTCTATTAGTTATTGGATATACAGCGCTACGTATCATTCCTTCTAAGGAACTCGTATGGTAGTCTAGTATGATTTATTTCTCTGTCCAGCCACTCCCCGCCACAATGTACATACATACAGTACGTACTGTAACGAAAGGGACGCCATCCCAGACTAACCAACATTGAGTTAGTGAGGAACTGCCCCAAGCTAGAGAGTCTTGATTTGATTGCGATTTATTATGTATCCTTTTCTTCTCTTTTTGATTCTTTCTTCACTCTGATCTGCGATGGACGGATACTGATATTATTTCCATCCAGCTAATCTAGCTACTACATATGCCAGGTCATACCTCTTCGAACCCTCGAAACAGACAGACAAATTGGGCAAGCGGACCGCGTCTTGATAAAGAACTTTTGCGCGTTGATTCTCCGCAAGGCCAGACAGACACCATTCACCTCACTGCAAGGTCACAGCGGTGTCGCTCTTTTCAAAATTTGGATCTGAACCGAAAATTATTTTCTCATCTGCAAGGGAGATACGATTCCTCCTTTTCTGTTACCAGCGCCCGAACGAAACGTCCGCAGTCCGTTATCGAAAGCTACACCTCCTGCGGAACAGTCTTGTCTCTCGTCATGGTTCGTCCTTGGCTGAGCAGCAGTCTGTAAGCACCAAGGTTGATCTTGTGGTGAGCGGGATCCGATCCTGCTAGGAAATATACGTTTGGTTGAGCACGAAAGAGCTCAGGACAGGTCAGGGAAAGACGGTCGCGTGCGTGAATACGTCAAACCCGGCGGGCGACGCAGCAGCAGACATTTACCGCGAAAATGGCCGAGACAGATACCGCGCAGGTATCGACCAGCGCGAATCCGTACGAGACAGATCCGGACAAGATTCCAGAAGGCGATCCTTACCTAGCTCGAAGCCCTCATTATGGCCGCTACCACCCGCGACCTGACGACTTTACGCCCCAATACAATCACTGGTACCAATCCGAGCCTGAAAGCACAGAATACTGGAAGGACGTTGTGCGGAAATACTGTACACCGGAGAATTCTATACAGACGGTCGGGGATAGGGAAGTCTTTATTGCCGGCACAGTCGTCATCCGAGTGGACAAGGAAGATGCGAGTGGCGCAGCAGAGTCGCGGTATTCTTGCTTGAACGCAAACGAACTAGGAGCTGCTAGAAAGGCCCGAGAGGCCCTCAGAGACTTAGACATTGCGGTGCCTGTGATATACTTCTGTGGAACTGTCGACGGGAAGAATGTCACCGTCGAATCGCGAATCCCAGGTGTCTCGCTGGACGTTGCCTGGAGATATCTCACACCAGAGCAAAGGCAAAGTCTCAAAGTACAGTGTTGCAATGTCATTAAGAATCTCCAGATCGCCGACTCGTCGTCTGATGAACCCTCCTACGTCTGCCGCGGATTGAATCACCAAACACTACCGGAAGCGCAACAACCGGAACGGGATATACTTTTCGAGGAGAACAAAAAGGGTGAAGATTTCTGCTTTGTACATAATGATATGGTCCGATCTAATATCGTTGTAAAAGACGATAAGATTGTTGGCATCGTTGGCTGGAGACAATGTGGCTACTTTGGTCTCGATAGGGCTAGGAATGTCCATCGCGAGCTAAGAACGCCTGAATCGTCTTACATCACTGCCTCAGGTGAGGATGATGGTGAGAAGAATTCCTGGGCTGACCTGTATGATTTGTTACGCGAGGACACTGGCAAAAAGGCTCTTACGAATGGACATGGCAACCCGACGCCCGAGGTGAAACTCGAGCCCTCCGCCTCTAGTCTGGATGCAGTCCCCAGCGCTGCCATGGACGGCGTAAAGCTTTCTATAAGCCAGTTGGACGGCACAGATTTTCCTGCCGAACATCCTACTCCCAAGAAAGTGAACGATTTGAAAAGGGGTTCAATGTCAAGAGCCTCATCATCAGAACGTTCGTCCCCCGTTCCAGCTACCAAGGGCGGCACTGCTGCCAAAAGACCCACGGCAGCATCAAGCAAGAAGGGCACGGCAACTCAAAAAGCCGCGCCTAAAAAGCGCAAGCTAAACACTCGGGACGGAGAAAGTGTTGATGGCCGTTCTAACACCCCGGCCTCATCGCGTGCGAGCAAGACGCCAGCGCCAAAAAAGCAGGGTTCCGCATCGGCGGCAGGCTCGCCAGCTCCAGAAAACAAGAAGAAACGTTCGAAGAAAGCAGCTCCGGAGTCAGACGACGAAAGTGTCGAAGACGCGAACGAGGTCTTCTGTATCTGCCGGCGACCAGATAATCATACCTGGATGATCGGTTGTGATGGAGGCTGCGAAGATTGGTTTCATGGAAAATGTGTCAATATCGATCCCAGAGATGCAGACTTGATTGACAAGTACATTTGTAAGTCTTATCAGTGCCTTACTACCTTCCATGTATCTGCCCTCGCTGACAATACTCGTCAGGCCCCAATTGCCAAGAGCAAGGAAAAGGAAACACCACATGGAAGCCGATGTGTCGCCTGCCAGAATGTCGCAAGCCTGCTCGTATCACCAAACAGGTCTTGAGCAAATACTGCTGTGACGATCATGGCCGAGAGTTCATGCGTCTTAAGACTCAACACCTCAACCTAGTACCCGCTGTACGCACTTCCAATAACTCACGCTCCACGAGCAGTACTCGAAAAGGAGACAAAAGCCAGCGGAGTAGTAATCTTGTTGGCGAACAAGATCCAGAGGCGTCTCACGCCGAGGATGGCGCCGCATCCAACGAAGACGATGACGATGACATGGACGCCGATGTGAGGAATGCAACGGAGGAACTCGGGAGCAGAGGGGGTATTCTCACGGCACGCGAGTTGAAGGCAGCTATATCAGGAGTATCCTCGGTGGAAGAGTTCCGAAGACTGGGCGATCGAATTGTGTCGCCTCCAGACGACAATGTCAAGGATGAAGGCGGCAAGAAGCTGGGTCTAGATATTGATCCTAAGGACCTCACCTACACACCTGATGAGGAGACAAAGATCCAAAAACTACGGAAGCGAAGAGATGAGCTTCTTCACCGCACAGAGATGCTCCGAGCTCGTAACACCTTCCTAGGCTTAGTACGACAGAGGGGTAAAAACGTGCTGGAGCGGTTGAAGCAAGTAGACCCAAAGGGTGGCTGGAAGGACATATGTGGCTTCGACACGCGGCTGTCTTGGAGTGACGAGGAATTCGACGAATGGAGACTCTCCGAGGCCGGCCAAAAGGCTCTCAAGGATGGCAATCTGGAAGCCATTCCTGCAAAGGATGCAGATGGGGATACCCCGATGGAAGACGCCTCGAACCAGGAGAATGAAATCGGCACGATTTCTCGCGGTGTCTGTCTCAAGAAACGCTGCGAGCGACATAAACAGTGGGTCAAAGTTCAGCAACAGGACATTCAATTCGAGGAAGCCATGACCATCCAAGATCTTGCAAAATGCGAGCAGGAGGCGCAGGCTGTCGTCGAAAGAGCCGTTCTTCGCATGTGGGCTGAGAAAGATGGCTCCGGATAGACTGGCAATGTCTCTGGTTTCTCTCACTTCCCTGCGATGGGCGAATCTTGCAGCATGATATCTTTTTTTTTTTCTCTTAATTTCCGCGCATAAAAAACCCCTGCTGGCATATTCATAAGTTTCGGGAATAAGATACCCCTCTGTTCTAGGGAAGGGCCGGGATTGGAGTTGTTTCATCGGTTATCGTCCGCCTTTTGTTCGCCGGGGTTGTTTGCAGTCATATTCTATTCTGAACTGCTAGGAAAATGGCGCTTGATATCGACTAGTAATTGCACACATGCGTGATTTATCTTCCGAGGCGGACGTACCTATCACATACGTGGTAGGTAATTGTATGCAGATAATAAAAAATGTCTTTGCATCCATGAACATATGTTCTCTCCGGCACAGCGCTCAGTCTAATGGCGCAGCAAGGGCTTCCCATGTACCTCGATCCCAGACACACCACCTGCCTACACCACTTCCCACTCGATCCTTGACAACCTCGACCACGTTTCTACCATTTACCTTGGAAAGAAGCAGGTGGGTGTCGATACCCTGATCGAGGGATCTAGATAGGATGGTGGGTAACAAGGTCGTCGACGTAGCACGATGCAAAAAGACGGAATGTATACCCTCGTTTCGATCACCATCTCCGTCCCCGACATTGAATTGTTGCCCTTGGCCAGAGGATCGTGACGAAGGGTTCACACTTCTGTTTGGGTATATTGATCCGAGCGTGTTCGTATTGACAAGCATCACAGAAAGAAACGACGCATATGTCCGCGACAGATATGTCAGAGTACGTAGTACCGGAACTAGTAGAGCCGTGCCTCTAAGCGGGCTTGAGGTGCGAATAAGACCATCAGCCATAGTATCTATTCCCTCGATAATGAGGAGGACCGGGCTATTGCAGTTGTCCGAAGACGACACCTGTCCATGGTTCTCTCTGAGCTGGTGTCTCTGCTGCTGAATTCGGTTCAGGGCATCAGACACATTACTGATGGCTTGTATGACATGAGTGAAATCCAATACGGAGAGAATCTGCACTGAATCAAGAAGCTCAACGGCCTCCTCACGTGATAAGTGCGGTTCATCATGACAGGAAAGAAGTGAGCCAAGTAGTGTCTCCGGTGAGAAGGCACTAGAAGTTGGAGATCGGATGATGAAAGCCCTTGGTTCCGATGGATGATTCGGGCTGGTCCTACGGAGATGTGTTGACAGTAGATAACGAGGGAGCTAACAGCAGAATGTCTTTCAGCAGCTGAACAGTCAACTCAACCGGAGAGGTTCCTGAATCCGTAATATTGGATGCAAGGTAGGGAAGTTCGAGTTTGTGACAGGTTGCAAGGATCGCCAAGCAGCCTGCATACGCGAGTGCGAATGGGAAAGAATTGCATCCTGTATGCTTATCGACTTACCTCGCAGACTCGTCCCTTGTCTTCATCCGCATTTCCTTCCCTCAGTCTGGAAAAGCCTGTAATAGTGCCACATCTGAAAACGCTGTCTTTGTCGCTCCCTATACCGTTCTTGATGTCATGCTTGAGACTCCACTCCCGCGAAGGATGGCTGTCGCCCCGCGGGGAGGCATTGTTCACTACCTTCCCAGAAGCCCTCTTTGCTTCTCCCGGGAATGGTTCTGAAATTAGTGAGGAGGCAAGGATTGGAAAGGCAGGCTCAGCGAGGTAAGCGTTGGTTAAAGACATCCTGATGGACTATTGTATTTCCTGAATCAGATAAGGATCCTTGCAACAAAGGGCAGAAACACCTTTCAGCACTTTATTGGATAACTGCGATAGCGTCTGGTTCGTTTCAGCAAATGTTACGCCTTTTTCGTGTCCTCCCTTTTGCGGGATATTGATCTTTCAGCGCACTATGCGGGTCATTTACTGGCAGGTTGGCGCAGTACTGCCGACGATCGTCTCTAGTCGAAAGCCAATGCCGCAGAAGTCAGACCATGTCCAGACTCCAGGCATTAGCAACCAGCCGCTACGTATTGAAATCACGAATGAGACCGTGGATAGTGGATTGAAGAAGAATAGAAGTATAAGGAGGCTGGCCAGGAGGGATCTGGGATATGTCTTTTTGATTCAAAAGGCGCCGAACAACTTGAAGTTAGCTGATGCACTTCGGTTAGCGCCCTTGGTTGAGTTGATGCCTTAGGGGGAATAATCACGTTTCCCGCCTGGTATTTTTCACGGGTCCAAGGCATAATGCAACGACTGAGGTAGTAAGGACTCGATTTATCGCTTACATTTCTCTCGGTCACGTACACTTTGGCGTAGAACTCATCTGATGTTGTTGCTGGGAGATGCCAGATAAAAATAATTAAGTCGATACTGTCACCGACGCAACGGTAACTCTTCTACAGCAGCAAGGTCCTTGCAGATAAGATAGTTGAAATGCTGCTATCTTATTAGTTTCATTCTCACGAAGGTCCTTGATGTAATGATGGTTTGTTCTTGAACTAGCAAGACGAGGGTCTCCGTTCATCCTTAGGATACTGCAACTGAGTTTTCAAGAATCGCCAAGATCAACAGATGATAAAGATATTACGGGGGAAAGTGTATTAGAGTAGAAGCTGAAGATACTAAAACAGGAATAACAGACACTAATCAGGACATACGCCCAACCTATTAAACAGGAATAAAAAGGTACCCGTTCCCCGACCATCGGGTGTTGTGCAGACAGAAAACGCCGGTCGCTTGTAACCCCCAATTCGCGTCAAGCGAGCTTTAATTTGATCCCAATCAAGGGTACCAAGGACTAACTGGGTGTTTTGAGGGGAAATGAGCTCATAGTACTACGGCCGGCTGAAGTGCTATCAAGCATCCTGAAAGTTTCCCAGGAAAACGTGAAACGGAGTCACCAAGGCTGTTGCTTCGAAGCAGCCAGCTTCGGGTCAACTAGAGAAACATGTGTCTAATCCATCTCGTCGGGCTTTCCCTGGTCTCCGAGCGGACGGTTGGCCTTCAGGCAAATTAAGATCCAGAACTCAGTAACAAGGACCAGTTCACTCAGGAGTCAGCAGGCCGTCTCTCCGGGCGTGGCTTCCTCAAACTCTTCATACGGTTGACAAAGCCGCCGCCGCTCTTCATTCCATCGCCTCCGCCATTCATCCGCTCATCGGTATCCTTCCTCTCCAGTCCTTGAGGTCTCCTGGGGCTGCTCGCAGCGCGGGCTCTTCCACCAGATTCGTAACTCGTTCTGGTGTCTTCCGCCATCTGTATTTTGGCGCCCTTCTTGTCCCACGCATCATCGTAGTCCTGGAAGAATGGGTTTCTCTCGTTGGTTCGAGACCCGCTGGAGGTGGGAGTAGAATAAGTCGCATCGGGGGATACAACACGGCCTCCTCCCGCCCTGGGATTGATGCCTCCTCGGATTCTTTGGGCAAGACTCTTCTTCCGCTGCAAACCACCGCCGTTCGACCCGCTCCCCGATTCATTTTCACTCTGGCGTCTTTGGATGGCTGCACGACTGGCCGGCGCCCCCTCCAAGAACGTGCTGGTTCCCAATCCCATGCTTTCTGCGCCATGGATCGGCTCAACACGCGTAGTGGCGCTGAACGCTTCGGGCTGATCGGATTTTCCGCTTGTAGCGAAGTCGTTGTAGCCTTCGGTTTGGACACCGTGGAAGAGCTCAAGGTCAATGTTATCATTGTTAGGTCCAGCACCACCCAGTGCCATGTTCCTGGAGTCCTTAGGAAACGCCTGCATCGGCGCAGCCTTTAAGCCCTTGCGATTGCGGTGAGGATTGCAGGCATCAAAGGGACCGTCGTGGTGGAATACTGTATGCTGTGGTTAGCCACTTTCCCCATGATACACCAGGAGCAGGTGAATCTTACAGCCAGTTCCATAGATGCTGGTCACGTCTAATTTGTCGATGATATCAAGACGATGACTGGGTGTCTTCTTAGAAGAACGAGACTTGCCATCTCTGTGTCGTGCCTCCCTTTCGCGATGTCTTCTCTCCCTTCGACGTTTTTCGTCTTCCGGATCGAGGGGTTTCTGAGGTCGCTCCATGACAGAGGACTCCGAATTACGGCGTGGCCGTCTCACGTCATGAGATCTGGAGCGATGAGGCTTTGAAGACGACGATGGCGGGTCTGCAAAGACATCAAAAGGATCGCTGTCCTTGTTGCGAGCTTGCGAGCGCTCCTTCGGCGGGCGGCTTGGAGGCTTGTTGCTTGGGCGAGAAGGCGCCGGCCTGCGATTGCTGGTCTCAGAAGAGGGCTCGAGAGAGAGGTTCTCCTAGCCAGGAATGTTAGTAGACTGTGGTTACCGACTCTGGTGGGAAGGATAGACATACGAAAAGCTCAGCCGTGTTGCCCATCAAGCTGGGTTTGGATGTTGAAGACATGCTGGCACTGGGTGCTGACTGAAAGGAAGTCAGATCCGTCTCGTCCAAGAACGGGTTCGTTGACACAGGGCGACCTGTTGAGTTGGGAGAAGTAGCGGAGGGCGACACAGCACGATTCCTGAAGGGATTGTTCGAGCTCAGATTGATGTTGAGCTGAGGAGAGGGCTGGCGCTCTGGAAAGATTAAGATGGACACTGTTAGTTATTTCCGGCCAGGTTTCGAATTCCGGGAACACATGAGGAAGAGGGGTCCGGGTCAGACTACCGCTGCACATCAGGCAGGTTGGCGGGCGGGAAGGTGAGAGCGATGATGCTCTGTCAAGGGGAATTGGAGAGTGTAGATTGGGGCAGGGACACAAACCTGGCGCCGACAGCGGGGCGAGCGACATTGTGGTCAGATACAATATGTCTGGGATTTGCTGGGGTGTGTCAACTCTGATAAGGATGGTGGATTTCGGATGAATGCCAGCAGGGCCTTGGTTTCGAATTTGGGGAGGTTCAGGCGGGAAGCATATATCTGAGGACCCGTGAAGGGAAGTCCGCCGTTTACTGGCGACCACACGACTCGAGCACTGCACGCCAACACGACCTATGGATGCGGGCGCGAGGAGGGTTCGATTGCAGCACGATCGGCAAGTGTCCAAGGCGGACGACGGGAGTGAAACGACGATTGATCTGGTGAGGGTGGGCAGGGACCACGACAGAGGATAAAAGAGTCGTCAACGGTTCGAGGGACACTGTCTTACGCAGACGACCGTCTGTCTGGAGATGATCCCAGTCTTGGATTCTTTTCGTGTCCTAGCGACGGGGGGTTTCTCCGATGAGTTTGAGGCAGCCGGGCCGTTCGCAAGAATGCAGTCCAGTAGTGATTAATCAATCGATAAGGCAGATCGGCAGGTTGGTTGCACGGCGGATCCGTGTGGTGATCGAATAGGATAGGGGAAGTCGCTCGGCCGGGTAGTCAGTAGTCCTGTCTGCTGAATCGACAAGCAGAATAATAGGAGATGACTCGATTTAATGAACTGGTTCGCGCTGGGGAAGGGGGCGTGGCTTTAGATGAAACAAGATGGAGCAGTCCTAGGGAGGTGGTGAGGGGGGGAACTTGGAAGGAGGGAGGAAGAGAAGAGGGTGGATGGATGAGACGAAGGCTCGAAGGCCCAGGAGAGCGTAGAGTTAGACTTCCCAGAGAGTCTCTGCTTCCTCGTCCAGCGATGAGGGCGCGGAGGTTAAAGTGAGGGTCGCAGCGGGGGCGCTACCAGCGACAGGCGGCCTCCGTTCAGGGACCGTCGTTGAGCCAAATTAATTTGTTGTTGGCGATAGTCAGGGGAAAAAAAGACGCCGCGGATATTGTTGGGCCTCCTTGACAGCTGCTCTTTGTTTGTCTCGATGCCGTTTCTTTTTGTGGAGTGGGTGATGCTCTGCCGCTGCTGTCGATTGCCCCAGTATATATATTTATGCCATGCGAGATCCTGCTTACTGAGTATCGATCGGTACAAAAAATCTGGCTGGCTGTGACCGTCGGATCTTCGTTACTACGACATCTTCGTGGATAACCGCTGCAGGAACCATGGTCTACATTCCGCACTCTGAGAAAGATCCATCTCGTTGGATTTTGCTTCTCCGCAGACCACTGAAATACGAACCCCAGAATGCCACGGATTCATAATAAATGCCTTTGGTACCGCCTTGCCTCCTTTGAAGGTACGACCAGGAGTCGCGCCAAGGTCACCGCAGGAATCCTTTCCAAGTTGTCCAACAGAGTCGTCACTACTACTACTGGCCATCAATTGCGTCTAAAGAGCATAAGGACGGGCATTCCCTTCCTGGTCTGGAACCAATGACGGCACGATCAGCTAGGTACCCAGCCCAAAGTATCTATCTCCTAGATGTTAGGAGAAAGAGGAAGATCCCATAGCCAGGGCATCATCCATCTTGTTCTGGCTCGCTGCCTGCTTGGCGATCCTGTCTCCCCGTGGAACTCGACGATGAGGACGGCTCGTGGAAACTACCTCGATGACAAAAATAATAATAACGCTCTCTAACTTACCATATCAGGTGCGGGCGCACAGTCCGCATCCTCGCGGTTTTCCATCAAACGGATCAGCAGGCAGTGGAGTTCGAGCGGCTTGCACAGGCCCTGGAAATTATTCAAAGCAAGATTTCTCTGCAACCAGGCATAACATCTATTCACAAGACGGTAATTACCACAGATTCTACTTTGCCGCCCGGGTTGCGCGTTCCGCTTCAGTTGACGACATCGCCGTTCTGGTTAAGGCCAGATCGACGGCCGTGCCTGTGCCCCGGTGTCCTTCGTTGCACTAAACTCGGCCTGCGCATCCACTTGGTTTCGCGGACTGTAAGATCAATTACTGCATACGGAATTCCCCTTGGCGCCAGTGTGGACTGGGAGTGCAATCGCAGACTTGCGTCTACTTAGCCCGACGCTGGAAGGCTCCAATTCAGGGCTTCTGAGATTCCAGAAGCGGTTTGGGAACAATACTAAGGATTCACCTGGGACCCTGCTTTGCGACTGGTTCTTGGATCTCACTGGAGGATCGACGTTGTAGGTACTCTAGATCTGTCTATGGTACTCTATAAGATCTCGAATACGACGGCAGCGTAGGAAACAGGGAAATATATCAGATAAAAGCAGCATGGTTCATTCCGCCTTACATCTGATTCTCGCGGTGAATTGTTGATACCACTGAAAGCCCCGCGTAACTATCACGAGATGTCCAGTAACTGAAGTGCTGACGGGATACGTTGACCATCCCTCAGAAGGCCCCTTGGTACTGCCTTTCAGTACGTCTAGTCGAAAACAAGACTAGGATGATTCGTCTAAGTTACTAATGTACCAATCAACTGGGTTCAAATTAGAAGACTATCCCCTCAGCAAACAGTGAGGGACGTTCCTATTTGGGAAGTCGGGCTAAAATTTAGTGCGGCTTGGTAATCACGTGGCCGAGGCACAGACCGCCTAGGCCTTTACCTAAACTTTAGGCGTGCTAGCCCCTATTTTAACTATTCGTTTAAGCGCAATCTTTAACTAATCTAGAACTTACAGCCTAGGAGCCTCTATAACTTATCCCTAAAGCTACCTAGACTTTAAGCCTAATTATAATTCCCTTTAGCACTAATATTAAGCATTACTGCTTAAAGTTTTACGAAGCCCTTTAATAAGTAAGCCTAACATTCTTTAACTAAGTGCCTTAAAGCATACATAGGAAGTTAGGTATACTAAAGCTTATTGCTCAAGGACCCTTTAAGTATGTATAGCCTATAAGCCGTAAATACTCGGTGCCTATTTAACTAATCTAGGGGCGCTTTTCGGGGTGCCTTTAGGCATCCTTGGCAAGCGTTTAAGCGGTTAAAGCCCTAATATAGGGTGCCGAGAATGCGGTGTAGTGCCCTGTAGAATAAGGGGGGAAATTAGCGTAAAACCTTAGGGAGCCTCTTAGCTACTGATTTAGTGGTATCTTAACTAATCTAGAGCCTATCCCTCACTAAACGTTAGGGCCCTTTAACTATAAGATCACGTGGATCATGTGACAGAAACCTGACCCACTACCCGCGCTAACAGAACGTCCCATTTTGTTTGCTGAGGGGATAACTAAATGCCCCCCGGAATGATGTCTCTGCGAGCATCTCGCGAGAGACACGGTAAAGATATTGTATGATGTCGGGTATCATGACCAAAGGAATATATATTGAATCAGCGGACGGTCTGCTTTTGATACAATCACTGGTATAGCAATGTACAGGACGGGATATCATGCGATCGTTCGCATGTTGTCGTCGACTCGCAAATTATATCCAACGAGAACAATATGCCTGCGAGTAGACAAGATTCGCCATTTACAGGAACAAACGCTTTCCCCCCACCCTTTAATCACCCAGAAACAGCACAGAATGCGTGGAAGTTATTTGCGCAAATCGTTAACGATCAAGCTTGACATTGATCATGCGATTGCTGGTCTAGCCAGTCCTCTGTAACTGCGAAATGACTAGGATTGACGGAACCCAGCTGCCCGATATTCCCATTGTTAACGCGCAATACCGCGGGGCTTTTGTGGTATATCGCCTTCTGATGTGAGACACTGAGGTGGAAGAAGTCAGCAATAGCAAATGGTGTGAATTTGGTCCTCGAAGACCTTCCAGGAAAGAGAATAACTATTCGCTAGTCTAGTTAATGTAGTTAGTTATGGATCTTGATGACCAAAAGCGCAGCTTCGGTCGCGAGCTTTACCCAACCAAGACCAAGCCCATGTCCACGCAGGTGATGGATACCTACCTTGTCGCTTCCTCCAAGCTTCTTCTTTCAACTTGAAGTCCAGCCCAAAAACTCGACGTCGACACAACGCTCTTCGTGATCGCAGGGATTCTAATTCCGTCGCCTTGGCCAATCGATCGATAAGAGAAGCTTGTCCCTCCTTCACGACATAGCTTCGTCCTTCCACCCAGACTTCTACTCATAATGGAACAACCACCTCCTCCCACTCTCACGAACCCCCGCTTCACTCTCGAGCTCGAATTCGTACTCTCCCTCGCAAATCCGCACTATCTCTCTCATCTGGCAGTCAATTACCCGAAACTCCTCGGTACCTCGACTGCAGGGGATAATACGAACAACGAAAACGATGCGGACGGGACTGCCTCGCCGGACGCTCAAGCCTTCGCTGCATACCTAGCCTACCTCTACTCCTACTGGAAGACACCGGAATATGCGCAGTTCCTGACTCATCCTGGAGCCACGCTGCGCGCTCTACGACTGCTACAGGAAGAAGCTTTCCGTCGCGATATCATCCGGCCCCAGGTTATCGAGGGACTCTTGGGTATGGGCATTGAAGGAGCTCCAGCTAGCCAAAACGTTGGGACTACAGGCGCAGACCTTGAGCAAGGGAAGGAAGATGCGGAGGCGCAGCCAGAGATCAAGAACGGGATCAAGACGTGAAGGGCTCGGTGCGAAGCAGTTGGGGCTTCTTCCAGCAAGATCCGCACCCAACCCCGATTTTTACGCTGCAAGTGGCTTGACATACACATACATCCGCGGGGAGAGAATCCCAACAGGCGATCTGATATCCTAGGTCGTCCGGGAACAGCGGAGAAATCCCCTCTTTCTGGGCCGGCGCACCTCGATAATCGACGAAGGAACAACATACAGGCGTTTCGGGCCTCAACGAGGACGGCACGTGCGACCGAGGAGATCGGCAGGACGCAATTCATGTGACCCCCCGGGTTTCCGGGTTATGAAGGATAACGGTAGTAATCCTCCAAGCAAAGTGGATGATCAAGGCCCATGTCTTGAGGGAAATAAATATCAATGTCGCCGTGATGTTGGGATAGAATTCAGAAGATATTGATGGGGCCGCGTCAGCCAAAGTACAGCTGGGTACATGGTGCTGATGCAATTACTACGACGGAAAAGGATAATAGTTAGGCAACCTGGCGAATTCATAGATGAACAATCAATGCGATTGTAGATGTCCTTTCTGCCTATTAATTATTAATTAGCATAGAGCTGTAGTACTCTAGGTATATAATAATAAGCATCCCTTTGCCAGACTCGAAAGACGGGCTGGACATCAAATCAGCCTTGGCACGGCGCACGGGGTGAGCAGAAATCGCCCGATCAGGCGCTACCAACGCCGCCGTCTGTCAACTCCGTACCTGGCTGAGGCTTGCGAGATTCTCCTTGTTTTCCTCCGTGTCCTATATGTCATCACCCACCTTTCTCTGAGGAGATCCCGGCTGCGCCTGGAGTCAGGAAAACGGATGGCTCTAGTCTCTCATTCATGAACACTCGGAGATTGTCGCTGCAGACGCAGCACTGCCAACATAGTCTCCACCGCTCTCCCCTCGACGGCATCTAATCTGTGCTCCTCTCCCACTGCATGCTCGAAATCAGATAATAATATCCTAATCACTGTTCTTTGTCTTTTGTTGGAGAATTGCCTGTACGGTTGACAGCATCGTCGAAAGTCGCTCATTCTTCTTTCTTTGTTTTCTTTTTTTTTTTTTTTTCGAACTACCCTTTGCGACCAGCGCTCCAGTGCGGCGCCCGCAGCTCAAATGAATTCCGTACGGCAGTCATGTCGACCGAAACACCAGGTCTTGATCTTGAAGTGTTACCCACGCTATCAGAAGGGCGTTCAAGAAGTAAAACCCAATTCGAGCGAACTTTCCTACCTTCTTTACTATGCCAGTACGCGTCGCAGCAAGCTCCAGAAAGTGGGTGCCTTTCTGGAGAAGAGAACCGCTAGGGACGTCTGGAGAAGCAAGATTGGGTGAGTAGCATTACTTCTTGTCATAGCCGTGGCAGTGACTCGTCTTGCGCAATTCGCTAAGCGTCTAATCAATTGCTCTATAGCAATGTCCAGGTCACCCTCCAGATCCTAACGGCGCTTATCGAAAAGACACCTCGCGACTTGTCACTATATGCACGATCAGTCCTGACGGTCATCGAGACAGTTCTCCGCTCAAATGACATATCAATGGTGGAAGAGACAATCCCGACATTTGACATGTTTTGTCGCCACCAGGATATTGCTACCTTATCAGCGGAACACGAGTACGCGACCCAATATCATAATATCGTTCGTACATATGCGGCCTTTGCATCACCGGATCCTTCGGCGCATACAAAAACGCCGCTGAGCACCCCGCTAGCTATACGTTGGAGAAATGCAGGTCTGCAGGCAATCAAGAGCGTCGTCGGTTCAGAAGCATTGGCTACAGATGGCGGGACGCAGCTGGAGATAGTCGTCCCAGTCATCCTAAGCAATCTGTACTCTGGAGGGGAGGATGTTCTCGTCTCAATTCAAACGAAGGCCGATGACCTCGAAAAGACCGAACGGGAACAGGCGGGCCGCCGGAGGATGAGCTCTGCGACTGTGCAGACTGTGGATACAGCTGATGGCGACCCAGTTACAGCATCAGGGACCGCTGCAGATGCAGACAAAGCAGCCGAGGTTGCGGTGCGCGTTCTTGCCTTGCGATGTCTTGAGCGTATATTTTTATCCGGGAGCAACAAGGGCCAGATACGCATTGCGACAAATCTAGTCTTGCGGTTTATCATGACTACGAACCTTCGGCAGAACTCTCCAAAAGAGGAGGCTGCAGTCAGAGATCTAGACGGCAACTGGGCTACGTCCCTTATCGAACTTATCGCCAAGTGGTGTCCTGTGCAAGACCGCTTTATCATCTTGGTTTCCGCTATGGAGATGCTGGTCGACATGCCAGCGGCAGAAGATAAACTGAATCAGCAACTGACGCTAGCGTCCATGGTCGACTGGCTTCTGAAGTCCCCTGTCAATATGATCGGTCTCTCTGTCATTGATGTACTCCAGGGACTCGTCAAGAGTATCCTGCGTCTACTTCAAGTGCAGACGCCCCCATCATCAGCTGCGCAGAAGGGACGATCAGAGGGCGCTGAAACTGTCGCTGCTACTAGATCGAGTCAAGCTCTGTCTCCTATTAGAGAGGCGTTGCTAACCAAACTGCAAGAATGCATCGGTGATCTTGTGACGCATATATACTACGGAAATCAAGTCTCAGACATGATTCGGGCGATTCTCACACGTCTCAAGCCGTCTTCCACCCTCGGGATGTCCGCTGCTTCCGCTGTGGAAGACCCATCCGAAGCAGTCACGACGATTGCCAACTCTACGGGTTCACAAGAGGATCCGACCACAAACGCGTTCTTCTCGTTCCCGGCTGCCAGGGTAACCGCTCTGAAAGCTGTTAAAAACATCCTAGTCGTCGCGAATGTAAGAAACCCAGCCGCCACAGCTGGTGTCGAATCGCGAAACAAGGTCGGAATAGAGGTCTGGGAGGGTACGGAATGGCTGCTTCGTGATCCTGAAAGTGATGTTCGTAGTGCATATGTGGATGCTGTCGTCACATGGCTTCAGCTGGAGACCAGCAAGCGCGATCTGAGGATCAAAAGCGAACCGAAAAGACTTCCAAGGGTTCGCTCCAGATACGATATGTCTGATAACGCTGACAGGTCTTCGAAGCGAGTTGTGTCAGCAGCGTCGTATCGCGAAAAGGTGCCCACTACCTCGCGGACGAATTTCCTCCAGTTGCTCCATCTTGCAGTGTACGAAAATTCTCTTGACTATGGAACAATGAGAAGCGACATCCTTCTATTGCACCTACTTTTGTCTGGGCTCATCCAGAACCTTGGTGTCAACGCTGTGAGGTTCGGTTTACCCATGATTTTACGGCTCCAGGATGACATGTCGACATCTCAGGCCTTGAATTCTCCGGCCGCCAAAGTCAACGTGGGCAGCCTTGTTTACGGCTACCTGTGGGCCTTGTGCGAATATCTGAACTTCGACTCATCTAAGATCGGTCACGACGTTCACCGAGAAATATCCAAGAGGCAGAAGTTGGGTCTCTGGCTTGATGGAGTCAAGCTTCCTCCGCTTTCACCTGACCATATCTCTCCTGGCACGGCCAATGGAGCAGGTAGCGAATACCCTGAAGTTGCGGGCTCCTTGCTCCCTTTCACGGGTGTCGAAGACCTCGTTCGCCATGTCGAAAACGCCTATAACGAAGCCATTCTGTCTTCTCCGCATAGTCCACCCAGTACGCCTGGACTGTCATCTGGTGCCTCTCCATCACGAGCATCTGCCGCAAAGCGGCCGGATCAAGACCTGCTTGCTTCTGACGTCAAAGAAGAAATGCTTTCGCAATGGTCAAAAGAAGCTTGTCTGGCCAATGTGGAAAAAGAGAGCGCGACTACGCTGTCAATCAGTGGTTCCAAGACGGGAACACTCGGTGGTCGTAGCCATCTCTACACCAATGGTGTAGCAAATATCTCCATCACTGGCACAGGCTCGCACACTTCTGTGCACCATGGTCATACTTCCGCAACATATAGCCCAGAGGCTGCCGGTGGTATAACAGATGAGCGACGTACCAGTTTTCCGGAAGGGCTGCATACGCCCGCCACTGGCTCCAGCAGAGACTCTACACTCCGTGTCAACGATCTGAGGCGCGCTCTATCTGTCACCAGTAATGGCAATGTCCGGCGCTCCAGTCCTTTGCGCGGACGCCTTGATTTGTCTAGCAGCAGTGGTAAGAGCTCCAGCAGCGAGAGCATGGTTAGCGGTACCTTTTCTACTTCAGATATGGGCGAGCGACGTCCTAGCAGACCACAATCTCTGAGAGAAGGAAGCTTCAGGTCTGAGAGGGAGGGAACAGAGACCCCACGAGCTTATGCAACAAACATTGGACATTTGGATCACAGTCGACGGGATAACTCGCTACCTACGAATCGGTATACCTCCGATGGTATTCCACCTGTTCCTCCACTGCCCCCGAACCTGGCTATTCCTGGCGGGTACCCCGATTCCAACCGCCCATCGACGGCTCCATCTTTCGGCACAAGAGCTTCATCCAAAGGTCGCTCTGATACTTCAGCCTCATCCCACCAGCGTCCATCCTTGAATAAGCAGAAGACAAGGTCCAGTACCGGTCTATCATCTGTCGCGGGCAATGCCAACTACGAGAATCATCATCAGGAATCGGGTATTTTGCCCAATGTCGATGATGATTCGGAACTGACTACAAGTGCCGAACAACGCGCTGAAGTTGAGGAGCTGTTGGACATCGTACTTCCTCGTAACGGCCGCAAGGAAGACAGGCAGTACAATGGCAAGCCCCTTGGTCCCGGACCGACTCGTCCCTTGAGCTCCGAGGTCAAATCACCTGTCGCAAACCGTGATAGCGGGAACTACAGCATTAGTCGAGGGACAGTTGGCAGGATAGGACGACCGCCTTATTAATGGATGTGGTTTATATAGCGTGGGACTTGGGATCGGACTAGTGTCCCTATGTTTAGTACATTCGTTTCGTTCATGTTACTCTTTAACAGCATAGATCATTTCAGTCGTTTTGTCTTTTTATTGGTACTCTTCTCATTCATGTTTTTGTCGAGCGTTTGCTGCATCATTTAAGCATGCCGTGCCTTCCCTTGGCGATTTCCTTTTTGCCATTCTGCGCTTTTTCGTTTGTTGAGTCTTCGCCACTGTTTGGCATCCCATTCAATTCTGTCCTGTCCATACCTATTTCGTTGGTTATCTGTCTGGATACTGGCTACGGGAGGCATCAAAATAAGCTGGTCTATAGCTAGGGCTAGTTGTAAGAAAGCTTTTGAGAACTTCTTTAGTCAGGAAAATGCACATTGAGTATTAGATGATGTCTGCTGCTCCTGGATGTTTCAACCATGCAGTCGTCTTTAATAATATATCAACTAGTGCCAACAATCAAGTACGAGAAATCAGTCGTCCAACCATAAGCGTAGATATCTAAAGTACTCCGTAACCCTATCCCTGATCATTAGCCCTGTCGATCACAGAAAGTTGCAGAACGATCTGCAGCCCCCAGGTCGTATCCGCCCCCCTCGCACTCTCAGAGACACCCAAGGAAGTAGAATTATCGTACCATACGTACGTCGTTACACACGACTGGATTCCTGCAAGACATGAAAGCGAGCTTTAGTGTCGAGTATTGTGTCTGATAGGCAATCGATGTTGCGAAAGGTAACTGTCGAAAGTGAATATTAACTAACCTAACTACAGCAGCTACTCCATACACCTGCCCGGTTAACGACCAAGTCAAGCTTTTGCTGGCTATGACTAGTGGCATAAAAGGTGGGACATACTGTCCTACTCCAGAAAAATAATTGATCTATTATTTTGCAGAAATCAATTTTTCCCGTGTCACTATCAACAACCCTGGGATCTAAACGGTAGTAAATACCTATCGCGGCCAGATCGACAACGAAACCTCGAGAGCAACATACGGAATAGTAACCCTTCTACGTATTCCCAGCGACTTTGCTTGTTGGCTGTATGGTAAAGATAACAAAGCGCTGTGGCGTCGATGAAGGCTCTTTCTTGCCTTGGAGGACGGCGAGCTCCGGTTTGCTTTTATTCAGGTAATAGGAATGATATCTGCGAAACCTCTGGAATGGAATTCAGCTTCGAAGTTTAGATAAGATTGTGACCATCCGATTCTCTGCGCTGTGATCATAATCATAATTGTCCATCTAAGTCCTGCAGTCGGAGACTGGCGTCAACGAGTTGTTCCTTCGGAAGCGCCCTATATCAACTATCGGTAATTTCCGCCACCGCAAGGACATACTAACGCAAATCCAGCACTCATCTTCGTTCTATCCCTATCTCATCTTGAACTTGGCTTGGGCTTGGATTGGACGCAAAAAATCAATGATTTTCTTAATCTACGCATGGGAGGTCTTTTTTTTTCTTTTTCATAGTGCGGGAAGCCGACGCGTTGTGCAGTCTAGCTCTAGTAGTCATGATGCACGAGGACGCGATGCAACCGAGGCCCAGTCTCTGTATTCTGACTGATCTAGTCGAACGAACCGTTCCTGAAGGGTCGAGGACTCCATGTGGCTGTCTGGGATATGGAGGAACTGCCGGATTCGTGGGGGGGTATTATCTGTAATACTCTCTGGAAGATACATATCTCCATATCGTCCTGGCTGCAGTGGCGCATGGACTTTCTTTGCAGCTTTTCTGGTTCCATCTTGCGCTAACATCTAATATGCCGTGTAACCCTCCGACGGATGATCTTTGAGTTGTCAATCGACCGTCGAGCTATCTCCCAAAGTGGCTTCTACGGCATCGAGTGAGCACGCGAGCCCTCAAAGAACTAGAGTCTTTCATGAGGCCACTTGCTATGCGTAACTCTGGCCCTATGAGAGTGTTCGGATTGGCCAACATGCTAAGCTCTGAAAGTTTTCGATCTATGCTGGAATGTATAATGATTACTCTGTGCGACAACCTAACGCGATACCCCTGACGGGGTTAACAAGGCTACCATCTTATTCCTTCTTATCTTTGCACGGGGTCTTCCATCGGTCTTCCATACATCCCAAGTCTAGTCAGCTTGGGCTGACAGGCGCACATGGTAACCCCACACAGATGCACAGGGTGGTACTCTATTTGCATGTTCGCACGCCCTTGTGGCTGACTCGACGGATGATAAGGAAACATGCAGATCGTTTATTTCTGAAAACGGCCATTTCCATGTGGGCTCTAGGATATCATTGTGGAACGACTGTCCGTGGCTTGAATGATATAGAGCCAGTCCGGCACTCATTCACCTGCCTCGGATCTTGGGAATCCTGTCTCTTACATTTCCTGTCTTTTCATTAGAGAATTGAGTTCACACCCAGCTGTGGTTTTGTTCATGTCTTAATTTCCAGAGTTGTTACAAGTCCACTATTGCCTACCGTAATCATGGGTCAATGGACTGAACGACTCGATCGTGCCGTGGCCGATAGTGCCTTTGGCCGTCGGTTCAGGTTGGAGAGGTCAGGGCATGTATGTCCATATGCCAACTATTGGCTATCAGTATCATTGATATATGATCCCGGATGTCCATACTCACATACATTCTGCAGAGACGTGAGCGCAAAGGATCGCGTTTCTCGACAGAAATCCGTGCTGGTCTTGCTACCTTCTTCGCAATGGCATATATCATTTCGGTATGTAATAGCAGGCCACATCGTTCCACAATTTCACCAAACATGACGATTAATATACCTCTCTAGGTTAATGCCACAATCTTGACAGACTCAGGGGGCACATGTGTTTGCACAGATACGAAGGACCCGACGTGTGCAACTGACGTCGAATACAATCTTTGTCTGAACGTGATCCGACGAGACCTCATCACGGCAACAGCCGCAATCGCTGCGCTATCTACATTCTCTATGGGAGTCTTTGCCAACATGCCCATAGCTTTGGCACCTGGAAGTATGTCTAACAGAACATGGACTACTTCACGAGCACCCCCAAGATCTAACTTCTCATAGTGGGATTGAATGCTTATTTCGCATACAACGTCGTCGGTTTCCATGGAACCGGACCAGTTCCATACAGATTGGCTTTAACCTCAGTTTTCCTTGAAGGATTCGTTTTCGTTGGACTCTCCATTTTGGGCTTGCGTCAGTGGCTTGCAAGGGCTATTCCACGGTCCATTAAGCTAGCATCAAGCGTTGGAATCGGGTTGTATCTCTGTGCGTATTTGGAATAACAACCCTGATGAGTCCGTTGGCTAACAAATTAAAGCTCTAATCGGCTTGACGTATAGCGCTGGCATTGGCGCCATTACGGGCGACACGAGTACTCCTATCGCTATTGCTGGCTGTAGGCAAAGTGATATGTTAGAAGACGGTACCTGCCCGTCATGGGCCAAAATGCGCAATCCGACTCTGTGGATCGGTATCTTTTGCGGCGGTATCTTGACCTGTATCCTGCTGATGTACAGGATCAAAGGCGCCATCATTGCTGGAATTTTACTCGTTTCCATAATCTCGTGGCCGCGCGATACAAGTATCACTTATTTCCCTCACACCCCCGAAGGAGACAATTCATTCGACTTCTTCAAGAAGGTCGTCACTTTTCATCGGATCGAGAAGACACTTAACGCGCAGAACTTTGACCTTGCCGGCGTCAGCGGACAGCTTGGACTCGCTTTCATCACATTTCTCTACGTCGACATCCTCGACTGCACAGGTACGCTATATTCAATGGCTCGCTTCGCGGGCGCAATCGACCAAGAGACACAAGACTTTGAAGGTTCATCCGTCGCGTATCTTGTGGACGCGTTCAGCATTTCAATCGGTTCTTTGTTCGGCTCATCCCCCGTAACAGCCTTTGTTGAATCTGGAGCTGGCATCTCCGAAGGCGGCATGACAGGTATAACCGCCATGGTAACCGGTCTTTGCTTCTTTATCTCAGTATTCTTCGCGCCCATCTTCGCTTCCATCCCTCCCTGGGCCACCGGTTGCACATTAGTCCTCGTCGGCTCCATGATGACGAAAGCGGCCCCGGAGATCAACTGGTTATACCTCGGTGATGCCGTTCCTGCATTTGTGACATTGGCCGTAATGCCGTTCACTTATTCCATAGCATATGGTCTCATCTCCGGCATCGTCACGTATGTGATCCTTAATACGTTCACTTGGCTCGTTGATAAAGTCTCAGGCGGTCGCATCACCCCTGCCAACAGACATCTGAAAGATCCATGGACATACAAGATCCCCGGTGGCATACTTCCAGCTTGGATTGTGCGCCTCGCTCGCGGGTCAGTGCTCTTTGATACTGCGTTTTCGTGGTTGTTTTTAGATCGCAAATACTGATTTTATGCGCCCATTTTATAGGAAGAAGGATTTCTGGCGCGAGGAACCGAAAGAAAGTAGAATTACATCGTCTGTTTACACGCTATCTTTTCGGGGTGCAGCGCCAGGAACGGTCGTCGCGTTGGATACTGTTGTGGATAAGTAGATGGCTTCTGGCGACTTAAATGTCAACGCAGAAGACCTTATAACGAGGGGGTCTAAGTTTATTCCCAACTCGCAGAGGTATAATGGATAAACTACTTGATATTGGTTAGTTAGCTACAATATTGGTAAGAGTACGACTTGACGCAGATATACATATAGAGATTTCTATTCAGTCTTCTTACTGCTAGCAATGCAATGTTATCATACAATCTGGTATCAGAGCAAAACTATTTCGAGACAATTTGGTCGACATCAATGTTGGGCCGCATGTTCTGAATCCCAACAATACGTCCACGACAAGGAGTTGACGGCTTGTCCTCAGCAAACAAAGTATCATACAATCTGGTAATAGAGCGAAACTGCTTCAAGACAATTTGGAGACATCAATATTGGGCGGCATATTCTCAATCCCAACAATACGTCCAGAGCTAGCTTCGCGATGCTGAACAGGAGGGCTTGACGGCTTGTGCTCGGCAAGGAAAGTAACCCCAGGTAGACCCTGGATGCGAAGGAAAGCGGTATAAGGAGCCTCAAAAATAAACAACATCGAGTTCGTTTCCTTCACGTATTCGAGTTTTAACGTACAGTCTCCTTCGAGATTGGCGATCCATGCTGATAGTTGTTCTAACTGTTGTGCATCGTACGTGTAAGAAACGTGGATGGAAAAGGTGGCCGCAAGGTGTGCAACCGGTTGATTGATAAGTCCCATAATAGAATTCGACATTGCAGCCGAGTTCGGATTGAGAGGCAGTTTAATGGACCCGACTCCTAGCAAAGACGCGTGACACGGCTTTTTTAGCGGAGAAATACGTCGAAGTTCACTAATGACATCCGTAAACTCGACATATTGGTGGCACATCTGCGCTCTCTGGCGGATCTCGATGAACAATTTGGATGTCAGCGATGCTTTCACTGTGGACTCAAAGGCAATTGGATCTCTTTCGTCACCCGCGGTAATGATTTCGACAAGCCGGGCTCCGGGTTTCATCGTTCGGCTCGCTAAAAAGCTCCAACAGCAGTCAAAAATGACAAGGATATCAACGTCCACCTGGTCATCATACGTTTGAAATGCTTGCAAGACTGCAGATGCTTTCATAACTTTCCCCGATGAATTGGTGAGGAGTAGTTCGTCACCACCAGCACTGGCCGCTCCGTGTCCCGCGTAGTGGACTACGACGACACTTCTTCCTTGTGCTTTCCACGCGGGCATCGTAAGCTTTTCATTGAGTTCCTGGGTCAAAAACCACCCAGGTTGTGCCTGACGTGAGCCAATGACTAATTCGTGTGGCTCTGGAAATCCGAGTATGTCCATCATTGACTTGAAACTTTGAAAGTCACGCTCCGCCCCAGTATTATCATCGGACCAACGGAAATGAAACGAGTAGCAATTCTGATAGACCGTCTCCCGTCTCTTGATGGCAGCCTGGAGGACGGTTTCGAGTTCACCTCTCGAGAGAGACATTTTGTTGGGTTGATGGTACAAGATAACAAAGATCAATATAGGTATTCAGTGTCTTTGCCGTTCGATCAAGAGCTGTACTCAATAAAGGTCCAGGATACGACAGATACCCTTTGAGAGGATAAAAACGACAGGATTATCTTGAAAGGAGTTGGGGAAAGAAAGCAATCATGCAAGGTTGGATCGAGTTTGAGTGTCCTAGGTTGAAGGGCCCGATGGAAGGAGCGACTATATACTTGACAGGGTGGTAGCCTAGTGGGCACCTGCCTATAATTTGTATACCTCGGTTCCATAAGGGTTCCTGATCCGCCTTCGATTACGGCACGGCAGGGTTAAATTTCCTGGTTACATGCTGATATCGTGTACGGTATTTTAGGTAGCAAAGTCTCTTCCGTGAATTTAGGCTCATCATTCTGGACGAGTTGTGCGGAAGTGATATTATCTGAGTATCTTTCTGTCGGGTGGCTGGAATACATACTAGACTCCTGAGATCGTCAAGCGGAAAGAAGTAGAATATGACTCTGATGTAAGGCGCACTCCATATTGCTGTACTCCTACCTAAAATAGCGGTAGACTTTAAGAGTGATAATATAATGCAGATAGTTCTGCATTAAGGAGTATATAAAACACGCATCAGGGACTTGTGCATTTTGCCAACGTATATTGCTATTGAAGCTGACACCGGTCCTATGCCCTACCATAATTCCCACAGTCAATGTCAGCTACGGTATATGTGAGAATACAATCTACTCAAGTCCAAAGTAAATCATTGAAAGCATTATTTCATAATTGTCTAAGCTTCTACAAAGGAAGTGCAAAGTCTTTATATGGCGATTATTACGTGATAGATATAACCCACTTCTCCTTGATTCTACCGTCTGTCTCCGCCTATTTCTTACCAGCCTGCTGAGTAGCCTTAGTGACCTCTCCAAACGGACGGATTTCCGCACAAATTGATTATTTTTGAACACGAATTGCAGGTTTTATAAGGAAAACACTAACCTTCATCTACTCAATATACCAAGGGAAGAGCCAGGTGAGCTTTTCCCTAGCATCGGCACTCCAATGATGAGGAGGGGTGCTAATAGCAAACTTCATAGAGCCAGCCAGATGCTTAGCCTGCACAAGTTCAGTATGCTCTTTTTTAGCAAGTTCATCAAGAACAGCAGTGATAAAGTGCTTTGCATTAAGCGCGTTGGCTTTCATATTACCCATGACCATCTCAACGGTAACATCCTCAGTCGACTCGTACCAGCAGTCATAGTCCGTTGACATACAGATCATTTGGTATGCGATTTCGGCTTCACGGGCAAGTTTAGCCTCTGGAAGAGCGGACATGTTAATAATGCTACCACCCCAAGAGCGATATAGGTTGCTTTCAGCGCGCGTAGAGAACTGAGGGCCCTCCATGCAAATCAACGTGCCACGGTCATGCAGCACAACACCCTCTCCCTCTAAGCTGTGTCCGCAAGCTCGAACAACCTTGGCAATGCCCTCATCGAATGGTTCACCGAAGGGGACGTGAGCAACAGCACCTCCTTCGAAGAAGGTGAATGGCCTGATACCCCTGGTTCTATCAATAATCTGGTCTGGGACCACAAAGTCGCGAGGCTTAATATACTCCTGTAAGCTTCCCACAGCAGAGAAAGCAATAATAGTCCGGACGCCGATAGATCGAAGAGCAGCGATATTAGCACGAGCAGGCATCTCGTGAGGGGTGATCTGATGGTGAAGACCATGACGGCTCAAAAAGGCGATAGCGATAGACACATCCTTGCCGTCAGTCGAGCACTTGTGGTGAAGGATAATGATAGGAGCGGAGGGCTTGCCCCAGGGAGTCAAAATATCTAGGGTCGCAACCTGCGTGAAACCCGGGAGTTCTCTGAGTCCAGTACCGCCGATGACGGCGATTCTGACAGGCTCTTTGTATTCCTTGGGGATGGCGACCATCTTTCTTGCCTGTTCGAGTGGTATCTCGTTGAGTGGTGGATCGAAGCCTGTGCCGTGATGGTCCAAGATAATAAGGATTAGTATGGATATTCAGTGTTTTGTTGTGGTATAAGGTTACCTTAATGGGCGTTTGAGGAGAAAGAAATGATGGGGCTTGAATCGAGTTTGAGGGGTCGCAGACAATAAGTGTCCGAGGTTGAAGGCCTGATGGAGGGAACAACTTGTAGTTGAGAGGATGGTAGCCTTGTAGGCACCTGGCCGTGACATGTAGACCTTTGATCTCGGTTCCCTAAGGGGTCCCGATCCGCGTTTGTTCATGGCACGGTACTTTCAAGTTTCATGGTCTATCCTCAGGGAAAAGGCACAGTATGATTCACATTCTGATATCGGTTCCTAGGTAACAATGTCTCTGCCGTGGATTTCTGATAAAGAAAAGGACCCTTGGTTTCAGCATTAAAACAGTCAGGCTGATGCTGCAGTCTGCTGAAGGCATCTCAGTTCGTCATACCTTGATCTCGACGTATCATCTCCTCGATAATATCATCAAGGATCTGATGGGGTATCGAAAGACGTAAACGAGTATATGCACTGAAGCGCCAGGTGCCCTTCTGCGAAACCACCTCGGATTCGCAACGAAGCGTCACTCCTGCTGAGAGTATGCGAGATAAAACAAAATTTATAAAGGGTAGACAAGCTGTAACGCTGAAACTCGCAGAACGTCACTCTCATGTGCATTTGGTAGAGGATCAAAGGTGTTACTCGATCTTTTCGTGAAGCTAATGAGCTCAAATCGCGCCTGGTTCGAGTTAGATCCCGTCAGCACGGAGAGTAATCCTCTTCTATTGTATAGGGAGAGTCTGAAAGCTTATCATCGTTGGAATGTTAAGTTACTATTCGACCTGGTCACCTCACTCACTCACGCTGCAGTAAGTAGGCACAAGACTACCTAGGTATCTAACTGAGGTATATTCTCGACGTAACTATCTAAAGCTTTATATACACATGTAATAATGTCGAAAAGAACGTTACGCGTTCTTTTCAATCCTTTTGACGGTCGAGTAGTGGGTAAGAGATGTAGAGGAGATGAGAAGTGAGGGACTGATCTTTCTTGGGATTGCCATGGGTGTACTCTGTATAGCGGTCAACGAGATCTTTAGAGTCCTCACACGTCAACCAGCGTTGGTTTGTCGATGGTCCTTCTAATCAGTCCCGCTTTACCGGGGAACTGAGACGCGTAGACGAGTTTCAGGATCATAACGGCGGATGCCCTTGACCTTAAAGATCTCCACAAGAGTCTGCACATGGCCCTCGTAGAGAGGGCAATTTGCCTCGATACCCAATCCCCAGTGGGGGTCAAGCGGCGCCACATCCATAATGGCCGTGAATCTGAAGCATTCACGGGCCTGCGCTTCAAGCTGAGATGTCTTCTGGCTGGCAACGGCGGGGGACTTTTCGTTCGCACGACGCCTTTTGGACCCCAGGGCTGGCTCGTCATTATTCTCGATATCATCGAACCAGGAGGGATATGCAAGGGCTCGATATTTGTCTCTGGATTTGCGACCGCTGATCTACTATACCGCCTGATTGGTAGTATTTCGATCACAGAGGCGATACCCTGGATCTTTGCTTGTCCCTCTGCCACCTCGATCAATCCGTCGAAGCACGGCGGCATTAAGCCATTGTTGGGAGTTGTGATGGTTCTGGTACCTTGTTCGCCAGACGGCCTAACGCACGAAACCATCCTTAAACTTGAATTTGGTTCATTAAACGTTTTTAGTAGACGCATCTATGAAGGTTATATTGAAAACTTATAATATGGTAAGGTGATACGCTTACCTTCTCCATATTTGACGGCTTTCGTGGTCGATCCTTCTCTTGGATAATCTATTGTATAGAAGTCGCTGAGCCAACATAGATATGGGTACGTGATACTTCGCTGATCGGCCAGATCAGATGAGCATATACACCGGCATCAGTAGTGTCTATCCAATCAACGCCTTTCAACTCATCAAACGTAAGAGGGGTTCCATCGGTATCGAGAAGACATTTTATATGATCCGGAGTGTGTGTATTGAAATAAAGTAGGAGGTACTCATCGTCCCAGACTTGTAGGGTGATGTTCCATTCCTCTGTCATTGCCAGCCTCCTGAGGGCGATGAGGGTTTGCAAGACTCGGGCTTGGAAGTTTTCATATATATGGACAGCTATTCTGATGAAAAACCAATATGTCAAGGTACTAACGAAGGGCTATCGATGAGTACAACTTCCGAAATGCCGTTGTAGGCGCGTCTGAATTTTGCCTGGCCGCCCTTCCACCGCAAGCACGGCACGGGCGGATTTCAGAAGCTATAGACTCAAAACAAACCACAGGAACGACACCATATCTTCCCGACTCCGAGTATTTTCCTCACTTCGTTTTGCACCGTCTTCACGGTCTGTAGGTCGTGGAAGAGGGTTGTACATATACTGCCAGAAGTTATTGTATGCATCGGACTCTGAAGACCGGCGAAATGGTACAAGATAACGAGAGCTGTCAAAATTATTCAGGTTTGGAAGCTGACTGGGCTCGTGGATGAGGAATATCTCGTGCCATCGTGGAGTCTCGCGTAACCTCGTCAGAGCATTAATCTGACGTCTCAGCTGTGCCTCGTTCTCCTCAAACGTTAAAGCTGTATTCATGAAATGAAGTAATTCGTTTGGCCTTGACACTTGCTTCCGATTACTTCCATGACCTTGATGGAAGGAATAATTCTTCGACTCTGCCTTGTTGATCCTGACTACGGCATAGACAGTCGAATCATCATAGATCACGAATGCGATCTGGATCAGTTTATCCATAAGCCGTTTGAAATGGATGTTGTTTACACGCCAGTCCAAATCCGCAAGCGCGTAAGCTAGCTTGAGGCTGCCCTCATGCACTATACGGATCTCATGCAGCTGCTCTGCATTCCAAGCCTTTAAATTGAGTATTGCGACAAATGCGACCACATGCGACAAGAATTGGAAGCTCTGCAATTAATTGCTGTGGGTTTTTGGCATTTTGAATTCCGGATTGAACCAGAAAAGAACGTGTATGAGGAGGTTTTTCACAATAGGCCCAAGTATTGTCTCGAACTCTTTATGCACCTATTAAGAATCCAAATCATAAAAGGCGTTTATTGTCGGAAGCAGACTGGGTTCGTGGTTCAAGAAGGCCAAATGCCAGTTTCGATTATCGCGTAATTTTCAGATTACGTCGATTTGTCTCCTCAAGGGCACTTTATTTTCCTCGAATTCGAGAGATAAAACGATAAATTTGAGAGGTTTGTTAGGAGTTGTCACAAAGTCCTCGAAACGTAGCGATTATTTCCCGTATATGACGATATGGATATCATCTTTGTGGATATCTGCGTGGTCGGGGATTGCAAAGCCATTATAGAAGATCTGGGAAATATGCTCATCTGGCATGAATACAATTTCAACTCGAGTACTGTCAGAGATGATAAGATTTGAATCTTTAAGGAAGTTCCCTGCGTTTTCAACCTCGTCCGGTCTGAGTGGCACCCGGACATGTATCTACCTCTTTTCCTGTGAATAGGAGGAGGTGACCATGAACAGGAAAATCCAAGAACGTAAGTTCTTCAGGGATTCGCCGAGGACTTGCCATGGACCCGCTCATGGTTTCCCTGCAAGTGTTCGGTAAGGGTCCTTCGCGCGTCATCTAGGCGCTTGACACGGTCGACTGCGTTTTCTGCTTCTCCCATTTGCGTGTCTTCGGCGACATCGAGGCGCGATTCGGGGATAAAGCCCATGAGTGCTTCCGCTGGTGCGATTCCGGTTGCGCTATGTCGGGATTTATTGTAGACCAGTTGCGCCACTGGCAATAGGCTGGCCCAGTTATCCTGCTCGAAGTTAGTATATGCTCGCAAGTAGTGCTCAAGTACCTGGTTTTGGTGCTCCGTCTGTCCATCGGTCTGCGGGTGGAAAGCGGTTGATAGACCGCGTTTTGCCCCTATGCGAGGCGGAGTGTCTCCCAGTACTTGCTCTTTTCGATAAAGCAGACAAACTTACATTAAGTGTCGGGGTGTGGCCATCCTGTGCCGTCTCCTGCAACTCTACCTTTAGTTGTACGGTGTCCCCCTGGTCTTCACAATGAAGTGCCTCGTGTTACAAATTGGGAAGTCAATATAAAAAGCGTCATTTTAAGTAGGGACGACGAGATGCATGAGCATATAGAGATCGCGATAAGGGACTGTTCAAACCAGAAAAAGAAGAGAGTATACGGCCCGAAGTCTTATCAAGAACAATCGAAAACATCTGGTACATATATACATTGAATAACTCAAAATATCTGGTACATATATACATTGAATAACTCAAGATAAGTAGTCAACAAAGGGGGGTTCATAAATGTATGTATATGTATATCTGATGAGAAAAAAATCGGAGGGCCAGAGAGGAAGATGGCTGTATTTATGTCCGAGAGATCTGGTCTCGAAGCGGGGTTTCAGCAATTCCTTCGCACTTACAGTCCGCGAATATAGGATTCATCAAATTGGCACCTCAATTGTCGGATCTCCCCTTTCCTCGGACGTCTCTATGAGGGGAATGCTGCGGGGTTGAGATGTGAATTTCCTTCTTTCGTGCATTCCTATCAGCCCTCACGGCTTCTGTGAAGACGAGCTGCAAACCTGCTGCAATCCGCTGCTCCTATCCTATACAAACCGGGTAGCAGCTGCAACGGGGAGCTACCTGGATCCACCTGTATGGGATCAAAGAAGACGGAGCTAGAACCGTAGAACAGTTTAGTTGGAGATTCAGTTCGGCTCCTGGCAGCTGCAATATTAGGATAGAGTCAGGGAACAGAGATAGCTGATAGGTTTCGGCGACCTCCAGCTCTCTGAGCAATTAAGAAATTATTCCCGTACAAGTGCTCCTCCAGAACCTTTGCTCCGTGATCCTAGATTTCCGCAGTTCCTCTATGACTTGCCCTGCCCTTGCAATACCGGCGGACCTCTCCATATTCTCTCGTCCTGGGAATGCTCTTATTCCCCTTAGCAAACTCGTCGGACATCCCACACATCGCATCATCTTCACTGGTTGTACAATGCAATTACTAACCCATTTCCATTCCCTTTTCGGGAATGCGCGTCAGTATCCCAGACATGTAGGGTAACTGCATTTCCCTCTCACCAAGAGCAAGGGAATGGCATGTGGAATACGTAGCACCCTCGTGCGTAACTGCCCGTCACTCTTCCGAATGATAGCCCTCCAGCCAGTAGGTTTCCAGCGGACCTCTCAGGATGAGAACAATGTCAGCTTGTCGTGCGTATATTTTACTGTTGTCCTAGAGTATTTGATATTTTATAGTCTTGGATTGAACGGCGTACATATACTGTCTATGAGATTCCTTACGTTACGCGAACTCACTACGGATATATATATTCCTAGACAGAGCTAGAGCGTGACTAGACTTCGCATCAGGCGAGCCGGTCGGTATGCATCAGATAGCGCGATTCTTATTTGCAGTCGAATGAGCATGTACTGTAGATGAAGTTACGCGCTAAATCCTTGGACGAAGCATCGACAGTACTTAGGTTCATTCATCTCCAGACGGCCAAAAAAAAGAGCGACAAGAATAGGAATGAAGAGCAAAAAAAGAAATCGCTTTGCATCATCCGTGAATCGAACACGGGCCTCGTCGATGGCAACGACGAATTCTACCACTAGACCAATGATGCTTGCTTGTTAGTGTGGTGGAGAAATTTGAATAATATCGAAGGCGAATGTGGGGTGGATAGTTGCTATCTCAACTGATAAACTTTGACGTCGCCAGGCAAGGTTAGAGTGCTTGCCAAGCGTCGCGCGTCTAACGCGTCGGGCGCGAACACGGACCATACTCAACTGCGCTTGAACAATATCGCAAGAGGCTATCAACTGTTAGTATCTTGGATTTGTTCTGTAACGGTACCAAAAGCTACGTGGTAGCATCAAATCGGCAACATGCCTCTTGTACGGAAACGGCGCGCAGTATGTTTCATCCTCATCGTTCCCGACTCCCTGCGCTCCTATGCACGGACGTATGTACATTAAAATGAAGTCGCATACTTATCAAGAGCGAATTACAGCAGCCAGAACCAGAAGCGAGCGAAGATGAAGCGTCTTCATCTTCTGAAGTGGGAGAACAGACACAGCATGATTCTCGACGCCAGCGACGACGAACTGACGATGTACAACCGGACGACTCTGGCGACTCCGAATCGTCCGGCAATGAGGTGGAGGCGCCTACTATGGTTGACGTGATGGTCAAGAAGATGGTGCGCCTGGCGCTGGCGAGCGAGTATTCACGACAACCGATCCGGCGCACCGATATTAGCGCGAAAGTTTTGGGAGAGCAAGGATCGCGACGGTTCAAGGCAGTTTTCGATGAGGCTCAGACAGTTCTAAGGAAGAGGTTTGGTATGGAGATGGTCGAATTACCAGGCAAGGAAAAGGTTACAATTAGCCAACGAAGAGGTGGGTTCTGGTATTTTCTCTTCTGTTCCTGGTGATAATGCAGGATTCGTGTTTTTTACTCCCTTCTCAACCTGCCCTGAACAACAAGCATGCTTTCCGAAAAGAAGTGCTTTATATGATTGATTAACTTATATCTATGCAGCTGCACAACGTGTCGAGAAGCAATCATCCGCTACGAAATCGTGGATACTAACAAGTACCCTTCCTCCCGCCTACCGAACTCCGACCATAATTCCACCGACGAAAGCCCCGTCATCATGGACCGAAAGTACCTACACTGCCCTTTACACCTTCATAATCTCCGTCATCAGCCTTAATGGAGGCTCTCTTCCGGAGCAAAAGCTCGATCGCTACCTGAGGCGTACCAATGCTGAAGCATACACACCGATCGACCGCACGGAACGGTTGTTGCAGCGGCTTTGCAAGGATGGGTATCTGGTTCGCAATCGAGAAATGGATGGTGGAGAGGAAGTGATTGAGTACATGGTTGGTCCTAGAGGAAAAATCGAAGTCGGGGAAAATGGTGTTGCTGGACTAGTCAGGGAGGTCTACGGGCGCCCGGACCCTGCTATGCTGAATGGCAATACGGCGAGTGCAGAAGACAAGGAGGAGATGGAAGAATTCGAAAGCAGACTCCGGAGGAGTCTTGGATTAGGAAAGCAGAAGCCAGAGAATAATTCTGGCGACCAGGCTGCAGAGACTCAAGCGAGAGGCCAAGGGGCGAGGCGTACTCGGAGACGCACCGGAGACGAAGAACCCGAAGAAGATGAGGAGGATAGTGATGTTTGAAATACCTCATCTCGATGTTGGAAATCTGGCGGTTGTCCGTTGCACTACGATATGATACCTTATATGATATCCCTTGTGAGCATGTTAGATCTGTACTGGTCCATTGTATAATACTTGATTTTTCTCTTGCAGTAATACGGACTTTGGACTAAGAGATGACGGCTGTGGAAATCGTTTGTCATGGATATTTGGGCAATTTTTTTTTTTTTTTTTTTGTTTTTCCTGGGACCACTCTATTCCAGCGTAGCTGTCATTGACAGTCGCACGTGGCTATCACCAGATCATTCAGGCAAGACGTAGATCGTCTAAGCAACCCGGATCGGGTCTACTGAGTTACTCTATAGTGAACAGACCAAGGAAATAGAAAGACAAAGGAGAAAAGAAACCAGGGACAAGGGCTATGAGCTTCATCTCTGTCGCCAGGTACTAAGTGACGCCATATTTGGGACAAGTTTGTCCGATGTAAAGTGAAATGGACAGCGAGGGAACTGATCGACCAGCTGCGAGATACTCAAGTTAACTCACAATCTTGATCGCGTCCTCAAACCGAAAACCATGCTTGACCTCAACACCAGTGTTGTAGTCCGTAAGATAGAAAAAGGACAGATACTGTTAGACTGTCGGCGGAAGATCGCCAAGATATCCACGGATCTGCCCTGTCCGACAGATGACCTAGGTCAGTTGTTCAGTATGACTTATCAGTCGCTGTCACTCGCACTGCCTTCATCGCCATCTTCATCGGCTTCTCTGACACCTTCATTGAGAATGTATTCGGCCTTCTGCAGCGCTAGCTTGATTTCGTCGTTGTCATAGACTAGGTCGATAGCCTTCTGACCGTGCTTATTCTTGACGCGGGGGTCGCATCCAGCCTCACACATCATCTCGATCATTTCAAGACCGAGCTTTGAATCCTTTTCGTTGGCAAAGCGAACAGCAGTGTGAAGGGGGGCTTCCTTATCGACACGCGTGAGAGGGTCGCATTCGAAATACTGGATATCGAAGAGGGCGTCCATGACATCGTCTATAATAATTATAGTCAGGAGTTTGTTCTCATCTCCCCAAGTTCAGCAAAGATTGGCGGACTCACAGCTTCCATACATGGCGCATATGTGGAGCGCATAGTTACCGAGAGCATCGGTGACGGAGTTGAAGAACTCGGCGATCTCTTCGTTCGACTTGTTTTCCATGCCATGAATAACCTGCTCGATCAGATGAGGCTGGTCACGGCGGCACGCCTCGACGACCAGCTCGCGAGGAGATGCACCCTGTTCGAATAGTCAGTATCTTAGTGCTGCCTAATAATGGCTTATAAACCCGACCGCCGCTCACCTCGTCGTCCGCCATTCTTGCTCTAGACCACGACAAAAATTGGCCTATATGAAAACAGGACCGTAGAAAGCGTACGCAGACGCGTAGATATCTTGCAGAAGGCCGATAAGTAGTTCTCTACACGATTGCGCTCGTATGCGGGGCAGGGATCGGAAGTAGCGGGGTGACGAGAGATGAGGACAGGGGAGCGCGTCACTGTGGGTTTAAATATTTCAAAAAGAGGCTAGAGTATATATGTACATATAAGCGAAATAACCAACTATAGCAATCTCGAAAAGCTGTCAGGTGGACTGGCAATTCCACCTGGACAGACTGTTGTTTTCTAAATGCTTTCTACAATCTACAAGATGGTTGACTATCCTGACTCCCTAAACATCGATAGCCGCTCGGAGTTGTAGATTATCCGTGCCGATATTTCTGCTTCCGATGCCCCACGTCGTACGCGCTGCCGGCGGTTGCCGCGCGGTTAGACAGTATTTCCCGCCCACTGATGATGCTGCACGATAAGAGCCCTATCAAAAGCTTTCTCGTGCACCAGGCTTGAAGCTGGCTAGGATGCTGAAGAAAGGTGTCATGAATATCTATCGTTCTTGACCAGTGCTGGATCATGTATTTATATTATATATCTTCAGACCTGACCTCTTCTTAATCTGAATCAATCCTCCAAGATGCCCTTGACCTGTGAGTCTTCTCCGTCTGAATGCTCGTCATTCCGCCACCTTAAAAATGAGTCTCTTGATGCTGATAGAGTCGATTACTGCTCTAGTTTGTCCCAACTGCAGCAACGTGCTGACTATCTCCCGCGCTGAGCCCTCCTCGCAATATCCTCTTGGCGTCAACCGTTTCGAATGCCGTACATGCCCTTACCAATATGTCCTGGATGTCGAATACTTCGAAAAGACAGACATGAAGCAGAAAGAGGTAGAGGATGTCTTTGGCGGCAAGGAGGAGTTTAAGAATGCGGATACGGTAGCAAGTGAGTTCCTCTGGGGTATCTACGCTGCTGGCATGAATCAGAAAGGCTAATGCAGCTGTCTTCTCACAGCCCAGTGTCCCGCGGAAGGGTGCAATGGAGAGCGGGCATACTTCTTCCAGCTCCAGATTCGTAGTGCCGATGAGCCTATGACCACATTCCTCAAGGTGCGCATTGTCTCTTACAGCTCTTGCTTGTTCTCTACTGATCTTAGGATGCCAGTGTACCTCATGCGGCACTCGATGGAGAGAAAACTGATCCGATATGATGGTACTCGTGCTTTTTTTTTTGGTGTTTCTTTGGATAAGAGTGAAACAGAACCTGATAGTGGGCTAGATGGATTAAGTGAGAGAGATCGTCTCGGCATGTCTACAATAGTAATGATAGATGATACCCCGCACTGTGAAACAGAAAGTAAAAATTTTTTGAAACCTGCGAAGCGGGATCCTACGGTGGCTAGGTGGAATCTTGGAATCCTTGTTTTTTTTTTTTTTTTCTTTTCTTTTATTGGGACCACAGCTACGTATCGTATTGACATCAAAGGAAAATTGTACAATTATTATTCCCCAATATACCTGCAGCCACCCGGTATCTGGATCTAGATCTTGAACTGTAACCTTGTCCTTTCCCGAAGACGGGATGTGGCAACAAAGAAAGAAAAATTCTTCGTCGAGGCTCCCACGGCGCCAATTCCAAAATAAAAGGAAGCTTGATGGATATGTCAATCACAGCCCCGCATCAAGCTCTTTTTGGCGACCGCGCCACTTGTTCGCTGGCGACGGATGGCAAATGGGAGGAGGGGCATCTGGTAAAAGCATGCAAACATGAGGGATAGCGCTTGCATCCAGGCCAGCGCAGCGGTGTGGGCTGCTGGCGTTGATGCCCAGTACACTGCATCGGGACCCGTTATTTGAGGGGAGGTTGATGGGCAGGAGAGTCAAGGAGAGTCCAAGGAGAGTCAGAAGAGTGGGGTCCGCAGCGAAAACTTCTACCAGGGTTCGCCGCTGGCTGGGCAGGCAGTCTTTTCTTGCCGCCAAAACAGCTGAGCTCTTTGGTCGAGTCCGCCAGCCGACAGTTACTACTAAGTGAAGATTCTGCGCTGGTGCCGCACAACCAGGGTGGGGCATCGTCCCCTCCACGGCCAATGGCACGCACGGCTGCGGGAGGGCTTGAGCCCGCCTGCTTAGTCGCCCTCTCGCTTGCCCCTCCATATAAGGATTTCCCCTCCTCCCCTCCCACAAGATTTTTTCCTTCTTTCTCCCCCTCGTCTGCTTCAGTACGTATAACTCCCCTCCCGTCCAGCTTCGCGCTTCCTCTTCCTTTCTTCTCACTAACCATCTGTCTCAGCACCTCTACGCATTCGGCCGTAGTATCTGAGCGCCCTCCGGAATCCTTCTAGTATCTTACAAAGACACTACAAGAATTCACATCTCACAACACCGCCGCCATGGGGTAAGCAGGACCTCGATTCCATCAAAAAAATCCATCGAGGATGGGCTTCATTCGGACTCGATAGCTAACTGATCTGTCTTACAGTAAGGAAGAGAAGTCCCACATCAACATCGTCGTCATTGGACACGTCGACTCCGGCAAGTCCACTACGACCGGTAAGACACCTCGATCCTGCTGCCTCGACGATTCCTACGATACTCATAAATTATACAGGTCACTTGATCTACAAGTGCGGTGGTATTGACCAGCGTACCATTGAGAAGTTCGAGAAGGTATGATTCTACTCGCACAAAAATTCTGATTTTTTTTTTCACTACCCCTCTTGTGGTGGGGGAGGGGTTGCGATCGGCGGTTTCAGGTGCACTAGCACCAACGGAGTCACCGCCTTCGACCTCTCTTTTGCTACCGGAGAGGTTAATCACCTCAGGTTTCCTTTCGCTGAAGCTAACTATCCCTATAGGAAGCCAACGAACTCGGAAAGGGTTCCTTCAAGTACGCCTGGGTTCTTGACAAGCTCAAGGCCGAGCGTGAGCGTGGTATCACCATCGACATTGCCCTCTGGAAGTTCCAGACCAGCAAGTATGAGGTCACCGTCATTGGTAAGTCGACTCGTCTACGTATGACTACTTGAACAGGACATTGCTAATCTTCACTCACAGACGCCCCCGGTCACCGTGACTTCATCAAGAACATGATCACTGGTACCTCCCAGGCTGACTGCGCTATCCTCATCATTGCCTCCGGTACTGGTGAGTTCGAGGCTGGTATCTCCAAGGATGGCCAGACTCGTGAGCACGCTCTGCTCGCCTTCACCCTTGGTGTCCGCCAGCTCATTGTTGCCCTCAACAAGATGGACACTGCCAAGTGGTCCCAGGACCGTTACAACGAGATTGTCAAGGAGACCTCCAACTTCATCAAGAAGGTCGGATACAACCCCAAGAGTGTCCCCTTCGTCCCCATCTCCGGTTTCCACGGTGACAACATGCTTGAGCCCTCCGCCAACTGCCCCTGGTACAAGGGTTGGGAGAAGGAGACCAAGGCCGGCAAGGTCACTGGTAAGACCCTCCTCGAGGCCATTGACGCCATCGAGCCCCCGGTCCGTCCCTCCAACAAGCCCCTCCGTCTTCCTCTCCAGGATGTCTACAAGATCTCCGGTATTGGAACAGTGCCCGTCGGCCGTGTCGAGACCGGTATCATCGCTCCCGGCATGGTCGTCACCTTCGCTCCTTCCAACGTCACCACTGAAGTCAAGTCCGTTGAGATGCACCACCAGCAGCTCAAGGAGGGTGTTCCCGGTGACAACGTTGGTTTCAACGTGAAGAACGTCTCCGTCAAGGAGGTTCGCCGTGGTAACGTCGCGGGTGACTCCAAGAACGACCCCCCCATGGCCGCCGCCTCTTTCAACGCTCAGGTCATCGTCCTGAACCACCCTGGTCAGATCTCGGCCGGTTACGCTCCCGTCCTTGACTGCCACACTGCCCACATTGCTTGCAAGTTCTCCGAGCTCCTCGAGAAGATCGACCGCCGTACCGGAAAGTCCACTGAGGACCACCCCAAGTTCATCAAGTCCGGTGACGCTGCCATCGTCAAGATGGTTCCCTCCAAGCCCATGTGTGTCGAGTCCTTCACCGACTACCCTCCTCTCGGTCGTTTCGCCGTCCGTGACATGCGTCAGACAGTCGCCGTTGGAGTAGTGAGTACGTATTTCCCTTTAAAACCCAGAATTCGTGTTCAAAAACTAATAATTCCGTTACAGAGTCCGTTGAGAAGTCCGCCGGTGGTGCCGGTAAGGTCACCAAGGCCGCCCAGAAGGCCACCAAGAAATAAGCGGAGAAACACGGCAGAATACGGGAGACATGGGTCATGTGAATCATGTAATGATCACGATGCAAAAACTCCGAGCTACTTCTGTAGAAGCTTAGACAATTATGAAATGATGTTTTCAATAATCCTTTTGAGACTTGAGTAGATTGTATTCGCGCGTAGACCGTAGCTAAGATTTGTCTCGGTGAGTAGTACAATTGTTAAGGTACATCATTACTATCATATATGATACGAGTACTTATGTGCTCCATGTGTACGCCATGAGTTCCCATAAGAATAGCCTCGATGCTCAACTGCAGTCACACCCTGTATAGTAGGCTTAGTAGCTAGAGCAAGTAAATTAAATACTAGAGATTAATCCCTGTAGATTAACCGGGTTTGAGTAATCTTGGAGCTAATGAAGATGCTTGATTGAGTTAACTACCTGTTATCTGGCCATTACTCTGCTGACTAAGCTGGCTGCTGGCGCTGGCGACCGCTACTGGAGCCCCCAGGGGCACCGAAATATCTTCTTATTTCTATGCGAATAAGTTGTATTAGAAGAACACAGAATCCATTTCAAGACCTATTAATAGCATCCTCTGATACGGGCATGCATAGCCGTATTATAATGTCTTTCTTATCTTTTAACTGTCTGGTTAGACAGACCACCAATCCTGGAAGTTGCTCGTTTACATTGCCATTAAAAGCGTGCTCATTATGCGGATCTTGTACCGGCACAAGATCTTAGAGGAGTAATGCTATATATGTCCACAGTTACGTAGACGCGAATGGCTCACTAAAAGAAATGGTGAGGTCGGCAGACCAATGCGGAGCGGTCCCAGTTTGAGATCAGTTTCTGGCATAAGTACTATATTCGAGAACTTTTGTTAATAGTGAAACGGAATTAACAAATGCTAGTTATATGGCAAGTCTGACCTGTGGGCAGCATGGCAGGGCATGTTGGACGTTGCGACTGGTATTAGTTCCACTCGCGATATAATTACCTCGCCAAAATATATGAGTTCTTTACCTAGACTCCTTAATACAGAACTATTTGCATAAAGCTGTTACTCTTAGTCTACGATATTTCCAGTTAGGAGTAGTAGTAGCGCTCGATTTAGCTGCTCTAGCTACTCAGCTCGCTATAAGTTTTTCTCTCTTATGTAGTAGATCTACAAGTAGCGTGATAAGTAGCAGTATATTCAAGACTGTACTGTACATACATGCATTGTTCCAGTCGCACTCTGCTGGTCACGTGACAGTTCCTTGTCGCCCTTGGGGCTAAGCCGCTCCGCGGTGCGATACCTCAGCTCTATATAGCGATATGGAGTGCGCTTTACATCGGGTGATATGTACTTCTTTCTGTTCGACGATCTCGAGAGTCTAGAATATATGCTTGTATTCTGGCTCTTCAACTATTTGCACATTTTGGAAACAGAGTGGGCAAAGATGAGTATAAGTCTGCGCAGTTTGAGAGAACACAACAAGGCAAGAACCGCCGTCGTTGGCACAATCGTTAAAGTTATGTCAAAACGTTCTACCACGCTCTAATCTGCTTCAGACCTTGGACTATTTGTGTATCTCTCCCCGACTCTTCTCTCTCTCTCTCTTTCTTTCCTTTCTTTTTTAACTGAAGGAGTGGGAGCTTATAATACCTAGGTACCTAACCTATTAGGGAAGAACACATAGTAGATGGCCCATACCACTAAAGCCACGACTAGCGCCAGGTAAGGAAATAAATCCTTTGAAGTCATAGAATAAATAGTTGATGTTGAAGGTACAGACTCTATCTGCGCCTGTTTCTGTTCAGATTGACAGAACCTACATTAATAGGTATGTATACTCATTTACCTTGTATAGATGTGCTAATGTCCGGCGCCGCTGACGCGTTCCATGTGGATGGATTGAATCATGCGCGAGACGCGTGATGGCAGACGCGCTTGCTTTCACCTTATGTCGAGTGTGCCAGTGCTTTCTTTCTTTCTCTCCTACCCACCCACTCCGTATTATATCTCTAGTCTCTCCCCGTGTACTCTGTTCTCTACTGTCGTCGTACGAAACGAGCGTTACCAAGTTTAATCACAAGAACCAACCTTTACTCTTCTGCTTACACCAATACACGCACGCGTCTGTTGATCTGTTTTCGATCTGATGAGAATCGATGACTCGCTGTCGCCAGAACACGAGACACACCAGATCGATACTTCGATTTGAAACTAGGTAACGTCTCAGGCTCTTCCGCGCCTATACTACTGCAGTATCACTATTACAATAACATTAATCACAGGAAAAGGCTTACAGACCGTCTGTGTTCAACCTTCTACCAGGGAGGTATCAAGAGAGATAGCTCTGTCTGGTGAAGGGTCAGATGGAAGCCGCCCGGGTGAGCCATTCTCACACCCATGATACTACTACTTTTTTTTTTGTTAGTCTTTCTATTCCTTTTTCCCCCTATGTTATTTTTGCAATTTGAGTCAGAAGAGATGTCATGCTACGTTACAATCATTCGTTCGAGTATAAGGTGAGGCTTGCCCGTACCTAACAAGTGAACATGGATCCTCTTATTTCTGGATAACTGGCTGCACTGAATCATTCTTGGTTTACAATTTAGAGCGATACTACAATGCCTGTTGATCCGGACTTAGGTTGCTAGTGACGCATCTCCCTTTACCTGGACCTTGAGAATCAGTGATCGAATAATTCACCGCAATGATGGAATTCCATCAAACATTTGGTAAGGCATAGCCCGACGAGCCAGTTAGAGAAATACTGAGATTATATTATTTTTACAGAACCGATGGATAGCAGCAATATCGTCCACACGTGATGCTGCAGTTTTCTCTCCTCCTAATATGGAAGTGCCCCCACAGAGGCCGGACCCTCACTCTCTCCCCTCTTCTTCATCAAATCGACTTTCCCAGGTAGACAAGAGGTATCTCTCAATGCGACTTTCGTCTCAAACTTCATCATCATGGCCGTCCAGATGCATGAAAGATTCCAGGAACGTGTTTTGCAAACTCTCAGTTCCCTCAGGAGCCTTGAAATGTCAGATGAGTGGAATATTACTCTACAAGTCTGGGACGATGAATACCTTCTCTCCTACTTCAATACATATACAGCAGAGCCTTTAAAGCACCTATTAGATACACATAGTCCTCCTACGTTTGAAGATTTGAAAACTCTCGACTGGCTGGATACTACTGATGCTGGGGTATATGCCCGTCTTATTTGGCCAACAATGGAAAAGTCCACTCCACATATCTATGTTGGATCAGCAACGTCTACAATGGGTGGATTATCGAAGAGGAAGTTAGATCATGAGTATCGTCCCATAGCACAACAGTAAGGATACTAATATATTATTTTGACTAATGACTAACATTGACAGATGTGCATACTATAAGACATTGATGAATCAGCCCGGAGTTCCACGTACTTCCAAATTCGTTACAATATACACAATGGACTGGGGTTTATGCTCAATTGATGATATAAATTTGAATCGAAAATTATGTTTGCTAGCAGAAGCTGTCTTTACTGCTATGCTGGGTGGATACATGCCAGTAGTAGACAAACCTCTGCAACTGGCTTGCCCATATGGGGATCCCAAAACTGTATTCGACTGGAGGGGAACATGCACCCATTCTTCTCTCTCTGAAAGTCAGCGGCTTCTACACATACACAAAAAAGCGAAGAATTCCGCCAGTTCGAAACTCCCATGGTTCAAAGTGAGATCGGGAGCTCGGAGGAGGAAGGACCTTACTCCAGAAGAACTTCAAGCATGTCGAGAGAAAGACAAACTAGCCATGCGGGAATATCGAAAGAAGTTTCGACATCTACTCAAAGCAAGGAAAGCCAACCGTACCCCTCAGGAAATAATAGAGCATAAAGAAAAAAAGAAGCTCTATCAACGTCGATACCGCAAGGAACATGCTATGGAAATTAAGGCGCGTGAAGCACTACTTCCTCCAGAGGTAAAAAAAGAACGTGCCGAAAGATCTAAACTTCGAACACAAAAGTCACGCTTGAAAAAACGCCTTGCAAACCCCAAACCTCCGCGGATCATACCTCCTCACAGAGTTAAAAGAAACGCGGACCGGAAAAGACTGCGAGATGGTGACGTGGACTTTAAAAAGATCAGTATGCATGGAACTAGAGTCAAGCGCGCAAGAGACGCTCTGAACAAGCTCAAAGTTGATGGTGTTGGTGGCAAGGAACTGGACGAAGCCAAGAAGAAATTCGCAATAGCATTCGTCGATCGGTACAACTTGATGGTCAACTTGGGGCGCCCTGTCAAAGAAAAGCCAAGTCAAGAGCAATTCGACCTAGCAGGACCCAGCGTGCAACCAAACAACAGCAAGTCTGCTGTTGTTTCTACAGGAGACGAAGTGGATGAATGTAGCGAAGAGGAAGACATCGATACGTCGGAGGAAGACATCGATACGTCGGAGGATGAAACTTCGGACAGCGAGGATGAACTGGACACGGATGATGAGGAACTGTTTATCATTCCCCATGGACCCAACAAGGAAGGCAGCATACCCAAGAACGAATCCACCGTACCCCGCGATGCTCGAATTGACAATCATCTCGCCCCAGCCCCCGAAATGGTCAGTCCCTGGACGATAGCTGCCAAGACTACTGTCAAGAAGCAGGAAAAATCAAAGCCGTTCTTACGCATGGCAAATGGTCCTGCTCTAAGCCACGAGATGACCACGCCCTGGACTATAGCGACGGACGCATTTCGCAGACAGCAGACGATCCTGGGAAGATCTCTCGTTAGGAACGAGTCTCCTTCGAGAAAACGAGTGAAACGGTAACGGTGGCAGTATGTTTGTGTCGGCTTTTTTTTTACACATGTATTTTACCGCTTTTGTACTACTTACGGCAAGGCCGGTCCAAACCTGCATATTGATATTATATCTTAATCTGAGCCAATCGAGTCCGGGAACGCACTTATATCCTAAGATCCCAGAAGGGGGAAGATGTAAAGAGCCGTCTGTATAGAACTGCTTTACTTTCTTATAGTAATGGTGTATATGAGTTGTCAACTTCGAACAAAGAAGTTTTGTGCAACGGACAAGATGTGTCCGTCTCTCGGGAGCTCGCAGCGGGTAGGTTGTCGATTGATTAGTAGAATATAATATGTAATGCAGAATAACTGAAACTCGGTGAATGAACATGTGTGAAGATCTAGGATGACGGAAGCAAAGATTCTGAGAAAGCATATGAAAAGGGAATGATCTCTGGATTGCTTGAAGAACTAATTGACTCCGAAATCTACCAGCTATTCATGCTCCTCGACTTTACACAAATGCCTCGGCTGTTCTGAACTGAGCTGAACACATAATTAAACTGATCCATGGTCCCTCTCCCGTCTTTAATGATTCCATGCAGGTCGATGCAGGCAGCTACCCGTTACAGCTGTTACCCTGTTTGCATAGGGGACACAGCAGCGGAACGCAGCAGGTTTGCAGCTCGCCCCTGCAGGAGACGCGGGATCTGACAACATGGAGCCAGTTCTTTGAACAGTGAAGATACAGCCGCCACTTACAGAGCAATTAACCGTAGCATTGGACATTGACGGTGACGCGAATTCCCTGCGTAATACCGAGTCAGAAGTGATTGTAAATGTGTGGTGCATTCATAAGATATTACCCCTCATTTACGGCTTTAAGAATCGCTAGTTTTTACACCAAATCTGACCTTCTCTTTCCCCAAACTTTATACTACGCTTTGAAGTTTGAGTGCATTATGACTCTTATATATATACACCGTTCTATATACATACCAGCATCTTTATTAACTCTCTCTTTCAATACCTGAAGGTAGACAGTCAGCACTTCCTCACAGACGGGTCCATTCTGGTCGAAGCCTTTGCAGTGTCATCACTATATTGGGGAGACTTAGAAGGTTATTCCCAGGGCCGGCACTTGCTATAAGCATAGGAGAGTTCGACGAGACAGTTTAGAGAAGGTAATTGCTGAGACTCTGCGAAGATAAATTACCAATGAGCATCGTTAACAAGGCCGCCGGTGAAGAAGGCAAACTATCTCTATAATGAAGATCGCGATTCAATGCATCCGGAATTGGTGACAGAACTGTTCTTCAACTTCATAAGGCCAGTGTCTGAGGATACTGAACCATCACGGATCTGGAAGAATATGTGTGGAGAAGTCATATGGCGCAACAACCGACTTCTATAGCACAGGTCTCCGTTATGGCTACTTGTTCGCGCTGGCATACGATTGGTTAGATAACGAATATCTGCGAGAACGAGTTATCTTTATATTTATATTTCGAACATTAGCAGGCTGTCTAGTCAACGCTTTTATAAAATTTTTTGAAAGAGCCCTGAACGCTGGCTTCGAGGTAAGCAGAGAAAGCAAACGTTTCCCTTTTGATGTGCATAACTGACATATCCAAAGGATCAACCACGCATACTGTCAATTCGCCTGAATGTGACCACCGGTGACTCTACTCTATTTAACTTGACATTAATCTTCACTTGCTGAGTTTACGCTCATTTGTACGAAGTTTCCATGGCTCTTCTAGCTCTACTGACTCGAGTTCATTCACTTATCTATCAAGGGGAAACGCTGTCATCGTTATCGACCATTTCCTGGAAAATGTCGTCTTCCCCCTACACGCAAAGCATTTCAGAACTAAATTACAGATGTCGGGTTGGGATATCCCTCTGTACAATGACAATCAGACCTCACCGTCCAGTGATGATACTGGGAATATTGGAAACAGAAGAGGGTCCTCACATCTTGTCCTTGATATTCAATCACGTCGTGTTCCCACCAAAGCTTCCACCCAAGATAATCAACATGTCATTTCCTTCCTGTACCTGCAGAGGTACAATGAAGTCGGACACATAGTTCCTATAGACGATATTACAGAACCGAAGAGACATGAAGCTGAGCTCAGTCAATCATTAACTCTCGGACTGAACCAAATTAAGGATCACACAGTGCAAGGTACGTATTTATTTTGCTCCCTATATTATCTATATTTAGTTCTTCTGCGCACAAGTTCTAATGCATCTTCTCTAGCTATAATGAGATTATAAATAAAATAAGAGCGCGCCGTGGCCAACGAAGCTGAAGAAAGAGAAGTGCAACGCCCATATCTTCTTATCCTCTATATACCACCTATTATCAAGAGAATGCAGCGCTTTAACTGTCTCACCTACTATTATATTCCCGAGTCTACCTATAGAATAACCCTCTATAGCTTCCTGTTAAAATTGGTATATTAATAAGAAAGAATATACTTTAAGCTTTTAAATATATAAGTTTAATAGATTGCTTTTAGTCTTAATAAACTAAAGTTAAAATATTGCTTAAATTTATCTAAGAACAGTATTTTTTTTATTGTTCTGGTTAAAATATCCTATATACCCTAATAAAATTTATATATCACAGTCTTCTATCTGACGCAGGCCAATATAGATAATAAATAGCCAACAGATTTACCGAGGCGTTAGGATAGATTAAATCTAAGGCATTTCTCACAGTATTATGCTTTACGCTAAGGGGCAGATAGTATTGAATCGCTTTAATACCTCTATTTCTGGAAATTATTTCAAAAATTTCAATAATGCGGCTTATACAGTTCCAGGGCGGGGGGTATAATAATATTAGACAAATTATACGCTCTAGTATCTAGCAAGATATCAACGCCTAATAAACAAGAAGGCCAAGGATACTCATATTATTTTAACAGATATACTTCGGCATTTTTACTATCCACATTAGACGATGTCCAATGATAATTATAAATGATATATAAGACAGCCGGTCAGCAGCAGAAAGCTTGCGAAGAAGAAAAGAAAAAAAGGGTATTCCCCATCTCATATTCCAATACTACATTGTGCCTTTCTCCAGCAAGCTCACATAATGGTTTACAGGTCTCTTCTGGGCCAATGGGCCGGAAAGCCTGACGATTGCAGTTACTCACGCTCTCTATACCAAAGGAAGATGCTCTTACATTGTAAGAGGCCATCTGCGGAGATTGATCTTGATCTTTTTTAAGACGCCGGGTCCGCTGTATAGACCTCCGAAAAGGTGATTGTCCCCAAGGACGCAGCCTTAGCCTTTCTAGCTCTACTGATTCAAGCCTATTCATTTATCTATCGATATAAAAGGCAAACGGATCGTCTAATCTTTGAAGCGGCATCATAGTCGACTGTGGAGTCATCGAAGCTCGAAACTGGGACTTCTTCCTTCAAGCACACATTGCCGCCCTCTAAGGAACCGCGCGATCAGCGCACTACCACATCGTCCACGATGAGATATTCCACCCTGGAGCATTCACTATTCACGAGTGATAAGTCGACTTCTCGGAATCTCCCCTCAGTCGTTCGACTTTTCCATTTGTCTTATTATCACATCATGGGATTACCAGTTCTCAATGGATGCGGTTTGGTTTTCGTGCTTTAAATAAAACGTCCATCATTCGTACCACGAATTTCATCGACTGTAACTAGGAGACTTTCGAGGCCAGGAGACTCGAACAAGGTTGTTCTTCCATTTCTTTCTCTTCGAAACCTTCCGACACGGCCGACGTTCTCGAGGATCTCACGCACAATATGTGCTATCTCTTCGACCGCGCTACCAAGGCCGTATATCTGCCCACCAGCATACTATACAGATCTGACCTGCGAGCGTGCCCAATGTTATGCCTGGGCTCCGGTCACGGAAGATGAGCTCTCATATATTGCCCTTGGTATTCAATCGCGTCGAGTTCCCACCAAACGTTCCAGGCACATCAGACCATTTTGGGTTTGTTTGATTGCTTAATACATACAAGCAATGTGTTTAAGATGGTTAAAATCCTATCCTGCTAGCCGACTATTGATTTTTCCCTTATATGGAAGACTCCCTCAATCATACTACCTGTTGGACACCGAACGGTAAAGTTCATAACTACTCCGATTCTCTCCTTATTCTTCGCGGAACATTAGCGTCATATCAACGATGTTCTGAGAAAACAGTGACATCTCCATTCTGCCCGTATACTCCAGAATGTATCGCTTTGTGAGCAGTATAGTATATATGCATCCGAGTTAAAGAGAGTTCGGGGATCTTAGCAGACGAGCAGTATTATATTGTTGAGTCCGGTACATAGGGAGGAATCCGTCGAGACAATTCAAACAACTATGATCCGTTGTATTCATCTGGGATATGAGAATACCGCTGTTTTGATGTACAAATCTGTCGGCGTATGTTAAACATTCTCCTTATTTGTTGCCGTACCTCTGTTACCTCGTGAGCAACATCTCTCGGAGGCACGCGAAGCTGAAGCTGAAGATGCTTAGATTCCTCTATGGGATCGAGCTCTGAAGCTCTAGCTAATCTATCTATCTGTGCGAAGCATTAAACCCGAAACGGAAGGAGGCAGGCGATACCTATCCGCCTGGCCCTACAGGCCCAAAGCACCCCCCTGGACGCCTCCTGAAGTCATAGGCAGTTCCTAATCCGGAAAATGGTCAATTATCTTGATGTTCGTTATGCTAATCCCCTGAGCCAACATGCTTAAGCTCAGATCTGTTTTAAGGTCTTATCCTGACGGATTGAATCTGACCCAATTTAACGTCTGATCTGGACGGGTCTGGCTGTGATTTTGGCTGGTTAATGTCGTATCTTGATGGGGTGCTCGAGCGTTTCATACGCGGAGGGGTCGTTGAATCTGATCTGGTTTGACGTCTGATTAGACGGGTCATTTATTCGTGAGGTGGTGATCGTATTTAACGTCTAGTTTGGACGGGTCGTTCGTTCAGTCGTCATCTTATTTAACGTCAGGTCAGACGGGTCGAATCTGAACCTGTTTAATGTCCGGTCAGGACGGGATGTTGAATTTGATGAGCTAGGGCGAGCCCTGCGAAGCCGTGAAAGCGATACTGATCTTTGTTGCTCGCTTATATTTGCTATTGGTTAGGTAGGTGCCATATATCGCTGTATGGCTTCTAACCTTGTGAGATCTCCTCCATCAAGCAGTAGCAGGTATCTGAACCGTAACCTGGTCTATAACAGTGTCCGCACTTCCCTATGATACAAAGCTTCCTATCGCGGAGCTCTCTGGTGTATTTGTAGGGGTCCTTCCCCTTTGGAGGACCTGCGCCATATTCTTTTGATATCTGGGACTTGTCTGGTGTTGCTTTGTTTGATGTCGCTTCGCTAGATATCACTATTACCGCGGCGAGGTTTAGTTCACTTTTTTTTGCCTATATTAATGGCTTCACGACAGCGTTGTTGGAATTCAGACTTTGTTATAGTGGTGGACTTATCCTTTGGCCATAAGCAGTACTAAGCTATTGTCTAGTTGGGTAGTTCGTTCTCGAGTTCTTCAAAGAGGAGTATGGCGGCACACCACGGAGTGATGGTAAGGTTTAGCACGTTGCCAAGCGTCACGGTAGGCGATAACGAACTGTTCAATCGATCCATATTAATGTCGATGTGTTTTTACCGATGCCTTCCAAACGGTGCGAAGTTTTATATGTCCCTCCCCCATCACGATTGTTTTTATCGCATTGATATATTCGTTGGTGTAGATCGGTTCATTAGGGAGCTGACGGAGTTCCTCTATGATCTCGAGGTCGAGCTGGGCTGTAATCTAACTTCTTATTGACAGAGACATCCTCCTCCACCTATTATACGCGTCTTGATCGGTACTGCTAGGGGTAGGTCTGGGACAGTAGAGTCAATAAGGTTCGAGCAGTCAACCGCTCGAAGGACATCCTTAACGAGGTAGAGCCAAGTGTCAAATTTGGTCTTCGTGGTGAGCTTTTGAATGCCGTCGATTTCCTCTGGCACCTTCTCTGGTAGGCCAGTTCCTGGATGAGCCAACTTCGAGGATAACTGGCGGGGTAGTAGTGCTGGTGTTCGACAGGTGGTAGGTAGGAGGGGCAGATCCTGCAGAAAGCAGGTCTGGTTCAAGAATATAGTCTCTGCGGTATCTAGAGCTGCTTTTAGTCATAAAAAAAATCATGAAAATGAAGCTATTCCGGGCGCATAACCTCTCCGAGGCACGCGAAGCAGAAGATGAAGACGCTTAGATTCCTCTATGGGATTGAGCTCTGAAGCTCTAGCTAGTCCTCAAAAAGTTGCCTATTAAAGGAACGTCCTGACTCTAAAGTACAGTGGCAATGATTTTGTGTATCATGTCTCGAACTATTGCAAACTTATACTTATCTTTCCCTACTCTGTTTCACATGTGTACATGGATGGAGAACTAGGATCCGAAGATACAGTTCATTCGTGGCTAACTATCTCTGTCTGTAATATCTTAGACAGTGCTAGCTCCATACAGTCAATTTCCTCCGTTATGAACTGATCTTCTTTCCCGGCCCACAGGATCCATGTCAGTGTCGTTGATCCATCTCCAGTCTCATTCTCAGACCATCGCTCTTCTGCCTGTTTTTCGTCTTGCGTGGTGGTCCGCGTGTAGGTAGTCGGTAGTCGGTAGTCGGTAGTCGGTAGTCGGTAGTCGGTAGTAGGTGTACTCGGTTGTCGATCGTCCTTGTTGAGGTTACACTCATGGCCTACCTACCACTTGGCGTCTGTCGCATCATTGAACTTAGACTCCCACTTCGAGGCGTCATCCGGTTGCTGTGCTTCCTGCTCCCATGCACTATCCTGTTCCTGCAGCTGCGCGCCCTCCTGTGACTGCTCCTGCTCCTGCTCCTGCGCCTGTTCCTGCTCCTGCGCCTGCTCCTGCGCCTGTTCCTGCTCCTGCTCCTGCGACTGCTCCTGTTCCTGCGACTGATGGTGCACATACTCCGAGGTCACTGGATCTCCAGTGACCTCGTATACCGCATCTCGCTCGTATAGATGCTTCCAGTACTCAACAATCTCGATTGGCTTCTGTTCCGGCTCAGCGTCGCTATCCCTCTTTCTCTTCAGTTTCAGTGCACAGCCTGTGATGCAGCCCTTCCCAACCACGATGAGACATTCTTTCGCACGCGTAATCGCCACATTGCAGCGATTGTTGTTCACGGTGAACCCAAGGTCCGCGATACGCTCGGCGCTAGTAACCACCCAGTCTAGGATCACGCATTCTGCTTCGTGGCCTTGCATTGAATCGACGGTCGCGACCTTGGCAATGTCGCGCCATGCAATACGTTTCTGTGTCGCGAAATTGATCAGAGCCGTCACATAACAAGAGCGCTGTTCTGAGTACGGGGTGATGATAGTTACATCACCACCCTGAGACAGTGCCTTGCTATCAAAAAGATAAGATAACAGCTCCATCACGACAGCAACGTTTTGCAGGTTGTATCGGGACTTGTTTCGAGGCTCGACCTTGTCCTCGCCATTCTTTACATCAAGGGCGATGAGATGTAGATCCGGCTCTCTGGATGGGGTGGGACAGATTGTCCTCAACCAGTTAAGCAACCCAGTTTTCAATTCTGGGCGCATAGGATGATCCTCCAAGCCGCTCTCCGTCTTCATGAGCCCGTTGTAGGTAAAAGCGCTGGGAAATGCTGCCAGGTCGGGGTGCATGCGATGCTGGACGTTCAACATGCAAGAAGGAAATCCTGCTTGGAGAAGTCGGTCGAACAGCGACCTCCCCAGTTGTTCGCTGAACTCATTCAATCCAGGCGAGGTAAACGCGGACACAACAAGAGGCGGTAACTGGTGTCTGTCGCCTCCTCGGATCGTCCCTCGTACCAACTGGGCCTGGTTCAGTGAAACGAGCGGTATCCAGGCATTGGGTTCCACTGCCTGTCCATCTTCGTCGGCTATGACGATGATACCTTTGCATGGATTCGCAGGGTCTGCCGCGAAGTTCTTCCTGATCAGATCAGTGCCGGCCAGGTTGTCCGTACAGGACACGATCCATGCCTCCCTCACCACAACTTCCGAGATTTCGTTGTACGCGCGTCGGAACTTTGCCTGTTCTTCCTTCCACGCAGCCAGTTCTCCAGTGGCGTTTTTGTCAGTGGGTCGCAGAGGAGGGTTGCAGAGATAATTCCAGAAGTAGCTGTAGGCATCAAACTCGTCACCGGGAACGCCATCCACTTGTCGTGCTATCATGAGTTTCTCCCCCTTTGAGATGGCAGTCGTTGTGCGGCGCCTGACGTGCTCGAAGAAGGTGTACTTCGGGTCTCCCGCTATGCGTTTATGGTAGGATTCCTTGGCGTCTCGGAGCACGGCTGCAATGACAGAGTCCCTACTGGTCGGAGCATCCGGCGAAACTTCTTCGTGGTCAGGACCATCCGCCGACAGGACACCTTCCAGGCGAGCTTGACGAACTCGCACATAGTCAATTGAGCCTTGAGTGAGACTGACCAGTCTCTGCGTAATTGCGTCTACGGACGCGTTGCTGGGACTGACGATCAGAACGTGGAGTCCGGCCAGGTGGTACAATATCACGAGGGCCGCGAGGACCGTCGACTTTCCACAGCCAGGGAAACCTTCGACGAGACCGATCCTGGATGTGAGGTTGGCGGCCATATCGAAAACCTGCCGCTGCTGCTTATTCCAGGGCTTCAGGTGGAGTACCGCCTGGAGAGCCACCTGTACCTTCTGAGGGTCCAGGCCGTCAAAGGGGTTTGTCTTGCTGAGCAGACACGGCTCCTGGTTCAGGAAAGCCATGTGCCATGTTGGGTCTTCCCGTAAGTGTGACAGTGCGTTAATCTGTCGTCGGAGTGGCGCTTCATTCTCCTCAAACTTGAGCGATGCAGCCTGAATGAACCTGAGTCGCTGGCCAGGCACTGAGAAGATGTTCTTGTAGCGCAGTATCTGTTTTCCATAGATGGCGACATGGATCTGACCCTCACCGATCCCTGCGTGGTCCGGAACTACCAGACCGCGACAGACGATCGTGGACTCTTCACCTTCTGGCATAAAGGTGATCTCAACACGCGTGCTGTCGGCAATCATCAGGTCAGTTTGCTGGAGGGTCAAGGGGAGGAGGCCATCGTTGAGCTGCGATCGGTCGATGTAAACAACAGCGTATACAACTGAGTTATCGTAAACCACAAACGCAACCGACGCATTTGCGTTGACGACTCGCTGGAACTGCATAATACCCACACGATAGTCCAAGTCTGCACCGTAGGTGAGTTTCACGCTGGCTTCCTCAATATCATGGAAGTAGTTAGCAGCCGGAACTGCACAAAGCTGACCATTCCAACCTTCTGCGACCTGCGCTCTTGGCACTAGCTGTCCAGCCTGGCATCTGATGTTTCCCACCCTGGAGCGATAGGGAAACCATGCGCGGGTCCATGGCAAGTGCTCGGCGAATCCCTGAAGAACTTCGACGAAGTTTCCTGCGTGCTCAACCTCGTCCGGTTTGAGTGGAACCCGGACATGCACCTGCCTCCTTTCCCGTGAATGGGAGGAGGTGGCCGCGTACAGGAATTCCAAGAACGCGATCGTCAGCTCATCCATCTTATCCTTCTTCTCGTTTGTGAATTTCAGACCGGTGGAGATGCCGCCCGTCGTTATGAACTTCACGTCGATGTAGCAAGGGTCGCAGTATTCTCCGTTCTGGTCTCTCGAGAAGATGGGTCTGCACACGAGATCAGAGACCTCGCGCTTCTGGACATCCGGGCCTGCGTGTAAGTCGAAAACAAGTGAAGCCCTGTGAACAAGGTTCACAGGATGCCACAAGCCTCTCTGGATGTTGCGGGTGTTCCTGACGCAGATTTCGAAGACTAGCTTCGGTGCGACAGGGCCCCCAACTATCTCCATCGTCACACTTGCACCGTAGAGACTGGCTCCAGGAACAGTGGGGTACATTTGCCTGTTGTCCGCAAGGACAAACTGAACGTGTCGTTTTCTGGGCCCCAGGAATCCAGTGGACCGACGGTGCTCCAACGGCACGAGGACCCAGTCCTCCACAGACTTATTTCCAGCAGCGGGCTTGGTCCTTTCTGCCGGGAACGTACCCTGATAAAAGTTGCATTAACCCATGGTCTCTCAAATAAGCCAATCTATTGCACTTACCATCCACATATCACTGGTCATCACAGTGTCTGACGCTATATCCTACCCTATGTTAGATTTGCATAACATGATTTGAGTTGCCGACCATCCGTGAGAGCGTACCTTGCCGTTATCAGTAGAGGCACCGGTGTTAACAGGAACACCGGTATCAGCAGGTGATTCTATTTCCATTTCCGTGTTGTCCCATTCGCTTTGAATATGCTTCAAGAACATAACATGTCAGTGTTTGCAAAATATAGAAATGACACACACAAGAGAAGGTTTCTGATGGTATAACATACCTGTTCCTGTTCCTGAGAGACATGACCATAATTAAAAGCATCCATTTTTGGTCTTGCTGAGAAGATGGGAGATGCTAGATGGGAGATGCTAGATGGGAGATGCTAGATGGGAGATGCTAGATGGGAGATGGGAGACGGGAGATGGGAGATGGGAGATGGGAGATCGATGATGGATGATGGGTGATGGATGATGGGTGATGGGTGTAAGAAGTGAGAAGATGGAAGTGAGAAGATGGAAGTGAGAAGTGAAAAACGAGGGATTTAAGCAGGGGAAGACAGGGAGGACTGGCAGAAATAAACAAAGAAAATTTTTTGCACTGAAGTGTTTGTTGGATTAAAAGAGTAAAGAAGTGAATTAGAAAAATGGGTGTGAGAATGGCTCACCCGGGTGGCTACTCGCTGCCCCTCTTCACCAGACAGAGCTATCTCTCTTGATACCTCCCTGATAGAAGATTGCCATGAAAGGCTAGAGCAGGTTTTACCGCTGTTTTAGTGATAGAGGCTGTTTTCTGTTATAGAAACTGTCGTATGGAGCTCTGCAGGAAAGGGGGGGTCTACATGCCTGACTGACTGCTCAAGACGAGGACACATATAGCGATGACGATTGTTTGCAGGTTGTAGTGATGGGAGATAGTGGTCCCTTCAAGACTTCAAGAAATAAGGGCATGCATTGATGTAGCGGATAAGGAGCCATGACTGCGACTGCCTAAAAGAATGGCAATACGTCGTGGCGATCAATAGGCACTCGTTGGATGTATCGGGAGAGGTGAGTCGACGTTGGAGCTGGTCGACTTGATACCTAACTTGCAATCCATAATAAGGAGTTCGTCTTCATAATGACTATAAACGCGCTCATTTGATGAAGATCAGACCAGGTTGTAATAGTAAAGAAAATTAGCAGCGGTAATGACCAGCACAAGAGGCTATTTAAGGTGAAAATTCGACGGAGTTCTCCGCAGGGTCCCCCCCCCCGAGAGGTTTTCGTAGTGAATTAGAGATACAATGAAAGGTGACGAACCTAGAAAGTTGTGGAATGGTCTCAATTATACGGGGTAGTCCGATTCGCTCGAGCTTCACACCTGAGAAGCGTCTGTTTTTGGCCTTGCAGGTGTTTACGAGGTCTGGCGCGTGCTCATAGTCTGCCCTGTCTTCGTGGAACTTCGTTCGTGGGAAGTCTCAACTGCTGGGCAGAGAAGGAGAAAAGTGGTATGTAGAAGTCTGTGTTTCTCTAATGCTAAAGGCCTCGCTACATACAGGAGGTCATGTGACATAAGCTCATGTGAAGGAGGGACGTAACGTCAACGCTTAATCCCACTTTTCGTGTACTTTTCTTAAGTAGACCTTAGCCAAAAAGTCTACACGATACAGCTAGGGAACTTCTAGTCGCCAGATTCAGTGATGAGAGATCTGGGAGCGCCCCTGCATCGTGCAATGAACTGAATACCAAATGATGATTAGGAAAGCCAATTGACTGGGGGTAAAGACCCGGCCTGACATAGCTCAAGCAGTCAATAGATTGCAACGAAAAGCAGCGAATCGCGATGACGACAAGATCACGGCAGCCAAACATCTATTTCGATGTCTAGGATAGCATACTGAATACGAGATCCTACACGGCAAATTGAAGTCTACGTCGATTCTAGTCATTAAGATAACCGGATAGGAAGTGGACGGAAGCACTTGTCATTCTATTCATGGGATTACCGATAAGCTGGTCTAGCAGGAAGCAACATGTTGTATCACCGTTTGTAATTTTGGTCGAATCCTGCGCTTGAGATTTCGTGATATTATATGTATAACTTGCATTATGATAATGCTTTCAGATAACCTCAATCGCTATTAGACGAGGCTACTAATGTAAATACAGGATTGTATTATCGACGCTGAATTGTATATCAGAATAATTCGAAGTGATTGTTATTCAATAACTGTTCCAGTAAAGTAGAGTGGCCTTAGGATTTCCATAATGCCCATGTTGTCAATTTGATAATCGATCGTCTTGTCGCGATTTATTGAGATGAGCCTCAAACTGTAAGAACTTTCTAACAATAACTCGGGAGTACTAATTTATAGTGTGGTCGGGTCTACGTCTCGTTATTAGGAATAAACCACGAACGAGCTCACTGTTGGTTAGGATTGCATTTTATTGAACTTCAGACCTAACTAAAACGCTCGAAAGTTGCAACAGTCTGCCATACTGGTCCGTACTCCGGAGGTTTTCTCTGTTTGCACGAAGAGAGCCTAGATACCACCGACGCGCCACGCTTGCCGCCCTTTTCGTTCTTCTTCTTCTTCTCCTTTTTTTTTTTTTTTTTTTTTTTTTTTTTTTTTTTTTCCCTCCTTCTTCACCCCATGACGGTTGTTTCAAAAGATCGATAGAGAAAACTCAGCAGCAAGTTCGCCTTGGTCTGTTCGGCCCGACCTTGATCCGCTTCAATAGATATCGGCGTCCCTCTGGTCCGCCCGTGTGTCCGCTCCAGAGATACCATCAGACGCTTCCTGAGGCTGGCCAAGATCCTGAGCTTGCTCATCTTGACGCTCAGCGTTCGCTGCTTCGTGTGTTTCGGCCTAGGTGTACTCGTCCGAGGTAGCCGGCTCTACATATACCGACTGAAGAGGGTAGCAAACATCCTTCTTAGCCAGGTAGCGCCAGAACTCCAGAACCTCCGGCGGCGGCTTCACATCACCCTTTTGCTTAGAATTGGCTTGCTGCTTGGAAGCATAATCACCACTCAGCATTCCCACGTTTCCCACATTGATAAGACAAGATCGCGCTCTGGTGATACCAACATTGCACCTATTGTTATCAACAGTAAACCCGAGATCGCTAGGTCTGACAGCCTGGGAAACAACCCAGTCGAAGATAACACAATCCGATTGATGCCCCTGCATTGAATCAACGGTGGCAACTTTCACCATGTGCTTCCACTGAACTCCCTTTGTTGCAGCGAGCTCTATTAGGGCCTTGATGTACCTAGACCGCTGCTCGGCGTAAGGGGTGAGTATGGTGACTGAGTATGTAGTAAAGTCAAACTTAGCAGCCATTAGGTGCCGGATGAAATCTACAACGACCTTACAATTGTGGCCATTGTACCTGGAGTTGCTAGCTTCTTCTATTCGATATACTCTGTTCTTAATGTTGAGAGCGATGAGCGACATGTTGTCATTAGCAAAAGCCATCTGGCAGCCCGCACGGGCGTTAATCTAACCTCGCAGGTTCTGCTCAAAGATGGGATTGATTGTGAGATCATGCACCGATGGATCATCCTCCAACATTCCTGAGTATGTGAACTCGCATGGGAATCGGGAGATCTCGGGTCTCATCCTATGCTGCTTTCCGATAATGTAAGACGGAAAGCCGGTCCGCAGCAGACGATTATATAAAGAGCGGGTTAATTGATGAGAGAACTCATTTATACCTGGACTTTGGAAGTCTGAGACGACAAGAGGCGGAAGCTGATGGCGGTCTCCACCGCGGATTGAGGCCTTGACGAACTTTGCCTGATTGAGTGACACTATAGGAATCCACGTGTTTGGCTCAACTGCCTGGCTATCTTCGTCGCTGATGACGACGATACCTTTGGTGTCTGTACCGAAGTGCTTCCGAATTCGCGGTGAACCAGCCAGGTTGTCCGTGCAAGCGACGATGCGGGTATTCTTGACGATTTCGTTCGCGATAGCTTCATAGGCTTTGCGGAAACGTGATCGCTGTTCCTTCCATAAGTCCAACTTCTGGATTCGCTCGGAATTGCTCGGAGATTCAGGTTTTTCAGGAGGGCAATCAATCCAGTCACGGAACACGGAGTACGCTTCAATCACCTCACGTGTATCCTTCTCAGCGGACTCATCCTCGTCGTTGTGATCAGAACCGAGGGCAGGGTCCTCTTCCAATTCCTCATCTTCCTCCTGTCTGATACGTACAAGGAGCCTTTCTCCAGCAGCGAGTTGCTTCCTGGCGTGGCGGTCGACGTGAGAAAAGACTGAATACCTCAGATCGCCCTGTGCTTTCTGGTACTGGGAGTTTTTCAGAATCCCTAACAGATTGACAATCGAAGTTTTAAAGTCCTCTACCGATAGCTTATCGTCTTCATCGTCGACTTTCTTCCCAAATATGGACGTCCGTTCAATTGTTGCCTGCCGGATACAAACGTAGTCGATTTCGGGCGCCATCAACAGCAGTTCGGAAGTGAATGCGTCGACAGTAGCATTTGAGGGTGTGACGATGAGTATATGCAGTCCAGCCTTGTGGCACAGAAGGGCAAGTGCTGCAAGAACAGTGGTTTTTCCGCACCCGGGGTATCCTTCGATGAGTCCTACACCACCTCTCAGTTGCCTGATCATCTTGAACACAGCCAATTGCTGGTCAGTCCAGTTCTTCAGATGCAGAACCGCGTCGAATGCTGCCTTGACAGTGACTTCGTCAAGTTCAGCGAAAGGGTCAATGATCTCCATGCCGCTCAACTCCTGGTTCAGGAAGACAGAGGTCCAGAGGTGAGAAGCAGTATTGTGAAGGAGCTCGAGACAGTTTACCTGTCTCTTGATCGGAGCGTTATTGTCAGAGAACTCTACATTTCCAGTACACCAACGGAGTCGATCTCCAGGAGATGTGAGCAGACCCCTTGCCTTCTTGAAGATTGATGTGCCGTGTATTGCGATATAAATATCACCCTGCTTGATTGACGCATAGTCGGGGATGACAATGCCGGCTACGGTCTTGTGGTTGAAACCTTCTTTGGGACAGAAGGTCACAGTCACTGGCGTGTTGTCGGGCACCACCACATCAGAGCCGCGCATGATCTCAGGGACAAACTTCTCATTGAGCCCTGCCTTGTCGATCTTGACCACAGCAATGACAGACTTCCCAGAATACGAGACAAAACCGATCTTCGATTGTTTCTTCGAAAGTCGGTTCAGGTGAAGCTTTTGCACTCTGTCCTCCAGCACCGCGCCGTACGCGAGCCTAACATGACCGTCGTCAAGGTTATGGAAGAAGTCGCTTGCTGGGAACGCGACAGGGTTCCACCTCTGGAAGACGTCCTGGCGAGATGCGAACTGTCCGTATATACATCGGATCAGATCGGACCTCGCGCAGTACGGGAAGAACGCTCGCTGTAGAGGTCGTTGGCGGCTGATGGATCGAAGGGCATCGCGCATACCCTTCAATCTGTCGCCAGCCACGTCCTCGGCGTCGACATACATGCGCACACGAAGAATCCGTGCTTCAGTAGACGTGTCATACGTGAAGCTGTTCATGTGGCGAAGAAGGTCCACCGTCTCGACATCGAACTGCTCGTTAGTGTGGCGTAGGCCACACGAAACGCCGCCGTTCGTCTTGAACTTGATGTCGATGTAGTTTGACTGCTCGGTCGTTTCTGTCCCTTCAGCGCCCGGCGCGGCAGATGTCTTGTCCTCCCACTCGAATTCGGAGACCTCGGATCGATGAGGGCCCATCATGCTCGAACGAGCAGGTGGGTGCAGATCGAACTCGAGGTATGCGGTGTGCATAAGGTTGATGGAGTGCATCAAACCTTTGCTTATGTCCTTGACGTTCCTGACGAAGACCTTGAATCGTATCTTCGCAGCCACAGGACGACCGACCACCGATATCCGAACGTCGCTTCCTTTGTCCTTGATGAATGGTGTCTCTGGGATCAAGGAGCCGTCTTCTCTCACGAACTGGACAGAACGCGGCATCGGACCATCAAACAGGATGCGCTCTTCCGACTTCCTATTTCCGAGATCGCGGAGCATCTCCTCGTCCTCAGTTCCATCAAGACGCTGTAAGTTGTCAGTGGCAGATCTGTGGAGCATGTGTGTTTGGAAACTCACGGGGCCATTTTGTTCAATGACTGGATCTTGGACTAACTCTGCGGTATCCTGTTCGACGTGTAAGCACGATAGACCTATCTCGTTAACAATTTCTGCATGGGAACCTACCATTTGCATGGTTCCTGTCTCGACAGTTTCAGGTGCAGTCTCGGTCTGGGGAGCCTCAGTTTGGGGAGTCTCGCTTGGGATTTCCATATCCCATTCAGAAGTTCCAATCTGTTCGTGGTCTATTTAGTTTTGATCCATGGTGGATATGGAAAAGACTCTTGCTCACCGGATAAGCCATGATGTAGGATAAATTACCGGATAGTTCGCGAATGGAAAACCGGAGATGAAAGATGAAAGATGAAAGATGAAAGATGAGAGCAGAGAGCAGAGAGCAGAGAGCTGAGAGCAGAGAGCTGAGAGCTGAGAGCTGAGAGCTGAGAGCTGAGAGCTGAGAGCTGAGAGCTGAGAGCTGAGAGCAGGCAGATGAAAGATGAAGATGAAGATGAGAGATGGAAGATGAGAGATGGAAGATGAGAGATGGAAGATGAGAGATGGAAGATGGAAGATGAGAGATGGAAGATGAGAGATGGAAGATGAGAGATGGAAGATGGAAGATAGAGATGAAAGATGAAGATGAGAGATGGAAGATGAAAGATGAGCGTTTCTAAGGGGAGACGACAGGGAGAGATGACAAAGAGAGACGAGAAGAGATGTAACAAAGACGAGAAGACGCGAGGCGAAGAAGTGAGAAGTGAGGGATTTAAGCAGGGGAAGACAGGGAGGACTGGCAGAAAAAAGAGAATTCTTTGCACTGAAGTGTTTGTTGAATTGAAAGAGTGAAGAAGTGAATTAGAAAAATGGGTGTGAAAATGGCTCACCCGGGTGGCTACTCCCTGCCCCTCTTCACCAGACAGAGCTATCGCCCTTGATACCTCCCTGATAGAAGAGTGTCTTGAAAGACTGGAGCAGGTTTTGCCGCTATTGGTATCAGTGACGAAGGCTGTCTTCTCAAAGACTTCGCTATACGAACTATCGTATGTGGATTTGCGGCTGCGAGAATGACATACCTGAATAGCTGCTTGAGGCCTTTTCACGTTATGGATAGTGATCGTTGTTAAAGGCAACCGCAGTCGTTACTCCCATCTGTGGACTGTCTTGGATGAAGGTGATGGATTCTTCAGCCTTTGGGACGAGAAAATCATTGGTATCCTGTGGTTGCGAGGTCTAGGATAGGTGTCAGCTACAGCAAGAATATGGCTAATCGAGGGGGTAGCGACAGATGCCTTCTTAGATATATCTGACGAAGATCCCCTTTAGGGAACTGGGACACGAGGTTGTCAGAGGTTGAATCTTGAGAGGTGTGTCTCACCTCATAATCCAGCCAGCCCCCCCAAAAAGAGTGTAACCAGTCAAGCACTTTCGACAATCAGGATGGTTTCAGCAGATCCGTTTGAAAACTATAAAGTTTAGAATTCAAATCATCCCATATGTGTACTCAGTGGCCACAGGTGGGGTCAGGTTGTAATGAGGCAGATGCACTGTGGTTAAAGGAGGTGGAAAGTTGAAAGAATTATGGATTCAGTGAGAGATATGCGAAGCAGGCACCGCTTCTACGGGGTTCTCCGCCCAGATTCTTTGGGAATATCCGCTTTGAGCAGTCTCGGTGAACGGCAGATCTTATTCACTCAAGTCCAATATCTGCTGGTGTCATTTCCATTCATCAAGAAGCTTAGAGAGCATATATACGATGTTCTCTTCTACCTCTGGTGCCACTTCGTCTTCCAAACTGGCATGAAACTACTAATGCCGGGGTGCAGGCCCAACTCATCTGGCCTACTTTGGAAACTTCAACCCCACATATATATATATAGGATCAGCAACATCAATTATGGGTGGGCTGTCTAAGCGAAAAATTGACCATGAAAGCCGCGAGATGGGAGCAAAGTAAGTACATTGTTTTGCCATAGAATAAGTTACTAATATGATATTTATAGATGTGCTTATGATAAGTGCTTAATGCACCAGATTGGCATCCCACGGGACGCCAAATTCGTCACTCTATATAAAATGGATTGGGGCTTATGCTCTACGGATAATATCAACCTTAATCGCAAGCTGTGCTTGCTAGCGGAAGCTGTTTTCGCTAGTATACTTGGTGCATATATGGGAATAGTGAGTAAAGAGCTACGGATGACATGTCCGTACGGAGATCCCAAAATAGTATTCGATTGGGCTGGGGCATGCACGCATTCATCCCTTTCAGAGTCGCAAAGACTTATAGGTAAGAATAAGCAACCAAAGGGCAGTACGCGTCAACGCATACCAGGGAGTGACGAAAGAAAAACATCAGCAATATGATTCCATCATTGCAATCGGTCCTTGAGACGCATAAAGAACAAACAGATACTGATCCATGAGTGTTTCCTCTCATAAAGGAAAGTATTCGAAAAGAAAACGGGAGTTTTTGAAAAGCGCCTGACGCCTTGATCGTCTTGCAATATCGCATCAAGATAATTGACCATTTTGGGCGCTCATTATAAGCAGAAGAGAATCCTGAACCTATTCTATATCCACTTGCTGCGGCAGCGCCTGCTAGATCATCTTCGCACTATACGAGCGAGCAAAAACGGCTCGTGTGGTTGGAGGAGTTGAAGGTGTGTATACCGTCCATACCTTGCCAGAAAGAACTTTCATGCTCTTGATGCGACAAAGCTGACGAGCTCCCAGTCTGATTGCATGCAACTAAGAAATCATTGAACATGGGCTATGGTTCAGAGAAGTCGGTATTCTAGCACAGATACTAGGTATGGCAGTATCGAGAACGCTGAACGTGTACCCACCTTTGCACTGCCATTTCATGATATGTATTTAGTAGCAGCTCCTAGTATATCAGGGAAATTCAACTGCTTGACAGTAAACCCTGCAGTTCATGATGCGAGATGTGCCAAAGTCCGGACTTGGTTCGTTTACCTTGCCTAAGTACGCGGACTTGCTCGAGCCACGAATGCCACGGGACTAAGTAGTTGCCGATACTTGACACACGGGTTACAGGCTACAACAGGTACAAGTCTACTCCTGACAATGCATTATTGAAAGTATCATTTTATGAAGTCTAAGCCTCTAGCTAAGTAGGTAGCTTAAAGCCTCGGAATCGTGATCGTCACATGACTCATATCTCCCCCATTCTGCCAGGTGTAACCGCTTATTTCTTGGTAGCCTTCTGAGCAGCCTTGGTGACCTTACCGGCACCACCGGCGGATTTCTCAACAGACTATAGAGAAAAATGTCAGTTTTTGAACACGAATTTGAGCGTTTGTAAAGGAAACTCACCTTATTGCAATTTATTATGTTACAGCGCCTTTTCTTTTCTTTTTGATTCTCTTTGCCGATCTGATGAAAAAGGTTTTCATCCAGCTAATCTGACACCATACTTGAGTACTTGACCGATTGGTCGGCTCGTCTGGCCCGTGCGCGGATTCCAACATCGGGGAATCGCCGCCAGCTTAACATCACGTTCGGACGTTGTGGCATGAATTATGCTTTCCTTCATCTAATTTCGTCTAATTGGCAAGCACTGAATCACCAATTCATTCGACAATTGGGAGGAAGTTCTGCGTTCTGCTGCTGTGTAGGCTTGGGTTGTTTCGGAGCCTTCTGACGACGGACTCATTAAGGACCTTCGTGCATAGAACATGAGTCGTCTACTGACTTGGCGGCCTCTCCCCTACAATGGAGACCTCGAAATACAAGTGTTCTATTTGTGGCAGGATTTACTCCAGCAAGAATCATATGCGGCGCCATGAAGCAACCCGTAAGTGCTCTCCGCAATTATTCGTCTCATAGTCCATATGAATAGCTAACAGGCTGAGTATCCAGACAGCAGCGAGACTCGTATTATCTGCGAATTCTGTTCTCGAGAGTTCCGTAGAAAGTGAGAAATCTTCAATGACCTCGACTGCATTCGAAAGTGTGGACTGATGCAGACAAGAGACGTTCTTCTGCGGCATTACAGGAGCTGTTCACACAGAGGTTCTCAACCAATCCCACAGGCTAGAAGACCAGGAAGACGTCGAAAAGCTTGCGATAGGTGCGCTAGAGCTCGAATCACATGCAGCGGTGAAATTCCTTGTGCTACCTGCAAGACCCGTGGCCTCTCCTGTACGTATCAGCGGCTTCGGAGTCCGGAGAAGGGTTCAGATTCATGGCTGGAAAGGAGTAGGGAATCAAATAACCACCGTCTTCTGAACGGAGCGAATGAGGAGACATGTCGTGTTGATGACAAAGTCCCCATTCCTTTCCTACTCAATTATACTCATCCGTCAAATCAGACACCCGAAACTTCAAATCGAGTACTCACAGAGTTCGGACCAGATGATGCCAACCACAGGTGTCCAGAGACCTCTGTATCTGATTCTGGTACTGATGCCATACTGGAAGACCTTTTCTTCAATGAGGCATGGGAAACCATATTTGATCCTCTAGCGACATTCGAACCACACAAAACCCCGTCTTCGCTAGGTCTAGAGTCCCCGCATCTATGCCAGCTAGCTGCTGACAGGATGGTGTCAGAACTCAAGGACGTAGCTTCAGCGCATCCAAGATACTTTGAGAAATTTGACCCAGATCATGCACAGAAATTTTTCTGCTCTGAAAATGTGGCAGACTCCATAGGAGCCTATTTTCAGCGGGCGCATATACCAATTCGCATCATCCACAGAAGCTGCTTCTATCTTGAAACAGTCTCTACATCATTACTTCTTTCGGTATTCTTGATTGGTACCATATGCCAACCAGTGGAGAACCTTTCTCCGCTTACTATACAATACGCGGATATAATTGAGTGGTCGGTATTTGAAGACCCTCAGTTCCTTCGTCTCATGTATATGAAGCAAGAGGAAAATCCTAGCCAGATTGCAGGCGACAAACTAGAGTTTGTTCAAGCTGCGCTTCTTGTGATCATCGTGCAATCAGCAAGTCCTAGTACCGAAGTCCGGCGTCGTATTCGCGTTGTGAGGGTACCTGCCTTACTAGCAGTTGCTCGCGCTTTGTCCCTGACGAAGGTTCAGAGCAGATGGAATGATAATTATGCCCTTTTGGATCATCGCATCTTCATCGAGGATGAAACGCGCATCAGGTATGCGACTACATGCGAATTATTTGGCTACACACATACCAAGACTAATGCGTAATAGGACAATGTGCTTGGTTTTCGTCATGGATTGTCGGTTCGTCATGTTCTACAATAACCCGCCTTACCTCAACCCACTAGAACTACAGTTCGACTTGCCAGCGGGAGACGAGGGAATAGACATAGCGGACGATAAATCATGGGAGCCTTGGGCGTTAGACCAAAGGTCGCATGGGCGACCCCCTTCGATGAATGAATTAATGCAGGCCTTGATGTGCAACCAATGGACCGGCCCTGGTGATCCGCAATTTGGCAATTTGAGCATCTTCAACATGCTTCTACTTATGCTCGGTGAGATATATTCTGAATATATTCAGATGAAGACTAATCGATCACAAAGGATTTCATTCTATAATATTCGGAATACGCAATAGCTTCTGTGACATGTCGAATGCTCGAATACAAGTTGACCGCAGCCTCACTCGATGGAAGGATCTATGGAACAGATGCCTGGAAAGGTCGAGTGCTGACCAGATCCGCCGAGCCGGGTTTATGGTCCAGGCAGCTCAGGACTTATGGCATTACGCGGGGCTCTTACTTCGAACACCGGCATCCAAGACTGGCCCCATTGCAAATGATACGATCACAAATGTTCATCGCGTGCTGAAAGAACCTTGACTCGACTGTCGACTAATACTGATCACTCGAGATATCACAATTGAACTTATCTGGTAGCCCTTCTGTGTTTAGAAAATACCGATATTGATCACTCAAACTTCCACAAAGCCAGCCCCAGTGAAGTACTCAGCGTGGCAACAGCCACAGCCCAAGCAGCATATTGAGCCTGCTTATTTCTTAGGAGGTATCCGCGGTCCCATATCAAATGCTTTGTCCCATTGAAACAGTGGTATGCAAAGGGCAACACAGCGCCAAACTTCACGGCGACCTTTGTTCCCGGTGGAAGTGACCCGAATGCCTCAGCTATAGTTGTCGAATCCAGATGGAGACCCAGCACTGGCGAAAGAAGGTACACAATTGCGAACCCATACAGTCCTCCTGTGAGAATACCACCGGTGATTCGATTCAGTATGGATGCCAACGAGGTGTACCGCCACTTGTAGATGGTGAGATGGGGAGAGACCGGACGCTTAGTGCGTTGTACAGCGAGCCTAGCTTGCGCTTCTTGGGGTGTCATAGTTTTGAGAGAAGCAATATGGCTACTGTATCTGATTTGCATAGTCAGTCTTTGTAGCAAAGTCTAAGATAATGAGGTCGAGAGTTCGCACCTAATGCCGTTATAATGACCCACGAATCTTAGAATCGTCGGGCTCCCGATAGGCCCATGGGCAACCGTTGGAGAGATGTGCAGAATAGCTACATGAACATGTCAGTCTGAAGGATATAACAAAGCGATAGAGCATAGTGATTTAAACTGATCAAGCTCCCAGAAGGTTCGCTGCATGGGACGTATGTACCTCGAGGACATGTCTGTCCTAGCTTCCGGCCATGATAAAACATCAGAGCAGACATTGTAGATATTCACAACCTCCCGCAGGGAGAAAAGTCTAACGATTTGATTCTGGAGATAGCTCGATCACGGAAATCGAATAAAAAGAACAAGTCTATCATCCAAAGACTGGCAGGAAAATATGTACTTCTTGTTGGAGTGGGCCAGCGAAATACCCACCGACTCGGAGAATACCCACATGGAAGCCGAAGATGGAATGCATTTCATATCTAACCAACTAAGTCGCGTCTTAAAGAGGCGAATAATTCAAAGAGGAAATATTTTTGCTCAGTGGTGTCCTTGCACCAGGCACTTATCTGATCTCTTGATATCTAAGGCCATATCTCATGCACATCACGAGGCTGAGCAGTATAGAGAATCAGCCTCCCGTCACCAAGTATGCAGGTGCGATTCTCCCCGATAAGAACGACAGACACTCCGACGGCGGTACTACGAAAGAGCCTTAGTCTATATCGCCGTATAAGCTACTGAAAGGGTAACAGTGAATGTTTCCGTTCGTGCTGCATACAATGCATTATTGCACTCGCTTGAGCCCCATGAACATGTAACCCATCAGCCACCACCAACATAGAACTCTCAGATATTACTCGTCCATGAGAGACTACTCTACTTAGAGTAGTTATTATGCGCTGCAGGGCCGGCGATGATCAGCGTTTCTGATCTGTTCGTGGCGCAAATCGCGATCTCTAAATGGTGCAGTTATCGCTGCAATCATCGAGCGGCGCTACTTAGAGATCCCAGATCTCTTGAACCTATCAGAGTAATGACTCCCTTTGAAATCGGCTAGCACAAGAAACAATAAGAAGAAACACATACAGTCGCATGATTTCCTCCTCGATACGCAACTACTGGAGTTCTGAGTGAACAGCCAAAAAAAGGTCTCTTATTGTTTCTTACTGTTGGTAATATGTCAGGGTGTGGTCGTTATCAGTGGCTACCTATATGGGTATTCTTCCGTTATTTATGCGAACCCCTACCGACCATGCCATCATTTTGAGGCACAGCCACGACGATATCAAACTGCCGCAGCAGTTGCAGTTTAAGTGTGCCAGGGCCTCTTCTCTAGGCTGCAGGTGTTCTGGAAAATCATCATATAAGAATGGCTTCTTTCCAAAATATCTCTGGTGCTTTTGATGGGTATAGAAACATCAGCTAATATTCTCCACAAGACTCCAGTTAACTTGGAGAACATTTATCGATAAAGCCATATACTGAATCCTGTTCAGACACCAGCTACATCATCTATGGCTTTCTACCGTGCCTCCCCCTCCCCCTCCCCCTATGACCTTCGATCAATCATCCAACTCTATCCAGAACAGGAGCCATGGTGTGTCGGATTTGCAGTCACCAGAGGCCGTCGATGCCACAATCAAACCAGCGCAGTGAGCCGCGAAAAGGCGTGTTCCCTTCTGGACAGAGGCACCCGGGACCTTGCACAAGGTCTTGATATCAATGACCTCCTGGATCAGTTGGCACCCCTAGTTCTGTGCAAAAGATGGCATCAGTATGAGTGCCACGACCTGGTCAGCAGATGGGCACGGAAAGTTGAAGATTTCCAAATGAGACAGAACCGAGCCTCTTCGATACGGACGACACCAACCAGAACAGTCAGTCGTTCGTCTTCGTCCTCGCCGTCTACTCTGGGATATCCGTATACGCCGGGATATTCTGAGACCAACCACTACAGACGGCATGGCTCACCGGATGAAATATGCAGCGCCCAGCGCATTAATGATCTCCTGCAAAGCATGAGTGATCGACTCGACAGGGTGGTTGAATCGTTGGAAGATTCAGGCCAACCTTCTGTTCGTCAAAGGGACAACAGTGCACGTTCTACAGCGGGCAGACCCGCACAGCGACAAGCATCTAGTCTCGCCGCCGGTGCTGCTACATCAAGAAGCGCTTCACGAACTGTCGAACCAGATGATTCCTCAGTCCGAAACAGAGGCTCTACATCTACATCAACCAGAACCGAAAGGATATCGGGGCGCACCAGAAACTCATCTGGAACAAGACAGTCCTCGTCCACCGCTACTACTAGAGAGACACCATCTACAACCACAGTATCAGGACCTGACAACCTGCGTACAATTTCTCCTACACGGCCAACAAGAGTAAGAGTCTCGCTAGTAAGAGTACCAGAAGTCAACATCAGCAGAATCACATCGACACCCACAACCACAAGACGCATCGTTACCCAGAAACCTATCGAGGGTGACTGCTCAATTTGCACAAACTCTCTTATCCACGAAGAAGACCACTCCACTGAAAACAGTTCGGGAACAGAAAACGAAAGACAGTCATCAGGTCAACTCTCCTGGTGCAGGGCCCAATGCGGGAATAATTATCATAAGGAATGTATTGATCAATGGCTTTCTACCTGTCGAGACATGTTTCGTAATCCGACATGTCCTTATTGTCGAGCGCAGTGGGTGGAGTGAGAAATGATTTTTTTTTTCTTGTGATTGGTACTTTCTGGCCTTTATTTCTTGATCGTTATTCTCTCCATTTCTTATTCGTGCTTCGTTATGATGCGATGTATATTATCATGCTTGTTGATGTTATAGACGTTTCTTGATGTCTTTTTCTTATATATGTTATGTCATGTTGGTTCCAAGATGTGATTTACCACTGTATGAATGATAGAGTATCAGAAGTTCAGCTTTAGGCAATTCTGCGATCAGAAGTGACTATGTAGCATCACGTAAGAGCGGTAGAATATAGTTACTGGAACAGTTGATCTTCTACAGTTGTTGTAGGTCTCTGAAAAGAGGTAATAGTGGGAGCCAGCTTATGGCAATTGATCTTTCGCTACAAATCCAACAGACGTGTCATGGTAGTTTCTTGACATTCATAAACATCAAGTATATACATGGGATAAATGGGACGAGGATAATGATGAAGGGGTATGATGGGATAAATGGCGGTCGCGCTCGACTATTATGTCCGCCTTCGCGGCTACTCGTCCGCCGGAGGCTACAGGCCTTTGTCAAGCGAAGTCTGCCAGTGATGACCTTGTCCTTGTATGGGTTATTTCACTATTACAATCGCCACAGGCAGCGAATCCGCCATTGGAGAAATCAGGTGTAGGTCTAGAAGTATCTGGTCATATCGCATTGCCTGGATCAAGGCTCTGTCCAATCCACTTGCTCTGTGACCGGGTTACCTCCATCTTTTGAGTATGTTACACGCAGACGGAGACGAAGCTTTGGTGGGAGCGCCTACAAAGATAACAGTTAGTCAGACATCCTAGGACAGAGTCTATATGTTGTTTATGACTTACCCCACTAACAGCTGCCACCTTCATTCCCTGCGTTCCCTCCTCTCCTGCATCCAGATCGGGCTTGTTCATAGCGTTAAGCTGCAGACGCTGGCTCTTGGGCACTGCCGCCTGCAAACCCACACCGGTAAAACGGTCAAAGTTGGATGTGTTTCGGAAACGCGCTAGAATCTGCGCAGCACCGCTTGCATTCCGCTGCACTTGCAGAGTGAGGACGAGATCATTCTTGTTAAATGCAGTATGGGCAGGGGGTGCAGACGACGGTGACGGAGTGGGCACTGGCGATGCAGCAGGAGCCGCTCCAAGACCAGCCAGCAGATCTTGGGAAGCAGAAGTAGATGGAGCAGGGCGGCTGGGCTGCGGTGTTCCGTTGCCACCAAAAAGATCCATGATCGCACTGGTGTTGGACGCAGGCGCAGGTTGAGGGGCAGGCGATGAGACGGTAGAGTCGCCTCCGAGAATATCAGCCAGCAAATCTGCTGTGTTCTGGGAGCCATTGATAGCTGTCGGCGTAGAGGGGACGTCGCTGCCACCCATCAAGTCGAGCAGCATATCCTGCTCGGTCTGCTTCGGTGCCTTCTTTGTCTTGTCTTTGAGGATTCTGCTTTGCCGCTTATTCGTCGGTTGTCCAAGCACTCTCTGCTCTTCGCGGATCTCCGGAGGCGGCATCTTTTCGAGGACACCACGGCGAATCTGATCGTAGCCGAATAGGTTGGTGTATTCGACAGCTCTCTGCTGGATCTCGACGCTGAGATCAGCAGTCCGGCTGCTGAGAAAGCGACGTATCCGTTCAATCTGCGCAGGATCCGACATGCGCGTAGAGAGCTTCATGGAAGCTGTGATGATATATTCCGTGACGATTTGAGAGGCGTAGGTGCTGTTGAGAATGTTCAGGAAGAGGTCGATGATATCACTCTCCTTGACTTCCTTGACCAATTCTTCTTCCTCGTACTGTCCCCCACGGAGCAGATTATCACCATATTCACCAATGACCCAGGCTGCCGCTAGAGTGAGACCTTCCTGAGAGATGTCTTCCTTTAGGGAGGCGTATAGCTTCTGCACAGAATAGGTCTGCAGTTCCGGTGTGGTCGCGATAAGCCGCACAAATGAGGACAGGATCTGCTCCTTCACATAGTTGCCTGCAAGTTTGAGCACCCTAAGCATCGTGTCAACGTGCCAGCGCTTGTTCGGTGCAAACCGGTCCGCGGCAATTCCAATCTGGGTAGTCATGACGGGCTTGAATTCATTGTCCGCTACCTCCAAGAAAGCAAGCAGTTCTCGCACCAGGACGCGGATATTACTCTCGTTGATCAAGGTAAAGCTGAGGTCGAGGGCACGGCGGCGAATGCTGATATCCGGGTCCCGCAGACATTCCAAGATAGTGTTGCGATGTCTCTGGACGGCATTGGGCTCTACCGCCACGACCTTGATGAGGGTGTTAAGAGCGACGTAACGAATGTTGTTGTCTTTGTTCGCAAGGAATTTTCCAAGAATATTCACGCCCAAAACTCTCAGGCCCGAGTCTGCCTCGATGTCCAAGATCGTCAACACAGCTTCGTACAGAATGGCATTTCCAACGTTCTTTGACGACTCCGTGTTCGTTGCCACCTGGGCCAGAATATCGTTGATGAGCTCGCTGGTCGCTACATCGCCCCGGCCCAGGACGCGCAAGAATCGCAAGATCTTCACCTGCAGGAACGGGTCTGTAATTCCTGAGACGTCGTGTTCAGGGGCGTATCCAGAAGTCGTCAAGCTCTTCAACGTGCGAACCAACCCGCCAGCCAGTGGCCGGAACGCTTCAATGACGCCTTCCGGGCCCTCCTCCGACTCCTCAGCTTCACAGAAATCTGTCGCCAGCGTCAGTCCACACAGCAGGACGCCGTGGTTCCGATCGGAAAGTAGCAACTTGGCTTTCTCCAAGAAGTGCTCCTGTAGATCGGGAACCTTGCGACAGATCCGCATCGCGCAAAGCGCAGCCTTCCGTCGAATATAGGGATTCGCCGTTGTAAGCAGAGATTCGATTTCGGGGAAAAGATCTCGGGACATCTCGACGGACGCGATATTACCTAGGGTGCAAAGGGCGAGACCGACGACGTATTGATTGGAGTGGTTCAAGTCGCTGCTCATGTCAATGTACCGCTTCTGGATATTTCCCGTAACACGGAGACTCACTTCTTTAGCGAATTCGTAACTAATGTCAGGACCTCCTGGTTCTCATCTAAAAGCAACATGGTCCCCAGATAACCCAAGCGCTTGTCTGCAAAGCGCGGAGACGCCAGCAACTTCAGACATTCTATTTGACCAAAGTGCGTACGTTCTCCGAGGGTGAATAGATACAGTAGCTTCGCTACATTGTTCCTCCTGCGTTCCTGGTATGAGTCGCGGCTCCTATCCTGAATCGATAGACAACTAACCGTATGTTTGAATCGTGGCTCTCTTCTCTAAAGGAGGCACGGATGGCCGCACTCTCCTTCTGAACAACTGCCCGCTCATCCGCGATCGTCTTTGCGGATCGGACATTGCGAATAAATTGCTTGACTGCACGCGTTGGTCAGCCTGGAGACTGCGGACGGGACACGGTGTAGAGGATAAGTGGCATTGTGGGGGAGTACGTACGAGAAGTCATTGTGGCTTCGAGCACCCCCGACGGGGTGAGACAACTCTGGGAACGTCACAGGGTATTGAAGTCGAAACCAAGATAAATCCAGCAAGACAGTTCCGCACAGCCTGACGTCCTCCCCGATGCCGTGGCGGTTGGATGCTTGTTGATGCACGGAGAGATGCTCGCACGATGCTTGTCTTGGCCCGCCTGGCTGGAGCACGGGGTCTGGGTAAGTTACGGGGACACGATACCGTATCAATACAGACCCCGTATCAGGAGAAATACGTGCTAGTCCATAATGATCTTAGCGTAAGGCGGTGAGCGTTTCGGGTTCCCGTGACATGGTCTTACATAATCTGGACCGCAGAGAGTTGATGATTGATGAATCATCAACTAATCATTCCAACTTGCAGCTGTCAACGTCCTCCGCGCGATGCCGTACGGTAGAGCTGAATCGGATGCTTTGGATGTCCTTTCTTTTGCGGAGGCAACAATCCTGGAACTTCCGTCCTTCCGAGCAGCCGGTATACGGGTCGTTTACCGTCCGACGTGGCTCTTTCAACGGGCATTGCAAGTAGATAGCGTCCGGTCGATCGCGCCCCCCGAGTCCGACCTCGAGGGGGCTGACGTAGTTTAAACAAATAACTATCTACCCCCCAACCCAAGGCAGCCCCCAATGTCGCAGCTTATATCTATCTATTAGCCACTGAACCCTTCCAACTACAGCTGCGCGAAGTCATCGTCTCGACTTCTAAAGAAGAGTTGAACCATCAAAATGTCGACGTCGGTCGCAAATGGCAGTGCGACTGAAACACTACGGCCGCGTAACAAGGCCTCCAATAAACGGGAGGAGCAACCTCTACCGTCGCCTTTGGAGAAACTGGCCACAGAGGAATCTAGGTACGTGATTGAAAGAAACACATGAATTCTCCCCTACTCATCAAGATACCGTCATAGTGGCACTTCAACCCCCGTGCCCGAAGATGCGCCTCCCTCCGTCCACTCCCTTTCTTCCGCCAGGAAACAGGTGCGAGCACGACGCCGTCTGTTCTATACCATCGACTACGTTCCCCGCGTTTCGCATTTCGATCCGGAGAGCGATTATCATGACTTCCACGGATTCTTTACTCTCTTCTGGATCGGTCTGTCCATCATGGTCGTGACCACGATGCTGCGAAACATCAAAGATACTGGTTACCCACTGCGCGTCCATGTATGGAGTCTATTGACGGAGAACGTATGGCAACTGGCGCTGAGTGATCTGGCTATGGTGACCACGACGGGGCTGACATTGCCATTACACCACATGTCGAGGAGAAGTAAAGGATGGCTCCGTTGGTCTCAGGGGGGCATGGTTATCCAGAGCTTGTTCCAATTTGCCTGGCTCTGTCTTTGGGTGAGGTAAGGACAACTATTTAATGGAGATCGAGGTCGGGTTAAATACTAACTACACCAGCTGGCCTTTTCTGCTCGACTGGGCCTGGACAGCTCAGGTCTTCTTCACCCTCCACACGTTGGTGCTCCTGATGAAGATGCACTCCTATGCCTTCTATAACGGGCACCTGAGCGAAACGCAGCGTCGCCTGGCTTCGTTGGATAAGCCCGAATCAGCATCGATGGACGCAGCTGTCCGATATCCGCGCGTATCGCGAGATGGACATGTTCGGTCAGAGTCGCAGGAACCACCGGCGTCGGTATCCAAGCTCCGGGAAGATCTGGCGACGGAGCTCACTTCGCCCTTGGGAAATGTCACATACCCGCGTAATCTGTCCGTCGGGAATTACGTCGACTATCTGTTCTGTCCTACTCTCTGTTATGAGCTGGAGTACCCGAGAACTAACAAAATCCGCTGGTCAGAGGTCTTTTTCAAGACCTTGGCCGTATTTGGCTGCATTAGCTTGCTCACATTGATCACGGAAGAGTTTATGCTTCCAGTCCTCAGCGAGGCAAGCGTTCAACTGCAAATCCACAGCACTATGGCCGATAAAGCGTTGATCCTCGCCGAAACTATCAGTATGCTCCTGTTTCCGTTCATGCTAGCCTTCCTCTTGGTGTTTCTGGTCATCTTCGAGTATGTGCTGGGCGCCTTCGCGGAGATCACCCGTTTCGCAGACCGTCGCTTCTATTCTGACTGGTGGAACTCCTGTGATTGGTGAGACTTCTCCTTTGCCCTATCATCAATTGGAGCAATGCTAATTCTGTTGGCCAGGCTCGAGTTCTCTCGTGAGTGGAACATCCCAGTCCACCACTTCCTCCGACGCCATGTGTACTTTTCCTCAAAGACACACTTCTCAAGCTCTGTCTCCATGTTCATTACCTTCTTAGTCAGCTCCATCGCGCATGAACTGGTCATGGCTTGTATCACCAAGAAGCTGCGTGGCTATGGATTCCTCACCATGATGCTACAACTACCCATCATAGCTATTCAGAGGTCCAAGTTCATCAGGGGCCGGCGCGTCCTCAATGTAAGCTTGCCTTCTGTCACCCCCTACACTGACGAACCGAGTTACTAACCACTTTAATCAATAGAACGTCTGCTTCTGGTCCTGCATGATCATTGGGCTTTCGATGGTAAGTGCATAGATCAATCCCCTTGGCACTTCTTAACCCTACAAGTTTCCACCAAGAGACTCGATCGAACAACAACTTATAATCTCTCTTCCAGATGTGCGCCCTCTATGTCCTTGTCTGAATCAAAAGACATCGGCAACCAGTCGAAATCTCACCATCTACATCTTATTCCCTGTACAATAGTTGCCCCCTACACTGTCGGTTAGTATACCCGCATTACTCACGGTCGTACTTTGTTTCCGGAAAAAGCACAACCATCAACAACAACAATAATAGAACACACGGAAAAGGGCAGCACGGACAGGTCTTTTTCTTTCAAGAGATACCCACAAATACCTTTTTAAAAACCTATTACGCTTTCCCTAGCATTGACTTTAGGGTCCGGAGTCTAATTCATTGAGGAAGGGTTCTCCATATCCCATATCCACATCTCATCGTTTCGCTTCTATTCGATTCACTTCAACCAACTGTATTAAATACTGACCTTCCTTTTTTCCTTTCCCCCGAGCTTTCGATTTTGGCTTGTTTTGGTTATATTCGTGCAATTCAGTCTCTGTATCGATAATACTTAATTGTCTTCTTTCATGCCCTTGGACGAGCTTTTTTCGGCCAATGCTTGGCTAGAATGGATCATCGCATGTTTAGACGTTGTGTCCGCTAGGTCTTGAGTGCAGTAGAAATTCAATTGATGTATATAAGATCAAATATTCTCTTCATTCATGATCTGTAGGCTATGTAGCAATGACTATATGTCGACGAGATAGTGGCAGATGGATGATAAACAAACAAGATGTAGTCAATGAACGAGATGCGAGAGCATGAAACAATCGCTTTACCCGAACGCCAATCCTATGATGAAATGCGCAAAACGAAAAGTCTTCAAGTCACTTGAGCCCAAAGCGCCAGTCTAGAAAGTTCGGGAATAGGGCGGTCAACCCATTTCTGAGAAATCCAGTATTGAAACTCTTAACGGTTAGGTAGAAATACGACCTTTGGGATCATCTGGCATGATGCTGTCTTGGGTGACTAGCGGAGTAGTCAATTTGGTCCTCTTGAGTATATATATCGGTCAACATCTGTGACATAGGCTCCCCAAAGAGTCGTTGAAGTCTTGCCGTAATGTATTCGTAGACTCAGAGTCACAAGGCAGGAGCACAGCTCCTGTAATATCCACTAAAATATGGCAGGGTTTAAATGTGCTCGATAGGCTCCTCGGGGAGCAATTCTTCCCTTTCTCTCCGGCTTCTGGGTATGCAGGCCTTCAGTGGCGGTCTCACAATGTCATTGAAGACAAAGGTGCCATAGACTAGCATGGCGAAACCAGCAACTTGAAGCCACTTGAACGTCTCCCATCCCAGACCAAGAGAGACCAGCCAGATAAACAGGGTACGACAAGTGTCGATGGTGCTGCGAGACGTAGCGGACACGGTTCGAGTAACGGAGAGACCAAAATAGTTGAAACCGCTGCAAAATAGATTGTCAGATTCAGGATGCAACTGGGAACTGGAAACGGTGGGAGACACATACCCGATACTAACCATGATGAGCACACTGGATACTGCGACAGCTCGATTGGTGGTGATTTCATGCCAGCCTTCCTTGAGATCAAAGTAGCCGTACCTGCCGGCTTCTGTCCGTCCGATGGCCAGGTGCAAGATGACCATACCCACAGCAGTGACAATAAACCCAAAGATACCTTCCCAGCCAACAACCTTCAACGGTTCCAAAGCATAGTGCTCCAAAATCCACTCCTCGAGAACGAACTGGGTCGCAGTGAAAATCTGAGCGCCAGCGATCAAGAGCACGCCAATGATGGTGCGCACAGCCTCTGGTGTCCTGGCTGTGGCATGAACATCTTCCACTGCCCTCGAAACGACAGCCATGGCATTTCCTACCACATCATCAGAAGCCTCACCGCTATCGCTGAAGAGGGCACCAGCGAGACCAACGAGGCCTACACCAACAACCACGATCACCAGGGACAGCCACTGGTAGAGGTACAATTTCCTGCGAAGAAACAGGACGCTGAAGAGCCCGACAAAAAGGACGAGTGCTCCACGGGTCATCTGGTAGATGCTTGCCGCCACGAAGAGCAGGCCCACGTTCATCAGTGTCGTTCCAGCGATGTCGCAGCACGCCGGCGCAGCCAGCAGAATAGTCTTCCATCCTTCAAGCCTTATTCGCGTTTCATCATTGGGAACAAGCGGCTTGTTGATGGGGTTTGGTCCACCTGGTCCTCCCAGGGTGCGGTCTTCGTCGTCGTCATCGGCAGCATCAACATTGTTGACCGGCTGATAACCGCCGGCTAGAAGAGGTGCAGTGTCGGCTGATCGGCGAGTAGTGTATCGAGAATATATCCAGGAGAGGAATACGACGAGCCAGGAGCCCATTTCTCCAATAAACATCTGGGCACTGTATTGAGGGCTCGGTCATTAACGTAGCTCAGGGTTCAAACAGACTGGAGCAGACGGGAGAAGCTTACGTCTGGATCACCGGCTGTTCGAATAATTTCCGCTCTTTCGGGTCAGGAGAATGACAATTCCTGACACATTGCATGTCCTGAGATATCAACGTTAGCACTTTCTCCGCGTCTGACATCGGAGCAGCGGATTATCCCCAACGGACCTGGTACTTGCTCAGAAGAGTATTGCAGACGCCGGTCAGAAGCATCATCCCGACAAGGAACGGGATGAGTGCCTTGGGGGCCATTTTGACTGCCGTTGCACTCAGCGTCGTAAAGAGGATACAATGGATGGCAAAGAGCTTCTTGGAGCTGGGAGCTCCTGTCGTCGAAGTGGAGCTTCGGAAGGTAGCAACTCCAGTGAGTTTGGAAGCCCTGTGCAGGAACGGTGTTATCTTAGTATAAGGATCTCCTTATCTGCTGTCCATCCTACCTGGCTGCGATACCAGGATACAGTTCCAACGACAAGAGATGAACCCTAGATGAGAGATGACGGGTTGCGGTGATGATACAGAAGGCCCATGGGTCTGGAGTCACGCGTCCGCCTTATCGGCTGATCGGCGGGTCTTGGCACTTTCATCGGAGATAGTCTTAAGTTATCCGTGTTATCCCGTAGCGTGATGGTACAGTACTACAAATGATAGTTATGGGCCTTCGTTTTCATTTCTAGAAGTGCATCAACATAAGGTTGTACGTTGTTCCTATCTATAGTGGATCGAACGAGAAAATGAATACTGTTCCAGGCGCGCATAAATGGCATACTCTACGCCAACTCTCCATAATAACTGGCATAGAACGACATTGCAAGAAGACATAGCGATCAAGAACCTCAAAAAGTGTACAAAGTATCCTTGGTATCATCGTAACCCGCAGGCATAAAATATTGGAACAAGAAAAGACAAAAGAAGAAGAAAAGAAGCCAAGATCATTCTCCCCATCTCCAATGCCCCTCAAAAGGTCAGCATCAAACTTTTCTGTCCCGCAAAACGCCCTCGCTCGATCAAGAGAAAAGTAAGACAAGGGAACACAATCCTGATGGAACAAACATAGTCCTGGCCCAGAAGGTCTTGTAGTGTACAATCAGCATCTGTCCTCACGCCACAGAACGAAAAAGAGGCCACATAATCAAAAGCGCCACCGAGGTTGCTCTCCCTCAGATGGTAGGTGAGAGATTAGATGGCATAGAGATCAATCGGTCCGCTATCAAAACTGAGCTCTGCGTCTTTATGATCGATAGTGTCCCAGTTGAGATCTTCCCATCGGTCATTCATCAACAGATCAAGTTCACCCTCAACGTGGCTAGGAAGATTTACCCAGTCAGCGGGAATCCAATTGTCGTCGCTCACACCACTGATCTTAACGTCAACATCTTTGGATGGTTCAGCATCCTTAGGCGTCTGAGTAACCGCGCCCGTCTCAACCGAGTCCGGTGTGTCTTCCGCCGTGTTCTTGCTGAAAGCTTCTGAGTTGAGGAACTCCTCAAGTGGGTCAAAGCCCAACCCATGCAAGCTATCATCCCCAAAGTCCATGAATGTGTCATGGATAGCCTCAAGCGAGATCGTGCTATCCGCCCACGGGTCCTTGGTTGCCGCATCCTCAGCGGACGAAATCTGCACCGAAGTCTTGCCGCCCTCTTTCCTCTCTTCTTTGCCTCCAGTAGGTCTGCCAGCAGGCGGTTTACCGGATACGGTTCTTGGGGTTTGCAACTGATTGGATGCCGGGGATGTCGACTTGGGACCAACTTGGCTGGGTACACGGCCCATAGGGGTAGCCCCGACGGTTGCTGGGGTTGCCCCATCACCCTTGATATCCTGCTTCAGGCCAACAATACCCGGCTTACTAACAACGCGCTGCATATCCGGTGCCGCAGCTGAGACCTTCGATTCCTGCACTGCTGGTTTTTCTTTGTCTTGGGCAAGAACCGTACGAAAGCTCTCCAGCGCAAACTCCAAGGGATCGCCGATTTGCTCAACTTTGTGGCTTTCCTCGACATGCTTATCCAGTGCGGCTTGCGTCACAAAGCCCTTTTGGTGGTGCTCACATTCAAGCTCAGCACACTTGAATGGACCAACCAAACCAGCTGTGGCCTTGTTGACGTCGACAGGCGTTTGCTTGGCACCTTGCGCCTTCGATGCAGCAGTGGCGGCTGCTTGGCCCTGAGCTGGGGTACCAGGAGTTGTGCCATGGGACTGCTTTCTCTTCTTTGTCGGAGGCAGTTTCAGCTTGTCTGGGGTCAACCCTCCTGGGCCGTAGGCCTGAGGAACACCTTGAGGCGAAGGGGCACCCAAAGCAAAGGGAGCTTGTGGAGCTGTGGGTGCCGGAGGAACGCTCTGAATCGAAGCACGTCGGGCGCGTTGCAGGGCTTCTTCTTGTTGCTGAAGTTGCTGCAGATTGCTAGCGTTCAGCTTTGCCTGGGTGGCCGGCTGACCAGCAGAAGTAGTGGCAGCCGCCTGCTGTGCAGCTCGTTGAGCGGCAGGTTGGCTTTGCACCTTACTGATCATGGCAGTGAACAGCTTCTTGATGTAGGTGATCGTTTGCGCCAGAGATTCAGGTGGTATGGTGAACTGGTCATTGATCGTCCAGTCTGGATCTTTGAATTGCCTCATGAGTTGAATGCGCTGTAGCTGTCATTAGCAGGGATGGCATCATACGAAAAAAAAAGCAGTGAGATTTTACTTACCATACCAAGGAGACTCCGGACACTCTTCTCCTGTCCCGGAATCTTTGCGAACCATTGCACCAACGTATCCATCCTACCTAACATATCTGTGCACTCTCTGAGTTGCTGGGCCATGACAGCCTTCTGCTCAGGAGGTATTTTCACAGGCTTGGGAGGGGGCGCATTTTTAGAAATCTCAGCATACAGAAGTCTAAGCTTTTCAGGAATATGGCCCCACGCCTCTTCCGCTGCAGCCTTTGTTATCGGGGCTCTGGTCTGTCTGCGCATGTGAGCTTCCAATTGCTCACGCTGCTGCGGGGTCATAGCAGCCAACTGTTCACGGGTGAAATTAGGGCGCGCTGTGACCGCGGGGGCTTGGGAGGCAGGTGGTTGGGATACTGGCTGAACCTTAGGAGGTGGGACCTCTGTCACCTCATCACTAGGCCTCTTCTTGGAAGCCGCCTTCGCCGGTGACGCCTTTACATTCTTTGCTGCCGCAGTGGCCTGGCTCTTAGCATTTGCTTGCGGCGTCTGTTGCGGGACCGGTTGCTGTTGTTTCATGAGTGGTGTTGTCTGAGGAGCCGGCGCTGGTTGCTGTTGAGGTTGTTGCGCTGGTTGACCTTGGTTCAGTGCTGCCTGCTGCGCAAATGCTTGGGCTGCTGCAGATTTCTGAGCTTGCATTATCTGTTTCTGACGATTCCGATGCAGCAGTTCCCTTAGCTGTTCATCTGTGTAGTTCTGTGCCTGAGCACCTAGTCTCTGTCGGGCTATATGTATGTCATTTGCTGTAATTGGACGCATCGCTGCTGCCATATTGAACGGCGGATGTTGATGCTGGCCAGGCTGGAAGTTCTGCGGTGCCATGAATGGCTGCTGGTGCCCTGGGAAGTTCGTCATGGGCAGCCCATGGTTTTGACCGCCCTGCTCCGGGTTACGATTCGCATCCCTCCCCTGGGTCAGAGTCTGCGCAAGGTGAAGTCGTTGAAGAGTGAGCAACTTTGGAAGGTCTACACCCCCAAGAAGGTGGGGGTTCTGAGCTGCCCATTGTTTAAGCTGGCCCCACGTTTTAACAGTCTTTGGCACAGGTGAATTCATATTGTTTGAATTGAGGATCGACGGCGGGAAAGGCCAACGATCCATTTCCCTGACTTGTTCAGGAGTCATGTCTAGACCGCCATTCTGCGAGCGGAAGAATTGCAATTTCTGAAGATCGTTCTGTTGCTGTCGTTGCTGCAATGACATCTGCTGGCCTGGTAGCATCTGGTTCTGTGGTTGTGCACCACCCATCCCAGAAATCTGTTGCTGCAGGCCCATCGTTGCGCGCATGTTTGGGTCGTTAGACAGCTGACCGTTCGGCATTTGCGGAGTCTGGCCTGTGTGAGAAAGGTTCGGCTGCATCGACATAGACTGTTGAGCGGCATTTGCTCTTGCCATGACTTGATTGCGACGATTCATCAGAAAGGCGTTGATCTGCTCAGGCGTCATCTGAGACAATTGTTCCTGCACCGCAGGAGGCAAGCCGGGAGGTATCTGGCCTCGATTTTGCATAGCAGGCTGGCTAGGGATTGACTGGACGCCCGGAGGCTGTTGGCCCATACCAGGAGCTCGGGACTGTGGTCGAGGTTGAGCACCGACCTGGACCGGTGACATCTGCGGGCCCAGTGGTCGGTTCAGCATCGGCATGGCTGGACTGGGTTGGGCCATCGTCTGGGGAATTTGGGGATTGACCTGACCACCTTGCGACATGGCCATCTGCGCCTTTTGGGCGGCTTGGGCGCGAGCATGCGCTTGCGCTTGGGACTGAGCCTGCGACTGCGCCTGAAACTGTGCTGCTTGCTGGATCCGCTCCTGCTGCACATTATGGGAATTCTGGAGATGCTGCTGCTGGGCCAAGAAGTGAGGGTTCATGGATCGGTTGGCATTCGGCTGGCCATTCTGTCCGAGCTGTTGACCGCTTGGAAACATCCCCTGAGGCCCAGCAAATTGCTGTGGATTCATCTGAGAAGAGCTGGCAGGTACAACCAGCTGACCCGCTTCCTGCGAACGAAGACCGTCTGCCTGCTGTCCTTGGATGTTTTCGACGTTGCCGATAAATGATGTAGGATCAAGGTTTTGTTGAGCATTCATGGGAATCGCCGAATTTCGCTGAAGGCCAATCATATTTTGGACCATCTGTCGCTGTTGTGGGTTCATCATCGGGTCCTCCATCATTCCGCCACTGGGGTCAACACCTCCGTTTTGTGCGCGAGCCATCTCCATGCGATTCCGCTTATGTCTCCTCAGCTCCCTTAGAGCTTGTGAACGGAAGAAGTACGTCATCGGTTCGATATTCTTCCTTGCAAGATATTGTCTCTGCTCCTGGGTCATGTTCTGCAGGTTCATCTTGATCTTCTCCATATCCTCAGGCGAGGTCTTCAGTAGCATTTGGTTGGCTAACCGACAGACCTGCTCAAACTCTTGAGGAGACAGCATGTTGAGATCATCGCGTAGTGGCACACCAGTGCCTTGTCGCTGCTGGGCCTGTTGCTGCTGCATGAATGCTTGCTGTGACTGCTGTTGTCGTTGTTGTTGTTGTTGTTGCTGCTGCTGTTGCTGTTGCATTGCGGCTTGTTGATTCGGGTCATTCATCCCCATCGCCATCTGCTGTTGGACTTGCATCGGTGACGCCTGCATCGGCCGGTTGATCTGTGGAGCGAAACCCGGCTGCATGAGGTTCTGACGAACACCGGCCATACCTGGACCGGCTCCTGCTTGTTGCATCATTCCGCCCTGCATCACTGCGGCCTGTCGTGCCCTAGTATCTCGGATGTGAACCAGTTTATCTGTACATTCCTTCTCGTAGTCAACCTGTTGCGCAAAGATATTAGAACTTCCAAGAGCGGGTCGCACGGTTCTATGTCTTCTTGGGGCATTACCTTCTCCCTCGCATCCCTAAACGCTTTCTCCTCAAAGCTCAGGGCTGCCTGGACGGCACTCTGCAGCTCGATCCGGGGTTGAATCAGACGGAGGGACGATATCCTTGCGACAAAAATCAGTGATAAAGTACAAGCAAAAAGTAGCGAGAGAGAAAGTTGGGGAGTGCGCGGCAAGATCAAAGATGCGAGACACGGTCGTGGAACGGGTTGGAACCTGTCGCAACCCAAGGTCGCGCAAGAAAGTTAACTCACATTTGGTAGACCTTCATCGCCCGCTCCTGGATGGGCACCTCCGCCCGCCATCCTGCAAACGGGCCCTGCGACTGCAACGCTTGGGCGACATATCTCAAGATCACCTGCGCATTTTCGTTTTTCTGGGGAACTTGCACGGGGCCTGGCGGCTTGCCCGCGCCGGGCATGCCTCCGCCGACATTGGAAAAGCTTGCGGGATTCATATCAGAAGCCCCAGTGACGGGCAACTGGGGAGAGATCCGCGATAGTCGTCCTTTGACGTCAGCATTCGCTGAAGAGAAAAGCTCCTAAACCATACGGCGATGAAGTCCGAGGCCGCGATGCGAGGTAACGACGGAAGGGATCGACCAGAGACACGGTCGACGAAAAGTGTATATCGCGGGTGCTGCGGCGGGTGGAAGAATCGCTTCCTGTCTGCAGAATCATACACCCAGCAGGCTTCAGCGTCAGTGTTCGACCGCGCGAAGCAAGCAAGCAAGCAAGCGGAGAAAGACCAGCACAGCAAGGGTTGGCTTCGACGGGGGGGAATGAGCCCTTTGGGCTCCAGAGGCGGACACGGTCAAGTGGACTGAGTGTGGCAGAGTTCGAGTGAGGCGGCGTATGATTTTCTCTAGGTGGTGACAGATGACAGGGGTGGGTAGACCCGAATTAGGCGTCAGGCCGCGCTGGGCGAAACGAACGGGTGGGTGTTGGGGAAGACAGAGAGAGGGAACGGCGTTGAGGTGAGGAAGACAGTAGAGTTGATTCCAGAAAAGGGAGACCAGTCAAAGGTCTGTGAAGCCGTGGATGACCAGTGCGAACCGTGTGATCGCGACTGCGAAGAGCGGGTTTGGTACCGGTGGAACACACGAAGACTGTCGGAGAGATGGTTTCAACACCAGAGAGGGGACGGTCGCGACTGTGTGGCCGGGGGGGAAGAACAGCCGCGAAACGCACCTTTCGCAGAGACTCTCCGGGAAGGGGATTCTTTGCGGTGGTGGAGAGGAGAGGAGAGGAGAGGAAAGGAAAGGGAAGAGGGATGGTGGTGAGCTAAGGATCCATGGACGGACAGCAAGGGAGCAGATAGAAGAGTACCGTACCAGGATTAGAATCGAATAGGATTAGGATGAGGATCTGAAGGATGGGCGAAGCATGCGGAAGGTCCTTGAAGATCTGTTTGGTCGTTAGCGGGCAAAGGACTAGCGACGGGAGCGATGGAGTCTGGTGGGACAGCCAAACGGGCCGGAGAAAGCACGGCCAAGGCCCAGCAATATTATTTATTATTTATTACGACGCTGTCTTCCTGCAATTGTTCGTGGTGACTCGTGTCTTTGGTTTCATGTTGCGCTGCTGCTCCTGGACTGCTAGATAGTTGATATTCTAATAATATTCTAATAAAATACGTGGCGATCGTGCGAGAAACCGTGATGCCAACAGGTCAGGTCAGGCCTCCAGATGCACCCAATCGAGTTCCCGATGCGCTTAGACCACGTGATCTGTCATCGACCGTCTTTTGTCTAGCCAAAGAATTCAATTATCATTATTACAAGGACGACGTCGCGATCTCGGCCAAACTCCTCGTTAGACAAGCTCAGTCGCCTTTCAATGGAACTGACTACATACAGTATAGAGTAGTTAGTAGTTAGAAGTACGACAACAGGGAAATAATCCACCCGGGAAAAGCCGGTGTCCTCGCTGAAGGGATTGGGGAGCTCAACCATAGCAGCACCACGCCAACCAGCGCTGCTGCAGTGCGATGATCAAAACGCTATATAGACGCACGGACCAGCTCATTCGATTCTTCATTTCAACTCCTCTGGACACCGCCTTGTAGCTAGGTTGGCACAGGAACTCATCTCTACTGATCAAACCCAATGGCTAGTTAACTGCGGAGTATGGTAGTTTACCACCTCCGGTGTTCCAGGAACCACTGCAATTTTTGCATCTGGCCCTGGCCCGAAAGCTTCACATGACATCATCACCGTGTCTCGACCCCAGACCAGGTCGACAGCACTTGGTGGAATCCAGGAAATTAGGGCTAGTCTAACACCAGAGAACTCGTATTCATCGTTGCTTCGGTTTTTAGCGAGGTCCAGAACCGTCTCGAAGGGGTTGCCGCTCGTGAACTCACCCTTCCAATTTACTCCAGTACGAAATCCATGTTTTGACAACCCAGCGTCAGAGTTGGGACGGTGAAGTATGCTTTCCAACTATGGTTAGGTTACTGCTTCTAACAAGCCAGAGACCAGTCACGATTTTATAAGAGAGCGCACCTTGCAAATTTGAAGAGAAGACGAGATGCTTGAGGTTTCGTTCATAAATCATGCAGACTCAGGATCCTCCGCTTTCCGGTCTATCTTTCTCATCCACATCAGCAAGCATTTCTTTGATTTTTCTCGATGAGCTTGCAGTCTTCGTCTTCCAAAAGCATCTAGGTTTCGATGTCTTTCTTACCACGTTAGGTGTAACTCCATAGTATTCAGCAATCGGCATATATATAAGACGCAAAAATTGCAGACTGGATAACACAAATCAAGACATGCAACAATGTGATCTCATCAATAGATGTTGCCAGGAGGAGACAATTTCCTTGTCAAACAAGTTGAAACGCCGATGCAACGAGAAGCCCGCAGTATAATACCGGCTGTTAAGTTCCAAGAGCCGAATCCTCAGTAAGGACTTTATATCCGCAGTGAGCCTTCCTGGTAAATGTTAAACTACAGATATTCTGTGTTCTACGGTCGTACTCGTTTTCCAACTTCTCTGATCTTCTATCTGATAATCTTCAGTTGGCATTAGTGTCCTATATTTAGTTTCGGTTTCCGGTTTGGGAATGATGAACTTGGATGTACACGCACTCGTCACGTGACTTTTCTTGGCTCCGCAACGGCTTATCGCATACATAAGCCGCATACGAATATCAGTGCGGAGTCTCATACAACCTCAAGGCTCCTGAGCTATCACTCTCTTTTCTACTTGCCTCTTGCCTCTCCCCCTCTTATCCTCCTTATCCCACTTGCTACATACGTCTTCCTGCTACCCCTCGTTACCAGAGGGTAGTCTGTCCCTCTCTGACACCGCGAATTCCTCTCAAACAGATGTCGACCGGCCATTACGTGGCTTACGACTTGCCTCGAGCAACATGGTCTCCTCGTCGCCCGCTCCCGTCGGTTCCGGGATCTTCTTCGCGTTCGCCCTGGTAACCATATCCGTCTTGGTTCTACTCCTCCTGCGCCGTTTTCTGACGCTGCGCGCCACTCCCGCCTACATAATCGTCCCCGTCTTCCTTGCCCTCGCGCTCCCTGCCAGCGTCGTCTTACTCGTTCCGATCGACTTGACATCCAGCTCTCGAGCGAATGGCCGTGCGACGGGTATATGGTTGCCTGACCGGATGGTCCTGGTGTCATGGCGCATTGCATACTGGCTCATATTCGTCTTGACGTGGATCATCTTGCCTCTCCTGGGCGAGTTCGTTGATTCCGGATACCGTGATCCCAAAGGTCGCCTTATGTACTCGCTACGCTCGAATGGCCGTTATCAGTTGACAGTCCTTTGTTGCGGTATCGTGGGCTTGATTTACATTTCCATTCAGAATGGCTTCGACTTTACCTCCATCAAGGGCCTGGTCATGGCCCTTGCGTACGTGTGGGGTCTCATCCTGGCCATCTATTTGATGGGCCACGGACTCGTCTCCATACCTCGCACTCTACTGCGAAATGCCAATGCGAGCGGCCGTCTCCGGAGAATACAGGCACGTGCTCCGAAGGTGCATGACCGTTTGATGGATGCGATCACCGACTTGGAGGAACTCGAAGCAACAGTCTCTCAGCTTCAGCGCCGCAAGACCGGCAGTGCGAGGGAGTTCACTGACTGGATCGAGGAACTGGCGGAAACTTGCAATTCTTCCGAATCGCAGCCTCTGGCTGGTCAATCTATCGCCGAGGCGACTGCGACGGTCCCTGCGGTTATCACTGAGCGATATATGGCGGATCTCACGAGGCGTCTTCAACGTGCGCGCCATCGCCGGGCTCGATTCCTCGATGAGTGGGATCGTTTGGTGCAGTCGGCAGCAGAGACACAGGCAATTATTGACTCTTACGCCTCCAAGAAACTGGACTTCGGCCGAACATCTCCTCACGCTTCGTTTCTTTCCCGCGCAAAGTTTCTGACCCCATACATGCGGTATCATCTCCATGTGAATATCCTGCCAAGCTTACGACTATTGTTTGCTGGTATCTTTGCTGTCGCGTCGGTCTGTATTATTTGGTCCGAATTGATCAAGTCCTTTGCGCCGAAGCTTTCAGTCATCAGCCTTACTGTCGTACCACATTCGAGTGACCCTGGTGCGATCGGATTTGGAGGACAGGTCACCGCATCTGCCTGGCTATTATACATGTGCACTGCGGCTCTCGTTGGAATGTATGATGCAAAGGTCTGGGGTAACCGTGCCTTGGTGCGTCGAAATACATATGGCGAGAGTGCCTGTTGGTACGCAGGACAGGTTGCCAAGCTCACAGTGCCGCTTTCTTACAACTTCCTCACTTTCTTGCCAGAAGAAGTGCAGCGGAACACCACATTCTACAAGTTCCTTGGTCGTCTCATCAACTTGACACCGCTAGGAAAAGGCTTTGACTACTTCTTCCCAGTCTTCATCTTTCTTCCCGTATGCGCCACCATGTTCAACCTGTACGGGAAAATGAGAAGGATCTTCAGCTTTGGCATTTTGGAAGAGGATGACGATTCTGAAAATGACCCCAGTGGTATCGGCGCTGGTGGATGGAGAGAAGGTCGCGAGCTGATCGAGCGGGAGTTGAGCGGCCTCGGCTCGTTGGGGCTCGCGTCGAGGAACACAGATACGGTTGGTCTTCCTACGGGAGTCGCTCGAGGCAGGGCGACCAACCGAGCCGCCCTGGCCACATGGACTCCACCGGCTGAGGGATCTCGTCCCGCTCGCTCTACGCGGACTGCGGCGACTGCATCACGGACGGTCGCGCCAGAGCTCGATGACGAGGAGGAAGGCTTCTTCCAGTCGTTTTTCCATCGGGTCAAAAACACGTATGACACTTCCAACGTACCTCAGTGGTTTCAAGGGGACCAGTTCCCGCGTCCGAGATGGATGTCCGGTTCAGGTGCAGCTGAGGGTGGCGGTAGCGGCCTGGCGCGCTGGTTTGGGAAGCAGACTACGAGCGTAAGACTTTAATTCGCTGCCTTCTGTTTTCAGTGTACATATATATACATCTTTTAATCACGCATGGCAATGGCGTTGGAGGGCACTGCTTGGGATATGGATATAGAGACAAGACCGACGGCAACCTCGCCATAGATCATGTTTCCCACTTGCTTAGGCAATCTTGCAATGAATAATATTGATAACCTTTCGAATCCGGTTTCTCATGAGCTTCTCATGAACCTGTTGTTCAGGCTTTCTTGGGTGGAAGGGTTTTCTAGCTCTTGACGGTCAATTCGCCTGTGTCTAGCGATCCAAATATATATATTGTGGCAGGTGCAGTATCCAAGGGAGCTTCACTCGACTGATTCCAAGGACGCGGGTCTTGTCAAGCGTTGAGCTTCATGGGGAAGCTCTAAAATAGTCCGACATCACCAGCAAGTCTAGGACCAGCGATTCAATCTTTTAATTCTGCATACAATGCCCCTCAATGGGATCTGGGCGACCCCGCGATAAAAATAAAAAGAAACGCAGCAGCCGAGCGCCTACACAAAAAGCCGCGCGGCAAAGCAAGCACCGACACTCCGCCTTGGGATTCTGCCTAAACTTCCAGGCCGTCTGAGAATCCCCAAAGGTGTTGCTGTCAAACTCCACCCAGAGCCCGTTTTCAGCTGTGCCACGCAGCCTCTTTTTCACCCCGGACCCTCACAGCTGGAAACAAGACAAGAAGGGAGAACCAAAGAAGATACAAGAAAAACCAAAAAGAGGCGGGGTGGGAATCGACCCATGACGCCATCGTCGTCTCCCCTGCTTTTGCCTTCATTGGGTGAGACGTGCATTTCATATCTCGATTCCATCGCTACGAATCTGCCTGTCTCGCTGCGCAGTCTTCCCGACCGCTTCGCGAACCTTGCCTCTCGTTCGACGTACCTTGAACCGACCCGGAGCCTGCGCCTTTTCGTCCGGTTTCTCTCGGGAGAGAAAGACTCGACGCTGGTCTTTCATCACTCTCCTGCTATTGCCGCCTTCATCGCTACCATCGTTGCGTGCGTGCTTGCACTCGTCGCTATGAGTTGGCGCCAACCGTTCTCCAGTTTCTGGCGACGTCCCGAAGCCCCTCCGCGGGTGAGTGATGGCGATTATAGCTATCTCACCAATGACGACATCGGCGAGTCTGGTCGCGGTTATGCCGCGACAGGCGACAATGCGCCCGATACCATCTTCCTCGTGCACCTTCGCAACCAATACGAGCTGCACTTCCCGGCCTACTCTATCGATGATGGTCTGTTGACGGTGGGGCAGCTGCGGCAGCGCGCTGCAGAGGTGACAGGCGCCTCAGATGCCCGACGGGTCAAATTGCTGTACAAGGGGAAGTTGCTGGATGACGACTCGAAACCCTGCAGAGAAGAAGGCCTTAAGCAAGAATCGGTGGTGATGGCGGTGTTGCATACGCAGTCGAATGACACGACGTCCAGCGAGGCTTCAGGCAGTGAGGTGGAGAGAACCCATTCGGCTCATCATCATGGTGCAGATCATGAGCACCACACCCACGGCGGCGAGAGGAAGAAAAAGAACAAGAAGAATAAGAAGAAAAACAAAAAGAAGGGCGACTCGAACAACAACCTGGCCCCACCGGCGGAGCAGCAACCGGTGCCATCTGGCGGTTCGTCGCTCCCTTCACCGGCCCCGAGTATAAAGAACATGAGCAGTCCACTTCAACAGGCGGATGCTCTCATGGAGTACCTGCGCAAGACTCTCATACCGCTCTGCGACGAGTTTGTCGCGAATCCTCCAGCGGATCAGAAAGCTCGTGAGTTTGAATTCCGGAAACTCTCGGAGACCATTCTGGCGCAGGTGTTGCTCAAAGCGGATAGTATCGAGCCTGACGGAGATGAAAATGCTCGAAATGCACGCCGTGCTCTCGTCAAAGAGGCACAGGCCGCTCTGAACAAGCTGGACGAAGCCATTAAAGCTTAAGAGTGCTTTCTGCTGAACTCCCTGGAGTGGGAACTGCATCGCACACGTAGCTGCAGGATTCTCGGCTACGACCTCGGGGTCATAAACTAGATGAATGGACCTTTTTCTCTTTATTTTCGTTTTTCGTCTTGTTGGGCGTCGGAGATGGGTAGATATCTATAGATGTCGGAGACCTACATGGCCTATGTCCATTCGGTACTTGCGTTTGCCCGGTCGATTTATTGATGACCTTCTGTACATTGCGTTGCTTGCATACTGGATGGCGTCTGTTTGTTTCTCATTTCTCATCATGCCCCGACTACGCTACGTTCGCCATGTTCTCAGCCGGGCCCTGGGATCGGGATATTATTTACTTTCTCAACCTTATCGGGGAATGTGGCACACGTCCCATCCCTCGTCCGAACCTCAGCGTTCTAGAACTAGTAGTTCCCTCCCTGACAAGGCGATCCATCTGTTCTATGTACATCTGATCTGCCGTATATTAGCCGGTAAATAATATTCAGTCCAGAATGCAGATTTCCTGTCGATCATATCATACGCTAGAAGCTCGAGAAGATTCTTCCATTCCCCAAAGTCCCCGCCCAGGAACACGTAAGGCTGGTTTGCATGAACAAGGCGCGAAAGCTGAAACAGCCTGCGCGAACCGATCGTCTAGTCTAGAGTAGGAGGAGCCTGGGGGAGGGAGGGATGTGATGGACCCCGCTGGGAAAGGAAAGAGTAATTGCTCTTATTCTAGGATCGTTATTTTCTTCTCGTAGCACGTTGCAGTAGATAAGAAGAATAGAAAACAACAATGATAGTATCAAGGTAGTTAAGTCGATGATTTTATTAGAGCGCGAAGGCAGGATATCGGATATCCTATCTGCAAGTGTTGGCCAGCATGAAGTCTGAACTAAATACTGGTAAACTGATTTAGAGTAAACGATGTATGTATTTAAATTGATTATTATTTAGTCTACAGGATAACTTTCCCGCAAACTTAACGGCAATAATAGCATTGTGGAAATGGTGAGGTTCCGGTCCCACTGGGCTGGGTTTGTTGTTTTGTTGACCCGGCCGGGCCCTGTCTGCACGGCCATGGCTCTGTATTATTATTACCATACATAGTATGTATTCAATATCCCATCCCGCTAGATGGGGAGCGGAATGAACGGGAGAGTACCTAGGGAAAGAAAGGAAGAGAGAACTGATTTTTAACTCAAATGATGGTCGATGTTTGGTGATTATGGTATGATTTTGTTTGGATCTTGTACGACCGGGGGGGTTTTCCAACTCCAGACTAGTCTAACGAATCCTTACGCCGTTCCCTAGTCTCTAATTTAAAGACGGGCTAAAAGGGGGGAGTGGACGAGAGAAAATCGCATCCCGGATTCCATTTGGATCCACGACGCCGGATGCTTTGCTGCTCCCCTCCACACGTTAGAGTCTTAGACGGGCTGGAAGCATCTTAGCTGTGAGATAGAGATGATCTTACTTGGTTTGACGGGACCAATCAGCCATATCTGGAGTCTCCTGCCGATCCCCATCGTTGGCCGCCCTTTTTTTTTCTCTGTTGTTCACAAGCCGCGGGTGACAATCGGCTTTTCCCAGGCCAGATCCGTTGGAAGCAGCTAGTGACAGGATTAGTCTAGTTCTTTTTAGCCTCACGAACCAACTAGACCAGAAGAGAGAGTTAGCACTCGCATCCAGGGCCAGCCAGAACCCCCCCGGAAGGCTTCGACGCGTTGGCTGTGGCTTGTTCTCTCTCGCCCCTGGGACTGGCAGGATGGATATTAGCATGTTTGCTAGACGGAACTACTGCCTCACCCCATCACGGACCCTTTCTCAGCCTTTCTTCCCTTGCCAGACTGTCTTCCCTTTGTCTCTGAACCTCCCTTTTTTGTTGTTTTTCCCTTTTGTATTCTCTCATCATCGGGGAATTCTTTTCCTGTAAGCTGCCGTGCAGTTCTGGACTGCGTGTTGGCATCCACTCCTTTTGAACTCCCCGCCAAACCCTTCGACGGTTGATCCCCTCCCGTCTGCATCCACATCTCCGGTCTCCTCTCCTATCAACCTACGCTTCTTTTCTCCTCAACATCTGTCTGCTACTGGACTCCAGAAAACGAGCTGATAAGATCGTGACGGTAAATAAGACCAAAAGAAGAACAAAAAAACATGTTGCCCTGAAGGAGAACGCTTTTACTAAAGGGTAACCAAACTAGATTTCCCCTATAAACCGCCATCATCCCTCCCCCTCTTCCCTGGTTGAGCACGGTTGAGATCCAATCTCCGTAATAAAATCTCCGGCCAGCACTGTCATCCCACGGTACCGAGATCCTGGACATCCGCATCCTATCCGTGGTTGCTTGCTGCACGAACCAAGCGACCGTTTCCCGAAAACGTTCTCCACCGGCGTGAATTGACAAATTACTCCTTTTGGATTCCTCTTTTCCTCCTTTTACTGCGTCGCTTCTGATCTTCTGGTTATCCTCGTGCTTCTGGCACACGGAAACTTGATCTTGCTCCAAACCCCAGGAAGAACGTGGGCGTCTGACTCGTCTTCCTTGTTTTTATCACGGCCTTCGCACGGACTGAGTGTCCAAGTGATCGTCTTGACGGGAGTGAGAAGGAGCTATAACTGAGATTTTCTGGACACTGGGTTATGGGATTATTGGCATGATCGGTTAGGAACGAAACCTATTTACTGGCTTTGACGGTCTCCGGGAACCCCGGACGATCCTCAGCTGGAATACGGCTAGTTGAGGCGACTTTTAGCAGGATTGCAGTTGGTGTGTATCTGTTGCTACTGCTGCGGCCGATAGGATGGCAGGAGCAGCTACTGCAACGTACACCACAGAGGCTTTCATGTCTCCTGGCATGAATGGCAGCCAGCATTGGGACTATGCGGTGCCAATTGGCCCCGAGGTAGGTTTTGTCCTTTTTTTTTTATTCTTTTTTTATGGTTCCGCGTTGCCTCCCCGATAATCCATCATACGACCCTTCGTACGCTCTTCTGGATTGCCTGATGTCCATGTTCGGCTGGTCGACGATGATGCCCTGCCTGGCTGGCCTTGCTAACAAGTGAGTGTCGTAGAACCACAACAAGGCGCGGAACTCGAATGATTCGAACCACGTATACGGGAAATCGAACCGGGCAGTCTCTCGCAGTTCTTCGCGACGTTCGAAGCGTGCTCGCGCGAGAGGAGATACCGGTGAGAGCCGACCCGTCTACGATGGGGATGGCCCACTGGACTCCTACAGACGCGACTCGTCTGCAAGTAAAAACGCGGTGAATGGGTTAGATTCTGCAGGGCACCAGAATGGCTCGAAGAAAGGTCACTACGCGGATGGTATGAATGGACCGTATACAGAAGAGGAAATGAATGATGAATATTGGATCCATCGTGACAAGCTGGCAAAGATCGAGAGCGAGGAACTGCAGCAGGCCGCGATCAGGTTCCAGCGTCAGGCGCGAGCTGGTAGCAAGTCCAGCAGTAGACGAGGCCGGAGCCATGATCGCAACAGCAATGGCGTGAACGGTTCTCTCGTGACGACGCCGCAAGCGATAGAGCATACCGAGCCGTGGCCCAACATTCGTGATGAGAAACCGTCGGACTTCGACTTCTGGGGCAATGTCGGGAATGAACCGACAGAGGAGGAGAGGCAGAATTGGGATCTTCGTCGTCCGGAGGAGATCGCTGCGGACCAAGAAGCAGAGTCCTATGAGGACGGAGCATCCAAGATGTATCGAAACCCCGGGTTGAGGAAGAGTTCGTCACGGATACCAGTCCTGGCTACCAGCCCAGCGCCGATCTCGCAGGAGCATATAGAACGTGAGTTTCCTTTACTACGCCGACGTACCCAGGGCAGTGCGGATGCAGATAGTATATCCTATCCGAAGCCCGCTCGATCAAGCGAGTCGCCTGAAATTGACACACCTGAAGCTATCCCAACCGTCGAAACCACTACTCCTCCCCTCAGCACCAGCCGGCCCGTCAGTCGCGGCGTGTCGACGCAGAACTCTCCAGTGAAGAAGACGCCGGGCAAGACATCGCCCTCCGGCTCTGGAACACGGAAGACGTCCGGTCAGCCGGCCACGAAGAAGACGCCACAGAAGTCGAGGGCAACATCCGGCAGCAGTACGCGGCCGACGACCAGAGGGGGAGAAGTCAGACCGACGACTGCCGTCAACCGCCCCGAAGGCGATCCTCCATGGCTTGCGACGATGTACAAGCCAGACCCTCGTCTTCCTCCGGAACAGCAGATGCTCCCGACTCATGCGAAGAGGATGCAGCAAGAGCAATGGGAGAAAGAAGGCAAGACGCCGTCTACATATGATCGTGAATTCGGTCCCTTGGCGGTTCGATCCGACGATAACAAACCGCCGCGAGTCAGCCCGGAACCGGCCAAGTCCAACTCGGAACAGGAGAAGTCTCCAGGATCAGAAGCGGAGTCGCCAGCATGGCCGCTCAAGTCTAAGAGCCCCGAGCCGAACCCTCTGACCAGACCGCCTACTGGCGGAACTGGATACAGTGCGATGCCGAAGGTGCAGACCACGCCGCCGATCGGTATCGCGCCCTCCCCGAGGGCGAACCCCCCCTGGCCCGAGCCCGAGCCCGAGAAGCCGACCAAGAAGGGCTGCGGCTGCTGCATCGTTATGTGAACTACATTATCGCGGCATGGGTTCTTCATTATACCCCCGACTTTCGCTCTTTTATCTATCGTCATCTCCATTTTCATAAGCGGAGCTCTGCGTCTCCATTCTTGCTGGTCTGGGTCTTTCAACTTGTGCATTCAGCGTGTTTGGGATGACATTGTTTTACTGACATTTCCTTGATTGTTGCATATCGTATTGGGTGATTTGTGTGTTTTAGATTTTGCGTGAGATCTTCTGAGCGTCTTTTCCCGTCATTCCTTCAGAGATTCCCTTGCCGTCTGAGCTTCTGTTCCTGCTGTCAACATGCTCTTTGGTGCTTACAATCCTTTTTTCTACCTTCTGTCTACGGGCGCAGATATCACAGAGGAAGAGGACGGCAAACATGGTTATCTACAACGCCCCTCTGACGGAACACCGCATTACCTTCCGCCTCGGCTCCTGACGACCTTTACGAATCATACCTTTTTATTTCCCCCTTCTATCTCATCATGCCGATACCTGGTTTATTTTCCTGTCCATCTCTGCCATTGTCTGTCTGTGTGTGTCCATCGAGTGCCTTGCTTCTTTCGCTTCGTGAGCGCGGCATGTCCAGCAGCCTCGACTCGAGCTACAAAACTTTTTACATAGCGCATTATTATTACTGGTCCAGATCACTCTCCCGTGCAGTGTCTCCGGCGTCTGCTTGGCAAGATGCCCGGATGACAACCCAGTATGGCTGGTCCGTAGGGAGGTGACGGTACATAATCGAGAGAAATATTACCTGAGGGTCTTGTGTTTATCCTACCGGAACTGATTGTGGTCATGGCGACGCGGAGTGCATACCCAATCAGAGACATTAATAATAAACATGATTTCTTCTAGGCGCGCGAATAACAACATCCAGGGAAGTTGAACTCATCCGGATGGAGGGTGTAATTGCGCCAGACTACGGTTAAGCAAAGACATTACCAGCTGTAACTGTTCCCAGCGATCATTTTGAGGGAAATAAATCTCAACTCGGACAGTATGGAGGGCAAGATGAGTATGCCTCTAGATCGAACTTGGGGGAGAATGAAGCAGCAAAGATGGCGACATGGTTCCTCATACAATGAAAACAGGCTTAGATAATCTCAGCCTGACATCACAGGTCCAGACCGAATCCCGGCTTGTTCCGTTAGTTATTTACGTAGTAATTACCTGTACTTACATAGTAGTTTACAGAAACTTGGCAAAAATATCAAATGTTTCCACCAGCATAATACGTACCATACCCGTATATACAAAACATAACACGGCCTACATCGGAGAAGCACGCCATAACTACCAGCCAGCTATTATACTACTCTAACTACTGATCCCCTCAACCGTCACCACCACCACCAACCAACACCACCACCACTAACTATTATTACCGCTACACCCCTCCCTTCCTCCCCCCTCACCGGAGATAAATCGCAACTATAAAACCAGCCAACAGCACACCCACCTTTTTCCTTCCGGCCTCGAAAGCCATTCCCCCCAAACGAAAACTCGCCCACCATTTCGTTCATATTCGCTCGTCTTTTCGGCTCCTTTGCCGCTCCCCAGACTACAGCCGCCATGTCCGCCGCAGCGAAGACGAAGGCTCAGAACCTGATTAATGAGAATGGCGTTGGTATGTACTGTATACTCAATGATTTCTTATATGATGGGGATGGGGTTGGGGGTTGCGCTGCTGCAATTCTTGATTTGATTGGGATCATGCAGAACGCGACAAAGAAGATAACGAAGAGGGAACGAAGAAAAGCATAGCTAACAATAATTTCCGCGCGGTTTATAGTCGTCTTCTCGAAATCCTACTGCCCTTACTGCAAGGCTACCAAGTCGACTCTGAGCGAGCTCGGAGCCAAGTATACTGCTCTGGAGCTGGATCAGATTGGTTAGTTTGCCCTTCTTCTTCTTCCATATCCTCCTACCATACCATACCCTGCCATGGCAATATACGTTTCTTGCTCTTGCTCTTCACTATCATGAGAAGAAAGAAAAACGGAATGAAAAGCATGAAACGAAATGAAATAGACATCCCTTACTAACGCTATATTGGTACGAAAAAACAGACGATGGAGCCGCGATCCAGGACGCTCTTGAGGAAGTCACCGGCCAGCGTTCCGTGCCTAACATCTTCATCAACAAGCAGCACATTGGAGGAAACTCGGACCTGCAGTCTCGCAAGGCGGAGCTGCCGCAGCTGTTGAAGAGTGCGGGTGCTTTGTAAATTGTTAGATAGATGTGATGGTGAATTAATCAATTAGGGGATGATATGTCCTATTTTATTCTATCTTATTCTGTTCTGTTCTGTTCTATTCTATTCTAGCGTATGGCATCCTCTGATTGAGGATCGGGGTGGTGGTATTTGTAGAGGGATTGAGTTACTGGGTTGGAACGTAATTGATATTTGATTTATCGTTGCTTTGTTTTGGGGCATTTTTAGATGGATTTAGTACTAAGCACGGAAGGAGGAGAGTTAAGATTGACTTGCAATTACTAGTTGAGACTAGGTATATAGTACATGAAGCTCATTTAGCGATAAAAAGTTTCCTGACATGACGTGAAGCCTGGATTTCACGATCATCGTATTCGTCTCTTGTGTCTGTTATATCAGGTTTATACGACCTTCTGAACCATTGTCCCCACAGGCCGTTCAACGATAGCCGTGACGCCGTCGACGACGCTCTGGCGGGCACTCTCGCTGGAGACATTCTTTCCAGCCAGGTAGTTCTCCCAGACGAGACGGCTGACGCGCTCATCCGCTACACGACCCAACCATCTGATGGGCTGCGCTGGATCAGGCTGGAACAGCGCGTCAAGAGCTCCACGCTCGTCACGCAGAAGGAAGAGAATCTGGCCTTTGGGGACATTCTTCCGCTGTCCTCCACCGAAGAGGGCCTTGAAATCAGCCATGGAATTACCAAACGATTCGTCTGAGAATTCGCTAGGCTTGTCGCTGCCAGACTCCTTGGCCTTCGCGGCAGCTTTCTGTGCCCGTGCCGTGATACCTCGAACCCAGCCATCTCTCAGATGCATGAAATCGGTGTTCCGCGTAGGCACGATGCGGAACGCGGTCCGTACGCCACCCTCCTTGAGAATCGAGTCCCAGACCTCCTCTCCCTTGGTAGGATCGAGGAGAAGTTCCCTCAGAGCTTGCCGTTCCGCAGGAATCAGAGATGTAGCAGCAACTGCACCCTCGCTCGAAGATGCACCGGGACCCTGAACAGCCGCCCGCACCAGCTTGTGCTGTAGTGCTGAAATGTCCGACTTGGCGACGTACAGACCCACGACGTACACCTGGATGGAAAGGAAGGAGACGGTTCGAATGCCCAGCCCCAGCAGCTCGTATTCCTCCTCTGCTTCAGAAGCCACGGAGATCTCATGTCCCGGTTGCAGAGACGTCGGATCGAATGACTTGGGAAGGGTGATTGTAGTCGGGAAGGTCGGAACCGCGCTATTGCCCGTAGGGACCTCCTGGACACCATCGCGTCCATGAATCGGAATGACAGATGGATTGCTTGGGAATCCATTGGGTCCATCCAACTTCATGCTCCCACTAGAGGAGCTCTTCTCGTGAATATTCTTCTTCTTTTCATCCGCCTGCGTAACCTCTTCCAGCCCGAAAACATCTAGCTTGATCACTCCATACATCGCAACCGCGCAAGCTCCTATACCAGCTGCCGAGACCATGATCGAACGCTTGTACCTTGCCTGCTCATACTCCTTCGCGCGATTGGAAGCACGTAGCGGATTGTTCTTTGAAGCTGGTTTGGCTGCTTCCGCGGTCGATAGCAAGCGGCTGGAGTATCGTAGCGGGGTCGGACGAGCTCGTTGACTGCGGAGACATTGGCAGCACTGCCTCCAGGCAGTGGGCGCCTGGAGGGATGTCGCATATAGCTTCATGCTTGGGAGTGGGTGTCGATGAGAGAATCGATGCTGGAACAATTCGTTTGACGACGCCGGCCGGAGCTGGAGCGGGAACGGCGTATGTAAATCATCTCACGGAACATTCAGTATTGTTAGCGGATAGTCTAGAATCCGGGGAAGGCGAGCACGTGATAGTCTCGATTATCATTAAAACCGGCGAATTATCTGCGAGACATTTCGCAACAAGTCAGGCTGAAAACTTGACAATTAGGCCATAATATTATATGATTGCACGATTTTGAGTGATGTTCTAATTGTTTCGCTCTTTACCACCTCTCATTAACTCCATAAGCTGATACTGGTTGGAAACCTGTCAACACCGAGACAGGAAACTGAAAAGTCCATTTCCTAGAAACTCCGCACGCTCTGCTGACTCGTGATTATGTATGGCATTATGTACAGAAATAATATACCCCCTTATTATTCATTCCTTATGCCTGTTGCTCTTTCATTGGCATTCCATCCCGACAGCGAGAACACGCTATGAGACCACAGTTGTGACACCGCTGCATTGCTTGATCCTCACCGACCCAGCACTCATCTCCGCTATCCTGTTGCTCATGGAGGGATCCTGTCTCCATTAAGGGTTGGACGCCTCGGTAATACGTAGGGAATGGTTGTGGGAAGACCTTCTTCCAACAGCATTCGCAATCGTACTCCAGGTTCGGATCTGTATCATCGTCCGTGGCAGCCTCCCACGAGTGCTGGCAAGTCAGAGGATCAATGTATTCACCATTTGGCTCCTCGCCCAAATCATATCCATAGTCTTCCCAGTCGCTTCCAGCATCGAAGTTTTCGCCGATACCAGTGTCAGTATCAGATGCTCTTGAATCATCTTCCTCTCCGTCTCTATCTTGATCTATACATCCCTCCTGATTGCATCTTTCTATCGGACCAGTGCACTCCCAGCACCACTGAGCACCACATCGACATCGTATATGAGAGCATCCCCACATCCGTCGTACACCAGCGTGGCACTTCGGGCACCGCTTGTATCCCCATTTTCGAAGTGCACGCTCCAGCAACGGATCGGTGTCTTGAACTTCAGGACAAGGGAATCCATCGTGAGCGAGCTGCTTGCATGAGCAGCATATGCTGGTCTCACATTTGGGACACAATATGGATGGAGCTGCTTGTGAAGAGTGCGGGGAGTAAGATCCTGGCGGTGTTGGGGGAGGAGTGTCAATTTCCACCTTCACGCTGGTTCCAACCATTGCTGTAGAATTGGGGTATTTGTCGACCGCCTGATTCTCTTTGGAATTGTCGGTGTTCCGTACTGGGACGGAGAAAAGACGATAAGGAATGAACGCGGAGCATGTGGGAACTGGACAGTAGATACGATTCGGTGTGTTCCATTCCTCGTACTTTGCTTTGAAGAGACAGACTTCGACATCCGAGAGAACGGCACGGGCGAACGCCAACGGGATAGGCTTGCAACATCGGGGAGGCATATCTGATTCGCTTTTGCAGGCGTTCAGGAACATTTTTCGAATGCAGCTCTTGCAGCAGCCGGAGTCGCATCTCACACAAGGATAGAGCATATCCTCTTTATCCAAATTGATCATCTCGCTGCAGTAAGTGCATATCTTCTCTGGCGGATAATGCTTATTATGACCCGGCGCAGGCCCCGTAGATGCATTCTGAGTCATATCTGTTGTATTTGCGCTCATATCTTCAGTGGATAACTCCATTGTAGCTGTTGTGTCTCGGGTACTGGAAACGGGCGCTGGTAGTGTCGTCGCACTGTCTGCGTTGTTCACTTCGATATCATGGTGCATTTGTGCCTCTGGTGCTGTCTGAGCAGGTTGCGATTCTCTGGCTGGAATGGGTTCTGATTCTTGTTCTGTTGGAAGTGAATGATTGGGTTCAGGACCAGGAGTTGTCGCTGTGCAAGCGGAATGCGGTGTGGTTATGCTAATAGACAGCCTGGATGCTTGTTGAGCTGGTAAATCCCGCTGGAGCATTTGAGGTTGCGGTTCCTCCCCAGCAGGATGAGAGCTCGAACATCCCATCGTGAATGCGCAGAAGGTGTGACTGATAGGTACTTGTCGCTTTAGCCCGCCTACAGTAATGGCAGAATCAAACAATAGAAAGCTAATGAGTAGAGGTCCCTACATGGGTTACAACGAGTGAAGAGTGATTTCTAGATTGAAGAAGTAGATAGAAGATGCGAAGATTCAGATAATTAATATGTGCTTATATACGGACTGGCGGTGCTGTGCTACCGAGCGTAGATTCTGAAACTGCAGGCAACAAGAGCCTAAAGCCAGCAGAAGTGGTTGAGTCACGGGAAGAGGATGATACATCATACAGCCATACCATACAATTATGGAGATGATTTGCTGCAACAGAGTGGTGTGCCTTGGAGTCAGAGCAGTTAAGCAGTGTTGCAATAAGCGCTAATGAGCATAGATGTACGATTTTCAATATGTATCGCTATGCATGAGTGGAAGCAGATAGACACTATCTACACTTAGTCAAGGCAGAATCATGGAGATCTTCCTGTTATGTCGTGGTTTAGGACTCTGATGGACCCTTGGCGAACTGCTGCCTGCGTAAGTGCAGTACTTGCACCCAAGTGCGACGCTATCGACCATCAAAGCTAGTCATACAAGACAAGATCACTTTCGCTATTCAGTCAAAGGCTCAGCTAGACGGATGAACTGGTGACTCCATTCTTCGCGCAAGTCGATGTAATGCTCGACCATAATTGGCGCTCAATTCAATCACGGCAATGAGTACACTCAAGTCCCTCCAGTCCCTCCAGTCCCTCCAAGACAACGAAGCAGTACTGCTATGTTTGCATTTTCTCTATGCATACGATCGCCTGTTCTAACTATTGTTGCCCTTTTAGGTCCCCGAATGACATTATTTCCCAGACCTAAACAATGAGGCGGAATAGCGCTTACTTGAACGCCCCATAATACGAAGATTGCCGTTGTTGGCTCATAGATCTCGCATGCTACGGAATCGATAAGGACTATCATGTCATGGAAAAGAAATCCTAAGCTCAACTAACAACAATCTGATGCGATCCGCCAGTGTGGATGGTCATTGTGACTGTGGCGTCACTGGACGTAGAGTTGGAGACCTGTCTACCATCCATCTCCACCCTGGACTTACCATTTCCCTTTGCAAGGGGAACGATCACATCTCCTTTTGTCCCTTTCGGTACGTTGAAGTCCAAAACGTATCCCTCTGAGCCAGTCTTCCTCCAGGAAGCCTGGAATTTCCCTAGGGATGTGACGAAACCTCCTTCAACTGACTGCAAATCGCCGAATTGAGGGGCCAGTCTCCAAGTTGATCCCGACGGTGATACAACAGACAGTCCAAGGACATAATTCGTCAATGCAGAAGTTGGACCCGATGACCATCCATGAGAATGAGACGTATAAGAAGCATCATAATCGTATCCGCGATCAGAACGATAGCCAAAGGTACCATTCTGCAGATATCCTTCGATGACAGAACTCTCGGTCCCGTTCGGGTTGTTGATATACCAGCCCCAACTGCGTCGGATCAGCTCGAGAGCCCGTTCTGTCTCGCCAACGATGAAATGGCCCTGGATTTCGAACGAGGAGATGAACGGCGATATATTCTCCGGTAGTTCTGGAGCCACAGCACCGATAGGAGTCCAATTTTCAGTCAGCCGTTGAGAAATACTGTTTGCACGATCGCTACCAACGACTCCGAACAGGAGGGCAAGACTATTTGCGTCTTGTGGGTGCAGAGATGTCATAGTAGCATTGTCCTTAAACGCCCCGTACTGGCTATCGAAGCAATAGGTGTTTATGGCCTTTTTCAATCCTTCGGCTCTGGATCTCCAGGTAGACGCCAAACCTGTCGTATCATCTGCCCACTCAGCAAGCTCGCTGCCCGTGTTCAAGGTGTGATAAAGACTAAGGTAGAGTCAGTACGGTCCAAGTAGACGAAGGGAAATTGAACTTACATCATCTGTGCCTCAGAGTTATTATAACCCTGCTGCCACCGTGCCCAGTCGCTAGTACCAGTCACATTCAACAGGCCACTTTCATAATCTACCTTCGAATAAATGTAGTTCATGGCCTTGAGGTAGCCATTCCAGTTGCGTTGGAGAAAGCCAGTGTCGTTCGTGAAAAGAACATAATTATATGTTCCAATCATAGACCACATGTGGTAGGTATCTGATCCTTTCTGACTTAACGGTGGACCGGATTCATCGAATGCCCCGGTTGTTTTGTCCTGAAAGAGAATTAGCAAATAATAGAACCCCTTCTTCAAACCCCAATTGTTTCATACCTGTGTGTTATACATCACCTGAAGAGCATTCTTCACGCTGTCAAGATCTCCAATGCTTACAAATGTCGAAGGGACAGCGACGCCCATATCACCTGGCCACACCGCGCGATCTCTCTTGGCTCCATCGACAATTATAGTATCTCCAGGTCCAATGATGCCATCATTCGCCCACCCAGAGCTTGTAAATGGCACCTGACGCCCCGTGTTCACAGGAACCGCATTTGTTTGTAGAGTATAAGCGCCACTATACCAAATCCGATTAAGCAGCTCATCATTGGAGTGGAAATATCCCTGATAAGCACGAAGATTGGCCCAGGTAGGTTGAAACGCGATCTCCAAGCTCACGTCGTTGATGTCAACGGCGGTGGTGGATTCATTCGTCACAAGAAAGGCTGTCATGTACCTGAATCCTCCGCGCAAGTATTTATCTGGCATGACATATTGTCCCTTACCGGGGCTTGCTATCTGTTGGTATAATGCTCCGTCGGGGTGCTCGAAGTTTCCACTGGAAGAATCCGACCATTCGCCTACCCAGTTCTTCGCTTCGGTAAAAGCTAGACCCAAGGCGCCTTTGCCAGTAGTAGAAGTGTAGTCCACGGTGATGATACCGCCGACTTCGATGCCGAAATCGAAAATGATCTGAGAACCATTCCCGGATAGAGTGGCCTTTGAGGAGTGTTGATAATCTGAAGAGCCAGTTGCCTCGATTATCTTTTTGGGCTTTACTACTCTAGATGCGGGTGCATAGATATTCTTTTCCCAGATGCCTGGAAACGCAGTATCTGCTGGTCCAGTACAGGATGTGTTTCTCCAACAGCTTTCAGCGAGAGAAAGATTGATATGAAGTAATAGCCCTAAAAGGGAGATCAGGTACCGTATCATCATCATGCTGTTATCTCTATCAAATCAACAGTAACGGAAAGCTCCTCACAGAAAAGAAAACTTATGTCTGATCCGAATTATATATCGTAAAATTTATTTGACCTGCGAAATTGAGCCTGAAATGGATGCGGGGTCGGATGCTCTATGTTGGAAACACGCTCGGTCTAATAGCACCAGATCCCTCCATCGAGTTGTATTAAGTGTCTAATTAAAAGGCGCTTTGCAGGGTTATGCTTTAGCACCTTGAACAATTTCTTCTAGATTTATCCGGCCGCATTGTCCCCTAAACAGAGAGTTGAGGTGCCGGTCCTGCAGTCATCAAGACCATATGGCTTCGGACGCTCAGGGCTGTCCTCACCAAATGAACGTTGTGTTGTGATATCTAGGCCGAGGAGTGGCAATTTGATGATCATATCGTATCCTGTCTTTAGAGATTCTATTCGCAGATTCCTGTGAATTCGCCAACCCTGGCATCGAAGGGGGAAATTGCAATTGGTGGAATTTTAGGTCTTCCGACGAGGTTCTTCATAGGCTCATGTTGCTGTCAAAGAGTAACAGGGAAGATTGATTTAGAGAAATATTAACTCCAGAGGCTTAAGAGTCGTACCTCTCCTTCCCCGCAATTAGTCCTCCTCGTTGCGAAAGAGTCTCTTTGTGCGGTGATCTCGGCTTAATCCATGCCGAAGTGTTTATGATTCTCTTGTTGAACTGACGTCAAAAATTGCATAAGTAGATATCTTCCACTGTAAGTAGGTGTAGATAACATAGAAGGTGTTGTGAACAGGAAAATGAGGTTCCTTCAGATATCCGTCTTAACGCTGCTACCGCTGTGGCTAGCACCCACTGCTGCAGCTTTGAATATTCCGCATAACAACGTCTGCACAGTGAAAGCAAATGGACACCAGAAAGATGATGTGCCAAATATTATGGCTGCTTTTCGACGCTGCGGGAGAGGGGGAACAGTCATATTCCCCAAAGACCAGTCTTACTGGATCGCTTCACGATTAAACCCTATTTTGAACGACGTGATGATTCAATGGCATGGTCAATGGACTGTAAGTACTTTGGCTGAATTTGGAATTACCATGTTACTGACGAATCTCAAGTTCTCTGCTGATCTTGACTATTGGCGTAACAACTCCTATCCGATTGCTTTTCAGAATCACCACGCCGGCTTCATAATCACTGGCAAAAACATTACTATTGATGGTTATGGGACCGGTGGCATCAATGGCAACGGAAACGCATGGTATGAGGCAGAGAAGGGCAACACTCAACCTGGACGACCGATGCCGTTCGTCTTCTGGAATGTTTCTGATGTCGTCGTGGAGAATTTCTTCGTTAAGCAGCCTCCGCTGTGGAGTTTGAACATCATGAATGGCACTAATATGCGTTTTAACAATATCCAATGCAATGCTACAGCGCTGAATGCCCCGTATGGTGATAACTGGGTCCAGAACACAGACGGTTTCGGTTGGTGCTCTCTCTGACCTATTATCTAGTACACCATTCGCTAACAGCATCAGATACGATGGATGTCAACAATGTGATGCTGTCGAATTTCGTTTATCAGGGCGGAGATGACTGCGTGGCGATCAAGCCTAGGTCTCACAATGTCGATATTCGTAACGTCACCTGCGTTGGCGGGAATGGGATCGCAATCGGTAGTCTAGGACAGTACCTGGAAGATAATTCCGTTTCCAATATCCTGGTCGACAATGTGACCGTAAGTCTACCAGAGTCTGAGTATATTGTACCAAATATTGAGAACGTCCCAAAAACAGACCATCAGATACAACGACGACCTGACCAACAGTGCTTATATCAAGACTTGGGTCGGGGCATTAGTCCCCCAAAGTTCCTATGAGAGTGCTGGCCTTCCTAGAGGAGGAGGCTGGGGCAGCATCACAAACGCCCTATTTTCCAATTTCAATGTCCAGGGAGCTAGCAGTGGCCCATCGATCAATCAAGACAGCGGAGACAATGGCTCGTATTCCGGATCGAGTCTCATGAGCATCTCCAATGTCGCCTTCGTGAATTTCACTGGTTACACGAATGGTGGATCTGACGTGACCTCTTCCATATCGTGTTCAAAAGTCCATCCATGCTATAATATCGCGTTTGAGAATGTGGACATTCTTCCCGGAAAGAACGGGACAAGCCCAGGAAAAGGTTCTTGCAAGTACACTGCTGATGGAGGGGTTCATGGCCTTGATGGGTGCTAGGACCAAGTCGTGGATTTCTGCTGTCTTCTTCCGTGTTATTTCCTGCTTAAAGTATACAAACTCATTGTCAATACACAAATTAAAAATTGAACACTCAAATTGTAGATATGTTTCAGATGCATTACTTACTTATTGGAAGAGCGTTCGTTCCACGGAAAAGCAGCGATGGTCCGTGCGCGTTAAGGCGTGGTGACATAGGGCGCGGTCCGTCGAATACTTCTCTTGAATCTTACCATTGCGTTATCCAGGACCTTTGTGTAATATTCACTCAAGATTGAGACAAAGTCCTGTTCATAGGCTCATCAAGCTCCTGTCACAATGGGACATATCGATTCTCAAGTGGGTGGGAAAATGCCATGGGTGGAAACCCCTCTAGTAGAGTCTGCAGTGCTCTCTAAAGAAGCCGGATGGTAGGACGAGCCCTGACCTTATCCTTGCTGTTTGCTCATCGTTCCAATAGTAGAGTATTCCTGAAACTCGAGCTACTTCAACCTTCTGGATCATTCAAATCACGGTACGTTATGAATTTGCCCAGCAAGATACGCATATGAACTAACTTATCTCGCAGAGGAATCGGAAACTTGATGCTGTCCTATATTTCTGATCCCTCAAATCACGGTAAAGAGCTTCACTTCTTTAGTTCATCAGGCGGAAATGCAGGCCTCGCAGCTGTGGTGGCAGCCCGAGACCTCGGTTGCCCATGCACAGTCGTAGTACCATTGAGCACGAAACCATTGATGATCCAGAAACTGCGTACGGCGGGCGCAACAGATGTTATACAACACGGTGCGAGCTGGTTCGAAGCCGATAGTTATCTACGGAAAACTTTCATCGACGTTGATGAAAGCTCTCAGGGATCTGTCAAGAATGTTTATATACCTCCATTTGACCACCCTGAAATATGGAAGGGGGCAGGGACCATGATCCCGGAGCTCGCAGCCCAGCTGCCTCCAAGGCCATCCAGTGAATCTGAGCCGGTGCCCTCTTTTCCTGCAGATGTCATCATTTGCAGTGTCGGAGGTGGCGGCCTTTTCAACGGTGTGATTGATGGTCTGGATAAATATTTGATGTCCAGTCTGTCCAAATCCGACAAAGGACAGCGGAGGGTGCAGGTCATCGCTGCTGAAACGAGAGGGGCAGATTCCCTCGCTCACTCATTACGGAACGGATCACTTCAATCGTTGCCAGCGATAACTTCTCTAGCAACGTCACTAGGAGCTCTAACGGTGGCTCCGCAGACATTGAAGAACGCAATGACGCCGCCTCGAGGAGTCGAGGTAAAGAGTGTAGTGACGTCTGACGCTGAGGCTGCCAGAGGTGTGATCAGACTGGCTGACGAGATGCGGTTATTGGTCGAGCTAGCTTGTGGTGTATCTGTTGAAGTCGCTGCTGGAGGGCGATTGAAACAGGCAGTCGAGGACCTTAGTCCAGAGAGTCGGGTTGTCATTGTGGTTTGTGGAGGTAGCAACATCACGGCCGAGATGGTGGCAGAGTATCGACAGAATCTGGCTAATGGCTGGGATTGAGGTTTCTTCCATCTAGAGTTTATTTTCTGCGAATAGACAATTTCGTATCACCCAAAAGTATCGACCTATGGAAAACTCCGCCTAGTTGAATGAGCTAGTAGCCCTACGCATATGCTTATCGAGTCAATGAACAGTAGAATTCAATAAATGGGTTCAAATTGAATGTAAACTCCAAACCCAACCAATAATTAGATACAAATTATCCCCGATTATTCCCAACCACAACAACACCCCCGTACATGCCAATGTATATTAAGTAATAATAATAATAATAATAACAACAATAATAATAATCCAAATCCTTTCAAATATGCATAATTTCCCAATCCAATTTAAACAATTTGACCCCCAAACCCCCTCTGTGTAAACATTCAGCTACCTTTAATTAGGTAGAGCGCTCTGACTCCGATTCCGGCTTGAGAATAAGTTTGATTCTGGGAGAAATTGCAATCTTTTCATCTTTCCCCTTCTTCGTCACTTTGCTCTTGTCACTCTTCGGCTTTGTGACAGACTTAGGTTTCGCCTGCTTCTTATTGGCGTTCGACGCTTTGGAGTTCGTTGCTGCTTTGCCCTTGCTTGCTGCACTAGAGGCTTTCTCCGTCTTCGACTTGCTCTCCGCCTTGGTGGATTTGTTCGAAGCTTTCGATTTCTGCGAGGCATTTCCCTTCGATTTGGGTTTAGCAGTGGCCTTTTTCTGAGCCTGCGTCTTTTTCGGGGTCGACTTCTCCCCATCGACCTTCTCAGCTGGAGAAGGACTTTCGACATGAGACCCAACAGAGTAACTCAAACTAGGTATGTCATCATCCATGGCCGTGACTTCTGAATGAGACTCGACGACTTCGCTCATGGTATCATCTGTGTTTGTATCCGGGTTTGTCTCGCGGATCGCGAGATCCTGCGCCCACGCATCGTTCCAGTAATTATGAAGCTGGACAGCGGCATTGAAGTCTTCTTTGGTGAAGTCGATACTGGTTGGAATAGGGCTGCCAGTGTCGTTGGGGTCTTGGATGAGGAAGTTGACGTCCATTCTCATGTCCATTTTGGTTGTAGATGACATTTATTGGATGTAGATAGTGACTGGAGGAACTTGTTAGTTTAGAGAGTTAGATGATGGTGGAGATATTGTTTACCTGTAGATAGGTTTTATGAAGTATGAAATCGTATGAAGGATAAATGCAAGTGGAGTTTCTCCTGCCTTGATGATAAATATGGGATATCTATAGATATGCAGTAGAAGAATAAGATGCAGTATAGATTGTCTTGGATGAGATGGATGCAAATTGCGATTAAGAATGCTTCTCGATAGATATGATGCAGATGATGATGTTCGATATATGGTAGCAAGATAGATGAAGAAGCAGAGAAAAAAAATCAAACCATGCTCTCGAAAGAAGGTATTAAAAGCAAAGCAGTGCAATGCTGCCTGTACCCTCCTTCGCACCCCCATCACCCTCGACGCCCTCCGATCTCCAAATAGGCAAAGATATATTTCCCAATCTCTCCTTTTGACGCCGCATAGAATAGAATCCCAAGGTTCACAAACATCATCGCCTATCATAAAGCTTATAACCGTTCTGAATATCCCAAAGCTCTCCCGCAATACCAATACCAGAATCGGACTCAAGATATACTTCCCGAAGGATAGGTCAGTGCCTGGTCTGCATCATTGCTGTTACGCAAATAGAATATATTTAAAATAAAGTTCTAAGTGTCCCAGGGACAGATCATTTTCTATATGTTCGAATTCCTGCCTGACCCCATGGGGGAGAGCGATTGATGGTGTCGGGGAGTCAGGAACCGTGGAACGGTTCTTGTAGTATCGGGGAAGGACGGGATGAAGGGAACTATCGGAAATTGTAGTGTGGAAATACTCCGAGACTAGATCGTCTTGCCTGAGGAATGCATTTGCTTGTGACTAGGTGTTTAAATGTATGCCATGGGTAGGTGCTGCTGCGTCTTTTCGAAGACGGTCTTTTTGACGATGTTCGTTTATGAGGGGATGGGAAGGAACGAGGGTACACGCTCTAATTACCTGTGGCTTGCAGTACATTTATTTATCTAGGACAGAAGTTACAGTAGAGTTTTTTTTTTTTTTTTTTTTTTTTTTTTTTTGTGTACGGATTGCTTTTATAGGAATTTGAACAACGGACTATTCCATCTAGCGATCATCACAATGATTCTCTTGTCTTAGATACATTGCTTTTCGGGCCTAGTGATTCAATAATCCAGGTATCCGAGGAAAAACAAGGATAGAAACAAGACCTACGTGACTTTGGACCGGTGCACCAAGACCCCCTTCAAGGCTACTATGCTAGTTATCTATCGGAAGTCGACTAGACGACTCGACCAAAAAGGAGAACTCCTCAGAGGTCTGGTCCTAGCTGGATCTAACATTATCTATCAAAAATTTCCCGTACAATGTCTAGACAGCATTGATCATAATGCTGAGTAAGGAGATTCCCAGCGCCGTTCGGAAGAATTATTTCCTCCAGGCTACAGGCAAAAGACGTTGATACGGAGAATCTGATCCGATCCTCATGTCCCCGGCCACGTACGCACGGTACTTTCGGTAACCGCCCTGATGATCCTAGACGCCGTGTGGCAAGACCCAGACGTAAGCGATGTGTCGAGCAAAATCTCCGTACTTCGGCTGTGTGGACGGATACAACGAGTATCGCATCTGAAACCTGCTTCGGTGCCCAGAAGATCAGTTTTGAGTCCCAAGCCACGTGTCGAGGAGGCGGGGATGGGGCGGAGCAAGCCTGGTGGAGTTTGGGATGTCGATCGGTCCGATCCGCGGGGTCCGCTCGTATGCGGAGGTTCTCAAATAATAATAGCACCGCTCTCGTATACTAATCCTGGAGGATTTTTGGTGGATATGGGTCTTTGAGCATTATGCGCAACACCAACGCGCAACCTCGTATGATTTCATCCGACAGAAGAGGCGCTCTGGTTGTGTGACATCTGTTCTTGCTCGGAATCCGACGATCAGACGATAGACCTGCAATTACGTCACAGGATCAATGCCCGATGTATTCTAGTCAAGCATAGCAGCATCGGGGTAATACTATTGCTCTGAATCAAATGCATTCTTGTACCGACCGTTGGTTTATTCCACTATTCTCCAGCGGACAAGCGACTCTGGAGGCGACTAGTTCACTTGTCACATGTAGGATATGCCCCATCCATGCAGCTTGCCGAACGCCTTATCCTATCGTGTAGTCGAAGAAAACTGGTCAACTGGAGTACCAATGGAAACAGCTAAGCAAGTTCGTAATACGGTAACCAAACCTCAGTCAACGTTTCGAATCAAGAGTTAAACGTAGGCTGAGTGAAACCTGAGGCATCATATATTGGATCCCTAACCCTTCCACGGTCATCTATGGCCATGAAGTTCTGTGGGAAATGATATCAGATACACGCGATGGATAAACTGCAATCAACCCTACTCCAACGCCATCCGACTTCAGTGCAAACTGTATGGGTTATGTGGATCTGGTGTATGAATATATGACTCGTAACCAACTGTGGGCCGAGCAAAAACCGCTGACGAACAAGATGCAACGGAAAGGAGTAGAAGGGGGAGAATCACTATCGTCCCTCATAATCCATCTCTAGTGAAGGGTGAATGAGCTGCATGGCAGCCATCAAGCCATCAAATCATCAAGTATAAATAAGAATCGGGTCAACATAACAGGATGACCGACAAGAGAAAAGAAAGGGAAGAAAAGAGAAAGAAACAGAAGATCATAGCATGTCATACAATATCATGGCATTTTCATTTGAACGCAAGTGGCAGAATCACCTGGGAGGTTGATTCGAAAGAGTTCAATAGGTAGACTGTCGTCTGCCCAGGGGAGGATCATCATATCGAGAGCGATAGTAGTCGGGAGTATAGCTGACGTTGCTGGGCTTGATCTCGGGAGCTACCTTGATGTCTTTCTCCTTAAAACGGATACCGTGAGAGTAAGACGGTCGGGAGCTGGGCGTCTGCACTGACTGGAAGCGGCATGGAACTTCCGGAGAATAAGTATATGTTCGAGTAGGCTGCGACCCCGTCCTGGAAGACATAGACGGGCGTACAACAGAGGGGCCTTCTGGCCGCACAGGTGAAACACTCCTCTGATGCCGATATGAAGTCTCAGCAGGCTCCACCACTATAGTATCTTGTTTGTCTCCAGGGATTTTGTATCTGACGGGCGGTTTCGGAGAGTTGCCATTTTGTCGCATCTCAGGAGTGCCAGGACTTGAGTAGCCTTCGTCCGTGCTACCCTTCACTTTCGAGGTTCTAACAGATCCAGAATTTGGGGGAGGAACCATCCTCGAGAGGGGGTTGTCAGACCGGGAGCTCGACTCCTTCTGACTCGCGTAAGCCGCGGGGGATGACCGCGCTGACTGGAGAGGCGGTTTTGCCGAAGAAGGAATCTTGATTCCCGCGGGAGAAGAATAAGATGTTGGCATGCTGGGAGGTTCACGAGATGTCCGCGTAGTGTCTCTTCTCGAATGTGTGCGGGTTGAACGTCGCGGCTCAGGTTCCCCATCTGTGTATCCGTGCTCGTATTTCTGCGGTTCGGAATACTTTGGTGGGGAGTTGGAAGGACGCGCTCGCCGATCAACCTCGATAGGGGGATTACCTCTTGAGCGCATGATGTAGTCTTGAGCTGAAGTTTGCAAACGCTCGTGTTTTGTTTTCCAGGAATCGGGATATTCATCCTCACCGTCCTCGTAATATCTAGGATCGCGTCGTGGTGGGGACGATTCCGGTTTTGTCTTTCTCGAAGAATATGTTTCTCGGGTCCGTTTGCTCTCAGCAGGTCGTACCTTGACGACGAATGGTCTCTCTGAACCGGAAGATTCGTCTGCACTTTCGAAATAGGGCGCGTATTTATCAGAGGCTTCTCTCCTTCGAGTCTTGCTCCGATACTTCGCCCGTTCGGCATGAGTCGCTTTCAGACTTTCGCGCGTGTATTCCCTAGTGCGGTGGAAATCTGAAGGCTCGGCCTTGGACCGTGTTTTCTCGTCCGTGGCCTTGGAGCGCTGTTTCCTGCGAGTATCATATCTCCTGGAGGCCGGCTGTGTTTCCTCTGTGACTGGAACTTCCTCCTCGTAGAAACGCGCATCAGCAGGAACTCTCTCTTCATAGACCCGTCCATCACGATATTCTCGTGCACCGCTAGAAGCGGCTGTGCGAGGAAAGCTGTATGGAGAGGAGCCACCGCCAGCGCGCTCCATGGCTTCCTTTCGAAGTTCCGCCAAGCGCACCTTCTGGTCGTACCTCGTCCGCTTGGTCTCATCCGAGAGCAGCTCGTACGCTTGTTGCACTCGTTGGAACTCATCTTGAGCCGCATTCCGCAGGGATTCATCCTTCACTTTATCAGGGTGGCATTTAAGTACGAGTTTTCGATGGGCGGATTTGATCTCAGGTAGGGTGGCATCTTTCTTGACTCCCAGGACGACATATGGATCGATAGTAGGTGGCGATAAAGACATGTTGGTATGTTTCCAAACCGAGGGACTTCCACGGATGGATACAGTCCCTTGTTCAGAAATTGAGCGATTGGGGCAGGAAATAAAAGAGCGTTTAGGCGAGAGATATTGTAGGCAGGTATATGCAGGGTCAGTACGTCAACCTGTCTCTCGGATGGCGTTGATCAATTCATGGTCGGGGCTCCGCAGCAGGGACGCGAGTCTGTCATTAAGAATGTAAGAATGTAAGTCACGCACGTTGCAGACAATTCGACCGTGACAGATGAAAGTCGGACAGAGTGGGAATGAGTCGGGAGATCTATTGTTGCCGTCGTCGCAGCGACAGGAGATCGAAGGGAACGACCGCGGCCTTTCCCTGGAACGGCTTGGTTGAGATCCGCGGGATGGGTGGCACGGGGAGCCCGGAGACAGGGCAAGCGTAAATGGGCGTAAAAACGGGGCCTTACGGGTCAAGTACGAAGGCGAGAAGATCCAAGGGGACTGCGCCACGATGTCTGCCCTAGAGTAGAGCAGCAGAGCAGAGTAATAACTTAGCACTGTCGATGCTGTCGCGCTGCTGAGGTGGCACTCTGGCGCTTAGTCACGATGAGCAGACGCCAAGCTGGGCAGATCTGACGGTGGAAAAGGTCGCAGCTGGATAATCCAACCGAAGAAGAAGCGACGTTGCTTATGTCTGCTGATGATATCCTCACTGTCTTCGCAGTGATGTCGAAGTCGACAAGTGGTGATAATGATTGATGTCTCAAGCCCCGGAGAATCAACTGCCGCGACTGGACACCAGGCGACTCACGGGCTGACCAAGTACCTGGCCGTTCCCCCGTTTACCCCTCCGAGAACCCTTCTCGCCAGGAGAGAGAGAGAGCCAGCGGTGTGCGGGCCGATGAAGACGAAACAGAAGAATGGAGACGTCTGCTGCAGAAGTCGTCGACGACCAGTCGTGACGGTTCTGCTTTAACCTCTCGGAACCTGCAAGCAATATCCGGTGATAGAGCGGTCAACAATGCCTAGCAACCACGGTTCCTTGAGGTTTGAGCTAGACAAGAGTACAAGAGTAATTGGTGTTGCGGTGCCCGAGGGAGCAATAGATCAGGCGAGAGTGATGCCCGCAAACGAAGAGACAGGACCAAAATAATATACCAACAACAACCACCAGTCTTGCTGTGTATAGCCATCAACTGCCCGACGCGGTTAACCGTGATCCCACCTCTGTTATAGCGATGTATGCTGGCCAAAAAGCTGCTCCTGAAGGTTCACCCTCCATGCTCTAGGCTATCTGGTGGCCCATCCATCTCACCCACGGCGACCCTCATCGTGGACCCCTCACTCGTTACTAGTGATAGACATTGCCCACCACAGGTTGCCCCAAGCTTCTTGGTCCCTGCTTCATCCGAAGGCCATACCAGCGATCTCCAGGCTATCGCTGCCCTTTCATTCATCATCCGACAAGACACATGCATTTTAGCATCGGCCGGTCTGCGCCTTTTTGCCGTATAATCAGCCAGCGAGCGACGACTGGATCCGCCATGAAATCCATCAAGCTTCCATCAGTGGCCGCCTTAGATCCGTCCCCGCCTCCTCCCACTTTGCCCTGATCTTCTATTGCTTCTTGCGCCCGTCCAGCTCGGTCCTTTTTTTCGCCTCCTCGCTAGGTGACTGTCTAGACGTTGTTCTTTCGCCGCGTCTCCATGACCGTACGATCCAATATTCTGCGACGGTGACCGGGCACACGCCCCCGTCAGGAACTTGCGCTACACCACTGAGGAAATCATCCTGGAACGCCTCCAAGCGTGTGTCACCTGCATGTGGTTATCACATTTTGCCAAGTACCAGGTACCAAGTAAGCACCTGCTATAACGCGCTAGTTACTCTCTACTAGACGACGGTCAGCAGGGTATCTAGTACATACGTGAAAAGTCTCCATACCAGAATAAATCCCTTTTATTGGAACCCCTCCATTGGGGGCATCCTATAGGATCCGGTCACTGGCGCGGCATGGCGCAGTGTAGCAGTCTATCCTTGCTCCTCGTGTCTATGTCTCTCCAGATAGCGCACCCCTCATAATGGTCAGGGCAGTCAGTCATCTGAAAGGCTGTCCCTAGTAATAATAATAGCCCACGGCTCATACATCCAATTTGAGTATCCACGACAGAGGACCCGGACATAATATAACTTGACCTATTGGAACGCATCTTTCACTTATTCATGTTCATTTTGGCAGAACCTTTCAATTTTTTTTTTTCTTTTTGACGGGTGGCTTGCCCATCATCCCGCTGTTCAGTGAGATCATGATAAGGCCAACCATAGAGATACTTCGAACGCCTCAGGTCGTTTGTTCTGCGACCTTGGAGGTACGACCATCTGACATTTCACTCGCACTGCCGTCTGCAGCAATCCTTGCTCCATGACTGCAGGGCTCGGTAGCGTAGCAGAGTAACTACCACATGCCAAAACCTGCGCTAACAGTTTTCCACACACCTTCGGACAGACGCAATTGGCAGCTGTCATGGCCGCCTCTTCCGCTGTCGGGGACCATGGCTGCAGGAGGACAGGGACCTTAGCACATCGCACCAACGTAACGGGCTCTGGAGTTGCTGCATAAGTAGCTGTGTAACTGGGACAAATAGGTTCGCGCCGTTTTGACGTTCCTTTTCGGTGCTTTGCGTCCGAAGTCCAGGAACAGATTCTTTTGTGTAATTACCGCCGTTACCTCGCAGTAAACGTGACTCCCCGCATCTCCAACGATAGCTACCAGGGCATGTTTATGTCATGGTTCGAATGTCGAGAGATTTCGCCAGCATCGATATCGTGCTGTAGAATGACTAGGTCGGTGCACAACAATGCTGCCAGAAACGCTGATGAGGTATCCAAGCTATACATCTGAACTGGTATTTTACGCCGTTTGACTCTGTAGTTGTAGTGACCGGCTGACAGAATAGTCAAAGCAAAAGCCTCAAGAGGCTAGATGCACATCGATATCCTTCTAGCAAAGATATAGCTCAATCACGATGCTGCCTAGTCCACAGGTTTCGGATCGATTGGAACGTAAATTAGCCCCGATTCAGAGTGCTCGTAGGTGGATATCAGATCATTTACGGAGTACTGTGTGCTCATTGTTTCCACCCTCAGGCGGGGTTTTGAGTAACTTATCGATTGGCGGCCCGCCTGCCCGCGCCCGGGCACGGCCCGTTCCAACAGTGGCCCATGGGAGAGCGTGAGTCTGTGAGATCGACTAGATATTAGCAGGCTTCCAACTAATCTTTCTGCTGAAGATCCTCGACCAGACCTAGAAATTATTAGACAAGGCTGGACCAGTATTACAGTAGATCGCACTCCCACGCACCCTGCAGTCTGTCAGACAAGACGACCATATAGAAATCTGGAGCTATCATTCGTCCACTAGAGAGCGTTGACCGGCGGTGACTATCCTCTCTTGGACGGCCTTATATAATTCGGAATTATTTTCAGCCTCGTCTTCGTGAGACAGGGCGCTCCACTGGTTATTTTGTTCTGGAATGGTGCAAGTTCAGCGTACTAATGTCCAGTTCGCACATGGGGGGGTCCAGCGACTGTCAGCAGGGCCTCTCAGCAGGGCTTGCGACCCAAATCATCACAGTGGCCGATTCCCGTGCCTTTTTCAGCCGCTGGCTGCCAGGTGACCTGTGTAGGGGATCAAAGCTGATTCTGGAAACTTGTCAACCCTTGTGATCGGCGATTATGATTGTATTCGTCGTCGGTACCTAGAGGAATTCAGGTTTGCAACTCTAGCTCCAAGCTTATCTTGAGCATTTCTGGATTTGGTTACCCTCAACGCTTCTCGAGGATGATGATAGAAGTACCGCGCACATGAGTTATTGGGATCGCTCACGTCTATCGCTAACCGGCAGCTTGCATGGTACAGATGGGCTTTCTATGGGTCGTGGACTCGTACGGATATGCGACCAGTCGTCTGTCCGATCACGATGCGATTCCGCGACTTTCGAAAGTTTTTGTCGCGGTGCTCAAGAAGATCATAGGCCACGTTGCTAGTCGTATCAGATGGGAATATTCTCGCGTTTCAAGCGGCGGCCATATTACGCTGAAATGGAGCGCTCGTCGATGAAGGATTATGCACGCACTAACGGGAAAGGCGACCAAGGCACTTGTGCATGATGAGAGCCAATCATACCTTGCAACGAGTAATAGAGCTCATGTATTTACGCCCCGACACTATGGCTGCCAGATGCAACCGGCATATGGGTACCCAATGATGACTTGATGAGATTATTGATCGATTCACGGATACCGTTTCCTCATCACCGCCCAGCAGTAGTTGCTGTATTGGCTCCTGTCGCTATGTGATAGTCCCAGGCTGGTAGATCTAGGTCGACAATGATTGGAGCATGAAACCTCTTTCCTTCTTTATGCGGCCAACTGGTAGCTACAATAGCAGCGTTGACAACACACGTCTCTCTTCTCTTTGGCCTTTCCTCGGATTCCACCAGGGGCATAGGGTCCTTGTCTGATCGACCAATTTGCAGAGTTGATGAAGCATTTCTTATACCGGAGCAATCGTGTCCAGGTTGTGGTGTATACGTCTGCTCCAGGCCTGGATCCGCATAGCTCTGAATACTGAAGTTGTCAAGCCGTCTTTGCTTCTTTCCTGTCAGGTCAACAAGAGACTGTTTTTTGCTCCCCATGGGAGGCAGGTCGCCAGTCATCACCTCTTCTTTGTTGAATCCATTGTCGGACGGGGAGCTCTCCCATCGAATCCTGTGGTAACCACGACCTTCGTGTACATGTCCGCATACTACCAGCATTGGTTTGAGCTTTTTCAATGCCTTATAGAGTCCTTCGCAACCAACTGCAACGCGTTCCTTGTGAGGACTATTTGGTAGATTGGGCGGCACATGCGTCACAACTATGTCTGTAGCAATTGGAATCTGTTGCCACAGTTTGTATGCGTCCTCGGGCTCATACCCGAATGCCCAGTCTCCTTTGAATCTCGAATAGGGTGACCCAAAAACGGTGAACGTCGTTCTGGGTCCTTCTGGCTTCGTCAACCGAATAGTAGTGGAAGCATGACGAAGGAAAACAATCGGCGTAGACGTTTTCGTGATAAGCTCGATACACTTTTCAGGATCCTCCAGGTTCTGCTTATGGAATTTAGGACCATGTTGCGTATAAAACTCCGGATCTAATGTGATATCGTGGTTACCTGCAGGTCATCTTTCAGCAAATGCCGTCTTGGTCAAGTAACTGAGAATAGAAGTTTTTTACTCAAAGAAACTCACCTGCAACTATAATCTTCACCTCATAATCTGCCTTGCTAATCCAGTCGATGGTCCTCCGCAATTCAGTCATGCTGCCGTGATTCGTGAGGTCACCAGCATGAATAAAAACGTCACCCTTTGGTAGTTTGAATCCAGCTTCCGATGGTGTATACCCATGAGTATCCGATACGCATACTATGCGTGTTTTTCTATACAGTCTGCTTGCAGGATCCTCCATGGTGAGCTACTAATGTACCCCTAGGGAAGTTTATCTCAAATATATATCTCTCTAGGATGGGTGGAAGAAGAACACAATTCCATAGGCTAAAGAGATCGGGGGAGAATAACCAAAAAAGGGATGAGTTTATATCGCTCCAGATTATGATAGCCCCTGAAGAAAAAGCAGATGGACATCATGAGAAATCAGCACTGCCTTGTTACACGTGCATGTCTCTATCCAGCAAAGCATGTGACGGATACTGCTGACTCAGCGAGACTGGTGGCTCCATCCATTTCCGACACTCCACAGTTTTCTAGTAAATGACATTCGTGCTTCAAGGACATTAGGATAGTATGCCGTTCTTATGCACAATATAGTACACTTTATTCTCATGACAGAATCAAGGAATCGGCCATAAGATGAAGTGATTGTGGCAAGACTCAAGATCAACTCAGGAATAGAATGTATCCTAGAATGTGGGCATACTTAGCGGAAGATAGCCACACATGTTATCAAGAAGTAGATAACCTACAATGTGCAGACTAGAGTAGATCGTAATAGGAGTTGGAGAGATTCTGGGGATGGATATGAATATTCTGCTCCGGTTAGGATACGCTCTTGATTTCTGATACTAGTTAAGCTAACGTAGTCATAAACAATCCCAAGGCTCAACTTGATCGCCTATAATTATGTCACTAAAGAGATCTAACTATCTATCAATGCGCTTGAGGGTTGCTAATCACTAGCGGCACGCTAAGTAGGAATTACTCTATTGAGGATGAGAATTGGTAGAAGAGAGACCCGTGGAGTCCAATGTCACGTGCCTACGGGGCACTGGATTGGCTCGAGTTAGGGTTGTGGCCCTTAAGCAACTTCCGCACAAATTAGCCTCGCTTAGGCTTTTACTGCGAACCATCCGACTCCGTGGTGTGCGTCGACCTGACCACAACGACTACAACCGCCGACAACAACGATACCCGAGGGATATCCTAGAGCATAGCTCTTTTTTCAGCTGGATATTTGCCTTGAGAGACGGTGAAAGAGCAGGATGTCCTCCTTCGAGCCGGTTGTGCGTGTCCCTCTTTTCCGTCTATTGATCGTCACTGCGAAAGAAAAACCGCTGACTTGCGATGGGATTTATAGGTCGTCATTGACGGCAAGGGACACCTCCTTGGTCGCCTGGCCAGCACCGTGGCAAAGCAGCTGCTCGCTGGTCAGAAGATCGTCGTCGTGAGATGTGAAGCCCTCAACATCTCTGGCGAGTTCTTCCGCGCTAAGCGTACGTACATCGAATTCTGAAGATTATTCCGTTTGCATGGGATGGGCGGACTGCGGCGGAGGAAAGAAAAGGACAATTGAGCGAAGACTGACCTGAGATGCTGGATATAGTGAAGTACCACGCCTACCTCCGCAAGATGACCCGTTACAACCCTACCCGAGGAGGTGAGACCGATAATGATCGAGATTCCGCCATATGAACACGGGCTAAACCGATATCCAGGTCCCTTCCACTTCCGTGCCCCGTCCCGCATCTTCTACAAGACTGTCCGTGGCATGATTCCCCACAAGACCGCCCGTGGTGCTGCCGCCATGGAGAGACTTAAGGTCTTCGAGGGTGTCCCTGCCCCCTACGACAAGAAGAAGCGTGTCGTCGTTCCCCAGGCTCTGCGTATCCTCAGACTCAAGCCCGGCCGCAAGTACTGCACTGTTGGCAGACTGAGCCACGAGGTTGGCTGGAAGTACCAGGACGTTGTTGCCAGGTATGTTTCGATAGCCATGTTTATAGGATCAGCATGGAACTTTTCTTTGCTGGTCTACGTTCTTTCTATGAATACTAACGTTACATAGACTCGAGGAGCGGAGAAAGGTCAAGGGTGCTGCATACTACGAGCGCAAGAAGGCTGCCCGCAGACAGCTCGTCTCCGCGCAGAACTCTGCGAACGTCGACGAGAAGACCAAGAGCCAGCTGGCCGAGTACGGCTACTAGATACCTCGCGGCGTGGTTGGTTGTTTGCGTTATTGATGAAATGAGCGGAATCGCGAACGGGTTTCATAGCGGATTGAACAGCTAGCAGATCGACCTTTTTCCCCAATGTCCCGACCTGATCATGAATATCTATGATGCTGCGATGGAGACGGAGGCCAAACGGATTAATTTCTGCGCGGAGTCACCAGGGATGAAAGGTTGTTTCAGAATAGCGCACCGTTATTACGCACCGTCGCGGTTAATCCAAAAGAATTTCCGTGCTTCAGGACGGCCTCCAATGAATGTCTCTCCAAGTTTAGACCGCATGTTTGTCTTAATTGCCGGTCCTATCTCGTAATACTTGCGGTGCCAGTGGTATTTGAAGTGTCCCTTAAAGCGGTAGCCGGTTAAGCCTTGCGGCTTGAATCTGCGTTATCCGGGCTACAGTCGGCGCAACTGTGATAGTAAAAAGTCGCCGAAGACCCTGTAATAAACATAATAAGTCGGGCCCTTTTTGTTATCCGTTGGTTAGCCGAAATATGGACCTTGGCAAGTCCGGGTGGTTATTCTCGGCCTTGTTCGGCTGTTCAACCGTCGGCCCGTGCCTCCTGCTTCCCCAGGTTTACTTCCGCAGATCCCCGCATCTCTTTCCGGGCTTATTTGAAAGGGCGCGTCGGATTGCCAGCATTAGTATTCTTCCCAGTAATTCTGATTGCGCGCAGGAGCACACCCATCACAATGTCTGGAGCGAAAAGCAGGTTGTCAGGCCTTCTAGGCCACCTATCGCCGTTCCAATCTGACGCCAATTCGACTACAGGGCAGTTTAGCCACCGCTTTAACCACCATACCCTCTCTCCTACCTTCTTCCTTCCACGAGCAGCTGCAATTGAGCCCAACGTAAGATAAAGTCATGTTACAATGGCATAATTATCCCATTGCCAGTCACGTTACTTACGGATCCACAGGCAGAAGCAATTTACCATGTGACTGCAAACAAGAAGGTGCTTCGGAGGTCGTATATCGAGACCGCAGACCGCGCAAGAGGTCTGGCATATTATTTGAAGAAGCATGGCTTCAAGAGAGTCGGTATCTTGTGTCCTAATACTCCCGCTTTCCTTGAATCAATATTTGGAATCGCAGCCGCTGGTGCGATCAATGTTGGTATGAGCGATCTTCCCACCTTTGTTCTGTGATTCCTGTAAACTCACTGGATAACAGCTGTGAACTACCGTCTCAAGCCAGAAGATCTTGCATATATCTTTACACATGCAGACGTAGATGCTATCATAGTTGATCAGGAGTTTGTGCATCTTCTTGATGCTTATAGGAAGGAGCACCCAGATGTGCCACTTATTATAGACACTGATACGGATGCCACGGAGGGTGAACTGAGCGGTCCGTTCGATGATGCGGTCCTCGAAGGATTGAAGCATGATGCTTCAATTGGAGCTCATGGCTGGGAGGGTCTTCAAACCCATGCCGACGACGAAGAAGATATCATTGCCCTTGCTTACACCAGTGGAACGACAGCAAGACCGAAAGGCGTGGAGTATATCCATCGCGGATGCTACCTTGGAGCGTTGGCAAATGTGATTGAAGCAGGACTCAATTACAATACAGGTCGATGTCGGTACCTGTGGACATTGCCGATGTTCCACGCAATGGGTCCGTTTTCATGCTCCCTTATCTTGGTCACCGCTAACGGATATAATCAGGCTGGACATTCCCGTGGGCAGTGACAGCAGTCCGAGGCACTCATTATTGTCTACGAAAAATCGACTATCCGGAAATCTGGAGACTACTCAAGGAAGAACGTGTCACGCATTTTGCTGCTGCGCCAACAGTCAACACACTTCTATGCGCCGCCCAGGAAGCTGAACGACTTCCAGAGCCTGTGCGGGTAACTGTTGCTGCCAGCCCGCCAACACCCCATCTTTTCGAACAGATGATCAGTCGAAATCTGTACCCAGTGCACGTATACGGAATGACGGAGACATATGGACCCATTACAACAGGCTACTACTTGCCAGAATGGGATACGATACCGCAGGCGGAGAAGTATAAAAAGATGGCCAGACAAGGCCACGGCTTTGTCACTAGTCTACCAGTTCGAGTGATCAAGACGGAAGTGCCCGAGGGTACCGTTATCGACGTTAAACCCGATGGTCAGGAGATCGGCGAAGTCGTATTTGTTGGAAACATCTGTGCAAAGGGCTACTACAAGGACCCAGAAGCAACCAGGAAACTCTTTGCGGGAGGTGTCCTCCATTCCGGAGATCTGGCAGTTTTGCATCCCGACGGAGCAATCCAGATCTTGGATCGAGCAAAAGATATTATCATTAGCGGTAAGATGTCCTGAAGATTGCACATTCGGAGCCCATGCTGATTTAATGGTCTAGGAGGAGAAAATATCTCATCAGTTGCTCTCGAGTCTATGCTGGCTACTCACCCCGATATCCTCGAAGTCGGTGTTGTGGCAGTTGCTGATGCGCACTGGGGCGAACGACCCAAAGCCTTCATCACCGTCATAGACGGCAAGGACTTGAAAGGTGAAGATGTGATTGAGTGGGCAAAGCATGTCAGTGGAATCAGCAAGTTCATGGTCCCTAGGGAAGTTGAAGTTGTACCAGAGCTGCCGAAGACAAGCACAGGAAAGGTCAAGAAGAACGTCCTTAGAGAATGGGCAAAGGGTGCCGATCGAAATCTTGTGAAATGAGGCTTCCAGAATTGATCTGGTTCGGATACTAGATGGTTTAGAATATCTTGCACGATAAACACAAGCATAGACGGTAGTATAGGGGGCATTCAGATGCTAGATTGATCCACTTTCGTTATATTTCGCATCGTTAGTTGTTCTCTCGATTGTTCAAGTTTCGAGTCATATCACAGACTCGTCTATCCGAGATCAATACGAACAAATTTGTGCGGTGCACCAGAGAAGCATGGAAGTTCTTTCTCTTTGGATGAATTGCTTCAGTAATCTGGAATTGTATGTCATGTAGATCGATCGATCGGCTATAGATTTAACCATATAACTCCCAGGCCTATCCCAGGATAATAATAGTTCGAGGACGGGAATGTGACTGGCACAGCTAGGAACTGCTTGTAAGCATATCTATGAACCAAGTTGTCATCTTCCTCGAACAGCTGCTTTGCTTGTGCTTTGCATAGAAAAGACATTACCGGATATACTGCAGGGAGTCTTGTCTTGATGTTCGCGTGAGTTATGGTGGATGGCAAGCATACCAGCGCCCACGGGATAGCGTCAAGCGACCAGCTCACAAGCCAAAGTTTCGCCAAGAAACCCCAGCAACAGCCTCATTCCTTCCGCTTCAGCTCCTTTACTAATGGGCCTTTACTCCTACAGCTCCTACCATACAGCTCCTGAGCACAGAGAGACTGGGAGTTGCAAAGCACCCCCGTTCATGCCTACGGTTCGCTATCGACACATTCGCTGTGGCTGGTCGTGACTTGGCCACGCAGTAACTTATCCTAAGCGCTTGTCGCCTCATCCCACCTCCGCCGCCCTCTCCTTGTTCGCCGCATCAGACGATTCCTTGTCGACATCACAACGGGCCGGATACCAGATCTCGATCCCGGTCATTTTCTTCTCACCGGAGCTTCCGGAGATGCCTATACTGCCCTTATAGGAGATCGGGATCGTTGTTTGCTCACTGGTACTGTGCTATTGTACCCCCCTTTGCGGTCTCCGTCAGGCTGTCAGCTCTTTGGCTAGAAGGCGCTTGTGCCACCACAGTTGCTGCGAAGCGTGCTTCCTTTGCCATAACGAGCTACGCTTGTACTTCCAGGGTTGCTTACTGCTGCCACCGATTGTAGCTAGCCTCGCGGCCGTTTTCGAGATCTGGAGTGCTCGATCCTCACCATCCAGACGAGGTTCCTTGAACGACTCGAGCAGATACTCTGCGGATCCTCCTACGACAGTTCGAGGGCGCATTCTCACTTCTCGTGGAGCCAACGGAATATATGGACCTTTGGGTGAAGAGAACTACATAGGAAGGCGCGTTTGACTCGGCTCTTGTACCCCGTCGCAATGCTCCGCTCACGACCAGCGGCTCGATTTCCGAGCGAAGCCCTCTCCGAGTCTTCCTCCTCCACATCGCCTGAACGGGCCGCTGACGATGATACGGACTTCTTCATGGCACAGGCCAATGATTCGCAGTCATCTGTGGGCGTGACTACAGTCCGAGAGGGAAACATTGATAGACAAGATGCGGCTATACCTCCGATCGGGCGACTGCCGCCTGAAATCCTGATCGCGATATTCTCGAAGCTCAACTCGACTGCGGATATGCTGAACTGTATGCTTGTATGCCAGACCTGGGCAGCAAACTGTGTGGGGATACTATGGCATCGGCCGTCTTGCAATAAATGGGATAATCTACGAAGTGTGGTGACCTCGGTGGGAAAGCGAGATGGTCTTTTCTCATACTCTGAGCTAGTGAAGAGGCTGAATCTCTCTGCGTTGACTGAAAAAGTCAGCGATGGCACGGTCGTGCCATTTACACAATGCAAACGGATCGAGCGTCTTACATTGACGAATTGCTCCAGGTTGACGGATAAGGGTGTTTCGGATCTCGTTGACGGGAACCGGCATCTACAGGCTTTGGATGTCTCGGAGTTACGCTCCCTCACAGACCACACTCTATTTACGGTTGCGAAGAACTGCCCTCGGTTGCAAGGTCTGAATATTACAGGATGCGTGAAGGTGACTGATGATTCCCTGGTTGCGGTGTCGGAAAACTGTCGACAGATAAAACGAGTAAGAAGTATTCTTCTAACCTGCATATAAAATTTATTTCTAACGGTTATAGTTAAAATTGAATGGCGTCGTCCAAGTTACCGACAAATCTGTTCTGTCTTTTTCAGAAAACTGTCCCTCGATACTTGAAATCGACCTGCATGACTGCAAGCTGATCACAAACACTTCGGTAACATCACTCCTCTCTTCACTCCGCAACCTGCGAGAACTGAGGCTCGCGCATTGCACCGAAATAAGCGATTCTGCCTTCCTAAGCCTCCCGGAGCATTTGGTCTTTGATAGTCTTCGCATTTTGGACCTTACTGCCTGCGAGAACGTGAAAGATGACGCGGTGGAGCGCATAGTTAATTCCGCTCCTCGCCTGCGGAACCTTGTCCTTGCAAAATGTAGGTTCGTGACGGACCGGACTGTCCAGGCAATCTGCAAACTGGGTAAGAACCTTCATTATGTCCATCTTGGCCATTGTTCGAACATCACCGATGCTGCTGTGATCCAGCTGGTCAAATCTTGCAATCGCATCCGATATATAGATCTGGCGTGCTGTAACCGCCTGACGGACGCTAGTATCCAGCAGCTTGCGACGTTGCCGAAGCTCAGGAGAATTGGCCTCGTGAAGTGTCAAGCAATAACAGATCGGAGTATCCTTGCGCTGGCCCGTCCAAAGGTTTCTCCCCACCCGCTCGGAGTGAGCTGTCTGGAGCGAGTACACCTTAGCTACTGTGTTAATCTGACAATGGATGTGAGTACTTTTGACATCTTAGTACCCATAGAAATGCACTTTATACTGACTTCTCAGGGGATCCATGCACTATTGAACCACTGCCCGAGGTTAACGCACCTGAGCTTGACGGGAGTGCAAGCGTTCTTGCGAGAAGAGCTTACTGCATTCTGTCGAGAGGCCCCGCCTGAATTCACACAGCAGCAGCGCGAAGTCTTCTGTGTTTTCAGTGGTGAAGGGGTCTCCCACCTTCGCGATTTCCTGAACAGGAGTGTTGCCCCTTTCCATGAAGATGGAGAGGCAACTATGTATGACGACGATGAAGAATTAGACGAGGAAGAGGGCCAGGTTACGGGCCTCATGAACGCGACTGCCATTCACGATGAAGAAGATGAAGAACTGGGAGATGGCGCTATCGATGTGCCACATCCCCATGGTTGATACCCCTGCTTTAAGTCTATCCGGCTGATTCGTATTTTACACGGTCTCGCATCTCCCTTGTTCGGATGCCTGTGATCTGCTACTTCAAAGCGAGCTTCACCCGTATGATCAATGTTCATTCATACTCATTTCTCGCTACTTTAGCGAGATAAACAGAGCGGGGGTATTAGCAAACACGGAGCCCCAGCAGCCTTTGCAGAGAGGTCCAAGGACGTCTGCAACTAAGCGCATACGCTCTACCGAGCCATACCGACTGATAGCGTGCAGAGCGAGATATAATGATATTTTGTTTCCTTTCCTACCTCTGCATTCCGCTACTCTGAAGCAAGTGCGCTATCGTGCAGCCCGCCGCTGCCTGGGAAGACGTATGCTCAGATTACTTGCGTTCTGCTGTACATACACACGCTTCGAATACTTCGAGTGCTCTTGTCGTGCTATTACACAGCTGTATCATTTGAAACCTTTCTGGATGACTTAGAGCGAATTTTGAAGATTCAAGCATCAAATCTCAAGCGTCGAATGACGAAGCGATGATATTTCTCCCCGCGTTGGTGTTACCTTGCAGATATACCAGAACAGCCGATTAGAGAATTAACATTTTTGTATCTTATTGAGCTGTATTGTCTGGCCAGCTGCCAGTCCCCGATCTACGTACATTCTAGGAAAGTGATGTGCTAAAACATCGTCACTCTATCGCGCTCGATTAAACGGACCACTCCGCTTTTCGTAGGCACATAATCCAGATCACATCGAGTTTAGCTTCGACAAAGGAGATCATTAGCGACGATTCAATAATAAGGCCTGTTGTAGTTCTCCGGCTATCTGCGCTTAGGTGCAGCGAATGACGTGGAGTAGGTTAATCCTATCCTCGACGAGCCCAAGCTACATAGTATACGTTCCCATTGGCATGCATAGCATTATTAAATATCAGCTGTCGCTGTCTGTGATCTAAAGATAGTGCGATGGGATCTGACCGGGAGTTTCCCGTCAGAAAAGCTCCCGAAGAAGCTTAGAGCTTTGCTTCGCCTTCCAGCCCCCCCCCGCGTTCGACCTCCACCGCGCGACGATAACGACATCGCTTAATAACTACTTTCCTCGAACACAATTCCTTTTTGCTCCATGTCCTAAGGAGGCCATACTTTAGTCGCCTGCCACTGCGCCGGTTCCATCCGCGAAAGGTAGGATCCATGGCTTTACACAAGGCTGCGCGAGCGAATCCTCTGGCCTTCACACCCGGCCCTGTGACAATAATAGTGACCGTTATCTATGTCGCGCTCATCGTGCCGCTGCTCGTCATCCGTCATGTTCTACCGTCCGCACCGAGCACAGATCCAAAGGGTATCAATCTCACGGAGGCGTGGGTAGACCTCCAACACCTTACTGCGGGTTTCCATCCCTACAATTCCCACCGGAATGACGATGTACATCAATGGCTGTTGACGAGGGTTAACGAAATCCTCGAGGCGCGCGCTTCAGACGAAGCGCACCAGTCCGCGGGAGAAGAAAGACCGGACGTCTTCGTTTTTGATGACAATACGTCTAATCTGACCTTTTCTGGAGGTAGTGTCGCCAGCACTATCACTCTGGGAGTGTATTTCGAAGGTACCAACATAATCGTATATATCCGCGGATCCGAGGACAGCAAAGACAAATGGTGGGATGATCCAGAAGGCGAGCCTGAGGGCAAAGGCGGCGTCTTGGTCAATGCGCACTATGATAGCGTCTCGACCGGTTATGGTGCGACGGACGATGGTGTCGGGGTTATCACCTGTCTCCAATTGATCAAATACTTTACCACGCCCGGACACGCTCCACGGAAGGGATTGGTGGTGCTATTCAACAACGGCGAGGAAGATTTTCTCAATGGCGCGCGTGTATACAGTCAGCATCCAATCTCCAAGTTCCCTCACACTTTCCTGAATCTGGAAGGCGCCGGAGCTGGAGGACGAGCTACACTCTTCCGCAGTTCTGACACGGAAGTCACTCGATTCTATGAGAGATCACAGTATCCGTATGGCTCAGTCCTCAGCAAAGATGGGTTCCGGCTTGTTCGCAGTCAAACCGACTACGTCGTCTTCGAAGGTGACCTTGGTCTCCGTGGGTTGGATGTTGCATTCATGGAACCTCGAGCTAGGTACCACACCGATCAGGATGATGCGAGACATACCAGCAAGGATGCCGTGTGGCATATGCTATCAGCCGCCGTTGCTACGACTGAGGGTCTTGTGTCTGATTCCAGCAATCGCTTCGATGGAGATGCGCAAGAGCCTGGAAAGGTACCCAGCGGTAAAGGTTCGGACGCGGTGTGGTTCGATCTGTTTGGTAGTGCCTTTGCTGTATTCCAGCTTCACACCCTGTTTGCACTCTCAGTGACCTTGCTTATCGTAGGACCACTGACCCTATTTGTCACCAGTGTGGCGGTATCTAAAGTCAACAGAATGTATCTTTTCAGCATGTCGGTCCCCCTGGACGAAGCCGGTGACGAGAGAGTCCCGCTTTATGGTCTGAGAGGAATATTCCGGTTCATATTCCTGTTTGGGGTGCCCACTGGGGTTGCAGTCGGTCTGGCCTACCTGCTAACCAAGGTCAATCCCCAGATCATACATAGCAGCGAATATGCTGTTTGGAGTATGATCATATCTGCCTGGTTCTTCTTAGCATGGTTTGTGTCTCGTGCAGCAGATTTCGCTCGACCTTCTGCTCTTCACCGAGTCTACACTTTGACTTGGCTGTTCATTGTGGTGTGGGTGCTTCTTGTCGTCACCACCGTCTATGAGAACAAATCTGGCTTAGCTGGAGGTTACTTTGTCTTTTTCTACTTCGTTGGGGTATTCCTGGCTACGTGGATTTCTTATTTGGAGCTGTTTTCGCTACCGAGGAAATCCGATTATGTGAGCCAGTTCCGACAGACGTCGCGGAGAGCAAGCAGCTTTGGCAGTCGACTTCTTACCCCTACCGCCGACGAGATTGGAAGCACGGCCAATGCTGAAGAGGAACCGACGGAATCCACGTCTCTGCTGCGAGGGGGAGGACAGCGAATGACATTCGCGCACTACACTCGCGTAGAAGATGACAACCATACCACGAGCGATCTCACTGTCCAAGAGCATGATCGCGGCCCAGCTGTATATGGACATGAGCAGCAATGGAGCGCTAAACTTCCCAAGTGGACATGGGTACTGCAGCTGCTTCTCCTGGCCCCAATTGTCATTATTTTAGTTGGTCAGATCGGCCTTTTCCTGACAAGTGCTCTCCATCAGACCGGTCAAGACGGCAGTTCTGTCTTAACCGTCTATTTGCTGATCGTTGCTTGCGCGGTGCTCATCCTTGTGCCTATACTGCCATTCATCCATCGATATACCTACCACATCCCAGTTTTCTTGCTTTTGATCTTTATTGGCACACTCATCTACAACCTGGTCGCATTCCCATTCTCTCCAACAAATCGCTTGAAACTTTTCTTCATTCAGGAAGTCGACCTGGATACCGGTGTCAACCGTGCGTCGCTCACGGGTATCCCTCCATTTGTGAATGATGCGGTGAACGCCGTTCCTAGCGCCGCGGGCCAAAACATAACCTGCGATTGGCTTGGGCCCCGATTGAAGTGCTCTTGGGAGGGACTTCCACCGCATGTCACCAGTACAGAATTGTCCTCTCTATCCACGGGCTCAGAGAGCGACTGGGTATCATTTAATGTCTCAAAGACAAGCGCCAAGAGGGCCACCTTCGATATCTCCGGGAAAAATACACGGGCCTGCAAAATCTTATTCGACTCCCCTGTTTCGGACTTTAACGTTGCCGGAAGCGCCCTCGACGATCGCTTTCCTCATATTTCTCACCACGGAACCAAGGAGATTCGACTCTGGAGCCGTACGTGGGACAGGACATGGACAGTTGACGTTCGATGGCCGAAGGGGGACCTGAGTGGACGGGTAGTCTGCTTGTGGAGCGACCATAATCGCCCGGGACTCATCCCCGCGCTGGATGAGGTTCAGCAGTACATCCCTGACTGGGCTGCAATAAGTAAGTTATCGGACGGTCTCGTCGAGGGCAGCAAGTCCTTCAAAGTCTAAAGAATGAATGATGGGAAGTATGATATCACGACCTACACGTTGCGATGTGTTTGTATCATATTTGTGGATTTCGGTTACTTTCAGTATCGTTTTTGGGGCATCAGTCTCAAACACGTTGCTGCTGTCCCAGTACTTGTAGATATCAAGGCGTTCGGTTGTTTGGCATCATGAGTTTATACGTTGTTTTGGATTCCTTTCTACCTCAGGAGCATGTTGTGATCATTAGTCAGTCGTACCTATTAGTTAACTATGGAGTCATTCTTGAAATCTTTTGGAGCATCTTCTTTCAGTAGGTAATCCAACCTCTCCCAGAAATTCTCCGTCGGGAACCGGAACAATTTAGGCATGCAACACGAACCTGATCTTCTTCCCATAACTTCTTCCGCGGGGGCCAAAACTTACACATAGGATCCTTCTCGCATAAACTAATCGAGTAGCATGCATATAACTAGATATAGGATGCTGACGTGAGACCCACGTGTATTGTACTTATGCACAGTATATACAATGCATAAGGCGCGCCTTCAAGAGTAGGTAAAATTCACACTCCGGTGTATGCTAGCACTAGCACTTTTTTAAGAGCAATCAAATACGAAGAAGTAGTGAGTGGGAGGGATATATCCAGGACTCATAACTGTATTCAATATGCTTTAAACTTTTTTTTTAAAAAAAAAAAAGAAAAAGAAAAAAGCAGGTCGTGACCACCATGCGTGTGGGGGCAGAAAAGGCGTGGGAGGATAGGGTTAGCATTTTGGATTATGTTCAATTCAAGGAAACTTAAAGTTTCGATAGATATTCGAATACTCTATATCAGGGCTGATAGCAGATAGATAGATAGAGTTTTTAGGCTTTCTGCTAAGACATCGTCTAGAAGAAATATCGGGTTTTAGGTACCTACCTACCTAACTATTTGGCCCCCAATTTCGGATTCGATGATTCTCTCCATACCCGAGTCAGGTATGCAAGCAGCGATGACCACTGGTTATCGTATTTCTGAGCAAAGCAAATGTAATTTCATGGAAAAGATATCTTTTCTCGTATCCTGTCTGCAAATGTAACCTGACCCATGCATGAAACCAAAAGCCCAAGTAGGTACCTATTTTCCATATACCTCCCCACCACTCAAGTAAAAAGGACAAAAAAAAAACAATATAACGCCGTTCCGTTCTATATGCATAGTAGAGGGTATCAAGTGCGCGAATAACAGGGCTAAAAAGAAATCAACGCGGACACCAGAAGAAATAAATGGATGATCATCGTGTTCTGGGCGAATCTGCTTCCTTCAATGTGCGCACGTCCCAGTCCTGCGTGACGAGGATGCCTTGTAGATTTTCCATTTGGCGCTGGAACATACTATTTGCCTCTGAGTCGATGTCTTGTTTCGGCTGAACGGAACAGATGTTTGTAGGGGGAGGAAATATCCCCGTGTTTGCAGTGAGTGGGCGGAATGCGTTATTCCTGACTTCGATCGAGGCAATTCTGTGATGGGATCGGAGATGAGTTTGGGAGAGCGTCCCAGATTCAGTATTAGATTCGGTTGACAGTCCGTAACAACTTTGGCGGCGGATTGGTTTCGATAGGATGGGTTGTAGGACGGGAAGGCAAGCAGCAATGATGCTTAAGCACGGTTCGAGAGCACTCCAGATGGCGTGGTAGACTATGCTGTAAGACATATCTGCGGTATTGAGTTGAGCGATGGAAACGATTCGTAGAGCTGCTATTACGCAGACCCTATAATATTATTGTTAGAACCACGTCAAGAGGTGTTCGGTTGTTGTTGCTGTTGTTCCTTACGCAGATCCAAACAAGAAGACGCTACCCAGGGCCATCTTCTTTGTTCCAGGTAGTCGTAGATGCCGGAGCATGGGAATGGGTATAATGAGAATGATGGCATTGAGGACCAAGTCAATAATAGAAACACTGATCCATGACGCACGGATGTTGATGCAGTGTCCACCCTGTATAGACTTATCCCAAATATATGCGAGGGGAGAGCAGAGTAGACACATGCGGATAATTGTGCTCACCCAGCAGGCCACAACGAGTGCAGCCACTGTATATGCGGTGACCAAGAACCGTCTCGAAGGGAATGTGGTAATATATAGATGTATCATGGATATTCTCGCACAGGAATTCGACGATATCCAAAGAGGCTCGACAGCCATGTAGATCTGAGATGCTGTCAGGTCACACTGATGAAGTAATATGCCTCGTGATGCCTACCTTCATCAAATAACTCATTTTATTCGACGATAACATCGAGGCGTGGTACCCGATGCCGCCTGATCGAGTGCCTACATGTTGGTTTAGCTGAGGTTTCATGATCTTATCGCCTGCTGTGGTATCACTTACCAAGGATAAGAACCGCCATTTCTCCTACTTGGAAAACCTATCATTTGAATATCAGAAAACATCCAAACCACCATAGTACTTCCTCATGGTTGACAGCCGGGACGCACCAGAGCAGCCATTATCATAAAGTCGTTGACCGTTAGAGTCGACCTTCTAAGCCTTCTTGCCCATAATCGTAAACCAACGAACAGGAAACTCAGTGCCGAAAAAATGACCGTGATAATGATAACCACAGCCCCTTTCGACGAAGTCGAATTTGAATAATCCGTATGCTGTGCCACACCTGAAGCCATGGCCATGGGATGTGATATTGTATGTGGTTGAAAAGTCACTCTCCCAGAGGGGAGTAGAACCGATATAAGCAGCCATAGTTGACCGCTAAGTTTCTACCAATGCCTCTCAGCTTGTTGAAAGAAGACCAGGATCAGCCACGATTAAGCAAAAGCTTCCACCCAAACCTCCACACATGGGCTAGCCACGCGACGATGTTAGTGTCGATTAACTTGGTGGCTTTTGCTGACGGGGACCATGACAACGGGATCACCATTGGATTTCCGAGATCGATATTGACCCCACTCTTCAAAATAGATATAATAAGCTCTTGATGAAACGAACGGCCGGGTGGTCAGATCCAATTTCTGGAATCCGGATGGAATAACGGTAGAAAAAACGGCCCCAGTCTTCCTTCGGACGGAGCGAAGAGGATTCGCTGACTTTCATAGACCACCATGGCTCTCGTAGGTCGGGAAGATTGTAGATCGGCCGGCCCTAAGTGCCCTGTGACAAAGCAACTGCAACGTGGTAGACCATATGCGGCCGTAATTATGGCCGTAGAGATCTATGCAATTCAGCGAAATCGACAGAGATAGGGCATAGTGCTGCAGCCACAGCGTGGCAGTAGAAGTGATCGGACTCCACCGATCGCCTCGTATACTTCGCATTCACATACCGCTTCCCTGGAAATAAGTGGCTTGAATACCCATCTTGGTTCATACCTAGGGTCCAATATACGGCCTGAAGTGAGATCACCGGCAAATAGATGGCGGCCAATGTTGAAGGATTCGGGCTCCACGTTGGGGGCCAAGCATGATAGAAAGACGTTCGCAGCGTCACGTCCATTTGTCATCTAGTTATCCTGTGGTATTTATGTAAGCTATACTTGATGATATTCAAGGGCTTTTTACGCCCCAAAGGATTTGACAGACCCGTCGAGGTAGGTTCGTTTTGTGTATAAATAAAAAATCGATCCTGCTGGATCCCACTGCAGTATCCAAATCAAGGTACCGTTTTCTTCACCTAGGAAACAGCCCGGCGACGGGAACCGGAATCCACATTGGATCATTCTCTTGAGATCCTTCGATGTTTCAAGTTGAAACAGTATCTGCTCAGTTTCGCATTTATCCAAAGGATTCTGCTGTATACAACTCCGTGTCGCGATGGCGCTGCAAGATTGACAATTATCGGCTATCGCTGCGGTCCTTCGCCCTTCGAGCTATAGTGAGTACGAGATGATTCTCATAAACTTTTCAATAGATTGACAATTATGTTTTTTTCAAAGTAATTTCGTAGATCATAAATCTTCGTGGATATCGCCAAGCTAGACCAGGTTCAGGTACGTATAATGACTAACCAACAGACGACCACTGAGGATTGCTGCTGCCTTAAACCAATACTTCACTGAGAAGGATAAATCATGTACATACGAATTGAGTACGACTTTCGCTGAACTGCCACGATATAGTCACCTCAAATACGTCGCTCATCGCAGTCTTTATCCAGCCCGAAGCAATTTCAACAAATTTCGCAACTTGAGCAACAAATCATCTGTTGAGTCTAGGATAGATCTCGACGATAATATCATCGACACTACCGTCCGACCAAGGAGGACGAATACAACGCGAGTTCTGCGATGCCAAAAGCACAAAATTCGTACATCCTGTTCGGGAAGGCTGCCAATTTATACAAAAAAGAAGCGGTGATTGACCTTGGGGAGCGTACAGTGTCTAACTCATATCCACAGTCACAATAACTAATCCTGACGTCTAATTAAAATAGCTGTAATTGTCCCTGTCGGTTATTGACGTAGTAACTTGCAGACTCTGTCAATTCCCACATCAACAGCAAATCTCATCACCCCATCAGAAGAATATAAGAGGCATTATTTCTATAGCGCGGAACTATGACTCGACTTCTCTACCCAATTCCAGCCTTTAGCCGCCTTTCTCCCCAACAATTCACAATGGCGATATGGATAGTGATGATCTAAAATGCGGGGTCTAGCGGAGAAGATTTGCTCGGAGATTTTCTCTGCGGGGAAAGGATTGGTGGGTAAAATGGATAATCTCTTCTTACGGGGAGATCTTACCAGTTTCCGTCATGCCACGAGGTCTTCTCTGCCAAATCGGGTGGTTGATGGTGGCTTGTCGTAGGTTCCGATGTGTTTTCGAATACGAGGTAGACCACGCTGTAACAACGGCACAGGGCTACTGCTACTGGAAAGGAAGATATGAGTCGGAATTGATTTCATTGTGGTTATACTAGATTTGTCTGTTGTAAACCTCAAATCATGGAGGATTGGTCAGTCATGACGTCTTGATTCGGCATCTCCGAAGGCGACGACCATTTCCGACATGCCCGGTTTCTTTCGATCACTAAGTGTCTCAGGGTTGTAGCTAGTAATTTTTCAATTATAGCATCTGATGATGAGGGAGTGTTCCCCTACGTCTGCATCGGATAGTGGGTGGCATTTTCTAGCTCACCGCGTCTATGCGCATTCTGGCGCAATAGACAGGTTTCGCATGTGCTGTACATGAATGGGCCCTTTGATGGCCCTACAGCACGGCGGGAGTCCCTTTCTTGGGATTCCTTGCGATAATCGAGTCTCGTAAAGTGGCACTCGTATCTTGTATAGGAGAGTAAATTCAAGCTTCAGCCGAAGTCTCGTTTCAACCCGGACGGTCTTTATATTTGTCATTGCTTGACGGTCGTAGAGCGTTTGTAAAGTCCGTGGGTGCCAATGCTATACCGGGAGACAGCTCGTTCGTTTGAGTCTCGCCGCTCCACGATCCAGATAACTCAGAATGACCTATCTCTTGATCCCGGGGATTTTCCGAATGTTCGAATACGGCGATATCGATATCGTCGGGATCCATCCACGGATGTGAAGGGTATCTAATAGTCGGTGCAGCATGGGTCACGTCGGATGTGACTCGCGTGGCATCCACAAAATCCGGGAAGTCATTCGGGGAGCTGGCAGGTTGTGGCTTCCAGCCGTGGGAATGGACCAGATGAACCAGCTTGCCCAAGACGGCGAACTCCAGCTTCAATTTGACACTGTAGACAGCGCCTTTGAGAGTCGTTTCAATGACGTAAAAGTTCAGATATTCAGCCAAAAGAAGACCCAGGTCCATCGCAATGATAAGCAGATTGATGCCCAAAAGCTGGTACATAATTTTTCGATTGCGCTTATCCGGATTCAGTTTCAGCAGCTTGACAGTCTCGATGATGTATAGGCCGGAGATGATGAACTCCTGCAGGCAGAACCCCGTCATCTGGATCTTCTCCATGACATTGTATCCCCGAACGTATGCGGTTGTGTCATAATCAAAATTGGAGCCGAAAGTCACAACGGTGGTCGGTACATGCAAAACAATCGCGTCGGCAATGATCATGAACAAGACGCGCTGTAGGACTCGAGGATTCCTCAGGACCAGATGTAGCCGCGAGTATAGAACGATCGATTGCCCAGTGACCATAAAATACCAGCCGACAGTGAGGAATGTGACAGATAGCCACCGCGCACTCGTGAGATTGAAAAATTTGAGAAGGAAGCCGAGTGAATATGGTACAACGCCGACGACAGCTGAACAAAGAAGACTCCAGAAGTAAAGGCCCTTATACTGACTAAAAGTCACAAAGAGAAGGACGATGAGTTCGATCGCGTTGTACCAGGCAATTCCGGTGAAGGTGGCCATGGCAATCTGGACCCCAAGATTGTTTCCTGTATATCCCCCAGTGATGCCGTCACCCGGCGCACTGGGGCCATCAGTCGCCATCCTATGTATCGTTGAGCTCTTGCCGTGGCCCTAGTCGCGTGTTATAGACGAGCACACATGGTGTTGGAACTGTCGATCCGAGGAGCAGCTTGCGTCCGTTGCCCACATCGCAGCATGGCTGGGATGTCGCAGACGTTTATCACACGCATGTATGGGAGGCCTCACATCCAGGAGGGAAAGACAGCAGCAAGAGTCTCTTGAAATAGAAGGTCCTGACCGGTTTTAAGACAAGGCTGATGAAAGCGTGTGGACTCCGTGCGCGCCCCCCACAATGCGGTCAGAGATCCCCATGCTGTGCCCCAAGACTCGGCTTCAGGGCGTCTGCCACCATCGTTGGACAACAGCGAAGAGCTGACCGGGATGTGGACAACTGACAGCTGCTCCTGAGTCCCGACCAAACGTTCATGCGGGGGAGGACCGAGTGTTCAGGCTCCACCGTCCAACCTCGAGTGTCGATAGTTATTATTATTGGATCTCGTAGCGTGGCGCGGAGGCGAGAACGAACAAATCGAATAATCAATAGTACAATAATAAATCATACGTGAGCCGCTAGCCCTGGCAGAGACCCAAGGAACAGATGGATCAGGACATGCGAGTCTTTTCGGACAGATCCAGACGACAGACTCTGATCCTCCCAAATACCAGACCAACAGGCTGTTCTTTGTAGAGACCGAAGAGAGACACGGCACTATCGGGGGAGTTACGTGTGCCAGGGACTCTTGATCGTCGATCATATTGTCATTGTTGTCCCCTCATCCGGTTCTTAGTCTCTGTCCTGGTTTCTGTCCTAGTTCGCCAAGAATGAGACAGGCGCAAGGTGCGATTATGTACGGAATACTCCGTACTCTCATTGCATGCCGCAGTCCTAGACGAGGGAGCCCTATGACCGTCGGAGTCTCCGTCCAACAGCGGTTTTTCTCGGATATTGGCGAGCCACAGGCGACCACCGATGTCGCTGGGCGTGTCGATCCACGGCCTCAAGCGAGGAGATGGGTGGATTATTTCGCTCGCGGTTGCCGCTCTGAGGCACCATTGCGAGCAAGACGGGGAAGAAACCGTGCTTGCAGTGTTGACGATCCTTGCGGGTGGTGAGAAAGGCGAGGGTGAAGATGACCACCAGAACTTCTTCTCGGCGCTGTTACTCGTCCGCTGCAGACCGCAACAACGCACGCTGTACGATCCCACCGGAACGCCTTCGTGTCATTTGGAGAAAGCAATACTCTAACTAACTTACTCCGTACTTGCTTCGGATAAAAACCGTCACGGCTGTTCAGTGGGATGTTTATTGAGGTCCCTGGCCCCTGTTGTTGTGGCATTTGCATCTACCACCATCGGATCATCTCACGAGTTGCAACGCTGGTGGGATTGTAGCGATCGTGAGACTCTCAGCCCAAGCAGAGACATCATCTCTATTGGCTCCCTAACATCCAACGGCTCGTTGTCTTGACTGACTTGTACGAGGAACTAACTAGCGTACAGACTCCTCGTAGTCACGCATCTCAAATAACAACCCGCCGTGGATGAGGATCTCCGGGCAATTCAACGATGGAGTTTGGTACTCTTCTTTATCCTATCGAGTGACACTCCGGCATCACTGAGTAAGGTTATTACTGCTGCTACCTGACGGGGTAAAACGATGCGACTGTTGCAGTTACGCGAATCGGGCCAAACCTAACTCCTCTTTTGATGGTGTTTCTGAAGGCCTAAATCTGCGCCATTGAATCCTTCCGGCTTCTCCACGTCACGGACAGCACAGGACATGTAGTCTATGTCGGACTCATCAGCACCAAATACGACCTCAGAAGTCCGCGAACCGTCAGTAGAGTCAGCATCACACGAGCCGTACATCCGCTAAAGAGGGATTCATCCCGATGGCTATGTAATATGTCTGTATGCGGGATTATTACCGCAGCACAGCTGAGGAAGTACTCGTATAAGACGAATTTGTCCCACCAATGACCCTTGGTCTCAAGCTTGCTCCCGACAACCCACGGGATTGCTATTATGTCAAACACGAGCATGCGGTTGATTACCCTAGTAGATAGTTAACTATCGGGTGATTACCAAGAAGCGGTCCGGTTCGTCGCCCTGCCAGTGGTTGTATTTATTGTATTACTTCCCAAATCTGGGGAATCTGCAGTCCTAGAAATATCAAAGGTGTAGATGGCATTTATCTACATAACAGCCATGCTCTCTGCCTTAGGAAGTAGGAAGCCGGGCGCTGAAACTAACTCTGGTTTCCTATCTTGGATGCAGCATATCAATTTATTGACGACTATCAAGCCATTACTACCAGACTGATATCCATCATGCGCAGGGATAAGAAACGAGAGGTATGTACCTGTATAGAACAGACAGAAAAGATCCACAGACCTACTTCGATCATATCTCCTCTTTATTTATGTATTTATGTATTTATTCTATTTTTTTTCTAAGAATTCCTGTCCCTTCAACAACTATCCACGCCAACTCCATTGGAGAAGAAAGTAAATATTCAACACAATCCACATCCTATCAAATCACATAAGGAATAAACCTCGCCGTCCTCTCATGCCACCTCACCCACTCCTGTCCGAACTTCTCCTTCAACATCCCCTCTTCATCCTTGACCCTCGTAGCCAGCGCGGAACTCGCAAAAGCCATCGGCGCAATCAGAACGACCCATCCCCATCCAGTCAACGCAGCCAGGAAAGACTCCGGAATAAAACATGCCGGAGACGAATCCCATCGCAAAACCAGCAGGTTCATTGCGATACTAATGAGGAATTGGCCCGTGTACGACGGGTGTTGGATGAAATGGTAGATTCCCGACGTGACCAGTCTGTCCGGAGGGGCTAGTTGGAAGGTGAAGTTCTTGCCTAGACCACCGTAGGCGCTGAGGCGGATGGCGGCGCCCAGGTATGTCAGCGCGAGAGTGGTCGTGGTGAATGAGTTCCAGGTGTAGAAGTCGCTGTGGAGGTTCGAGGCGTGCGGGCAGATACGTTGTAGACTGGCTGCATCATCATCATGGGCGGCTGATGGCCAGGATACAGCCAGCAGCGCATGGAATAGATACAATACTAGCGAGATATAGCCAACTGAACGTGTGACTCTGCCTGTTAGGAAATGGATTCGATCTCCCTTGTATGCGCGCGATTGCGACGGAGGAGGATTCGGCGGCGTGACGCATATGGCGTTCAGGTACCCGGCGCCTGCGAGCGCGAGCGCGAATGCCAGGGAGGAGAGAGAAGGCATGGTTGGGTTCAGGAGAAGAATAAACTGGTCGTAAACGGTGAGCGAGTAGATATCTCTCTTGACCTGCTTGCTGCCTTACCGTCGTCCGTAAATAATAACTAAGGTACCCGACAGCCGACTTTATATCTGTACCGTTAAGTAGGATGTTCAGATGCCGATTGGCCGGAGGGGTGGCCATAAATAGGTGAATATCAAATACGAACACAATCGGGGAAAGGTCAATGATAATTTAGGTAAAGTCAAGTTGGCACTAGGCCCCCAGTTCCTTCGAGCAATAATATTTATTAAAAAACCTAACCAATGAGTGAGTTTATCCTGCAGAACACACTGATATATATGTAGGATCTCTTCTGATCATTTCTTTGACCGTTTGCATAGCCAAACAAAGCCTGCATATAAAATCTGAGCTGTGTTTCACAGATAGTGACATACACCACTTGTATTAGGTACCACTAGCTCTTAAGAAAGAGACAAAGCAAGCAGCACCACTTCGAGGCCAACTCCGATAATAGACTGCTAACTAGACTACCACATTGGATGTCTCAAGAAGGACAAATGCCTGGTACCTACGATCCCGCAAGCAGCAAAAGTTTGAACCGCTCTGTCCAAGCAAGTTCTCTCGACCTCAGGATATCTCCCTGAATTAATAATTAACTCCTTCCAAACGCCTCAATTCCACCCAAACCCAACCTCCGTAACTCGTAGCCCAAACGCCTTTGTATAATAGAACCACGCCATTTGATCAAGATATGTCCTCTTTACTTCCTTTCTCCATCTGCCCCTTCATCCTCAGGCACCGTCCCTCCTGTCGCTCTGACCACACGATCTACCTCTCCCCGACACTCCGGCATCGCGCTCCTCATCTCCCGAGCCAGCACATCCCGAAAAGAAGCGAATGCTTCCATCTTCCCTTTCAGGTCTTGATTGCCGCGCTGTACAAGCTCGACGAACTCGCGTGTGTAGATGTCTGGATTGCGCGCGGCGTCGACGTAGTCGATGATCTCGGGTGGGAGTTGGACGGCCGAAACGGGCGGGTCGGAGGGGTCAGAGGAGTCGGCGGTGGAAACGGCAGCGGAGGGATCGTAGCGAGTATCGTTGGAGAGGGTTGATAGGGCGAGGGTGAGTGATTTTCTAGAGGGGTATATTGTGGTTAGCAGTGTCTTCGTTGCTGTCTGAGTTCGGTGGTCGCAGAGGGATATGAGCATGTGGGCACTGAGAGAGAGACATAAAAGTCAGAAGATAAGAAATGGAAAAGACACGTACATCTTCCGCACGAGTTCATGCTGGGTTTCAGGTCCTAGGTATCCATGGACCGCGGACTGGATCTCAAAGAGCTGTTGAATCACTTCCTTGAGATCATCTGCAGGAGGCGCATGTATTAGCCCCGGTGTTCCTGATATATCGGCTTTATGACCATCTCCAGAATAGAGGGCTCACTCACTGTCCACCTTGCTCAATGTTATGGGCGCCATCTGCGCAGTGACGGTCTGCTGGTTCGTTGTCCGTGATCAAATCCGATAATAACTGACTGATTTACTCGACTGCGGAGAGCTTTCCTTTCCCCGACTAGGCCAGCCAATGAGAGTGCACAATGAAGCTTTGCGTGCTACTTTCTCTACAACGCAACATGGCCAACAGTGTGACCCAGATGAATACAAAATTATAGAAATTGTAGACATATCGATACCAGGATCAGAGGAGTGATCGGATATATATATATTCAGAGAATTAACGCGATAAGTTGCCTACCCCAACGATATGTCTATGGCAACCAGTCTGCAAAGGCTATATGTACTGGCAGCGAACAACGCTTGCAATAAATGCTCCTCGAAGCAACAACACCAACGCTGATATGGTGACAAAGAAAGAACAAAAAGAAAAAGGCAGTTCTTCTACACCTCCCGGGTCCGAATGCTAGGGAGTCTAGGAATATCAATCTCCGTCTCCACCAGCTCAAGACCGGAAAGACTAGGATAACGTCTGCTGAAGCTCTCCTCCCATTCATCGGTGGTGCCACTGATGGGGGTTTCGATATTACCGCTTGTCGAGGGAGTCTCAGACTTGCCGGTGAGCTGCAGGTTCTTCGGCTTGGGAGGAGCTGCCGGACGTGGCCCGGTGCGCTGCACCGAAGCGAATGTACCAGACGCAGTCTGCTGTTTAGGGAGTCCACCGGGGGCTCCAGACACATCCTTAGGCCTTGCAGGTAATTTCGGCTTGTCGAATTCGTTATACACGGGCCCAGGGTTTCGCGAGAGGGGTCGCGAATTGGGCTGTGGTTCCGAGCGTGACTCGAATTGCTTTGCCTGCAAAGCGTCGTCTGAGTCAGTGTATCGTCCATACCCCGAAGCTGTCTTCGGTGGTGCTGGTTTGTTGTTTTCTTGAAGGAGAGACTGGACCTTACTCTGAATAGAAGGCGCAGTGCCTTCAGGTCTGCGACCACCATCTCCTTTCTCCGCCAACCGACGCCTATATTCAGCCGCCGCATTGGCTACCCGTTTCTCCTCCTGCGACAGTCGCCGTCTTTCCAACTCCCGGCGCATCTCAGGCGAAACATCGTCCTCGTTCTCGCCCACACCTTCGCCACTCAAGTCCGCCGCTTCAGAGGCCGCGATAGGCGGCAGCCGGCTGTTAGTCTCGTCAGGGGAGGGAGTGCGACTACCCTGGCCCTGCTCCGGAACGTTGTGCTCAAAGCGCCGGAAGGCCTCTCCGAATCTACCAGCCAACAGAGACTTCGTTCCCGACAAAGACAGGGACGTAAGACTGGAGCGCTTGACATGCTTTGAGCCGCTACCCATGCGTTTGTCACGCTTCCTGTTGTTTTCTTCTTCCTCTCTTGCACGCAGGTAATCAATATCGGACGAGATATTGTTCCGATCATAGTCACGATGCTCCACACTTGTGTATGCGTGCTGCAACGGCGCCCCATCCTCGTATGGAGTTCTAGGCGAATCCATAGATGAACGCCCGCTTCCCAAGTTCACCGGTCTCGACGACACAAGGACAGACTGAGGTCTCGCTTTAGAGTTGGCAGATTTTGAACGAGAAACCGGATCATCGATGTCCAGGTGACTGGGACGAGACATCTCGAGGGACGGTCTCGACGAAACGGGAAAATGAGAGATCCCTTCAGAGGACGGTTTGTGCTTCGGTTCGATCTTGTGGATGGTCGTCGTTTGCGAAGGTACACTTCCTTGTCCAGTGGGCGCCCTCCCGGGTTCGGACGCCCATGGCTGACTAGATGAACGGCGTTCATGGCCTGACGGTGGAAATCTATAGATAGGCCGGTTCGAGGGCGGTTTGATGTCTGAAGTTGAAGTTGAAGTTGGAGGCGGAGACGGCGTGGTCATGGTACCAGTAGACACCATGACAGGTTTCTGCGGGGACGGCTGATAAAGTGGTGTCTGTCGAGCAGCAGGAGCAGCTTCCCCTCCAAGTCTAGGAGACTCCTTCGGTCCCCTCTCTGTCGGGGCAGAGAGAGCCTGCGTGTTTCCGGTCGACTCCCTGGGTGGCATTGACGGCGTTGCGTGTTTGGCGAAGACTTCGTCAGCGAGAGCATTGGTAACCCTCTGTGACAGATCATCCGGCTCCGGCTTTGTCTCGACAACCGTAGACTCGAAGTCGAATTTGCTTCCCTTTTCATGCAGCAATGAAAACTGATCGAGCGTCGGGAACCGCGCAGATAGCTCGTCTACAGGGTCCTTCGATTTTCCTCCATCCAACGCTGCAAAAGGATCGTTTGACACTGCTCGCGGCGCTGCTGGTGATGGACTTGGTCTGGCCGAGTTGTGCTGTGAAGTTGGCTTCGCAGGTCGTCCACGCCGCATCGGGGCAATCTCTGGGATTATCTGGGTCTCTTGAACCGGTGGTGAAAACACGGCGCCCACTCTAGGTGCGTCCGTAGGCGATGGAGGAAGTTCCTGGTACCGACGTGCCTCAGACACGGAACGGCCAGAATAGATCTGCAGCTTGTTAGAATGTTCAATTGCAGGAAGCGAGAATAACGACTCACATCCTGAATGGGCACCTCTCGGCCTGACATCTGGCACGATTCCTTCAAGACCTCGTAGATATTTGGCCGCTTCTGCGGCTGTTCTCTCAACATTGAGGCTAACAACTCCGAGTCAGCACCCGTCCGATACAGAAAAAAGAAAGAGAAGGAGATCCAGGCATACCAATCAGCAGCTTCAAGCGGTCCGAAAACGGAGGATAAGCCGGAAACTTGTAACTGGCGTTTAAGATCGCCATCTGCCCGACCTCTTCGAAAGGTGTCGTATAATAGCACAATTTGTACAACAGGACTCCCAGCGCCCAGATATCACTCTTCTCGTCAATCGGCTGCTTGCGATACACATCAATCATCTCCGGACTCCGGTACTGGAGGGTGGTATGTCTCTGCACGTCATCCTCGATCAACCGGCCCTCAGCGGCACTCGTCGCGGCTGGCCGCGGCGGGGCAGCTGACCCGAAATCACACAGCTTGTAGCACACGGACTTCCCAGCCAGCGATATGAGAACATTCTCAACCTTGAGATCTCGATGTAGCAGCGGAGGCTTGAGATAATGCATACACGCAACCCCCTCCGCAACGTCCGTGAAGATCTTCAAGATCTCCGGCTCCGTCAACCTGTTCTGCAGCCGGGTATTCATAAAGTCAATCAGACCCCCACCCGAACAGAACTCCATCAGCAGGAAGACTTCGTAGCCGCCTCCCTTCAACTGAGAGGCGTGCGAGTCGAAATATTTCACGATGTGCCGGTGGCCCTTGAGCTTCTTCATCGTCTCCACTTCCGTCCGCATGTTGGCCAGCGCTGCCTTGTCGGGGACGGCTACACGCTTCAGGACCGCAATGTCCGTCCCGTCGACGGGTTGCGGTAGTCGAACCACATAGACATGGGCGAATCCTCCCTCAGAGAGGTATTTCTCGATGACCACACGGTGGCTCCCGACCTGGACCTTGGTGCCCGGCACAAAGGTTCCAGCGGGGGCGGAGTGCTGCATTGCCGCAGCAGGATTGTACTGCGGGGGCTGTCGATGGCCGTGGGCGGCATGGGAATTGGGAGCATGGTGTTGAGGATGATAGGAAGACATGATGGCAGCAAGCCCTGGATGGGGCCCCTAAGACTGGCGGTCGCGGCGATTATCGTGACTGCATAGAGGGAGGAGGGAGGGAGGAGCGGACGATTAAGCTCGATGCCGTTAAGACAGGCAAGGGATCAAAGAGACGGCCGGCTCGCCAGCCCGGGGAACGCGGGGGGTGAGAAAAAGAAACAAACAGGCAACAGACAAGCAGCAGCAGGAGGAGGAAAAAGGCGTGAGGCTGGCGAGCAACTCGTGATTGATTGGGGATCTCAAATGATCGGGGTTCGTGATACCGCAAGGCTTCCAGCTCGACGTTGTTGCTCCAGTCTGGCCTCTCCGCCCGGCGCCGCCTCGGCCAATCACGGCTGCCCGTGCGGCACCTCCCCCTGATGCTCTCTTCCTCTCTGGTCAGAGACACCATTTCACGCGGTCTCAAAAGGCGACTGTCTAGCTAACAACTAACTAGATACGAGCAGAAGCAATAACTAATTTACTAACGCGCCAAACGCTCTCCCTTTGGGCCATTTCTTCGACAACTATACCTACCTACTTACTGCCAACACCGTGTGCTGACGTGGTGGTCCTGACTCGGTCTGACCAAATTATCGCGAGACACCGGTTGAGTCGTCTGCGATATGCTCATCTTAGGAGGTCACCGTGCGTCCAGCAGAGAACCCAAAGCAGCAGGCCGGCTGCCAGAATACACACACGGAGCCTCATTCGTGCCAAGTCGGTAATACTCGGCCCCGGCAGCGTAGGAAACGGCCAACTACGGATGAAACACATGCCAACGTTTCGATCTCTATGCGAGACATACAATTGTATATTGTATACTGATATGCACAACCGCAATATCGTCGAATCATCGGAGAGAATAACGCCTATCTTCGTGAAAATGACCCATTGCTCATAACCCATATGTAAACGTGATTGCCTCGTCACCTCTCCGTAGGAAAGCTTCTTCTCGACTCATCCGCAAGAGCCTCTCTCCAACCCAGTGTCGGATTGTCGTATCCCACCAGGATCCTCCAATCACTGCAGCGCTCGGAATGTTTTCCATTAAAGATTCGTCCGCTCCGTGGTGATCTTGGTCGCTGCGCAGATCCTCCGACTTGCTGGCTTTGACGCGCGCTGCATTGAGCCGAATTAACATAAACTCCAAACCAAGGAACCCCAGGAAGCTGAAAACCACGAAGCCCAAGGTGACGAACAGCGGCACGCGATACTCATTGCCGCGCCAACGAGGTGCGAAAAGCAAGGCAGCAAGGACGCCGGCAAGGTTACCCCAACCATTAACACCAAGAATAATCGCTCTCTTGCCTGGCTGAGGAATGTTGCCAGACAACCAAGCCACAGTGAGGGGGCTGGGGACAAAACTACCACTGAGGAGCAAGCAGAGCGAGAGATACTGGGCCAACGCCTTGTTAGGCACCGAGGATGAGGACGTGAAGGACATGACCAAAGTCATGATCAGACCCAGAGCGATGAGACCAAGGCCGCAGAGAATGGGCAAGATGCGCTGCTGGGATCTATCACTTCCCTTGGAGAACAGATAGAGCGTCACCGCTGCGATCAGGAATGGAGGTACAGTCAGCAAGTTGCTGTACAGAGGGGAGGACAGGTTGAGGGATTCCACGACGAGGGGAAGGAATATAGAGAAAGAGGTTCCTGGAATGGCGGATGCAATGTTAAGTATGAGAATGGGACCAATCAGGGGGAGTAGTAGGATCGACGATAGGATGTCAGTCTTTGACAATCCGCTATCAGAAGTCACATCTTTGCTCGTCACCGTATGTTGACTCGTAGAGTGTGATGCGAGAAGACGGCTCTCCTCTTCGTCTGAAGAAGGCCGGAGGTGTGTGAGCTGTTCATGCCCAGTGGAGGCCTCAGAATCGGAAGGCTCTTTGTAATGGAATTGCTCCAAACCATCACGATCAATGCGAATGCGCTCATCTGCCAATATGCGCTCTTCCCTATTAAGAAACCACGCAGTGCCCGGACTCCTTGGTAGCCAAAAGAAGCCAATCAAAGCAACAAGCATCGTCAAGGCACCTTCTATCAAAAACAGTGTCTGCCATGGTCTCCAGCCGCCTGAGGGAAGACTTCCGGCATCGGTTCTATCATCTGGCGGAAAGCAATAGAAGACCACGAAAGCAAGAAAGCCACCAAGCGCTCCGGCCACCGCGTACTGACCATAGAACAGACCAAGACGGCGAGCAAACTCGTAACGAGTATAGAAAAGAGATAAGTAAGAGACCGTAGTTGGGTAAAAGCCCGCTGGTAACCAAAGTCAGCTAAGTAGTTCCTCACTGTTAAGGGGGGAACTAGCCGGTATACTAGAAAAAAGAATCAACCAACCTTCAAGACACCCAATCAAGATCCTAACCGTAATCAACTGCCACCTCTTACTGATCCAAATATGAAGCATCGTAAACAGTCCCCACAGTGCCATCACGGCCGGAACCCATCTGCCCATACCAAACTTCCTTCCCGCAGCTGCTCCAACGGGCTGCAGCGCAACGAAGAAAGCAAAGAAACACGCCACGGCGGTATTGAGATCTTTCGGATCCAGTCCCGCATCGCGGGTGAAGTGCGCCGTCTCGGCATTTCCGATGTTGGAGCGATCCAGCGAGTTGAGGAGGAAGAGCAGCGAGAGGAACGGCAGGAGGATGTAGTCGAGCTTGCGGATGACGTGCCGCTCGGTTACCTCGTGGAAGTGCGAGACATCTTCGAGTTCCGCTGGTTGGGTCAGAGTCGGTTCCATGGCTGGGCCTCGATAAGAGAAAGCCTCTAGCATACGATCATTCTATCCATGGGAGAAATGGCTTCATCTGGGACGTCTGGAGCTTGTTCTGAAGCTGATATCGTTACTCCTTAGTTGCGATTAGCGGAAGCTCGAGGGCGGTGAGAGCTCACCGGGCTGGGATAAGCTTGGCTGACTCCAGCGTGTTTTGAAGGACGTAATCAGATAATCATACTATCACAATAATGAAAGCAACATTGGAGGTGAGTGGAATGGAAGAAGCCAGCCGCTCAGTCTTCAGGTACTTCGCTAGCCTGGTTGACAAGCTCCCAGGAGAATTCTCCAATCAAGGGGCCACATATTCATCTGTCATCTACAGCAGGAAGCATTGCATCGAGACGCTGTACTAATGGGCATGCGCAAAAGTCATCAAGCAGCCGTCTGGGTCTGGAACGAATCCGTCATGGAGAGGACTCGAAGATATTTTTGGGCGGTAGAACTTGGTAGAAATCTTCGTGTCTGCTGCCGCTGTCCTTGAACCCTATATTCTTTCGCACCTCGAGTTGATTCTTGTCAATAACATGCCCGGCCATTCATATCAGCTTTTCTATAGATCAACTACGCAAGACACGAGACCAATAATAGAACATGTGACGTCAGATCATAGTATGCTTGACTGATCAAGATCGGTGTTGTCAGCATAACTGATAGACTTGGATATCAGGATGTTGAGCCGGCTTTTCATTGCCATATCGAAGGCGTTCCTATCTCCCGGGAATCGTGGGTATAGCATTTCAAAACGCGTAGAACAACCCACATGCAGGAGCAAATGCCCTTTCTTGTGTCCACCTGCGTGTATTCTGTATTACTTGGTGATGCTGGCAAGCATTCTTGCCCAGTTATCTGCCTTTACAAGAAAGATGATAACGGGCAAAACAATCAGGCTGTCACTCGTGAACCTAGCCAATGAGGATACTAGTCACACCCCAGTATCAGTATCTCGGATAGAAGCCCTGCTCGAAAATCAGGCTGACGGATATAGACGGGGGTGTTCGCACCGATTGCAAGCCACAAGGTGCGGGGAGCGCGGGAGCGGACCGAGGAACCAACAACCTAAACCCGCCCTCCGGTTCTCGGGCGCTTGAGAAGCAGTTCGTTGCCCTGGCGATGGAGATAGAAAAGAGGATCTAGAGTACGTACTGTTGATGTCTGCCAGGTTTGTCCGGTTTTACGGGGAAAAGAAGTACTCTAAGACGTGGCATCGTCCCTTTGGGGCTGATCCTTCGAGACGGTTGCACGAGCAGCGATGAACGGTGAGAGATTGGGTCCCTTGAGTCGATCACATCATCATGTCTACCGCCAGTAATGTGGCCGCCGTCACGTTTAACGCAAGATAGAAGAAGAAAACACGGTTGCATCCGGATAGCGAACTTGACAATGCATCTTTCTCCCTCGATTCCGAGTCGTGCAGATCGAAGGACACTCGTGGGATGCATGAGACCAATCACGGAATTGAGGCAGACATGGATGTCGTCCAGCCACAAAGTCGAGCCCTGCGTGGATGGCGCGTCCAAAGCTCCTGTAGATAGATATCTTTCGCAGAATAATCTGCACTGATCATTGGCATCTCATATTCAGCCTGGTCGCCGTCGTCTCCTCAACAAGCACCGGAGCCTAGGTTTCTGCTTCATCGCTCGATGAGGAACTGGGATGATTCGTGTGTCGTTCTCAAAGGCCCACAGAGCTGAGGCGGAGTATCGAGAAAGTAGTAACCCATGATGGCGCCTGTGATGCAGCTCCCACGACGAAGAAAGGATGAGCACGTTGTTGACGCTGTTTTCCAGCCTATCGCGGGCGTGGCGAAGTGGAAGCCAAAGCTTTTAGCGGGAAGTGAGCGCAAAGAGCAAAACCAAAACAAACAACTGCTCACCGATAGACGGCAGACCCCAATAAATCAATGTAATTAGGCTCCAATATTTAGTTCGATCGCAGTAAAAGGACACCTGTAGTCTTGTAGTTTATCCAGTAAGCTGTTCTAATAGCCCTGAGGACGCGTGCTTTGTAGGATACAGAGAGACTTCCCACGCGACGGGGAGGGGCGTCAAGGGACAGGGGAAGCGTGATAATGCTTGCTTGTTCCTATCACATCGCAAATCCGTAACATGATCAAGTATCAAGGCCGAGACTAGCAGCACAGGTAGATCCCGGCTTGCCGTGCAGCGTCAATTGAACGGTCACAGCCGTCCATTGAGGGCCGCGGGCGCCAAAAACTTTTAGAAGGGCAGCAGCTCGTCCATCGTGAGCTGTCACCACACCTCTTTTTCTACTGAACTCTCTCTCTGAATTCTGTCCCTTACCCATCCTCAGTCAATGGCTTTGATGTCAGTTGTAAGTACAAGCTCGTTACTGGTTGAATTCTTTGTCCCGCATACTTACCTCTTTATCTAGTAGTGTTATTAACGATCATCGCTGCATTTTTGGTCTGCATTGGGCCAGTGCACGTAACACCGTCTATCCAGTGCAGCGACCTCACTCCTCCGCACGACGACATCATTGCACTCCTCGCTTCCCCGCGTGTTGATAAGCATATCGGACCAAAATAACCTTATCTAGTCCTCTCTAGGACTTTTTAAGACTGATTCTGGGGATTCCAAGTGCTGGTGGCCACAGGCCCCGTGCCAGCCATGCTGGTCTGAACATGATCTCAGTCTATACAGAGACTCGATCCTAGGAAAAGAGAAGGATCAAGCTCGAGGGCCGGAGACACTGCGTGAGCATCTAGCAGTTTTGGCACCGATTGCCATCTCCATCTACGAAAATCTGGAAAGCTACGATCTACAACGAGAATGGATGGCCCCCCGCCTCCACCCCCACCGCCTCATGGCGCAAATCCAGGAACTACACATGGACAGTATCGGAAGTCCACAGACCTTCCGGAGGGACAATATGATATCTTTGTGATTCCTCCACACTCCGCGGGATCGGGATTTATCTACCTGCCATCTCTGCAATGCCATCGGAATAGCTTTATTGCTGGTGCCGTCTCCACACTTTTCGTGGTGGTCTCATGGTGGTCTCTCGAGCCAATCGTAAGATCTTGGTTTGCGACAACAGTCGCCAGTGGTGGATTTGGCGTTATCCTACTTATCATTGCCGTTGGCTTCCTCGGGTGGCTCTGGGGTACGACACAGGCGGAGAGTGGCGGCTCCAAAAGCTTTCCAGGACGTGGTCCAGGTCCGGGCCCTGGTGGTTTTGGCCCTGGAAGTCCTGGAAGCGGCAGCGGCGCTGGTCAATCTTCTGGTGGTGGCGCCCATTATTCGAATGGTCCCAATCAGGGGACATATCCAGGAGGTCAGAATTTCAACGGACAATTCCCTGGTGGCACGCCAAACCCCGGTGCGCAGTACGATGGAAAGCAACGTAGTGCCGGTCCCGAACCGACGAATGATCACAGTGCGTGGGAAAAGGCTCGCGAAGAACAAAGGAAGAAGGATGAATATGAGCGCTGGAAGCAAGCCGCAAAGAAGCGAAGAGAAGAGCAACTCAAGGAGCAACAGCGGAAGCGCGAAAAGGAAGCAAAGGAGCGAGAAGAAAGGGAGCGGAAAGAGAAGCTCGAGAAGGAGATTGCGGCGGCTAGGGAGGCAGCTCTCAAGGAAGCCAAGGAGAAGCTGGAGAGAGAAGTCGCAGAGGCCAAGGCCAAACTGGAGAGAGAGGCTGCTGAAGCAAAAGCCAAAGCGGAGAGAGAGGCTGCTGAAGCTAAAGCCAAAGCGGAGAGAGAGGCTGCTGAAGCTAAAGCCAAAGCAGAAAGAGAGGCCGCTGAAGCAAAAGCCAAAGCTGAAAGAGAGGCCGCAGAGGCTAAAGCCCGAGCAGAGAGAGAGGCTGCTGCAAAAGAAGCAGCGGCCAAAGAAGCAGCGAAGAGGGAGGCTGATGCGAAGTTCGCCGCCATGAAGGAAGCGGCCGCAAAGAAGGTCGCCGAACAGTTGGCCAGCGCAAAGAAGGCGACATCACCAGCTCCTGCGACTCCTGCTGGAGGATCACCGACAAAAGCAACCCCCAAAGCAGCCCCAAAGACATCGACAACCTCTTCAACACCGCGAACACCATCACCCAAGAAACCTCCGCAGCCCACCGCCAAAACAGCAACTGAGATAGAGGATGATGCCTATTCCTTTCGTCCATACGATCGACCCCGACGACCATACGCAGCCTCGTCTGTATATTCGGAGTCTTCATACGCTCCATCTCAGTCCACCGCGAGGACGACTCCGCCACCATCTGTTCGAGGGACGTACTCCACCAAGGACCCCGATAAGATTGTGATCAGGGGTGTATATACTTTCAATAATGCCTATATGAAGACCCCCATCTCGAAGTTAGTATCGGGAACAGGCTCAGTTACGGATGGTCTGATTTTACGCATCACAACCGAAGGCTTGTTCGTCGATGATGATGTGAGAGGAGTCCCTGAACGCGAATGGGACGTCAAGGCCTGGACGATGAAACTGGTCGAGGTATGGTGTCCCCAGTTAAGCGCAAACTCAGCGGCCCCTCAGAGTCCTTCCAAGTCCAATCCCTTCCGTCGGAGTGCAGCGCGGACGATCCCTACTAGTGAGGAGTCCGACGCGTTCCTTGCGAACCTGCTGAAGGTCTGCAAGAACACATGCCGTCTTGCCTCTGCTTCTGCTTGTTACAGCCAGAAAGGTAGCCATGTTGATCGAATGGATTCCGCACAGAGCTCCCAGATGCAGGGCTACCATGTTGTCCGCGCAAGCATCCGTGACCAGGAAGGCAAGAAGTACGTCTTTGTCCTGGAAGAAACTGAAGGATGGAAAGTCGCCATCGGACTGCAGCGCTTGCGACGAGGCAGTCAAGTCCGCGCGCTTGGCGTTGCCGGCCTGCCTCCCAACGAGATGAAAGCGATCCTGAATAACCTTCAATACGTGTAAATCGGACTCCTTTTAGGCTGTGGGGTTGTGAGGTTCCTGGAGCGCTTTGATTCCTTTCGGCGTTCAGGTCCTGTGCACATTATCTCGAACCATCTGCTTCATTTGCTTCGCTCATCATACCCTGCATTCTCGCATCAATCATTAGCGATGGTGTTTGATTGCAACCACGAATGTGGTGGCAGTATTGAATTTAGTGTGAGGAAGCATCTTCTTGCATATTCTGTTAATACATCCCTGATTCTTTTGCACGTTGAAACTACCGGCCACTCTGTATGTCTGGGGTTTATGTCTTTCGTTATGAGCCTATTATGTTTTATGATATGATTCCCTGTTGATTCAGTTTGTTTCCATGTTGATTTATTCCCCCTAGCTACCTGGTTGTGTTCCCAGCCACTCTAGTAGCCCCCAGTGTACATAATGTCTTTTGCAGTGACCAACTATCATTCCCGAAAGAGATGATGGCCTTCAGGCCCATACCCATGCAAGCGTTTCACGTACTTAGCCATTTCCCAATAGATGTCCAGAAGAAAAATGCGGTAGTGTACTGTTGTTTGTTAATACCTGGGCCCCGTAATGCAGTCGAACTATTTATTGTCAGAGAAAGATACCGAACAAGACGGCGAGGGATATGGTGGAGGAGCAAATAATACTAGTACCATGGCATGCTTCTCGACGCTCTCCGCGATCCCCAAACACACGCCGAGACATCGGAATGCGGCGGTGCCGATGACGTGCCTCATTCCGACCCGAGCTTCTTCTCCTTGACCTCACCATCTACTTAGTATCACAGCTCTCTTCTTGTTTTCTATCCATTTCGATGAATTCTTCCTTTCCCACCGCGCAGGTCCGTGGCGGAGAACTGTAGCTGGTCGTTTTATTCGGCTGCCTAAAACCAGCTCACCATCCAGACAATTCGATCTTAAGCCACACTCGGGGAAACCGTATCGCCTCATCGTCCATTGGTGCGAATAGTGCTGCCTGGCTCCTCGTGTTCATCGCATCACTGTACAACGCAATCACCCCTTCGGTGATAAATACTGTATATGCTTCACTACGTTTCTGTCTGATTGTCAACATTGCTGCTTCTTGTCTACCGCACTCTAGTGCAATCCAAATAACCAGGAATCAGTCGCATCGCCGTCACTAGGCTGTGAGAATTATTATAGTGTACAAGTCAAATAAGCTTATTGTATGTGCTACTGACCCGGATGCTGTGAGGTTTATTTAACGCACTAGACATCAGAGAATTCAATTTGACTGGGAGACTGCTTCAAATGGCTCCCAGAGGATATACGCGATTGCATCGCTCCGTTGACGGAGACGATATCTCTATTCAAAGCTTCACGGAGCCAAGTGTCGTTGGGGAACAGCATGACCTCGAGTCCAATTCAGGTGCAGAGGGCAGATCAGACTACACGCTCTCGTCTGAAGACACGAAGATTGATACTCCGTCTGGCAGCGAGAGGTCATCACTGATGGGGGACCTCCCACCTCACTACGAAGACGTCATCCCTGATACTGTACCTGTAGCTATAGAGGAGAAACTTGATGGCGCGAAACTCTCAAGCTTGCGATCTCATTACGAGCCTCGGGAGGCTCCCAGTGAGGGGTTCCCAGATGCGACAAACATTCGACAGCAGAAACGGAGGAGGTTCAGAAGAATCTGCTTGATTGTCTCTCTCAAGCTACTGGCACTTTCTACGCTTGTATTCTTCTTGCTTTCCTTTTCTGGTGTTTGTCGAATGGTAAGTCAAGCTGAATGTCCCGATGAGCTCGTATGATTCTTATATTGACTAACGCGGTTTCAGTGGCGTACTGGACACACCGGTAGCGCACCAGCAAAGGTGTCATCTGAGCGTGAAATAGTCATCAAGAAGGGCTCCGAGTCTATCTGGGGTCGCTGGCCACTCTATGACTTACTATCATTGTCTACCGACTCTGGTAGCATTACCGTGAACATCGACCCGCAACCTGCTGACCCGGAGCACCCGGACAAGCCGGCTCGCATCGTGCTCAAGAGCGTGTCCGGGTCCATCGTTGTGTCCTTCAGCTCACCACAGGCCGCTTCCATGCCAGAAGTGGACATGCAGATGGATGTGGACGAGCTGAAGGCAGCACCCGGAGATGATGCAGTTATCGACAAACACCGTGGGGGACATCGAAATGATGCCTCTTCCGGTCATCTCCCAGCTCGGCCTTATGAGCTGGAAATCCAGACCGTATCTGGAAGCATTTATGGCCGTTTCGTATTCTCCAAGAGTGCCAGCCTTCAGACTGAAAGTGGCTCCATCAATGGAGTCCTAATTCCGGTCGTCTACGACGACCTACCTTCGAACATCTCGCTCAGCACAGCAACTGTAAGCGGCCACCATCATATCCGCGTAACGGAGCCGTTCCTCGTATCCAAATCTCATACCACGCCTCAGAAGCACAGACGCGTGGTGGACCATGCTACTGCTTCGCACATCAGCCATGGATCTGGAAACATCAACGTTGCGTATCCACCATCCTGGGCCGGCAATGTCAGTGCCTCATCGGGGTCAGGCAGTATCCACCTCCACGGTAAGGGTCTGAAGATCATCGAACAGAGCAGAGGCCACGCAGTCGGTACCAAGGAGCCTTCTGATGATCAGGAACCTAGATGGTGGGGAGGCCAGGGTGACATGAAGGTATCCGTGGGATCTGAGGGATCGGGATCTGTTAATTTCGTCGTTGGATGATTGAGAGGTTAGGAACATGCCTTCTTTTGTCATGACACTCAACACCTACTATTATGAATGATACGCTTCAGCAGGGCTCATTACACCATGCCTTCTCGCCCTTGTAGTTTACATTTCCCGTCATTCATTAAGACCTTTGACTCGCCTCAATTCATCATATTGATTCTAATATTCGTTCAACGCTGTTACAGCGCCAAAAACAAGTAAGTAAAGTACTATCCATCACGTCCTACTTCGCCGTATCAAGATCAATTTCCACCTTCTCTGCATGCAACGCCCTTCCTTCACGTTCCAAATCCTTCTCCCCAAGAGGAACACGGACGTCCTCCACATTATCCCCCTTGGCTCCCCAATGCTTAATCTCCTCGTCCATCTGGATATACTGTTCTGGTCGGTGGAGTTGTGTTGCCACTGCAGAAAAAGCACATCAAGTTAGTATCATGCATGGATAAATCATCAAAATCCCCCCCCCCCCAAAAAAAATGAAGATAAGAAAAAAGGAATAAAACAACAATAACAAATAATCCTCAGGGAAAGCGCACCTTTATCCCACGCAACAACCAGCCCCGGATTACTCTCAAAATAACGATCGATATCCTCAAGGGTCCTGTTCGCCGTCTCCGGATAGAAGAGGTAAACGATAGGAATGAAGCTGAAGCAGATACAGGCCCAGATGATCCAGAAGCGCCAGCCGAGATTGGCGATGCCGGGGGGTGTTACTTGGACGACCATGTAGTTCTGTAGAAGGAGAAAGTTTGGGGTTAGGGTTTTATATACCTAATCTTGATGGGTGGATGGGATGGTATGTGTTTGGAAGAATGGTCGGATAAGGGATGGGGATTGGGATAGGGGAGAGATGCATGCATGCATACCATGATCCAATTCGCGGCTGAAGCGAGCGAGGAACCCTTTGTGCGCATTTCGAGAGCGTTGATTTCTGTTGGGTATAGCCTGTATTTCGCTCTTAGTTCATCGTAGTTCCGATTCCAATATCAAAATACGAGAGGCAAAAAACTACTAAGTTAGTTACTGCACTTACCACGGCACACCCAAAACACCCATTCCAAAACTCGCGAAAAAAACAAAGAAAAACGACACGGCCACAATACCCAATTTATACGGATCACCTTGTCCACTATCCGAAATCGCCAGACAGATAGCAATAATAACCCAACACATACAGCATGCTGCGGCAGAACACATGAAGATCCTTCGTCGGCCATAACGCTCGATAAAGAAGTATGCCATGCAGGAGAAGAAGAGGTAGTCGACGCTGCCTGCCGCAGCGAGGATGCGGGATAGGAGCTCGTTGATTTTCAGCGCGTTGATGAAGACGTAGGACATGTAGTAGCTGTTTTTTTTGTTTAGGGGGTGTTTGTTAGTTGGAGGGATGCTGTTTATGGTATGATATAATAAGGACTGGGTGGACGTACGATGTGATGTTGATTCCGGAGAGTTGATTCATGGATTGGATCCATGCGCCGAGGATCATTCGACGGAGAACGCCAGCGGGTCCTGTACATAGTGTATATAGATTAGAAATGATTCTAATAGTCATGATGAAAGATTGAAATCGAGGCAGGTATTATTAACTAACCTCGTCCCGTCAGTAACTGCCACCACGTATACGTGGTCATATGTTCACGGTCCAAAATATCCTTGATGATATTAAACTGCGCCTTGACAGATGGAGAAGTAACCGTCGCTCCATTACCCTCTAGCGCGGCAATGACCTCGAGAGCATCGTCATATTTGCCCTTTCGGATGAGCAGACGTGGAGAATCCGGGAGGAAAGGACAGAGACACCAGATCATAAGGCTGAAGAAGATCTGAAAGGCGAGTGGAAAGCGCCAGGCCACGCTGCCTTTGGCGAAGGAGAAGCCCAGTGTTAGCCAATTGGAAATAGAGAAGCCGGTAATGCAATTTGCCTGGTGAGAGAAGAGACGTGGTTAGCGGATATATGCTCTATTAATATAGTTTTGAAGGATAACTATAAAACGGTTCCATGAACCGATGCATCCACAACACAACCCAACTCACCATCTGAATTATAACCAGCTTCCCACGACTCCTCATTTTACTCGTTTCAGCCTGCCAAACACCCGCCGTGGCGGTATTCATCCCCGTACCTACTCCCGCAACAACTCTTCCTACCATCATCTGCGGCACGCCGTACGAAGCAGCCTGGATAGTCGCTCCCAGAGCAATAATGGTGCTTCCCAGCAGGATCTGTCGCGGACGACCAAAAACATCTCCTGTCCAGACAGTCGACATAGCACCCGCAAAACAGCCCAGGTTGTAGACGGATGTCATGGTGCTTTGCATGTTGGTCGAGGGATATCCCATTGTGCGGAGGAAGTCCTCGCCGATAATGACATTTCCGAACACTCCCTATATATATTATTATATGATCAGAGATGATTCGAGATGTACTCTGAGGTTTAGGAGATAAACGAACCTGGTCATAACCGTAGAAAACCAACACCGTCGACGCTGCGATGGAGATCCATACTGTCAATGCGGAACCACCACCACCGAGATATCTTCTCCCCATGGTGGGCTGGCGAAATACTAATTCGCGAATTTTATAGTAGATATCAAGAGCTGGACGCGATTGTAGTTCACCAAAAAAAAAAGGAATAGAAATAAACTCCTACCCAAGGTATGCGCGCAACCCCTCTAATATAACTACGTTGTACAGTACAAGCTCTCAATCCCAGTCCGCAATAATGATTGCAGCAACGGTCATGCCCTGCACCATCCCCAAAATGAAAAAAAAGGCAAGGCTAGAAAGTAAACTACGAATTATACTCCCCCGCATTTCGCTTTCCATTGTTCAGTTTGTATCGAGAAAATACCCCATCCGGGGAAAATGATCAGATCCGGGGAGGACCTATTAACATAGACCAAGCCCATTGCAGCGATAATCGAAGTAGATCACATCTTCCCCCACTATTCTCCCCCACGGAACGACTTCAGGCTATATTAACTAGCAGGTTGAAGAGTTAGTGCGATTGAGTTCGTTTCTATTCAATTGATTCCAGACGGAAAAGCGGGGGAGGAATCGCTCTCATCCCGCATCAAGAAAGCCAGCCACAAGACTTGAGGAAGATACCCTTGTAGAAAGCTTCAGCCTGTAGCGTCAATGCGCACGCTCAAGTGTCTTGCCAGTCTGGGACAAATCGGACGAAGGCCGAGTTGAGCATTGGTTTGAGGGGAGAAGTAGTTCTTGTCCCTTTTCTGACCTTGGTCTCCTAAGTAGGTACCTAGTACTTACCTAGGTATTCAATGAGCTAGTTCAACTTGACATTTTTTCCATCTACCCCAGACAGCACGAGGCTCCACTGAGTAAATACTACTCCATAGTCAATCGCCTGATGGACGATAAGTTAGGTGGTGATTATTTACCTTATACCGGACATTTTCACTTAGTTATGCCGAGGGATAAGTATACAGTAGCAGCAAACTAACCCCCTCGGCTCAGTAGCCGTGGTTGATACTTAAACCCCACGGAACATCGCCGACCATTCTCGGCTCAGGTTGTAGAGTATACTTAACTACTGTATTTGGTAGCGTCCTCATAAAGAGAGATAGATAGATAGAAAGATAGATCGCGATTCTTTGAAATATCTAGGATCGGAATACGAGATATTGGAGAGTGACGTGGAGTAGCTGCTTATGATGCCATTCTAGAACACTACGGGGTATTGATTGATCTAGAGTATTGACTACTTATGCGCCCAGGATCCTACTTAAGTGCAGGTGGCCCGCATGATAGTTACTATTCCGGCTAATTAATACTGTCTAAGACGCTGTCTCTCTGCGGAACGTCTTCTTTGATGAATATCTGGTCCGCAGGCATCATCGCATGTAAAATGACATACCCATTGTTTCGAGTATGACAGGCATGATGCAATCGGGCGTATAACATAGCGGATAGGTAGATCTATACTACGTCCCGATGCGCAATCATCTCTACCGCGCAGAATGCAATGTTTTAAACATGAGAATGGAACGAGGACGTGAAGCCATCGAGAACGTTTTGAATTGAACTGCATGGATTATACCTGCAGGCAGTAGTATGGACTTTTGGATTTGATTTTCCCATCAGCAACGGGACAGTCACAGTAGCAAGAAAACAACTGGATACACCCCCACAGCGTTCAACTGGTAAGAACGATCATGATATGATAGGATATGATATGATGATGATGATGAAAATAAACACCTGATTTTCCCGCCTCTATGTGCATGAACGGTACAGTGAGAAGGAGCCGCATGGGGTGATATCTCTCTATTGTTGAGTTTAGTTCGGGTTGCAGAAAAAAAAGAGAAGGGACCAAAAATGAAAACTGCACATGGTGATCACGTGACGCGTCGAATAATATGGCCCTGGGAAGAGGGAATCCAAAGGTGAAGATTGGGCGAGACAGAGAGAAGATGAGGACGGCAGTCACAATGGACAAAGACTGGGAACGCCCAGAGCGAGTGAAAGGGACGTCTCCCTGTCGATGACCAGACGACTAGACGGAAAGGAAAAGGAAGAAAGAAAAATAAGAAGCGCAGAAAAGAAGACATGACAGGAATGGAAAATAAGATTCAGCCTTTTCCGTAACCCATCGTCGTCATCATCATCTCTCATCATGCCATGGCCTTTGCCCCTTTCCACCGTCAAGGGCTTCGAACAGAACGTTTCAAGTCTCTTTCTGCACTCGTGGGTATCGGTATCATCTAGAAGGGAAATCCACCACCAAAGCCTCCGCGACTGGCGAACGGGTGACCTCCAGCCGATGCGAAGCCACCACCGCCGTTCATCATGTTGAAAAGAATGTTCGGGTCGATGGTGGTCGCGCCCATGCCACCACCCATGTTCGAGAAGCCGCCACGGCCAAACATGTCCGCAGGGTCCATGAGATCGTCTCCGTTGTCGTAAGAAGCACGCTTCCTGTACATACTGTTAGATCGCGGAACAAACAACAGAAAAAAGAAGAAAAAAAGTAAAGGAAAAACATACTGAGGGTCAATCAGCGTCTCGTACGCCTCTCCGATCTCCTTGAACTTCTCATCGCTGTCTTCCGCATTGCGGTTCTTGTCAGGGTGGTATTGGATGGCCAACTTGCGATAAGCCTTCTTGATCTCCTGGTCCGAAGCGTCCTTGGACACTCCCAGGATCTTGTAGTAATCCTTCCTTTGACTCTTCTTGAGCTCGAACTCGGCGTTGCGAATGTCCTCCTGGATGCCCTTCTCACCCGGATTGGCCTCCGCAACAGCCTTGTACTCCTTGACGGCCTCCTCCCAGTTGCCCGAAGCACCGTAGGCCTTGGCACGGACCTTCTGCGCCTTGAGGTAGGACGGGTCTATCCGCAGGGCCTCTGTACAGTCCCTGATAGCGTTGTCATACTCCTTCAGATTGATGTAGGCCTGCGCACGGTTCTGCAAGACCTTGGAGTTGACGTCCTTGTTGTCAGGATCGATCTCCAGAGTCGCTGTCCACAGCTCAATGGCCTTCCGGTAGTCGCGGGCCTTGAATGCATTGTTTCCTTCTTCCTTTGTCCGTGTGAGCTTTTGCACCATGCGGAGCATCTTGATCGCCTGCTTCGAGTCCGGATCCAGACTCAGGCACATCCGCAGATACTTCACCGCCTGGTCGTTGTCTCCCTGACCATAGAAGGCACGTGCCCGTAGCAGTAGAGCATCTGGGTCTTGGTTGTTCTCCCTCAGCAAGCCGATGGCGATGTCCTGAGCCTTTCCAAAGGCATTGTCATTGCCCATCTTCAGATGCGCCTCTCCGGTCAGCAGGGCCCACTTTCGTGGCTGCTTGACACCCGTTCCCAGACCCTGGCGGGCCTGATCCAGACAGAACATAGCCATCGAACCTCCCTTCTCGTTCCTCAACGTTTCCTCCGCCTGTGAGATAAACCGCAGCATCTTCTCGGCAGGAGCTCTGTCAGTGGCAGACGCCGGTGGCTGCACCCTGGAGAGCACATCGAGAGCGTCCGCAGGGCGTCCCAGATACGTCAAGATCCTGGCCAACCGATGCATGATCTTGGGGTTCGTCGGATCCAGCTCGTGCGCCCGTTGGCAGTCCTCCAGGGCTTCCCGGTATCGGGCCGCAGAGAGGTAAGCGGCGGCGCGGTTAGACAGGTATGCGGACGAGTTGGGGTTAATCTCGATAGCTGTTACGGTAGGAGCGCCGTTAATATCCGCTTCGGAAAGGAAGGGAGAGGAAAGGAAAAGGAAAAGAAAAGAAGAAAATTCTGCTGGATTTCAGCAACCGCAGCACGAGGCAAACCTACCTTTATTGTACTCCTGAATGGCACGGTTGTAATCGCCTGCCTTGTAGAATTTGTTCCCCGCCAACTTGAATGACTCCGCGTCCGGCGCTGGAGGGCTCGACCGGTGAGGCGGGGGAGTTGGACTTCTATCTTCCTGTGCGGGACTGGCTCCATTGGGAGTCTCTCCAGAGGGCGATGTGACGGGAGCAGTATTGGACGACGAGGGGCTCTCCTCGACGTCCATCGAGCTCCGCGCATCTTCTCTGGTAGCCATGGCCGTGAGGCGGCGAAGCTCGTCGGGCGGTAGGTTTAGCGGATGAGAGTCTTGGTCCCGGTGATCCCGTGCAGAGGAATAGCGGCGCGAGATGGTGAAACTGCGTTTGTTGGAGGTGGTCGACGAGGAGCGACTGTGCTGGAAATAATCGCGGTGCGAGACAGACTTGGTGGGCGATTTCCGCGGCGACGTTGAGGTGGAAGACGACTTTCTCGGCGAGCCGGTGGGCGACGGCCGGTATTCGGGCGACTTGGGCGGCGGCGGCGGAATCACAATACGCTGGGAGAGGGGGTCGATGCGGTCCTTCTTGTCCTTAACGCGCTCGCTGGATGTCTCTCGCTCTCTGGGCTGACCTTTCTCTTTCTCTTTCTCCTTGGTCTTGGTCTTGTGCTTGTCGGGCGATTTGGAAAAGATATGATTGAGCACCATGAGGAGCTTTTGCGGGTTGCGGGATCGAACTACGACGAAAGCGGTAGAAGGATCGGGGTCTAAGCTTCGCTGAGAAAGCAGAGAAGGGCGAAAGGAAGAGGGAGAAAGAAACAAGAACAAAGATGCCAGCAACAGAGCACAAAACACAGCACTCAATAACACGGCAGGATGGCTAGACGTGGTTTCTTCGCGACCGGAGAGACAGCAGGCCCATTGTGGATGTGGGAGTCAGGATGCGAGCGAGCAGAGCACGAGAAGAAAAGAAGAGAGAGAGAGAGAGAGAGAGACCACCCACCACTCTGGAGCTGGAGGTTCTTCTGATCGTCTTTTTTTGTGTCGGTGGAGCTACCAGCAACAAGAGACAAAAGAGCTGATGGGCAATGCCGACTGTCGCTCGTCAACTTCCCTCCGGGGAGCGCGCCCGGTGGCCGTTAGTGAGCTCACCACTGGGGCCGAATGGGCCTGCGCTGCCCATGGTGATCGGCTTAGCGTCTGCGCTGCTGGATAAATAGAATCCTATCGATGGCTGTTTTGCTCCCGCTGTGCTTCCTGTCTGGTTGGTGCTGGGTGTTTTGCATGAGCCGTGATCATGGACAACCTGGAGGATCTACTCGACCGGCCAAAAAGAAGAGCTGGCTTCCCAGCCACCACGATCCCGACCTTTTTTGTGATGGCCTGAGATGAGTCTCATGATTCTCATCCCTCACTGGTGGAGACGATGGATCAAGTCCGTGCTGACTTCGAGTAGAAATTATCCTATCGACCTAGCCTGCCTTAGTTGCTCCCCATTGTTTATATTGCCCCTCGCAGTTGGGGCTGGTGATAACAGAGTTGTATACGCAGTCTGGGAGGCTCCCGACACCTTCATACAGCTTAATATAGTTGATAGATCATAATTCTGGTGTACCATAGACATGTGGTCGTAGTATCTAAGAAGAGTGCTGGATATACTGGATGCAGATGCTTAATGACTGTATTTCTTCCGCACAGAGGCGCTTATCCTCTTCCCGTCTTGAGCACGTGTCTCTGTATACCGCTCTATGAAATCCCAAAAGTCCGGATGGACGTGCACTGGCCTCGATCTCTGTTGTTTTTCTGCTAGTCCGGTCCTTCCGGCACCGCCCAACTGAGGCCTGTTGATGCTGAGTGCAGAGGTTGGGCCTATGGCCTTGCTCTGCAGGGAAATGTAGCTATGTACCGCCGTCCTGGATACGTCCGAAGTAACCAGTCTGCGTCGCCCTCCTGTATTGACATGACACTCCGTAGAGCGGGGTGCAACTGCTGCATTTTCCGCACGAATTAGTGCGGTTCGGACGCATCTATCGGGTCTTATCGATACAATAATGAGTAGCGGATAGGAGAGAAACGATGCAGCAAGAATGGGATACATACTACGGTGGTATTTTAAATCGATCAATCAACTGAAAGCCCTCGAAACTGCGTCTCGGGGAAATGGCTATGATAAACATCGTAGATTCCAAGGGCGACCATGGCAGGTCGTGGCCATCACACGGTCCTGTCAACCCTTTACATATATGCAAGCGCTAAATCATGGAAGAGATGGTATGCAGAGGAGAGACGGTCTTCACGTTCGACAGGGCGCTCTCCACGACAGCTGAAGTCGCCGGCGCAGGATGTGTTGTCGCGGCATCCGTCCGAGGCGGTGCTGGTGTTCCCGGTCTGGGACTCGCGGTCGCCGTCGACGGTCGGCCGTTCTCACGACGCCGTTTGGGAGCGTCTTTGATTTTGGGATGGGAATGGCACTGGATGTACATATGAATTTAGCCACGGGAGATCAACGAACCGCGCGGGAACGAACCTTATATGCATGGCGGAACCACGTGGTGCCCTTCTTCTTGCTGCTCACCAGCGCAATCCATTCCCCGCAGCTGCCACACAGTCCCTCCCAGACGTCTGCGTTGCCTTCCATCCGCCGTGTTTCTCGCGGTGGCTCGAAGGCCTGGCCGGTGGCTGCACTTACTCCGTGGGTGAAGCTCTTGTCGTACCAGAAAGCAGAGTTCTTCAGCACCAGCCATCGCCCCGGCTTGCAGATACCACACCATCCCTCCCGCTTGTTGCCATGGCCCCGAACCCATCGGGGTGTATACAGGTCATTCTCGAACCGTAATTCCTGTTCATGCGGCACCAGATCGGGGTCGTCCGGGTGGAGATCCTCCGGCGGAGGGGGTACCTGCTCCTCGCGGAGAGGCCCTAGAAGATCAGGAGGCTCGAATAGACTGGCGTAATGATCGAGACAATTCCCGTGAGGATCCGCACTGCTCTGTAGAGTTCGAAAGGGGCCCTGAGACAAGAGTCGGAGGGGGTTAGGAACCCGATTATCAGAACTGGATGGCAACAGGAATGCGCGGCGGTGGAAACGAGCTGGTGAGGACCCGAGAACTGGCGGCGGAGCGAGATTTGACGGAGGCAGGATAGTATTCGATGTGACTGAAGGAACAGAGTACTTTGGGACGTTCGTTGCACGGTGGTAGCTTTCGGAGCTGGGGTATAGGAGAGGCGACGACCTGAGGACGGGAGACGGTCCGTAGGAACCTGTAGACCACCTCTTCCGCCCTCCATCCAAAGTATATGGAGCGGCCCGCATATTGGGTCGTGGGGACGGGGAGGCTTTCCCGCGACTACCTGTCCTGGACGACTCCGTTGGAGGATATCGGGGGGTTGGAACGGGAGAAAGGACATTGGACGAAAGAGTCATCGAGCTCCTCGGGGTATAGTCAGCCGGATACGGTAATGGGTCCGGATATGATGACATGTCTGGCACGTCTATTGAGCCACCTCCGACGCTGGACATGGAGAACGAAGATCCAGAGAAGCGTCGGGTATCGTCGTCGGATTTGAGCAACTCGTGTTCCGGCTCAGGAGGACGGCCTCTCACATTCACGAGTGAATGGTTCTCATCCGCAGGGAGAAGGTTGTCTGGAAACGTCCCTACATCGGTTTCCAAACTCGAATAGTCTAGAGAGTGGTCTGCGGGTTTCTGTTCGTGGAAAGCTATATCATATCAGCGATCTGTAGTCCAATAATCTGACAGGAAAAGCATACAGCGGTCGACTGGATTTTGTAACAAGTCATTGACACTATTCATCTCTGGAGGTAATGAGTAGTACTGTGGAAGGTAGAGGCCATATGTGTTCCACGATAAGGGTCGGCCATAATTCGTCGTATATGTGGGCGCATATGTCCGCGCAGGAGGAGGTGCTCCAGGGTGGCCTGCAGCCGGGTAACTTTGCGTTTGATAACCTGGTGGCCAGACTCTGATTCCTAATGCTTCCATCGTAGTCGCTGTTGAAATTTGATTATCTGCGTTGGGTCTCCCTGTTGCGCGCGTGCTTCCGTGTATATCTGGTGTGGAAGCGAGACTCTGCGACTCAAACGACGTCTCCGTCGATGGTGACCACTGGCTCCTGGGATACAGTCAGTCCTCCCACCTTGACATTCCCTGCGCAAATACTCCGCGCGTCCGGGTGTTCCTCAACATACCGCCGTAATGTATTATTATAATCCATTTAGACTCTGGAAGCCTCTGGTTGGCATGAAAGATTCCTGCGCTTCCATATTAGTTATAAGTGCTGTGGACAAAGGTGCCCCGCAATCGCCATGTCGGATGCCTAGAAAAGCACTTACTAAAATGATATTTGTATCGCTCGTGGCAGGGTAACGACTGGACAGGTCTTCCAATACCGCGGATGAAAATAAAAAGAGAAAAGAAAGAAAGAAAGCTAGAAAGGGCGACGAATCGAAAAGACAGAAAAAAGAAGCCTGCTGGACAACGAAAAAGCCTTCGTTATATCACCGCAGGACTGGAAATAGAATCGAAAAGAGGAGCCAGCTCCCAGGAGACGAAGTGAAAAGGGTAAAGGGAAAAAAAAAAGAGTATGAATTAGACTAAATATCAAATGGCATAACTATTTTAGTGAGCGACACGGCGGCCATATATTGTAGGGAAACGAAAACAAGAGACGAACCGGTCAGAAAAAGGCAAGAACAGGAACGAGTCAGAGAAAATGGGGTATATAGACGCCGCGAGCGTTCCATACATGGCCCACGACAGAGGCTCGAAAGAGAGGCCCTATCACAACAATGATCCAAAACAGGCAAGCCAGGGTCTCTGCTACCCAGGTGGGCAATCCAGGGTTCACGAACATCGTCAAGGCTCACATCCTCGACCAATCTTCCAAATGACTCGATGGCCTCACCGAAACACTGGGGCATGGGTCTGAAGCTAGACCCGCGCCTTGAGGGTTTGATATCAGGCCAGCGTGGAAGCGAGTGTATCATATCATATCATCGAAGCCCGGGGACCGGAACTCTCGAGGAAATAAGCGCTACATTCCATCAGTAGTGAGCAGAGCCAACCCCTTGGGCGGTGTACAGTGGTTGTGCTCCGGGAGAAAGCTGAAGCAAACCGTCTCCTAGAGTGCTCTTCTTTGGGCAATGATAAGTTCTCTGCTCTCTAGCTTAAGCGCCCGTCGCAGAACCAAGCGCACCAGCAAAAGCCCAGGCCAAAGAACAGCAGCGAAACTGTCATAACCGAGGCGTAGACCGGAAATAAGAAAACTGTCCGGTCATAGCTAGCTGCTATTTTCCGTTGAGGCGTAGCTGCTGGGCAGGCACAGAGGAGGCTTGATGAGAAAAGAATCGTTTCATGATCTGGCCGGAAACAAGCTTCAAACCGCCAAGACATCCTGAGACGGAGTCAGGAACAGCAGCAACAGCCGGGGCCGCCGATAACTGACTAAAACTCAACGGCGAACTAGGCAGATCGTCGTGAAGCCGGAGGAATTCCTGATCTTCTTGGTAATCACCGTTAGCACTGACGGCTCTTTTTCTCACGCCTGTTTCTCTCCTTTGCAATGTCCTTGGCATCGTTGGTCTCGTCTTGCATATCGGTAGGAGGGACCTGTTCTCCAGGTCAGCGGCAACTGCACTAACTATCTTGTGGAGAAAAACCGTTGCTCAAGGCTAACCACAGTCGTTGCGAGGGGAATATGGACCGTGACCTTTATTTCCCCGAAGACAGCACTCTTTGAGTTTGAGCAGGCCAAAGATACGAGCTCTCGACGGAACAAAGTCGGGAAACATGCAGTAGCAGAGCCGAACTCTTGCATAAGCCCACTCAGAACATCGATCGAGAAAGTGTTCGCGTGGGCATGAAACCACGCTAATCAAATTCGAATGGTCAGTGTGTCGGTGGCTCCCCTAGGTACAGTACATAAGTACAGTACGAAACCTCTCTACGGAAGCAGGCCAAGCAACAACCAGAGAGTATATATGAAATACAGCTTGGGGCTAGTCTATGGTTAGCATTTCCAGGGCGGATGAAACTCCAAGACTTCATAGAGCCAAAACCGTCCGAAAGATACTGATCTGCGCTCTCGTATCTGTCTGTCGGGCTCTGCTAGCTTGCCAACTACTCCGGAGTCCGTAGATGATTTTCCAACTCCATGAAGATCCAAGTAGATAGACTACAAGGCTCAAGCTAAGGAAATAAGTCGCCGCATTCTCACAAGCCGCCGGCAATGAGGCACGGGCACTATGTATCCGCATTTTGGTATTACGCGCAGCGCACAGCCTCGAGACCTCAATGCTGTGGCGGTGGATTGAGGAAGTACTAAGAACAAGCAAGCTGGTCTGGAGATACATAATTTTGTTTGATAGAAGTGGCATCACTTATCATTGAGTGACTATCGAGATCTACTACCTAGACGAGCTTTCAACACCGTACCAAAGAACCCAATGAACCGGACCTTGATGTCATTCGATCGACATAATACAGGCTATCGTAGCACAATACATAACAGTCTGCAGGCCAGGAGAGGTGACTCAAGAAGTAATCTGAACTCACATGTTTGCCGTATGGCACAAAGGCGGAGGTCCCGTGGAGCTCCAACTTTTTTTTTCTTTTTTCTTTTTTTTTTCTGTTTTTATTCTTTTTCTGGTCGCCAGCGTACCACCTGAAATAGAAGACCAGATGCCTCGAGAATTCAGGTTGAATTCAGACCACTGCTTCCGATTTAGGCTGCGTCTTCCACCTTGACCGAGACATGCTCTTCGGCCTCCACGCAACCGCTCAGCACATCCATGGCTGACGTCGAATCGATATTCCTTTGATCAGCGACGTCTCCTGAGTGGCCACGTGAAGCGGGACGCTGTAAAAGCTTGCTGTTCAGATCAAGTTCATCTTGCGCCAGTTTTACGATACTGGCTATCTCGGATTTAATCTCGATCTGGGTTTCGTTGAAGGCTGCGAGCTGTGGAGCCACTATAGCCGCATAGTAATCACGCCAGATGTTTTCGAGGTGAGTCCTGATTCCATTCGTGATATTATCTTGAATGGATTTTATCTCCCCGAGAAGGGACTCGGCGGCCTTTTCGGCGCTGTCGTCGAACATATAGTTCCGTGCATTCTCGGTCTTCACTTCCATGATCCTTCTCATTCTTTGGAGACTCCCCGCGCCTGCGGAACAGGTGTCAGTTATGATACCAATCGAAGGACAACGACATGATACTTACCTCTCTGTTCAGTACACTGCTCGTACGCCGACTCCATCGCTTCTGCGATAGCTGGAGTGAACTCTCGACTGACTCGTCTCTGCAGGTCCTTGAACGACTGAGCCGCTGAAAGAAACAAGACGCCCAGAGATCTGCGATAATTGTCATTTTGCGTCGTCAAGATCGTCCGGTAATGACCAGTAACGACCTCGTTTCCGTGCATCAGGGAATTATGAAAGCCCTGGAGGAGATTCTCAGAGCCTGACACAGCCCGACCCAGCTGGTCTGGAAGATTAGACTGGAAAGCCCTACGTCAGGGGAAATCGTTAGTAGTATAAATATGCATGCTGATAGAATATTCTTACCTCTGCCAGGAAGGAAGCAGATCTCTCAGCATGGGGTCGCATCTATACCATCAGCAAGGTATACTGAAAACCCTCGAAGACAATCTACTTACAGTTCTTGGTTCCAGTCCTTGACGGGGTCAGTGTCACAGGAATCAATTTCGGTCGGTATAGACTTACAAGCTTTCGATATACGCCCTGAAGGACACCTGATCGTCTACATATAGCCCTGTAGGTGTTCCACCTGTATCCCGGGATCATCTGACCGCCCCGGCCTGTATGGGGTTCATTCCAACGATGCACGACAGCCATCGCTTTCGAACGACCACGAAGAGCTGCATGTCCTAGCATATCAACGAGTTAGATACTGTTCGACAGTAATATATGGAAGTTAGGATAACAAACTCAGACGCTGGAAAACATGTCCTTCAAAAGTGTCGAGCTGCTCATCGAATAATGATTCTATCAACGCCACCAGAGCCTAACAATCGGAATAATATGAGTTTTTGCTTTTGAACAAGAAGTGGAATAAGCTTTACTTACTTTCTTCAAGGCGACGAAGTGATTTTCGAGTTCGCTCTGAAGCTCGATCCTCTTCTTCTCCGAGACCTCCGACGACTCCCTTTGGAGCGCCCAGAGATTCAATGACTGGAACAACTGTGAAATGCCTCGAAGTACGTTAAGGCAGGATGACTTCCTCGCCGTGTCTGCCAGAAGACGACAGTGTTTCTGCAGTTGTGGGATCTCCGTGTCGGCCGGGTTGTTGAAGCCCGGAATCAAGGAATCCCTCCGCAACCTTCCAGAGACCTTCTGATAGCCACGAGAGGAGACGCAGAACACTGGAAGGTTTCTGCCCAGCTTCTCGTAGTCACGGATCTGGATTTCAGGGTCAAAGTTGTCCGGGTCAATTGCTTCCAACTGTTCGTCATCCAGTTCCTTCAGCCCGGTTGCGAAGTCCCTACGGATAGCACCCTTAGAATATTCATTCCTGGCTCGGATACACTCAATATTTATGAGACCTTGTATGGCCTCTTCAGACATGAAGACATCATTCAGGGCTCTCTCTTTTTCTTTGATCTGCTGCGCCAGATCATCCCTCTTAGAGACCAGCTCATCCCTTCTGCTTTTCAGCTCTTCAAGTTTGGAACTGACGTCGGATTCTGTTAGAGGGCGTAGTCTCTCTGGGGCTTCGGTGACTTGATTGAGTTCGGTTTCTTCTCCAGTATCTCCCCCATCGTCTGACATGGCCAGCTCGTCGTCGGAGTCATCAACTTCTGGTCTCTTTCTCTCCGGCGTATCGCCGCGGCCTCTCTTTCGTTTGAGCGGACTTGAGAACTCCATAGGAGGGTATACCTCCTCTCCATCACGAGATGTCGCAAGAAGTTCCTGCCATGCTACTAGCTTCTCGAAGGTCTGCGCCAACTCTGTCGTGACAGAGTCGGCAATGGTCTGAAGTTCTTCAATCTCACTTTCTAGTAAGTCGCGTTCTATTTTCTTGGTTTCAGATTCTTCTATGAGGCCGGTGAGCTGGAGATCGAGAGACTCATGAGCTTCGGTAGTGCTGACGTCGTCTGTCTTGGTACAGATGAATGTGATGGACTCAAAGGCAGAATCCATCGCCAGCTGCCTCTTCATATTGTCTCCAAGCAGCTTCTTCGCAATGGCATCATCTACAGCCCGGGTTATCGGGGCGACAACCCAATGCGCTGAGCACTTCTTCATGTATTCTTCCGCAACGGCCACACGAGCAGTATTGGAGTCCTGGACTCCTGGCAGGTCGACGATGACCGCTCCTGTGGACAATGCATCCGCCTTCACGTATATCTTCACGACCCGAATCAGGGGCCACCATTCCGGTTCATCTTTCTGGGCTTCCTTTTTCTTCCCTCTTCTTTTCTCCTTGCTATCAACGTAGCTTTTGAGTCGCTCGTAGAACTTCTTTGGATTTTCCTCCTCAAATATGAGTGTGGTTCCGAACGTTTCTGTCAGCTTCGAGTCATTCAACAACTTCTCAACAGACGACGCAAGGATCTCTTCCCTGCTGAGCGAAGGATAAACCGCCTTGATCTTGTCAAGCGCCATAGCAACCTCCGAGTCTCTCGGGAGACTACTATCATGGACAACATCTCCGCTGCTGTCGCTGAGGTCCTGGAACAAAATCCTCAGCTCCTTTTCCCAAGCATCGCGCTGAATAAACTCAATGCGCGCCTTGTATCTGCTCACGCCGTCATTATACGAAACCTCCGTGGCGACGGCAGTACAAGCGCGCAGACAGTTCGTCGGGACGAGTCTCTCCTCATCCACCAGCGCATTTATCAAGGACGATTTCCCGGCTCCGGTGGTTCCAATGATGCCAATGACAAATTTGGTCTTGTCTGTGGTGTTGAGGACCTTGGCGATTTCGCCCTCCCAGTGTTGGTCACAGGTGCCGTACTTTTGAAAGACTTCGCGGAGGAGCTCGATTGCCTTGACGCCTTTCTCGATGGTTGTCTCTAATTCTTCGACAGAGTAGGTAATCTGAGCATCTTCACGATTATTCTCTTCATGAAGGACTTGAGAATTTGACCTTTGTGAAGACTGTCTCTCGTGCCTGTCGCTGCTTTGTTCTTGTTCTCTAGAACCCTGATCTTATTTGTTGAATCAGTATCAAAAGTGACTATATGGTGAAACGTCAACAAACGATGGAGAACTTACTCAGAGCAGGATTCGACTCCATGACGGATTTTAGAGATAAATCCCTCCACGTAGCAAGATACCTCCGTTACACGATGTGTGTATCGTTACAAGTAATGAATATCATGTAATATCAGAGGTGTGAGAGAGATGATGTGGATTAGAAGTGAGTAGACGAGTGAAGACGGTCCACAGCTCTTCCCACCAAGAATCGAAAGAAAAGATGAAAAATGACTATTCCCCAAGAGCAGAAGACATATACAAGCCAAATATGATAACTCTTGAAGGATATTCAGACACGTCAACAGTAAGAGTAGACTTGTTGACAAGTGAGCTAGGTGGAGTGTGTATGCTGTTGTTGTTGTGTTTTGAATCTGATCTGGGTGGCAACCATGTGCTGGTCGAACACACGCTGGTCATTCTTTGTCTACATCACCTAAAGCGTCGAAGATCAGATGATATGAGTGTTCATAGAAGAAAGAAAAGTTGATACAGAATTGTAAGTAAGGTATGATAGAATGGATTATTATCAAAAGTGAATCGAATGGTTTCAGAGTAACTAGTCTCGGAGGGCAGAGTACCATATGCTGGTCCTTGAGAACCATCGTATGCTATTCTCCTAGTGCTCTCTCTCTCTTTTGTAGGAAGATGAGGGGTTTTTTAGTAAAAATTCACAGGACTTGCTGAATGATAAGTGAAAAATTCAAACTAGGGTAGGTGAATTCTTCGAGTAATCGACGCATCTTATCACTCATGCATGTAACTTCGAAAGAAATTCACTCCAGAAGATATAGCCACCCGTAGACCCTCACTAGTTAACAGTGAATAAATACTATGATCTCGAACCATGATATTAGTTATCAGTGGTTAAACCGTAAAGACGAGCTCCGTGTTAAGATGATAATAAAAGGTCTAGTTTCGAATAGCGGAGCATTTGGACATGGCCAATTCATCTTCTGAGAAACCAAGATTTAAAATAGAAATAAGAAACATACTTCAGGATCCCTGGCTGACTTACCCATCGATGGAGCGTATGTAAGATTCATGGAGGGTTCTTTATGGAATTTGCTGCCTCTCTCTCGAAAATTCTCTCCGAGTTCGGTTCGGAACCTTGACCACGATGGCGAGGGTGGACTTCGTATACGAGACGAAACGAAACGAAATCCCTCCCTCCCTCCCTAGATCTCCAATGTACAGTGGGGAATTGGCACTATGGTGAGAATAGAATGTGCTGCGCTGCAATTGCCATTGAGGGAGAGATACCTCCATGAGTCAGTCTACGGCGAACTTTGAGAGCCTTGGAAGTGGGTTGGTTGGACCGGAAATAATAGACATGTGAATACTTAACGCATGGCTCACACTACGTACTTAGAAAGGCTACATTTGCATTGATTCCACAAGGTCTACCCTGCAGCTTCCTGTCGTCTTGACTCTGGGGTGCGAAACTCTCAAAGGGCTAGAAGCAAAAGAATTCCAATTGCGAAAAGAAAAAAAAAAAAAAAAAAAAAAAAAGTCCACAGTAGAATATACCACCGTCATCATTAGTTACTCGTTGTTTGTTATTAACAATCGACCCGGCAGGTAAATAACTAATTAATATTATTGTGTTGACAAAGGGAACGGTGAACAACAAACATCCATCCGGAAACTGATGAGCAAAAAAATAGGCTTAACTACTTATTGTGAACCGATTAGAACCCTCTTTGCCGAAGTACTTAGAACCGAGCGAAAACAGGAAACGATGTCCGTATTATTCATTGTCGCCCTTGCCAGACTGGAAGCAAGGGGATCGTTCCCAGCCTGAAAGAAAAATCGTCCGCAATTATTCTGTTCGGAGAGGCCATGGCACGATTCTGATCGGGATCTCGACAGTTAAATAACTAACTATCGTTGGTGATCTTCGGTTGGAGACCCGCTTTGTGTCCGCTAAGTAGGATCCCCTCTAATTCTAGTCGTATGTGAATAATATCTTGCCAGTCAGTGTGATGAGGGGAGTTTGAGGATATCGGGCGGAGAGTTGCTTCTGCGAGTTCATGTCAGTTGAGGTTTGGTTTTGTCTCTGCAATCTGAGTATACTCTATATATACAATTTGTATGTACTATCGTTGACAAGTTGAAGCTTTTGTTTGACCTTTGGTCCGGAATTCCCGAATCTTCGCCGGGGCTCGGTGAAATATGAAGAAGTCGCCACTTTTTGGATTTGAAATCATAGTTATCAAAAGTTCTACAACTGACGGGGATAGGTTGAGCCACAGTAAGTAGAGCCACAGTAACTAAGTTAGAGTAGATGATGACAAACCCACGCATTTTCCAGTTATATTATAAATCTCTCTCTCCAATAATCAATCGAATCCCCACACTATAAATAGGACCTGCTTTGTACCCCAACGTTGGTTATATTTAATATTATTATTATTATTATCTATTATTTATTTATTGTTCGTTGATTTTTTTTATTTTTCTTTCTTTTCACAATGGCCAGTCAGAGAATCGGCGTCTTTCCTGCCGCGGGTGGTATTGGTGGTAGCACTGTCAAGTACTTGCTCCCGCGGCGTCCGGCTAAAGATCTCGTCTTCATCGCTCGGTATCCCGACAAGTTAGAATATGCCTCTGCTGCGGGAGCAACTGTTCGCCAGGCCGATTATGATGATGACAAGTCCCTAGAGCATGCTTTTGATGGAATCGACACTCTGTTCCTGATCTCGTATGCTTCAGTTGAAGTGGAGCACCGAGCTGAGGTACGTTCAGTTCAGTCTTAACTACTACCTAGGTTGTTACTTATAATAATATATATATATATATATGTTTCTTGCCAAGACTAACACGGAAACCAAAAACTTGATAGCGTCACCGAACTGCAATCGACTACGCTCTCCGTAGTGGTGTGAAATACATTTTCTATGGATCCCTGGGATTCGCTGGCAGTCCAGAAAGCAAAGAGTCAGTTGCTCATGTGATGCAGGCTCATTTGACTACCGAGAAGTATCTCGAAGAGTGCGCCCGCTCGCATCCCGGATTCGCCTACACCATTGTACGGGAGGGACTGTACTCTGAATCGTATCCTCTTTATACCTCGTTCTTTGACCCCGCCGATCCGGTTGATGAGATCAAGATTGCCCACGACGGATCCGGCCCCGGGATTGCCTGGGTCAAGCGGGAAGAACTGGGAGAGGGAACGGCGGAGCTGTTGAATATCTTCGCTAAGAATCCAGAGGAGTTCAAGTTCCGGAATAAGACGGTTCTCCTTTCTGGTACCAAGGTGTTGAGTCTTCAGGAGACGGTGGATATTCTGGCTAAGATCGCGAAGAAGCCTGTGAAAATCGTTCAGGTGTCGGATGAAGAGTTCGCGCGCCAGCCCAAGAATTCGCCGAACTTCACGTATCATGGCGTTGACCTCTCTAAACCATGGGCAACGGCTTTTGAAGCTTTCCGCAGAGGCGAAGCGAGTAAAGCATCGCCGCTCCTACGTGAACTGCTCGGTCGCGAGCCGGAAGATTTCGAAACCACAATCTCGCGAGCCTACACAACCTCGCAAGCCTAGTTTGCATGGGCGTGGGAGGTTGATCAGTGTTTTTCTCAGCAACAGAAATTCCTCAGATCAAATATAACTTGTCATCAAACTTGCGAGCACGCTCGACTATTATTACTGTATACTAGCAAGATGATGAAGGAAAAGAATCGAGTCTGAATTAGATGCGTAACGTCTCATAGATGTACACCAGGAAACATGATCAGAGGTACAAAAAAAAAACGAATAATGTCCTAATTGGCTACGGTGTAGAACCAGCAGACCGTGAGAAGAATGGAAAGAGAAGCAAAACCGCGAAGAGTCGAATTACAGGCCCTACGCGCATAACTTTGTACAGTTCGCAACAGACGACCCCTATCCACGAACGACGGGGCCACCTCCGCGGGGGAATCAGATAAAAAAGCACAAAATGAACTGCCCTGAAGCTTGAGGGAATATACATTGATATCTTCCAAGGCACTCCTAAATGACAAGACCCTCCACTCCGCTTCTAAGTTGATTGCGGCGGTCCATCTTTCGACCAACACCAACAAGCCCAGCTACCAGTCCTGCGGCATCGCGCCGAAATGTGACCCTAGACATGAGCGCAAGGGGAATCGTATTCACAAGAAAGGAATTTACGCGAAGAGGACGGCGGCCAGGGCGGCAACACCACCGAAGACGAAGGAGTTGCCGACGGTGCTGGCGGCACCGGTGAAAGCCGGGGGAGAGGGGGTGGCAGAGCCGGAACTGTGGATATATTGTTAGTTGATGGATTCTTCGTGAGATCAGTTTGAAGAATCGAGGAATGACTTACGGAGTGGGAGAGCCGGAGGGCTTTCCGGGGTAGCCAGTGCCAGCAGGGACGGCGGGGGTGGCACCAGGAGCCTTGGGGGCAGGGCCACCAGCAGCGCTGGAGGGAGCCAGAGTGACGGTCGAGTAGCTCACGCTGGGAACGCAGGTGGAGATGGTGATGACCGAGATGCTGGGGGCAGCAGCAGAGCTGGGGTACGGGGGCTGGGCGGCAGCGCTGCTGACGGGAGCGGGAGCGGAGGGAGCGGGACCGGAGGCCACGGGGCTCACCGAGGCGGGACCGCTGGGGGCAGCGCCGCTGGTAGCGGGAGCAGAGCCGCCGGCGGCAGAGGTGGTGATGGCGGGAGCGGGAGCCTCCGAGCTGCCCTCAGGGGCGACAGAGGAAACAGCCGGGGCAGCAGTGGCGCTGTGCTTGCGGGCCGGGCAGTTGGTGACGGTGGGAGCACACGAGGTGATGGTGACATCCTCGGTCTGGTAGACCGTCTCAGCGGCCTGGGGGAGGGCAGCGGCAAGGCCGGCCAGGAGAGCAACGGAGGCAGCGAAACGCATCTTGAATTCGTTGATAGAGGGGGTATTTCAGGAAATGAAATCCGTCAAGGCGTCGAAGCGAAAGAAGGGAGTGCGGGTTTGCAAGAGAGCGGTGGTAGTTGGTAAAAAAGAATGGACGTTGACCGAAGTCAGAAGCAGGACACTGCAAGCACGAAGAAGGGAGTCTTGGTGGGACTTGGAGTATGAGAAGAAGAAGAAAGAAAGAAAGAAAGGAACAGCCAGCCCGGGGGATGCTGGGGGCTCTTTGTATGAGCTGGGAGATTAACCTGGAGATCCTCACGGAGGCCCAAAAAGGGGGGGCGCTTGGGGAGTGGACCGGCCAGCAAACGCGTCCCTCGACTTGTTGTATTCTAACTTGGTTAAAGCCAGAGAGAAACACAAACACAGAAACACCACGGCCGAAGCGATCACTGGGTCTGAGAGCAGCGTGCCGTGCTGGGTTGGCAGACTAGCCATTGCCATAGACTAGATAGCCCAAGTGGAGGCCGGTGGTCCGCGGTGGCTGATCGTTGTCGTGCGGGTTTCCTTAGGGCCTCCTGATAATCACTGTCAACGGCGAGGACGGAGTATAATGATACTAGTTACTAGTGACCTAGTTACTCCTGTTCCTGAGAGTCGACAATGCGAGACCACTCGACTTGATGGTATCTACTCTAGATATTCTGCTCTGCTCTGCCCTGTTCTATCTATCTATCTATCTACTGTAGACTACTAGATCCCAGCTGTCGAGAATTCCGGGGAAACCGGGCTGTTTATTCGTTCTGCCACTCGATCTGGCAGTGTTTCAGGAACCATCGCACTTGCCGCCCAGCACGGCTAGTCAGGGGGTTGTGTTCCCGCCTAGCGTCATCTTCACCGCCAATTACTGCTGGTCAGATGGATCGGATAAGCAACTCGCCCCCTGAAGCGAAAACTGCACTGGCTGTGGTCGTGATACAAAGTCGCACTGGGCGTTGCAGCACGCTCTCTAGAGTTGCTCTAGAGTTGCTCTAGCGGCCAGCTCAGCAGCCATCCTGCTCCTTCATTGTCCCCTGTCCAAATGAACGCTCCGCCGCTCGGGGAATTGATTGGTCTCCCTCAGCTCGCTTGCTTTTTGATGACTTCGATGCTAGCGTCGTCTCTTTCTGCTCTCTCACTGCTCATCCGACAATCCCTTCTCCAAACGTGTACAACGGTAATCCCGTAAGTGACAGTAATCATTAATGAGTAATCATATCGGGAATCTCCGTCTCTTTTTTTCTCTCTCTCTCTCAATCAGATACCATAGTTATCGCAAAGTCAAAACAAACTCTGCTGCTAGAGCATCTAGGGCAGCCCTTCTAAACAAGTCCCAGAATCCAGACTCCAGACCCATCACAGTCATGGATCCAGTAGCTACTATTTCCGGAAATGAGAAGTCCGGACTCCTCGATATTAATCTAAATGCGGATGATGGAAAATACGGGGTAACGTTGGAAGGGAAAAACGGTAGATAGGTTTGGCCGCTGCAGAGTCCAGTCAAGCCGACTAAAGACGCCACAGCATGTCTCCTTCCGGAAGCACCTGCGAGATCTAGGGTCTGATGGATCATGGACCCCAGTAGTGCTACCCTATCGAGCGTGCTATTTTGCGAGCGGACGCTTCTTTTTTGGACACTCCAAGCTAGCCGCCTTTGCGGGCGGGAAGATCAGAATCAAAGGAACAGACTATCGACGTCTGGACTCGATCGCATACATATTATTATCACAGACAAGCATCAGACATGGGCGCCATAAAAGTATATCCTGCTCGACCAGGCGAGCCATTCTGTCCTGCCGTTACGCCACCACGAGCACCGTGTCTGCTGGCCAGCTCGGTTCTCAGGAACAGTCTGGGCGTACTTAGCCGCTGCAACATCATACTCAATCCGACGGTCTTCAGATGCGAATGCCGACATTGAACGCCGAGAATCGAATCAAGAAAAGGCCAGGAGATTTCTCTCATCCACCCTTATTATTTGACACGCTATTCTATTATTATTTCCACCTGGTCTCGGTGAGATTCCGATCCCTGCCAAGCTACCGGTCTTTGCTGACAATATGCGATGATCTCGCACCACAGGTTCGGAGACGTTCACATTTGCATCAGACTTGACTCGTCCCTATCCCCCTCTCGCCGTTCAACATCACTTCCATCGAGCACAACCTGACAGGAGTTCTTTCGAGAACTCGAGACACCTCCAACCTATCCCCTGGACTGCTTGATACGATGACATTATGGCATTATACACCACCGGGAGACAAAACGAAGCGAGGTCGGTCCAGACTGGAAACACGAGAAGCATCTCGATAATTCTGTCAATTGGCAAGGTCTGCAGAGCGCTACACAATACCAAGGGTTCAAGAAACGACCCTCAAGCTTGAGATTTGGACTGCTTCTAGTCCTAAGATATATCTTGTTTGATGGCCTCTCTTAGCCACAGGTACCTACTGTCCCAGCTACTAACCGCCAGGATAGACTCTTTGCGTCCGATCGCCCAAAAAGGACTGCTGATATCGTAGGGTTTCAACATCAGTAACTACTACTACTACTAACTAACATACTCCAGTGAATTATCAGATCATCAAACTTGTAGTTACTCCACAATATCCACAAAAAGACCTTTGACAAGATAATAATAACATCCTACGCAGATGTGATAATAACCCATAATATCTATGACTTCATTTCTAACCGTGAGTCATCACGTGCAATAACTAACTATCCAACGCACAACTTCGAGAAAGAAAAAAAAAATCACCAAGACTCCATAATTTTCCCCTCCCGGATATAACTCCTCTTTGTCAACCCACAAAGCAAACGCCAGATAATCTATCAATCAATCATCCATTTGCGACAGGTTCTTCGAATCGTGATTATAGGATAGAACTTAGTTACTAGATTATTACTTGATTACTACCATAGATCCTTTGCATACCTATACTTAGGGAGATAAACATGGGTTCATATCCCCCCCTGGAGACCTAGAAGTAAGTAAGCAAGTAAGTAAATTCAAGGGTGTTTAGGTCAGGTTAGGTCAGGTCAGATTATGCTTTCCGTGCTGCTATTCAATAGGTATGCGACACTCTTACTGTAGCCCAGTAATATAGCCCAGACCAGGGTAATTACTACTGGCTAAATTAGCGGTGGTAACTAGGGACTGAGAAATAAATAAATGACAGATTTACTTCATGATATGAGATATCCTTGTTATACATGTAGGTGGTGGGGAGGCGGGGTAGTTATATATAAACATATATAGGAACGGATATAGATTCGAGAACAGCCGAATGCGCAGACAAGTTAAGGTATAGAGTCTATGATATCAGCATCTACGAAAGAGGATCGAACTTTTTGTTTAGATGATATTCATATTCGAATTCGGGTATCTAACTTTGTTATGCACTGGGTCTATTTAGACCGTCCCCAGCCTGAGCTAGAGATAGCAAAAAAAAAAAAAGAGGAAACAAAACCACTCTATATAATAAATCAGGTCGTTGGCATCGCGCAAATCTGGGCATGACAGTCATAATGATTCAAAATCGACAAGGCAGTGAGCGAAGATCAAAGGAGAGTCGGCCAACTCCAACTGAAGGATGACTGCAGTAATACCAATAAATCCGACTCCGTACGAAAATATGTCGAACGCCGTAGATTGTGTGTCCCTGAGATAAATCGGGATAAGGAATGTTTTGGTGATTTGGGGTTTTTTGTTTTGTTTTTAAGAATGTGGTGATGGTGCCTGCGTCACTTAGACGTGTCTGTAGGGTTCGTAGGCGGTGGTTCTCATGTTGTAGGCAGGGGCGGGAACATTGGCAGGATGTTCCTGGTTGGCGCCGTGGGCGTACGTGCTGCCAACCGGCTCGTAGGTGTAGGGGGCCTTCTCAGCACCGACGACGCCGCGGTTGCGTCTGTTGCCGCGGGGAGAGCTGCCCGAGCAGCAGCACGAGCTGAGCATCCAGAAGAGACTGGCTGCCAGAGAGAAGGCGACGGCGAGCCAGGTGGTGACATACATGTTCCTGCCCATGCTGCCGGTGATTCCATAGGACTTCAGCTCCTTGTTGAAGGCGTTCGTCAAAACGACGTACATGGCGGTAGCGGTGACCGAGGCGGCGATGGTGAAGAGCAGCGACACGGTGGAAACCAGACTGGTGATGCAACTTCCCAATCGACTGCAGATGGCAGTGAGGCCGACGACTAGTTCCACAACAGTAGCCGCGAAAGCGATGATGTAGGCGATAAACATCCACTTGGTCACCGCCTTGTACGTGTTGAGTTCCTTTTGCAGACTGTCGGGGAGGATGTCCTCGATGCCAGTGCCGTTCAGGTTCCAGACCTGCACCGGGTTGAACCAGAATCCCGCCTTGGCCTTGGAGCAGTTGGTGGTCTTGAACTCGTCGTTGGTAACGTCTCCGTCACAGTAACCAAACAGTCCAATGTCGTAGAAATCCTTCAGGTTCAGCTCCTTTTCTGCTTCGTTCAGCAGCGAGCTCAAGTTGCTGCTTGTGTCGGACGCGCCCAGGGCGCTCGATAACGTTGAACTGACATCCGAAGCAGTCGTTGTGAGATTTTGGAGATCCGCCTGGGAAGTATTAGTCCATGTTAAATCAACACCATCATCTTTGGGGTAATGACCGGGTCAACATACGCGGAAGAAATAGAGGTTATTGAGAGTGCTGGAGTTCTTATTGGTGCATCCCACACCAACGAGGATGAGACAGATTAACGATGCAATGGTCAAGAGATATGGTGTGAAGATGCACACGATTCTGCCTGCTTTTCCCATTGTGTAGATAGTTTTCAGAAATGGCAATGCACGGGCCGCAATGTCAGTAGTAGTAGTAGTAGTCTAGTGGAGTCTGGACTCTTCTGGCGATGTATAGCGACTGTCTCTGACCGATGGAAACGAATGATCGATAGATGCAACCCGGGAGGACAGCTGGTATCAGGAGAGCGAAGGACAGATGAAGAGGTAATAATAATAATCAGTGAGAGGAAGGAAGGAAGGGAGGAAGGGCGGAAGACGGCTAATTAAAAAAGATGAGGCCGGATGACCGTTTTCACAGCCAGGCATTGGCGGGACGTCAGCACTGGAGATGGATCGCCTGGCTCAGCCTCTCAGGTCTGCGCGCGTGGCCGCGATGACTCCGCTGCGCCACTGCCGTTTCTATTCTTATCTAGATAATATAAATATTGTGGTTGGTGCCTCGTGGCGGTGGTTGGCTCTCTCAGGCAACCAGTCCACATTGGACCAACCACCGTTGTCGCTGGCCGCGCGGCCCCACTGTCCACGTCTCGCGGGAAACACGAGGCTTGGCATTCGAGACCGATAGACACAGGATATACCGAAGATGGACACAAGATAGACACACAGATGCACAGATACGGCAGTCCTGAACGGTTGACATGCAATTTAAACTTTTCTTAGTTGCGCACTGAAATTCGGGTATCTTCTGCCTCACAGCCCTAAGATGATCGTCACTGCTTCGCAACTAGGGAACTTGTTTCGTTTTAGCTTTTTACTGCGAAAAATTCAATAATTGCTGCGCCGCATACCCTGACGTTTCTTGCGAATGTACTTGTTACAATTGAAGGAACCGCAGTTGTCCAAGGAGAGGACGTGCCGTTGGGTCCCGTCCACCCACAGACGAAACAGGAACAGATAAGATAACTATGATCTTCAACATCTATAGCTTAGGTATCTAGTGCAGCACTTTCGAGCACGAAACTATTAATTCACTAGTACAACACAAGTAGCTTTAACGGCCAAACCCACTCTTGCAAGCAGCTACTCTACACCATTAGATCCTAAAATACAGCTCCATTTCCATATCAATATTCAACGCAAATCTCTGATATCCGCTATACTGGCAGTCGGCCGGTCAAGGATCATGCTCATGGACAATCTCGCCCTCCGCCGGCGTGAACGGATGATTCTGCGGATCGCCCTCGATTCGACGCGCATAGGCCCACTCGAGAACGGTGTCGAAATTACGACATCTATGAGGCGTGCTGAAGTCGGGATAAGGCCGTTGTTCGCGTCCCTTCACGTACTTGTACCCATAGATACCCGCGTCCGCATTGCACATGAGCACCTGTCGGAGCATTTCCGTGCAGTGGTAAAGGTGGTTCTCCAGTTCAGCTCCTGAGTCACTGAACTCACTGCCCTGATTCCGGTAGTAAGGATAGTTGAACCATGCAGCCTTGCGGAGGAAGTTCTGTGGATGCGGATACTCCTGCCTTAGCCTCTGTTCCGAGAAGGGAAACCAGACGGGGATCATCCATGGATAATAATACCAAGCCGAAAGAGGGAACTTACTACGCAGTGAAGTTGATGGTTCACCTCCACAGAGGCCATGTATTCACCGCTGCCTTTGTAGCCGGGAGGGATTCGTACATCTCCTTTTTCGAGGCCTGCTTTGAGAGCTTCGTGCTCTGGAAGAGAAAAGACGCCCACTAGTTCCGGTCAGCGACGTTCCAAGCCTCGATATGATAGGGGTATCTCATAATTCCATACTGCCGAGTGAAATATAGCTCCATGCTGCGTCGACTTCAGGCCCTGGTGGAGCGCGGTAGATAGATTCGGCATGCAGAGAGCCGTTGAATTTGGTCGTCATGTAGGGATCTTTAATCTGCGCTAAGATGGGGCCTATCGTCCACACATTAGCTGGACTGCAGAATGAACAGACTGGAGCTTGTAAGGAGAGGACAGCATACTGTAATAGCTACCATGCTTCAAGCAGAAGCGATCAACTTCTCGAAGAGACACCCACCAGAAAGTTGCAAACAGCATTGAGCTGACGATGAATAGGAGGAGGGACGTGAACAGCAATCCGTATATCCACTTGTTCAACGGTCGAGGCATATGCTTCATCGCCAGAGCAATCGATCCATGGAATTTGTCGGTCTTTTCATCGTGTAACAGCATGTCCGTATCTTCCATCTTGCGCGAGAAGGAGTTTTCTCCCGCTTCTTCCTCCGAGGAACTGACTGGACTATAGAGCGACATCTCTGATCTCCCTTGCAAAATAACAGCGACATATGGACAAGGTGAAAAGAAGCAATCGATAATATGCTATTTCACTATTTCACTTGTGTCTAGGAGGAAAGACTGAGCTAGACTCAGGTTCAGACTCAGCCTTTGGTCTCGAACAGGATCTAGCCCGTGCTGGTTCAGAAGTACGATTGACAAAGAAGGCATCCAATAGCCTGACAGAGATTCTAATCGTTCCATACGCGCGCGGCCACTGGTAGTCGACTACTTGGGGAACAAAGATTCTTTGTTCGAAGAAGCTCAGATACCTCAGATCAGTCTAAAGCATATATTCGCCATCATGTTCTTGATCCGTCCAGAGACAGCATCATGCAGCTGAGGAAAGGATGAGACAGGTCAGAACGCACGGTATAACAGATAAATAAAGCAACCACCCCTTCCCATGGCATTATTGGCTTACTGTTTCTTGTTATTATAGATTGTCACCTGGTTTGAACTTATTAGGTCGCGTGATCAGTCTTGAAAGGCGTGAAAGCCAACACGCCCGATATTGGAAAAGCACAAGTACGACCCGTCAGTATAGCATAAGCTGCACAAAGAGAAGAAACTTCAGGTTGAGACAGCTAGAACCTTCTTCTCCGTTAACGGCGTATTCGAGAGTAAGGTTTCAATATTGGCTGACGCCGTGTGGCTTCTGATTAGGCTTCGAGACATCGGTAACCTATGGAGCTCTTCCCTGCGATTGACCGGGCAATCAAAGCCAGGAATAAAGAAGGTTGACTGCATGAAAGAGATTTACCTTTGCATGATCGGATAACTGGCACAGAACAGATCCTTACACAGTGCGCGAGGATGACATAGCGTCGAGACTATCACTCCTCTCCATGAAAAAGAAGGTGGACACAAACTTTTACGAGAATTTTGGAATTGCTTCTCATAGCAGTATAAAACAGCCCAGTATTCCCATCCAAGTAATCTTCTCTCACTTTTATCTATCAGAGCCAGATCCCTCTTTTCGACTATCCACAACCGACCTGTTTCCATCTCCAAGAACGTCTCTCTTTCAAATCTTCAAAATGATCGCAAAGCTGTTTACTCTCGCAGCCGTCATTGCTCTGGCTACCGCTGCGCCAGTCTCCACCTGTAAGACAAATCTTGACCGTCAATTGACATTGCTAATGGTAGATAAACTAGCATCCGAGATCGCCGCTAAGCGTGATCCCGCTAATGACCTGATCGAATACTACATCGATGGACCTTCTGAGAACGATAAAAAGCGCGATGTGAAAATGAGACGCGATCCCGAAAACGATCTCGTTGTCTTCTACATCCCCGAGGAATCCAAGACCACGAAGCGTGATTCTGAGAATGAACTCGTGAAATTCTACGTCGGAAAGGAAGATGTCGACAAGAGGAGCAACAATGGCTTGCCGGTCTACTCTTCCGTCGACGCGGATGGTCTGAGGCGGCGCGACTCCGAGAATGAACTTGTCAAGTTCTACGTTGGAGCGGAATCTACTGAGAAGAGGAACAATGATGCTGTCTAGGTGTGTAGTCTACGGACTAGGCACTAGGCTTCTGCGGAGCTTCCTAGAGGTGTTGAGACTTGGAGGGAAAGTAGTTCAGGCTTCAGACATTCCTTTAGTGTTTCGTTTCTGTCGTCTTTGAATCTTTTCGCTTTGTGCATCCTATGCACGATGCAACTCCGACGTTCCTTAGTTTGAATTGTAGTTTTAGTTATCTTGGTAGCTACGTTCGAAGTGGCTTCATTCTGTAATACATCTGTTTACCTCCGAATAAGGCCATGAGAATCTGTAACACAGTTATCATAAAGTGTAGTAGTAGGGCTACATGTAAGTCCAGTCCTACTCAAGTCGTATAGCGCGCAGGGATACAGGTAGTATCAAGAAGTCCGAAAAATACCGCCAAGCGAGTCTAACTGTAAGTATGTGCATAGTAAAGATTAGAACAAAGAAAACTAAATCCAGCGTATCATGGCCGGGCCAGGAGCAGCTTAAAGTATCTCCTGTGACCATTCAGATAGATGAATCTCTCTCTCTCCATCGATGTTCCATCCTATCTGCATCTCAACTAGAGAACCCCAAGAGAAAGAGAGGAAAAACACGAGTCAAGCCTCAATAATGGCCAAACACGAATCCTCAAATCCCAATACCTGGCGAATTCCCTTCTTGATCACAGCAACCCTACTCCTCGTTCTCGTCTCAGCAGAAATCTACTTCCGAATCATCCCAGACAACATTGAAAACGTCGGAGCGAGCCTCCTAACCCCCAAACCATCCCCTTCACATCAAACCCCAACAGAAGACGACACAACAATCGGTTCCGTTTTCCGAAAAATCGACATTCTCGAAGATATGGGTCCCGCAGGAGACGAGGCGTGGGATTCACTCCTCTTACCGAAAAGAGGGGGCTATATATTCGCACGACCGGAGGATCCTGCTTCGAACGAAGCAGAGCCGTGGGGTATTACTATGTTTCATAGTTTGCATTGTCTGGGTATGCTACGAAGTGCGATTCAGGAACAGCAGGGTTCGAATAGTTCAAATGCGCATGTGCATAATCATAATCATGCGAGGAGGGATGGAGTCGAAGATGTTAACCATACGGTCCATTGTCTATCTTATCTTGCTCAGGTAGGTTTCCCGCTCATTTAGGTAGTTTTCTGATATGGATAATTATGAATATGGGACATGTTGGCTAATTAGGTACTCCTGGAACAGGCACTGACGTGCTGTGGGGATGGCACTCTTGAGAAAGCGATTCATCTGGATGAGCCAGATAGACGCTTTGCCATTAATGGACAGGGCGTGTGGCATCAGTGTCGAGATACGAGTTTGTTATGGGATATTACTATGAAATCGACGCGTGAGCCGGTTGATAGATGGGTTTCGAGGAGAGGTGAGACGGTCTATAGTGTTTGGGGTAAGGGGGGTCGGACGAACTAGGGCAGAAGTGTTGGAAGGGTTGGAGTAGAGAAGGTTGTTTGCTTCTTTGGCTTTCTCCTTTCTCTTGTTGTGTAGGTAAATATTGTTTTGGATTATCGGTAATATTCTATCTTATCATTTCGGACAGTTTGATCCATCGTCTTGTTCCCCGCATGCGTGACCCCACATAAGTAAGTAGTGTCAAGAGTGACATAATTTATCTTCAATGAACGTCTGTTATAACTCAGTAAATCTATGACATGGGCATCGAGACACCAGTTTTATCTTGCTTCTATCTTAATCTAAAACATTCTCAGCTCTTCCAACTTACCAATTGACAATTCCGATATTGTATATCGTATTTCATACCGAGGTCGTAACGCTGGATGTTGGAAACCCCTGTGGTAAACCTCGGGAAATCCAGACATCTATCGGGGAGTAAATGTGGGGTCTATCTCAGAGCTCTACAGAGGCAAGATAATAAATGAGAGATCCGCAAAGAAGAAAAAGTAATATATCTAGAGAAACAGTTTTCAAGTATCCTGTCCCGGTAACCGCAGATTTCAAAATGGCCTTAGTAGAGCTCGATCCCTCCTTACTAGCCACGCTCAAGGACAAAGTCGTCGTCCTTACGGGCGGGGCGACGGGCATAGGACGTTCTGCTGTAGAGCAGTTCCATGGTGAGTAGGAGGAGGAAACTGAATTCAAGAGAGAAAGAAAATGAAATTGACAATTACTTTCATCCCAGCAAGCGGCGCAAAAGTCGTCTTCGGAGACGTCTCCGACAAACCTGCTCAAGAACTGATCTCAAAACTTGGCCCATCTGTTCGCTACATGCACTGCGACACAACACGCTATGCGGATCAACTCGCCCTCTTCGCGACAGCCGAGAAGCTATTCGGTCGTGTCGATATCGTGGTCGCGAATGCCGGAGTCGCACAGCACAAGGACATTTTCGCTCCAGACCAAGACATCAATGAGGAGCCGTCTCTGCGGGAAATCGATGTGAATCTCAAAGGCGTGCTTTTCACAGCAAGGATCGGTCAACATTATCTCCGCAAAGTAGGAGGTGGAGATATGATTCTTGTCAGTAGTATTGCTGGCTTTAAGGAAACAGGTGGTCTTACCCCGTATATGGCGAGCAAGCATGGGGTTATTGGGATCTTGCGGGGGTTAAGACTCACGGCTCTTCCGGAGAATATTAGGATTAATGCCATTTGTCCGTGGATGACGAGTGAGTTTTATGATGACATCCTTGTTTAATTGGTGATTATAGTGCTTATGCATGTGTCAGAAACGCGGCTAGTAGAGGGCATCGAGGACGGCTGGTATAAACTAGGCCTTCCTACAAATGAACCCGCCGACGTTGCGAGGGCGATTGTCACTTGTGCGACGGCAAACAGAGAAACTGGAGGTAAGACGCACAGAGGAGCGGTATTGCCGTTTGCGGGAAATATCCTTTACGTTGCTGGCGGAAAGGCCTATGAGATTGAGGCCAAGCTGCAGGAACTGGAGCCGGTATGGCTCGGAAAAGAGAACAGTGAGGTTCTTGCAAAAGGACAAGCATATTTGGCGTCAGAGGGAACCAGCTGGGATGCTTCGAAATCAAAGTTGTAGAGAGTGTATTAGGGTTTTCTAATACTGTATATAGACCTCCCCGAGCCTTTCTCTTGTCTTGTCTTATCTAGTGCCTCTTGAAGTTAAGAGATGGAACCCAATATCATGAAACTCTAACTAAATAAGCTCTCCACATTTTTAAACTCGGCCATCCCACCGGTTGCCGCCAGAGGGGCCTTCAACTCTCCCTTTTTAGTGAAAAGAATCAACGTTCCTCCAACACCCATATCGCCGTAGATGATCTTGACAGAAGACTGCTTCTTGTTTGGAATCATTGTAATCGGAACTGACTTCTTTGAGACTCCATTATAGTAGGTGAAGGTGCTGCTTTCAACGTCGAAGCTTGGATAGGCCTCAACGGTAAGATGAGGCGCCCAGTTCTTCGTCCATTTATTGTTCGCTTGGACGATGTCACCGCGAGGTACAATGGACCCAGCCTTGATGTACACAGGACTATATTCAAGTTCCAGCTGTACCTGGGCAGTTGAACCTCCTTTATACACGTCCGTCTTGTTGTGATACTCGAGATAGTCCGCCCCTTTGGGGAAATAGACTGTTCGGCTGCCGCCTTCGTTCACGATCGGGGCTACTAGAAATTCTTCCCCAAAGAAATATTCGTCTGAGATAGTATATACTTTGTTATCCTCTGGAGACTCGAGGAACAAAGCCCGCATAATAGGCACACCATTCTGCGTCGCTTGGTAGGTATAGCTCTTGATGAATGGAATCAGGTCATGATGAAGATTTGCCGTCTGCTTCAGAATCAACACAAGCCTTTCCGTATATGGTGCGTACCATGGAGTATGGCCTGTGCCGATCATGATCAAAAACTCCGGGGTGAAGGCAGAATGGTGCATCCATCTTGCCCAGAGCTCTTCGGTGGGTTCGTCTCCCTCACGGACATAGCCGCCCGTGTCGCTTGTCCAGTGGGAGAAACCAATAAGACCGGCCCTGATGCCATCTGCAACGGTGTATCTCAAACCAGTGAAGTTAGAGTGGGCATCTCCGTCCCAAACAGTGGTGACAGCACGGTCACGGTCATAGGCACTTCGGGCAAAATCGTGGAAGCCATCCTCACCCCATTTCTCGACCATGGTTTCATAACAGAGCCTTCTGAAGAGTACATCCTGGATGTTTTGTTCAAAGACTGAAAATCCTGTTACCACTAGTTTCGAGCTACATATAGGTAAGACATACCTGGCATTTCACCTTCTTCGCCGCGGTCGATTTTGTACCCCTTGACTCCGATTGATGGGAAATAGCTCAACCTCTCCTTGAAATATTCATAGGCAGCAGGTATCGACAAGTTCAAAGCCGGACCGAGAAACTGTTCCGGATCAATTCCAGGAAAGAGCCAGCCATTCTCCACTGACGCATTGTAGAGCTCGGTGTCGAGGAATGCCCGGTTCGCAACCCATACCTAATAGTATCCAAACATCAATAAACCTGCCTGGCACCTAACCGGGGAATTAATCATACCTGGAAGTCAAATCCGTAGTCGGTAAGATTCTGAATGAACTGTTCTGGGGTGGGATAATACTTTGGGTCGAAGTCGAAATTCCCAAAGGAAGAGTTTCCCGTTCCATATGGACCTAGTGAGGAGTTAGAACCTGTATCACAACCATATAAATGTGGCAACATACGATCCGCAAATAAACCAGAAGCATGAATCTGGTGATAGTACAGATGATCCACAACATCATAATAGTTCTCCTGCGCATTACGGACATAGCCATGGAAATCCTCCTCAAAATCATCCGAGTAGAAATTGGGCCCATACGCTGAGTCCGGAGGCATTATACTTCTAGCAGATAGTCCAGTATATTCCTCAATTATGGCCTTGTAATCATTTTTCTTTTCCGGCGTTATGATGTAGTACGTCAAAGAGCTCGTGTTGAAGACAAATTCAGCTGTTCCCGGTGCAGTAAACTCGTACGAGCTCATGGCGGTAGAATCAGCGTAAACAGCATATCCGGCAGTACTGATGAAAAATGGAGCCCTAGCATTCGACCAGTTGATTCCTTCGGAGTTTCTGAATCCTTTTAATTCGAAGGAAACGTTTGAGTTGACGATGGTGTCGCTCAATGGATACTCCCAGACACCGTAGAAGAGGTCAGTGGCATCGTTGATGAATTTTGCGCCGACAAATTGCTTTGAGGAATCGATCTTGATTTGCATGACTGTTGGGGAAATGCAATTCCAAGAAATTGAACCGCCATCGTGCATGATGTGGCCGTTGCCCGTAATGCTAATGGCTGATACGGTCTCATTTTGCGATCCTACACTCGTGTAAGCGAAGCCCGTCTGTCTCAGTGGTCCCTGTAATTATGCTAAAATGCTATAAAGAGACATTGCTAAGTACCAGTGAGAACCGTGTTCTGAACTGTCCCCTTTCCATTCCATGATCCCGTCTCAAATGTCAATGGCCACTTTTGCGATACTTTCACCGGGCATCTACTAGCATACGTAGTAGTGCCGGTCATGGCAAGGATAGAGACTCCCAGCGCAAGCCAGTGCATTTCGAGGATAATCGAGGAAGCAATTCCTTCATTAATTCTACTCTAGACCTCGCCCGCGCAGAACTTCACTGCATTCTTATAGCAACTATGCCAAGGACGCAATATTGCTTTCGAAAAGTTAGGTTAATATACAGACTAAACCCGTCCTTCCGTGATTTTCTTGCTTGTTTACATGGAGAAATACGTTTCCACCAATGTCTTACGGATTAGGTCTCGAGTTACTGTATGCCTTTATCGGCCCTATTCCGATGAGGTGGAGAAGGCTTGTCGAAAGCTAACTGTGCTCTGTGTAATGCCTTGCCGGGTAAAGCCTTCGAGGGCAAAATGCGGGGACCCCACAAGTGCTGGAGTTTCCCCTAGCAGATAGCAGCGAGAAGATAGCTTATCCCGCTCTTTTTGGTTGCACATAGTTCCCAAGTCGAGCAACAAACCGAGCTCTCTGCTGGACGCAAGCAGCAGTTTTAAGCGGCTCTTCGCAGCTGGATATTACCGACGGAATAGACGACATTCATTAATCCAAAGCTATTTTTCCACCAACCAGAAAATACTCAGATTCTCGTATCGGAATCTAAGATGAAAAGTCAAGTTGCAGAATGTTTTTGGGGATCTAACACGAGGCAGATTTTCATTTGTATGCTTGGGTATCCTAAGGAAACTGAATATCCAACATCTCCATCCCAACTCCACAGACGAGAAGCTTCAAGCCTTTTTCGGAATCGGAGTCTGCTGCCGGAGCGCGGATGATATCCATAGACGATATATCCGCAACCGGGGAATACCGATTTACTTTCTCAACGATATCAATGACGTCTGAACCTTTCTTTTCAAGGTCTATCGTAATTGACCATATTTTGATCCGGTGATCGTTGCCTGAAGTTGCAACAAGGAAGTTTCTTTGCGAACCGGTAGCATCTAGCATTTCCTTCGGGTAAGGAAGCACTTTGATTGTGGTTACAGAAGCTGCATGAGCATCGGGTATTGATACTGTTGTCACTTCAGCATCTTTGGCAACGTCGATGGTTGGCAGCGCGAGTAAGGAAATCGACAGTGCGTTATCATCTCCACCAGCAATAATAATTTTCATCGAGTCTGATAGATCCACGTATTCCATAGACTTGATGCTGTTCTGATGGATCTGATATCGTGTATATGAGGGCAGATCGGCGAGCTTTACAGCATCTGACAGAGCCGACGGCCGTGGAATAACTTTTGAGGACTCAACAAAGAAAAGAGGCTCCAGAATGTGACGCAGGTCCCAGACTGAAAAGTGCCCATCGGTGGCACAAGTTATCAGGTTGATTGAAGAATGGCACATTAAAAACTGTGCCCGAGTAAGACAATTGGTCATATATGTACCCTTTGCTAGCAGCGTAAACTGGGAGCCCGCGTCTGAGGACGTATAGTATAGGATCTAGAAAGTTAGCGCAGTCATAAATAGGAGGCTGTAGGCATATTTACCTTCACTGTCGAATTAGAGCAGACCAGACAGAATAAAAAGCGATCCTCCCCCTTTTCACTTGTTATGTCTAAGACGTCAAAGCTGGTTATTCGGAGATCAGACTGAGGGTCATCTTTCGGACAGGACGCCTCTTGGATGATCGCAAGACCGAACACCGGAATAGAGCGTGCTCTCCATACAAATAGCTCTTCTTGGCCCGCGCTTGTGAATAAGAATCTTCCATCTGACGACCACGTCACTTGCTGGAGTCCAGTATTATGTGGGTTAAGCACTCGCAAGCATTCGAAAGCTCCTCGTGGGCTATTCGCTGCTGAAGGCGCTGATTTGAATATGCGCACTGTTGTATCCTCGCCGCCTGTGGCAAAAAGGGCCTCCGAACTCTTTGTCGTCTCCATACACTTTATCTCTCGACCATGACTGCCCACACGAAGCGTTCTTTGCAAGGGGGTTGTCATTCGGACAGTGTATAAATTCTTGGCCTGGTTCCACAAGAATGTCCCACACCCAGGTAATGCCTGGATATTGCAGTATGCCCAGCTTCTGTGCACGCCTCCACAGCCAATGGTGAGCAGCTCAGATCGAGTTGATTCGTTCCAAATAACAAAATCTTTACTGCGGAAGCCATATAACATCAGATCACCAGTTTCTTTTTCAAAATAGGCGCCCTCAATAGTCTGTTTGAGGGAAGGTGAAGAACGATGGATTGTTTTGAGATGAACGGGACCTCCTGGTTCAGCTGCTGATCTCAACTCATGAAGACAGTAGAAGCTATCTCGGCCACAGGTTATGAAATAATCCACATGCGTGCCGTCCACATCAACGCGTGATAGGACATGTGTCTGAGAAGTGACCACGTCGAAGCCATGAACACGACGGATGCATATCAGAGGTTCCAAAGGTGCATCTGAGTGAACCGACATGTCATATAGCGCTAGGCCTCCAAGTAGCGACCCAAAGGTAATGTAACGGCGACCACAAAGATACAAAGAACTGGTTACCTTGAAAGTAGAAGGCAATGCCAGTTCAAAAGTGTCTACGTCCGGGCTCGAACCATCCAGTGACTTTATGACGATCAGATCAGCATAGTCGGAAGTAGCACGCGTTGCCAGGATGGAGAAAGAATCAGCCGGACTATCGTTAGAGGCCCCTTCTGTCTGATGATCAAGAACATAGAGGTCCATTGGCCGCCTGCCAGTCTCAGCAACGACTCTGATGGTCTTTGAATGGTGATCATATAGACGCATAAGACCGTTTGCGTTTCCTATCACCGCTAACCCTCGACGTGGCAGACTGGCGATGAAAGCGAAGGACGCGAGATCGGGTTCAGTGGATATTTCCTCCCAAGAGATCCGGTCATCTTGCTCGCACAGAGGGTTAGGTCCAGGGTGAAAGTGACCTATACGAATTTGTCCCTGGACAGTGACTGCAATGAAACAATCGTCGGTGACAAAGTCAAACGCTTTGATTCGGTCATCAGTCCTCACTAGTGTTTTCTCATCCTTCAGAGAAGCTTTAGCAGAAAGGACTTTGTTGTTGATAGGACCCAACTCTATGGCTTTCAGGCCACCATCAGCACCGCCTGTGTAGATTACGGTGCTGTTGGGTGCCCTGAGAATGTCTAAAGCCCATATGTGCTTTCCGGTATGATGATACAGGGTTGACAAATTTTCCAAGTGGAATTTGGGCTCCGACGAGAGATGATTGTCCCATGTAAGATTCCATAATTGGCAGGCTGCATCCTCGCCCCTAGAAACGAGGCTCACCGTAGGTTCAGATGACGTATGTAGGAAATGGATACCCCATATTCGTGCGGCGTGACCGAAGCATTCCGCGATGCAGTTTTCCGAGCTAAGAGAAGACGTCTCAGCATGACTACCGAATCCTGTCGTTCGAAGTTCGAACCCATCCGTAGAATATGCAGAAGGATCGTGGCGTGACGCTTTGGAACAGTCACTGATGTCCCAGATCCGGACCGTTCTGTCGTCACTGCAGCTTGCGAGTAACCGTCCTGGTTTACCATCACGTACGACAGCGATTTCAGGAGATATGTCGACGCCAAATATGGATCCCTGATGTCCAGTAAAAAAATGGTGAATAGACGTACAGTTATCTGTGAGAAAACTTCCATCTTCATCAAGAAAATAAGACCACACGACGATTTCACCAAAGACAGTCCCAGCAGCTATGAGGACATGTGTAGCAGAAAGTGCCAGGATGTCTGCGGAATATAGCATTGTTTTGACGCCTGTTGCTAGCTGTTGCAAATGAATCCCTGTCTCAGGGTTGATATCAAGAAGCAGCAACGCATTATGAGCCGTGACCAAATAAGCTCTATTCCGATTATCGTCCTCATGAGAAGCGCACGCATCGAGGATCCAGTCCGGAGCTGCATACTCGCGGCTTGCTACTGACAAGCATAGATGTTGGAACCCAACATCAGTTTTCAGATAGCTCAATCTGAGGACTCTCACTGAATGTCCACCCCACGTTAGGATCTGCACTTCATTCTGCCCACTGTTCTGCGATTTCTGTTCAGTAATTAGAAAGCCATGAACATTGTTCCTTTTGAAGGCCCTAGTTTCGGCTAGAACCACTCCAGTAGCCTCATTAATAATGCGGGTATAAGGACCCTGGCCATAGATTACTACATCGTACCCCTGCAGACTGAAGACTCTTATTCCAGATATTGGAAGGCAGGCATCGATGTGCTGGTTTTTGAGTCAGTGCCACATTTAAATACAGGCAATGGTGCACACTGACCTCAAGAGAGAGAGACATTGGGTACGAGACCCGCACCTACAGTCGTAGGTAAATATTGAAACCTCTGATGAGGTACTTCGATACTTGATCCCAATAATACTGCCTAGAGGCAGTTCTATTCTCCCACCTAGATTTTTGAATTATTCGATAGCATAAAAATGATCGTGCAATTGGATTACATAATCTCTCAAAATCTCCAAGTCGCACTTACCCATAAGCGGTTATATGAAGCACGTGATGTCGTGTCCCTCGTGTCAGATAAGTGGCGATGACGATAGTGGGAGCTATCGGCCATATTGCCTCTGCAGTACCACAGTCCTCTTCCATGAATCTCTGAAGGCTTTTCTCTGCTGTGTGCGATGAGTACTTCGTGCGCCACTGCTTATGAACGCGTCTACCCGACGCTATGGGTGTCACCGGTCTCTGGACTGTCGTCCAGCCATGCGCGCGCCCGGTCAAACTCGAGACTCTTAACAGGAAGAGACTCGCAGTTGACGCGTCCATTTGGATATATCAGTTCCTGAAAGCTGTTCGCGATAAAGAGGGAAATGCGCTGCGAAACTCCCATGTTGTTGGCTTCTTTCGCCGCATATGCAAGCTGCTCTACTTCGGGATTAAACCGGTGTTCGTATTCGATGGCGGAGCCCCCATTCTGAAAAGACAGACGATAGCGGCGAGGAAGAAAAGAAGGGAAGGTCGAAGGGAAGATGCCGTTAGGACCGCCGGGAAACTTCTTGCCGTTCAAATGCAGAGGTTGGCCCAAGATGAAGAGACCAAGAGGAAAGACTCGGGGAGGCAACCGCAAGAAGAGGAGGTGCCGGATAATGCAGTCTATGTGGATGAGATATTCATGACGGATAAGGAGAGACGGCAGAACCGCCAATTCCGAAAGAAGGATGCCTATCATCTTCCTGAAATGGATGTCTCTTTTGACAAGATGGGTGCACCTGAGGATCCCCGTATCATGTCGCATGAGGAACTCGAAGAGTATGCGCGACAATTTCACTCTGGGGAAGAAATAAACCTCTATGACTTCTCCAAAATTGATTTTGATAGTCCCTTCTTCCTCAGTCTACCTGCGACTGATCGATACAACATCTTGAATGCGGCCAGGCTACGCAGTAGACTCCGAATGGGTTACTCCAAGGAACAGCTGGATATCATGTTCCCGGATCGGATGGCCTTCTCTAAGTTCCAGATCGAACGTGTTAAGGAACGGAATGACCTTACGCAACGACTAATGAACATCAACGGTATGAACGGAGAGGACGCTATGTACGGAAACACTGCGGGTCAGAGAATTGCCGGAGAGCGTGGTCGAGAATATGTATTGGTGAAGAACAATGATGTTGAGGGCGGATGGGCTCTTGGTGTCGTGGGTAATGAAGGCCACAGAGAGCGACCGATCGATGTTGATCGCGATGATCAGCAGGAGGCAGCGGAGAATGAAGATTGGACTGATGACGAGGATGGCTTCGAGGATGTGCCCGTCGAGGGCTTGAATAGGCTTCCTAAGATCCCAGCCCTGCGGGAGGGAGTCTTTGATCAGTCTTTGAGCCGCCATGCACAGGAAATTGCTACAAGATTTGAACCGCCACTACAAGAGATTGATGACAACTCTCTTTTTGTAGAGGGCGCTACTGGTGATGATGAGCTTTTCGAGGGAGCCATGGAAAGCGAAGATGAAGACCTCCAAAAAGCTATTCAGATGTCCCTCCAGGTTCCAGAGGATGATTTGGTCCTTGAAGAGCCTATGGCTGCTCGTCCAGCTCCTCCGCCAGCTAATAGAGCAGAGGCAGTAGTGTCCCCTCCTGAAAGTGATGATGAGATGGACTTCGCATCCGCACTCGCGCGATCCAAGAAATCACAACCGAAACCGAAACCCAAATCCGCTGCTCCTCGTATTGACAATCCATTTGGGGGACCTCTGCCCTTTGAGTCTCTCAAAATAAGCATGAAAAAGAAACCTCAACATACTGGGACCGACAAGGAGTCTGATAGGGGGGTCAGCGAATCGACAAAGACACCCAAGAAACAACCTTTGCCTCCTTGGTTTTCTGGTAGCGATGAGGCTAAGAGGGATTTCATCAACGAAGAAGCAGGCGAGAAGTCTTTGGAGACATATCGACAAATTGCTGCGAACCCGGAGCACGAGTTCTTGACTGATTACAAGTCCCCGGGAGTTATCGACGTCGATAAGATGCCTGATTCGACAGAAGTAGTCGACCTTGAGGGAGACGATAGCAAGCGTCTGCACGAGGAGCCCAAACCAACGGCTTCGAAGCCGCCCGTCCGCATGGGTGATATAGCTGAAAAGATCAGGGCGGAACCACCATTGTCTAGGAAGTCAATTACTGAAGAGCCTGAAATCAGGCGGGGTGTGGCATCTTCAGCGACCGATGTTCCTAACGATGGACCGAAGAAGGCCGCCGATGAAAACTTACCAGACGCCCATGAGGAGCCTCTGGAATCTACTAGCCTGACAGCCAGAGATGAGAGCTACGAAGAAGAACGATCGCCCTCAGCAGAATTTGAAGATGTCGAGGTATCTGCCGCAAGTGCAGCGGGGTTTCCTCCTGCGGAATCGACTCCAGCAGCTGAAGTGCCCCCCGCATCTCAGGAATATATACCAGAGACAATGGACGTTTTGGTTGACGAGGCAGAAGATTATTCTGATCCAGAGGACGAAGATCTCATGAGACAGCTTGCAGCTGAGGCGGAGGAGCACGCCCGATTCGCTTCGACATTAAACTCTAAAAGCCAGGCGGAAAATATCCTCGTATACGAGGAAGAGCTGAAACAGTTGCGATCTCAGCAGAAGAAGGATCGCCGGGACGCGGACGAGGTGTCTCACATCATGGTCACAGAATGCCAACAGCTTCTCACTCTCTTTGGGCTTCCCTACATCACCGCACCCATGGAGGCGGAGGCACAGTGCGCCGAGCTGGTCTCTCTTGGCCTTGTCGATGGCATCGTGACCGATGACAGTGATATTTTTCTGTTTGGGGGAACGCGTGTTTACAAGAACATGTTCAACCAGAGCAAGTATGTTGAATGCTACCTGGCGTCCGACCTGGAAAAGGAGTATGCGCTGGACCGCCAGAAGCTGATTCAATTTGCACACCTCCTGGGGAGTGACTACACGGAGGGCATTCCTGGTGTGGGCCCTGTTACTGCCCTGGAGATTCTGACCGAGTTTGCCTCTCTCGATGAGTTTCGAGACTGGTGGACGCAGGTACAGATGGGGGTACAGATTCCTGATGACCCCCACGCCGCCTTTTATAAGAAATTTAAGAAGCATGCATCGAAGCTGTTTCTGCCGCCCTCCTTCCCTGACCGCCACGTGGACACTGCTTACCTGCAACCGGAAGTCGATTCGGATCCTTCTCCTTTCCAATGGGGCGTGCCTGATCTGAACGCGCTGCGCAACTTCCTCATGGCGACTATCGGATGGGACCAGCAGCGGACGGACGAGGTGCTGGTCCCCGTTATTCGTGATATGAACCAGCGAGAACAGGAAGGCACCCAGTCCAATATTACGAATTTCTTCAGCGGCACGCAGGGGGCTGGTGCTTTTGCGCCTCGGGTGCGGCCTGATGGCAAAGGCCGGATGGAGAAGGCGTTCCGCCGACTACGACAGGAAGCTGAAAGTCGACAGCAGCCTCAGACGGAGGAACCGGATGTCAGCCAAGCGGATGGAGACCGGCCCGATAGTGAGGCCAGCGTGAACCCAGCAACGGGTTCAAACGATGGGTCTCAGGGTCGGCCCAAGAGACGGGCTCCGCGGAGAGGACAGAGCTCCAAGACAGCTGCTCCCACCAAGAGACGGAAGACCGCCGCGAGTAGGGAGCCATCATGAACCTTACGCAACAAATACACCTACCAGGTCCATAGCAATGGCGTTTGTTGGGTCGGGATGTCGAGGGCATACATAGCATAGAAGCCGCCGGTCCCGCGTGCAAAGAAAAATATAATAATTTTCATTTGCCATCTATTGGAGTTTGGACACTGATCTTTCTGGCTTGAAGTTTTCTAGTATATGATGACATTGGGAACCCTGTAACTAGTGATTTCCTTGCAGGGCTGACCAAGATGGCTGGGTTCATTTGCGCTGTGGAGATTTGAGTCTCTCTCTCTCTCTAGGGTCTTGGTGTATTACTCTCCAGACGGAGACCAACTCCGGAATCGAAAAAGCCTTACAACGATTGGATCCTCTTCTCCACCAAGGCTGTGATCGAGCTGTCCAAGGGTCAGTCGAACGCACCGTGGGGAATTCCAATGCCACACCTGGGGTTGTGTGTCCACGAGAAGATGTCTGCCAATTGCCTTGCTACCAACGAGCTACCATAAGAAGGCCATGACGATCGATTGGCCGCCTTTCTCTTTATGAACTCATTGCTCCGTACTCTACATCGTAGTTGTGCTTGGTAGAGAATCTTTTCCTCGTTTTCTTCTTTTTTTTTTTATTTTTTTGCTTTCTTTCCAGCGGATCGGAATGGGAAACGGTCGATGACGTCGGCGACGGGAAAGGCCAATGATGACGTCGGACGGACATGGAGATACTCGAGAGATTATCGCTAACTCGAGGATGTAACAATATTATAAAATTAGAGTAGACGATGAGAACTGATTAATTGACTACTTAACTCAGTAAACGAACTGATGATCATCGATCACCCATGTCATGTAGTTAAATAGATAGTCTTCTCGTAGGGCCATCGCGATCGCCATCGTTACCCCGGAGATCTGCCGTCACCAAGAGGTTCCTGCGTCGATGCTGGATTGATATTATTATTATCATAGTCAACGTAGTAGCTAACTAACGAATTAATTAATTAATTAATTCCTCTCTGACAAATCGAGTCTATCTAGTCAGTTCATCCCATGACCATCTGAGATAATAACCATAACCAACTTCCAGTAATCCCATTGATGATCTGCCGTCTCCGTCCAGCTTGGGCAGCGCAGCCGCATTGGGACAACTAGCCGAGCGGTCGCCGACGTCACCGGCGGCTCTGCTCTGGGACGTTCAAGAGAGAGAGAGAGAGAAGAAGCCTTTATATCATCCCCGTCAGTCCGTCAACGCTCGCTCAGTCCATCTCCAGCTTCCCATCTGCTCTGACAGACGCAATTGACAACTTCCCACGTCTTACTTGTGGTACTGGCTGCGAACTGATTACATTGCCCTGTCGATTCCGCCCAGCTCCGTCGAGCTGCCCTGCTCTACCACACTCATCATCGCATCCGGATTGCTGGTCTTGCTACCAACCCAGAAAACCATATCTTCCCCCCCTCCTCGCACACGTCACTCCTGCGCAGTGTCTTCACGGGACGCTCGGTGCAATTCGATAAATCCAACCATCCTTGCTTTGCTACCTCAGTCCAGCTATCCTTCCATCGAACCCCGCCCTCAAGGCAGACCAGCCAGCATCCACCATGCATCGCACGTATTCTATGCGCCAGACGCGCGCTCCAACCGCTGCCCAGCTGGAGAACCCACCGCCTCCGCCATCGTCGACCAAGACCGGTCGGATCTTCGGAAAGGGTGGCTTTGGTGAGTCCATTCGTCGTGTTGTTGCGAGCTCCTCTCCTTCGCCCGGGTTCCTTTCTCACAAGTGGTCAAATCCTCACCGGTCATTGGGGCGGCGGAAGTGCATCTGCGCTGGCCCTCAATGGCATGGGGTTTCTGTCCGCTTGCTGGGGAGATGACCGCGGGGGGAGGGGGGATCCCCAGCTGTAACGGGAGATATCTATAGATGGCTCACGGATCAACTAACAGGTGGTGACAACGCAGGCCATGCTTTTCGCAAGTCGGCCGCCGGCGCTTTCGGACCGGATCTGGCTAAGAAGCTCTCGCAACTGGTGAAGATGGAGAAGAACGTCATGCGCAGCATGGAATTGGTGGGAAGAGAGAGGATGGAAGTTGCGGTATGTGTTTATGGGGATGATTATGATGCTGGGTATTCTTCAAGAGATCGTTGATGCTAACGCGGTCCTTCCTCACTGTAGCAACAACTTTCCATCTGGGGCGAGAACTGTGATGAGGATGTCTCCGACGTCACTGATAAGCTGGGGGTCTTGATCTACGAGATTGGAGAGCTCGAGGACCAGTTCGTCGACCGTTATGACCAGTACCGCATTACCATGAAGAGCATTCGCAACATTGAGGCTTCTGTGCAGCCCAGCAGAGACCGTAAGTTTTGATTTTTTTTTTTTCTAATCACGTCTGGAATGCTACGATTCTAACAGATCCTTCCTCATTTAGGCAAGCAAAAGATCACCGACGAAATTGCCAAGCTCAAGTACAAGGAGCCCAACTCCCCCCGGATCGTCGTCCTCGAGCAGGAGCTGGTTCGTGCGGAGGCCGAGTCCCTGGTCGCTGAGGCTCAGCTCTCCAACATCACACGAGAGAAGCTGAAGGCTGCCATGAACTACCAGTTCGACGCTCTCCGCGAACATTGTGAGAAGGTTGCTATCATTGCCGGCTACGGAAAGCATCTCCTGGATCTCATCGATGACACGCCCGTGACTCCCGGAGAGACCCGCCAGGCCTATGATGGCTACGAGGCCAGCAAGGCGATCATCCAGGACTGCGAGGATGCCCTCACCAACTGGGTCACCTCCAAGGCTGCTGTCCGGTCGAGCTTGTCGACCCGTTCTCGCACCCTCTCCCAGCGCCGCCGCAACAACGCGTCCAAGAACGGTGAGGGGGTGGACTTGGCCAGCCAGGATCAGCCCATGAGGGGAGACAGAGATTCCTGGCTGCCGGCTGACCAGCACCCGAGTTACAACCAGGAAGAAAACGAGCAATACCAAGACGGTACAGACGAGGAGCCTATCGAGGTGGCTGGCGCCAACGGAGAGCAGCGTGGCCGCGTAGAGGAGAGGGAATCCATCGTCACCGCCTAAGCCTATCCTACCCTCTGCTCACTCTTCTATGACTGTCAGATGACCGCTTCTTCCACTCGCTATTATCACTGGTCCTGTAATAGTACCTACCTCACTCTCGTTCTGTCCCTCATCGACCGTCACTGGTCGCAGTGCACAGCCTCGTGACAAACATGTCACTTTATGTCCTGTGGGTTTCGCGCCGTGTTTGATGATTTCTCTGTCCAGATTTTTCGGTTCTCAGTCTCTCTTTTACCGGACAGAGACCGAAATTCCAGAACTCCAAAAAAGGAAGGGATCCAAGACACCTCTCTCCTTATCCCCCCTCCTCGTGATCCGACGGATGATACATACGCACCTTTTTACGTCTATTGTTGCAATTGTCTCTATTCTATCCCGATTTGATATTGTTCTTTTTTCCCTAGGCTAGGATAAGGGACATGGGAATTACGACGCCCAGAGGCTGGCTTTTTTCATGTTGTTATTAATGTCGAACGAACTTAATACTCTAATCAATCAATCAGTCTTAATCATGTCTTATCTTGTTCTTCTCTAATAAGAATAATATATCTAGCGTCTGATCGAATAGCTCGGATTCTACTTTTTATCAAAGTAGGTAGTTAGAGTAGTTAATTATGTCATGGTCAATTACGTCATGATAAAATATCAGTAACTTAGTTAACTTACTACCTAGGTCTTCGGTAATACTGACAATGGATTTTCTGCAGGAGAAAGGAAACGAAGCTATTGACGCTTCTGCTGCTTGTAGAGGACGGTCTCAGCGGAGTGGCATGGCAGGCCAATTCGATCTCGCCCAGGAGGCCCAGGATGACCAGCCAAGGGATCTGCGTTAGGGAGTCAGAAAACCCATCAATCGTGATACAAAATACAGTGTCCTCCAAGAAAAATTACTTCCTCACTTTCTCATTTTCTGTTTTTGTCGATGCGGTGGACACATTACAGCATAACTGAACTTGGGTCAAGTTGCGTGATTCCCTATTTGGGAAATATCTAGCAACTACCTACCTACGCTTCACTCTTACTCGGCTCCTGCGACGGATCCAGATCACCAATAAAATCATCCGTAGTATCCCCCCTCAGATAATCAATGGGCCGGCGAAAATCAGCAAATCCAATATTCGGACTCGAGACAGAGTATCCAAGCACCTTCTGCGCCTCCGGACTCCAAGTCAGAACATCCTCGGGCTTATTGACAAGATAGATATTCTCCTCCTGTCTCATATACCCTCTGACATAAAATAGTCCATGCACAGTCCTCTTCTCATTCTGGGTAATATTCGCTCCCCCTGCATGATACGTCCCACCGAGCATGACAAACGCATCTCCCACATCCATCTCCGCATAGCATACCTCCTCGACCTTGGGTGCCCTGTCGGAACCCCAGAGATGACTCCCGGGTATAGCTTGCGTTGCGCCATTCTCAAAAGTCGTCTTTACACCGGGGATCAGAAACGCTAACTCGACATCAGAGCCCAAGCGATATCCGGTTTCTGTCTGGTCTTCATGGTCCATGTGATAGTTCTTGTCGTCGCGATGAAGCCGTTGTGCTTTGGCTCCTGGGCCGATTTCCATCGTCAGAGCAACGGAGACAACAGCCTCGCTGGTATACGTATGCTTGGTCAACCCGTAGTAATTCTGCGTTGTCTTATCGACAAACGTCGCTGTGAGCTGGCGGATTAAAGGGTCGATGATCCATTTTTCGCGTGCGTTTACGCTCCTGCCTCCGAGGTTTGTGCAGCGACGAGTCTCGGGAGGGTAGAGATCTCCCTGGATTCGATCACAGTGTTAACTTGTAAAGGTATTAAAAAAAAAGGTGAAATGGTCCTGCGGTTCATCAGTCCATGTTGTAAACGTACCTTCCATGGCTTATCAGCATCTAGATACGGTCTGGTATCGGCATTTACTGCATCGACCGTCTCCTTGTCTGTGAAATTCTTAATTATACAGCATCCATCATCGATGATGGCCTGTATGATCTTTGTCGGTTCAAATCGATCGATCCGTTGGAGCTGCGGTAGAGCGTGTGGCATCGTGGAAACCAGAGAGAGAGATTTGGTGCAGATATAACGCCCCTAAGTATGCGAAGATCGATCAATGTAAATTATAGTGACACCACTTATATCCTAGGACGTTGATAATGTTTTCTCCCAGATAGAATTCTGAAGAGGAATTTAAGAAATATATAATAATACAACCTTACTCAGGTCCTGTAAAACATCCCATCCCTCCCTCCAGGCGTGATTGGTGATATCTGATAAGGATAACGCATCGTTATCAGCGGTAATGCCGAACGACACCGACCGGAAACTGTGGCAGATTCCCGTATGGTTTGTTCTAGAGTGGGGAGCGGAGTTGAATCTTGGCAGGGAATAATGCGCTTATATCTGGACAAAGCTCGTCTTGAAATCATCGCATAACATGTGGTTATGAGGTGTAGTAGTAGATGGTAGAACAAGAATGAGGATGAGAAGAAGAAGAAGAAGAAGAAGAAGAATAGCGACGGTTGTAGATATACCCTATTGCTTGGCGGAAGCCTTCCGTGGTGAGTATGCAATCGTATCGAATCGCCTGGTTTTCCTAGAGCTGTTATCGTTCTTATCGACTAGATAGATATGCAAGAGTAGAGAAGCTCTTTGTATAGTACAGTATTTCAGAAAAGCTCATAACCCGAGACGGCCGACCTGGTAACCCCTTTATGATTGATTGAATAGGTAGCTGTCCTTCATACCATAGATAAGTTCAATATTAAATTCTTCCACGCGGATTTAATGAAGTACAGGATCCTAAACATGCAACGTAAAATTCGAGCTCTAGCTGACATTATTCACTTTATATCCTTCACGAGTGCTCAATAAAGCAGAATAGATCCCATCCTTCTTCACTGCGTGATTACATGATCCGGCATGTTTCTTCGTTGCATAAACAGATGAAGTCTTAGAGAAAAACACGAGACTTAAAAGGCATAGCGTTTTACAAAAGCGCATTTCTGCTAACTATACATCATACTAGAACATTATCTTCAATGTTTAGCTCTCATGGAAGGAAATCACTATTTCTTCCTATTAAAAGTAATATCGCCGAACTTACGTATATATATATATATACATCCAAGTTATTCCATACCTTGTCCCTTGATTCCGTCAGCTTCCCTTACTCACTTCCTAATTCCCTTCAAAATAACAATTATATCCGTGGATCCTTATTCCCGAATTAATATCCCTGATATCGTAATTACATAGCCTCACTATTCCTCCCCTGCTATATAACGCCAGGGGTTCGGTGCAGTATCTAGTCACCTGAAACTGTAGTATATACGAGGACGACAGAGTACCGCATCCTGCAGCGCCACCTAGCGATCAGGATGCATATAATACTGTCGTTTACTACGCCTTTTGAATAGATTTTCTTTACTAAAGGAGAGCTTTTTATCAAAGTTGAAAAGAGCAGACAGTGTCAAGTTTAAGTTGCGGGGACGCTTCAACGGTAGTGGCAGCCACTGAAGGAGGAACGGGAAACCAGACAATAAGAAACTGCAGAGGAACTGTTCTCTCCGGTACGGATGGATGGATGGATGGATGGAGCATCGAATATAGTCTGATTTGCCTAATGAGCAAGCATTTTATGTCTATATTACTTCCATCTGAGTCGTTTGTACTGTATCCTATGGTACTGCTCGATCTTATCGGTCCTCTAGTCTAGAACTATGACGCCTTTCGAATTTCGCTAATACCTGAGGGGCCCATGGGATTCTGCCCGGGATGAAATAATAAGCGCATACTATGCGCACCAATAGTTTCTAGGGTTATTGCTGGATGTATTTCCATTGCAATTCACCCTATCTCCTTGCTGAAATAGATTACAAACGATGAGAAAAGAACAGTGATTATATAGATCAAAACGGACACAAGAAATAATAGTTAAAAAAGCTTACCATGCCCTACGCCCTCACAGTTAACAGGTACGATACCCCGGAAAGGTCCGGGAAGACCTAGAAAACCCCCGCAAAGTCCCGAAAATACAGCGCTCCTTTTCTTTGGAAGCCTGGAAGGGAAATGTGCCGGGGTCCAGACGGACAGCCCTACCTACCTATAGTCGAGTCCGGGCTGCAGAGATATGAACAGCGATCAGAGCTAACTAATAATAATCCCTCGATCATCTAGCGCAAAAAGATGATCTGCACAGTTAAAAAAAATGACAGGATATGCACTGAGGATCACGCCTTTTCCTTCCTGGATGGTACCAAGCTCATAAGGCGGTGCAGTATGGTAGGAAGAATCGAAGACACAATGATGCGGAGGGATGGCGTGATTTGTGAGTGAGTGTGTTGCATCGCGTGCATCAGCTGGCTTCCTTCAGCTCTCCCTAGGAATACTACCTACCTAGTTACATGAAGTGTGCCAGGTGGTGGAGACGATGTCTTGATTGATCTTTGAGTAGTTTAGATTTGTTCTGTAGATCGTAGGAAGTCAAGGGTGGTGAGGCATAAATGAGGCAGTAGATGGCTCGATGATGAGCGGGAAATGTGATCGAAGTTAGCAAGTGTAATGTCTATTTGGGTTTCTCAGACTACTTGAGATCGACCAGACAGAGGTTCAGACAAATGGAGAAAGGCTGGGAGATCTTTGGCCGATTCTAAATTCTGGAGGTTGAAAGGTCTTGGACGTATTGCTATCGCTCTTGGATAACATCCGTACTTTCCATCGTGATCACATGGAATTAAACCCCCAGCAAAGAGATGGGAGCTTTCGTAGCAGGGTATACAGGTAACCTACGGTTGCCTGCCTCGAATTGCCTATCCCATTATCCCATGCAGCAGTAGTTCTGCTCTCTCCTCCTTCGTGATCAGGGCTGATCATGGCGAGATGGAAACCGAGACCCAAGGTCTCAAGTTGTGACGCAATGTTACAGCGCAGGGTACAGCCAGGAGACTCATCGATGATGACAATCACCGTAAGTCTCTACATCGGAAGAGGAAGGGCAAATGGACGATGGCAAGAAAGCCGAGAATCGACCAATATTCGTCGGGGCTATATAAGTAATTATAGTTAATCTTCTCAAGCTTAGATAGCTGAGTTCTCTGCTCCACGAGATAAAGTGGTCGTCGTAAAGGGAATGAGCACGAGGCAAAGACGTGTAGCCACCATTCACCGTATACAAAAAAAGCAAGGCAGAATAGAAAAGACCTCTCCACCAAACCCCATATTTCAGCAAACCCAGGAAGCCATCACCCAGCTGGCGACAAATCCACTAGTCAACTGCAACCGCACGTCCACCTGAACACTTAATTCCAAAGCTATAACCCGCCTTCCGTAAAGATCACGCGTGCATCGCGTGTCTAGTATATACAACCCAGCGTAACCACATCAGGTAGTCGCCTCCCTGAATGCAGGGTCAAACCAACTCCAATTCAACTCCGGGAACACAAAAAGATTCGAGAGAACTTTGATTTCTTTCTTCAAATATCGGTACCCACACCCTTCTTGGGCTGAATGTTCTTGGGAGCGGGCGCTGCGGTGCTCGACGTACTTTGCGAAACAGGCGGGGTGTTGCTGCTATCGGGAGGCGGTGGCATCTTAACAGTGTTTTCGTGCTTTTCTGTCAGTAGGTTCTTGAGCCATCGATTCTCCATTTCGAGCTGCGCAACGCGTGCTTCGAGAGTCGCGTTCAGTTCGGTAGCTTCCCGCACAGTTCTCTCGAGAGCTTGTTCCCGCTGCTTCTTCTTCACGCGGAAACGAGCGCTGGCTGCCGTATTACGGCGTCGCTTGTCCTCTTCAGCAACCATACGGGACTGCTCCTCGATGCTGAGTGCAGAGGCAATTCGATCACTCGGAGGCTGGATGCTGTACCTCGTGTTTCCGAGCTGGCCATTTGGAGGCGAGATGGAAGATGACACGTCGGATGGTGTCAAGTTTCCAGGATGGCCTAGATCATCGATTTGATACGGGACAGATGGGTACATTGAGTGATGAGGATATGTTGGTACCATCTGATCCGGTAGTGGATAGTTCAAAGACTTGTCGCCTGCTAAGAGGTCTTGTAAGCATATGCGTGATTTGGACATAACAGACATCGAGCGTTCGTTTTGCGAGGGGATGAGATATCATCACAGGGTAGAACAATAAAGCTGAATTGCAACTAAATTGCAGCTGAGTTCCTGAAACGAAAGAAGAGCTTCATGATCTCCGCGCAACAAGCCCTTTCTTTGGATTGACATATAGTTATCAACACCCCCGGGCTGCGACGGTAAGCGACGGCTGAGCGCAGGCGATCATCGCTGGGCAATAACAACCCGGGATTGCGTGCTTTCTTGGACCAATATGTGGGGAAGGGAATGCAAGCCAGAAAATAGCACTGCGAATTGGTTTTATAGGCAATCAGGATGGACATGTGTGATATTGGGACTGGCCAACAGGACAGGGAAGAATGAGATGGGCGACCAGATGGCGGCCAGTGCAGATGCATCCGGAAGACAAAGTCCATGCTCGAGTAGCTTCCTACTGGCAGAATCTGTCCCAGACAAAGGCTGGGCCTTGACCGCACATCTGGCAAGAAGTACTTGAGAGAAAGAGCGAGCCAGATGACGGGAAAAGAAAAGGACAATGCCAGACGCTACTTTTCGCGTAAAGTCGTGATAAACTTACGGTGATAATGATACGATCTGGCATCGATGGAAGTGCGCTCATCCTCGATACTGTCGTACGAGCTCACAGATAGGCCGCCTAGGCCTTCTGTCTGGTCGTAATCCATGGAGAATCTCGTCTGGGCGAAGGGCGAGATCTCGGAATCGGCGTCGAAAGAATAATGTCGTCGTTCTGTGGCTGTCGAGCTTGGGTAGGAAGAGCCCGCGAAAAGGTTGGAATTTTCGACCTTGCTGTGAGCGGCCTGGGAAGGAAGATGGTTTTGTGACATGGCTTTCGCGGAGAATAATCACACGAAATGGCCGGGATCGCAGACCACAACCACGTTCACGCAACCACGTTGGAACTGGAACCCCGGATCAGACTGAAGAGGGGAAGGCCGATGAGGGAAAGGCACATTGAGCTTCATCAGGCTCGTGCCGTGGGTGCAGTGTCTACAAAGATATCTGGTGTCCAACAGCGTTCACGACCGCATAGCGTCGGTGCCAAGTCGCGGATGGGAAGAGCTTCGACCGACACCCACGGGATGGATGGAGACACTGCGGCTTTCTTCAGCAGCTGAGTGGATAGAGTCAGGGAGGAATCGTTTTCTATTCACCTGCTGAATCGATCAGCGGCTGCGCTTCACGACGCCTCGGGCTTGTTGTGGTGATGATTCTTATGCCGCTAGAGGCTAGACGATGATCTGATATGATGGGGAAATGTCGTGATCCCGCGCGCCGGTTCGCCAGTCGTAGCTCGCGAAAGCCAGCGTAGGGGGAAGCGGAGACGAGACCAGCGTTTTTAGAGTACGCTGTCCAGGTCCGTGAGTTGAGAGAGAGAGAGCTCTGAAATGAAGAAGAAGAGGGCAAGAACAATGGTTAAGTGGGCATTCTACGAGTAGGAATTACTGATTATTATCACTCCTTCAAGCGTTGTCCCGACTATCTTAGCTACCCCCGCTCCCGGGCGGAAGGCCAGTTGCTGCCATCATCCTGTGGTTCGAGACGGGATGCGAATGCGATGCGAATTGAAACAAGGGGGAACCAATAATTCGCTTGGCAGCTGGATTATTACCTGGGTGAACGCGTTGCCCATGACGCAGGCATCGCAGAGTCGCAGCGCTCAAAGTACTCCGTACATAGCGTCCTGCGCTTTGCTTTGCCTTTGGGTCGCTGTAAGCGAAGGAGGAATAGGAAATCATAGTCAATCGAGGAAATCATAGTCAATCGATGCTGAACCCATGTCCATTATCATTGATTGGGTTTGTGCTTCTCTGGTAACTAACCCGCAAGTCTAGAATGACGCTGTGTTTTTCTGTCTTCCATCTGCATCGAGCATCTGAACATGACCTCGACGCGTATGACTCTCAACCACGCCTGGACCGCTTTGCCACGATCTCCGAAACGTCTTCTGCAGTCTTGCCTCTGTTCCTCTTGCCTATCTTCTCCTCTCCCAGGATAGTGTCTTCTGCCACGGTTCGATAAACTTCTGCAAATGCTCCGTATACACTATCTCCCAGTCCGTGCCAGTCGCCTTCTGTATCAAATGCTTCCCCGATTGCGCGCATCTCTTCCACCCATCGATACGCCTTGGGTGGCATACCTATGATCCCCTTGGTAGCCAACGCTGCAGTGGCTGGCGAATACTGCTGCAGATGTTCCAGCAGCTCCGGGAGAACTGATTCCTTTTGCGCCGTGGAAAAGGAGAGGATCGAGAGAGCGGTGAGACCCTTGGTCAGTGCAGCAAACGACAGCTTCAGCGTCGATGCGGAGCCGATCGTGGGAGATACCAGCTTCATATTAAGGATCTCGGACAAACCGCGGAAGCTAGATGGAAGATCAACAGAGCCAGATATCACAATGCTGGGCTTCTTCCAGGCCTTCGTTTCTGGATCTTGAGATGGTGGACCGCCGATGATGCCACCGTCCACGAAGTGACAAAGAGTGGTGTCGCTGTCATCTTGACTTGTGGCCGGGAGCGATAGCAGTGAACCGACTTCTCTTGTTAGACGTGGAGAGATTGCGTTGAGATCGAAGTAGTACGGCTTCTGTCGCGTCTCGAGTCCCTCCAGATCGGGAATTTTTGCACGTTGAGGAGCTGTATCCGGTAACTGGCATGCTTCCGATATCCGACGAGCAGTCGCGAGGGCATCTCTTGGTGGAACGATCGATAGGATGTAGTCTGACTGCACTACCAGTTCTTGATCGGATGGTAGAGACTCGATCGCGGCTGACCGGATCCGCGCGAGCGTATCTTCACTAACATATCGTCAGAACCGGCGAAATAGACAGAATAATAACCTGCGTAGACAATAGAAATTGGGGGATCATACCTTCTACCCAAACCTACAGTAAGAACGCGATAATCATGTGCTTTTAGGAGGCGGGCTACACCAAGGCCCATATCTCCAATGGAGAGGATCCCTACAGACACAGGTCGCATTGCTACGATGATTGACGGTGCATATAACGATAATTTCCGATTTCCAGATTTCTAAAGGAACTTCTAACTTGAATACAATATTGGAGAACGATGATAAGAGTGTTACACGGAACGTCTAATAGTTAACTATCGTTGCGCTCCCAATCTTTATCAGCACGGTCGGCAAACCAGGGGGTTATCCGGTGCTTATTCGAGATGGCGGCATGCGGGGTTCTATCTTAAGGTAGGACTCCGTAGGAGTCACTGACGATGATTAACAAAGCGCTCTTTTCTCGGACGAGAAAGCCTTATGAATCTAGGAACAATTAACAAGATGAACTTATTCGAAAAAGTACAAGCTCGAGAAAAGCTTAGCTCTTGCGCAATAAACGCCTCGTCTGGGCTCATCCTCTTTAGCGTCGCGGCATCCAGGCACACAAGCGAAATTTGGAGACGACAGACGTTCGGCGATATTCTGACACTTCACATCGCTTACTCTTGTTGTAGCAGACGCAGCCAATGGGGAAATTAAACTTACTTAATAGTAATGTTTGGAAATTGGAGACTGATGACTGGATTTTCAGCATTTCTACTTGGTTCTTGGTCCACTTTCTTTCCTGTATACTCTACGAGCTATGAAACGCCTCATGTCACAATAGCCGGACCAACAGCCATAGGGGGGAAGACCTCATATCCTTTCACTGACACAGGCGTCTCGAACGATGGATACTCCACTCTTTCGAACCAGGACTCGTGCTTATTGCTCAATTCTAATGACCCCTCGCCTGAACATACTCGAGCAGTCTGATAGTCTCGGTATATTGTTTTCTTCTAGGAACGAGAAGCATCAACGGGACCAAACCGACTGTAAACCTTCACAAAATAGTATCAGACCGTTGCTCATATGGAGGGAGCTCTACGATGGATGGAATAGATCAACAGTAATGTCATGTGGATAAGGTCGATTGGACAAAAATCTCGCTCTGCTATGCACAGTATTCCCCTCATAGATAGCGAAGCAACCCGACATCGAGATACTTAGTCGTTCTTTTGTCATAGACTTGAGTGGTTAATTCAAAATGTCTTCAGTTACCGTAAGAACTACCGTTATCTTGACGATCGTCCACTCCAGGTTCTCCAGATCATTTACAAAATAATTAATGCGTATTACCGCATGGGCTCTTTCTATATGTGTAAAGACAACGGTAAGATTTATAACTACATTCGAAAAGCATCAATAGGGACACTCGTCTAAGACCGGCGAACGGTTACTTTTGTCTTCTACGCTGCATGCAGCACTCTTCTCCATACACAGAAGTTTACTTTCGGCCATATCATCAAAGCATTGGCACCAGAAATCTACATTAAAGGATATAATAAGAGACATATAGTCACATTCACCACAGATTGAGTTCTAGACCGGTGTAATCTTATCGGGCCCGAAAGAACTATGTAGGTGATCTATCATATCATCCGTTGCAGCAGGGTCTTTGATATCCTAGTTATAGGATAGAATCTACTAGATTACTAGAATCTAGATCCTTTGTATGCTATAGCAGATAGATATGGGATGAATACACCCTATATCTAGTGTTTAAGCAGGGAAGTCAAGCAACCTAGCTGCGTAGCTACGAGGTTCAAATCATGTCGTTGCTTCCATACCCTTTAGGATTCGACAAGTCTCAAGAGATATGAATGGGGTATCGATCTTTCAAATCACTGCATAGAACCAACTAGTATCCTTCATATATTGACGAACATATCCCCGTACGTTGAGCACACCATCCATGATTTCACCCATGGTAAACTGAAGTAAGGGACCTATTCGCGAGTATTTTGAACAGAAGTCCCCAGCAGTTACCACAGACGATAAAAACGCTAAATCTACAGGATAAGAGTACAGTATCCTGTTGGTTCAGACATGTGATCCTATCTGTTTGCAAGGACTTTGGTGGAATAACGGAGACTCCGTAAATCGAGCAACGCATGCTTGGAATCCTTAGCTGCTTGTATGTGATATCATTGTGGTTAAACCTCGGACTTGAACCAGACAGTCGAAATTAAGATCAAGCAGAGTCGTTATTTCCCCCTCTTTTTTCTTTTGGAATAAATGGATAGCACCTTACCTGATCCATGATTGTGAAACTCTGTTACTTGCAGCTATGAGTCAATCAAGAATGAAGCTGAACTCAAGAACATCTAAGCTCCTGGGACTGGCTCGCTGTAATCTGCTCCCAAATGAAGGTTACACCTTGTCTCAGAAATACCATCTAGGCCCATGGCTAAGTAGAGATTTTATCATTCAGGAGACCATCAAGTAGACCGTAATTCAATCTGAGTGAACAAATATGCTAAGAATTTCCATATCAAGGACATGCTCCGAAACGAACTTTGTACTATGCAGCAACAAGTATGAAAGAAGTGTCGTTGATTTGTTCATATATACCCACGTGGTACAGACTTGGGTTACTTTCGAATCTGTCCGTCGGTACGCTTGTGCATTATGCAAGATAAATCACCGATTTGAAATGGTACTTTCAAACTTCCGACCTTTCGTTTCAGTCATTGGTGATGAGACTAGCGTCAATTCTAGATTTTTCTCCGAGCCATGTGGTCTTTGTGTAACCACCTCGTGGTTTATCTCATAGTCGAGGCATAAGTCATCCTTAGATCTCTACACTGGCCCTACTATGATATGGAGTACCTCGAGAGTGATAATGTTGACCTTGGGATAGTTAAGCCCGCCTCAACTCACCAGTTCTCCGTCCGTATACAGTATATTAGACCTTGTTGAGGAGTTCTGGGGGATATGACGTCTAATTGGGGATTGTTTTAACTGGCAGCTCAATCTTGGTCGTCACTGCAAGGTTTGGAGCTTCTGCAAGTCTGCGCGGGGTTGTCACTGCTCCGCCCCTGCGGTCCGCAATAATGTCCTTGTTGAGGAGGAAGCCGGAGCTTAGGTTTGCCTTTTGACATGGATATCCTCAAATGGTAAGGCTCAATTCATAGATCATTAACGATCAGTCTAGGTGCCTGAAGATGGCTTATTTCTGTCCTTCCCAGATTCGTTTTCCGGGTAAGCGGCAAGTCACGAATACTTTCTAGAGTAATCCCAGCATAAGAATCAATTGACAATTGGGCTAATAATTTACGCATTGCAATCCATCACTTGTAAGCCTCCATTTAACTTCGTTGAAAACTTGGCCAAGTGGGTTAGTATTGAGCGTGAACCTTGGAAAAGACCTTCTCCAACTATCTACACGGGTCATGTGTCCGGACGCGGATCAGAAAACTGCCGAGAAAGATGCGGAGACAGCGTCGGTAATAATAATAATGGCCCCCGCTTAACTTATGGCCGCTACCTGAATAATAATACTGGATACTAACTTAATATTGCTCTAAAGTAGAATAGAGTATTATAGAATTTATCCGTCGCGCGCTACCGAAGTGGAATTGCCAATACAGATACGTCATTGCGGGTGCGGGATCATCATAGTCTCTTTTGCACTGTCGAAAGCTTGAAATGCCACGGAGAGATCTCCGAAAAGTCGCATGTTGATATGAACATGAGATCTTAGTACTTACACGAGGAGCGAGTCCGGGATGCTCCAAGTTTACGCGCCAATCGGCTGTCCACCCAGGAGCAGAAGATAGTCACATTCCCCGGGTTTGCATCCATAGTACGTAAAGGACGTACCTAAAATGTAGAAAGGCAAAGACTGGATCTAAGCAGTCGCATTTTGAACTTACCAAGATGCCCCTACTAACACGTCCATGGTCTCTAGACCCACTGGACCTGGATGGATTTCCCCAGTTTCTTTGGGGTATTTAAACCATTCACTGAGTACCGGTTCCTGAGGATTCACTGCGATAGTGTTCACCATGTCCATACTCACCGGCTCATCCCTACGGGGATATAACACGTTTGTCGTGTTGTTGTGTCTCACGTACATTCTCCCTGCAGTCGCATTGGTCCCCAGAAATCCATATTCGAAGCTCGTGGCTCGTCAGACACCTGATCCTTTGGAGGTTGATGTGGGTTATGCGACATATCGTGGTTACCACAACGACACAACTGGACTCAACACATGGCTAGGGTAGTGTGACCACATATACAGATTGCTATATGTGTTGCTAATACTTCCCCCATATGTTTAGTATTCGTTTCGCAGAACCACCCGTGGGTAGTCTGCGATGGCAGAAGCCCGTTCCACCGCGAACACCGCAGAACAAGACTGAGGTAGTAAACGCCGACAAATTTCCCAACCAATGTCCTCAAGCACCGCAAGCAGCTCCGTAAGTAGACCTTCTCTGAAATCAGTAAGATGTTTGCGATTAACAATCGACAAGGAGCGATGGTCCATTCCAGTCTTCAACATCACAAAGTGAGGATTGTCTGTTCCTCAATGTCTATGCGCCGTCCAACGCGACTGGGCTACCTGTTTTTGTTTATATTCGTAGGTTGAGCCCTTGATTATATTAGGTATAAGCTAATGGTTGTAGATGGGGGTGGGTATGGATCTGGCAACGGTCAGTCGAATATACCAGTTTTGCTCAATGGATCTGGCGAGGATTTTGTTGGAGTCGCGATTCAGTATCGAGTACGGAGATCTTCGCATTAGCTCTGTGGACTTTGCTAACAGAAGCAGCTTGGGGCTTTTGGCTTTCTTTCATCGGACGAGGTCAAGCGTTTTGGAACGGCAAACGCCGGTCTGCTTGACCAGTATCTTGCCTTGCAGTGGGTACAGCGATATATTGGACTTTTTGGCGGAGATCCCCTGCAAGTGACGATCGCAGGAGAGTCTGCAGGTAGGCGTACTTTGGACGACGTTTCGGTTACATCGCTAAGGGTTCTTCTAGGTGCTGGTTCGGTGATGCTTCAGGCTATGGCCTACGGAGGATCGATTGGGACATCCCTCTTCCAGAATGTAAGCTATGCTGCACTTAGTGATGGAAGCCAATTGGCTGCTGACGCGTTTCACAGATCATAGCTGCTAGTCCTTACCTGCCTATGCAGTACCGTTACTCTGATTTTGTGCCCTCACAGATGTACTATACTTTCGCTGCTGCCGCCGGGTGTTTTGACGGTCTCCAAACCTGGAAGGAAAAGATATCAGTATTTGACTGTCTCGTCAGTAAAGACACAGAGACTTTGCAGAATGCCAGTTATACTGTCACGGTAGGAGGGAAATACGGTCAATGGGCATTCCTCCCTGTGACGGATAACGATTTTGTGCAACAGGTGCCGAGCCAGCAGCTTCTGAACAAGCAGGTCAACGGCGAGCGCCTATTGATCAGCGTAAGATCTCCTGATGAGGAGTAAGCCGCACTGTGATGGCTGCTGACATTTAATGGCAGAACAACGCGGATGAGGGCACCCGGTTCACCCCTCAAAAGATCGATACCGAAGATGATTTTGTCAACTTTATCAAGTCGTTGTTCCCGCTCTTTACGGAAAGCGATGTGAACAAGACCCTTCTGTACTATCCTTCCACGACAGCACCAGTGGATAAAAATGATCCAAAGTTCGCCACATCGGGGACTGGCACTCCAACTGCACTCAACGAGAGCAGCTTTGGAACTGGCCAACAGCAGCGCGCGGACGTAAGTCTTGTCTTTCATCAGGTTTTGTTCCACCAGCCAAGCTGACAAAAAACCAGAACCTCTATGCAGAAGTTACCTTCGATTGCCCGGCTTACTGGTTGGCCGAGGCCTTTGGAGAAGATGGTAGGAAGAGCTACAAGTATCAATATTCGATAATCCCAGCCATTCATGCCTATGATATGGATGCTTACTTTGGTCCCCGTCCGGATACAATGTCTGTTGCCTTTCAGGAAGCGGTGAAATGTAAGTGTCTGGCGGCTTCCTAGATTTCCGGTTTCGATTGCTAACTCTGATCTGATTCATCAGCGATCTGGAACAGTTTCATCGTCACTGGAGACCCTACTGAAAAGATTAACAACACCATCCCAGCCAATACGACTAATGCCATCAAGTCGTGGACTCCATTTACCGTTGGGCAGCCATTTCAACTGAATCTCAACCAGACTGGTGGCCATCCCACGACTGAGGAGGATAGTGTCACGGATATCGATATAACGGTGTATGAAGGCTCTGGCCTCCGGCCTGACTTTGACCTCGTCAACGCGTATACGTGGGAAGGCGGACGAGGACAACGATGCGACTTCTGGCGGAGTGTGAGTGGTCACATTCCAGGATGAGTGTTTTCAAAACACATGAATACCGCTCAAAGGATGTTGTGAGTTGGTTAGTTCCTCCGATGAGGAACCACGTTTCGAGGATTTGGTGCCACGCCAGTTACGATGGATTATTTCGCTTAGAATCAGTCATGTCCATACAACGCAGACCGCATATATTCTATCAGCGATAATGCTGTTTTTCATCTGACGACCCTTCTTGGTTGGGTTAGTAGAGGCCTGCATAGCAGTAACAGAAGAGAATTCTGCGATGAGCACGGTCTTTGTTTCTCCTCTTCTATCAAAAAACCACAGCGAATGTTCTATCTTGCCTTTCGATATAATAAATGCTCAGGAGGCAATGAGGCATGCTCCATTGGAACGTTGCGGGTATGGCAAGCCACAAGGGTAAGCTTAGCCTTGCCCGAGAACAAATCATTCGTGTGTCTTCTTAGTTTACCAAGCCATCACGCAGATCGTCCTTGGCAGTCAGCGCCCAGGGGCGCTAGACCGTCTTATTATTCGGCGTCGTCCTATATCTTATTCTTTTTCCGCGACTCGGAGTCCGAGGAGGCGTTTCCGTTGCCGGCTATCCGATTGTGACAACAATCAACAATCGACTCTTCGCGTAATAATAGAGATAGAACAATCGTTACCTCTCGCGTGACCGTTGCGTCGTCCGTTTTCCCTCTCACACCGCTTCTTTTCTTCTCTCCTGGTGTTGTACATCGAAGCCGTTCGAAACTAGCTACCTCATACAGCAGCGGAGTTTATCATTCGGTGGGGCTCCTGGTTCTTACTGAACAGTTTGGTTGCGGGGTGGGACGTCTCGAAGAGTCGATGACTTCTTTTTCGATAGACTAGCCACATGGTCGAGCTATCCACTCTCGACTTATCTTCCTCTGACCGCGATGTATTCGTCTATCGAGCACAGAAAGTGAGCATCTCCGTGCTGTTTGATGGGAAAGAGAGATGCAGCAGGCGGATCCGTTGGTCGGGCGCAAACTTGCTGCGCGGCAAACCGTCTCGCAGCGAACGATGGATCTCCCGCTCTCCGAAGGCGAAGAGACTCAGGAGGACTTAGCAGCAGGCTTTCGAAGTCGCCCTTCAATGGTAAGCATGTGTGCAGCACTGCATTTACAGGGCCAGTTAGATAACCTTGATATGGGCAGGCATGCGACATGTGCCGCAGAAGGAAGATCAAATGTCAACCGGAACTAAGCGGTAAAGGCTGCGTGCAGTGCATGCGCCGCAAGATCAAATGCAACTATGGCTCGAAGAAGTTAAGAAGGGAGTCTCTGAAGAGGTATATTCTGATCCATTCTGTTCTCATTACCAGTTACTGACAAGTGTCCAGGGAACAGCATATTAGATGGTTGGAGAATCGGTTAAAGCGCGTCCAGGAGATACTGAAAAGCGCGGGTGTCTTGGATGAGAATTATGTCGACGAAGACATCACGGTTGCGGAGGATGATCAGCTGGCTGGATATGAGCATGATCTAGGCGGTGAACAACGAGATGACGATGAAGATCATTGGGAGGTCGAAGATGCCATTGGAACCGAACCGTCATGGCAAGATGGATTATTTCCATCTGCGTACGGTTCAATGGATGTTGTGTCTTGCCCCATACCCCAGACGACACAATCTGCTGCCACTGGACGTATACAATCAGTCTCCTTGACCCCGTCATCGTCGTCATCTGAAGACCAGTCCATGACCGAACTGGATTCTTTGACTTCATATATCATCACGACAAATGAGAAAGATGAGCCCCGTTACTTTGGTAAATATTCCAACCCTCAAATGCGTATACGAGGGATCCATCCACGTGCAGGAAGGTGCTGATTGCTATTTTCTAGGACGAGCCTCCACTCTGTCTATATTTTCCGCGGATGGGCTTCAATGGATAAGACACAAAACGGGTGATGATAGTATTCCTGATACAATATTCGCTAGACCACCAGATGAGAATACATCCAAGTACTATCCACCTGACGTGTATCACGATATATTTGAATCCCACGTCTATAAACCTCTACCTCCGAGGACGGAGGTCTTCACACTGCTAAAGCATTACTTTCGGGATGCGAACAGGCTATTCCCCATTTATCATGAGGCTAGCTTCATGCGCTTGGTCGAATGGCAATATAGGCAACAGACATGCAAAGATGCGGCATTATGGGCGAGCATCAATGTTATGATCGCTGTCGCATACCGCTATCGGTTAGCAAATAGCATACGACCTGAGCGGGACAACGAGAAAGCCTGGTTGTATTTCAAGAATGCATTATCAGTGCTGGCTGACCTGACGTTACGGCGTACTGATCTATTGAGTGCACAGGCTTTGCTTACAATGGTCTGCACCCTTACCACATACTTTCTAATGCCAGAGCATCACTGACGATGAAGTCACACAGGCCATGTTTCTGAGGGGTAACTCTACACTCCAAACGGCGCTTCCACTTGTGACTGCAGCTATGAGGATTTGCCATCAGCTGGGTCTTCACAGACGGTCCACAGGGAACGGTCTTCCTCTAGTAGAACAGGAGCAAAGGAGGAGAGTGTTTTGGGTAGGCTATGTGCTCGACCAGAGGTAAGCTTGCACACATACATTTTGCTACGGGAATGCTAAACGTTGTCAAGTGTATCTATCCGTGCAGGCAATGCACCATCACAAGCCGATGACTTCGACGTTGACTTCCCGACGGACAATATTGACGACCAAGAAGATGGCCCTGATGTGCAGTGGTTCTCTCTTCTTGCACGTCTATCAGTTATTAAAGGAAGGATTTACAAGAGACTGTATTCGGCGAAATCCCTAAGGAGATCTCCGCGGGAGATTATCGCGACGATCAAGGAACTGAATGCAGAACTCGACGAATGGAAATCCAATAGTCAGGAAATAGTTCACCGCGAACAAGGAAACGATGAACGAGACTTCATGTTCAACCTCTCGAGGATGGCTCTTGAGTTGGCCTACTACAATGCAGTTATAATGGTCAATCGCATGCCTGTCCTCCACGATTCTTTCTTAGTCGTGCACTTCCCGGCTGCCGTCACCAGGCCTTACTTCGCGCAGGCATTGGAGTCCAATGCAATTTGTGTCCAGGCCGCTCGTGATTCATTAAGACTTATGAACACGATGCCTTGGGGAGACGTAGCATGGATGTGGTAAGTTTACCCAAAAATCTTAAATTGACGGCTTTTTCTCACGATGGTTAGGGCGTTATTATATTACTTGTTTCTATCAACAATCATTGTGTTCGTGAATATCCTACGGAATGCGACCCATCCGAAGGCCAGGGAAGATCTCCGATCACTGAGCATGGCAGTGACCTTTTTCAACACTTTGGCACCCGGGGATGGTATCCGCAGCAGTGCGAAATTCATGACGAATACATGCTCCGTGTTTGAGCGGATAGCGAAAGCGGTAGTTGAGAGGGCAGAAAAGGATAGCAAATCTCGGAAAAGCTTGCGAGGCGAGAAGATTTCAGATATTTCGGCGCCAATTAACGAGCAAAAAGACAGCACTCTGCGTGGTTCAGAGAAAACAACGTGTTTAGCGGAGCCTTCGGAAGCGGTCGAGAACGTCACGAATGCCGGAATTCCGACTGCCGAGGGTTATGGCAGCACCGTGGCAGCAGATCCTCACAACTCGGAAGATCACTTTTCATACATCACAAATCCGTCTACTGCAGGAGCGGTAGAGGAAGCCAGAGAACATGCTGAGCGGATTTCAGGGTTGACGAACTTAGACCCTCCTATATCGGATGCATACACCTTTTTCAATAATATGCTAGTGCCGCCAGATCTATGGCAGATCCCCATGGGTGCTGACTGGGAGTTGCGAAATCAGTTCCCCGGAGCTGTTTTCTCACAGGGCTTCTCAGAATTACATGGACCAGGGGGTGTCCTAGAAGGGATGCCAATACCCGAACAGCCAGTTTACGGGTACGGCATGCCAAACTTGCAGCAAGATAATCAACGAGATGGTAATTGCAACACCTACGATCTATACGACTTTTTCCAATGAGCATCCGGAGTTTCATCACGATCAGCTTGATTTATCGCTAAATATGTCAGCTGTGGTACGTGCTATCCACCATTGATACTGACGGAAAGCCTGAGAGGCATTTCGCGACTAGCTTCTTTTTAGAGGCTGCTACTCCGATCATGCTTATTCGAGTTTCCGAATATTCAACCTCAACTACTAGGTAATGATCTACGATTTATGAATCAAAAAAATATAATGAACACGATAATTCAGATCTCAGTTATGCCTTCATTAGCATAACAGTCCTAACATGCGTGTATAAGCCCGCCCAGTGGGACGGAGCATATTAAACTATATACTGCAAACATCACAATTAAATTATATTCATGATTATAATCGTTCCCTCATATGTGAATAGTCGCATCATATATGCGGACTGCGTTCGCAAATCCCCGCTCTGCGAACCGTCATCGTGGCTCAGCTGCATCTAGCATTTATACTTCGTGAGCTGCTTGTTCAGATCTTTGTCAATGATTCCAGCTTCGACGGCCTCTGTAAGAATAACCATGTTAGTTCCATCCGACCTGATATATGGGAGAACAAGGAGAAGGCCTACTCTGATAAGTCCACTGCTCAGCGTTATTGGTCAAGTCGGTCTTCCAGCTCCAGAAGACCCAGCCATTCAGCTTCTCATACTGCTGCTGCTGGGCCGAGAACCAGTTCGAGTAATCACTAACGTGGTCGGTCATAGGAGTGAATGCGTCTCCGGAGTTAGAGAAGCTTAAACTCCATTCGCCCACGATTTTGGGATTCACGGCTGACTCGCGGTTGTCCTTGCAGGCAAAGCTGACGAAGTCACTGATGTTCTGGGCGCTACTGATAGAGTAAGATTCATAGTTGTGATCGTCGAAGAGGAGACGCTCCTGCTGAGAGGATGTCAGAGATGAAGTAGGGTTTCCGCCAGCGTCCCAGAGGTCGTCCTAGAGCCTTAGTGAGTATAGCAATGACTATGAGAAAGGGACTAATGATTATAACCTACCATCGTCATAACGTGGACCTTATCACTGTCAGACACGCCCAGCGATGCCTCTTTCTGTTGGATGCGATCGATGGCGGTTGGGTAGAAGGTCTTAACAAGCCAGGATGTCTGAGCGTTTACAGTGTTCTGCAGAGGCTCGTTGATAATCTCGACGGTTCCAACATTCGAGAAGTCGTCGCTGCTGTGGATATTCTCGATAATCCATTCAAAGAATGTATACGCCCGCTCCGCGTCGGGGTCGGATTCATAGAATGCCGTATTGGGTGTGTACTAATGAAATAGTTAGTTATATTATTTCTATTTATCAATTGATGTATCATAGTATATACTTACTCTTCCAGTGAAGGCTTGGTTTGGTGTCTGAACACCAGGCATCCCATGGAGATCCAGGATGACATACATCCCAGCAGCAGCAGCCCATCGGCAGACGTTGCGCAGGTTATCGAATGCGCCACCTTTGGGATAATACTCGCCGTCGTTAATGAGGTCTTCATTGATCCAGAATCCAACAGGGATCTGTCCCAAGCGGAGGTTAGTATTTTCATACATTCATCTATACAATGAATTGGTTGAGGCCCAACATACCCTGATAGTGTTCAACCCATATGAAATCATAGTATTGATATCTTCCTGAGAAGTCCACGAGCTCCAATGCCGCTGAAAGGCCGAATTGGCAGCATCTTGTCCAATCCCCTGAACACAATCCCATTCGGAATGATAGCCACTACCACCGGAATCCTTGCATCCCAAAGTATCTTTCCAATATGACTGCGCCATCCATGGTTCGAAGACGAAATGCGAGCCTAAGTTGACCCCTCGGATTTTACTCGTTCCTCCATTAGTGAAGGCAGATAGTGTATGACTTCCGTCTGTGGGCAGCCATGCCTGGACGAGGGCGATGACCGAAGAGAAGAAGAAAAGAGAGAATGTTGTGAAATACATGGTATCTAAGAAAGAGAAATTGGGATTAAACCTCCCAAAAAAGACCCTTTCAAGGGAAAGAAGGGATACACACAAAGATCAACGAGCTCGGAGCATTAATACCGAAAACGAAGATCATCCTCGACGATTACCAGGTCACGATGATTATATAGGTAGCTTTCTTCTTTGTTCTCATCAAGGTACCCCCCTCTCCAAAGGGTGGAGGAGGGGAGATAACAACATGAGACGCACGCGGTGCATCCATCCCTCACATACTTCCTCTCCTTCCCGAAATTGCAGTAGGTAGTACAAAGGCATTGAAAATGGGTCCGAACAGGGGATGGGGAACAGTGATTTTGCAAACATCGACGACGTCAGCACTTTACATGATTATTGCCTATCCAGGAAATAAGTCTATAACAAAGAGCCCAGCTGTGCAATTCAATAGGCATCTAATGGGTCTCCATAGGAGCTTCCGGGAGACAATAATAATTTGTCACTGTTTCCAGGAACTATGAGGGCGTTACTTAGTTAGCGCTGCGGAGTTTTGTCTATGAATCAAGGGAGGAGATGGCCGTTTGCGGAAGTTGAAGGTTATACAATTTACAACTAAAACGAGATTTGATTGGTTCCCTCTCGTTCTTTCTCCCTAGCATTTTTTTGGTTGCTACTCGGGTTAACTTACCATAACTTACTCCCAAGGCTTGAAAGAAAGGAAGGACAAAGATAACAGCATCGCACTACGCGAATCCTGGAAAAAGCCTCAACTGATCAAACTTCGATGACGAATGGCTCAATATTGTTACTGTAGATCTTCTTTATTCATTATTAGAGGTACCTTTGATGTTCCCACTCTTAACTTCCAGGAACCTGTATCTCAGCAGTGCAAAGCAAGGTGAAGTGCCTGGTTGAGGGTTCATGGCAACAACATACTGGGGCGAACTTTAAATGCACAAACTTCGCTCTCATGCTCTTTGAGTTACTCCCAGGACCCGATCCACTGATCTTAATCCGGCATTTTACTAGGTACCAAAACTCTCTGGATCCTTTCACCGGTTCCGGCTGCCAACACGAGCACAAAGCGATGATTCCAGGCACTGTGTCCATAATTTCTTCTATGGGCGCGGTATTTATCCTGGTTATGAATTACTAAATGCATCCAGCTGCTGCTCAAAATAGGTCATGGGATCTCGAGTTATGCCTTCACTTCGGGTTCTGTGTGGTTCGCTTCGACACTGACACAAGCGAAGGTCTCGCCATATAAGTAATATGGCGCATCGACTCAGGAAGGCGTGATGATTCGAGATCAGGGAAGGAATGTTAAAATTATCGAGACTCCACGCTGTTCAGACTAGGCTCATGACGTAGGAAATAATAATAGTGCTGGGCCTGTCGTGTCTGCAAGTTATACTGCTGAGGTAGGTACCCTTATACCACAGTGGTCGAAAAAGCATACGTCGAGTCCTCTCGATGTTCAAAAATAACTGCAAATTGGTATTCGGTTCAAATCACGTAAACAATTCATGGGAATGGCAATTATCATATACTCCAGGCACCGAACTGAAAACGCAGTATGCTGCATGCCACCATCCCGTAAGACCGGCCATTCCCAGGATAACAAATCAACCAACTCCATAATGCAAGTAGGGCAAAGAATTGCGAAAGGTTCAGATCAGAAAACTCTCCCAGCGAGTTCATGCACGGCTTTTCTCCAAACGCCTTTCCCGAATTCTAGACCAGATTTATTCCCCTGGGTCTCTTTGCGAAGGATATCTTTCATTTGATTCTCCGAAACTCCGCTCTGGTCTCCAGAGCCAAACCCATAAACTTTACTTCCGAGCGCTTCGATCTCCAGTCTGAGAGGGCCAATGTCCCCGGGATTGACGGTGCCGTCGTCTACAACACGCATTCTAACATTGAAATCCACGTCGACCCGGCTCTTTCTCGGCATCGCAGTTGAGGGAGCGTCACCCAAAATCGTGCATCTGGCCCTTAACAGAGAGTCGATCTCATCCTTCGTGAGCCTCAACTTGGTGACACCGCAGAATTCGAGTTGGCGGATTTCCTCCTCAACGGTAAGTGCTAGATCCCATGCCTCTGAAATAAAACTCAAGAGCTTTTGCGGAGTCAAGGAGGACTGGTCTATAGTCATCAGGTGTTTCCTCAGAGCATGTAAGGCTAGGGTCTTTGTGGGCGACAGCTCAGAAGTATGACCAGTGACTCCTCCCTTGTTGGGCCGATAGAGTAGATCAACTGGAGTCTTCGTCTTTGTGCTAGCCGTACGCTGAGGGTTCTTTGGCGGCCTCGGAACTCGGAACGAACCCGGGTGGAACAAGACCTGGAGCTCGCTTCGATAGCACATTGTCAACATGGGTCCCGCAGGGCAGTCAGGTGAAGGTGTAGCGGAGATGATCGACCAGCCGGTCTTGACCTCAAGGTCATGGACAGAAGCTATTGTAGCAGTCAGCAACGTAATTCCAAATTGAATGTCCTTGGAAACTGACCCTTTAGCGCATTGACTTCCTTCACGCTCCACCCACGGCATTCTTCCTTGGTTCTCTCTGCTTGACGTATCTGGTCCATGAACTCTGCCTTGAGCTCTGCACCAGCCTCAATTGTGTCAGTCTTGTCCCGAAGCTCCTCTTGCATTTCCTCGAGCCGCTTCCTTTTCTCCACGAGCTCAGCTTCGATGGTGGACAGTTTCTTCCGTGCGCTGCGCAATTCATCCTGGTCACAATTATCCATCTCCTCGGCTATCTCCTGGAGCTTCGTCGCCTCTGATTGGAGGACCGAGTGTTTCTCAACAAGACCGGGAACGACGCTATTCAGAAGTTTCTCTTGTTTCTGAAGAACAATATCATCGGCATTCATTTCCTGGACGTGCCTGTCCAGTCCTTCTTTCAGGCCTTCAAGCAGTTTCATACGCCATTCATACCACATCGCCTTGCTAAGGAGCCTTGCATGTGTTTTGACATTGCGGAACTGGTTATCCATCAACAAGCGGATGTCAGGAGGAGCAGTCACGTATTCACGGAACAAGGGTGGGTTTTCGGCGTAGGTTTCAGCTTCTATAGAGCGGATGATCTGCCTTCCCTCGGAGATATATGATTTCAACTCGCGGCAAGACTAGCAGAGGGTTAGTGTATGCGTTCGGTCTCGAGCAGAGTGAGACTTACGTGTTGATATAGCTCGAGCATTGGTATTGTGCAGAACCCAGCTGCTACACAATCCTCAAGGCTGGTACTCCCGTCTCCAGAATCACTCTTTCCAGTACCCTTCGAATTATCCTTATCACTTCCTGGGGCGATAGTGTGGCGACGCTTGGTTGTAGTGAGTTCCATGAAATGTATGTTTGTCATATTGAGGAAGTCTTGGAGTTGAATCGGTTCAAACTCCGGTTCCATGGCATCGTCATCATTCTCATCCACCCCAATCTGCTGCTCAGACTCAGAAGGTCCTCTCCTGCCAGATAAGGATTCTGTTACATCTTTGAATCGTGGGTCATCCTTGGGCGTGGTGCTATTCTTCGCTGGGGAGAAATCGCCGATCTTGGGGGTAGAAGAACGGAGAGTCTCATCCTTGGTCGGCGGTGCAGGAAGTCTGACATTCTTTACTGGACTAGCCTCACGGCCTCTCGTCCGCTTAGGCGAGTTATCTTCTTCCTCGGACTCATCCAGCTCGACCGGACGCTTGCCAAGTAAACCTCTTGCGGCTCCAACGTGCAAGCTCTTCCGTCCACCAATTTTGTTCTTCTTTGGTGTAAGACTCGAAATCATATCTTTTAAACTCGTAGTCGTATCCCGCTCACTTGTTTGAGTCAGAGAAATATGGCCGTCCTCCCGATACTCCTCTTCCTCGCGTTCACGGTCAACTTCTTCTTGCAGTCTTACAGGGTCGTCGAAACGGACACCTCTCGCCGGTTGTTCGTTTGGAATGAACTGCGGCGTATTCTCCCCAATGGATCGACGTTTATCTAGCATCTCCGCAACTCGAGGGGAGCCCAGGCCTTCTCTGTCAATGCCTAGGCCAGAGGAGCGTCTTTCACGTGGCTTTAACACAAACGCAGGTGTCGTCTGTCCGGTCTTCGTGTCACGCTCAAAGAGGCTTTTGCGGCGGGGAGACTCTACCTTGTTTGCAGGAGATCGAAGCTCAGGTTGGAATAGTTTCTTGGGCGATGCGCTTCGCCAAGCGACATTGGCAGATGGCGGCGTCTTCGAAGGGGTGGTAGGTCGAAGAGGGGGCTGGGGAGTGAGCTGCTTCGACGGTGTTGCAACCTTTTTCACTGGTGTCGTCTGCGGTGAATGTGAGATGGACGTTGTCGACGCCCGCCGTCCTATGCTTGCCCTAGTCGGTCGAGATCTCACGCTGGCTAAGCTAGGGCTTCCACTCTCCGAGGCAACAGGAGCAACATGATGAGAGATGAATTTGGGTGGAGAAACAGGTGGGCGTTCCTGGAATGGTGAACTGCCCGGCTGCCCAGCATCGATCCCCGTCCCTATCGACGTCTTTGCCCCTTCCTGACCGCTCTGTTCGAAGGTAGGATAGATCCTGCCCGTCGTTGTAGTCAAATCCATAGCTGCAGTATAATCATCCTCGGGCTCGCTCTGCCTTTTAGTCTGCGGGAGAATTCCACCAACAGCGCCTGTAATTTCCATCTCCATGCCATTTTCGTCTTCCCCGTCACCCGGGTCAGAAAAGCTGCGGCTATCGAGTTCGGGACGGTTATCTAACCGTGGATAGAGATCCTCATCTCGGGGCTGGAAGTTGGATGGTCCCTTATTCAGTACGCCACCAACGACGGACGTAAATTCCATGGTCATCTCCTCGTCTTCATCCATATCGCTTCCAGCACCTGTGGATTTCGCTGGGGATGCTGGCTGTGCAATGCCCCCGACGACATTTGTGAATTCCATCGTCTGATCATCGTAGTTTGTCTCTTGTCCAGATGACTTGCGCCGAACACTCTGGCGACGGCCCGTATGCTTTGCCAATATGCGACCAACTGCGTTTGTGATATCCATGCTTAGATCCTCGTCGTCGTTATCCTCGCCGTCGCTAGCTGTAGGCTGAGTGTCGTGACTTTCTGTTGGCTGCCCGAATGGGATGTTTTCCTGATCATTCAAGGTGCTAAGGTCTTCCATGTCGAAACTTATCCGTTGGCCTTTCTTTATCCATGGTTGAAAAGCCCCTGTTATCTCCTGATCTGCTATTTCCATGGAAAGTTCACCGTTTTCATCATAGTCGATACCTCTGGTTCCAGCTTCTTTCGCTGCTTGACGGAGGGCCGCATCGAGGCGAGCACTCGAACTAGTACTTGAACCGTTGGAGTGCGTTGTCATATTAGACCTCACGGTCGCATCGTCCATGCTCATGGCCGTGCTTTCGCCGTCAAAGTCATTCTCCGAGTCTGACGAGGCATCGTCCTCCTCAAAGGCACCCTGCGCCGGGATATCCTCACTGCCTGCCGTGGAACTGCCACTGAAAGGGCTAGAGGACAGATCGTCGGAACGCGCTTCTGGAGAAGCAGGGCCTGCCTCCGCGCCCGACTCCGGACTGGATGGTTCAGAGTGATCAGATGGTTGCTCGTGACCTTGATTCGTCGAATTCGCCCAGGCAGATGCGCGTCTTGTCGAGTTCGAAGCGGAAGAGGATGTCGAGTCCTCGGCTAATTCAACGACATTCCATGTATGCAGGGTAGCTTCAGGAGCGAACGAAACACGGCGGTTTGCCATAGACTTCCGTCGTGCCTCCCTTTGCTCTAGAATCAGCTTCCTTTCGCGTTCCCTTCTCTCCTTCTCTTCGCGTTCTTGCGCCGCCGCAATATCATCTCGTACAGCCGATGAGGCGTTGAACGCCTCGAATGGGTTAGCAGCGTGGGCGTCTCCTGAACCAGATCCTCTTGTCGGAGTGGAAAAATCAATCAACAAGCCTTCTGCGCCCTGACGATTTCCTTCATTGCCGTGGTTTCGTTCAGGGCTGCGCGCCGGTGTTCGTCTGCGTGTCTCCTCAAAAGATGGAATGTTCCGGACAGGCGACACAGGAACAGTTGGCTTTAGAATGGATTTGAGAGGGAAAGCGGCCGTCGACTAAAAGCAAGCACGACTAAGTCAGATTCCGCGTAGATTATATAGGCGCGCGATAACATTTACCTTGCGCCGATTGCCATTGGAGTCTTGAAGCGCATCCAGTCCACCTGGTCCCAGACTTTTGCTCCGTGACTTTTTGTCTTTGACTGGCTGTCTCACATTGCTTCTCTGAGGCTTGAGAGCACTGATATCTGTTGTGGCATTTTCCTTATCGAGCGTAGAAGCCGTTCTCGACGAAGGTACATGGGCAATGGAGCGACGGGACCGCAGACGGGACGGCCCCTCACCCCGGGAAGCCATGGCGATAAACCCAGAGGATGTTGTTGGGGAATATTCGTATTGTGATCAATATCTGGCAGGATCTCTGAGCACAGCAGTTGACATTCTCATGCCATTGCAGCCGTGCGTGAGCATGAATCGTCGTCCATATGAAGCTGTAGGCGCGTCTCCTTCTCTACGAGATCCGCCAAGCTTGAGCCTTCCGAATGTAAACAAACCAAAAAGCCCTAGCCGAAGGGCGCTACTCCCGATCAGGGTTAGTGCGAGCACCGCACACTCCCACACTGAATATCCGACACTTTTATGGCTCCGCACAAATCTTTCTCAACATCGACGTCGACCAACGTACTCCGACACTCCCGCCGCGACGAATCCTCACCCAGCTCGACATCATTCCCTCAGTGTCGGACTGAATTCTCGCGAAAATGGCGACCGAGTTGACCGTCCAGTCGGAACGTGCGTTCCAGAAGCAGCCTCACATCTTCCTCAACGCTAAGACCAAGGCAAAGAGCAAGCGCGTTGGAAAGGGCCGGAGATGGTACAAGGATGTTGGTCTGGGATTCCGTACTCCCAAGACCGCTATCGAGGGCAGCTACATTGGTATGGACGACCTACAACAACTCTTGGTGGGAGTGCCGATCGCATCTGCAGATGGCAGGGTGGACGTTGGGATTTAAGACACTGAGCGCCGTGGGACATCGAAAAACCAGATCATCATGAGAAGCGGGCATTTTCTCTTCGAATTGGATGACTCCTGAATTTTTCATGCCAGCGTGCACTCTGTTCTAGATTCCTTCGGATACCCACCCCGGCGCAACCACTATAAAAAATCGGAGATGGCTAATATCAAACCCAACAGACAAGAAGTGCCCCTTCACTGGTGGTGTCTCTATCCGTGGCCGTATCTTGACCGGTACCGTCGTTTCCACCAAGATGCACCGTACTCTGATCATCCGTCGCGAGTACCTTCACTACATCCCCAAGTACAACCGTTACGAGAAGCGCCACAAGAACCTGGCTGCTCACGTCTCCCCTGCCTTCCGTGTTGAGGAGGGTGACCAGGTTACCGTTGGACAGTGCCGTCCCCTGAGCAAGACTGTACGTGAAATCCCACACATTTAGACATGCGGAACCCTCGATTTTATTTGCAACGCGAGTTTATGCTCCTGTTCTGAAAATCCGGCTGCTATGCGATTTCATGGGTAACCTCGCCTATATATAAATGCTAATATGCTTCTGATCTAATAGGTCCGCTTCAACGTTCTCCGCGTCCTGCCCCGCACTGGCAAGGCCGTCAAGAAGTTCAGCAAGTTCTAAGCGTCTCGAGCATGGATGACTGGGGGAATAATGATGTCAGGACAAAGTAGGCTGGGATGGCCACATGACTGGATATCCGCCATATGTATTGGCAGTTGGGATTTCATATGAACCGGTGTCCCAACTGCCTACTTAGAAATATCCAGAAAAAAAGACTGATACTCCTGTGATGGAATCCGAGCAGCATATGGGGGATAGGAAATCAACGCGCATGAGGATCTGGGAACGGAGTTTTTCACGATGCCGCATCTGGTTTATTCCATACACTTTGGCTCTCTGAGCTGCTGTCAAGTACACACAAGGAGGAATCCAATATTTTTCTTTTTGTCGCTGTACTACTGTTTGGACTACACACATAACAGCATATGACTAACTGACAAGACACGAAACGTCCACTCAAGCCTCAGTAGGTTTGGCACAACAGAACAGACATGTTTTTCGACAGAATGCCGACCATCCTCAGTGTATCTTTGCAACCTCCAGAAATGGTATCAACGCGAGCCCGTGTAATATGCCGTTTCTGTTCATAGCCCATACAACTTTCAACCATGTCCCAAACTCCAGCGCATACTGACGAATCACAGTGGCATTTTCGATTTCCCATCATTATTCAACTATAACCCATACCCGTACCGATGCCTTGTTTCTCAAATTGGAAAAGACTAGGACTGCACAATGTCTTGCCTGTAAAGACCATGTCTTCGTAGGCAATATCAATGATACCCCATGATGCTGTTGATGTGCGCTCGCTCTTGCGCGAATTGATCTCTCTGTAGTCCTCGGAGCCCAGGAGCGCTGTTGACCATCACCGGAAGCTGCATTGGATACTCTACCGTGACATCTGCCATAACAGTATCAGCGTCACTATCGTCAGCGTCGTATCCAGTCTGCTGACCATCCTCGACATCATAATTCTTCTTCTCGTTATCATCGTCATCGTCGTCGAAGACGACAATCGCAGACTCCCTCGATTGACCCGGGCTTGGATGACGACTGCTGGACAGCCCGGTCTGCTCCGCAAGAGGTGACCAAGCGCGAGTTGTTGGGTTGAAAACTTCGACACGAAGTCCATTTTGCTGCCCTTGGTCAGGATTCCAGGTCCCAGTAGAGCTGTCGAAGAACTTCATAACCGGGCTGGACAGCTTCGGCGTGGGGAGCTGGAAAGGAGACAAGTCACCCTCTGCAACGGCAACGTTCAGCTGTCTTCTAGTTCTTGAACTACGAGGACTTGGGCATGGGGTTGTAATGACATTGTCATCATCGTCCTCTGATGTGTCTCCTTCTCTGGTCAAATCATTCTCTTCCTTGTCGCTCTCGGTATCAGAGCTCTCGGGGACCAGGACGACCTCTGGCGATACCCGATCACCCAGGGGATAAACTGTAGGACCCGGAAGTGACTGTGCATAAGCCGCTTCGATACCTGCAATGTAGTCAGGCATTGAACCTTCTTTTGGGAACAACCAGGCCTCAGCGACCAATATAGCAAGGTCAATAGCTAGACTAGGCGGGACTTTCACAATCCTTAGACAACGTCCAACTATCGAACCGCATTCCTTGTTGAGACGTCCTGGTCCTTTTTTGATGAGTTCCTCGAGATATTTTCCGCATCTCTTCATGCGTGCAATCCCGTCCAGCTGCAATAGCCGTGCTATATCTGAGTGCCGCTCAGCGATTTGTTGCAGAGCTGAGATCTTAAAAATTGTGACGATTGCTTCTTCGGGGATTGATCCCCAAATCAAGTACTCTGCCCTCCCAGTGTACTTACGACCTATCCGCAGGCCCTTTTCCTTTATCAGGTCAGATGCTGAATAGATGGGTTGACGGATGTGTTTGGTGTCGATGACCGCCAGTGATGCACCTTCTTTCCGTCTGAGTGCTCTGTGGACAGGGGCCAGAAGATCGGAAAAAGTGCTGATGAACGGTGTCGTGATGTACCGCCAGTGAACGTGGTTTTGAAACATCCGATCAAACTCATCGAATGAATACTGTGTCACTGGCACAATTCGACGTTCACCCTCCATAAACAGACCAGCCACAAAGCCCTTCCGCGAATTCCAGCCCTGACTGTCGACATTATAGTACCTGTAGAGTACCTTTGGTATCTCTAGGGTTGCGGAAGGAGTTGCAGATGGCGTACTTGCTGGCAACACAGCTTGATCGAGAATCGTCTCAAGAGGAGAAGACGGTTCTGATTGTGACACAGGGTCGAAGGTTCCGCTGCCTTCTTTGAAGCAGAACATGCATATCTTTCCCCCAGCAGTACACAGCGGTTCTATTCCGGGAGCTGACGGACACGGTTCGGGCTGCTCCGTTTCATTCGGCAGTTCCGAAGTGCTGTGGGCTTCATCGTCATTCTGGTGCTGAGTTTGTTGGTTCTTATCTTGTCCGTTACCTCGGGAGGTCGCCTCCCCGTCTTTTGCCTTCAATGATTGCCTGACCGGCGAGCTGGACTCCATTCTGGAAGCGTTCGACTGTCGGGTTCCTCCGCGGGACGACGATGATCGATAGGACATTGAGGAGGACTGCAGTGCTGTCTGTCTCGCTCTTGGCTCCTTGACGCGGTATCCAAAGCGGTCATTACCGGGGTGAACAGGCTCTTCAACGATTGGTATGTCTAGATCGCGGGCCGTATCCTTGATCGTCTGCAGGATCTCACCCCAATGTTCATATCTTGCGTCAAACTGAGTCTTGACGTGGATGTCTGACCATATTTGGGATCCTTTAGCTCTGAGGTCATGCCATTGAGTATTCAATGTGGTCCATCTTGGTCCGTTCCCTTTCTTGAAGCCGCATGCTTGTAGCTGCTCGCCGAATACTACATTGAAAATGCGCTCTATTTGAGTTCCGCTCATGGCGAAAAAGGCACAGCAGCAACACAGCAGTTGTCTCTGTTCTGTCGTCCATTTAACTCTTGGGCCTTTCCCCGGTAGAGTCTCCTCTGGACCTGTTCCATCTTCCAGAAGCTCAGTAGGATTAGTTGTCGAACGCACCGGCACTTCTTCCCGGGAAGATACCATCCGACTGAGTTGTTGTAGAAAAGAAGATGCCATGACTTGTATTTTGAAAAGAACTAGAAACTGTGTTCAACGGAAGCTGTGAAGCAGAATCATTTGTATGGAAGTCCAATGAGATGATGGTACTGGAGTGCTGGTAGACTTGAGATGAAAGGAAGATGAAGTAGAAAGTGAGGTGACTTGGGAGATGAGGTGAAAGCTGGCTCGAAGTGTTACATCGAGCAACACAGGAATCTTTCATCTCAAAATCCCCTTTGTGTTCCTTCGAAGGCTCTCGGAGACGACTGCATAAGTAAAATATATAGTTATGTGATAATCTTCTTATTCAATATAATCAAATTTATTGAACTCATGCCAACACTGTATATCATCCGACCACCATAAGGACTCATCCCGGCTTTACTCATGTTGATTGCAAAGACAAGGGAATTTAGAAGGAAGTGATGTATGTTCTATATTGAATCCGGCTGGCTGGCTGTCCTTGCTGTGAGTTTTCCGTGGCTGCTGTGGGACACGACTAAGATACCAGCGACATGTGCATAAGGAAAGATTGAGAAATATGCCAGCATGCTAACAAGTAATGTCCTCTTCTTTCATTATCTAGATCAGATACCACGGTGAATGATCTACCCTTGTTTGATATACTCGAGATCCCTCTGCAGCTGGGACGTTGCGCGCCAAGCCCTTGCGTCACGGCGCTTAGACCAACCTCGTGCCAGAAGCAGCCCGCGCGATCACTCTACCTTAGGTATGGAGCTCCACCGGGGGGAACAGTAACAAACGGCTTACCATCGACAGCTCTCTATCCCCTCCACGTCAAGGGCACCTGTTTCACTGTCTTCCCATCCTACCGCATTGCGGCAGCATCCCAGCGGTCCTCTGGGGGATCCTCAGGGACATTCACGAGACGATCGGCCTCCACGACTTGGACACTGTCTTACGACCACGGTACGGGACCACAGTCACCGACTTTCCAGCATGGCTATCTGAGCCATGATGAATGCTGCAGCCGATACCACCGCATGAAAACGGTCCTGGGAAAGACTACATTCTAATTGAGCGCCCGCGATACGAATTGCTGCACCCACTGGTGGCTTTCAGACGCACACCAGATCATACGAACTCGTGCTACCTTTTTGTGTATACACCCTTCCAGGTGTGAACGATGACAAACTTCGAGAAGTCAGTCAAAGGGGCTACCAAGATCAAGGTCAGTCAATGCGCAGTATCAATATTTCGATCCGCCTTGCCCGACGGGCTCCGCTAACCTCGTTACTGCGGACAGCTTGCGGCCCCGAAATCAAAATATATTGAGCACATCCTTATTGCGACCCATGGCGGCGAAGCGGGTGTCGCGGAGATATTCCGTACCCTTCAGTTTCGGTTTCAGGATTCAACATGGACAATCGTATTCAAGGCGCTTATTGTCGTGCATCTTATGATTCGGGAAGGCGAACTGGATGCCACTCTGCAATACCTGGCGGAATTCCCCAACAAGCTCGCCATCAGCACCTACTCAGAGGGTTAGTATCTGGAGCTGCCCAATATAGACATCATCATATGAAAAGAGTGACATTTCTGGATCTGCGCATGCTGATGGTACTTGCTAGTACAATCCCAGGGACACAATATCCGGAGGTATTCAGAGTACCTTATCGCGCGGGCCAGAGCATTTGCCGACACGAAAGTCGATCATGTCCGCAGCGGACCGGGTCGACTGAAAAGGTTGACGGTTGAAAAGGGTCTACTCAGGGAGACGGAGATTGTACAGAAGCAGATACGCGCCTTATTACGATGTGATGTGTGTGATTCGTTTTACTATAACTTTCTATATCGGCTGACGGGAACCTCAGCTCCTCACAGACGAGGTTGAAAACGAGATTACTCTGACAGCATTCCGTCTTCTCACCCTCGATCTTCTTGTCTTATACTCCGTAATGAATGAGGGCACTATCAACGTATTAGGTACGTGTCCACCCTTTGTTATTGCGGCTCGTGCTGACGAAAACCGAACAGAGCATTATTTCGAGATGTCACGGCCCGATAGCGAACGCGCGCTGCAAATATATAAGACGTTCACTTCGCAGACAGAAGAGGTCGTGAAATTCCTCGGCGTGGCGAGACATTTTGAAGCGGCTACCCGATTGGAGATTCCAAAGCTGAAACACGCCTCGACGGATCTAACACGACTCCTCGAGGACGATCTCAATGACCCTGACTTTGATCTCCGCCGCAAAGAATATTTAGCTCAGAAAGAGGCCAAGAAGGGTGGCCGTGGTGGTGCTTCTGCTCCAAGCAAATCGACAGGAAGTACCTCCAGGGCTGGCACTTCCCATTCATCATCTAAGCCGGAACCAGCTGCTCCAAAGCAGGAAAGCAAGGGTCCTCCTCCGGATCTCATTGACTTTTTCGAGTCCATTGAACAGAACCAGCAGCCAATGGCCCAGTCAGCCCCCATGCAGCAGCCTAACTTCCAACAACCTCAGATGCAATTTCAGCAGACTGCGTTCCAGCCACAACCACCAGCGTTCTATCCACAGCAAACGGGCTACGCGCAGCAGCCCCAACAGACTGGATTTGGCCAACCACCTACATTTGGGGGGCCGTTTGGACAGCCTAATAATACTAATCCATTTGGACAGCAGCAAGTACCGCAACCACTCCAGCCGACCCCAACTGGTGCAGGGTTTGGCGGCTACACTCCGCAGCCGCAGTCTTACAGCCTCCAACATACTGGCCTCTCTAGCATTCCTCAGAATGGAATTGCTAGCTTCCCTCAGCAGCAGCAGCAGCCGCCTCCGCAGCCGCTGCAACCGATGCAGACAGGCAGGAATCCATTCCGCCAATCCTCGTTAGTGGCCTCGCCGACGGGAAATGCTGCTTTTGGCTCTCAAGCATCTGCAACTTCGCTAAGCCGCCAAAACACCAATCCTTTCGCCAGGCGGATGTCTGTCAATCCCCAACTCAGCGCTGCCAATACCAGCCCGTTCACATCTCCGCCTCAGTTTCAGCAAAATCAGACGTTGCAGCAGCCGGCGACTCAGCCTTTTCAGCCTCTCCAGCCACAACGGACAGGCACGAATCCTTTCTCCCGTCCGTCGACTGCTCCCCCACAGCAACAGCCAGGGTTGCAGCCTCCCGCAGCGGCACCTCTTCGTCCGAATCCAACAGGCAGCACAAATCCTTTCCGACAAAGCACTTTTGTCAATCAGCAGACAGGTCAGGGTTGGCATGTGAGCGGTCAGCAGGGAACGATGGGTGGTCTCGAAAATCTCGATACAGTTCCAGTATTCCCTCGCCCAGGCTTGACTTAATATCCTCAACAGTTCGATGGATGGTCAAGGACACATGTGGTATTTTTGGAAGCGCTAAAAGGATAGGTTAAATATGTTAATACGAACCCTTGTTTTTGCCATTGTGCAAGATTAGCTTGTATTTTTTGTCCATACCGGTGTCATCGCTCTACCCTTCCCACTTCTCTTTTCTCGTGTTACTTGCCCCGGCCCGCCTTTTTTCTAGATGGGATCTCTTGTGCCGTATCTTCCTGTTTTTCATGTGCTTAGCGACCAGTCTCTCCTGAACAGAGATGTCGATGCTGAAAGAAACTTCGTACCATATGAGGTGTACATTATGCAGGCGAAACAGCAACATCTGAATCACTGCGATCTAGAGTTCAAGGCATAATACCAGTAAAGGTTGCTTATGGGAGAAGCATTACGCTAAACACATTGAGAGACTAAAGCTCTCTATTTAAGAGCCAGACTTCTGGGATCTAGTCCGCCTTTATCCAACTTGAATGCCTCACTATGGACTACAGGATCTAAAGAAGCCATAGCTCGTTATTGCGGCCTCATTTACTCGTATATCAACCTTCAGAAGCCCGGTAAACCCGCAAGCATTGGCATATATTGCGCTTATCGCAGGTGGTCTCTGGTAGCAGAGCACATAAGCACGTTAAAATAGACCACTGGTCCGACAGTCTTCGAGAGAGGATGGAGTGACTCTCAGTATCCCGGAAGTAGAGTGACATGTCTGCTTCAACTGTCGTTGCACAACGCGGATGAATGTCCCCCATTGGCTTGCGGTGGAAGTTGCGGATCAAGTCACGTCCTCTCCCTCCATCACTGGGACTTCCCGGCACAATTGAAACCAGAAACATCTCATATTATTTGTGAGCAAGCTCGAGTCAAAACCTTAACGAATGTCCTCGATCAGATGGCGCTAGCGCGGCCATAAGCTGACAAGCATTTTCTGTTGGAAGCGGCCAAGGCCAAGACGAATCGGACAGTACCTAAGTTAATCAGCCATGCACGAGAATGATGCCATCGCCAGCTACACGTGCGAGTGGCTACAGCGCCCAAGTAAGTCCTGATGAAGAGTAATCGACTTTATACCCAGCACCTACAACCTCACGGAAGCTTTCTCCTTTGGCTCCTTGTGTAAGCCACCGAGACCGGCGTGCTGGGAATGGATGACACACGCTTATCCAATAACCTCATGTGGTTTCAGAAGTGACCAACGAACTAACCAACTAGTTACAGTTAACGAACCACTGCGGGGTAACTTACGAGTTCACCAAAAGGTACGTTTCAGGGGCATCAATAACTGGAACACATGGAGTTTCTATGCTTGAGATCATGGCCGTTTTGGCGCCTTAGTCGAGTTGCGATAGAGGATTCCTCTGACAATCTTGCGCCTTTTCGCATCCACAAAAAGTCTTTGGATAGCTTGCGACAAACGGGTTTCCCCTATCGCTGGGGGTGTGCAGAGGTTCTGGACCCTGTCTGTTCGTCGCTGTGATCCTTCGGGCTCTGCTCCAGATCGCACGTCTGGAGTCAGCACTAGCCAGTCAGCTCCACGGCTGTAGCCGGAATCAAACCATGCCGGTTGCAACGCTTCTTGCAATTAGAATGCGTGTCCGATGGGTTGCTGATCAAAAACCGCCCAGATGAACTTTGCCTGATAAGGGCAGTGTGCTGGCCATTCACCGTTTTCCTCTTGGAATCGCCCTCATTCTCCCTCAAGTCCACTTCCCCTCTGGTCCAGTTCCAGCAGAAGCGGCATGAATATCTTTGACCGTTAGCAAAATACCTGCAATCGCTACCCGTGAGATGGATGCCAAGCAATCCCCCGATGGACCTGCGCCGCAGATTTCAAGCTTCGAGGAGAAACCTCTGCCTCTAATTACCAAACCAGCATCATGGTCTTCGCCAAGCGAGGCAAGTAGCACCCCTGAGACGTCGCCCAAGAGCACGAGCAGAGGGGATGCAGGGAAGAATGCAGCTCCCAAGCATCGCCGGCCACACAAGGCCAGCACCGCGGCCAGCAAGTCGACGCTCTTCTGGGTGCATACCGATCCACAGTCGGCATCGGGCAGCAAGAAAGAAGAGACGCTGAAGCGTATCCGATCACATGTTATGTCTGAACATAATCGCAAAAAAAGACTCGAAAATGCAAAGCGCTACAAGGGCAAGACGTGGAAAAATTTAGCCTTCCAGCCAGTGGAGCCTATCATTGCCGGACGATCTTCGACATCTCCAGTAGAACTGAGTCCAGGCACATCGCCAGACAGAGGCAGTATAGCATATTCCGACCAGTCAGATGATTCATTGACGACATATTTTCCGATGAGAAATGGTAGCAGTTACACCCCAGCCTTGTCACTGCATGATCTCGCCTATCCTATTCCACCAACAGATCCATGGACGTATCTCGGGCGAGGATCGAACGATCCGTTCAATGTGATGCAGGTCCCGTTGTCTAGTCGTATGCAATCACATCTTCAATTATGTGAGTGAATCCTCGATATCTCATCAATTGGGTAGTTTTGTCGGATGCGGGCATCACTATCCTGTCTCGTTGTTCATTGTCTCTGACTGGAATGTCCAGTTCTCTGCGATCTAACAAGGCTTGCATATCCATTAATGAGGCAAACAAATTCCAGGCTGCAGAGTCATTGGGCTTCACTAGTGCAGAAGGACCCAGCTCCTTTACATGCAACTATATGTGTTGCCGCATCCAACTGCGCTGTAAGGTCTGGAGAATTCCCTCTCTTGGATCCTACCAAGTCTTATTCAAGTACCTATGTGTTTGATGCATTCCACCATAGAGGTGAAACCATCAAGCTCGTCAATTCCGGATTATCAAATCCAGCGAAAGCATCTAGCGATGCCTTAATCGCGGCAGTTTCTATTCTTATATCGATAGAGGTACGTACAACACACTGTGGTCTCTTGGTCGAAGATTTGATGTCTGTATCATGTATGCGTCATTAGAAATCTGATATTTCCTTGAAGGGGGATATATATCCGTGCAGACCTCACGGTCAGCCGGGAGAATGTTGAAATTTCCTCTTTGAGTCACCAGACACTGTTATCTCGTCCACCAGATATCTCGGATTTGTCTTGTTGCTGACAATGACATTCACAGATTGCGTCCGGCAACCCCGAAGACTTAAAAATACATCTCGCAGGTTTGCGGCAGATGGTGTCTCTCAGAAGTAACTTTGCGGATGTTGCGCCAGATGTTCGCTTCCAGATATCATGGTTTGTCTCGCATTGGGTTTGGTAGACGTCTGGGTGCTGATGATTTTCGCAGGACGGACATCCGAGTAGCTTGCATGGCTCTTACGAGACCTATCTTCCCCTTCATCCGCTATTCTCGTCCCCCGCAAATACCGGACCTCGGACCTTATGGCGGTTCTTTCCCCATTGCCTCCCGATTACTTTCTTTCGCTCAAATCCCCGGTTTCTTTAGTACCTCTATGATATCAACTATATATGATTTACTCGATCTCACGCAGTACGCCGAATGTGTGAAGGGAGTCAGCGGCTATCCGCAAGGTTTTATCACCGAAGAAGTGGAAGACTACTTCAACAATGAGGTGCTTTATGTCGAATATTCCATCCATAGAGATCGGTTCACAGAACTTGGGATTCCGAAAGGAGACCATACAGTGGAAGGCTGTGTACGTCTCGCATGTCTGATTTTCCACAACACATCGATCTGGGGCTTTTATCCGCAGATGGCGGCTGTTTTCCCTAAACCGATTTCTGCACTCAAAAACGCTCTTGAGATCACTATATTCGCTGGTTACTATGAGCTCTGCAGAGATCTTCTGATCTGGCTCCTGTTCATTGGTGCCAGCAGTACACAGTATTACCACCAGCGCGAGAGATCATTCTTTGTAAGAGAGCTGGCGACTGCCGTGAACCTCCACGGATTGGAAAGCTGGCAAGAATTGCGAGCATTATTAAGCCAATTCTTCTATATTGACCGCTGTTACCTGCAATCGTGTCGTGATTTGTGGGATGAGGTCCAGGGTGTCCTACTCAGGCAGTAGTGCGCCATGATACACCCTCAGTTTTTGTCTTAGTATGCGAAAATATTTCTGAATGGAGCCGTGGCGCTCTTGACGAATATACTCATGTGGAGATGTATGTACATGGCTAATGAGTTATGAAGGAATTGGGAGGGTCATCGGGACATCCGGGGGTTTGTTATTATAACGTTGTCTTAATAATAACTAAGTTACATGATGTCTAGTTAATAAAATCTATGCTATGATGACTATGGTCTTTATTATTTTACTCTTGCTTTGCCTGGGTACGATCACGCCCATTCCGTAGCGTACATAATAGCCCACTTGATGGGCTAAGTCGACTGCAGGCAAAGAGACTAGATCATGCTAAACATATAGATGCGCTTGGACCTTCTCCCCTCGAAGTCCTTTTACGTGTTTCTCCGGATTGTAAAATTACATACTACTCACGGTACTCCGCAGTGCGCACGGAGAACCTCGTGGATGTTTTGCCCGCATATCTCGTGCCTCAGGAACGCCCCGCTGTTCTCCGCACTGACTATAGGAAAATTGTAGATACTACTCTCTACTCTCAGCTATGAAATTTGAGATTCTTTCGTAATAATTCTCTACGCAGCCCAGGTTGTGTGGTGTTCGTGCTATCCGAATCCCCGAGGTAGCGGGTTCTTACTGTATATAGATATACATACCTACCGAGTTAACGTACTAACTCTATACGTACAGCTACAAAACGCGGACATGGACGGAGTCGAGTACAGACAATTACCGCGGGAAAAGAGAAGATCTCCTTCTTTCTCCTCTTTTCTTTCATCGTGTGCGATTCTCAACCAGGCTGATCCATGCAAAGCCACGCATTCAGGTCGTACAAAGAACTATAATTATAGTAACCGACTGGAACGGAGAAATAATGAAGAGAAAATAAAAGGAGGGGTAATATGTTAATTGTTATTATTATTAAACGAACACACAGCCAAGACCTATTTTGTTTCAGCTGGTCTGCTAGTTGTTCTGATTTTCTTCTCTTCAAAGGGGCAGACATAGCACTTCCTTATCTGGAAAGAGTAAATCGCCGCGATTGTCCCGAAGCAGAACTACTCACCGCGTGCAGAGAAACCCAAGTTGCCTGCGACACATATCAACTAATAACAATTATTAGAAGAAGAATACTCAGGAAGAAGATGTATGGGAAATCTTCATTGGATGTTATTGCATCGACGGAGAAAAGCGGGACTTGGTTGCAGGTAAAAAAGAACAAGAGAGCAAGCCTGAACTTTGAAGGTGGTACGAGAGGTGGCTGGGCATCCGAGGACATCTTTCTTTTTCTCGTTTCTCCATCTCTCTCTCACCTCAACTTCAGCTTTTGATTCCCTCTTGAGCTGATTCTTCATCACTATTCATCTCTGCTGATCCTCTTTTTAATTCTTATGATTTTTCTTTTCATCTGAGGCTGCGACAATAATAATAGGTTCTCTTATTCCCTACAGCAGCTTGACAGTCGGTCCCACAGCCAAGCCAAAAGCAACTCTGTCACCACTCCGAGTTTCCTCCGTTGGTCCTCTCGGCCCAAAAACCCTCTTTGATCTGTTCTTTAGGCGTTACCTTCAGCGATCTGAGCGCTGGTATGGGCGCTTAAGACGCCTAAAACGCCTACGGAAACCCCTCGGCTCCCCTTAAACTTCGGCTGGCAAGATCTGCTGGAACCCCCGATCAGCGCCCGAGCGACCCCCGAGCGTGCCTGAGAGGCTTCAGCCTGTCAGCGTTCGGGCCACTCGGCCGGGTGGATGGATCGAGTACCTGTCGGGGAAAATTCGGGGGAGTTGGGCGCGATCGGGGCGATCCAGAATATAGTTAAGAGGATGGGCATGGGACGAAGGGCGTCATAGCTTCTTGCTGATTGATTCTCTTGCGTCTTTTTTCAACTGTCCTTCTCCCTGATTCTTTTACTTTCAACCTTTTTGTTGCCGTTTTGTAACTGCTTTTTATCTGTCACTGTCCTACATCTCACGCATGATGACCTCCCTTTCCCGGACGGGTTTGTACTCCCGCAATCGGTCTTAACTCATATATACCTCGTTACTTGCGCTCCTGCCGATCTTCGCGGATTTGTTCCTGGACTCTGTTCTATTGTTTCAGGGGATGGTATGGACAATCGAATGCGCACCTCGTTCGGATGCGTGTTGAACCATACAATATGTCCCTCCTGCGCATTCAACGCTTCTATTCCCGGCTGGGCATCGCATGCCGTGGGCGGAACGGCAAGCCGAAACCGACTCATCGGACCGACCGTACGCTCCATGATCCTTGAATAAGGGTCTACTACGACAAACGCTGAGACAGCAAAGCGCCAGAAGTGACTTGGCATTGAAATTGTCTGATTAAAAAGAGGCCGGCTATTGCGTGGCTAGAAGAAAGATATACAAGGTACATATGAAATGTCTTTTCCACCCCTGCTAGAGTCCATCTGACTGCCTTCTTCCCCGAGAGGAGCCCTCACACCGTTCTAGGGTGGTCGAACTCGAATCGGAGAATGTTCAGAGGAACGAGCTCAAACTAATTCAGCAACCACTTATTGACGATCTTTGTCTTTGCAGATTCCACGAGCGCTCCGGAGCCAAACCTGATGAGGTTGATTCAACTAAACGAGAATATATACTTGAGTGCGCGCCGGCGAAACACGTCGGCAAACTACAATGCAAGACCGCAAATTATGGGTATCTGAAAAATCATCACGGGGCGACGCGCATGACAGCCGCCAACCCCTATATCATCCGGATGACTCAACACTTGAGACGCATCCTTCGACTCTGGGATATGCAGAGCTTTATGCGACCTCGCGGTCGGTCTTCTGTCTTCTCTCACGGCCAGTGGCGGACCACGGGAAGTGGGCCACTGGAATGATGAAGAAGCTGTTGCTGGTATCGGCAATACCGGCCAGGGCGTTGTACCAGGCGGTGAAAGCAGCCAGGAGACCGAAGAATCCACCAGCCTTGATAACGGGAGGGTTAGGCAGACCCTGGTCGTTGCGCTGGATGTATCCAATTCCGAGCAGCAGGAAGCAAAGGTCCAGAGTCAGGAAGAGCGTGAAGAAGGCAACAGTGGACTTCAAGGTGCAAATCAACAGGATGAAAGTGAAGATGAACCAGCCCTAATGGGTGAAGTGTTAGCATCGGCAAGTGCACCCGCAGTTCGAACGAGACATACCATCAGAAAGAGACCCATGGAGTTATAGAACATGGTCTCGTCGGAGGCCCCAGAGCTTGTGGTTACGGTCAAGGACTTCGCGATTTGGAAACCACCAGGAGTGAGAACAATGGCGAACGAGAGCCAGAAACCACCATACGAAGACAGCGCGGTGGCACCAAAAGTGTTTCCAACAGCCATTTCCCTGTTGCGCGTTAGCGAGAAGGTCTGGAAGATTATGTGGAGACACGCCAAATACATACCACATGCCCGCAAGCAACTGAACGAGACCACCATATGCAAAAGCCAAAGCTATGACGATGTTGGGCTGCGTGATGTCACGGGCGCCCATGTTGATACAGCTCAGCACGAAAGTAGTCAAGGCGAAAGCGCTCAGGCCGAGAGGGGCAGGGTTGGCAAACTTGCGGCGTTCGACCGAGCGGTAGAGACCAGGCTGGAATTCACCTCCGAAGGGAGGGAGCTGTGCCTCTGTGGTGTTTACGCGAGCAAGAGGTCCATATCCGAAGCGCGCAGCGGCTCGGGCGACCTCATGTTCCTCACGGGACATTTGGTGAGTAGCACCGTTGCCGTTGAATCCGTTGGAGGTGTCGGTCGCGGCGTCGCCTTGACCAACGTCCTTCTCGGGCGATCTGGGGATCTCAGAAGACATTGTGGCGAGTTATATCTCTAATGGTTCTGAGTCAGATATCGTCACACAGGTGCTACTGGTCCAGCAGAGGGGCTCTTTCGAAGAACGTTTGAAAGAACGACAGGAAAATGAAAAAGAAAGAAATCTTTGATAAACGAGGGATCGCGCCACGAATGGTGCTCAAAATGCCAATGATCCGGAGACTCCGAAACAGCAGCGATGGCTGAGAATAAATCGACCAGGGCCAAAGGGGCTATTGAGAGGCTTGACAGCGCGACAAGGAGGCCGACTTACCAGATGGGACCCTTTACCGTTTCGTTGTGCTGTGGAGCGGGCGGAAATTTGGCCTCACTGGGGGTTACGCGCTGTGATGGCTCGGGCGATGGAAGAAACACAAGAAGAGACTCCCTCAGGAAAGCGGCACAGTTGACGAGGATGTTCTTGAACCAAATATAAGTTGCCCACCTTGGACAAAGTGCCCCCCCAGTGGTGAACTAGGTAAGCCCTTCGCGGGGAAGACACAATCACTGGAATGGAGCCGGCTCAACCGTTCTGATGAATAATGATTCGATGGCCGAGGGGAAGAAGCCCTTGAGGACCAACGAGAGCTACCACGCTCTGGCCAGCGGGGGCTGGAGCGACGGAGACTGGTTAGGATGAAAGGAAGTTTACCCAAGACCCCGGGGAATGGTGGAGATGTTGACCGTATGGAGTTTGGGGTGGGATATCTGGGGAAAGACGGAAATGGCTAGGGGAGACGGAACGACGTTGTTCGATGAACCTAGAGCAACCGTCTGGACGAGTAAGAGAAATGATTTGCAGCGTCCGGAGATATTCGCTGTCTTGGTTGATGGAAATTCCAGTCACCCTGGCGAGCAAATTAGTGCTGGTTTTGTCAACCGGGTTGATATGCCACTCGGTGGCGTTTCGGTCCAACTCTGTTGCTTACGAGACGCCAATCGCGCCCACTTGGCTGGGTCTTAGCAGGTGACGCTTGAACCCCATGCTAGAGCTTACTCGGATTCCTGGAAGCTGCTGTAGACTAAGTCTACGATCAGGGAAGAAAGCAAGCACCTGCTGATCCTGGCTCCTTACAGTAGTCGGGTTTGGGTTTTTGGGTGTCGAGCTACAGATCAGTACCTCGAAGGTACGTGGCTCCCGTCTGCCGCTGCAGGAGATGATCGGTATTCCTTCATGCCGTTCTGCAACTTAACTACGCACAGGCCTGGAGCCGTGTTAGTTTGGAGGTCTCACCGGGCCCGGGGCCATCTAAAGCGGGCGGCCGCATTGTAAGCATTATTATCACCCTACGGAGTACGGAGTACTTTGCTCCCTTCTCTCCCCCAGGAGCCGTGTAGCCTCGTCTGCATTTACCGAGCAGGAATCTCCGCAAGCGTTCTTCTTTGTAAGACGTGTGGACACCAACTCATCGTGACGAAAGGTACGGAGTACTGAACGTCACATGGTGGGAACTGAAGGCGATCAGCCGGAATGAGTGCAAAAGGCACATTGGTAATCGCGCGCCGTCTGATCAGGAGCTATTCCCCTTCAAGTTCGTGTCTGCGTAGTCCGGTTGTCGACCATTATTGGATCGTGGACCCTAAAAGGCATCCCCAGATCGCACTTAGTTTCGGTAAGCGAGAATACCTGGTTATTCTGGTATGGGCTTCTTTTTTTGCCTTTGCCCATGATATCCATTTGATTTTCTTTTGCCCCTGGTTCCAGATTGATACGAATAGCGTCGCCTTGGCCAGGCAAAGGAGACTGCCGCGCACAAATTCTGTGGGGAAAGCGTCTTGGCTCCCCCTATTCGAATAACGCAACACCGTTGTTGTGCATAATAATAATAATAATAAGGCGCAGAGTCGCAGACTGACGAAGTGGTTCCAACAAACCAGTTCGTGAGACAGCTTTGGCACTTGGTTCGTGTCTGATTGGAGAGTCTGCTGGCATGTCCCCGTGCTAAGCACTAGATGCCCTTCTAGTGAAGAGATCTGAAGCCCGAGATCGCTCTGGAATGCCGGAGAACTCATCGTCGAACTCCAGATATCCAATCGTCTAAGACGCTGTTTCGACTTCTTCTCCTCCCCAGATCAGGTGAATCGCAAAATATTGACAGAGCCCCGAGCTGATCCATGGTTCTCGACAGCCTCTATCGCTTCAGGCGAGAAGAGCTCTGCGTCTAGCGCCCCCCGTGGCCAGAGAAGCGCCACCCCGATGGAGCGTTCGCGCAGACATCTTTTAGCGTGGTGGACACTGGACTTTGCACCGCTGCTCTTGGCAATGGGTCTGCTATCTATCATCCATGATCCATCCGTCCGAAGCTCTCCAACTGTCCAACAACACGGTATAGGTTCCACGCAGCCCGCGTCTAAGCCTTTCGCCCTCGGCCTGGAACCTCGCTCCGACATGCCTCTGGTATCTAGTCCGGACCGTTCCTTTTGGTGATGATTCTCCCCGTAGCGGCGCAGCTCAATTAAGCTCTCACCGACAGTTCCATTTAAGGAAGAACAGTTATATGATCTCCATCTTTATCCTTCCGACAGCTTCGAGACCCGATCACCTCCCAGGGTTGTCTGCAGGGAAAAGGAGGAAGACCAGGGTGAAACGCTGCTACGTAGATAGTCTGTAAAGCTGGGTATCAAGATTGAAGAATGTATACTATAGACTAGCAGTGCAGTGATTTAGGCAGTAGATGCTGCGCCGCCGGCACTGAGCGCTACCTGGTCCTGCTCTCCAACAACGGGCAAATTGTTCGATGGCACAATGCAAGCTGCAAGGCAGAAAACAAGCCCGTGAGCTGCACATTCCTATTTTCATTATTTGAAGTCAACAAGCTCCCTCACTGGCCAGCGTAATGGGACATCCACACTATTGAGTTGAACTGCCCGCGGCAGTAGTAGTGTTGCCCTCTAATTACTCTATATTTTGTTGTTTTGGCTTGGCAGGAGACATCTGGTAGGGGCCCGTAGAGAATCATATCAACTATTGTTATTATTATTATTGCCAAGTAAATTTGCTATTTCGCTAGACATGTCTAGGATTCAAGCTTCGGGAACTTGCCTACAAGCAAGGGATACAATAATAACAACAATAATAGCAATAACAATATGATCTTTTCTTTTTTTTTTTCTTTCTAGAGAGCTATCTACGCTACTACTAGTGACTACAGTGTGATCTGCACATGCAGCACTGAGGACCTTGCCTCTTTAACCGTGGAGTTTTTCCGCTGTACATACTGCATACCTTGCAGCGGACCTATTATTGCTACCTCCCTATCTACTCCGTACATACTACTCACAACTGATGATGATAGGTAAATCCATCATGGCATCCGTCCGCTCGTTATCGAGTGATTAGGTGCGATGCGATGCGACGTGGGTGCGTGTGGGTTGTTGGTGTTACTGTATTCTCCATAGACTAAGTTAAGTCAGGGTATTATTATTATGAATCACCTTTTTTTCTTTTTCCCCCTTCTGCATTGAATAATGCCGTGAGAATATCCGATCCCGGGGAGGAAGGACTGGAGAACAAAAACTTTCGACTCTCAACTCCAACACATCACATCCAAACAAAGTTTTGAGGATCCTAGTGTAATAGAGTATAGTTTGTACTCTTTGATCCTGCATCGTCGATCTTTGTCCTACAGTACCACGTCTCTCTTTCCGTCACCCCCGCATTTGGCGTCTTGTACGCAACAGAATTGGACCGATCACCAAAATGTGACCGGCAGTTTGGTACGGTAATAATATTGGGAAGGCCTCGATGAAATAATGAATGAATGGCTATTATTGCATAGTTATGGGTTACACGACCTGTGAGACCGAAAGGAAAAAGGAATTGGATTGGATTAACTTAAGCTTGAAGCCTTTCTTGGGCGAACTACCTAGTCTCGATTTTTTTTTCTTTTCTTTTTTTTTTGTGTAACTTTGTTATCAATTTCTTTTGTTGTTGTTTGCTTGTTTGCTTGCTTGGGGGGAATTTCGAGAAGAGGGTGGTGGTGGTGTTTTTTTTTTGTTTGCTTCTTTGAATCGGGCCTATGTACTGTACATTGTACTATAGGCATAATTGCATTCTCTGCTCTATCTATCTATTTCGTACGAGTATGATCTTCGATTTGTGAGATGGATGCTGTACAATGGTAAGCTGCAGGAGGACTAATTTCGTAGTGATGGTTTTCCGTATATGGAAAGCTTTGAATTATAGCTGCAGAGGTCGATTCGCCTTAAAGTTTCTGGAGAGATAATTACGAGCCAAGCTCTGTATCTGTTGGGAGATATTCAGCTGTTGTCCTACAACAACAACAAAGACGGTCCAGACTTCTTGAGGTTTCTGTGATTTTTTGCTCTGGTATCTGAGTCGGAGGTGCTACGGCAGTTTGACGGTCCTTCTTCTCTCTCCATGCATACATGCGAAGCTCCTTGTACATCTCTGGTCACCTGCCACGTCGTTTCGTAGTCTCAAATTCCAATCGTATGATCTAGACTAGTAGGAGTCCGCCGTCGGCTAGCTAGCAGTATGGTAGATGATCCTAAGTACGGGTCATTATTATTGTTGGGACCTTGGTAATGGCGTCGTCGTTTGCTCCATAATAATACGTATTCTCCGGACTCATCACCCCACGGGGTTAAGATGGGGCTGAGGTCTTGGACTTGAACCCAAATCCTACGATTGATGGAGCCGAGTATGGAGTAGATGGCATCACTGTCTTCTCGGTTCGGCCGAGCGGAAGGTACTCTAGATATAAGCTCGGCAATACATATTATTGAGAAGAAACATCTACTACTGCGTACTTTTTGGGGGCGGACCCAGAAAATCTCCGCGCGAGTGACGTCGTGAAGATTGGAGCGGTTAACTCGTATTTCTTTACGTCTTTGTGGATTCCAGTAGTTCTTAGCACGTCACCCTGCGATTCAATTGCGGAGCATGGACGAGTGGAGAGATCATGGGGTATATCGTGGAGAGAGCGGAGACCGGGGAAATGAATCAAGATTCAATAGATTGATGCTATGATGAGCAGAGCGTTCAGCCTCTCTCCACAATTCGATCCGCAGTCGGTGGTTCTATGACGATAGTTGCGCGTGTTGAGCAAGGGATCGTCCATCGCGGAACCCGGCAAAGGTATATGGGAGAGGAGGATAGCGCGTGAAGTTACTGCAGGCAGCGTCAATTAGTTTCAATCCAATATATCTGGTTGACAATAAGTCGTCAGCAATAGAGACACTGAGAAAATGGAGGTCTCCATTCATGCTCAAGGTCTAATTTGCGTCGCATTGAGATGCTGCGGCGGGGGAGGAAGTCGATCAATAGTTAGTCGGATCTTGAAATATGCCCCTTTGGAGCAATGCCGATTCTCTTCGTAAAGGGACAGAAACCATGGCGTGGTCTTGTTGCTGCTGGAGCCTGTTAGCCCTTGGTCTTGACTTGATCGAGACACAATTGTTTCAACTTGATGAAGAACGAAAACAATTGATGACGAAACAGCCATTGATGGGCCTCTTTTTGTTAACGAGAAGACAGGAAACACCCGCATTCAGCTCGTGAGATGCCATTCTATACAGACTGACTCGAGTTCTGGAGTTCCTATGCCTTGCAAAGCAATCCAGCGTTGAGGACTCGAGACGGGATGGAAAGTGAAATACGGATAGTGAGGACAAAGACTGTTGTTGGCCTGACCGAACTAAGCCACTTCATATAGTGGACGGTGTGATCACTGCTTCTGTCAATTCCAGAAAATTGCTCGTTCGCATTGAGTACTGCGTCGAAGATAAGGCACACTCGCTCAGGCTGCGCAGCCAAGGAGTCACATTTTCCCAGTCTCAATGACTTTGGATTATCTTGAGCAATGGGTTCTCCTGCTGATAATCGCGATTGCCCTCCTTCCGCAATCAGGGAAGTTGCAAGACCTTTCGATGGTGTTAGGAGACACTCCGCAAGAACTCCAGCCTGATCGATACCAAGATACGCTGTATTATCGGCGGGTTGGAGACCCTCGAGACCTTCCTTTTCCATAATACTGGGAAGCCTAAATGGCCAGGGCATGGAAAGATCCTAGAGATTGAAATCGGACAGGTTGAGAACGGTGAATGCTAAGCGCACTGAAAGGCGCTCGCATGTCCTCTCCCTGATAGCATCGTCCTGCCGATGCCGGAATAATATCGTGTCGGCAAGTGTCCCGACATGTCCATTTCCGGCAGTTCTGAAAGAACCTGTTTGGCCGTCAATATTGACAGTTGATATCTGCTTGCGATAACGATAAGCAAGTCACAACAAAGCCAAGTTGGTAGTTAGTCTAGACGGCGTTATCAGACGCCCAGCGCGGTTGCCAAGAAGCTGTTTGACTTACCTACTCGTTTAGGGATGATCGACCACTCTTGCTGCATGGATAAGGAGCTTTTGGCCACCAGTCATCATTTGTTGAGTATTCGTTTAGCAGCAGTAATATGGTCATTATCAGGCGCTAAGAGTTGATGTTGTTAACGACACTCATTCTGGTGTTTATCGATTGGTTGGAAGACATTATAGCTGACTACAATCTAGAGATCCTGAAAAGTACCTCCGCGGCAATGCTAACAGCAATCGTGAAGTCGGAAAGTCGGCAGTCATGTCGCTATCGCCCGACAGATTGCTCGTTTGTTTGTATGGTGTAGAGTGATCAAGTGTAAAATGCCCTCCTATTGCCCTTGTCTCCAGCTTGCTTCTCGATCTCTGTTCGCGTCCCCTAGCAGGTCGATAGAGGCTCGATTGTCTGGACCGCAAGCTGCAAAATGGGACTTTCGGATTCAGAAAAGAAGGAATCGTCAATCGATACCCATGGCGTCGATACTGAAGCGGGCACGACCACCGTCAAAGCCGGCAATGTCGATGCCGCGCTCGAGTTCCTCCAGACAGAGAACACAGCGGTGATGTCGGAGGTGGATGAGAAGAAGCTTATCCGAAAGATCGATTGGATGATCATGCCATTGATGTGGATGTGCTACAATCTCCAGTACCTCGACAAAGTCTTGAGTACGAACGATCAATGCTCCGCCTAGTCGTTATAGTGGGCTAAGACAAGACAGTTAACTATGCCTCCGTCATGGGTCTACTAAGCGATACGGACATGACGACAGATCAGTTTTCGAATCTGGCCCTGGCATTCTATATCACTTATCTCTTCTTCGAATTCCCTACCGGCTACTTGATGCAGCGCCTGCCAACAGCCAAATATCTGGGAGTCAATGGTAAGTAACAGTGACGTGCTTATCAACCTTGAAGCTGACGGCCAGCAGTCGCACTATGGGGACTCATGACCACATTAAACTGCTCTGCGACGAATTTTGGAGGACTAATAACACTCCGTGTACTTCTTGGTTGTTTTGAAAGCGCTATAGCGCCTGCGTAAGTGCACTCCCCTCCCCGGTCTACCAGATAAAAGAGAAGTTTAGAATCATGCTGACACTTCTAAGGCTTATGATTATCACTTCCATGTGGTATAAGAGAGACGGTAGGGAAGATATCGATGAGGTCTATACTCAGTTTACTGACGTTGTTTGCAGAGCAGCCGCGCCGCATGGGATATTGGTACTTAGGGACGGGTACTGCTCCTATCATGGGCGCCCTCGTTGCTTACGGACTTCTTTTCTACACTGACGACAAGTTCCATTCATGGCAGATCATGTTTTTGATATTCGGGATCATTACCATCATTGTCGGGATCTGTGTGTTCATCTTCCTTCCCGACAATCCTATGACTTCCCGTCTCAGTCATGAAGAGAAAGTTTGGGCTATCGAACGACTTCGTGAGAATAAGACCGGTATCGAAAATAAACATTTCAAGATGGAACAGTTTCTTGAGGTGTGGAAAGACCCGCAGACATATCTGATCATCATCATCGTGGCCGCCTCGAATATCACGAACGCCGCTACCAGCAGCTTTTCCTCCCTGATAATCAAGGGATTCGGTTTCACGACGAAAGAAACCGAACTACTCGGCATTCCCAGCGGTGCTATATGCGTAATTGCCGTCCTCAGCGGAACATATCTGTCTGGTCGGTACGACCAGCGCTGTCTCTCCGCCATCGGCGTCCTGTTGTGCGGTCTACTCGGCGGATGTCTCATGGCATTTTCGCGCGATGACATGAGGGCTGCTAAATTAGCCGGAAATTATCTGACTAACTTCGTCGGGGCATCCTTGCCTATCATGTACTCAATTGCTGGAGCAAACACCGCGGGGCACACCAAGAAAGTGACCATGAACGCAGTCTTGCTGATGGCCTTCTGCCTTGGCAATATCTTGGGTCCTCTGACTTTCCGAACTCAGGATGAACCAGAGTACATCCCGGCGAAGATTGCGATCGTCGCAACTGTTGCCGTTGCTATTGTCTTCCTGGTGCTGCTAAAGGCGTACTACATGTGGGAAAACAAGCGCCGGGATGAGAACAAGATGGGCCTTGAGCACCAGGAGAATTCCGAATTCTTGGATCTGACGGATAGACAGAATAAAGAATTCAGGGTAAGTTGGCCAGATATTATCGATGATGGAAGAATATCACTGACCAGATGGTACCAGTACAAGCATTAGCACAGGAAGCATCGATGGATGATGGATAGTGCAACGATCATTGACATGACCTCTGGAGCACCGGTCACAGAACAGATACAGTTCTTCAGTATATATCAATTAATGTACACGATTTCATGGTATTCATGGACATGGAAGAATATTTTAATATTCCTTATCATGTATTCTCGTTAAGGAACGACCAGCTAGTACTCCGGAAGGGCGTACTAACAAGGCATGTAAAAATTGCGATTGATGGGAATGATCCCGAGCATGATATCGATTTCTTTACAGGAAATGAAGCGATGATACCATACTCTTTCTGATATCTGATTTATTATCCGCGCGAAGACCCGCTTTCCCCCAGACACCATCAGTCGCAAGATGCGTATTTCCAGGAGATCACCAGGCAGGTTAATTATGCCGAATCACGTAGCGGTGACGGTCTCGCAATCTGGAGAAGTTGCAATAGTGATCGGGCTTGTGACGTAGAGTCATAGATCGTCGGGCAGGGTCCGCGAATAATAGATAAACGGGATCAACTAGTTAGTACCTTGGCGACTTCATGGCGGGGAAGTGGGAGGATGATCAAACGTGCCAAGGTCTATAATTTCCCTCTTGCGCCGCTGGTCTGTCAGGCTTCAGTCGGAGATCAGTGTCGCGAGGCCATGTCAACGCTGGAGCGCAGGGTCTGAAGAGGTATACTGTACCGTCTCCTCATAAGTTCTAGGACTACAACTCGGGGAATCAGCAGCAGCAGCAGCAGTCGTCATGGCCTTCCAAGTGACTCTGGCTCTCCTGGCAATTGCGTCCTCTGCGACAGCAGAGGGTTTCCTTTCCCAGGAGAATCCCTGCCCGACGGTGACGACTCCGGGTCCGTATGAGGGTGAGGACAACTAGAAAACCTGTTCGAGTTTTCGATGTGTTTTGTATGTATTTAGTCGCGGAAGCGGGGATTGACAGTTGGACAGGCTATACGCGAACTGGTGCTGTTCCTTTCCTAGCGCAAACGAACCCGGCTCCCTTTGGACTGAAGGATATCAGTGTCAATGAACCGCTACAGACGTCGTTGCCGATCGAGGGCGCTCCGGACTACGATGGGATTTTCAAGTATATGGGAGAGCTGAGGTAAGCTGTCGTTGTTGTTATTTGTTTGGATATATTGGGATTATCTATGGTCAAGAGTGCTGATCGCTACGGATAGCCCCTACACTCCTTCTCCCGGGTTTGGAGTGAATGAATACCCGCTACCTCCTGGGTCCAATATCACCAAGGTGCAGATCCTCCATCGCCATGGGTCTCGATATCCGTCGTCGGGCTCCAGTACGGAGGAGTTCGGACTACGTATCAAGAACCTTACTGCGAGTGGAGTGAGGTTCGAGGGCGACTTGTCTTTTCTGAATGATTGGAACTACGAGCTGGGCGCTGAATTACTCGTTCCTCGTGGCCGTCAGGAGCTCTTTGATAGTGGCGTTCTGCACCGGTACAACTATGGCCGGTTGTATGATCCGTCGGCGAAGGTTCTTGCGCGGACAACGACCCAGAACCGTATGCGTGAATCTGCAGAGAATTTCCTCGCTGGGTTCTTCGGTTTGAATTGGCAGCAGAATGCTACGCTGTTGACTGTCATCGAGAGGCATGGCTTCAACAACACCCTTTCTGCGGACAAGCAGTGCCCGAACGGCGACAAGGACCTCTCGTCCCCCGGAGAAGATGGAGCCAAACAGTGGCAGAGGATCTATCTCGACGCTGCTACGAAGCGGTTCCAGAAGCTGGTGAAAGGGTACACTTGGACCGTCGATGACACCTACAACATGCAGACGCTGTGTCCGTTCGAGACGGTGGCGTTTGGTTTTAGCCGTTTCTGCCAGTTTTTCACGTATCAGGAATGGAAGGGCTTTGAGTACAGCAGGGATATCGAGTCCTACGGGGAGGCCTCCTTTGGATCGCCCACGGCACGGGCTCAGGGAATCGGCTTCGTGGTTGAACTCCTTGCGAGACTACAAGGACACGTCGTGGATACACCACCTGGAACGTCGACCATTAACACGACTCTTGACAGCAACGAGAGAACGTTCCCTACCAACCAATCGATCTACTTCGACTTTACCCATGATACGCAGATGATGAGGATCCTCACGGCCCTTGGATTCCGGCAGTTCGCGCAGTTCCTCCCACCTACTGGACCCCCGGCTAATCAGCAACTTATCCGTAAGCGCCTGTCCAATTTCGCTGCCCGGTTCGCCATCGAGGTTATCGAGGCCCCACGTCCTGTATCTTCACGCAGGCCGCAAAACCAGACGTCTCAGGCGGACGCGTACAACTGGACAGCGCCCGCTCAGGAGACCAAATATATCCACTTCGTGATCAACCAGCGTACTGTCCCATTGGGGAAGAGCTTCCCTGCGTGCGGACATCGGGATGATGGGTGGTGTGAGTTTGATACATTCCTGCAGGTGCAGAATAGCAGTTTGAGCCGAGCGCAGTATGAGTATAGTTGTTTTGGCAACTATAGTGCGGTACCGTATGGAGTTGTGACTGATGGAGTGCCCGTGAGCTGAATTAATTAATTTTTCATGATATTTGAAGGATATTTTTTGAGACTGGATGTAGTTAATAATGGGCAAGGTGTGCTGTAGATAGACACGCGTCAAGTACCTATGTATGTACTGTACATATATAGCAATGTATGTACCATACATAGCGCAACCATACTATATTAAGTCTGATCTGCTGCTTGTATTTTTGTCAGACGCATTGGCCTTACAACTGAATCGCATCCAAATCATCAAAATCATAATAAAGAAATCTAGAGAAAGCGATCGATATGTCAAATACCTACCTAGGTAGCTATCTAGTTAACTAACTCCCTATAGTTTAGTTTACATAGATAAATGCTGACAAATGACTGCGGCGGGGTAGTTAACTAACTAACGGGCCGTCAGTTTGTCCACACTTTCTTCCCCTCCCGAAGTCCCCGATGGAACATGGTAAATTCATATTTTATGGTATCTCTATATTGCCACGTATTCACCAGATAATAGACTATATGGCCCCCTGTCAAAGATAACCCATGATCATACCATACCATACAGTTCTTCTGAACCTGCTAATTATCATGTCCAACTGGCGTGCTGGCGCGGCATGTGGGGTTGGAGTTCTTCTCCCATGGGCAATCAAGATTGATGAATGATACTGCTTTGCCTACGGTAGAGTCTGCACGGTTTGCCGACTGATCAGCTCACTGCTATCCGACTACTGCTCACCTTTAGACTATGTACTATCCCGGTGAAAGGCTGTCATGTTATTATCTACTTCCCTCGACCATCGGGATCCTAGCTGGGACTGATACCGCCACAGGAGCCGTGACGTCAAAGTCAAAGAAGAAGAAAAAAACCTTGGATCGGCCAGTGATGGCGCAACAATATTCTACTTTTTTTTTCTGGCTCCCCGAACAAAAAATAAGTTAAGAGGGGTTAAACTACGGAGTAGTTCCCGGAGATAGAACGGCGTTTGTCAGCCTGTCGGAAATGAATCTCAACGCATCTACCGCGCCTCTCAGGCTAATCAGACATGCGCCAGCCAGAAAGAAAAAAAACGTGAATGAATGCGTTAATTCAAGAAGAACTGCTTCCCGAGTGGGACCTGAGATATTTCCCTTCTGTGCCGCTAGAGCCGAAATTTCCCGTCCTTTCTGCTGTTGGACTACTGGACGTTATGGGACTCGGTATATAGTCACTCCGTGGGCTGCTGCCGGGTCTTGCTAGACGTTTACTTTATTTTATTCCTCGTTATAAAGCTCTGTGCCGTACTTTTCTTGATCTGAGAACGGTCTCTATCTACTTGTCCTATCCTCCTGCTACTATTTTCTAGACGGCCTTTCCATCCAACCCCCTTTCAAAAGTCCACAACGTTTTCACCATGACGAAGCTCTTCACCCCCATCAAGGTCGGCAAGGTCGAGCTGGCCCAGCGCCTTGCCATGGCGCCCATGACTCGTTTCCGTGCGGACGATGCCCATGTGCCTCTTCCCTTCGTGAAGGACTACTATGAACAGCGCGCCTCGGTGCCCGGAACTCTGATCATCACCGAGGGAACCTTCATCTCGGCCCGCAATGGAGGATACCCCAACGTTCCCGGAATCTACAGCAAGGAGCAGATTGCGGCGTGGAAGAAGATCACAGATGCAGTGCACGCCAAGGGCTCGTTTATCTACGTTCAGCTCTGGGCTCTGGGCCGGACCGCCAGTGCTGACTACCTCAAGTCGAACGGTTACGAGCTGGTCTCCAGCAGTGCTGTCCCCATGAGCGACAACTCGCCTACCCCGCGAGCTCTGACGGAGGAGGAGATCTGGAGCTTCATCGGAGACTACGCTCAAGCCGCCAAGAACGCCATCGAAGCTGGCTTCGACGGTGTCGAAATCCACGGCGCCAACGGCTATCTGATCGACCAGTTCACCCAGGACACCTGCAACAAGCGCACTGATTCCTGGGGCGGCAGCGTTGAGAACCGCGCCCGTTTCGCCCTCGAAGTCACCAAGGCCGTCACTGCCGCCATTGGCGCCGACAAGACCGGCATCCGTCTCAGTCCCTGGAGTCCATTCCAGGGCATGCGCATGGAAGACCCCATCCCCCAATTCACCTACCTGGCCAAGAAGCTCGCCGAGTTCAAGCTGGCCTACGCGCACGTCGTCGAGTCGCGCATCGCCGGAAACGCCGATGTCGAGGCGACCGAGCAGCTCGACTTCTTCTTCGACGCCTACGGCAAAACCACCCCCATCATGATCGCTGGAGGCTACAAGGCCGCTTCCGCCAAGGAGGCCGTTGACAACAAGTACAAGGACTACGACCTGATCATCGCCATCGGTAGACCATTCACCTCGAACCCGGATCTCGTCTACAGAATCAAGAATGACATTGAGCTGCGTCCGTATGAGCGAGACCACTTCTATGTCGCTAAGGACCCGCACGGTTACAGTGACTATCCCTTCAGCGAGCAGTTCTTGGCTCAGTCGAAGATCTGAAGAGATCAGTTTTTTTATTTTTTTTAAATAGGATATAATGATGATTCATAGAGATGTTTAGTGCAGAGCTGGGGTAATATACATACATACATACATGATATCCTGAGCGTTGTGGATATTCCTTTCATTTTGACCAGATCGCCTCTTTTCTTTCCCACGCTTAGATTAATGAAGATATCGATAGTGCAAATATACACATACATATACCGATGAAATCGCCATTTTCCGCCTGCGTAGAAGAATTGAATATGGTCAAGAATGTAATAATACGTGAGTTTTCTAGACGTATGTACATACGACTGTATTCGACGGTTCGTACTGCAGATACGATGTATCATTATCATTTGACCACCCACTCTGTCAGGTCAGAATATAAACATTTTGAGCCATAGCATAGCAACATAGGTATTCTCCCAGAGGATGATGCCTGATAAAAGCAACGCCGTATCCAATCCGATCCAATCCAAATACTCCATCCACATAAGACCGGTCCATGGACACGAGACATTCACGAATAGCAAAATGGTATATAGCACTTGTACACGCGGCGAGGACTAATGGCAAATAAACAATACTATGAAGGGTGGGGTTATTGATAACTTGTTTCGTAAAAAAGAGGTCAAGGGTTAAGATAGCACCGTTCCGTACTGGAAAGGAAAGGAAAGGCAGAAAGTCTGGTTATAAGGGTAACTGATTGCTCATATCATCCTTTCTAGTTTCTTAGCTGCCCGTTCGAGCTGCGCGTTGAAGGATTTGATCTGATTGAGTAGTCCACCCTGTGAACCGGGCGCGGCGGAGCTGACGTTCTCTGCGACGGTGCGGAGCATGAATTCTAGACCGGCTGTCGTAGGCTCGTCGTCGTCGGATGGGCGGTCGTTGCGAGCTTTGTTGCGGTCGATGGCGAGTTCGAGACTATGGAGGGAGTTGTTGATTGCGTTTCGAGCCTGTTTTTCTTTGATTAGTCTCGTGCTTAGTGTCTGAGATCTAGGGAGGTTCATACCATTTTCGCATTCTCATCTTCCGTATGTTTCCTCCGAACCTCGTCCATTCGCAGCGCAACCTCCTCTCGTTGTCGACGGATATGTAGAAGACGGCTACGCATATCTGCCATTTTGCGCTTGGCTTTCTTTAACTGTGCGCTGAGGGAGAAATTGCTATCTAGCATCTCGCTCATTTCGAAGAGTCGTCCCTCAAGCTCTGCGCCGAAGGCCTCTACTGCTTTTCGTTTCCGCGTCCATTCTGCTCGTCGGGCCTGGTTGGATTCGTTGGCGATGCCGTTCTTGAGCGTCGTTAGCGTCTTATCCAGGGTCTCGCGGCAGATCTGGCTGAGAACGTCGGCGGGATTGACGCCTGAACGACCGGAGAGGTCTTTGACGGTGGATTCTTCTGCCTCGTCGGCAGATTCTGATGAGTCTGGGACAGCACTGAGCGCTTCAATGTTGGCGAGGCGATGAACCGTCACAGGGACGGTCTCTCCGCGAGTTCTCTTCTCTCTGGTCGTGGGCTCTGCTTTGCCCTCCTCATCGTCATCCTCGGTCCTGGTGGCCTTCTCCTTGCGTGCTTTCGCTTTCTTGGGCGCTTTCTTAGTGGCTGATGATTCGCGTCGAGTAGAAGATTCTGCTTGTGGTTGGTCCACTTGCTCTTCCTCGTCGATATCCTGTCGTTGCCGTGAAGGGGAGGCTTCTGGTTCTTCTGGTACGCTCTCTGTAGAAGACCGGTTCCTCGTGGGAGGACGTCCGATTGATTTCCGCTGCTTCCCTTTCTTCGTGCGTTTCTGGCGCGATGTTTGATTCTTTTCCTGCTCTTCAACTTCTTCGGGTTTTGCCTGTTGCCGCTCCTCTACTCTCTCATCATCTACCGGGATCTCACGTTGCTTTCCAAGGGACTTTCTGGACCTCTTCGGTTGTCTTGAATTCTCTTCTGCAGGAGATGTCTCTTTCCCAGTGTCTTTGCGCGCATTGCTTGTCGTTTTAGCAGCTGTTCTTCCCCTCTTTCGAGTCTCCTGAGGACTTGAAACCTCCTGCGGTTCGACTGTCTTCTGTAATGACCGTCTTGATGATCGAGATGGTTGAGCAGCTTCCACAGGCTCTTCAATCCTCTCAGCATTGTTGATATCTGCAGCACTCTCCACTGTAGGTCCACTTTTCCGATTCTCGGCAGTGGAAGCCCGTTTCTTGCGCTGACTTTTGGTATTTGTTATGCTCGGATCAGCAGCGTCTGCTGGTTGCACTTCGTCACCATGATCCTTATCAACGCCGTTCGTGCCATTTGCAGCTTGGGAGACCGGCTCGACCTGCTGCTCTGTGCCCCGTTCTGCGGACGTAGTATCTCGAGGTCTCCGAGAATTTGTTTTCGCAATTGTGGGAGATTCTTCAGCTAAGCCTGGGTTCGCTGCGGTATCCGACTGCACGTCATCTCCGCTCGAAACGGTTCCGGGCTGAGGGTCGACCCGGTCTGTTTGTTTAGCGTTCGAAGTCGTTTTCGCATTCTCTGATAGAGGACCTAGAACTGCATATTAGAAAAGCCACATGCGATTGTATAGGAATTTCCCCACTTATTCTTCTTCGTTTTGCGCTCCGTCCCTGTTCCGGTACGTCGTCTGATGGGAGGTCGAACGTGGACGGCCTCTCTGGGAGATGATTCCGTGAGCTCGAAGATCTCGGGTGGTCTCTCTGAGAACTACGCGATCCAGAAGACGGCGTTGCCTCTGGTGGTTGTGAGGGTGGTGTAGGTTGCTTATTTGGAGTTGCGCTCCGTCGCGGTGAAACGCGAGGTACCGGGAGATTTGTCGAAGCCCGCGGAGACTGTCGCGGAGGCTCCGCGGGCTCAGGCCCTGGTAATCCGAAAGAGAAGCCGAAATCAACTGCTTTTATCTGGCGCGTACTGTAGTGATTGTCCGTTAGCTGTATAGTCTATGTTTGTATCGGCGGGGTGGTCGTGAACATACCCGGCTCCGCGCTGGCGCATCTGCAAGCGCTCCTCGCGATCTGCAGGGCATCCTATCAGTAATTATCTCGCATAAAAGATTCTGGAAGATCGCATACTGGAAGCCATGTTTGCAATGCGAAGTGCTCGCAAAGCTTGACGCGCCGGACGCGAGTTGTCTCGCAGGGCAAGCTTCGCGATAGACGGAGGAGCTGCGGGACGCCGAGTTGCGCCCGATGCGGTTTGGCGCCGCTGGAAAACCGACAGCTCGACTTTCTCCGCAATCGTTGGAGAGATCTTTGGCAGCATCCTCGATCCATTGCGCCTGGCATCCTCGAGTGGTTAGACGTGCGAATGTCCTTTTTTGAATATTGTTCTTGATCCCTGCATAATTCGAAATGGGCTGGTTCTGGGGTGGTTCGAACAGTGACGATCCGACAAAGAAGCTCGATCCGAGCCTTCGTGAATACCTCGAGAAAGAGGCCCCTGCCAAATACACACCGGCAGAGATTCCTTCGTCTTCGTCTACGTCTAGAGAGACCCAGCCAAATGAGTCGTCTTCGAAAGCTACATCCTCCGATGCATCGGAACCGAAAGTCCCCTCCGCCTCTCTCTACCCGGACGGCCGATATGCTCATCTGTGGAAAACGTATAAACCTCTAAAGGAGACCGAGGAATCGATGACGACGGGCGCGGAGAGGGTGATTGAACAATTCAAGCAGCGCAAAGATACGCTTCACAATGCGGCGATGGAGAACTGTGCGTTGGAACACGAGGCTCTCACGTTCTGCTTCCAGACGGGAGACTGGAAGAAGAAGCTGAAGGCGCGTGTGACGATGTGCTCGGAGGAAAACAAAAAGTTTTCTCGGTGCTATACTACGCAGGCTGTAAGATCCTCCCTCTCGATATAAACTCTTAGTCGCAATGGTCAGATCACTGATATGGGCTAGAAATTCCTCCAAGCACTCGGGTATGCCTCGTCATTTGAGTGGGACGACGAAAAGGAAGAGCGGATTCAGATGCATGCAGACAAGCTGTATCATCAAATGCTGGACTACGAGAGGCGGGTGGAGGAAGCACAGGCGGCTGGTTTCGAACCACCTCCAATTACTTCCCTTTTCAACCCTGATGCGGCACCCATCCCCCAGAAGCTTCCCCAGGATGCGAAGTCGACAGAGGTGGAGATTCCAGGTGTGGACAAGCTGCCTGACGGCTTCAAGCCTTCCAAACCGCTCGAGCAGCTCACGCCCCATGAACGTGAACTCGAGGTCCAGGCGCACAAGGCATCGCTGGAACAGCAGAGGAAATACGCCGAGGAGGCGAGCCCCTTTATGAAGTCCCAAGAAACCGCACGACAGAAACGACAGGAGAAAGCCATCAGCTGGTTTGGAGAGACCATCGGAAAATGGATCACCTAGCTGTGCCTCCTTTGGCTGTGATGTAACCCGCAGTGATTTTCATTTCTTTGTATATTATTCTATTGCGTTGACACCCAATTTTGGGCTTGCAGAGAGCGACGGGCGTGGCACTTAGACTTCCTATACGGCGAACACGGGAATTATATATGGTTCGATGAACGAGAACTCTCTTCTCTCACGGTACGAAGCTGTTTCCTGTGGATTGATAGGATCTTATACAGCCACTGTAGTCAGGCGACCAACTAGCTAACTAGTAAACTAGTTAATCAATGCCAATCCGGTTGACATAATCGTCTACGTAGATATTTAACAGAGTTAACCACTAACTAAATAGTTATTGGATGAGACGTGGAATTCCCGATTCGATACTCTCGCGAGGCTCCTTCTATGTTCGGCTTCTTGCTCCGGTGTGCTACGTAGAGTATATTATCCTACGAATTAATCACGAAGAATTCCCTAGCAGGTCCGTGGAGACAGTTCCGTTGCTAGCCGGTAACATAGGCATCTGCGGATAGTCGGAGATGCTGTGTAGTAAGTAGAACAATGGCTAACTATACTGGCGAAGGGCCAATTGCCAGTACCTTGGTTGAAGATCACGGACCATTCAATTAACACATTCGAGGTAAGGTGTCAATTACTCTTACCTATCTTAGCGATGTCCATTCTTAGAGTAACTCAACTGTAGTCTCGCAACACCACTGCTCACGGAAGGAGAAATAGATGCCCTGATTTTTTCGCATCCCCCACCACGTCCCTCTATTTTCCGTTAACCCAAGATACATTCGCCAATCCCTCTCTTTTCTTGAATGGGGCAACGGGCGACGGCGTGAACGACGGTGCGGTTGTAACAGTAGGGCTGACCATCAGCGACACGGGCTGATTCGTTCCCGCCCTTGTCGCGTTCCGCAGCCGGCAGCGCGAGAAACACGAGAGGGAAGAGAGAGAGAGAATCGACATCACGACTCTTCGAAGCTGGCTACTTGATACTTACCAGCAGTCTCCAGCATCGACGTCTATACCGTGAATTGGCATTCCCTGTCCTACACTGCTGACGGCCATCTTCACCTCCAGCCACAATCCTCACTCCCCGGACCTTTCCTCCTTGCAGCTGTCGTCTCGACCACTTGAAACCTCGGAACGGCCATCCCGTTTCTCCCATTTCATTCAGCTCGTTGCTGAGCCTGGCTGACCTCCATCTCGACACCGACGCTTTTTTGGCCTCAGCAGTTCCAGGGGGGCATTGAGCTGCTGTGCCCATCATGAAAGCCACCCCGTTGCTCATTGCATGGCATAATGACAATGCCCCCATTTACTCCGTGCACTTCGATCCGCATGGGAAGGGTCGATTGGCTACGGCCGGCAAGTATGTGTTACAGATATCCAGCCTTTTCCTCCGGACGCCTGACTGATTGTTTTTTTCTCTTGCAGTGATAATAATGTCAGAGTACGAATCGCCCGTCCCACGGTCCTTTGTCCCCGCCGCCTTACTGATCACGTATCCAGCTCTGGAAAGTCGAATCTACAGGGGAGGAGAGGAAGATAACCTACTTGAGCACTCTGATTAAGCACACACAAGCCGTCAATGTGGTCCGGTTCAGTCCCAAAGGTATGGAAATTATCTTGGAGGGGTTCTGTTGCAAAGTCACTGACAGCTGACAGGCGAGATGCTGGCATCTGCCGGGGATGATGGAAATGTGCTGCTGTGGGTTCCGTCGGAGCTTCAGACTGCTTCAGGACTCGGGGAGGACAGGGCAGATGATAAGGAAACTTGGCGTGTCAAGCACATGTGCAGGTCGTCCGGTGCGGAGATTTATGACCTGGCCTGGTCCCCAGATGGTGTATTCTTCATAACTGGAAGCATGGACAATATTGCTCGGATCTACAATGCGCAGACAGGTTTGTGTCATACAAGATGGTTGCCGGATCCCTTGCTAATGTTATCACCTAGGACAAATGGTTCGACAGATCGCAGAACACTCTCACTATGTGCAGGGCGTAGCTTGGGATCCGCTCAATGAGTTCGTGGCTACCCAGTCTTCCGACCGGTCGGTGCATATCTACAGTTTGAAAACCAAGGATGGCCAGTTTACGTTGACGTCGCACGGCAAATTTCTAAAGATGGACTTGCCAGCGCGACGGATATCCTCGAACAGTCCTGCGCCGCCGGAACTGAACACCAGAGCGCAGTCGGCAACGAGCAACCCAATTGCCATTGCATCACCCGCACCATCTACTCCTGGTACTCCCAAGGCATCGAACCTACCAATGGATCCTCCTCCTGTCTCTCACAGTCGTCGGTCATCTTTCGGATCAGCTACGTCCATCCGCCGTTCGGTGTCCCCGGCGCCATCGTTGCCGCTGCCTGCGGTGAGACCATTGGAAGTCTCATCCCCGAGTCTCTTTGGTGGTAACACTAGTGGCCTGGCTGTTAAGAATGCCAACATTTATGCGAATGAGACGTTTACTTCTTTTTTCCGGCGATTGACATTCGCGCCGGACGGAAGTCTACTGTTCACACCTGCTGGGCAGTACAAGACGTCTCAAGTGTCACTTACCGATCCGACAAAGACTACAGACGATGTAATAAACACTGTCTATATCTATACGCGTGCGGGCTTCAACAAACCCCCAATTGCCCACCTCCCTGGACATAAGAAGCCTTCGGTTGCAGTCAAATGTTCCCCGGTGTTCTACACTCTGCGCCAAGGGGTGAAACCTACAAGTCACGTCACTATAGACACCTCTTCTGGAGAAGAAGCATTTGGTTCTCTGCCAGATCCAGTAGTGTCTTCTAACGGCTCCACGGACGGTAACTCCATGGAGCCGCCGTCCCTCCCTCTCACAGGAGACTCGTCGAAGTCAGAGACGTCTCGAAAGGCTTCAGACAGCGAAGGCAACGCTGCTAGCCAGCCTCCTGGTCCAGTATTCTCCTTGCCATACAGAATAGTGTACGCTGTGGCAACGCAGGATGCTGTCCTTGTGTATGATACGCAACAGCAGACGCCGTTGTGTGTTGTAAGCAACTTGCATTTTGCTACATTTACCGACCTTACATGGTAAGTCTTCCAACTCTTTCTATCTTAGACCCTTGCTAACGCTGTGCAGGTCGCATGACGGATTGACTCTGATCATGAGTTCTTCCGACGGTTTCTGTTCGACTCTGTCATTCTCTCCTGGGGAGTTAGGGGAGCAGTACAAGCCAGTGTCTACTCCACACCCCCCTGTCGTCTCGACTGCACCGTCTACAAGCCACACACCCGCACCAACAAGCCATATTTCGTCTCCTTCTGTGGTGAAGACAAGCCCTGGGCCAGTGGCCGCTCTCGCTTCCCAGCCTGCTGCAACGCCTCGGCCTTCCAGTCCCGCGCGATCTAATTCTACCTCTTCCGTTGCCACTCTCTCCTCCACCCAGCAGCCACAGACAGTCATTAACAACCCAACCCCGACATTGGGGTCTGTGCCCCTGGTTACGGCAGCCAATTCAGCGCAGCCCCCAACCCTTCCTCTTACAACGCCCCCACAGACGCCAATGTCGTCTGGTGTATCCCATAGCGCGAGGAGCTCTGTGAGCGGCAGCGTTCTAGGCAAACGGGATATCGGTGCTGCAAGCGAGTCAGAGAAGGAAGAATCCAAGGGTCAGAGTAATGAGAATCAGCCTCAGCAATCTAAAAAGCGACGGATAGCTCCCACACTTGTCTCAGGTGGAAACAATGATAATCCTGATGTCGCTGGCTGAGTCTTGATGGATATTCATATCCCTTTTTGTCATTTGAATTCCTTTTATACCTCCGAAGAGCACTGTCCCTGGTATTAGCTGGATGCAGGTTTCTATGGATCTTGATGACTAATGCCTTTCTATTCCCACCCTGCTGTTTCTCTTTCTGAACCAAGTGGATGTTCCCCCGGTTTTACGAGCTGGACCTACACTCTCCTCATCTCTCTCCAAACCACCGTTTCAATCCTCCCCGGCTCCCCCACCTCTCCTGATCATCCCCGCGGTACGTCGCCGGGGACGGGCACGTATCACGTGGTGCCAGTCAGGTAACCTGGCACGGCGTGGCAACTCTCCCGCATCACATCATGTAGTCTCCAGATCCCTCCGAAGATGCATTGGGCCCAATCGGGCAACAATAAATGAATTGTCGTGCCTTTATCCTTTCCTCCCTGTATTTGACAATGGGCTTTACGCTTTGCACTTCTTGTCTTTGTCAATAGCTACTTATCCTTTTCACCGTGTGATGTTCCCACTGTTTTTGTGCCTCGAGGGCCGAGTGAAGTATGTTGTGGGTAGGCAATTGAATAGAATTGGCTTTTTTTAACTTTATTTTTTTTTTGCTTCCACCTTCCATTTCATTGACTTTGCTATTACTTATTACTTATTCTTCTTTCTGATCATGAAATAATGGATGACTAACGGGGCGGTGGTAGTTAGTCAATTACAGGGAATTCCTATAATTATTAGAAATGTATTCTCTCATAGACTGCATTTTTCATTACTATCATTCCTTCAGCTTGTTCTCATTAGCATACATACATTAAAAGTGCGAAAAGAGGTAGTAGCAGAAAAAAAAAAGAGAAAGAGAGAAAGAGAACAAAAAGGGTAAAACTCGTAACCCCGCCCGCTTATCTCCTTGTCGGAATTCTGAATCGACAGAGCGTGTGCTTTATAGTAGATACGTAATGAAGATTTAGAAGAGGGAAGCAAGGGGAGGAGAAGGGGGGACGGTAACTGTCCAAAGCAGTTCGTGTGCGTGTTTCTCCCTTTTGCATTTTTTGTGGGTAGATTAGTCCCATTTCCTCTCCTGGAGATGTATACTCTGGTCCGTTAGTTTGACGATGCGTAATGACATGGAATAACTAGAACGGATGTTCTTCTAGAAGAAATATGTCGTCATGGATCGTTGAAGTTTTTTTTCGTGGGCTGTTGCCGAGGCATGTATTGTTCTAATTGCATGATGAGCGGGATACATATCCTTGCCACTCACGAAGTACCGTTCACATCCGGAGGAGCTTGCAGAGTAGCCAGGATATCGGTGACGCTCACTTCGTTGAGCAGCATGGCCTTGGCTTCGGTGACATGACTGCCAACGGTGACTGTGGCGACGTCTGGGACAGTGCCTTTTTGGCCCAGCGCGTTGGCCCAGCGGAAAAGAGGCTCGTCGCCGCGAGCACCGCCCGCGACAAGGATGAAGTCTGGCTTTTCCGACAGTCGCTCGAGGATGGATTGTGCTGCGGTCGCTTTGGTGACTTCCGTGGGCTCTACGGTCACGGCACCTTTCGTCAAGACGGCTCGGATAGGCTCGCTACCTCGAGAACCGTTGATCTGGTCGGCAAGCTCAGAGGCCTGTCGGGCGGCGAGTTCGGGATCATAAGCATCTTTGTACCAGAAGGTTATGGAACAACGTCCCTCTTCGATGGAGCTTCCGTCGGTCCTCTCCTGGAAGTAATGGATGACTTTGCGGATGCCATCTCTCCACTCCTTGGTCTTACTGGCGTCTACCAGCTCTTCCCATCTTTCTGAACCTGCAGTGCGAAGGAAGCAGCCATTTTCAGCAATGAGACCTACATCCTTGGAGAGACCCTCGATCCGGGATTCGAGATCTTCCGGGGCTTTGCTGCTGGTGAGGTAGACGATATTGTTGGGATCCTTTAGCAGCCCATTCAGTGCAGCGATCGTTCGCTTGGGCGGGGTCTTGGGGGAAAGCGAGAGTGAAATGTCATCCTCGACGATGAACAGGCGGCGGTGGGCGCGCTTATATGATTCCTTCAGAGCATCCATTGAGAAAGGCGAGACGAAACTCGGTTCGTGGGACAATTGGGTCTGATGAGCGTCGGATAGGGCTTGATCGAGCGACTTGCACCATGCTTGCGCGGTATGAGGAGCCATCTTGTCGATGAGGAATTGCCAGTTCTTCTGCTTCTGCTCTGCAGGCATTTCGAGCGCTCGATTGATGGCCTCTGCACATTGCTTGTAGTCCCAAGGGTTCACCAGAAGTTCGTGTCCGGAGAAAATATGAGCGCTTCCAGTGAATTCACTCAGGATGAGAGAACCGTAACGCTGCGGCGAAAGCTTGCCATCCTGGCAGTGCAGATAGTCATGACCGGTCAGGTTCATTCCGTCTCTCAAACTCGTCACCATGAAGATCTCCGCTACTGTCATGAGCGCGAGGAACTGGGAGTAACTGATATCCTGCTTCAATAGCACTAGTGGTTGATGTGTCAGAGTGGAGTACACAGAGTTAATTCTCATTGCGATCTTGGAGATCTGGGCCTCGAGCTCGGGAAGCTCAGACATCGAGGAAGCAACTTGAACGAGGACGACCTGTTCACAATGTTAGCCAGCAAGGAATGATCAAGAGGAAAGTCTGACCTTACGTTTTCTCTCCATTTCGGGTATTTCTTTAGAAACAACTCGTAGGATAGTAGCTTCTGTTTGATACCACCGGGAGCGTCGAGGCGATCGCGGGCTACGATCAAATGCTTTCCTTCGTATCTGTCGCGAATCTTCGAGACCCAATCTTGGACTTCCGCTGTCTTCCGCGTCTCATAGAGAGAGACTGGATCGATTCCGATGGGGGTATTTTTCACGTGAATGAAACGGTCTCTGAACTGCACACCATCGGAGGTGACCTCGAGACTTAGAAGGCGGCTACAGGTCTGCAGGAAGTGGTGACAGTATTCCTCCGTCTGGAAGGCCACAAGATCCGCCCCCAGCAGTCCCTCCAGAAGTGCATCTCTGATGGCCAGACATCGGAACACCTCTGAGGAGGGGAAAGCGGCATGCATGAAGAATCCAATCTCCGCTTCTGGTAGTTTCTTTCGTAGTAATGCAGGAAGCAGCAGGAGGTGATAGTCATGGACCCAGATACTATCACCAGGCTTCCAGTTTGACGCGATCGTATCTGCGAAGGCCTCATTGACCTTGACGTACTGTCTCCAGGTGTGATCATCGTATTCCTTGTGTCTGGGGCTCTCCTGGACCTGGTAATGGAAAGCCGGCCACAACACCGTTCTACAGAAATGCGAATAATGACCGTCGAATTCGCTGTCGCTCACGAAGACTGGAAGCGAGTCATACTCCTCCCGTAGGGTCCTATCGATGTTCGATCGCGTGTGCTCTTTCAAGGAATCCGTAGGCATTCCCAGCGTACCAACCCACGTCTTGTTTGGCAGGATGCCTGCGTCTGCAGCTGCGTTGATGGCATTGCGTAGGCCACCATTGCCTTGTTCAGCGGCCTTGACCACCCAGTCTACATCGGACAGCAAAACTTGCGGACTGCCATTATCGTCATCCGAGTCTATTGAGTCGGAAATAGCACCGTCCCCAAGTTTGACTGAGGTCTCGTCCCCTCCCGGACGGCTCAAGATAGATGAGTCCGGATGGGTGACGGCCTTCAACTTGGGCTGATTGAACTTATGACTGGCACCCCAGGAAACTGAACGCGGCTCACTGGGCGTGGGTCCTTTCGGAAGATCTGCAGCCGGTGCCTCTGCAGCCGCATAGAATGGCTTAAAGATCTTCTCATGGTCTGTCGTGGCTCCCGGTGTCAGGGTCAGATTGAGATCTCTGGATTGCTCCCGTCGAGACTCAGCTAACCTTCCCTCAACCTTGCCGGGATGGTTGCGGGAGAAGCGACGACGACCGCGGCTTATTGCCGCTGCTTCGAAGTCAATCGTGTAGGGCAGAAACCTGGGGTACCTCAGTTAGCTCAAACTTCATGTAGGGTAATCGAATAGGAAAACATACAGTGATACTACGTAGACGGTCATGGTGTTAGTCTGCTCTGAGGGGAATAGTGATGATGATGACGACGATGATACAGTCTCCGTGTCCAGTCTGCTATCTACTGCAGTCGCGGGGAAACCAGGACAAAACCGATAGAGGGTGATTATATGATATGCCTTGCTTGCCTGAGTTGGGCAACCAGCCTTGTCTGGCAGAAGGGACCCCAGCGCTAAGGATTATTGGAACAAAGGTACGAGCATACTATGTCCGTGACAGGAAGCTGTCTATATGTTTCTGGCCACGAGGAGTCGAACAGGGACAGACGCAACGATCATGGTATGGCATGGAAGCAAGTGTTGTGACGTGGAAAGCTAGCCCGGATCTCCCAGGGAAGGGAAATAGCCGGGAATGGAATATTCTCGCCTTTTCCTGGTGGTGTTGAGCTGCTTATGCTTCGACCCAATGGCCATGACAGTTCGTGCCCAGTTTCAACATCGCAACGTCCCCGGTCCAGCCACTTCTCGAGCTTTCGACACGGTCTGGATCTGTGGTTATCAGCCGAGAACGCGATTGGGAGATCAAGATCGGGAATCGTCGCACGCTCCACTGCCAAACAACATCGCGAACGGATCCAACGGGATGCACCGAAGCGGGTGGAAAAAGACCGTCGAGCTTCGAGCAATAATCCTAATCCTCAAAGATGGCTTCAGGGCGTCATCATATCATATCAAGGTCCGTCGATCAGGATCCAGCGCGCCGCGGGGTGGGAAAAAAAGAAGAGAAAGAAGAGTCACCGCCGTCACACAGCATCCCACTTGGCCTTCAGCTAATAATACCATAATTTTTACCCCTCTACCATTCTAAAGTACCATACCATACTACTATACTTCCTCCCTCAGTTTCCTTCTCGACTTAGAAAAGCGCTGTGTTCGCCTTCTTCCCGACTTGTGTAATCCAATTGACCTGCTAACGACGCCCTGAACGCGCGCCCATACGATTCCCCCACCAGAGAGAGAGAGGACTTTGGCACTTCACCGCTGCCACTCCATTCCCGCGCACACAGAAGCTGGTCAAGCGCACACTTCATGTCGCCAGCACCGACTCTCGAATCCCCCACCGGGGCCTCCCGGTTGCTGCTGGTCTCCAATCGGTTGCCGATTACCATCAGGAGATCTGAAGGTGGAAAGTATGATTTCTCCATGTCCTCCGGTGGTCTGGTCACTGGTCTGAGTGGCCTGTCCAAGACGACTACCTTCCAATGGTACGGCTGGCCGGGCATGGAAGTACCTGAAGACGAGGTCAAGACAGTCAAGGACCGGTTGAAGGAGGAATACAATGCTACTCCCGTCTTCATCAACGACAAACTGGCCGATCGCCATTACAATGGCTTCTCAAGTACGTCGCACCACCTTCCGTGCCTTTCCCTTTCTCTTGCCCTTTTGTCCACACTAGGCTTTCCCCTCGTAGTCAATAAAATCCCGCAGAAACTGACGGAGATCCCGTGTCGTAGATTCTATCCTGTGGCCGCTGTTGCACTACCACCCCGGAGAGATCGTCTTCGATGAGAACGCCTGGGAAGCCTACCGGGAAGCGAACTTGATCTTCGCCAAGACAATCGCAAGAGAAGCAGAGGATGGAGATCTTATCTGGGTGCATGACTACCATCTCATGCTGCTACCGGAAATGCTCCGGGAGGAGCTCAATGCTCTGGGCAAGAAGAACATCCGGATGGGCTTCTTCCTGCACACACCATTCCCCAGTAGCGAGATCTATCGTATCCTACCTGTGCGGTCAGAACTCCTGCGCGGCGTGCTACATTGCGACTTGATCGGTTTCCACACGTTCGACTATGCGCGCCACTTCCTGAGCAGTTGCTCCCATATCCTGTAAGTGGTTCCATATATGGTTGATACGAAGCAGGGGCTAAAGTAGGCATAGTGGACTGGTCACAACTCCAAGCAGCGTCAAGTTCCAAGGCAAGACGGTGTCGGTCGGTGCATTCCCCATTGGAATCGACCCCGATAAGTTCACGGAGGGTCTCAAAAGCCCCAAGGTCCAGAGCCGCATTGCGAGCCTGGAGAACAAGTTCCAGGGCATGAAGTTGATGGTCAGCGTTGACCGTCTGGACTACATCAAGGGAATTCCCCAAAAGATGCACGCCCTAGAAGTCTTCCTATCAAACCACCCCGAGTGGGTGGGCAAGGTGGTTCTGGTCCAGGTTGCTGTCCCTAGCCGGCAAGACGTGGAAGAATATCAGAACCTGAGGGCAGTGGTTAACGAGTTGGTGGGACGCATCAACGGCAAATTCGGTAGGTGCCTTGTCCGATTCCTCCCTGCAACCACAAGACTCTAGACTAACAAGGACATGTGCAGGTACTGTTGACTACATGCCCATTCACTTCATGCACAAGTCAGTCAGCTTTGACGAGCTGCTTTCCCTATACGCAGTTTCCGATGCTTGCGTTGTCTCCTCGACACGGGATGGCATGAATCTCGTGTCCTTTGAGTACATCGCAAGCCAGCAGAAGCGTAAGGGGGTGCTGATTTTGTCAGAGTTTGCTGGTGCTGCTCAGAGTCTGAACGGCGCTCTCGTCGTCAACCCCTGGAACACTGAGGAGCTGGCGAAGGCCTACCAGGAAGCCATGTCCATGGACGACAACCAACGGGACCAGAAGTTCGACAAGCTCTACAAGTACATTACAAAGTATACAAGGTATGTCTCCGCCGCATTTCCAATGCTACCCATATAGACTTGTACTAACTGCCAAACAGCGCATTCTGGGGCAAGTCATTTGTAACCGAGCTGGCTCAATGTTCTTCCTGAAGACGACATGGCCTTTCGGGCGGTATAAGTTGCTTCCTTTATGGCATGCCATAGCTTTCATGGAGTCAGAGAGTGGTTTTTTTCACTACGGGAAAGACACGGGTATGAGAGCGCTTCTTCAATTTTAATCATAATGACCAGATACAGCTGCGTAAATCGCGATTTTTTCTGCCCAGTCAGCCTTTCAAAGCGAGTTTATGAATTGCATATGGGGATACGTGTTTTAATTGAGCAGACATAGCGTCGGTTTTATTCATTGTCATTAGCAAACCAGCGCCATGCCTATATGTTCTTCTATCTCCCAACAGTGATATTCTCTGTCTCCCGTCTACATATTCACCATTAAGGTTGGCATACGCCGACAATTTTCATCCAATGAATAGCCAGATTCATTGAATACAGTACAATCTGCTCTGTCCTGAGTAAATTTCTCCTCTCTCTCTCTCTCTCTTCACCATTTACCCCTCTATCATGAATATATAATCCTCCAAATAATAATCCAAACTACCCATTCCTTTATCTATCTACCTTATACCAACCCTCTTGTATATATTTGCATCACCACTTCCTCATACTGAGATATGAACATATATAATTTAGCTTCATCCGAAAGACGGGGCAGTCCACACCCCGGTAGTCTCTATCCATAACTTCCTCTATAAGAGCAGTCTCCTTCTTGGAGGAAAGTCTGCAAGATTGACTTGTGCAGAGATATGGCTAACTTATCTTCTTTTCTATACTTCATTAAGACTAATATATATCCAAGAATATATCGGGCATTGGACTATCTATATCTTTTGATTCCGAGAGCAGACAAATTATATTTTTACCTTAACGATGGTTTCTAGCTGAATATATCTGTTTCTGCAAATTCGATATACCGTCTGGCCCACTGCCACTCCTCGCTCCAACCCCTGCTTCCAATATACTCGGTACTTCTGGTACTCTCGCTGCCCCGGTCATGGTCGAAAATCTGGCGACGAAAGTTGTCTACCTGAAAGGAGCGGGCCGTCTGTACATCGACATGACCAAGCTGGTCGCCTTCCTCGGAGCCGAGTCATAGATGAAAAGCAGATTTATTATAATTATATATTGCTCGCGGAATTCTTTCGTTATGCCATCCTTTTCCCCGGATCGACTCCAGGGATACGTCCTCTCGGCTAGATTCTTTACGACCTGCTCCGCCATCTCGAGTGTTCTTCTAGCCTCGCTGCCCTTCAGCAAGAAGTCCTGAAACATGGCTTCGTTGACATCCCAAATGTTTTCGATTGGCTATTTCTCAGCGACAAAAATTTAAACATGAATCTTGCAGCCATGGCGAGGAAGCTCTCTAAGATTCATCGGTATCACTTTGTTGATCAACGCGGAGAGTTAACCAGCCTTCACTTTGATCAAAAGCACGATATGTTCCAGGAGCTATACAGGATCCTGCACTTCATGCTATCTTCAGCATCGAAGTAAATAAGCACTCTCAGAACAGGAGCGGCGGGAGATGATGAAATGGTTACATTCGTTACGCCCTAATATGGGATTTAGCCTAGATGAGGCCTACAATACTAGCTCCATTGGTTTTATCTTCCAGGGATCATACGCCACTTTCTGTGAGCTTAATGGACTTTCTTTAGTGAGGCTCCTCTTTGAATGCTTTACAGCAGATCTTCTTCTATCGATTCTTGCTGGCGCTCTTGATGACAGATTGCCTCCTGGATTATCCCATAGAAAACCACGACTGCCGCCTCCGCTGAGCCTATCGCTCCCGCTGAGCCTGCTGAGCATTCCGGGCTTGATGATTTACCGTTCTATAAGGATTTGACGAGTAATAGTGGGCTTTGAGTATCTTTCCCTTTCACTCCCAAAGACCCTCATTAATAGTCCTAGGACGAATGGACACAGTGTTCAAGTGCATTTCGCAAAGCTGCTGAATGATCCCCTTCTAAGGATCCAAGAGGCGGTGCCGGGTCTACCGGCTGTGAAAAGTTCCTTTCACACAGCGAACAGAAATACTCGAACCTATAATGATATACAGATGCAATTGGCTGGGGAATTCAATCTCCCTGTCCGTCAATGTCCTTGATTCTGATGTCTCTTTTTGGTCGAAACGGCGGCACGCTGGCGGTATCAAGCAAGTCAGTGGAGAGGAAGAAACTTGTATGTGCCTTTACGGGATCAACACACATGTTTTTTATACTGACCTTGGTAATAGATCCTCCCTGCCTGGTCTACTCCGCAATCTAGAGACCTTGATATTCTATAATGGCCTTTCCACCCGAAATTCTAAGTGAATAGTTTTCTTGCCTAATTATCCCAAGTCGAGCCGCGGCCGCTACGACCAAAATGACCCCTTCCATTGCGCTTCGATGGGTTGAGTATGATCCACACCACAACATATGGTGCCGCGTCGAGGATCTGGTGGATGCGACTGAGCTGGTAAGTAGTGATCGTGGTCGCGGTGGACGCGGCAGCCCTACGGGTTTCCAGAAAGCTGTACGTATATATCTTATTCCCATCAATACATAACTGAATATAATTTAATCTATATGTGTAGAAGCGCAATAGGAACCAGTGCAGCTGGTGCAAGAGACGCGGCCATGGCCACTGGGAGTGCGAATAGTACCTTGGGATGCGAATGATGGTAAGGACTACTGGCGATTCGGCCTGGATACGGCCATCACTTGGAAACAGCGCTTGAATGAGCCTGTTCCGGAGACATGGACTACTGTCGCCGCACATCTCGCATCGCTTCCCACCACCAAATCCCCGACGGGAGAGGAAACCTACACTCTCTACGAAGACATCCTAAATTATCTATCCAGGCTAATATTAAGAAAGGGGCGACAATTCATGGCTATCATTTAATTATCTTCGTTTGATGCAAAGCGCTCTTATGTTGATTTGACAAGTCACTCGATTTGAAGGTAGACGCGGCGACCGTGCATCGTCGCATGCTGGACATATTGAATAACCACGGTAGACCTTAGTGAAGTGGAGATGGAGAGATGGAGAGATGGGTATCGTGGGATTTGTCAATAGGCTTTAATGACGAGAGATCCTACGGCTTTAGCTACGCTGCCGTAAGAAGGGCACGCCGAGCGTTGACTAAGAAAATCGGGGATCTGTTACAGATTTGCCTAGGGATTTGCCTAGAAGGTCCCTTCTAGAGCAATAGGAACTTAGCTTTCTACTTCCCACTTAACCTCACCGTGCCATAACAAAGATATGAACTTTATTATATAGAATAGTATGTTTACTGCTTGACGAGGACGTCGGCATTTTCTAGAAGGCGGCATTACTTATTTAGTATCCCTCCTCACTGGAGGATAGCAACTTAGCTTCTTTCCTCCTACACTTCACGATACCATACTACTATTTGGTAGCATGTTATATACCGTCTCTTGGGATCCTGCACCAGGGCCTTCGAGATGACACGGATCCAAGGTTATGACCGAATCTAAGATCATGGAAGCAAGCATGGTAGAAAAGCATTTGATAAGGGAAGGGGATCTTGATTGCTTAAACAACTAGAAGATAACGAAATCTATAGAGTATTATGCCCTTGGGCTTTATTCTGATTAATTGCTGTTTGGAACACTACATCCGCCACTATATCTTTGCATTTCCTACTTCCGGCGTGTCTGATTCGATCCTAGATAGGTGGAAATAGGTGGCTTGATGTTGTCTGTTCTATACCCTTTATATAGGATGGTAGTGGCGTTTTGCAGCTCCCCTCCAGTAAAGCACTTGGACACTGACAGTTTATTCAGGGGTTTCTAGGCTCTGAACCAGTGCAAGAAGGTTTATCGAGACCGTGCTTGCCTTGAAACCCGGGTTCGGTATGAACTGTCTCGTCTATCAGTGCCTCCTTCACCCCCTCTTTAGCTCTTATTCTAGTGCCAACGATTCTCAGATATAGCGCTGTTAGCGAAGTGGAAAATTTGGAGCGAAGTTTCACCAAGAAAAGTAAAACCGAATTGAGGACCTTCGCCCTTTGTGTTATTTACGAGCACCGTGGATATTTCAAACCCGCCGGAAAATTGCCTTCATTCAAATAGGGACATAACAGGCGTACCCTTGCATTGACGGTTCACCAAACTCATGTTACTCAGCTTGAGGCAAATATTCGCAGCTTCTGACAGCAATATAGGGCATGGCGCACTGAACGGTGCGCTTGGGAATGGGAGGTCTTGCAGAAGGATCTCCATGACCAGACAGTGTGGCTCGAAAGTTGCCTACCTGGAAGGAGCGGACCGTCAGTTAATCGACTGATGCTATTATCATTCACAGCCCTTCCAAACTCATCGGGGTTGGACAGTGAAATTAGCAAGTTCTCGAGATCGTGAAAAAGAAACAAGATGGATGGAGAGTTAAAGTATGCTAGTTGCTATGTTTGTATGCAACTACAATCTGTATATAGATGTAGTACTACTGCATAACAGTTAATAGCAACCCCATGCTTAAATATAAAGCTTTTACATCTTTGGTAGATAGTTTAAGCTTATCAAAGAATTATTGCAACTCATGCAGCAAAGGCCACTTCACCCACCAGCTATAGTTATCATTATAACACAAATGTAGACCGCCCGGCATAAAAATAACAGAGGAGGCCTTCTTAGATATGTTTACCTTTCTTCTTCTTCTGGCGATGTCTTTATCTCCTCTATGACACCAGAAGACGCGTATGGTGTCTGCTCACCAACGTTTCGTTTCCTCACGACGCGTCCTCTTCTCTATCTTGCATATCATCTTCCTGTTTAGTATGTGTGATACCGATATCGCATACTAAAATACTACATATCGGTAGTTGAACAAAGGAAGAAGTGCAAAACCGTTATTCTCAGTCTGACAACTATCAACTTATCTTTGGCCATTCTTCAAGCAAAGGATCTTCATTTGGGAAAAGGTAAAAGAAGAGAGACTACCTGGATATGTTCTGTACACGGCTTCTGAGAAGATCTATGGCCTAAACCTGCAGAGTCTAGATACTCACGTCCTTGTGGGTGTTACATACTACAGTCTTCTTTCTTCCCAGCAGTGAGGGAGATGGTCAATATCCTTTCGATAGTGGCCGTTTCAATCATAGCTATCATGATCTATGCTTATTTGGTTCGCAAGGTTACTCATTGGATCATGGATTTGTTGGACGCGCTGGAGTACCTCACGATCGGAGAATATATGCTTCTCAAAGAATCTGTGAAGAAAGACGAAGAGAAAGCTCATCATGAAGAAGGATCCAAGTCTCCTGGTCCTCTTGCGCTACCATGTTCCTTGCCTGGTTGGAACTCTGATGGTTACGAAAATGGACGCCATCCATTCTTTACTCTCCCGACTGAACTCGTTCTGCTCATCACCAGCTATGTCCCTATTGTGGAGAAAGCGTCTCTGGCCCTGACGTGCAAACACTTTCTTTGCATGTTAGGCGATGAAAGTGTTCGACTGCTCGATGACACTACAACGCACAACGGAGACTACGCTCACATCAGTATTCAAATGAACCGCTGGAGATTGCTCAAGTTCCTTGAAAAAGACTTCCCAAACCATTTTGTCTGTCACAGCTGTGCGCATTTCCATCTGAATCTGCCTATAAAACCGACTTACGTCTCATACTACCCGCCCACATCGCTCTGCGTTACTAGGACCAATGCATTCTGGCGTGGTGTCTGGGGATGGTGTGTTGGTCATGAAAAGGTTCACGGCATCATGATGGCGCATCGGAACAAATGGACATATGGGATGAGTCTGGATGACTTCCAATACGAAAGACGCATTTCCATGAGCAAGTTCCGGTTGAGAATCGCCCGCGAAGGAACCACAGCAGAGACGGTGAAAGCCATAGCGCCGGCTCCCGATGACGAAGACGATAAGATCGAGTGCCACGAGGTTGTCTTCGCTAGTATCGCTTGCAATGAGTTCCTGCTTGATATGACCGCGACCTTTTTTGTTGATCGTGGAGCCCTGGCTCTTGAGGAGTATGTGGTTAATGAACGCTGCCCGAATCATGGGTTGAGCATTCTCGGAGACTTGAATAGGCTGAGGACAATGGGAAGCCCTGGGAGAGTCTGTATGGATTGTCATGCACGGACGGATATTAGAATCCAGGACAGCAAGGAGAAGCCGGAGATGGAAGAGGTGAAAGTCCGGACGGTGATCAGTCTGGGCAGTGGTGAGGAATCGTCTTATGACATATGGAAGAAAGCATGCGGTCACGATCCATCAAAGCTCTTTTTGAACTCATAGGTATCTTGCTCGTCTAAGATCAGGTTGAAGAAAGCATGTGGCCGCGGAAGCTATTCGGCTCCGCTATTGTTTTTAGGTTGTCTATGTTATGACATGCTTGGGCTGTGGGGAGTAGATAGGTACCTGAGACGTCGAGCGGTTGGGTTGGGTAGCTTAAGTGTGCTTATATCCCAAACCTCGAATACTCGGTCAATCGAAAACAGGCCCTCAGCAAGAATGAAATACAGAAACTCATTACATTATAATAGTAACGTTCAACTAGTATCTAGTTTATTATTGTTAAGTAATATGCGTCCAGTGTTCCTGGGGTGTCCAGCATCTATGTACATACATACATGTATGTATGTACAATACTAGGGCAATAGGTTAGCCCGTTTTTGTATTTGTGGAACTAATTTAGATCTAGGTTGGCAGCTTCTTGGTTCTGACCTCGATCCTTTTCTGTCCAGGGCGTGATGATAAAGATACTATGGCCACAGTATGCTATAGATCTGAATGTAGGGCAGCTGTCTATTGCCAGCCCCATGTTTCGGGTCGGGAAAGACACAAGTGCTGCCAGTTTTTCCTGAGTCGGTGACTTGACCAACTCTTAGACCTGCAACTGTCTGAATTGTTGAGGCCAGACCGCGACGGCTGAGATTTCTCTCGACCAACAGGTAAGCGCACCGTTAAATGGTGTATTTCCATACTCAACGACTCATGCTCGTACAAACAGCCTGAGTCCGGTACGTGAAAACCTCAGAGTCAATAACAGAATAGCAGCAGCGATGATAGAACACCCTGTAAAGAGCTGCACTCCCATGTACTTGTGCGTTTCGTTCAGAATGGCACCACCGATTGGGGTCCCGATCAACATGGCGATTCCGATGGAAGCAAAGAACATCCCCAACCTGGCTCCCAGGTCTCGTATGTCTTTGGTGAGGGTGACCATGACAACAGGTGGAAGGGACACGAACCCGCCGGAGCAGAAACCATATAGAATAGCAAGGATGATGATCCCAGGAGCATTGTGGACCGCAAGCCAACACAAAGCGAGTATTCCAGTCACGGTAGCTGCGGGCGCCAGCATGTTCAGGGGTCCAGTATGGTCAGCAATGAAATTGGGTACAATTCGACCAAAACTCGAAGCTGCGTTGAGCATCGGTAGAAGATAGAACCCGACATTGTCATTGACGATACCGGTCTGTATCGCATACGGCTGAACATATACCAGGAAGTTGTAGAACCCCAAGAAGCCCAGGAACATGGCCACGCAGAAGAGCACGTAGTGGACTTCCTTGAAGGCAGAAAGCTGAATCAGCGCGCGTTTCTCGGTTGGCATGAAACGCATGCGGAGCAATGAAAGCGAGATGCAGCACGTTCCCAGGGCGACAAACCCAAGAACTCGCGTTGCCCATGGGTATCCGATCTCCTGCTGCAGCTTATGGAACATGATCGGATAGATAACACCGCCAATGCTGCTCCCGCTAGCAGCAAGTCCATTGGCGAGTCCCCTCTTCTGCTTAAAATATTGCGGTAGAACCGCAACAGAGGGGACGAAAAGGCAGCCAGCAGCCAAGCCGACGCAAACGCCCTGTGCCAACATTAGATGCCAGTACTGCGTCGAGATGCTGGTCATCATGAGGCCAAATGAGAGCGCCAATGTCCCACATGTCAAGAGTGCCTTGAGGTAACCCGCGTCGAATAGAGGGCCAGTTATAACACCGATTAACATGAGCAGGAAGGACTGAATCGATCCTATCCAAGCGATGTTGTCCGCAGTCTGATTGGGAAGCGCCTGTTCATAGTACGTTTGGAAGACACCAAATGTGTTGATGATGCCCCTGTGAATTGTATGTATCAGTCGGCTGTAATTTAAATATGAGGTATGAGGCATGCGCTTCAAGAGGACATACCATGAATTGAAGAAACAAAACCACGAGCCCAGGACCTGTAGCCACGATATGAGGCCAGTGTCAAAGACTGGACCACCCTTTTGATAGCCGGACTGTTGATTCTCCGACGACTGAGGATCGGACTCACTGGTTGAGATCACCTCGTTTTTGTTGCCGGTATCCCCGTTGCTGGTAGGATCCATTATGGTTTGTTCCTTCTCCACGTCGTCCGCCATCCTAGCTGATGCTGTACTGTATGGATCTCAGAGAATGCTTCCTAGGTGTATATAGTCAGATAGAGGTAAGAAGAATCAACGATCCGCGCAGAAGCGCAGCAAGAAACATCTAGGATGGCGACGGTGGACGAGGCTGGATCGCCTAGTTAATCAATCCGCGGACAAATATCCAGACTGGCTAGGAAGCCCTCGCCTTTTAAGAGAGAACGAGCAATCGAGAACCGGTTATGTATGCGGGGCAAGCAAATATGACTACACTACTCTAATGGAACCCCAAGCTTTCAGATTCGGGCCTTTTTCAGGGCCCACTGGCTGAATCCTCCTGGATCTATCATGGCCAGGCGCCGTTATGAATGACCCATAAAGCAATATTCGTCGGCAAGAAGTTGTGATGGTTGAATATCCCCAAGCCTGGATTAATTAGTATCCTCGCTGGACGCCTGGTTCGAAACAATTGATGCTCCCACGCGGACCTTGATAACTTCACCGCTTCGATTTATCAAGAACAAGTGCTGACCTTGGCTGAGCGAGTGTGCCGCTTATCCAGAACCGGCAGAGCATCTCGGTTCTTTCTCCAACGGTGGGGGCCGAAGCACTGCGGTAAGTTCACTTAGGCCCACGGAGAGCGGGCTGAACTCCGGGGGGCTTGTTGATTAAGAATAATTCACCAGAGTACTAGTTACCGGCGATACTGCAAGACGGAGTGTGAATATTATGTCAGTATCTATTTTTTCATGAGAATAGGTTGGTTTCAATGAGAATAGACTCACATACAATGTCTATAACACCGAGTTATTGTTATAGAAATGGGATCTAAACAATATAAAGGTCAAAACGGTAATTATTTGATAGGGCCACTCCTGTGGTTTAACTCGGACCTAATTGAGTGTCGGCGAACTCCGCCAGTCGCTAATAGTGGAGGAAATTGTCGCGCCATTCCATACTAAGGCAATATATGACAATTGACGTCCAATGGAAGAAGAAGAATAATGATTCTGTATGCGACTACGCATGCTGCCGCATGGGCTTGCGCTAGCCCTGCTGCTACTTTCTTCCAGAAGTACTCTACTGTCCGCATAAATCTTCGAATGCTATTAATTTCTTACACAAGAGAGTCACGGGCTGCACTATCATCAATTATCAATCGAAGCTAACGAGGACCACATGGCATAATGGTATGTACTCTACATGTACAGAGTGCTACAAGGATCATACAAAGAGGTCGGCTATAGAGATCTTTTGTATGATCGTGTACCAACAAGTCGATGCGGACATATGACTACGAGGTACCATGATTATTCCGACAGGATGTAGTAAGACTTAAATAGATAACTACCGCTTTTCACATTATCGAAGTTTGGGTTGGTAACAGTCGTCACAGCAGAGCCAAATGCACATCTTCTACACAAACGAATCACCAAATTTTTTTGAGCCTGACATATTTACTTTTCTTTTTCAGAAGAACAAGTTGCAGCTATTCAGCCACATCATTAGCCTTATTGACACCCAACACCCAACGCTATGCCGGAAACCCAGAGTATGTTGTATCACAATAGAGAGAAAGCAAAATCAGAACGACCTTCTAAAAGAACACAAGCGGACAATTACAGCAATTCCTCGCAAGTCCAGTCCTCGTACCTGCGGGGGAATCGTTAGATCAGATATGAAAACGTCACTTCAGCGAGGTGGCTCACCATCCATCAGGGAGGTATCTCCTCACGATCAAAGGAATCTTCTTCTGGTTCAGTTCCTTGAGAGCGATCTGGAGCGGGTCGGTTTCACCTTCAAGATCGACCAGCACAGGGGCGTTCAAACTGTAGCCTGTGTCAGCGGCAGTGTTCATCGCGGTCACCCAGTTTAAAGCTTCCTTGCAAGACGCACCTGATCTGAAGTGCTCTGGTTCCTAGGACACGAGCCCTCTCATACTTGGTCATGTAGGGAGTTGTCGTGCGCTGGTCGTTCGGCACTTTCTTTTCTCTGTATTGTTCCATAACCTTTCCCCCGGCATATGCATTGGGATCACCCGAGACGACCACTCTGTCTCCATTCACAGCATGCGCATAGGATTCCTCGGCGCCATAGCCGTCGGCGCCACCCTCAGTAGCTTCGAGATTCTCAGGGTCGAGGTAGTCTTCCGGCTCATTTTCATCGTACTCCTGCTCGGCGGGCTCGTAGTCAAAGCTGGTGTACGGACATAGTGTCAGAACCAATCATACCCAGTCGCATAATCGATACAAGCAGCCAGAACTCTGCAGGAGCGTCTGCTGCCGCAGTATCTGCCCGAGTGGACTAAGTCAACTTACCCAGTGTCCTCAGCGTCGTGGTCACCGTAGTCGGACATCGTGCCGGTATTGAGAGTTTCGCAGGATAGTTCGAACGAACGACTTTAAGATCTCTCAGACGAGCACCTCCAAGAAGAGATAAACGATAGACAGCGGAGTTCTGGATGCCGCGACAGCGTGGTGCAACTCGACTTTGCCGGTCGAGATCGCGATTCCTGAGGCGGCGGAAAAACTTCCTTGCTCGCATACGGCGCTAGTCCGTTCCTAGACTCGCCTAGCGGAGCTCCTGGGAAACTCACCGCCTTTGACGGAGCGCACCGGCAAAATAGTATTATTTTCTTTCGATAGAGAACTTTTGGAAGCTGGTCTCAATGTTTTAATGCCATTCAATACAAAGGCACCTGGCTAGCCTTGTGGCTCTACGGGGGCCATGGCATTGAAACGAAAGGCTGCTTCCGAGGCTGTCCGGAATGCAAAGCGCATCCAGACGCAGGCCCTGGATAGCTCCGGTAAGAGCTTCTACGGTCGATCTTCCAGCTTGCATGGCTAATATACTGAACAGATCCGATTTATGGGGAACCCCAATCGGATATAGACTATGAGTCTTCCGAAAATGGAAGCGTTGCTGGGGACGATGGTGATGAACACACTGAGACTCCAATGACGCCCTTCTCACCGTCCTCCTCAAAATATCCGTCAGAGTTGAAGACACACCTTTGCCCTTTCGATGGATGTACGAAAGCCTTCAATCGGCCGGCTCGATTACAAGAGCATATTCGGTCCCATAACAATGAGCGAATGTTCAGTTGTACGTACGACGGATGCGATAAAACCTTTCTTCGGGCCTCGCACCTCAACCACCATATTAAGAGTGCACACACCTCAATCCGAGATTATGTCTGTGATAGGGAAGGCTGTGGGAAGAGCTTTGTCACTGGCTCCCGGCTACGGAGACACCTTGCGGCACATGATGGGAGGGACAAGTATCGCTGTACAGAATATCCGCCCTGTTCGGAGACATTCCGGAAACACTCGACCCTCCAGAAACATGTCATGATGGTGCACCAAAATCGGAAACCTTTCCCATGCCCTCACGTTGATCCCATTACGGGACAAAAATGTGGGCAGGCATTCGATACAGCAGGCCACTTGAAAGCACATGAGGCACGTCTACACACGGAGAAGCGGTTTAGCTGCGCGGAATGCTCCCAACAAGCAGAAAATGATACCAAGCCTCCTGCTGAATTATACTTTACAACCTACGCGATGCTCCAAGCACATATCAGAACGGTGCACCCTCCAAGATGTGCAAACTGTCCGATTGTCTGTTCCACGTCACGAGAGCTCCGTCGTCACCTCGAGGTCGTACACGGCGACGTTAGCCTCGAAGAGCGAAAGATTTTTCCATGCACTGTTCCCGGATGTGACCGAAGTTTCACTAAGAAAGGCAACTTGACAGTCCATGTGCGGACCGTGCATGACGGAGAGAAACGATTTGTCTGCGGAGAAATCGATCTTTCGTCCTCGAAGAAAGTCGACGGATGGAATGGTGAAGGCTGTGGAAAGCGCTATGGCAGTAAGCTCGCATTGGAAGAGCATGTCCGGACCGCACACCTAGGGTTCCAAAACGCCAAAGCAGAACGCAGGCAACGCCTTGGACTGAGCAAGGCACAAAGTCGAGTCAGGCAGCCTGTACCATCCGCTCTGGCGACCCTGACTGGGGAAGGCTATGCCGAGGAGACTGGCCGCCATATCGCATGCTTTGTTGAAGGTTGCAGTCATAGGTTCCACCGTGACTACGACCTTTGGGTGCATATGAACAGCAAGCACAACTGTTCAGAAGACGAGATTCAAAACCTATTTACCCAACGAGCGCTGTTGACGGCTGGAATCATGGACGACCCGAATCCTTTCGGAATATATGGCATGGAGTTTGATGATGAACATATCACCTCGCTCCAGCTCCTCAAAGGTACTGGTAGCGACTCTCACACTGCCGCCGCCAATGCTTCCAATTGCCCCGCTACTGAGACAGATTTCTTCGAGGCTTCTCGAACATTTGATGATATGATTATGGAGCATGCTTATACTTCAAATCGTTGCGGAGAACCCACCGATTTTACGATACCCAATGACGACACGACAATGATTGACCCTGTACTAGCTTACAACTTGATGGAAGGTTGAGCGACTGTTATTCGTGCTAGCTTTTTTGTTGGATCTGAGGACTTCCTGAGAGCTATTACATGTGAATGTTCGCGAAATTTTGCAATAGGCTACATTTTGATGGCCTTGAGGAACCATGGCGTTACTTTTACAATTGATTTCGTCCTCACTTTGAAAACTATCTTGTAAAGACATCAGCGTCTGATGTCCGAGATTCTTATGAACTATGACCTCTAAAGGTTCCTTGCTTTTTACATCATCCGCTAAGAATATCAATTTTGCGATCCATCTTGACATAGGTCGAATTACTATTTCCGTCGACCTGCAGAGTAAGTCATGCTTTAGGGAAGGCGGTTAAAGATGGCAGAAATCATCCAGCGGTAAAGAGCTTCGAGGAACATGTTCAAGTTATCTTGCCATTTCACACGCAGGCAACTTACCTGATGATTAAGTACTTCAATGGTTGGTGTGCGATATAGTGAAGATCCCACTTTTTGCCACCCAATATGGGTATGTGTGAAGCCTCGATGATAGAACCGTCACGCAGTTTAATGATTTCTGTGATAGGACTCGGCCAATGCTCGGTTGTCACCGTGCGCCATGCCGTATCTTTCGGCTGTTCCAGCCAGCATAATCCTCATGGCCGCAATTCATCATATTGGTGGCCGTTGTTTCAGTCTTTGGCGTCCAAATTGGACACATCCATTCATTGTAGAGCAAATTGAAGATAATCATGGGCTCCAAGCACAAAACGGTCCACGAGATTTGGGCTGGACAATCTCCCTTTTCATCCTCTCAGTTGCCGGCTTTATAGTGGAACTCATTCAATTGGTTCCTCCTGGGTTGGAATCTTCATCTGCCGTTATCCTAGCCTCATGGGTAAGTAACTCTTGCATCTTACAAGCATTAGTTGACAGAGGCTAGGGAATTGCCGCCGTTCTAGTTGCTATTAAACGCCCGAGCTCATGCCTGACTTCCTTGCTTGCATACTATTTATCAGTGCTGATAGTGGAGTTGTCATTTGTGCTTTTCCTTTATTCCCCGACGCCGTTCAAGCTTGCTGCTCGTTATGGCAGCATCGGTATTGCTGCGGCTGCTTGCCTGATCATTCTCTTGATGCCTCTTCGGGAACCCTCACTTGCATGCGTCAAAATCAGCCCTGTGGGCCAACTTCCGTCAAGCGATTTCCGGAGTCCTGAAGATAACTTGCGACTCTGGCAATTTCTGACAGTCTCATGGATGGCACCACTGATTTCTACGGGGCGGAAAAGACAGCTAAATGAAGAGGACGTTTGGACACTTGGTTTCGAGTTCCAACATCGGAGGCTGCACCAGAAGTTCCGTCAACTCAGAGGATCCGTCCTTGCACGCGTATTTCGCGCCAATGGCTTAGATGTTTTCCTTATCTGCGCCGTCGCCATCATGCAGATGTTCTGCGGTTAGACTTAGAATGGTACATCGAGGATGAATGAGCGCTAACATCTGGATAGACTTCTCGACACCGGTGCTACTGCAGCAGCTTCTGTTGGTTATGAGAGATCCCAGCTTACCAAAGCGTGTTCCTTTGACGTACGCCTTGCTGTCACTGGCACTTCGTTTAGTTTCAGCACAATCGCAGGTGTTTAGTCTATGGTATGGAAGACGGTGCTACGAAAGAAGTAGAGGCGAGATGATCATGATGGTATATGAGAAGGCTTTATCCAGAAAGAACATACTGGGGCCTCGGATAGAAGATAAGCCAGAAGAGTCAGATGAGGAGACAGATCGGCTCATTGATCAGGACGTTGAACACGCAAGTCAAAAACCTAGCACTAAGGCTAGACGTATATGTGGGATCGTTCCATGGAAACGCAAAGTCCATAAGGAAGACGTCAAAGAGGCCGCATCTATGGGCAAGATATTCAACCTTCTTCGCGGAGACGTCTACGAAGTTGCTCAAAGATTCTGGGAGGTAGACTCCTTGATCGATAAGCCCGCAGGTCTTGTGATTGCCGTTGTTCTAGTGTGGGAGCTGTTCGGACCATCCTGCTTATTGGGTGTGTTGGCAGTTCTGGTGGCACAAGCGGTAAATGCGGTAATCACTCGTACTCTTCTTCGATGGGAAAGAGTCAGGAGGACAGCAACAGATGCCAGACTGCAAATTACTTCGCAGTTTGTGGAAGCGATCCGTCATCTGCGCTGGTACGGATGGCAGAATCACTGGCTCCTCCAAGTTATGGAGGCCAGAAACCACGAGCTTAACCTCCGAATCGTCACTAGCCTATGGAATATTCTGATCCGTTTCATCAATACATTCGCTAGCGGCGTCTTTCCGGTGGTTGCTCTATATGCATACGCTTACCTGACTGGCCATGCTCTCCGTATTGACATTATTTTCCCTGCGCTGCAGCTGTTTACCATGCTGGAAACGCGACTCCGCGATATTCCTGGTTTGATCACGGCCCTTATCAATGCCTCGGTCGCCCTTGGAAGGATAGAGGATTTCATGTCTGAACCGGATAAAGAAAAGACATGCAGCGACTCGAGCATTTCTTCTCTTCAGTTGGAATCCTGTTCTTTCGCTTGGCCCGGGCAAAGATCGCCAGTACTTTCAGATCTGACATTGACGATTGCAGACGGTTTGACGGTCGTTCACGGCAAAGTTGGAGCTGGAAAGACAGCTCTTCTCCAGGCCCTGCTAGGCGAACTGGACAAGCTGAGTGGTATATCTCGAATACCAGATGAGATGGTGGGATACTGCGCACAGTCACCGTGGCTTCAAAGCATGAGCATCCGCGACAACATTCTTTTCTCTTCTCCCTACGATGAACAGCGGTACAAACAGGTTTTGGACGCCTGTGCTCTGCTCCCAGACCTTTCAAATTTCAAGCACGGTGATCTCTCATTCATAGGTGAGAACGGGATTGGTCTTTCGGGAGGGCAGAAAGCACGCGTAGCTCTTGCCAGAGCAGTATATAGCACTGCAAGGGTCCTGCTCTTAGATGACCCGTTGTCTGCTTTGGATTTCAATACCGCAGAGGATGTTGTCCGCAAGTGCTTCTCAGGCCCCTTGATGAAAGGCCGCATAGTGGTCCTAGTTACCCATCGCACAATGCTAGTTGAGCATATTGCAGACCAGTTCGTCGAAATAGTGGATGGACGAGTGACTGTTGATAACAAACCCCGCAGGTCCTTTACTAGGACCGACCAGGCACCACAGCCAAGTCTAGATGACGTCGTGCCTGGAGACCAAGAAGATGTTGACGAAGACATCACTGCAGCCGTGCCAGACAAGTTCATCGAAGAAGAGCACAGAGCACAATGGGGCGTACAGGCTAAAGTCTACTGGAATTACATCAAAGCCGGAAAACTCAAATGGTGGGCCGCACTTATCACAATACTGGCAATATACCGTCTTGCATCGGTTGGGCAGTCTTGGTTCCTCAAAGAGTGGGGAGAAGCCTATAATCTTGTACGTCTGGTATTCAGCTATCTCACTTCGAGGACAGCCATCTCCGAACAAGTGATGCAGGTAACTCCACCTGGGCCGCCTGGCTTCAACGCAGATGCAAGACCCGTGAATCCCATTGACATGCTACCACCGCCAATGGACGATGTCAAGCCATGGTTGCTTACATTCTTTATCATTACGACCTTTCAATCGGTCACTCTCCTTGTAGCGCAATTATTGATGCTTGTGATCATCTACTGCGCCGCCAAAACATTGTTCCAGCAAGTTATGGCTCGTGTCAGTCATGCTACGTTCAGATTTTTCGATGTCACTCCAGTTGGTCGCCTGATGAACCGCTTAACATCAGATATTGGAGTTGTTGATGGAAACATTAGTGAGCAATTCCAAGTGATCGCGTTCGAAGCAATCACTTGGCTTTCTTCAATCCTGGTAATAGCTTCGGTAACACCGACCTTCCTGATATTTTCCTTTCTGCTCACAGCAGGGTTCATTATGATTTTTCTAAACTTTCTACCCGCATCACAGAGCCTGCGGCGGTTGGAAATGGTCTCACTGAGCCCGCTGATCTCTAACTTTGGAGAACTTCTACATGGACTGACAACTGTGCGCGCATTCCGTGCCCAGATACGTTTCCAGGATCGTGTCATCGAGGTTGTTGATAGGTTCCAAGGGATGGATCATTTCTACTGGTCGTTGCAGAGCTGGCTCATGTATCGCTTTGAGAGTCTCTCTGCCTTATCGACATTTTGTCTCACAGTCCTCGCCCTCTATATGGAGATTTCCCCCGGCCTTGCTGCGTTCGTCCTTATTGCTGCTAACAGTTTTGTTGCGTCAACGCATGCTTTGTGTAAACAATACGGCCAACTGCAGATGGATTTTGTATCCGTCGAAAGGATTGACGAGCTTCGACATATTGAACAAGAACCACCAGGGACAATCGAGCCACCCGCTTCGTGGCCAACGTATGGCTCAGCCGTTGTATTTGAAGATGTCACCATCAGATATGCACCGCATCTCGATCCGTCTCTGACCAATGTCTCTGTTCGGATCCCAGGAGGCTCTACAGCAGCGGTACTAGGTCGGACCGGTAGCGGAAAATCCACATTTGCCTTATCACTCCTTGCTGCTATTCGTCCAGAGTCCGGCCGGATATTGATTGACAACATTGACATCGCAAAGGTCAGCAAACAAGGACTTCGAACTCGGGTTACGTTCGTCGCTCAGGACCCCATCCTATTCCCCGGGAGCATTCGCCTCAATCTCGATCCAACGAATGAATACTCTGACGGGGAGTGCGCCGACGTTCTGAAGCGTATGTGCAGCAGACACGGCTGGACCCTTGAATCGCACATCGAGGCCGGTGGCCGCAACTTGAGCCAAGGGCAACGGCAACTCATCGGACTTACGCGTGCAGTGCTTCGCCGCAGTCCGATAGTCATCCTCGATGAGGCAACAGCGTCAATTGACCACGAGACATCTCTAGAAATACAAAATATAATCAGAGACGAAATGCGGCAATCGACAGTCATTACTATCGCGCATCGGTTGGAGGCAATCAAAGATGCAGATTACTATGTTGTCTTGGACCAAGGGACGGTGTCTAAAGAAGGACTGGTGAACGAGGCGGCTGCACCATGAGCACACCGACTAAGATGATGAGGAGAAAAAAAAGTTTGCACTCACGGATTACGATAAACAATAGATCAATTATGTTCAGCGACTCATGGTATACAGTCTTCTCTCCTCGCCTGTGATGTACGCTACAGATAGGCCAGTGCTTAGCAAGTATGGAGATAAATCAGTCTCATGGGGGTGATAATATCATTATATTACATTTATTTCTATCTCCCCCCTCCCCGATCCAACTACCTCAGCCCACTTCCTCCCCAATTCCCACTTCCCCAATTCCAAACACTGTACGGATCATTAGGAACAAGGTTAAAGAGTACTGTTTAGCACCAATAGTCAGCCACGGATTTCAACGCAGACAACTCAGGTAGGAATTCATACTTTGCCCGAAATTCCCCAAAGCTTCATCCAACTGATCGTCGATTTGATGGTATTGACCATTCCAGAATGGATTGAATGAAAACCCCTGGTCCGTTTCAACGGGTATAGATCCCGTGACGAAATTGCTATTATACTCGTTCGATGAGAAAAACTGCTGCTCCGCAGTAGTAGTCTCATCTTGAGTAGTAGTAGTCTGGTGCTGCGGAGCAGAAGGAGCCGAGTCACCATCATGGACACATTGTAGATGACTACTTGCTCCTGCCATCTTAGGGGAACCGTCGTCTTTTAATGCGTTCTCGAGTTCTTGTTGGAGACATAGTCTGACTAGTTTCGTAAGTAGTTCTTCTGTGTGTTTTGCTATTTGGCTTTTGAAGCGGAGCTTGCGAGCTGCGCGGATTATCCGCAGAGTTCCTGCTTTTGATTCAGTCGCCTTGGCGCTGAATGGCCAGAGGGTAGGTGGAAGACATAGGATCACTCCTGCTGAGAAGAAATGCATCAAGAGGAAGGAGATACAGAATTGGGACTCGAATGGGGTAGCTGGTACTTTGGAGATGCGAAGAGCCGCCTCGAAAGCCCGGTTTATCGTTGCTCGGATCTTGGGCATGAGACTGGCGATCCCCGATCGAAGCTCTGGTGCCACATGATATTCGAGGAGTGGTCTGTGGATGAACATGACAACACTATCGTATGTTAGTTGTAGCATGTGGCCTTGTAATGACAAGTTGTCTATCGGGCGTTGATGCTGCGATGATGATGATGATGATGATGATGATGACCTGTTATTTATCATGGGGTCATCATCTGTCCAAGCCCGTCGGAGCAGTGCAGGTGGTACTTCGGCTTTCAAAGCTTCGAGCGACGTGCGTGCGTTTTCGATTGTTTCTACGAGACGGAACATGGCATCGACGGAGACTGGGTTCTGTAAATTGAGACCGCGGAATTGGTAGAGGTACGATCGTATGATCTCATATAGTCGATACCTGAACACGAAAAATGATAATCCGTTCACGTTAGGGTCTTGCAGAGCGTCATTGCAGGTAGTTGGTAACAACTCATTGTCCTCAAGTTGAGTGACTTGGTGTAGGCCGCAGAAAGCAGGATCTAGGGATAATGGTCGGCCGAAGATCATGGCTGCAAAAGTGTCTGCTATAGTTACATGGTTCCATGTCCGGTGACGGATTTCGGCCGTAATCGGGTCGAACGTCAGGTCATGGTCGTCGGTGTGCAGTGATAATGCGTATGCGGTGCGAACAGAAAGGCCAAGTATGTTCCAGGCCAGGCTGGGAGATCCGTGATAGATGTAGAATGTTCCTAGCAGGATACAGATCTGGACTGACTCAATGCGGCAGTCATCCAGCAGATCCATCAAGTGAAGGCGCACTTCTGCAAGCAAGTCATCTTTTAAAGCATGAGCTTGCAATGAAGATGAAGCCAGTGTATCATGTCCACTCCAGTTCGGGTCCTGGGCTGCACATTGCAAACCTAAGGCTGCTAACAACAGAGCTGTCACGACTGGTCCACGATCATCTACCTTCCAGACCGCAGAATCCAGCAATGGACGGACCGAGTCCATGAAACGTGGCCGGTAGAAGAGACATATGAACCAATGTACACGTTCAAAGTACGCATCGAGAAGCTCTAGCATCAGTGGAGCTGGAGGCATCCGCATCCCCTTCAAGGACCATTCTGATACACTTCCGGTGGAATGTAGCGGATGGCCTGGGATGCTGGAGATATCGTCCGCATGAGAAGCTGCATGTTCTCCGAAAATATTGACAGCGAAGCCCACAGCTGAGCTGTTGATGCCAGCCCGACAACGAGGTCGAGTCTCAGTCGGCGTGCTCTGGCTTCGGACGTCATTGCTGGCAAATGTGCGTGCACGCCGTGCTGGGCCTTTTCTGCTTCGTCTTGGAGTTGGACCAGCTTGGTTCTTGCAGACCATGCCCGAGCGGACACACATGATACATGGTCGCGAATCATCACACTAGCTTCGATATCAGCATCAATGAACATCTACACTCGCGGTGTTGACCAATCCGATTGACCTTCAACTTTTGCCGGCGGCATCTTTCACAGGCGCGGCCGACTCGGGAGGTAGATGGCGGTGGAGATTGCACCGGAACATCATCTGGCATCATCGGCCTTAGCTATTCGTCTTTCGTTTAGAATAGAATATAATCCGAAGCGTTGATTATGAACCTATAGAACCAGACGTGTTAAGGGGGAAAGGAGAGTATGAAGATGAAGATGATGAAAGACTCCACCGGAAAGACCGAGGCAAAATTCCACCGGCATGGTTAGTGAAGCTTCCGTCGTTAGTAAGCAATTGGTTGGTGAATATTTCTCCGCTTCTCTCTTTCCACCGGATGTTCCTGGTCCACTTCGTGGCGGTGACATGGCCAGCTACTTCATTTTCATTCTAGAATTGCTCAAGAGATATTATTACTGAAATAACTAACGCAACACTTTTCCCGTTCTTCTACTTTATTTGATTATTACCTGCTCAATTGCGCTCCACCGATGTATGTAGAAAACCTGCAGACTATTATTTCAGCGGCCAACGGCGCTGAGGCTGTTCTGTCTGTCAATGGTCAAGCTAGATGAGGATGATAAACGTTGGGAAACAAAGAATCTCTCAAGAGATCCGTCCATAATACCTGATGCGCTACAGAGGACTAGACAGGGGTCCGCGACAAGGTTCTGTGCTTACATTCGGTGAAGAAATTGGATCTTGATAAGTTTTGTTCTGTACAGATAAAGAATAGACCATTTTGCCCTTTGAGCAAGATGTTGTTGACGTGCTTGCGACAGAATGCCTGATTAAAATCCCTGCATGTTTATGCATCGCGTCCTTTCTTTAATTGGAAGTAAGTATGCGGTCACCGGCATACAAAGGAGGATAACAGACTGTTCCTTCACACTGAGTTAACACGTATCGAGGCATTTTGTAGCATTTCCTTGCATTGATAACAACGTTAGCTTCTTGATTTGCTTTGCCATTAATTGCTTTTCTGCATAGGTTAAACTAGCACTGTATTGCCCTTTTCACTTTGATTAGCGCAATCTGATTTCGACGGGGCCCCTCGATTCCTGAAGAGATATTAAAGGGGTCAATCGTGGCATGAATATTATGTCAAAACGGGCTGTTTGAGGGTATTTACGTGTTCACCCGGACGATGTATTTGTGGTATGATAAGCATTTCCAGCAGTATGTCAAAGGATAGAGATCTAGAAAGGTCAAGGAGAGAATGTGGCCGAATACTCTCATTGAGATCTTGCTGGCTGTGCGCGCCAAATGTAAGCCTTCGTGGCGGGGGGCTGGAAATGGCGATCACAATCAGAGAAGAAAGCTGTCGATCGCCAATAAAAACGCCTGTGATCAATGAAATGCTGCGAAGCACCACGCCGCAGAAAACCGAATATGAGGTATCTGGTTGGCTACAGATGGGGGCAAATGGAGTCGAAAGTGCAGGCAAACAGAAGGTCCGATCCATACCCTCTGACGTTACAGGGGACCAGATTTGATACGTCGCCGATATATGTATCAAAGCACAGGATTATCCTCTTAAGGGGGCCAGTGATAATCCCAAACGCTTAGATTCCTAAGAGAAACACCGGGATGTATGGATGCATGCCTTCTTCCAGAGCGTTGACTTAAAGATATCTATGGATGTGACGAGTAATATTTACAGGGATATCCAGACTACAGCTTGAGACAACGCGTCGATCCCATTGATTACCACCATAGTATCCGGAGTCGAGAATAATGAGGGTCTTTTGGATGGGATATAAAGGATGCCAACTCATCTCTATCGAAACGTCGTGAGACGTCAAGGTCTCCTCGATATCTGTCAGATATCTCCATCTCATGACTTAGTGATTTGTCTTTTTTCTTTCTGGGCCTTTCAATATGGGTAGACTAAATGATGATGAATCGCTTGCTGGTCCGCTGTTGCTAGAAAAGATTGATAAATTATTTGCCTGCAACGTTGGTGAATATATTGACCTTCTACAGCTTGTTGTCGTTGGTGACCAGTTAAATAATAAAAGCTCCGTCCTGGAAGGTTTAAGCAGACTAGCCTTCTCTTAAGATAACGGCCTCTGCACAAGATTTGCAACTCAAATTATCTTCCGCAGAACCAAAAATACTAGAAGAAACATTACTACATCTATAATCCCAGATGGCCATATCGACAGTGAACAGGCATCTCAGCTACAAGACTAGAAGGCTCAGGATCTGCAAGATTTGCGTCCTGATAACTTTTCGAGAATAATATCAGAGGCAAGTCACTGGGATCTCTTTTACTGAACTCAATAGTCTGACTGTGCAGTATACAGGTCCATACGCTCATGGGTCTCTCAACTTCTGAAGGAGATGGATTACCAACGTTCTCTAGACACGTTTTACGATTGGAGATTTGTGGACCCAAAGAAGACCATCTCACTGTAATTGATGTCCCCGGTATTTTTCGAATGACAACTCCGGGTATCACTACTCAAGACGACAAAAAGATGGTTCGAGAAATGGTTCAAGGGTATATGAAGAACCCACGTTCCATCATGCTCACCGTCGTATCGGCCAATGTTGATATTGCAAACCAGGAGATCGTTGAAATGGCGAGAGAGGTGGACCCATCCGGAGAGCGAACACTTGGAGTTCTTACAAAGCCAGATCTCGTCGATAAAGGAGCTGAAAATAAGGTAGGAATCTGAAGATGAGGCTAGGCTGGATTGTAGTTCGCAATTTAGGCCAGAAGGAGCTCCAGGAAGGAGGCGTAGATCGAGACATAGCGGAAGAGGATTTCCGTCACACACATCCATGGAACACTATTGGAGAAGAGAAATTCGGTATCAAGGCTCTAAGATCTCGTCTTCAAGAAACGGTGACCACAAATGCCCGACAGGCTTTTGCATCGGTACGTTTGAACTCCTTTGCGAACTAGACTTGAAACTAACAATAAATATGAAGGTCCGTGCCGAGATCAACAAAAAGCTCAGAGAACGACAAGATAACCTTGCAGGTCTTGGGGAAGAACGTGAAACCCCAGAGCAGCAAAGCAGATATCTGCTGAAGGTCATGAACTCGTTCGAGGGCATCACGCGACATGCCCTGAGTACAAACTATAGTTCAAACGACCATTTTGACGAAGATGAAGAGCTGCGACTCGCTACACGAATCGTCAACAGGAATGACGAATTTTCCAATGATATGGCTCTATGGGGTCATGAATACGATTTTGCGATCGACAAGACCCATGGTAGCACAGCTGACCCCCACCATACTGATATCAAAGACGAATACCAGTTCGAAAGCAGAAAGCTTTCTGTTCTCCCTGACTTAGAAGATATTCTCCATCTGGAGGAGGGTGGAAGTCTATGCAAGCCACGGGGCGACGATATCTATGCGTGGATAGAGAAACAATACCGCAGCTCCCGGGGATTCGAGATCGGGACCTTTAACTGCACTCTGCTCTCCACAGTTATGAAACAGCAATCGAGAAAATGGAAATCCATTGCATATGGATACATAAGCGACATAATTATTATGACGCACACGTTCACTCTAAAGGCGTTGAGTCTAGCCTGTCCCGATGTTCGAGTTTGCCAGAATCTATTGTCTGTTCTGATGGATCAGCTTGTGGAGAGATATACATCTGCAATTGACAAAGTAAAGTTCCTTCTTTTCGTTGAAAGGTCTGGTACTCCAATGACGCTTAATCATTATCTCAATGATAACTTGGAAAAATGGTACGTCCCCAAGCTCTGTCACTGTGCGCGGCTAACCCTGAGTACAGTCGACAAAAACGATTCATATCTGATATAGGGGAGAAGTCATTGGACGCTGCTTCCCACGGAAGAGTTGTTCGAGTTGATGATCTTGCCACACAACATCACATGAGCAACGAAGCGCATACCGTTCGGGACATCCATGATATTCTCGAATCCTACTACAAGGTGGCACGTAAGCGTTTTGTTGATAACATCTGCATGCAGGCAGTTGATTACAACCTTGTGACTGGCCCGAATACTCCAATGCATCTATTCTCTTCTTCTCTCGTCTCTAGTTTCACAAAAGAACAGCTGGATGAGATTGCTGGCGAAGAGACAGCACTGAAGCGCAGACGGCGCCAGCTGGCTAAGGAGATCGAAGACCTTAAACAGGCAAGGAAAATTCTTTTCTGATTCACTGAACGATGATGGAACTTTGGAGGGCAGTTCGGTTTTCTGCGAAGACATCCTGTACATGAGACCTGTTCAGTCACCGTTAGGACGATCCTCTAGAGGTCACACACAGGGAGGATTGACCAAAGGTGTGGATAGAAATACAGATTCAATGGACGTGGTTTCTTCATAAGCTCTTTACCATATTAAACTACTAACACCGCGACGAGAATTCTTCAATGCTTGATATGGCGGTAGTCTTACCACACGAGCTAACTTCCAAAAACAGATGCTTGTGGTTATTCCACGAATGTTACTCAAATGATGCGAAATCTGACAAAGTGAACTAAACTAGTATGCTAAGCGGGATTCCTCTTCCCAGCCCTTCATCGCGGTATCACTTCCTCCGTGCTGCAGAAGACTGCTCTTAACAGTCTAGACCTAGTAGAATAAATAGTCTAGGTATGATCTATTGGAGCCCTTATGTTAAGCTCGATATGTTGGAGAAGGGGGAGAAAATGTCCAGCAGAATTGCTTAGTGAACTCTTTATTTGGTATATATATAGTATGAATTATTTAAATCTCCAGAACTATCCACGTCTCAAGGAGATTTAGGAACCATCTTCAGATCCGCAAATTCGTCGATCACCTTAAAGATGGACTCGTTGCTGTCGACAAAGCCAAAGAATCCCAGCTTTTTAGCCTTGGTAGTACTATTTCGAGAATTAGTAACGGGCCTTTCTTTTTTTATTTTTTTTAATATCTCGGTACCACAACTTGGGAGAACCATACCTGAAATAAAGGGCAATTGACCACGTCATTGCAATATCAGTAAATCCGAAAACACGATCGGTATCCCACAATTCCTTCTGGCGGAGGTCATGCTTTGCTGCGATTTCCTTCCACGCCTTTTGCACTTCGGGTCTCTTGGCCCACTCGGTGAGAGTGAACTTGACCCGCTGCTTTCCCGGCGGACCGAATCCTCGCGGAGGAGGGTTGAATTTGGATTCGGACTCCCTGAAAGCAGAATCATCGAGGTCCGGTCCCTTCCATGGCATTTGGTATTTGGCTGCAAGCTTAGGCCAGAACTTGCCCCACGTAAAGGCACAGTCGTCGGTTGCGTTGAAGCTCTCGTTCTGCGCACCTGGTGTAAGAACTGCCCATTCGGCCAGATAGCAGTTCATCTGCGCCGATGACATGGTTTGTGCTGTTTCCCATGCGGTCAAGTCGGCAGGGAACTCCAGTGGTTGTCCCAGGTATTTCTGCACAGTGGCGTAGATTGCCAGTGGCAAAACAACGTTCATTGCCGCGTCGGGAACAGCGCCAGGAACCCAGGAAGGGCGAGTTGTAACCCAGTTGCAGTTGTGCTTCTGGCAGAACTCCTTCAGGAGATCTTCCTGCGGGTAGTAGAAGTTGGGCTCGAGATGGACACGTGGGTCGGATTCTTCTTGAGGCACAGCAGTAGGTCCGAGATGGGTGCCGTAATACTTGGCACCTAGCTGAAGGAGGAAACTCTTTGGGACGGTGTCCGAGAGCACGAGGGCGTCCAGGAAGTTCTGGAGGAGAGTAGCTATACGCAGGGTGAGCATCTTCTTATAACTTTCTTTGAGAGGGAATCCGATTCGCGAATAACTTACTGTTGATCTTGACCAGCTCTTCTGCTGCGCTCCATAGATCACCGCCCTCTTTCGCCGCCGGCTGGATATACGAAAAGAAGAAGACATAGTCACTTTTGATACCCTTCTCCTTCATCTGGGCAGCCAGCGTCTCGGGGGACTTGAGGAAGTCCATCGAAACATGCTCAACATAGCTTGGCCACTCGCCGTTCGGGGGTCGGCGCGAAAGCGCGTAGATCTTCTTCCATCGCTTCGGCGACTCGCAGAGCACGCGGAGCTGTAATGACTTAGCTCGAATACACAATCATATTTATCGGACGTATTGATCATACCATATGGTCACCCGAGATGCCATTTGCACCAGTGACGATAGCAGTCAGACCAGCGACATCGTCAGAGAAGGCTGGCAGACCGTGATAAATGTTCTTCGACACAATAACCTGCTGCTGAGAAGCCGCCATTTTGAATAATCCAAGTTGCAGTTAACAATCAGAAGAAGAGCTGAGGCATGTGGAGGTGTATATATACTCCGGCTCCTCTCACTACTAAATTTCTCAGTACGCTGCGGCGGGTCTCAAGAGTATTACAAATGACCCGCTAACAGCTTTCAAATGAGGGGCAAATCTGAATAGCTTACGGAGTATAGATCTTCAAGATTGGAGGATGAGGAGAGCTTAACTACCGAAGACCTGAATAGCCCCATGTATTACTGTAAGAAGATGGCTGCAGAGAACCAAACGGCTTTAATTCGGCCTGACAGGCGTCTAACTGAGATATTATTATTAATATGGAATCCCCAAAAAAAGCCCAAGCTCTTCTAGGAACCCACATTTTGAAGGCGACCGATGAAGAAGTGGATATCTATGAACGGTATCAGTTCCACCGGATCAACAGTAGTCTGCCGGGACTCGGAAAAATCAAGGTGTACGGAGTATCATACGTATTGTATGTATGTACTTAACTTCCACCGGAAGTTGATATGTCCCACTTCCTGTTCCGGCAAGAAAGAGATGAAACTGTCATATCTACGCACATTATTATTATTATTAGATATTTATCAGCACGTCTTCATAACGCACACTGTGGATCCCAAAGCATAAAATTTCATGTTACATGCAATAGAGAAGAGAACGATGAGATATGCTGTGTCATGTTCGCGATGTTCGCGATGTTCCGGATGCGACGATTGTCGATGACCCCTTCAACTCGTCCACCGCCAACTGCCTATGACTTTTGACTAATCGGCTTTTCGTGCTGCGGGAATTTCGTGTTTATTCTCTGATACGCCCCCAGTCGACAGCGGCGGAGTCGATCGAGGGGGACTGTGACCAGTAAAGGGACCGATTTCCGGGTCACCCGAAATAGGCCCACGGGTAGTATCTCCATACAACATGCTGCGATGACCCGAACCCAAGGCAAATCCATATGCTTCTTCGCCGTGTATAGCGTCGTCACCGATGAGAAGCACCTCTTCCGGCATACGCAGCGGAATACGTAGGACGTATTTGATGAAGTATAATATCAACGGAGTCATGAACAAGTTCAAGCCGATGATGAACAGCGCGCCGACGATTTGCAGCCAGACCTGTCTGCCATGTCCTTCAATGGCACCTCCCGGTGTCTTGAGAGCGAATGCCTCGCAGCCTTCTTTGGTCGCGAAGAGGCCAACAAGGAAGCCACCCAGGACGCCTGCCACGGCGTGCGTGTGGAAGACTCCTAGAGTGTCATCGACCCATCGGAACAAGGCGACTTTCTTTCCCATAACGTTCATTGAGAGCCATGGTACGCTTCCAGATAACGAACCGATAATGACAGCTCCCCAACCTGCAACGACACCTGCTGCGGGTGTAATAGCAACTAACCCCGTGATCATGCCTTGAACGGCGCCTATCACTGCGGGTTTCCTGAAGAATATCAGGTCCAAGATTGTCCAGACCAATGTGCTCATTGCAGTTGCAATATTTGTGTTTAGCACTGCAGCTCCGGCATCGGGACTGGCGGTATATGGATCACCTCCATTGAAACCATTCCATCCCATCCAGAGAATACCCGCGCCTACCAAGACCAGCAGAATATTATTAGGTCGAGTATCTTCCCGGTCTGCTTTGAGTCGTGGACCGATGACAGCTGCACCGACGAACCCTGCTGTTCCAGACGAGAGATGGATAACATAACCACCGGAATAATCGATCACGCCTCTGGTGTATAAGAAACCACCTCCCCAAATACTAAACGCTCCCACCACATAGGAAAAAGTGAGCCATAGCGGAACGAAGACCATCCACGCCGAGAAGTTCATCCGTCCGAGGAACGAGCCCGCTATGATGACCATGGTGATGGCAGCGAATACAAATTGGAAATAGATCATCGTCGACAGTGGATATGCCGCAGAGACGCCAGCTGCTGGTAGCACAGCATGTTGCAGTTCATACTTCATCGTAACGACCGGGCCTGGTGTGCCCACGAACGGCGCTGCACCCCATTGCTTTCCAAAGGCCATTTTGTATGCCCACACGACCCAGCAGATAAGGACGGCAGCAAAAGCGTAGAATGCCATGAATGCCGAATTAATGGCCCATTTCTGTTTCACAATTCCTGCATAGATCGCAACGAGGCCGGGGATACTCTGGAGTGCGACCAGAGTTGCCGCTGTGAGCTGCCAGGCGTTATCGCCATTGTTCAGCCAATCTGGCGCTGTTGCAGACGACATCAGCGCCTATTCTTGTGAGAAAAGAAGCCAAGCTCTGGGGAAATAAAGTTGCAGACAGCCAAGAGAGGGGCCCAAGAGAGACGACGGCATCCGCAGTGGATACATGTCATATACTCTATATATGACCTGCTCCTCCAAGCCATCTCTTTTTCTCAAGGCAAACAGTCCCAAACTGTGGCGGCAATAAGCCACGTTCTCATAGAAGACTCCAACATCCTATCTCTAGCCAGTCACAACACGATGTCGATCAGAAAGTCAAGATAAAGAGCATCTTTACTCTAATTAGGATTGTTTAGCCGCGGGAAGATATCAGTCGGCGCTTGCAGGGATGGCGCGGAGATCCAAACAACTTGATCGCCATCTGCCATGGCGTCCAACCGCCTATAAACATCGAGCGGCTTATCTGCAATTCAATGCCGTGACATATGATGAGGGTGTTATTGTCCTGATTATAACCAGGACCATAGTCCATATGGGGACTCAAAAGGCTGATAACTCTCCTCCCGCTATTTGCGGAGATATTCGACCAGTATACTTCTCGACATCATTTTATCTGGCTGATATATTACATTACCTCTTTGTTCGAGTAGAGAAGGCGTGACACCAAGTAGCACAACGTGGCCCGGCCCAGTGAGTATACAAAGTAAGACCTATTATATGGGGACGTCAATATTTCAACGCGATTCCGGGGCCTTTCATGAAGAGTGTGGACGTACAATATATTGATTGGTTATCGTTACGTCCTATGCGAATGATGACCTAAAGATCGCGGTTCCCAAGAAGAATATATAAACTATAAACCGAACATTGTCATTTCCTCCCCAGTCTGCCCCAACTTATCATAAGTATCTACACACAACGCGGCGGAGCTTAAAGCGACCGCTGCCCACCACACTTCTTGTCGCTGATACATCTGTACAAGACGTGAAATCACTAGATCCTCCACGCCAATTGGTCATCAAAGCAAAAGAAAGACTGTCCGTCTCCTTCTCATCGTTAATCCGAAGTATGGTCATCGGCGGGCATTGGGTGCCCTGGGACACACCAGAGGTTCTGATGTCGAAGGAGAAAGACAAAACATTGGGGGAATAATAGGTAGATCGAAGCGGGAAAATAGAAGGCCCATGATTGGGAGTGAAAAATAAGAGGAAATATAGATATAGAGAGAAATAAAGAGAAAAAAAATGGCGAAAGGGAGTTTGGGACGTGTGTTTTAGATTGACCAAATCTGGCAGACCAAGCCTGGATTGAGAAAGACTTTGCCTTCATGAACACTTGTACCTCCTTGCTTGACGCCTTGTTCCAATGATCTTGCTACCTTCTCCCTCTTCCGCGTAGCACAAGAACCATGTCGCCGACCTTCCGTTCGGGGATTTATTTGGCACTAGAGATCAGTTCCAGCCAAGAGAGTTCTCAGCCATAACAGGCGCACTGATCATCTGGGTGCGGCCACTCCGTCCGCTGTGGACACTGTGAGGGGACAGTCGGCCTCCCGAGAGGAAAGCAGAGCCTGTACCTGCAGCCTCGCTCATCTGCTCATCAGCGACAGAGCTAGAGCGGCGGTGAAGCTGCTGCTTCTTCCTGTATCGCCGCGCCACAGCGAACATCGCGGCTCCGTACGCAGCCGCGCCAGCCACAACACCGACACCGATTCCAACAGAACTTCCGCGGACGCCGCTGGAGGTGCTGCTGGCACCCGCGTCGTCGCCGCCACTGTCGCTGCCGCCATTGCTACCGCCAGAGCCGCTGTTGCTGTTGGCCACGTTATTGTTGCTGGTCGAAGACGAGCCAGACAACGCCTGTCCAGGGATAAGAGGGAAGGTCGAGTCGATCATGGACATGATCGTATGCACAGGAGTATCTGGGTTCGAGTAGAGCCTGGAGGTGGGGTTGTGAAGTTCCAGAGAGAGCGGGTCGACCATATCCGAAGGGACGTATGCGAGGGCCAAGGTGGTAATGTATCCAAGGGTCTTTGTGCTGTCATAGGGACGGATGGATTGCATGCTAATCTGATCCGCGGGGACCTGCAGGGCATACACAAGGCCTTGCGGGACGTACATGAAGATCTGCGAGGACGACAACGGTGTCATAGCAACGAAGTCGTACGGCAGATCGCCGTTGAAGGCAAGCTGAATGAGGGTCGAGTTCTCCGGCGGGGGGGTAAAGCCTCCATTAGGAGCGATCATCTGAGGGAGAGTGGTCGGGATGCCGGTGCTGGCTGCCGTCTCAGTAGACGAAGAATCCGAAGAAGTGGTGCTGGTCGGGACAATAATGATCGTCGATGGGACGAAAGTCGTTGCAGAATCAGTTCCAGTGGGCGCGATGCTAACAATCGGGGCCGTCGGCTTCTCCGTGACGGTAGGAGTGGGCGCCTCGACCACAGTGGACGAGGTAGGTTCCTCAGTCGACGTAGTCTCCGGCACCGTAGACACCGGTGTCACCTTAGGCGAGGGAGTAACAACGGCGCTGCTGCTCATGACAGGGGTTGAGGAGCCAGCAGCGGGAGTGATGGGCGTCTTCGAGGGCGAAACCGGAGTGCTCGCACCAGTGGGTATGACTCCAAAGGGAGGCACAATGCCCTGAGAAGAGGGCGACTTGGAGGGAGCCGGGGAGCCGAATAGGGGAGAGGATGATACCTTAGGGAACGGCAACAGTCCAGGACTAGAGGGTGAGATCTTTGGGATCGCGGCAGAGCTGATAGGAATCAAGGGAGTTGGCAGAAGGCCACCCAGGAGCCCAGAGGCACTCGGGGTGCTTGATGGCGTAGGAAGCAGACCACCCAGAAGGCCGCCCGATCCAGACACAACAGCACCAGACGATGAAGGTAGCAGACCGCCCAGAAGACCACCAGAGGAAGTAGGCAACAGACCACCCAGAAGACCACCAGAGGTAGGCAGGAGGCCACCAAGGAGGCCACCAGATGGAGTTGGAGAAGCGGCAACAGCAGAACTAGGCGAGCCGGCGGGCGATGACGGAGATGCATTCGGAGAAGTTGGCGACGGAGTGGCAGTCGCGCTACTGTTGTTATCGCCCGTGAGACCAGAGAGCAGGTTAGGGATTGAAATGGTTGGCAGAATGTCCAGACCATCCGAAGTCGAAGCCGAAGCCGTGGGCGTCACAGATGGGCTAGCAATCACGCTGGAGGCACCAACGACAACGCCCGAGGGGGAGGCAGTTGCTGTCGTCGTTGGGCCCGCCTGGAGAGGGATCAGACCCGTAGAACCCAGCAGAGCTCCTCCAAGGCCCTCGAGCAGCCCGGAGCTGCTTGTGCTAGAGGGAGACGTAGTCGGCTGGACGACGACAGAGGGAATGCCACCAGTGGTGCCTACACCTGCGGAAGTTGCTTGAGCAGCAGCTGCTGCAGGCGTAGCTTCAACGGCTGATTGAGTAGCCTGTGCGGGAGTTCCACTGGTAGACGAGGAGCCAGTGCTGGGGTCGACCAGTCCAGACAGAGCATTACCAAGATCGCCAAGGAGGCCGGCAGATGAAGACGACGAGCTGGAAGATCCGCTTGCCGACTGAGAATCAACGATGGGAGCGGAGCTCGACAAGCTCGATGAAGTTGAAGGTTCCTCGGAGGACTCGCTCGAGGTCGATCCGCTAGAAGTGGCATCGCTGACGGGGGCTTGCGTGGGTGTCACAGCGGAAGTATGGACTGGGGCTTCAGAGGTCGTAGCGACCACGGAGGCAGCAGTCGTTGCAGCTACACCCACTGGAACGGTGCCCGTGATGTAGTGCGTGTGGCCTTCACGGTCGATGGAGACAGTAACGGGAACGACAACAACGTCAGGGGATGCAGAAGCTGCCTGACCGCCATTGCTTTTGTCGATATTCTGCATAAAGTTGTTGAGGAAATCCGAGTACATATTGTCCCTTGGCGGCAACTGTGCATTGGGCGGGTTTTTCACTTCTCTCTTGATCTCGCGGGGGATGAGATATTTCGGCTTCAATGGCGACCTGTTGGGCGCCTCGTTGGCCGCAGCCAACTCGGCTGACATGACCGACAGGCATGCCGCAAGGACCGAAACAGAGCGCATGATGAATGATATTAACGTGTGTACTAGTAGTAAGATGGCTCAACTGGTACTGCGAATGCTTGTCAGTCAATGTCTTGTCTCAAGCATAACTGCGACGTACTGTCAAGATCGGGATAAGGAACGTGCTTGGACAAAACCCGATTAAGGAACGGCTCTGGGGAATAGGATGTCAGTCTGTGACTGCAAAGAGTGAATCCAATATTGGCCAGTCAGTTGGACATATCCAACTACCAGCGCGCACGAGTAAAACATGCAGCACCACGTCTGAAAAGAAATAACACCCAAACTCACCAGTAAAACGGGAACTGACAATTGATATAGGATTGACGCAAGACCGGGAATCTCGCAGGCGGCAAGGAGGAAAAGGAACGGACAGAGCAATGGCGCTCACTTGCAATCCTCTATTAATTAACGATAGCCGCGGTATCTTCTGGATCTCGAAATGGAACAATTCAGGCTTTCTAGCTGATGGAATTGGACTCGGTACGGTCGAAACAGGAGAGTCGATCGACGACTGCAATTAGTATTGCCCTTCTTCGCAGAGTGTATCGCGTTCCTTGGCCACAATATCAAAAACGAGTCCGCCCTGAGTTGTATTCGTCACGGTACACCGTCGCGGTACGGTCCTTTTCGAGGCAGGGACAAAGCCAGATAAACGAGTGGAATGGAATCTGACGAAGAAGTCGAGATCCCGATGGAATCGAAGCGAGTGTAAGTTGTAGTAAAGTAATGAGCGAACGACGAGTGCAACTAGTCAGGAGCGTCGGAAGCCGTGTCGATTGTCAACGAGGACGAACGAGCTATGAGAGAGCGACCGTGGGCATGCGGGGGATTGTCAGGTCCCAGGTTTCGTTGACGCGAACAAACAAAAAAGACAAGGCTACGTGCACGACGGCACCAGCAAAAACGAAGACATATACCGGAGTAAAAAGAGGAAGAAGAGAGAAACAAACGAAGGAGTAAGGAGGAGGCGTGGAGGCTCTGGGACTGCGGAGGTCGACGAAAGGAGGCTGTGGCAGTAAAGTAGGCGGCGTAGTGTTGGCGCCACGCACTTCGGGATCAAAGAAGAATAATAATAATGGGATGGGCTTGTTGTTTAATTTAATTTCCTGCGAGTAACCTGGTCGAGTTACTCGAGCTCTTCTCCACCGCGGCTGGCACTATTAAGTTACCTCGCGCTACGTGGTGGGAACTGGGGGCACTTTATGATCGCGATGATGCTCCAGGAACTATTATGGTATTATTATTAGGTCCCTGTCCCTGAAAGAATCAGTCATTCCTGCCGGTTTCATGTCCTCAACCTCGCATGGCCCAGAGGCAGTGCAACAGCTGACGGACGGAGAGAGAGAGATAGAGAGAGAGAGGACCAGACAGCGAGAGAAGTGTATCTCAGACACACGATGCTATCTCAATCATCTTGCACAGTGCCTGAAAGACTGCTGGCTAACTGAGCAGGTGCTGCAGGAATAGGACAAAGATAGAACCCGCTGCGATCAGCATCGTCGCACTCTATCAATGCGATCGGAAACAAAGAGGCCAGTCAGATGCCGTCAGCAGGGACCAACAACTGTACTTGTCCAGGTACCAGCCTGGGCCTGCTTCATGCTAAAGCACAACGCTGCAGCAGCCGCACAAATTAACCGCTTTCTCTCTTAGGGCAGCCTACCAGGCATGAGTATGCCGCGTTATGTTGTTCTCGTGCCCAAGTGGTAAAGAGACCAAACCTCAGGGGACGCCTTTTCTCCTTCCCTCGTGCTTGGTTCTCCAGATCAGATCATCGCGAGCGTCTAGGCCTGGAGATCCTGACTATCGAATACACAGACCACAACTAGAGGCAATCGAGCCATCCAGCCCGGATCGGCACCAAGATCCAAATGAATATTTCCCTTAGGAGTCCGTCGAGCATGATAATGCGCCCATGCTCTCTCTATCTATCGACAACTACTCCGTACTCCGTACTCTAGAGCCCAGCGCAGAGCCTTGGCCCAGAAAGCATCGTGCTCAGACAGAATTGCGATGGGCGTCTTTGGCAGTCTGGTCGAACCTTTTGAACTCCCTTTGATCGTCTTTTGGCCAGGAAGATGCTAGATATGGCAAGACCTCGTGAAGATCATAACGCTATGGCATCAAAGCCTTGAACTTGGCGGGTTGCAAGAGAGCGCCACTTGAGCGCCAGTTCTTTATCGGAGCCAAACGAGAAAAGGCGACCAACCTCCTTGAAGCCTCCCGTCGCGAAGTCTGCACACCCAAGGATCCAAGAACGACGGCGTGCTTTTTCCCGCCCGGTTCCTGGACGTGTCCGAATGCAAAATCCCGTGCGCATACGCCCGCGATCCTCAGGCCGCAACATGGATCCAGCGCGCATAGACGATGGCTCCAGCAAATTAGCAGCGCCGTTTACTCTGTACTCTGAACACAGTCGAGCGCAGCGGCGAAGCAAGGCACGAGCATCGCCTCTCCGATGGCCAGCTGCAATTCCCAAACATGCCGGCATGCACCGAGGGCCTCGCGTTCCACTGCCACGCAACGCCGGCTCACCGCGCGGTGCCTGTCGTGGCCCGTGTACACAGGCGAGACGCTGGCGTCAAACAACCACTATGACGAAGATGGTCACCCATAATTAGGATGAATGTGTCTCTGACTCTCTACATAGTTACTCCGTACTTTGAGAAGCATGATTATTTGACAGATACAGTAGTTTCTAACCACAGTGTGGAACATGTTTCCGGACACCTACATCTATATTCCGTATGATGACGAGTCGGGCGGGGGGAAGAAAAGAAAGAAAGCAAAAGCTGAACCAGAGATGACGATAGAATACACCGACACGTTGGACGATACGATGAAAGACTGGTCGATACCTATCTTTGTTTGCGATCATTTATTGAAAGCTTCGACCTGTTTTCGCCGCTGTCTTCAAAAAGCCGCTGAGATATCAAAAGATGGGACTGCTATGCTACACAAGAAAAGCGATATAATCCAAACCAAGTTGTCAAAGGCACATTGGTTCTGGAAATTCCAATGCTTTGTTACTACTCAGAGAGGAATCCTCGTTGCTTACCCCATTGCCATGTAGTCTAGAGGTGGCGATGCCGATGACTGCGTCGAGCGTTTCAGATCCCATCTTTGCTGGATCCAGTCATGGCACTATTATCGACCGAGAATCCAGCGTGTCAATATTCAGAGTGCGAGTGTGCAATAGCGGGCACGGAATGCCTGCAATGCCGTCAAGGATGGAGGGTGCGATGCTGGCTTTGTGTCGATCAGAATCACCAATAGCAGCATTCATGGACCGACCTGGCGAGGGTACTATTACTACCGTATATCGAGTCTGGAGGTGCGTAACGAGGATCGGATAAAATCCAGGTTGTCAAAGTCGTTTGCAAGGCTCCGATCTTCAGCGCGACTTGCCTTACAGAGGTTAAGCATCAAAATGTTTCAGCGCATAGCCAGATGAAGCTAAGGAGGACGGGCCCTCAGCACGGTGGTATCTCTACAAGATCGCATTGATGATATTCTATAGTCCGTACGGCGATCGCGCGTGATCTGTGTGCTAGCGCTCTGAAGAATAATACTACATTTTCCGAATTCAGCCGGATCGCGCTACAATTCCTCGATATAATGAAAAGAAAAACCTCGAACCAACTTGAGTGAGGCTTCTTCCCGGTTTTCTCTTTTTGTTATCATTCCTTGGAATCAGTCTTCCACAAGACTCAAAGGATTGATCTCAACTTAAGCTAGGACGTTTCGACAAGTCTCAGCCACGATTCCTGAACCAGACCCCGAAACAAGGAAGAAGGAAAGAATCGAGCTGCATTAATTCTCGTCTCATATGACTTCAACTTGTCTATTTTTGTTTCTCTCCTTCCAGCCATAGTTAGCAATTTCGCATTAGCACTTGGTTTAGTTTCCATTTTCCCCTTTGACGGTCGAAATTCGATGCATCTCAACTCCTTTCCCCCAGCGGTTCCTGGTCTACTGCCGACGCTAAACCTGTTCCTGGCCAAAAACCACGGATCGGCTTCAAACTAACGGAAAGTCGCACCGGAGGCTTTTTCTTCTTGCTCCATGGCTTGCTGCACGAACACAGTCCGAACTTCGAACCCAGATTATCTATGTATTATTATTTGGAGCCGTTGGTTCTCAAACTAATACATCAGGAGAAGATAACGTTGTGCTAGCCCCCTTTAGTCTGCTCATCATTCCTGCATACGTCGATTGGACTAAACTCTCTCACGCTCTTAAGCCAACAACATACGGAGTACAGAGTACTTAGCAGAGAGAAGACAGAACGGAGATGTTCGCAAGAACACACTCTCAGGCACATCATTTTGCCCAGCCCAACCTCTCGCCCCTTAACATTTGGCTCGTCATTGTCATCAAGATTCGAAGAAACAGATTGACCAATACTCGAACACCTTAACCCATCCAGGCCTGCGCCCGACTAGATAGTAAAATAATTGTGCTCTGCAGAGTAGGATAGCGTCGGGGATTTCTGCGCCTCGGCAACTTCGGATAGCTATGCTTTGAGCCCGGCCAAGGCTAGCATTCTTACCGTTACATATCAAACTGTATGCCAAGCCGACCGTCTATCTGGTGAAGGGATCAGTCGGAATAATACGGTGGAAGAGTCGAGAATAAATAGGGTGTTTGGGTGCTGATGGTAGTTTGTGGTTACGTAAAACGCATTACAGTTACATGCATCTTAATGCGATTGATATACCGAGCAATTTAGGAGAGGAGAGGATTCATAGCTCTGTAATCTAGAGCAAATTACGTATATGGAATAATATTCACAATGAGGTGATAATTACAAGTAAAGGGTATGTGTTCTACCTCAGCTTAGGTGTCGTAGCAGAAGCTCTTTTTGAGACATGGAAAAAATATATGTTGGTTAAATTTACAAACTCCACCAACCCTTCTACACGTACTTTATAAATCCTGTTATTATAGCACGATTATCCAAGGACGACAGACCACGTATTATCTCTTGTAGTTAATATCAATTCATTATCTATCCTTAACTGCTTCAGATCAAGATACACACTCGTCCTGGTCCTCTCACTCCGTATCTCAAACACTCGCAGGACTATATATATCTCTTTGAGGAGTCATCCCGGTCATATATACTTTGCATCCGTGACCACTTAGTAATCGATATCCCCACACAGAGAGAGAGAAAGAGGGGGGAGAGACTTGATTATACTCGTCCATTGATATCGACACATCCTCATGTAGAAAGGAGTATCAAAAGGCTCCGTGATTGTCTTGGTTTCAGTGTAGTATTTGGACTTGCCATGTGCCATTCATCCCAGTCGAGGTATCCATGATTGACCAGTACAGATGTGAAAATGCTCTTTGTATCATTGCATGTAAATTAATACTTTCCTGTAGTTCCTCGCCGAGTCTTCTGATGTAGTGATGCATTTTGTCTCGCCGATACTAAATCCTGCTTAGGAGCAACAGATACTGTGTGTCGTTCGATAACACACCCTTCGAAGTGAGTCTATGAATTAATCACCGGCCGCAAGGCAAATTCTTGAGAATCTGATAGTGATATCAGGGCTTTCATCGCCGAAATTACTACACTATGCATAAAGGGTTCATCGGCTGCAGAGTCGGATACCATGGAGCCTTTGCCGAAGCAAAATTGTCCTCAATGTGATCCTCTTTAGGAATCGCAACTGGCATAACCCCCTGGTCATGGAGAATAAAGTGAACCACACACGCATCCATATCCAAGACCATGAAACTGGTTGCTTATGTGGCCAGTTGGATCTCGCAACCTGCCAGTTAGGGAGTAGAGTAGTATTGAAGCAAAACCACTGGTCCTTTTTATCTACAGGCCATGAATCACAAGACTGTCCGATCCTTTACTGATGCACAGACTATTTCAGACGCCGCATTCTGTATATTGATAATGCTCTACTGCCACTTTCCTGCTCCCACTATTTCCTATATAGATTAAACTAAACTATAAAAAACAATCCAAGAGAAAGTATACAAGGAGATACCAGCGCTGTACATACACCCTGAAAATGATAACATAACATACTGCACAATCAACAAAGATAAGACCAACAAAGACTACACCGCCTTGCTGTATACTGCACTGTGAAATCAATATCATAACAAGATCTCTGGTCCTCTCCGCCTTTGAAAAAGCAGCAGAATCCAGTTATAATCACGACGCGTCCTTCCTCCTCACTTCTCTCTTCCGTGAAGAAAGACACCCGTGTCATTTTGGTGTTTTACTTGGTGAGAATCCTTTTGAAAGCGCGTTTTGTTCCTTAGTTTCGATTTGGATCGATTTCGATACAGAGTTCTTGGTCTTCTACACTCCCCTTTTTGAGACAGATCAGGATATCACATCACGACGTGTCGAAAGGATGGAGAGAGAAATCGAAGAACACAAATCTGCCCAGGAGGGATCTGTCACTGCAAAGACCCCTGATGACTCAATTACCATCCCTATTCATTCCGTTAAAGCTAAGCTCTATCTAAACCGGCCTATCGAGGAGCTTATTCCTTCTGAATACTTGAAAAAAGCAGACGAGTCACGTAAGAATCAGACCGAAACCCCCTCTCATCCTCAGTTACATTACCCCTGACATCTCTTATTTCTATCCCACAGCCGTCCCTGGCATCATCCCCTGGGTCTTCCGTGCTGGAAGCCAGGATGGAAGGGCTAAAGATTTGGATTTCTGGCCCGATAAGGATCCTTACTTCATGAATCTTTACAAGGCTCTGAAAGAAGCTCCTGCTTTTGAACGTTCATTCTACGAGGCTGGTAGTGAGTATGACGAGGAACAAATTCCCGAAGAGGAGTTCTACATGCAGGGGTCTGCTATGCATGAATATCTCGAAGAGCTTTTCGACATGTTGTTGGGAAAGGATAGGGAGACAGCCAAGACATTGTTGTGTCATCTGAGGTGAGTATTAAATAGCCTGCCTAGCTAGCTAGATTCTTTTCCATACATTTACTGTTCTTCGGGTCCATACTATGTTGTTATTCGATGAGAAGCTTGTTGCTAATGTCCCTAACAGCCACAAACGTTGCATCTCCGCAGACATGGCCTACCTAACCGGCTACCAGGACAGGCACTACGACGCTCCTACTCCGAGCGGTTTCATTGCCTTGCAAATGAACCACAGGCCTAAACGCTCGCCTCACTATATCGTTCCTATCTCCATCGTATGTAGCCTTCCCCCCTCCCCCTAACTGATCGAATAACGCTTCAAAACACAGCACACGACTAACAATATGACCTATTCTGACATGGAAAAAAAAATAGACCCAAGACCCCGAACCTATCCTCTCCGCTATATCCGGAAAGCTCAAAATGATGCTGACCCAGCTGTACCTCAACCTCAAGGCTCATAGAAACTGCAAAGCCGATCAACTGCCTGATCAGGAAGTGTTTCTTCTCGGCATGCACGGATCCCGTCTTCATATCTTCCGTGCTTTATTCCCCGGCATCAAGTCCTCTGTCGTCTGGTGCGGGAGAAGTTCTGGAAAAGTCCTCACTGAAGCTGGCACATCTACTGCCCAGACATCCACTGGGTCCGCTAGCACGGGAACTGACCTTGATGGTGAACCTGATCTACGCACGTTCCGTGTGGTAGCTACGCATGAATATGATCTTTGGGACCGATCTGATTTCCACGCTGCGACTAGGGCACTCGTCGCGCTGTTCATGTATATGCTGAGCAGTGAAGCTAAGATCGGGCCTATTGAGGCGATGTTTGAGCTTTTCCCGCCGCGGTTGAATGTACGTGCGGAGAAGACCGGGGAGAAGAAGGAGGAAGCGATCGCAGAACAGGTGTGTGAGGAATACAATGAAGAAACGGAGGATGAAGCGGAGAGCGCGGAGCAATTGCAGCACGGAGGCTGGTGGGGGCTTGGGGATGGATACGGGGATTTCGATCTGTTTGCAGACTATGGGGATGAAAGCGCTAGTTTGTAGTGGGTTGGGCGTTCAATTTCGTATCATATGGCGTGGGGGAGCACCAGGAGATCGTTAAGATACCCTTTTTCAAATGGTCAATATGGCGTCGGGGTGGACCCTGAGATCGTTTAGATACTCTCTTCAATGGTTCATGCGGGTTTGTTTCCAGGTTTTACACTTCTTTATCTTAATAATGAGTTGCATATGAAAGAAAAAACATAATAGCATGTCATATATGGTGTCTGAAAGGTACAAAGTAGTGGAGTTGTTCCAGAGGGGAGAAGTCTCCGTAGATAAAGCATGGTCCTAACGAATGGTATAGAGCGCCAACTCCCGTTTACTCGATCCTAGCATCTGCAACGCCCTAACAAGATAAACCTTCTATTATTGCATATGGCCAGCAGCGTCCCATCTATTCCCTCCGACGTCTCTCGGCCTCGAACTCTGTAAATCCCTCGGGTCCTCTGCCGTCCGAACCGCCAGTGCGGAAATACTCACTGACGACACCAATTGCATAGCAGACTGCTGCTGTTGCAGTGCCAGTCAGAAGTACTCTACGTGATGTCTTGCGCAGAAAAGACTCTTCCTTGGCTTCTTGTCTGTCTTCTGCGGTCGGTTCAACCGGTGGAGGAGGAGAGTTTAGAGGGCCGCCGGAGAACACAGTTTCTTGCCGGTGGACCATCCTAGGGGAGGACGAAGAAGTTGAAGTCGAGCTGAACTTTGAAGTCTGTCCACTTTTCTGAGATTCGACTGCTGTGTCCTCTGAACTGGACACCATAGAAGCATCATCCGACGCACTAGCTGCTGTTCCAGCCTCCCGAACCTTCCCAAAGACAAGAATATCTCCTCCACCAGAGACGATCTCGTAACCATCAGCTTGCATTGCAGCAAAGTGAGGAAGGAACTTTGCCGGGTTATTCAGCCGCGGTAGCACCTCCGCGGGGTGCAAAGTCTCATTAATCGAATATAACGTCGAACTCGTCTCCGCAGATGAGACAGAGAGGGTAGACGGATCATAAGCCAGTACACGATAAGTGGTGGAGGATGTTGAAACCGAGCTTGAAGGCAATGGTTCAGCAGTGCTTGGCTGAGTTGCAGGTTTATGTTCAATGTGCCCAAGTGTTTCTGTGATCTGTTTCATTAAGGCATCTCTCGATTCATTGAACCTCTTCGTATCTCTCAACAGATCGTCCAGCTGGCTCGAGTGGCGCGAATCTTTCGCATCTCGCTCTTCCTGAGTAGAAGAAACGGTGACAATCTTCATATCGGGGTGTTTCGGACTTGCCCTAGTCAGATCCTCCGTTATGGAGCTTGGTGCGACTGTCCGAGGTGTCTGGTTCTCTAACGTAGAGGTTGGTTGGTAATGATCCACCGTTATCTTGCCGTATGCATCTTCGTAGGCATGTTGAATATCCCGAACCACTTGTTCCTCGCTATCGATTTCTTTTGACAAAACAGGGACATCGCGAACCGCAGATTCCGGAAGATCCTTCTGTTCTGACGTACTATTCTCTGCTTGGGGGATTAGCGGCTGTGTAGCTGTATTCTGCGGGACTTGGCTCGATGCTTCGTAGTCCTGCACTCTGCTCCTGAGCTCCTTCGCATCTATATCGGCAGCAGGATCTCTATATGACTCGTAGTCCTCCTCGAGCACTTCACGATTGCGCTGCTTTTCTGACTCGAGTTCATATTTCGTTTTCTTCGAGTACAAAGGAGCACGAATATCAGTCGGGCGCAGAAGATCGACGTCATCTGTCTTGACCTCTTCGACATTGTATATTTTCTGGTGCGATTGGTTTGGAGATGCAGACTCCGCTGCCGTCTTTGAGTCATTGGGAAAACCTATGTTTGCAGTCTCGCTGGCTCCAGGAGATGATTGCCCATCCACCCGAGTCGCTTCCTCGGCGTGATCAGCACCTTGCGGATCTTTAACTGTTCCAGCGAACGGCTCGTCATGTGCGGCTTGCGTGACATTTTCATCTTTTTCCAAAGTCGCAGGAGAATTCAATGATGATTTTTCCTGCTCATTCGGAGCGGTCATGTAGAAGACATTGTTTCCACTGCTTTGTCCCGCATCGGCTTCATTTGCCTGACCCTTGACTTCTGCATCCTTGTCAGACCTCAGGCTTGCAGCAGTGTTATTTGGGATAATCGACGAGTCACCGTCCTGCTGCTTGTGGCCAAACTGGGCCCGATAAGACTTGAATGTCTTGACAGGTACATGTGTGTCCTTGTCGTCCCCCTCGCCATTTTGAGTCGACGGTTCCGGACCAGAATTTACTGGCACCATCCTCCCGCTAATAGGATCGAACTGAAATGCCGGCTCTGCTGGGGAAGCTGCTTGGGTATCTGTCTGCTCCTTCCGCTGTTTCTCAAAAGCTTCGGAAGAACTTGTACTCGAGCCCGCACCATTCTTCCTAACCTCACTATCATGCAGACGAGATTCCGCATCAACAACCTTCGATGTCGCATTTGCACTCGTCCGCTCGACCTTCTGCGTCTCATCGCCTAATCCCAAAAAGTTACGACAGAATGTCGACCACGGACCATGATGCCCCACGGGCTCTGGCCTCCTCCCAAAGACAGCCGCAAAGGGATCATCCTCGATCTCTTTCTTAATCCGTTCCATCTCTTGCTCAAACCGTTCTTTTTCCTTCTCCCACCAATCCTGGCTGCTCTGGCCCCTAGAACCATCTTTCGAGGCCCTTCCGGATCCATTATTTCCACCAAAATCACTGCCTGATCGACGTGATGTATACCCTCGCCATCCCCATCCCCACCAAGGCTGTATCCAACTCGACCATCTGTACTGCTCGTCTAGAAATGCTTGACGACGCAGCGCACGTGCTCGTTTAGACATATAATTCCGCCGTTGCTTCTCCATCTCTTGCATAATCCGCGCACTGCTGCCATGACTGCTTCGACAAGACCGCCAGAAGGCACGGCATTGGCACGATGGACCGATGGACCGTTCCGATACGGAGTATGAATAGGTCAGGGGTAGGGAGTTCGTAACGACAATCCGTCTGGCGTATAGATTCGATTTCCTTAAGCTGTTTACAGCTCTCGGGTTCGATGATACGATCGTAGAGAGGCCCATTGCGATGGTTGAGCTGTCGGGTGCGGGGATCGCTGAAGCTGCAAGTCGGATAACAAGCTGTTATCACCCAAGCGGTGTTGCGTTGTTCATCAAATGGATATCCTGCGAGGGCACCGCTGCTCGTGATATATCCTGCCTGGTAATTATTGAATATCACTGCTTGATTCGCATTGGCTGGATTGATGAAATGGTAAACAGATAGTTGTGGTCTCAATTCATATTTCTCTGTTCCGGAGAGATAAGCTGCCTTATCTGCCGGAGCTCGGTCGCGTGCGATGCTTCCAGATGAGGCTTCAGAACAGACTGCAGATGCTGCCTCAAGAAATGAGACACTACAGTCGATATGAGAATAGCGAAAAGTCTTTCATCAATGATCTGACTTGTGATGGCGTAATCCGGGTGATGGAGCTTGGGATGTCAAGCTGAGCGTTGAACTCATGGTGGGGTCATGCTCGGGTTTCAATGAGACAACCTCCGACGCTCCGATCTTATATACTTAGCCTTTTTACATTCTTGTCTTGCCATCGAGCCAGATGCTGTTCCTTCAGTATATGCATGTTTTCTGGTACTTACTGACAGACATGAACTTATGAGTTATAGAAGAATTCTTTGAAATTCAGATTTCATTGATAAAAGAACGTAATGTATTGAAACCAGACAGTGTCACATCAAGTGAATTCATAACCCTCCGTTCATGATGATAAAAAAACTATATATGAAGAATAAATGCGATCTGACCCAGTCAAGATCCAACGAAAAGATATATCATTTTTTAGTTCGTTTTCCCTCTCCAAAATGTCTGCTTTCCTTTTTTGTTTGCTATGTCGCTCAGGCTTTTCCAAGTCCAACAAGGACAAGGAGTGCAACATTCATGATAGCGATCACAAGCCAGATAAGGACAGCGAGAGTGGCAGTGTACCAGCTATTCCTCATGGGAATACCCAGGATCTCCATACTCTCGTTCTCACTGTCACTCTCAACTGCCGTCCTTGTTGTGCCGCCCTTGACGGTCATGAACTTGTTAAAGCACGTAAAGTAGACCAGTGGAGCAGAGACAAATGGTAGGATGACACTCAGTGTCACCTGGGAGGCGTTGAGGGCTGCACTTAAACCGCTCTTGCCTATGGCAGCAGCGATGATGATACTAGGAACAATGCTGATGCATCGCGTCACCAGTCGTCGGATCCATGGCTTCACGCTCCAGTTAATCATTCCTTCACTGACCATCTGTCCAGCAATTGTAGCCACAATACCAGCAGACAATCCAGAGAGCAGCAAAGCCAAGGCGAAGACTGTGCCCGCGGCAGGGGCAATGGATGAAGATAGCAGCTTGTAGATGCCGAAGAGATCAGCGTCAGAAGCACCATCGGTACCAAAGAGAGAAGCCCCTGCCACGATAAGAATTGAGCTGTTGACGAACAGGGCAAACGTGAAGAGAGAGATGGCGAGCTCAGCAATTAAATATTTCATGCAGCTGCGGATAGCCTCGATGGATGGGCGGTAGTCAGTCTCCGCTGGCTGGATATTGCCCTTTGCTTCGTCGAACTCCTTCAGACGTGGCTGAACCACTCCACTTCCGAGGAAGAGGGAATGGGGCATGACAGTTGCACCGAGGATGCCGCAGCTCTGATAGAGTCTGAGGGAAATTTAGCAAGTTTTCAGACAAAACACTCGAACGGTTCAACTTACCCATCACCCTTAACCACTGCAGACGACGGAAGATACCCACGGAAGACTTCCCCGACAGACTGGTTGCGGATAAGCGAGAGCTGAATGCAGAAGCAGATCACAACTGCCAGCACTAGACCCATGACGAAATATTCGAATACCCGGAGTCCGTTCATGTTCCCATGAGGGCGGTAGAATAGCAGGAGAAACAGCACGTCAACTAGCGTAATAGCGCATCCAGCAACAAGAGGAATATTGGCGAGCAGATTGAGCGCGATTGCGGAACCAATGACCTATTGCTCGTTAGGAGATAGCTATAAAATAGACCGTGAACATTATAGTATATTTACCTCTGCAATATCCGTTGCAATAATAGCCGCCTCGGCAAGAACGTATAGAGGAATCACCATCCACTTTGGCAGATGAGCTCTACAGTTTTCTGCCAGATCCATTCCAGTCACGCTGCCGAGCTTGATGCACAGTGACTGTAGGAAAATAGCAAACATATTCGACATGATAACCACAAACAGCAGAGCGTATTTGTTGCTGGCACCGGCAGACACATCGGTCGAGTAGTTACCGGGATCGATATACGCGACTGCAACCAGAAATCCTGGGCCAATAAAGGAACCGAATTTTTTGATCACAAGAAATGCCTTGATTGCAGAGTCGTTGGCCTTAGACCTGAGCAAGGGAAGATTTGAATTTAACGACGAGGCCGCCGAACTGATGGAAGAGATTGAAAGGGAGGTCTTGTGCATCTTGAACAGGCCTGGCCGCTTGGGTTCCTGGGTGTTCGACTCCATTCTTGCGAGAGATAAAAGAAATAATAACAATAATAATGATAATAATTCAAAAAAATCGTAACTACTATAGTTTCAAGAGACCTGCTCTCGCCCAAGAAATAAAAATAAAGCAAAAAGAAAAAGAAAACAGATTGATAAAGAGGAAACTCCAGCTCCCTGGGGTCTGAAGCATGTTTCTTTCCTGGATGGATCTCCATACCTCTTATATAGATCCCACTCTCTCTCCCTGGCCCCGGGGCTCCCTGTTCAGATAGAGGGGCCCGGAGAATGGACTGTTTCCAACAAGCAACTCATGCTGAATCAATCAACAAGAACCCAGGTCATAGTAAGAGACAGTAACGTGGGTCAGACTGCCAAGGCTGAAGGTAAATACATTTCATGTAGCAACATTAAGACCGGGGAACTAAGGAGTCGGCGTTTCTGATACAGGCTGATGCCAGACTACCTGACAGCAAGGCGAGAGATCTCCGTTGAAATGCAATTGCAGTTCAAAATTTGGACGGTACCAGTAGGATCAACACTCAGTCATCGAATATGACCTTCCGTGCTTTGGCAATCCCATAAGTTTGCATCCCCGAAAAGGACTATACCATGGCAAGGTCCGGTGCAGAAGCTATGAAATCTGCTGGACGTCGCATAATGGAGGCGACACGGGATCGACGGTTGTGGCGCGAACTGCGAAGATCATTCTGATTTCGTTGCGCGGCGAGTGGAGTAGGTTCTCCCAGCTGGTCAGTGGGTTCGATAAGGAGACATCTCCGCAATCAGTGCGCATTGCTGCCATTGGGCCTAGGAATTATGCTTACTATAGGAACATGGGGAAGTGATGTGCAAGCTAGACAGGGAAAACCCATGGTGGCCGGGACTGCGTCGGAAGGAGAGCTTCGACTCAACTACCATAACTTATAAGAGATGGGATTGACACTTCAGGTGGAGCGGATAGTGATCCCAGTCCGACGACGATGAGCTTTGTCCATGCACATAATCGATCTCGCCTCCGTACATTAGAAACAACCCGCGAGCTGTCATCTAGAATGCAGAAGGCTCTTTCTGAGTATCAACAAAACAACATCTTGCCAAGGGTGATCAACAATCCATGACAAACGCTTAGCCAACTTGGGACATATCGCTCGTGCTCCTGTTTCAACAGTGTCTGGTATCGCCTTCTTTAGTCAGCTCTCGTAATCTTGATTCCGGGCTGGGCTAAAGAAGATGGTTCGGGGCTCGGGGAGGAAGTAAGTAATCGGCACATTTCTGACCCCATACGAGGCCGCTTGTGGCAGTAGACGAACTGCAATTTGCTATCCTGCCAAGACACCGTTGTTCCATATTCCAACTTCTTGTACGCGGCCCAACAGGAACGTTTAGTTACCGAGACACGGTCATCAACGACCTTGAAACCAACAATTGATTGCTTTTTAATAGCAATGAGATGAAATTGCAAGATGCGGAGCTCTCCTGCATTGTCCTCGCCCGGTCTTTGTTTCACAGCGAATGGAGATTCCGAGTGGAGGCGTACTCCGTACATGTAGCTACCTTCATTGCGTAAGTCAAGACGACGAGTTTCGGGTCGATAATACTTTGTCCAACGAAACTTTGGGATTCTTTTTTGTCGGGAGAATATGGGATGCTACTCTGCATAGTTCGAGACAGATGGGAGACAACAGTAGCATTATCATCACTATCTAGCCCTGTTGTCCTTATTACGCTTAGCTATGGCAGATGACCAGAGAAACATGCAGACCAGACCCCATGATGTCCACGGTCTACCTAGAGGATCGTGCCAGGTCACCCCTGAAGGGAGAAATTATCGAAAAAGTCGATGACAATATCGTTCGCTTCGATAGGCTGAGGTCCTACACCTGCTACAGCCATATCTATATTCATGGTTTTCGATGGCCAGTCATGACCTAAATCACTGTGAGAAATACGTTCGAGTCCTCTGAAAGTTGGATGCATACCATTCTTGTCGACTTTCCAGTGCTGAAGTGTCCCATTGATCCCTTTGCAGGTCCAGACGGTATGATGTACGTTACCATTGTCACTGTTGTAAGTAGTGTTCGACGTACATCCGTTCCTCTGCTGCCAGAATCCCAGCCTGATAATTTCTTGATCAGTGAAACTCGAGCAGATGACAGATTCTCGTTTCCCTTACCAAACTGGAATAGGAGGTAGAAGGCCGCCTTCTCCTTGACCGCCGTTATAATATACAGACTTGTCACTTCCACCATGGATTTCCAAGATCGGAAGAGGTGACCTTGCAGGCTTGCAGCCATCGCTTGTGCCATTGACATCAGTGTAGAAGGAACCGGCCACAGGAGCAAGTGCTGCGAACAGCCCACCTACACTGGCGCAAGCCAAGGTGCCGACAAACCCGCCCCCGTTGGACAACCCGGTGGCGTAGATACGAGAACTGTCCACCTTATACTGTTTTTCCAGGTCGATGATCAGATCGCTCACAAATTGCAGGTCTTCCGCAACAGAGACCTTGCCATAGCTTGGTCCTGCCCAAACCCCACCGACGCCATTGGGATAGACGAAGAACCTCTGCGTGCCTGGTTAGTTCCCACCAGCTGGGCAAAGTACAGTGCAGACTGACATCTTTCGAGTATTTCGTGGGTATGGTGGGGAGGCTCAATCTGATGTCCGCCTCGAAGGCGAACCCATCTACATCATAACCAATTTCACTTGATCCGTGAAAGGCAATTACCACGGGATAGTTTTTGGTTTCGTCGTATTCATCTGGAGAACGGACCCAATAGCTTCGAGTGCGACCGCTACTTGTCAAGGTATTCAAGGTAGCAGATACTGCGGTCGTGAAGAGCAGCCACAACGCCAGAAGCAAACGAGATGAGAGTGCCGCCATGGTGTTGAGAGCTCCCTCAAATAATGGTACCGGATGAATGAAATGGTTATAGAGGTAGAACAAGACTGCGAGCGTTCATACTGCGAGGCGATGAGCCATCGTGCAGCTAAAAGACCGAGAAAGCCAAAGGGACCGTCTGTCAGTGCCAGCTGACGATGTTACGCAGGAACAGTGCGTATGACCCGAACAGGATCGTTGTTGAGTTGATCTGGATAATAATGATAATGGTAATGATGATGGATACCAATTTTCAGGGGAACAACGTGAAGTCGCGAGATCCCGAGATGCAACCCTGCCCCACTCCGGTTTAGGAAGGAAGAGGCAGCTGGTCGCTTTCTTCCCAATCAAGACGGCAGATAGAAGGTCGGGTGTAGTATCTGGACTTTCCATGTGCAAATCGTCCTCTGGGCATATCAAACTATCGCAGAGCAGGCCGACCAGTTCTCCGTGACTTTATCTATCCTAAAGTGCTTACTTGTGTGATATATAGCGGCATATGCTCTGGCTCTGTCATCTGCACGGTGCATACTGACCTCTTAGGGCCCTTGGACATCCTTCCCATGATTGGTGGAAAAAGCTACTCGTCTTCACCCCGGGACTGCGTCTACAGAAAAACAACAGAATCATATACTGGTTTAATTATCGTTCGTATTATTGTTGCTGCTATCTGGAAAATGAGAATAGTTAGACCGAAAAGGACGCTGAAGACTAGTCTTTCGCTTGAAGAGAAAAGTGCCATCTGTCTTATCTTCAATGGCTCTCCAATGGTACAGTCATCTTTCCTGTTTTATCTCCAGTTAGCTTTTGTGTGCTTTGGAGGTGTTCTTGTAATCAGTCGCTTAATCTCCAGAGACTTCCTAGGAGTGTCCGAAATGAGATAAATAGTAATATGCACCCGGCGTTGAGCCCGTTGGGTTGAGTTCCTGTCATCCTACAGGCGGAGAAATCCCCAGCTCCGTCCCATTCCCCGCAATTCGCTATGACATTTCAGATATTTGACCCCATTACGAGTCAAGTCTCACGCTCTGGGGAAAGCTAGGATATCCAGCTGCCCAAAAGAACAATGGTATCAGAGATGGCTTTTCCTGAATGGGGAGGAGACTGGCCCGTATAAAACAAGACTACGCGCCCTGATGTGCCCGTACTCGTACCGCAGTGTCATTTAACTATACGCATTCGATCATGAGGCTCGTTACTCTGACCCCCTGGTTTTCTGTTGCTGCAAGCTGCTTGGCTATTGATAACATAATTCCCGGCGCTGAAGTCTTCCCAGCTAGTGATGGTGCAGCTTTGGAGAGAATCGGAGCTCAGCTTCCAGGATATCCTGATCGGCGTACGGTGACAATTAGACCCTCCAAGACTGACGACGATGATATCTCCAGCGATTTTTTATGGGGCATGAAAGTAGCCAATCATGGCGGTAGGCTCCTGTTGAAGAAAGGAGAAACATACATAATCGGGAAGAAACTCGATCTCACCTTCTTGAATGATATCGAAGTGCAGCTGGACGGTGAAATTCAGGTGCGTTTTCCCTCCGCCCCCTTCAGATTGGGACGGTGCACCAACTTAGTTATTTTTCCACCCTTTACAGTTCACAAACAATGTTACCTATTGGCAAGCGAACAACTTCTATTACGATTACCAGGATTCGATTTCCTTCTGGAGGTGGGGTGGTCAGGATATTAAGATCTTCGGCCAGGGTACTTTGAATGGTAACGGTCAGATATGGTACAATGAGTTTGCGGGACATGAGATCCTGGTAAGATTCTAGTCGACATACCCAACCTGATCTAGATGCGCAAGGTGCTCATTCCATATTCCTGCACAGGACTCAAGTAATACATTCTACCGGCCAATTCTCTTCGTGGGTGAAAATGCAACTCGTGTCTCGATTGAAGGCATAACGGAGCTGAACTCTCCGTGCTGGAACAATTTTTTCGTCGGATCAAAAGATATCTCGTTCGATAATGTTTACATTCATGCATTTTCAACAAATGTCTCAGTAAGATATCTCGAAAGACTGCGTTTGGGCCAAGTTACTATTCGTGCTGACAGTCCTCTCACAGGCCCCGCCGAAGAATACTGACGGACTCGACTCGATCACTACGAACGGCATCAGGTTTACTAATATGCGAGTTGATGTCGGTGATGACTGTTTCTCTCCGAAGCCAAATACAACAAATGTCTTTGTCCAGAATCTGTGGTGCAATAACACCCATGGTGTTAGCATGGGCAGTATCGGACAGTATGCCGGTGAAGAAGATATCATTGAAAACGTGTACATCGAGAACGTCACATTGCTGAACGGACAAGTATGTTTCCTCGTTTATCTCCAGCTTGGCCAATCATTATACCATCCAAACTAATTACTTGTCAGAATGGAGCCCGCCTGAAAGCCTGGGCTGGACAAAACGTTGGCTATGGCCGCATCAACAACGTCACTTACAAAGATATCCGCATCGAAAACACCGATAACCCCATCGTCTTGGATCAATGCTACTATGACCTCAATGCAACTGAATGCGCAGCCTACCCTTCCCGCGTCAACTTCACAAACATCGTCTTTGACAATGTGTCAGGGTCTTCGTCGGGGAAGGAAGGAAAAGTAGTTGCTGACCTATCCTGTTCGCCAAATGCTGTTTGTTCGGGAATTCATCTTGAGGATATTAACTTGACGAGCCCAGCTGGTAGTCCGCCTGTGGTTATTTGTGATGGTATTGATGGCGATATTGGTGTGAAATGTCAGTCGAGTAGTTCGAGTTCGTGAGAGGTTTAATCTCAGATGTTTTAAGCGGGATATGTACTCAAAAGGTCGGACACAGGATATTATGAATTGCAATCTAGGATATAGAACTAGCGTGGACTGTCCATGTCAGCATTATCTGATAAAGACCTTCCCAGGTGGTCCAAGATCAAAATCTGTACCATCTTTACCAGAAATATGTCCCCGAGGCGGTCATTAGCCCCCTGTGCCAAACCCCCGAAATTACGATTAATAAACCATATCCTTTGTCCAGTGACAGTAGTCGACCCGAACCGTCAACGCACGAGCAGGCCCAAGAACCAGCACTCAGGAAACCAAATCTATCATATCCCTCGATTGCATTTCCATCCTCAGCCGCAGCACGTCAGCTCCGCGCATAGAGTCCCACAATTAATCTGGCATCTAGTGTTGGGTCTCTGCCGCAAGCTAGACCCCTCTCTCTCATGCTGTACTGTCTCGGGTGATCCCACGAGCTCCGGCTGAAGGGTAGCTGAATGGATACCATATGCGTGAAAGCATTCATTGATGATTTTCGCCATTGCGAGGAAACTAGATACGGATCGATCCGATATGACGACATGCACGGAAGCAAGGGACTTTTGTTGGTTAAGACGCCAGACGTGGAGTTCGTGGATCGAGAGGACGCCTGGGATCTATATAATACATTATAAGTTAGTATATTTTTTTCTGCTTTTGAAAATAGTCCTTTGTTTCTCTTGGGGAAGTTGTAATGCTAGTTATTACCAACCTTCTCAAGATCATGTTGCACATCTTCCAGGTCAACACCCGTCGGAACGCTTTCCAGGAGGATGAGACCGGAATGTCGCACTATATAGCTCGTCAACACTTGCGCACGTTGACGATCTGTAGTACTTGAGCTTAGTATACATACTCAGGGAGATGGATGAGATCAATATCATGAAAGCGATGCCCATCCCCACCGCTGGGTCGGCATAATATCGAGCATCATAGTGAGTGAGCCAGATCACCAAGGCCGATATTATTACTCCCACGTTATTGACAGCATCGCCTAGAATGTGTATCAAAACACCCATCGTTCCGAGATCATGGCCATGCGAACCTAGCTGGACAGTGTGATGGCGATGCTCATGGTGTTCGGGTTTAATTGACTGTGACCATTTCGTCAGGATACAGGAGGCACTGTATGGGGGAGGAACTAAACCGACCTCTAGATCATACTGTCCTTCTTCATAAATGATATCCTCTGCGGCTTGTGGAGAAGAGGACAGTCCATGGTCATGTTCTGGATAAGTCAGCTACATGGTCGAGCATCCACGACGGTGTGAGTATAAGAGAGTCAGACTAACCGTGTAAGAACGAAGCACTTATGAGATTGAGCCCCAGTCCCACACATCCCACAATCAATATGAGCTTCGGGTTTTGGACCCCTGGTTCTCGAAGTCAGCATCAAACGTGAGTTCTAATGGGAATCAAGCAGAAAGCGCACGCTGCAGCGAGATGAACCGTTGAAGAGACTGCAACAAGATGCTGATACCCAGAGCAAGGAGAAACACCCCGTTGAAGAATGCGCCTAATAGTTGTGCTCGTTGCCAGCCAAACGATAACCCCTTGGGTAAATCGTTTTTCGATGAGATCTGTAAAAGGTAAGGTATCAATGATCGGTTCCGCCCGAGAGAGACATGAATGTTCTTCACCTTGAGTGCTGTCAAGGCTACAATGAACCCGACTAGGTCATTCAACTGTATTGGACCGTATATTAGCCTCTGTTTATATACCAAGAATGTGAGTATTTCACATACGTAGTGAAAGGCATCGGCAATTAAAGCAACAGAGCGTGTATAGAAGCCCACTGTGAAAAGTAATAGGTAGTTAGTTCAATATTTTCTCTAAAAGCAATCAAACCATGCCCACACCGGATATCTCAATAATAAAGAATGATAATGACACTCCAATCACTAGTGTCAAGCGGTGCGACCGCGACATCTTGGTTTTTAGGATCATATTTTCAATAAGTAGATTAAGTGGATAATGAAGAGCTATGAGAAACACACGTGGAGAGCAAACATAGGGAGGAAAAATAACTACCCTATAAGTGTAGCAATATATGTATTAATGTGTGCATGGCGTAGATACCCAGGTCTTGCGCGACAAGCAGTGAATTAATCCGCACTTTAAGGGCAACAGCATCTAGTAATCCTGTCCGACGCTAGCCGGGCCAGTTACACAGTACAACATTTGTTTGTAGTCACAATGAGATTCCTGCTATTCTGGGATTGTTCCTGCATTTTCTGCGTAACGTTTCTCAGAAGACCAATTATAGGATACCCATGATAATACTTCAGGTGTCTCAGGAGAGCCGCTGCGGGCTATCTCCAGGCTATTTGAGGGCCATTAAGCTAATTATTGCTGCAGGGCTAGGTCACTATTCACTGCACAGAAAAAAGAAATATTAGCTTGGTGCTTTGTTTCTTATTTTCCATGCGATTTGTCAAAGCGATTAATTGACCGATGTGGAGCTTATATAGCAAATATTGAGAAGGCGTGTCTGGCTCATCCTTAAACGCGTCGTGGGTATTTACGAAGGCTAATTTTGGCAAGGAATCCTACAGGACGTAGTTTGAAAATGGCGTTGTTAGAGTAGTTCTAAACTATCGAGTCCTCCCGTCTATAAGACCGGGATAATACAAGAAGGCTCAATTGAAGGCAGTTTACCCCTACCTACTCTATTAGCAACGTACTTAAAACATTGCTTCGTTCGTTGCCAGTTATCATTAACAGCTCTAGATTCGTATATCCTATACCCTTTCTGCGTCACAGCCACATAGTCCGTATATCTATACCCACTACACCATTCCCGGCCACTATCAGGAGCCTTCATCTCTACACAGCTCTCCTCAACGGATGGGCCTCCGTGTTAAGAAGGTACTCATTCAGACTGACAACTTGGGAATCCGAGAAGATCAGATAAAAATACTTTAGCTTCTCCGCTAGCCAGAATGATTCCATGCGGTCTTCTTTCGGTGGATCGTCGACCTTCAGACCTCATGAGCGATGTCGGTGACGGTATGTTTGACTGTGGTTTTCGATGTCGTCCAGATTTATTCTACATGCCTGAGTACGTATCGTCCATCATCAATCTTGGTTATCCCAGGTGGGAGTCTTCTCATCTTGGTTTTTGTCATCTGGGAATACCTGGTGGACTTCACGATGCCATCTATCTTCTTCCTAGATGCAATTATGGCTTGATGAGGGAGAAATAGCTATCACCCCTCAAGCCGTGGTAAAACGAATAGTGACGGCAGAAAACTCCTGAAACAATCAGCAATAAAAATACGATCTTGTCCCTAATAGAACGCATAAATAACGGAGTCAAGCTTGTTCCTCAAGAAATAGTATCCATCTCCTTCCGACAGGAATTCATATGCAATGAAGTGAAAATAAGGTCGATTTAAGATAATTTAGCGCCCACGCTTCCGTTTCCAGGGTCCACGAACAGGGCTAGGATGTGTTTCGTACAGTCTAGTATATACTATTATCGCTATTATTATACGGGTAGTTAAGTAGAGGACGTTTGATTTTGGCCCCCAAACTACGAGTCGCGAAAATCGATTCAATCAATCACGGTTAATCATCACCAACAACTCGCATGGCTCGCTCGCCCTATTAGGCTATTAGCGCCAGCCGCATGAACTAGGTGCATCGATCTTGAAGCCACTAGGTGGCATGGGAGTAGTCGCCCTATAAGTAGCTGCCGTAATTACTCGGTTGATCTGTGGACTTATAGTGGCGAGGTCTGGTGCCTAGCTTGTTTCTGTTTTTTACCCTTGTGCATCGCAATATGATCAAAGTGCTCTATTACTATGTATGATCTTTCTGCAGTTTATTGTACGTGCTCGTTGCAGACAGTAATCTCAGGACTGGATATGTCCTAGCTTTGGCCAATTTCAGGAGTCTTACGGAAAAGAAGAAATTAATACATTAAAAAAATAGTACTGTGCTCTCCATGTGGCCATTTATATCCTTTCTTGATTCGCAAATACCAGATGATCGATCGAATATTCTATTTTTGCATGTTGTGTGACGAAAGAAATCCGAGATTTTGTCGAACTTAAAACCACAAATTGTAGAAAAGAATCGTTAATCGTATCGTAAATTAACATTAGAAGGCATGTCTATGTTCGCTCGAACTCCGTAACCATTTCCCATGCAAGTTGAGATATATCTCGTCATAGCGGCTTCCTTCCATAGACAAAGTGAAATTTGGAGTACAGGTGATGCTTCCTGCTCTGGAATTCGGCTTTGACTCCTGCGATCAAGTGTTGCACCTCTTCAGCAGGCATTTTCATCACTCGCGTAGCTACCGCGAGAGTATAAGGTTCGACAGCTTCCAGCATACATAGGAGGTTGTATTGGCCGATCTCTTTCAGTTTGATGTCTTTGGGCCAGAGGCCAAGTGGCACCTATAGTGATTCGTGTTGTTAGAGAAAAAAGAAAGAAAGAAAGAAAGAAACAGAAAAAAGAAGAAACAGTGTTCTCATTGATTATGGTGCGAAAAGCAAAAAAAAAGAGTGAGGGCGCGAACCTTGTAAATGTCATCCCTTACATCAACAAAACCCGCATCGATCAACCTTTGCCTCTGGGACGGCGCCTCATTGAAATTCTTCCCAACTCGTTCGCTAGCATCATTGATCATATTTTGCCAGTTCCGAATGAATTGAGTTGTCTCCAACGTCCCATCATCTGAGTGAGCTTCCGATTCGTATTCTTGCATCTCTATCCATCCCCCGGGGACGAGATGCTCGTATGCCTGTCGATAAAGACGCGACCAATCTCCAATGCCTCCTGCCATTCCGCGGCCATGGATGAAGTCGAATTTCTCATCGGGGGGAAAGGTCCAGTCACTCTCCACATCATCAACGTAAAATCTGCAGTTTGGAGGTACCCAAGTTGGCTGTATGGGACTGAGATCGGTTCCAATGATCAACGCGTTGGGAAATTCATCGGCCATGTCGATGGCCCAGATACCTGTTCCCGTACCAATATCAAGGACGCGCCGTGGGGTTTGTGTAATCGGCGCACGATATAGATATCCACCAAGCACTAGGCGACAAATATGGTGACCGAGATCAAGTCGGTTCTGTTCCGTATCGTCGTTCGGTAAGAGATATGCGCCTTCTCGATAGGCATGGTATCGACGGCCATTCTCGTATTTGTAGTTGAGAACCGATGAGGAGATCGAAGTGCTATTAGCACCATCTATCGATGCGAACGCAGAGTCTGCATCTGACATACCCTGAATTTCGAATCAACGACTCTAAGTAGTGCGGAAAAGGCGCAAGGGCAAATATTTCGCTTACTTCGTCAGCCTGCAGAGGAATATCGACATCAGGCTGTCTCCGGTGTGCCATGCTCTCTACAGTGCAACAAAGATACAGCTTGCCACGTCCTTCGCAAGGCTATATGAGCACGCGAACCACACGTACAGGTATTAATGAGTAGTCCGCTATTTTCAGGCCCTGGTTGTAGTCATACATGTACATGACAGTTTGCGACACGGATGCAGACGTAAGGCATATGCGAACAGACCGAGAACTACATTGGTCTAATTGAGTCTTACACTTTATAGGAAGTCCTCATATGTGCTCGAGCCCTCTCCATTAATTGCGACTGCAGCATCGTGGAGAAAAGCAGCGAGGAGTGGAGAATAGAAAACCCAAACTTGGGAAAGTGTATATACTGTCCGCGATGAGCCAAAACTCCAGAAACAGCTCAAAATGGCGGGAATATCGCATTATAACCATGCTATTCGCCAGCGAAATGCATCCTTTGGCAGATCTGTTCGATACCCTCACATTATCGCGTCCCACCGATCCCAACACATGTCTGCTCTTCAAGACACGAAGTCAGATAACTACACCCTTTCCCTGAGCTATACCAGCTGGCAATGATGCTACGGCGAACTTGGAACTACGAAAGCATAAGAGCCCTTAGGAAGTGGCCCCGTCTCGTCCGAAGAAACTCCAGGTCTAGTCTGTAGGGCCAATAAACAAACCCGGAGAATTTTTCCCCAGATGACTTGATTATCTCCTAGAAGACGACAGGGTGGAAACAACGCGATTAGGACTTTCAGATCAGTTCTCTTGATACGTCATCTGCGGGATACTTACGTCTCCAGTCCAACAGACAGAAGCCACGCATTCGCATTTGATATTGTCCGATGCATATACTTATGTACTTTTGTTACTCCTTACTGTTGGAAGATCTCCCAAATCAATCGAAGCAATTCTCAGACGCATCTGCCACTCGCACAAACATTTTATTATTTGGGACGACTGGTTTTTGGGCTCTGCGCTAGGGCAACTTTATTTTCTACCCACGCAACTTCCATTGGATTAGCACCGGCGTCTCAAAAACGGATCTGCACTGGCACTCTCGTTAAGAAGATATAATCATGGCGCTTGTTTGACTTCACTTGTTTAGCGGCCTCCAATACACTGGTTCCAGGTGTCTCCTTCCCTTGTACAGTACAAACCATCGGGAATAGACGCCTGGCAGCGAAGAAGTAAATATGCGTGTTATCCATACCATAGAATCTTAACCACGACCAAGTCCAGATTCACTTACAGGCAATTACGCAAAAGTAGAAGAATCCAAGGTCCGCAGACGTCGAGCTCCTCCCACTACTCTTGGATCCCTATGGTAGATCTCTGCACTTGAGACTTGCACATTCCCTAGATCTGGACAGGGATATACTGCGTGAAGGATCTGATCTCGCAGCTTAAGTAGTCGGACATTTCCCCCAAAAAAAAAACGACAACCGGGAAATGTCTCAACAGTGGGTTAGTTACTCATCCCTGGGACTAGCCGCTTGCTAATTTACCTACCCTGCATATGAGAAAATCAGCTAACTAGGTAACTACAAGGCATGATCTTAGATATCAACCAGCTAGCTTTTTCACATAGAGATACGTCGACCTGGCTGCATTGAATCTACATGCTTCCAACTTCCGATTGGCAGTCATGATTTCATACTTATGTCCTTATCTCAATGTGGACCCCGGTTATAACCGTGTGACACCCTTGCTCGTACTCGATGCAGCAGGCTAATCGCGCAGACCGCGCCGCAGTTTGTCGGTCAGGAGTTCTCATGAGAGCCTCTGTCCAAACTGTTAAACCCAGCATGCGATCAAGGTGCAGCGGTAGCGCTAAATTAAATAACCAAGTCTATAATTACGATTACACTACAGTCAGGGATTACAAAAGCCAAAATGTTCGACTAACGAATCTACTGAATTGCAACACTAGAGACTTTTCCCTCGCTTTTATAGATATATAATTGGTAATGCTAATAATAGGCACAATTTGACTTCAACACATAGGCAGATCCATATATGTGCTTGCACGACATGCCATTTATTCCACGCTGTAGAGTCCATTCTCATCAATCAATGACTGATTGAAATGCAAAAAAAAACAGCAGGGGATTCTATATCCAAAGGTATCACTCTATTGACAGAGCAGAAAATCAAAAGAGGGCAGATAGTGTAGAAACAAAAATAGGACGCGAAGCCTCCAAGAGAAGTCTAAGCGAACTTCTCCGAAAGCATGACATATGGATATACTACACCAACAAAGTAAGGAAGCATGTCCCCAACTGGCTTGAGTCATCGTACACATTTCCTGGTCGGAGAAGGACGACCACATGCAAGAGTCGCTAAGTACTTCCAAAAAACAAATTCTAGGCAAAAAAACGGGGGCGCGAAACCAAAAAAAAAAGGAAAAATCGGGGGAATGGAGGCTATCTACATACTATCCTCACTCCACCTGCTCCTCGTCTTCTGATACGCATCTCTCTCACCTTTTCCTTCCGTGACATTCATGCCAATTCCCAATCCGCGCTCCACCCACTGCTTGCTTCCCATCTCCGTGAGACGGGACAGCAAACGGGCGAAGGCGAATACCTCCTCGTCGCCGCTGAAGTTGTCTTTGATAGCGGATACGGAAACGCCGAGGTTGCCCAGGGCGCCGCGCATCTCTTCGGGGAGGTCGTCATTTCCGGAGGAGTCGGATTTAGAGAGGCTGTCTTTGATATCAGCATCAGAGAGGAAAAGTCTCTGGATGGGGACTTCGGCTGTGAGGACAAGTTTGGCCTGTGAGTGGGAATATTAGTCAGGTCCTCATTAACCTCTTTATGTGTGCACTTACTCTGCTCTCGTAGACAGCGTCTACGAAAGTGATGAATCTTCGAACCAGATCACGCTGGTTGAGAGTCATGGCTGGAATGTCGGTCACGATGAAAGCGTCGTAATGTCGGCACAATTCAATATAATCAGCAGCACCGGTCGCGCGTCCAAGGAGCTGCTGGAAGGTGAATCTTGCTGCTCTTCCACTTGCCAGCGGAACTTCGATTGTACGTCCCCAGACCTCGTGGGTGGCAGGGTGTGGAGGGTCGTTTACAGGGTCACCAAGATATTCGAACCATTTGTCGGCGTGTCGCAGTGCACCCAGGTCCAGCGGGTGGTGGTAGACGCCGGATGGGGGACGTGGGATCTTACGGTAGTCGGTGTCGGAGTTGAGGTTCAGCACGGTGAGTTCGGTCTTGAGGAGCTCGATGCAGGGAATGAAGGATTCTCGCTGGATGCCATTCTTGTATAGCTCATCCGGGTGTCTATTGGAAGTGGTCACGATAACCACACCGTGAGACATGAGCAATTCAATTAGTCTGCCACTTTGTCAGCCCAATTCAAAACCGTAGTCAATTTTTAACTCTAGGAAACTTCAAACATCCATACCTCCTCAGAATCATGGCGTCTGCGACATCCGTACATTGGAACTCATCAAAGCACAGAACGCTCGACTGCTCCGCAATATCCGCAGCCACCATGGGCAACGAGTCAAAGTCGGTTCCATAGCGCATCTTAACCACATGCAGCCGCTTGTGCACATCCTGCATGAAATTATGGAAATGGATTCTCGTCTTCGACGTGATATTTGATGGTAACGTATCGTAAAACAGATCCATCAGCATCGTCTTTCCGCATCCCACGTCTCCGTACATGTACAGACCCTTGGGAAGGTTGGGAGAGATAGTCGGACCACTGGGAGCGCTACGACGACCGAACAGCGAACCGAACAGGGAATGTTTCGGCTTCAGACTCAACGATTCGACAGTCGGATGCACCACTTTAGGAGGCTTGTATCCTCTCAGCATTTCGTGGAGGTCTTGGAGATGCTGAATGATCGCTATAGTTACAGAACAGTTAGTCCGATTTGATTCTTCCAATAAATAAAATCTCTAAATACCAGCCTACCTCTCTGAAAGGGGTCATCCCTCAATGTCCCAGCCTTTACCCTGGCATTATACTCGGGGATAGGACCCTCAGACGACGGTTTTCTCGCCTCTTGCTCCTCCACATCCTCCTCTTTAACAGCGACACCCTCACTCGCGGTCGCGAACTGGCGAGTAATAATCCGCTGCTTCCCCAATCCTGCAGAACCGGAACCCGACGCGCTGCGCGTATCCAAGACAAGCGACGGTCCATACCCCACAGATTGTCTTAGCTGCTGCGTCCCAGCGTAATGCACGCATCGTCTCGACTCCCTAACGTGTTGTAATGGACCAGATCCTCGCGCCACAGAACCAAGCGCACCTCCAGCTCTTGAAGATGTAGCTCGTACGCATTGCGCACAGAGTCTTGTGGATGGTTGACTCATCTGCTTTTCTTTTCCTTTGTCTTTCTATGTATAGAATCCAACGATAATATATACAGCCCCGTCTTTATCGCGCGGGGGTATCGGTATTCAAAACGAGCGAGCGACGGTATAGAATCCAAAAAGCAGCCAGATGAGAGAAAAGGCGAGAGCGAAGAAAAAGACGTCAAAGGCCGCGCGAGTAATTCGGCGGACGGCGGGGGGAAGTTCGGCCTAGAGTTAACCAGTGGAGTTCGGCCGGGCCGAGCGATAGGTAGTAAACTAATTAGTTGAGACTTCCCCGAGAATTGTTATTCTGTGAGGTCCTCCAACGCCCTCTGTGGATATCTTGGAGACGTTTGTTGGGAGTTCGATAGAGGGAAGAATGGCGGAGATTTCCTCTGGGCTCAGAAAGCGCCTCCGCATCGCCTCCGCACCTCCGAGGGCGCAAAAACCCCTGTCACGTGACTAAGTTGGGGTCACGCTCGGGATCATGTCCGACTCGGCAGGAGTTGGAGTTGAACAGAAGATATAATTGATCAATATAATATAATGTCAATGGAGCGCATCTTAAAAACGATAGTGCATGTTAAATTTGACGTCTGGCACATCTCCATTATTACTCAATATTTCTCCCCGCAGTATTGCAAAATCGTGGAATCAATAATCCTTCTTCTCATGATTGACATCACAAAATCCATCGAGCAGAATCCAGAATCCCAAGGAACAAAAACAGTCGAACCGACTTGATCCAGGCTCCCCACAGAAGGATATTATCATTAGACTTCACCAACTTAAAGCCACCAAGGCACCATGCGTCGCTAAACACAAAACTAGGACCACGGGAAGAGACATAATTTCCAGCCCTGGACGGGGCGTGCACTACCAAGGCTCCCATCGAATCGATCCGGGGACGGCGATCCCTAGAAATATACTCTTCTTTTCTTTGTCCACTGAGATATTACAGTTTCGAGATGCAGACATCGTTACCGCGCAGGAGGTATTATTGTTGACGAAGCGCAATTACCGTGCACTGCTTTTTCTGTCAAGACATGGCGACCTGAAAATAGAATAATAGCACAATGTTGTCGCATGAGCGAGCCTGGAGTTTTCGGACAAAACCATCCTTGAAATGCGCTGCTCCGGCATCACCAAAGTAATAATGTGCTGTACATATGCTCGTGAGAGCGCGGAAAAAGGAACAAAACAGAAATGCCAACATAGATAGCATAGCACACACAACGCAGGGTATGAGGGGATCAACTTTATCGCACGACACGAAGGGCAAGGAAATACAGAAGGAGTGCTGAAATAGAAACCGTAGATGAGCACCACACGGCAAATGAAAATCAAAAAGACATGAAAAAAAAAAAAAAAGACATCACTGCAAGGTTCATTCCATCATCCGTCGTCCAAGGGTACGAAACATTTTAGAACAAGAAAAAGATAATTGCGCCGGGGAGGCGGTTGGCTTTTTTTGGTTTCTTGAGAACCCCCGTTTTATCGATTGAAACGCCGGCGACGCCACATCCGCTACAAAATATGCTGTCCCAGGTTAAAAAGAGGGATTTTCTCCCATGAAAGTGACTTAGGCATGGTTGACCACTAGTGTCAACTTTGGGTTTCTCTGCAGAGCGGTGTCCAGGTCGGTATCGCTGATGATCTCCACAAAGCTGCCGCTCGAATCGTCCTTGTACTGGATAATAATATCGTCGTTGACCTTCAAACGATCCTGGAGTTTCTCTTTCAGCCCCTGGAAATTGACATCGTTGGGCACACGGACGGCAATAAGATCGTCCTGGTAGAAGACCTTGATCTTCATTGCGCCGGTATTCGAGGACGTAGATGCCTGAGTCAGAGAGCTGGGCTGACGATTCATGGACTGCGCCTGAATCTCCAGGCGCGACTGCGGGGGGCCGTTTGTCTGCGACATCGAGGCCTGAGAACGCTGGTGACTGACGCGGTTGCCGACTCCGGGGTAGGCTCCCGCTCCACCGTTGATCTGTCCATGGGACGACTGTCGAGACACGGTGCGCGAGACATCGTGGACGGACGACTGTTGCGAACCACCAGAGTGTCTGTAATCATCGCCCAGAGCGTTGGGGTCAATTTCGAAGTCGCCCGGTCTAGGGGCGAAGAGCTGTCTCACGAGCTGGCAACGAGAGATGTGGGGAGACATGGCCAGAAGCTTCTTGACATACTCGTCGAGATTCTGTCTGCGACCGTTCGAGATGGCATCCGTGACATGAGTGACGGGCCCGGGCATGAACGGCAGTGTCCGTGGCTTGCCGCGGTTACCCGCCTCTTCCTCGAACTGGGTGAGCAGGGCGATCTGGAAGTCGTAGAAGTCGTGGTAGTATCGCGATAGCTCCCACCAGCGACCGTCTTCCATCTTAACCTCAATGATATACCAGTACTTGTCGTTGTCGAAACAGTATCGGGGGATCGATGCCGACACCGGAGCCAGGAGAGGTGGTTGATAGGAAGGCTCGCGGAACTGCGGAGTTGGCTGTCCAACCGCCGCATATCCGGAATCATGATGATGTCCCTGAAACAAAGTACCTGATTAGTTTACCGTCGACCGGCTTCCTCGAGGGCGGCTTTTCTCCGGTACTCACGTTCTGTTGTCCGTTGGTGTGACCCGGGGTGTCGGGAGTCACGGACATCTTCCGCATACTGGTCGTGACGGACTGCACACTCGACGTGCTCGTCGAATCCAGTTTTCCGAGTGTGATGCTGGAGTTCTTGTATTCGGCGGTCATCTTCTTCCATTCCTCCACCTTGGGTACACCCGCCTTTCTCACCGCTTCCAGAGGGTCTGCCACGGCCTGGCCGGTCGTCATGTCTCGCAGCTCGATGAACGACACTGGAATCAGGCCGGGACCGCCCAGGCGACCGATGGGTTTGGCCACGAACCACTCCGGGTTCGACTGGGCAATGACGATGATGGCCTCCCCGGCCTTTGCGTCCAGCTCGTCCGGGCGCTCAGCCTGGAAGTCGTACTGGACGACGCCATATACCATAGCTCCCTTCCCCATGGCGGACATGCGAGCGAAAGCCCCGGATTTGCTGGAGTTGGTCGAGTCTGGTTGCGCTGGCGAAGTGCGATCAGAGAAACCTGAGTCGTGCAGGTTCTGTTTGTGGGCTTCAACGGATCCTCCGCTATCCCTCTCGTTCTTGCCGACGGTCTCGAAATAAGACACCGGCACCAGGCCCCTTGCCTCGTTCAGCGGGTTGCACGCTTCGTACCAATCAGGGTCGTCCTCGCGGCTGACGACATGGAAGAAGTCACCCTTGGTGAAGGCTAGCTCCTGGGAATTGCCAGGCTCGGGCTCGTAGTCGTATATTGCTTTGATTACCTGGAGGGGCGCACACGCGTGCCGTTAGCGCGCTGGGGCACGGGCATGCTTCGGAAAAAACATAAGATAGCCACCGGACAAACAATTCAACTCACCTTCTTTGGCGGTAAGGCAATGGCCGACTTGTAGCCGACTGTGTACTTCTTCTGCGCAATCGAAATCGAATTATGACCGGACTTGTGCTCCCCTTTGAGAGACCGTCTGATGGCCTGTTGTGTCGTCGAGCAGGTTAGTTGGTCCGCATCGAGCGACGATCCGAAAAATGAGGGGCTTTCGCACGCCGGAGCCGACGGGGGGAGAGTATGATTGAGTAGTAGCAAGTAATGATGGATAAGACGCACCTTCATGTTTCTTCCTCACGGCAGAACTACGCCGGGTTTCGACAGGATTCTTTTTCTTCTCTTGTAGAACGGGGCAACACAGAAAGGAAGTTCGACGTCGAGGGCGACAGCAGAGTTAAATTCGAACGGTCCCCTCTCGCGGGCGAGCAGCTTGCAGACCCGAATTGCGACGACGACCAGTGCCCCGGTGGCCCCCCTGAGGTTGATCCTTCGGTCCCAGGGACAATGAATTGGCTTGACTGGACGGGGAACGGGAGGGTCCGCGGTCGTGCACCCACGGGCGACTCTTTTTCTCTGTGGCTGTGACTTTGCGCGGCACTGATGCCCACGCTTTCTCTTGTGGGGTGTGGGATTCTCTCCAAAGTGGCCCGCAGTCTCGATGCCCTGGATTCCGCGAAAGAGACAGACAAGCAAGTCGAGGGTGAAGGGGGGAGGGAATGACAGCAAGAAATCCCAGGTCCTGTTAGACTATGTAGGTAATGTAATATCTGGTCCCTGCGTGGAAGGGTGGAGAGACGGAGAGAGAGAGAATCGACGATCAACAAGAGTATCTCATATGCGACGATGGCGGGTAACGTAGGGACCGACAGCAACGTGTGTGCCTGCCTAAGCGTCTGCAGCGTGCTCAGAGCTTCTCTTGGTTCAGTTGGATCCAGTTGGTCTGGGCGTTAAGGCGTCACTAGACACTCGTGGAGGAGAAAGGCGAAAAGATGGATCAGCCCCAGCCCTGTCGTTTAGCGAGTGAGTTAGTTGAATTAGTGAGTTAGAGCAGAACTTTAGGAGGCGTGAATGCGTACCCAGAATAATTATTATCGCCCCTATCGATAAGACCGAACCTACTAGAAAAGCAACCAACGCTGCCGGGGAAGCTGAAGACCCCTTCCGTGACAGAACTACTGCCCAACTGTCTGTCAATCAAGGAGAGACATGCGTGGCGTAGATCATTCATTCAAATTGTCGGGTCCCTGTGATGTGATGAGGGCGCTAAGGAACTTTTTGGGATAGAACAGAGGATGAAGGCGAATTTGGGAACAAAGGGAACAACCCCTCCTTTCCAGCACAACGGATGCACCAGTCACATAACCACCTAGGTAACTAACGACCTCCAGCTAAGTGAGCCATCGATGTTGGTTCCAGGGTTCGCAGTCCACCAGAAGGCAAATGGCAAAAAGAATTCGCAATTGACGCTGAGTTACTATTATCCCCCCGCCACGGGACCCCATTGAAACTAATCCTGTTCCAGGGTCGTTGGCGATCGATAACCATAGATAATAATAATACCTCGCTGTGGCACAAATAACTTTCCCCCCTTTCTCTATCTCGAAAGATTTAATCCCTATCGCTAGGATGGATGAAATTAGATCAGACTAGAGCCTCCTTTCGGTTGGGTTATACCGTTGAAATCATGTAGGAGTCGCCAAGTATGACCGCCCTGAGAAAAGGAAACCAAACCCAGTACGATTATGCCCTCTTATCATCTCAGACACAATAATCTCAAATAATACTCTTCCCCCTAGTCTAGTTTATCGTATCCTGTTTCCACATCCAGCAAAAAAGGGAATCTGACACGCGCCAAAGAAATATCTATCCCAGTAACGTTTGGGACGGGCCCTCAGCCCAACGCACAAAAGCATGCGCCACGATACCCTCGATACATACTAACAAGCAATAAAAAGACCTATTAAGGATGCACCCAAGCGCCTGGAAATTCCCCGACGATGATCCTCCGCGGGACAACTCCTACTGGGTCATTTTCTCCCATAGGGCTAAGCTAGCCTGAGTAGCTGCTATAGTATTCTCTTGGGAAGTCTCAAAGGGGCGGGGCAGGGAGTCTCTATTATTGCTCACACTGATTATTAGCTAGAGCACACTCTACAAATTGATCGATATTACTCGATGATAATTTATCGAGGGATCGTGGAAGCGCCCACCTGTTTTTTGTCTTTCTTTCTTTCTTTCTTTCTTTCTTTCTTTCTTCCTCGCGCGCGCGATCTCCCTTCATGAAAAAGCCTCCTTGTGCCGCTGAGTGGTGCGTTACATAGGCGGCGCCCTTGCAGCGCTCTCTTCAATTTAACCTGCCACCTCCTTTTCGAATCTAATAGGGCAGGGCCGGCACCTAATTTAATATTGGGCGCTTAGGCTGTCCTGTCTAGATTTCCGAGTTGCCCAGTGATGATGAAAGAGAAAGGGGGAAGAAGCATAGGAGTTATCGTGATCAAAGCGACGTTCAGTTATGTATATTCTGTACGCAAATGGTGAGACTGAATACCTTAATAGCGTATAGCGGTACCTACCTATAATTAAATTAAATTGGAATATGACGCTTGGTACCTAACGTATGTTACTACACAACCTACATAAAGTACCGCGCTGCCATCTGGACGAATCCACCTCGACGTCACTCGTCATAACGCGGATAAATATGACAGCGCACATTACATCCAATATTAGTTATGCAAGTTAGATTATCTACAAAAAAGGAAAAGAAAAATAAGGGGATTGCGCACCAAAAGGATAAAAATTCTTGCATCAAACTACCAGAAGAAAAAGGGAGACTGCTGCAGTACATGCATCAAAAGACTCCACAACCGAATGACGGAAGAAATTCGGAATCGCATATATGCATGCCTGCATGTCTGCATGTATCTGGAGATCTTGTGAGTACTGAGAATGACTGTTAAATTGATTTAATTACTTTGCTGTAGGATGTAAATCGGCAGGTAATAAATAATTAAGTGCAGCGACGCAACCTCTGCCATATCAGTCCTACCACTGGTCGCGTTTCAGATCCTGAATTTGGAAGGGCAGAGACGACAAATCATTGGACGGAGGGCTATACTGAGCAGTAGCAACGCAACTGCTAGATCTACTATGTCGAGTAGGTCTGGAGACACGGACTGTCTGGAAGGGGTCAGTGGGGAGTTTTCAGGTCCAAGGATAAATCAAAGGTCAAGTATAACACAGCTTCTAGGGTGCAGTCGGGGACTTGTGGAATACTATAGTTATAACAGTACATGTTTCGTGACAAATCTTGTATAGAAACAGGTATGACAACTCGAGGTTGAGAGAGATCTCGCCAAAGGAACTGGAGATCCCTAATTCATAATTACCACTTGAGTGAATATCCATGTAGTTTCGCATAATATCTATGGCATCTAGATCTCCTCTCCTTTCTGGGCCCATAACCAGACGAGTTAGACTTCCTAGATAGCATTGAACAGGGTTATATAGTTAGAGGGTGTTAGACTAGGATATGGGTTGACGGAACCCTGTTTACCCTTCAACTAGCCGGCTAAGATTTGACTATGTGTTTGTTGCTTATAGTTTGAGATAGATATCGCGAATCTAAGCTTTCCCTCGTCATTGGGGGCACACGTCATCTCGTCCAACTTTGCTTAGATAGCGGCAGGCCCTTGATCAGTCCTAGCATCCTCAGGACCAGTTTCAGATGGTAGGATGGTAGGTGACTGCCTGGTAACTGCTCTAGCTAATAACGAGATGCGGAGACGGGGTTGTTCAAAGATCATATTTATTAACTTCAATATGCAACTGCTGTACGCTACTATGTATTTATCCACTAGAGTCAACGCAAAAAAAGACCAGAACATTGTCCAACACAATCGCAGCCGCTCGTGTGGTATCATTAGCCAGGTCTCCCGGGGGAATCTCAGATGCGAAATTACGGCAAAGCCAACACCGTCCGAACCCACAGAACATGCATCGCCAAGGGATGACGCCGATATGCTGACAATACCGGGTATGTCGTACGCTCAGACGCAGAAGAAAGTGGGTGACCGGAAAGAGTAGTCACCGATGAATGAAAAAGAATAGTGAATAGGCGAAAGCGAAAACAGTGAAATTCGGATGTCACCGCCTGGTATGCATGCCGCTAAAGGGTGAATACGAAAGATTTAAGAATAGCTCCGGGCAGTAGATTGAAATAGCTTCATAAGCGAATTTCAAATCTGTCCTTTGATGTCGACGACTCTGTGGGCATCGGTTTTGGCCACTTCGAAAATACGACCTGCTTTACCCGTCATGAGCTTCACTCCGCCATCCTTCTCCTGGAGGAGTTCTTCTGGAGCGTGATCGAGGATGAAGCGTGCGCTTTGCTCGTCGGACTCGAAGCCTAGTTCTTCAGTAATAAAACGGATATTTACGTCCGGCTTGTACCTGCAAGAAGTTAGTTTGGATTCCTGCGTGTTCTGTCGTTGCATCACTTACGCTTTACAAATGCATGCAAGAGCAGAGAGTCGCTCCCGGTCAACGAACATGTCCATGAGATACGCTCCCATGTTCGGCGTATCCAGATAGAGCTGGAAGAACCGATGATAATTCCCAAGTGCAAGGGCCGAGCGGACCTCAAGGGCATGTTTGACAGCGGGGTCAGATTTATCTGCTGGGGTTAGATCTGCCAATGCGTCGTTCATAGCCGTCGGGTTGCGAGTATGAATGAAATAGAGAATGCGATACGCCTTGAATTCCGTCGGGTGTCCTCCCAGATTCTGTGCGTACAGTGCCCGCAGTTGCGTTTGACACTGATTATACTCACCAAGGTCTCCTTTCTCCAGGGCAATCCGAGCATGGATCTCATAGACGTTGACAGTGAATTCATTCCGGATATGTTGCACTGTCAAGTCTTGCCGCAACGACTTGAATTGATCACAGATATAACCATAGTTATTTTCTTTCCTCCACTTCTTCTTGAGCAAGTCCAGGGTCTTCTCCAAAACCGGCAAGGGACGGACGGTATCCGGGTTAGGAGCCGAAGTCAAGCGGAAGTAGTTCTTCTCCAAATTCTGACACCGTCCAACGACAGGGCCTTGGTGGCCCCCAGCAGGGGACTCGTCGCGAGAAGAGGTCTGTGGCGATCCATATCCGCGGGAATCTTCGAACCGCTTCCTCCGGATCTCCAGATTAGCTTTGGACTTACTTGAGTTTAGGCTGTAATCTATTCGTTGTCGCTTGTCATTGGGGGAATAACTGATGCGATCTTCAAAATTATTGCGATTGTTAGTCTTCCTCCAGGGTGGGGAACTGTCTGCCTCCTCAGTCGAGTAGTCGTTTGACTTTCTCTTCTTCGCGCGATCATCACTCGGGGTGTCGTATCTTGAGGCAAACCCGGTCGAGGTAGTCCATGATGACACAGCAGGGTTTGTCAGTATCTTATTGCGTTCGTTCTGAATCATAACCTGTGGAAGAGGCAACGCATCCCAGTTGATTGACTCCAGCTTGTTGCTCTCAGCAGCCTCGCTGATCACTTGTTTCAGCTTCGCCTCCATTTCTTGCCTGCTGATCCCTGCTATCTGGTACTCCGGTACGAAGCTGCGCTGCACATACATGCGGACCGAAAGTGGCCATTCGACTTTCTTTGCAGGTGGAGGTTGAGCGCGAGGCGGCGAAGATTGGGCGGCAGCATTCGAGACTGTGCTTGTATGAGATGAATCGGCGGAATAGCCAAAGTTACGGCGAGCTTGAACAGGAATATATGCCGGAGACGCTACAGAAGAGTCAGAGACACACTCATTACGCAGCTGGAAAGAAGACTCACTATTTCCAACATAGGAAGAGGTCGTTGTCACAGCCGGTGCTCCAGCACGCCATGGAGGAATGCTGGAACTCATGATGAAGTGATTCTTCCCGGGCAGAACAGAGAAAATGATTAGGGTGTTTCACAAGGTCTACGGAATATCGAGAGTGAGGAAATCGAGGACTCGTCCTCTCCACAACCACGATACGGGACAGAGGGAGAAAGCAAAGTCAGAAAGAGTAAGGAAAATGACAGCCCGGGAGTCACTGTGGCTGAAAGAACAAACTGGTCAACACGGATAGATAGATATCCCACGCTGTCTAGCTGTGGTCGCAGGATAATTCGATGGAGGGAGAACCTTGGGCAAGTCAGGAGATGCGAAGGCAGAGAGAAATGAGGATCGCTTAAGTTACCGCTTCCAGGCGTCCCGCTCGGTGGCTTCGGCAGTTATTGTGGCTGAGAGCTCCAGCCCACTTCACGGGCGATAAGTAAGCTGGAGCTGTGTCGATGGTGACGGAGATAACAATTCAAGTTGACAACTGGATAGTGCAGAAAGAGACAATACTGTGCTTTCTTCACAATGATATGCATGCCAGCATTCTCTACGATCACAGCGGGATAGATGTTACTCAAGCCAGTGGACCTGACCACTGCACTCCGCCCGTCACTGTTACCAGATGAGACTCTGCTCTTCGTTCAGGATGCGGTGGGGTTGTATGAAGGGTGAGACTGCTTGTCATAACCTCCTTGCATCTTGCTAGTGTAATGTCCTTATTTCTGGATTCTGACATAGTGCTGGTGTCTGTGTAGGAAATACAAGATCCCCAACTACCAAAACGGTCATGCGTACCTGACTTCCTACCGAGTATGCTATGTTTCAGCAGATGAGCCACGGAAGTATTCCGTTAGTTTCGACCTCAAGGATATAGATCGAGTGGAATATCAGGTAGGTATTTAGTGGCAACATCTTTGCGCTGTCAACTCATTCGGTCAAGGCAGGGTTTCTTAAGTCGTCTGCGAAGATAACCGTCTATCCCAAACCTCCGAGACGTGGACTGGGATCATCACCGGCCAGGGATGGAGTTTTATCAGCAGGCAACCCCTCTGGTTCCTCAAATGGCCCATCGAGCTCCCCGGTTCCCCGGAGATCCAGTCCGTTTGCTTCCCCGGTGGCATCCCCCAACCCCAATCCGATAAGCGCAACTTGGATTTGTCCTATATGCTCCTTCTCCAACCCGGTTCCGTCGAACTTCGATCCAGCAATTGCTAATCCGTCGTCGGATTTGCCGCCTTGTCTGGCATGTGGTATAAAGCCACCTTTTACAACGGTGCTGAAAGCTGCGATTGCCGCAGCTGCGAATCGAGGCGCCAATAACCCGTCGCAGCCTGATGTGTCTGGCAGCCAAGATCAGTCTCAAGCAGGAGGCGCTGAACCGGCTACTGGTCTCTCATCGCCAACACCTTCGCAATCCGTGGCGTGTCCACGATGTACTTTTGTCAATCATCCATCTATCATTGAATGCGAAATGTGTGGAGCCTCGTTGGTTGCAGCGGGTGCTCTGCGTCTGAGGACCGACGATCTTCGTCGTGCAGAATCACCAGCGCCTCTCTTTGCACAGTCAAGCATCATCAACACTGAGATCACGGACTGTGTCAAGCTTTCGTTTCGTGGGGGAGGAGAGAAGATCTTTCATGAAAGACTAAAGGGAGCTTTAGTGCAGAGGAAATGGCTTCTACAGAGTGCTCCGCCGGTCCCGCAGCCTTCGCAATCGTCAGCACCTCAGTCCTTCAGTGCGGTCAATGCTGGCACTCGTCAGCACACGGATCTTCGATCGACAGGAGTCGGCATTGCCGGACTCGAACGACGAGGTGCTGAGTTGCGGAGGAAGAATGAATTTGTCATTGGAAATGCATTTGAGGACTTGGAAGCGCTCATGGCGTCTGCCAAAGAAGTAATCGCTCTTGCTGAGACTTTTTCTCGGGAAAATCGTCTGTCGAACGGTGATTCTACTGAAGCTAGCGCGTTACTTTCACAATCGGCTGATGCGCTCGGTATGATCACTACAAAGGACATGCTTAGTTCCGGCTCTGAGAACCTGTATCTCTCGGAGCTTTCCCGGAATTTGGCCGAGTATCTTACTGATGACCGGAATGGAATACTTCGGAAGGAAGGCGGCATCATGAGTCTAATCGACCTTTGGGCCGTTTTCAACCGCAGCAGAAATGGCGTCGAGCTGGTCAGTCCCTCTGATTTCAAAAAGGCGGCTGAACTGTGGGAGAAACTCAAGCTCCCGATCCGTCTGCGCAAGTTCAAGAGCGGGCTTCTTGTTGTTCAGCGGTATGACTGGAGCGATGAGAAGACGATCAAGCAAATCCAAGTGTGGATGGAAGAGCTCAGACGCACTCCACCAAGTGAGCCTGTTGCTTGGGATTGGCAGACGTTCGGTAGAGGAGTGACTGCACAGGAGGCCGCCCGTCGTTTCGGGTGGAGCGTTGGTGTAGCGGCTGAGGAACTGGAGATGGCAGAGGACAGAGGTTTCCTCTGCAGAGAAGATGGCATTGAGGGATCTCGGTTCTGGAGCAACCACATTTCAATGTCTGATCAGGATCCAGGGGCCCATATCCTTGAACATGCTGTCTCCCGCCTGGTCGTCTGAGCACAACAGCGTTACAGCGGTATTATGAGCTACGAGATTTTTCTTTTCATGATTACGAACATACAACTCGAGATAAAACATCACATTGAATATATATGACCTACTAAAGGAATCAATAATACCTTGTTTTCTATGAGAACAGTCCATATACGTACTGTACTTTTGTCTCGGCGGTTTTTGACCAGTTGACAGACTGTCGGAACGATGTGGCGATGGTCTGAGCTCTCAGGAACTTACAAGGCTAAACCACATTTAGTCTAGCTCCTTGAGAATGCCGTAGAAACGAAAACAAAGAGATAATTCGTCCGCCAACAGAGAAAAAAAAAAGAACACTAATACTGATCTTAGTGCTGATGCGTCTTGTTGATGCCTTCTAGCGTTGCATGCGTAACCTGGGGAGTTGCCCTGCCTGATTTCCAGACATTCATATCATAGTACCTAGTTACCTAATCTTTTATCTCTCTCTAACTAAGTACTTACTTCCCGGTGCGAAGCATCAGGAGTCTGGGACTCTGCCAGATCTATCTCCTGCAGCTTCTTCGACCAGGGCGGCAGTCCACCCAGAAACAAGGGACCGAAATGTCTGGAAATACAGATTTATCCAAAGATGTGCAACTTGCAAATGCACCCGAGGACAGTGTCTCCGACCTATCATGGTCGTCCGCGGGAAACTATCTAGCTGTCGCATCGTGGGACAATAAAGTTCGGATTTACGATGTGACGCAGAATGCAACGGGCGAAGGAAAGGCAATGATCAGTTTTGATGCTCCGGTTTTGAGCTGTCGGTGGTCTAAGGTGAGTTTTTTATTTTTTATTTTTTTATCTTTTTTCCTACGGAAATCGGGATTTTGACCGTTTTACTCTTTTGGCGCATCTGTATGTATTATTCAATTTATAGTATACTTACAGTGGGCCCCGATATCAATGTCAAACTTATCATCCCATCGAGTATGATGCACTATACATTGATAGTATAGTTTTATACAAGAATAACTGCGCCTAACAATGAAAGCTCTATTATCAACTAAACTAACTAACTACAAAAACAGGACGGATCCAAAGTTGTCGGCGCAGGCGCAGACAATACAGCCCGACTACTCGACCTCGCCGCCAACGGGGCACCAGCACAGCAAGTCGCCGCACACGACGCTCCCATTAAATGCGTGCGGTTTTTCGAAGCGCCCAATTCCAATGCCCCTATGATTGCCACGGGGTCATGGGACAAGTCCGTCCGGTACTGGGACCTTCGACAATCGAATCCCGTCGCGACGCTGCAGTGTCCTGAAAGAGTCTATTCGATGGATATCAAAGACAAGCTCTTCGTTATTGGAACTGCTGAACGGCATATCAATATAGTTAATCTTGATAATCCGACGACGGTTTTCAAGACGCTTACGAGTCCGCTTAAGCAGCAAACGAGGGTGGTCAGTTGCGTTTTGGACGCGTCGGGGTTTGCGGTGGGGAGTATTGAGGGGAGGGTTGCGTTTCATTATGTTGATGAGAAGAATTCAAGGTATGTATCTTTTTTTTTTTTTACACAAATGATTCAAAGGTTATAAGCTAACATAACCCCACCCACAACAGTCAAAACTTCTCCTTCAAATGCCACCGTGAAACACCAAGCAACAACAACAGCAAAGTCTATTCCGTCAACGCTATCTCCATCCATCCCGTCCAGGGCACCTTCGGCACCGCCGGGTCAGACGGAACATTCCACTTCTGGGATAAAGACGCTCGCTCTCGTCTAAAAGGCTACCCTAGCGTTGGGGGTTCTATCCCTGCCACTGCATTTAACAAGGACGGAACCATCTTCTCATACGCTGTCAGTTATGACTGGAGCCAGGGATTCTCGTTGAATACGGCACAATATCCGAACAAGATCATGCTACATCAGACGAGTGACGACGAGTGTAAGAAGAGGACATCGACGAAGAAACGATGAAGACAATGGAACGTGTCTAATCCGGAAGTAATTGGATGGGGGAAAAGCGCTTTTTCTTTTTTGTTGTTGTCGGAGTATTATCGGTGCGGAGAAGCCTCTTTGAGGCTTCCCCCTTTCTGTATTTTCAACCTGTCCGTTCTACATAGGATTCTCATGTGGTTGAGCTCTGATTCTCTAATATAGTTCCAAATTCTATTATCATTACTTAATTGGAGAAATTTGTGTCAAGTTCAAAGGTCTAATAATGGAGACTTCGAACCGACCACTACTTAAGTCAGACTATGAGATGCTCAAACCCAGGGACTCAGTCCTTAAATGCGGAACCAAAACCACACCGATGACATTAAAACCATCAAACTCATACATACATACAGGCATAACAGACATAACAGACATAGATACATAGCTGCCGGACATGGCAAGAGATGACACACGTAAAGGCGTTTTCCCATGTCCGTATCAAATCACAAATCATCAAAATCAATCTTAGGTATCCCTCGTGTCAAAACATGACGACATCAAATCTAAACCGTGTACTCCAAACAATCAGAAAAAAGCAAATCAAGTCACGTGCACAGCGATTATTTCTTCCAGAACATCAAGGTTCCCGCCAGGCTTCCCGTCTTTCTCTTCACGGTCCAGCCCATGTCCGTGATCTTGTCTCTGATGCCTGCTTTGCCGCCATAAGTTGTCGAACCACCGGTGGTGCTTTGGTTTCCACGGGATGATCCAGAGCCTCCAATGTTGCCAGCTGCAAACTTCATCTTTCCCTCAGCAATCTTATGTATCACGTTGAGAACAGCGAAAGTGCCAGATCCAATTGCTCTGAAGGCTGCAAGGGCTGCCACAGACCAAAGAATGATGGCGAGATATATGTTTGTGCCACCGTGATCCGTGCCATAGGCTTCGGAAACAGCCATCGCCAGAACAGTGTTCGCAATCATCCAGATAGACACCATGTACGTTCGTACTGCGCGGTAGTAATCTTCTTGTAGTTGACTTTCCGGCACGGGTGGAGCCGGGACCTCCAGGCGATCACGCAGATTGCGAAGTGCCGCATCATATCCACTATCAATATCGAGCTGCTCAGATGGCATCTCCAGTTCAACAGTGGAGCCACCAGTGGCCCGAGCAGCTCCCAGGTCCGTATGGATCATGTTATCACCTTTAGTACCCCACGTCACATCGTGCGTATTGCAGAAAGCGTACACCTGCAAAGTACAGATGTAACTAGGCAGGAGAGCGAAGTACTGCGCAGACGAGGTAAACATATGCCAAGGGTCAAGGTATAGGAATGACATAAAGAAGTAAAGGCCGATGGTGGAGAGTGTCGATACGATGATATTCGTGAACAAGTTGTTCCCAATCGTCAGATCGGAGTTCGGATTGTTTCGTTCCACGAGTTCTTTGGCAACCATGTATATGGCAGCAAAAGACGTGTAAGCCATAATAAGACTATAGACACACATTCCAAACAGGAACATCTTTTTGGCACTATCGGAATATCAGCAACCAGTCACCTGATATGGATCTTTTGGTCAACTCACCCTTGAGGCCGATTGCCCATGGATAGAATAAACTGGAGAGCCATGAGCAAGACACATGCATATCGCAAGATAACGAATATGTATTTTCCCATATTGTGACCGAATGGATCAACTTTTGGATCACTCAGAGATCCCGCAATGAAATAAAACGCCAGGTAGAAGTTTGCCTGGACTCTTGTCAGCCAGACGCTCTGGGGCCATGAATGTCACTAAGCACTTACCAAACCGAAGTACGTGAACAGGAGCTGGAAAAACTGGTAGACGAATTCTACGTGTAGAAGTATCTTTCGTACAAGAGTATGGTCGGTTTTCCAGATCTGGCGCCAGTTGACAATAGAGTACACGGCGGCGAAGAAGGCTCCGTTCAGCCATCGACGACGTTGAGAAATGAACTCGGGAATTGAATCTGAGCAAGGTTAACAACAAATTACCTCCGCGGAAGGTAACAGGGTTTGCATACCAGGTACATCAGTCTCTCCAACAGCGGACTTGACAAACTTCAGGACCCATCTCTCCTCTCTCTTAGCGACCAACTCCCAGCAGAGAATTCGATCCTCAGCTAGGTACATGTTGGCAGTGAAGACATCCGCATCTTGACCATGGAGGGTCTCTCCCTTGAAGTATTGGCTCAGAGGACCATGGCCAGTGCTGTCGTTCTGCAGGGCGTAGTAACGATAAGCACTCAGCGCACCGGGTAACACAGTGATGTATCCGAAGACCGATTCCAGCGGTTTATCCAAGATGTTAGACATCTTGTATTCGAAGTTCTGCGAAGCAACCAATGGATTAAGCAGACCCAACCAGCCCTTGCCCTTTCCAGCTTTGATCTCACCGGCCGCACCGGCGACATTGGAGTCCTGATCGAAAGCCTTCCAGAGATGGTACAGGGCTGTAGGCGCAGGCTTTGTACCAACATCGAGCAGAATGCAGACGTTTGGCTGCAAGGCCCGACCAAATGCATTGAAGAACCAACGGTGTGAATTGAGCTTCTTCAAGTTACGTTCTTTCAAGCAGAAAATAACCTGGCAAGGGACGATTCCCTTCTCAGCACCCTTGAACTTGAGATCAGCGTCAAGTGACACCTGGGTGGTGTACTCATAAACGTGAGCCTGGACCTCTTTCTGGTTGACAATGTTCTTCGCGATACCATCTTGGTAGATACCCATCGCTGCAAGAGCATTCAGCGTGCGCGGATGGACCTTCTGACGTCCATCTGAAATGATACAGACAACGATCTTTTGCCATCCATCCTTACCCCAGGTACGCGACTTGCTGCGCGAACAGAAATGGCTGATGTTCCGCATAATACCGTGCATCGTGCGAGTGAAGTCGATTTCATTCTCGTTATACATGGTGACACAGATCAGCAGTTCCGTCTCCCTCGCAGTGCTTCCAATCTGCTGGCGCAGCTTGTAGCCTCTAAGAGTGAAGTCATCCGGGTCGCAAGTCACGGCAGTATATCTCATGTGCGTAAACTCACGCTCGTCTCTGCGTGGTAGGAAACTGTGCAAGATTGTCGGGATCTTACACTCAAGGACTAATTCACCGTTGATCAACTGGACCTCCTTCCTCGTCACCTGGGCCTGACGGACACCGCGACGACTCTGTTTTTCTGGTGCTGGACCATAGTGCATGTTCCCGTCGGCCATCTCGTCCGCGTCATCAAGTTCATCTAGATCGACCTTGCTCATCTCGTCCTTTTCATCCGTAACCATGGTTGATTCACTCATAAAGGTATCGTAAGACACAACACTGGCCCTAGCGTCGTTCCTGTCGACTCTACGGCGTCCACTTCCAAAAACATCATCATCGCCATCAGGGCCGTCACCGATGTCAATGCTCGTTTCCATTCCATCGCCAGCTGCCGTTGGGGCAGCGAACAACGGCGCGGGAGGTAGCGGCCTCCTTGGACTACCTCCATACCTTGAACTAGGCGTTCCAGGTCGAGGTCCTCCGTTCAACTCGGGCGGCTCGTAGTTCACGCTTGACACAGAGGGTGGAGGCGGAGGTCTAGCCCATTCTGACCCTCGAGATGGTGTCCACGGTCTCGTTGGAGAACCCACTCGAGGTGGAAACGTTGGACCGTCGGTGACAGAGGCTGAGAAATTGGGAGCATGACCAAGACTGGAACCCGGGCGTGAACTCGTACTTGCCGGGTAATAGCGCGAAGACGGTCTCGTGGGCGATACACTAGGAGGTTCTTCGTCAGCAACTTTATCTCCAGAAGTCGTTTCCTGTGGTGTTCGGCGTCTCTTAAAAGCCAGTCTCGCTTTAACACGGGTCATTCTCCTCTCAATGGTTGCAGCAGCATGGGACATCGGACTTCCTTCGGGGGTTGTTGATTTTTTGGCAGAATGGAATAGAGGCAAGGGAACAGCCGCTGAGGGTATGTGTTCTTTCATGGGATCGATCTCTTGGGCAAAATTGCCACTTTTTTCATCATCATCATCATCCTTGTGGATACCAATCTGTGGTTTGGGTTCTGCAGAGGGTTCCTGGCTCGTCTCCGTGTAAGGGAGTACGGGAAAACGTGAAGGGATGCAAAAATCAGGGTATATCGGGGTCCTTGCAAACGACGACTTATTGTTCATTGAAAACCTATCCGGCGTGTTTCCCGGAAGGGAAGGTAGTGAAGCAGAAGAAACCAAATTCTGGGTGATGGGTACAACGTACGGTCTGGACTGCGGCAACGGTCTCTGGTGGAAATGCGTCGGGCTTCCGAGGTCACTCATATCGTCGTCAAGATCAGAATTTGCCGGCAATAATCTCATTGTCGACTCCCTTTGCGGTGCAATGGGAGAATCGTTGTCGGAAATGACGGACGATGCGTAAGGGTACGCGGGCGGCTCTTCCTCATAACTTGGGGCAGGAGGATATGCCCTGGAAGGTGTCGAGCGATCCATAGTGTTGATATACTGCTGTCTCAGCGATCCAGCGTACACATAGTCCTCAGTTCGATGTGAGAGGAGACGAGGATTGCCTCCACTATGTGGAAACACGACCCGTCAGACGTGAGACGGCAGAGGATTGATTCGATCGGATTCCCTACGGTTTTGCGGTCAATCAGCAGAACTGCAAGAATCATATATCAATCAGATGAACAGTTGTGTTTCACCTGGTGGAACAAAGCCAGTATCACATACCACTATCCCGCTTCCTTCAGATAGCCCTCTTATCGGCAGAGCGGCACAAACAAGGCGACTCGATTGTAGATGTTGCAAAGGATTCAGATGTGATACAAACAACTCTGATAGCGCAACAATGAGAAATAAATTCGAAAAGACAGTCTTAAAGAACACCTTCAAGAAGTACGAATATGCACGGAAGATGCGTAAGAGCAATGTTTCGTTGACGGTGAGGTCAGCTCGGGAAGTAATTACTTCGATGGGCTTGCGTGGGGAGGAAACGGCGTCTCCACGGCAACGGACGATCTTCCTGGACCATCGCGATATATCAATAATATCCACAGCCCTACCAGAGCGCACGGAAGCAAGGACTTTGGCCCCATGCTTCTATTTATGTAAGCTTGTTTTGGCGCCTCTTTGCTTCGTCGTGAAACAAGTCTGTTTACAACTTTAAATAGGTGAATGCTCTTTTGACGGACGATACATGCAAAGGCAAATTCAAAAATACTAATGAATGAAGATCAATTTTCGTCATTCTATCTCCTAGCTATCAATTCGAGATCTGATAATAATACATGCTGGAACCCCCCTAAGATACACAACAAGCAATATGAGGTGGGACTCTCAACTGGTTCCAGAATGGCCATAGTCGCGGCAAAAAGGAATACCCCAATCTGGAGGTGATCCGGCTTTTACATTCTCACGGGCCGTTTGGTAGCGTGGTAGTTATTATACCCGACACAATAGCGCAATAGCCGTCGATCATTCTTGTCGGGTTTATCGATGTTAATGCTATCTTTTTTTTGATAATAGTCTGAGCGATTTTTCAATAGTCTCGCCACCGATTCCGATGAGGGCATAATAAATGACCGTCAGGCCATTGTGATACTTGGCGTTAATGTTGATCCTTTCGACATCCAGAAGAAGCTTGATCATATCGACAAGTCGTCTTTCGGCAACTCGACGAAACCAATTAGTCTGAAAAGACGTGACCCATCGAGAGTCTTTTCAAATAGCTCGTTGATGAACGTCACACTTTAGTTCAGCTTTACCAAAGCAACGTCCATATGAATAAGTCCCCAATAATAACCTCACCAAATAGTGCGTTAGAAAGATAAAGATAATAAATAGATTTTCACATCATATAGATATCCTGGAAACCCATGAGCTGCAACCATTATATATAAAAACCAAGATTGTCCCTTATAATGATACCAGAGGACATTACCATGTCAGATCCGTCTTTGATGTCCTTGCGAAAAAATCGCGAATTGAATCAAAGACCCGATCAACAGCTGCTTCATTGTCCTGAAGAGCTAGCTTCTCAGATACTGCAATTCTCAATCAACTGCAGCGGTATATCAGAATAGACAGTTATCCTTTGGATTTGCTGTAACATATATGACATAGGACACCTGCGAGTTTCTTCGGCCATGGCTTTGGTGGTAGCTGATCAACATAGTATACTAAGATTCAATCATCGAAGTCAATGTTATAAGTAATAGAGAACTTCAAAGAGAAGCTTAATATCCTCAGTCTCATAAAATTTTCTAGAACTTAACGTGAATTAAGTAGGCAGAATAACCCCTCGAAATTATAACAGGGCGAGCCAATGAGGACAAAGATCAGGTTCATGGTAACAATTCTATATAATCTTCAGAGGACATCATAGCTCTAAATTCTTATTAGCACGAACTAGTTCAATAAGTTCGAATCGATTTGATGATATTGTCTTACCTATAATCATTTCACTACCTGGAAAAAGATCTGCTGCGAAGTTGGGGGAGAGGTCTAATAACAAATTAAACCGGATCTGAAATTATTTTAAATAGAGCCCACTGGGGAGATAATGAGCAAGTTTTTTGTTTTAGAAACGGAAGACTCAAGAGGTGGACTAATTCTCCGCTTTTTATATTATATAAGGAAGATTCCTCTAAAGGCTCCTTAGAAGGTTCCCGTCGAGGAGAAATGAGGATTACTTCTAATAGACATGACGAACCCATTTTAAGAAAGGCTCCAAAACTGGAGGAGATAAAGGAGGATGGATCAGTTGATAAAAAAAAGTATATGATACGCAGCTCACACCTAATATACTGAGGACTGTAATGATATGAGTCATTATGAGGTCGGCTTAAGTCGAATACTCAGTTTAGATAGCGACAGTCTCAAGTGAATGCCTACCTACCTAGGTAGTCTAGGCAGTGACTGAGAGGTGAATAGGTCAGATTCGAAAACGATGCGATAGTCCAGCGATGTGATTGGCTTCAGGTGTAGTCCAGTTGCGGGACACTTCCCCAGCTAAGTACACCCTAGACACAGTACAACGCCAGCAGTATATTTTCCCCCATTTTCCCACTTTAAACCAAGAAAAAAGAACCAGCTCCTTGCATCGCCTATAGACGCCGATCTGAAACGTAAATATGAGAGTTAAATTGGACGTGATTATACTTATGGTATTAGTGAAGCGCTACGGGCCGTGGCGGCATGTACGCGCCGATCAGTGCAAGACGAGAGACTCAAAAGAAGTTAGTGACATATTACCAGTAGTTAGATATACTTAGTGGACTGTCAATCCGATCCATTTCTCCCGATGCAAGTAGACTAAACAAGACGTGCTCGGTCCATATGTAATAGAACTCTCAGACGGACCCCAAAAATATGAAACGCCTGGCAAAATAGTCGAGCACGTTCGAGACTCAAAATGCAAGTGGTATGATAGGTCATTTATCGCACGAGGGAAGTTTTTAACTTTGGAGCTCTGGGAAGAAGCGAGCTGAATATCGGGTACAATTGAAACTTCTGGAATGAATTTGGAATGCGCTTCAGGCCATATCCGAGATTGGAACAATTTGCTAACCAACAAGGGTCAATCTGTGCTTATCCATCATTATCTTCGATTCGGTCAACTTCTCATCATGAGTAACTATTGGCGATGTGATGCCTATGTTAGATGGCGCTGATTTAGGCGCTCTCATTGAGCAAGGGTGCTCTCTCGCGATCGGTGGCTTCGGGCTCGGCGATGCGCCTCCAGAAAACGGTGCGGTTGTTGTATACGGCCGAGGAGGTGTAGAGAGAGCTAACAAGGAGCACGCCGAAGATGACGAAGGCGAAGATCCACTGCAATCCGAAAACCTTGATGGCGAATTGCTTCAACGCAAGGGCTGATCAACGTTAGTCATTGAGGGCACTACTGCCGTCAGAGATGCAACTTACAGAGAGTTAGGAAACTGAGAGAGTATCCCAGCAGATAATCCTTCGCGACAAGGATGTGGAACTGTCCGAAGATAAAGATCACCCAGATGAAGACATTGGCCACGAGTCTTGCTGCGAGACTGTTGCTACCCACAGCGACAGCACCGTTCCAGAACAGCGCCGTGATCGTCCATGCATACGGGCCTGCGACAGCAGGCAGATGCACGAAGGCCGGGAGAGCCGGGTGTCTCCAGTAGGCAATCGACTGGTTCAGGAAGTGCGCGATCAGAATGATCTCCGCACCCCAGAAATGGTTGCGAACCCAGAGCAGAATCCAGGCAAAGACGAACAGGTTGTTGAGAACGAAGTGTCCAGCGACATTGGCGGCTGCAGTCACCAGAGCCGTCTCCTTGGAGAAGAGATGCCAGACATAGCTCAGTTGGGACAGCAGAAGCAGGATCCTTGAGTGGTAAAGAGTTAGCATTGTCTGTCATATTCCTTTCCAGACATATACCCAGGATGCTTACCAGTAGATACCGGTAACGATGGCGCTCTGCGTAAATGGAGTTGTGTGCTTATTTCCCTGCTTCCAGATCCTGTGCCCATGCTTCACATCGTCCGGCGAGTGCGAAGAATAGTATATACCCACGATGACCACGAGTAGCCATGTCACCAGGACCAGGACGCGATGAGTGACCAAGGTATTCCTGCTATAGGACTCGTGCCTGGCGAACGGATTATCTGCGGTGAGAGCCCGTGTCAGTTTCCATGGTTCGACGTCATAGTATACTCTCCCGACGATATGAGAGAAAACGCGGGCTCCTTACAGATTGCCATGGCGGATACTGCGCCTGAGGACGTTAGACTTTTCTCGGACACCAAATGTAATATTATTATTAACACCTCTGGTGAACAACGTTGCTCAATTATCGATAATTATTGATTTGACGACGATATCCAATCCAAGCAGTGGCTGCTTGAAGCTAACGAGATCCAAAAATTCAGGAGAAGCAAAAAAAAAGAAAGACGCCCAGGCAGCAGGCAGCCATGACGCTTTTTGTACCTCTGGAGCAAGGTAACTAGTTAAACCAGGTCGCCGGATCGAGAGAGAACCTTGGAAGAAGCGTGACAAGCCTCGTCGATGTCGTAAGACACTTTTTTTTTCTTACGCTCCACTGCCGATCTTCTTCTGATCGTCTTTAGTGTAATTAATTACTCTAGATACGCTCAGACACCCATGCTCATTAATATTGTCCCTAGTCTAGCTGCGTCGTGCTGTCTGTCTGCTTACTTGCTTTGGCGCATTTCCCCGCATTTTGTTTCAACATGAACGCGTGATCCCGGTGATGAATCTTCCGACGAGTGATAGTTGCGCATTGCGCGCTCCTGGCTGAAATGAAATATGGCGTACCATAGTATTCTAGACCATACTTTACCAGTATGGTACTCTAGTGTAGAGTAAGGAAATAGATGATTTAACCCTGCTTTCTTCCTGGCTATATATAGCCTCGTCAAGTTAGTTAACCCAACCACATATGTAAAAAGAATTAATCCACAATATACTTTCTAAACTTCTCTATTAAACCCCTCCCTAATCTAATCTGTAATAATTACCATCCATAACATCCCCAAAGACAACACCCCAAAGGAAAGCAGATCATATATGAGAAATAATCAATGACGACACCTTGACGAAACATCCACAACGCACCGACTTCGGTCCATCCATCCAATCGGCAACCTTCCCGTCTTCCATGTGCTCCACTCTCGAGATGTGACACACACCTCGGACGGAGATAACTATCACATCAGTCTCTGTGAGAGTAGCTGACTCTAGTCGATCCCCCGTCTTGTTGATAACATATAGTGCAGAAGAACTAGCTATCTCCAATTTGAAATGTCGCTTAATTTCAAAGTAGGTAGTTAGGTACCTAGTCATCAAGAACCATCCCGTCCGACACCGGAGAGAGACTCCTGCAGTTGCTACCATCCACCAAGGTTGCGTTGCTCCCGGCTAGGTAACCTACCAGGTGCTAACTACCTACCTACTAGGTGTTTAACATTTACCTAAATTACTACTACTAATGTAACTACTAGGATATATCACGTCTTATACCTAGCTGAGAAACTCTTCCCGATAGATATACTCTAAATGCTGGTGGCCCAGATGAGGTGCGGAGAGCAGGAGTAGTTAATGCGTGTGCGTACTCCGTACTCTGGAATTTGTGGGATGTAGCGTCTAAAGATGTCTGATGGTTTATATATGGGTGGTGTGGTGGCCTTTTGGAACATGGAGGGTTGTGACACATCCTTCTCTATGTCGGATGTTGTACAATGTATGGTGTCTGGATCTATCTGGACTGCGCTTCCAATTTTGGGCGTAGGCTTGATGCTGGACCAAAGCAACTGCAAGACCAGGATCGTTGTGTGGTGAAAATATGCTCGTGGATGGTCTGATTGAAACCGGGGATGAAGATCATGTGGATCGACTCAAGGCACCAGGATCGTGCAAAGACATTGAACCATTGGATAATACTAGTAACTAACTAACTAACCATAATCATACCCTCCCAAGGTCTATGTCTATCATTGCCCAGTTCATGTATAATACCAAACAGAAACACAAAAAAAAAACTTTCATGTAACTCAAAACGCCCAGCGTGCATCTAACAGTCAACTTCCTTCAGGTACTGCTGAACAGCCTCTAATAGTTTACCGTGAATACTTTCTGGCGCCACTACCATCCCGTAGCAACCAGCGATAGTCCTTCCTAGTCCGCAATCGACCGATGCGCCATCCAAGTCAGTAATCTTGGCCCCAATCTCCTCCACAATGAGCATCCCGCCCGCATGATCCCATAGGTTCGAGCGATAGCCTTTCTTTCGCGGGATCTTGATCATGGCGTTGCAACCGCCGACGGCAATAGCAATATATCGCATCTGGGCCGACCAAAGGTTCGTGGTCGGTGGCCACGGCGCTCCCAATCGAGTAATCACCTGCTTATGCTTCTCACAATCCGAGGAATTGGCGGTTAAGCAGTCAACAAAGCGTAGCTCGCTGGTACTCGAAACGGGGGGAAGTTTCTCAAGTCGTTTTGCTGGAAGTAGCGCACCACGACCCATTGGCCGAACAGTAGCACCGTGTCCAGCGATGGCGGAGATCATTAGGCCATAGCCGTCCTTATCGACGACATCCTCGAAGATCTGCCCTTTCTCCAAATTCAGGTTCGGACAACCCAACACACCGAGCTTTTGCTCTCCATCTTCTACTAATGCAAGACAGACTGCATACTGCTGACCGTTCATGAAAGTCGCCGTCCCGTCCACAGGGTCGAGGACCCAAATGCGGCCGCTGCGTCCGCCATCGCCGTTCCCTCCGAGATCGATGAGATCGAGCATCTCGTCCTTTGTTTCAGGAGCTGCTAGGAGAGACTCAATCTGGGGATCATCCAGTCTTGTCGTGGATACGAGCCCCCAGACACGGTCGAGTAGTTCAGCGTCATCTCGGAGAGACTGTGCAGATTCCTCGCCCACGAATTTGTCGTCCGGAAAGGTCTGATGTAGTGCACTGATTATGAGAGCCTGGGCTGCAAAGTCTGCTATCGTCACTGGGGTTGAGTCATGCTTGTCCAAAGCTCCCTTGTCCACGGCCTCGAGGACGGTTTTGGTAAGAAGAGCTGCCCGCTGCACAACCAGCGAGGCAATGTTAAGTTCCTTGGCGTATGGTACTGATAGATCCATCTTAACTGTATGTATATATGAATGTTGATAGTGAGTGGTGTGTGGGATATGTTTCCCCAAGAGAAGTAGGCTCGTCGCCTAAGTATTCAGTTTCCGCACTTTCCCAATTTGACAATTTATTGTAGAACCAGAGCACCGAGATCGGGAAAGACTCAGCGGAGAAGAACAATTGGCGAATAAACTCAGACAGATAATTTTATAGGACCAAAACGACAGCCAATCTAGCCACCTAAGTGGTAGCCGATGGGTGCAAGGGCCACGTGCAGATATCTGCACACGGGTAAGAGATGGAGTGGAAACAAGTTCTCAATCTTCAGCCACACGTAAACACTTAACCAACAAATACCACAAAAGCTCGAAAGGGGCACTCCTGTCGAACATAAAAGACAGCTCGTGCAAGGGTAAGAGTCCGATGTTCAGATAGACGTCAGTGGCGGCGAAGCAAGCTCCATATGACCTAAAGCTGCCTGTGGGGTTCGAGATGATTTCCGCTCACGGCATACCGGTGTCCCTCGGAACAGCAATTTTCCGACGAAAGGTGATGTCTATTAATATTTGGATTTCAGGAAATACCATAAACAGCCTTATATTAACATACGAGTGTGGAGGGTTGGCACTGGTCTACAGGGTGACACAATGCGGGATATCCTGGGCCCATTGTAACTGTCTATTGTTATATTGTCTCATAAGAATAGCATTATCAATATAGATCTCTCAGATGCGACCGAAGCCGGGTACAGCGGTTGCATCGGATCAGGTCCGTCAATTCACCAAGCGCTCTGTCATAAGGTTGGTGTTCAAGGCATTATCCAAGTCATTAGCATCCTAAAAATCCAGACCAATCATGTACCGAAAAGAGAAAAAGCATCAAGTTACAGCCAACCCAGATCTATCCATTCAGAACGGGGCGAAAGCAAGCTCATAGGCGAACGACAGGCTCATCTTCGCGTGCTGCAGCATATGATCGAAACTAAGATACTTAATCTTATCTTCCGTGCTGTGGATCTTCTTGTCAGAGTTCTCGAATTCAGACTCAATGACAAAGGCAGACGGATAGCCGTACCGGCTCGCCGATGCATGGTCCGAGCAGGCGTAGCCGCACTTGGTCTCAACGAAGGCAATGTCACAGTACTAATGATACAATCAGCAGCTACTCTCGGTTGAGCGTTGATTGGTGAGATTTCTTTACCGTGGTGATGACTTCCTTGATAAATTCAGTCAAGCCTTTGTCAACGTAGTCGACAATGACACCGACAGACTCTTTCAGACCCTTATCAAGAGTGTCCTGGACATAACCAGTCATATCCTGCTGCAGCATAGCCTTCACATTCCTCCTGTCCTTGCTGTACTGCGAGAAGATAGCCTGGGAGCCTAGCAAGCCTCCTTCCTCGGCGGAGTACCAGTGGAACTCAACCGTGTTGGTGGCGTTGCCGTGAGAGACATCCTCCGATTGCAGCAGAACACGGAGGGCCTCGAGGATAGTTACTGTACCGCTGCCGTCATCATCCGCACCTGGAGCAGCTAGGATAGACGGAAGGAACAGGTTAATGCTGTCTTGATGGGCTCCCAACACTACAGTGTGATTGCTTTGACCAGGGATCCGAGCAATGATACTGAACTGACCCCAGGGATGGCTGAACTTCTCCACAGTGGCGCCATAGTCTGCTGCGCCAGACTCCTTGATGATCTGCTCAACTTGGCCATATAACCAGGTTGCGGACTGGATACCAGTTTCCGACTTGTAATAGCGGGTGTGGAAGGATGTGAAATGTTCTAGGTTACGCTTCATGTGCTTCTTCGAGAGGTTCTTAGTGAGTGGTTTCACGGTGGTTTCGTGTGCCATCTTAGACGGATATCGGACGGTATTGTACGTATGGAACCTCGCATGCGAAGGGCTGGTGATTTCGGCTGTGACATCGATAAAATTGACTCCATCCTGTATGAGTTAGGAATTGGATCTTGCCAAAATGATTTCGATGTTTTATCCAATGCGGGATAGATAACAAAGGGGGCCAGTTACCAGCTTCAACGCCCACTTCTCCTCTTCCGTCACCCATCGTGTCTCATACGGCGCCAATTCGATAAGGTACTTCTCTGCAGTAGGTGAGACCTGATGTTCGACTGGTGCTCCAGCCAAGGGATGCTGCTGTTGGGGGAGAACAGCACCCAGCGCCGTGGTTGACGCTGCAGCTCCCAGCGCGACGGCTGTGAGGAACTTCATGATGGATTATGCGGGGGCAGCGACAGTAGCTGCAACGATGCGGGATGATCGGGATTCCCTTAATAATAATAATCGATAAGAAATCAACGAGCGATGCAAGGTACTGATAAAATCCGACGAGGGAAGATGGAGTGCAAGCAGGTCGCTAGAGACAAGCTCATCGCACGTGAGCCGGGCAGGACGTGTCACACTGATGCTCGGCTTAGACTATCCAAATGTCGTTGCCTGACGCAAGGCTGCCGATCACCATTGGACCGCGGAGGAGCCGGGAGGGGAAACAGTTATTATAACTTAAGCATCCCATACTAGTTAACTACCCCGTAAGCCATCGAAACCTCACAGGAGGAATCATTTATTCAGAGTTCCGTGTGCTGGGGACTCTCTTCCAAGATCTAGTGGTCATTCGATGGCGGGTAACATGAGATCAACGCTCTAAGCCATGGGTCTCGGCCGATCGACACGGTACAGGCCAAGTACGGGGTAAAGCTGCCTTCTCCCCACGGGACGACGTCCATGAATATCGTTTCAGGTACATCGGTGAGTCGTGCACTGGGTAGTATGAGCCGGATGCAGTTCTACTCCCAGAGTGAAATATATCTTGCCGACAGTCGACATCATAGACGCAGTAACTATCTTCTGCTGTTGTAATCCGGGTTGGAAGAAGTCAATCAGGTTACACACAGCCCGCGTCGGCCCATTAATTAACTTAGTTGTCTGTGATACTGCCATCGAGCGAACCAAGGGCCCTAGAGATCTACTTAGGTCCAGAGTCATAAGGAATTCGTTGGAGTCGTAAATCGTAAATATGAGTCACGACCGTATCTGCCATTGCACGACTGGCGCGACGGATGAAGTCTACCCAGTATGTGCATATGTTCAAGCATCGATGTTCACAGTAATCGACTGCCCAGACGAAGATTCGAATAATAAGTGACAATACCACGTAAGATATACAATGATCAAGGCGGATCGAAAGCTCAATGCAACTCGAGTATGTATGTACAATTGTACATAGATAGAGCAGTCAATCACGTCGAAGGACCCTGACAGTGTCACAGTGCGGACAAAAGCAGGGCTAATTTAGGGCTGCAGCGCAAACCGGCAAGCCCGCCAACCAGAGTGGCCAGCGGAACCACCTGGCACGCTATCAGCGATCTCTCCCTATCTCAACCGGTCCGAGTACTCTAAGTTAGTTATTATTACGCATTGCGTCTTATCTCCCCTCGCTCGATCTGTCCTCTTCTCTCCTGCAGTTCCGATCTCTCCAGAGCTTGTGCGGGGTCTTTAAGACTGTTACAGTCTCGAACAAGCCCAGCAAGAAGGATCTGTCTTTCCTTGATACATAGATCTTCCATACGGAGGTTCGGACAGGACACGATCTGCGACGATGGCCATTCATCCGACTCTGCAGACTGCCGCGCCAGGCACCCTGACGGCACAGCAGGCCCGGGCCATATCTGCTTGGACGGAACAGACTACAGCTTCGCTCCAGAACCTCACTATCTCTCAAGATGCCTCCACGGTGGCAGCAGGTACTGTTCTGAGAGGAACCAGTGTCTCTCTGACCATTCCCCTCGATGACCATCCGTCAACAACCGAACCACGTCCTGCTCCACGTGCGAAAATTGCCAACGGTGCGGGTGAAGAGCGACCGCAACGCGTCTCGCTCAGCTACCGACATCGCGAGCCTAGCCGGCGGGACAGCCTCAAAAGACGGGAGGCCCTGCTCAAGGGGAAGGAAGGCAGCCGGCGTAGGCAGCGTTGGGAGAATGGTATGTCCCGAATGTTTGGCCGATATGGCATGGCCGCCAGTATATTCTCTGGTAGGCAACGGAAACTGGCCTCGACTGTCGTCTGGCTGTTTCCGTTGAGAATGAACGCGCTGACTCTTCCTGGTATCAAGACCGTCTTCTGAATAACCCTTGGGCTCAGCCGCCTGCTCCCACTGACTGGCTTCCCCAGCCAACATACCCGCGTCACGAGACCGTCCCCTACTACCTTGCGCCGCTGTGGGATGCTCACTATGCCCATCAGGACCGCACCCACAGCAAGCGTTCTTCCAAGCGCGAGGAGAAGCATCAGATCCCGAAGGAGCTTCGTATGAGGCTAAAGCATGCGCGTGCGGCCCGCGGACTGCTCCAGGACCTCGAGGAAGATATCAGACACTTCGTCCAGAAGTGGAACGAGAAGCAGCTGATGCTCGAGGACGAAGGTCTGACTGATGCTCCATCGCCCGCAGACATCTCTGAGGATGAAGATGAGATTGTCTTTGTGGGCAGAAACGGACAGATGCACGACTCTCCTGAGCGGAAGCGCGTGCTGAGACAGATGCGAAAGGACCTCAGCCAGCATCAGGAGCGCGACGGAGAGAAGATGGTCTTTGAGAGTCTGGCCGGTGACCGCGGTGCTGGGTTTGGGTGGGTTAACCCCCTCTTCATCTATGGATATCTGCATATGGCTAACAGTCACCGCAGACGCTGGCTCGTCCACTCTATTGCATCGTACTATGGACTTCACACCTGGTCTGTCACCATGGGCAACCCTTCCCGTCGTGCAGCCTTTGTTGGGTTCTATCCTCCTCCGCCTAGCACGCGGGATGAACAGGTTTCGCTTCCACCAGCCTCGATGACTGCTTCTCGCCGGGACGTCACCATTAAGCCAGGAGAGCCACTTCCACGACCCCTTTGGGCCCAGATCTAGATTTGTAATCGATTCCTCATTCTTTGCGTCAGATAGACGTGAGAGGCGTATTGTGCGCTGTATACTTTCCATTTGTTACAGGTGAGACAGGCGGGACGCGTCAGGGTATTCACTTGATACTACCGGGCATCGCAACCTGCCAGTGTAGGATATATCGAGAAACATTGTTTGCCCTTTGTTCTTCTGACAGAGTCATCATCTATAGATGTAAAACATTGCTTCACATCTGCCGACAGGTATTATGTCGGGAGTGGAAGAAATGTAGCAGGAACTAACTCATCGACGACGCATAATTGGCATTAGTCGAGTTAAAGCTGGATTCACTCGATTCGAGATTTCCGGTAACAATGGCTGTATCATCGCCTATGAGCCCAACCTCTTTACAAATTATATCTAGATTAGGATCCCAAGCCGCACTGTGCGCCAGTTACCCTTTGAAATTGTTCAAACCAGGGGATGGCGGGGTATCTCCAGGCATTTGGAATTCCACTGGCAAATGCACTCTCGGCTATTCCTTACTGACGGGCTTGACAAAGTAGACTGGTCGATTTGCACACTTTGGGATATGTAGATCACTGTAATATGTGGTTTCCCAAGACTGATTTGACATATTGAAGAGCAAAGGTTGGCCCCACCGCTTTCACAATCGGTCCTCGCACCGAGAGCAAGTTTCCTTCTCGACACCAAATCCCCCCATAATTCGACAGAACATTACGAAACGAAAATGGCGAACGACCAGCTTGAAGTAGCGGAAGTTAAGGCAGAAACAGCGGATGATGACGGACACGTAGGAGAACTTATCGCTAGTTTCCAGAGGTTCGTGCGAATCGTCTCGATAGCAGTACCTGTACTAATATCATCAGTTTTTTCGCCTCCTCAACCTTCTCAGATCTGACAATAGTCACAAAAGATCAAGAATTCAAGGTGCATAAACTGATAGTCTGCTCTCAGTCTGGATTTTTCGCTCGGCTCTTTAAACAGAACTGGAAAGTAAGTTCTTCAAGGCGAAGACGGTAAGAGGTGAACTCGAGCTTAATACAGACCTGATAGGAAGCAGAGGAGAACGTTGTACGGCTAAATGAAGATGATCCCAGAGCTGTAGAAGCAATGGTTCATTTTATGTATGGATTCAATTACAATAACAGCGGTAGCGAGCACGGCCGTGTTTCACCAATGCTTCTCAACGTCAAAGTCTACCAGGTTGCGGACAAATACGATATCCCGAAACTCAAAGCGCAAGCGAAAGAGAACTTTACAGTTGCCATAAACAAATGCTGGGAAATGGACGACTTTCCAACTGCTATTGAGGACGCATACTCGACTACAACCTCGGCGGATAGAGGCCTTCGAGATCCTCTTGTCAGCTTATCGTTAGAGCATATCGATATACTGCTGGATAACGAGGATTTCAAACAAGCCCTACGCAACACTCTTGGCTTCGCCGCTGACCTTGTTCAAAGAAACGCAAAAGGAAAGCTATATCTGTGTCCTTGTTGTACTAACGAGTTCTATGTCGGTGCATCGTCAAGTTTCAGATATTGCCCCTTGTGCTCTCTTGAGTCGACTGACTGGGAAAAACATGCGAAATAGACCTCCACAATGCTTAGTCTATTCGAAAAATCCAGCTTCCTACAGTCAGTGCATTACCTATCATTTCTCTGAACTATCCTCCACAACAAAGATTTCCAGTTATTAGTCATGAACCCCTGACTTTTTTTTGGAAAGTATCATAGAGAATAAGGACTTTGGGCTATACTGTGTATGCATCCTATATGCACTACACTGTACGTAAAATCTCATCAGGGACGGTCACCTGCAGCGCAGCCTAAACATAGGGATATAGAACCGCAGAACTCAATGAAGAATAAGGCCTTCGACACTCTCAACTACGTTTTGTCATCTTCGCACCTCCCGGAAAAGATTAATTGGAGTGTCCCATTGGGACGTTGAGATTATTTTGTTGCCTGGACCAGACACTCTACAATAGATTTTAGGTGAGCATTAGCTGAGACTTCAGCTTCCGTCTGCAAGACCAAGTGATTTATGAGGAAATTTGCACACCGTCCTCGTCCTTGGGATAGAAGTACAATAGATTCCTGCTTTCAGGACCCATGCGACAATGTCATATCGCAGTGGTTGGGACGCATGGAAGACTTCCGGTACTGCACAGGTTGACCCAGGGGGTATATGGCGGCCCTGGGGAGAACCAGTGGTGGTAAAGTTACAGACATCTACTGGTGCTGGTGAGAGAGATGGACTCTGAGGGAGTTAAGATTGCCGCTTGAGATTGTCGACAGTGAGGCGTCGCTCTTCAATTCAAAACTGCAACATGACTTGTTCAACCCCTACATGGGCGGATAGAAGACATCCCGTTTGCTACGCTGTGTTCTACAAGGTGAGGTTAGCAATCAAACACACAAGGAGTATGACATCGAATTGCCAGGAAAGCTCCTCGTGGGACGTTGGGTTCGAACTGTGGAAAGGACTAGCCAGAGGAGGTTTGCTGAAGGCATAGTAATCAGCGAGATATTATTTTGTGCCGCTCGTTCTTCAGTACCTTGCTAGTCAGCTCAATTTTGGGGCGCTGGTAAAGCAAGAAATCTATCTGTACCTTATAGGATGCTCGAGTTGTACACTTGCCTCCTGTGCCATTTGGGATTCGACGCGTTGGCTACTATACCGGAATCCCCAAACTATATATATTTTGGACGACCTGTGCACTAACATACATACATTCCATCCAGTAGCTTTATACATGAGAAATGGAAATGGATCAACGATATATTTCATTCAACTTCTATAACCTTGAATGTATACCCCTAAAAATTAGAATAAGTCCCTCTGTCATACAGCCTGAGTTGAGTTGTCGAGCATATGGTACGCTGTTATAAACTCCCCTTGCGAGTCCCACAAGCAGTGAAACTTTTCTATATCCGCCCCATTCTTTAGGGCAACGGCTCACAGTAGAGATTAATAATCCCCACTCGTAACAACGGGCCACCCAATCCTATTCGTCTATTACCTTATGCGGAAAACTTCAAGAGAAGGAATCGAGGGAAAAATTTTTTGGACGGTACAACAAACCCACAGCAACCCACAAGGACCATATGAATCACTATTTCGAACCGCTATTCATCCAAGTAGCAGTTGAATAGCTCAGTTGGTAAAACCAGCTGCAGTTGTGAGATTCACTACTTACAGGATTCCTTCCTGGGTTCTCAACAGATCTGAGCTCTCCGGTTCAGTCTGAGAGGATCGACGAAGGGTTTAAATGGCCTGCCGGGCTAGCTCAATCGGTAGAGCGTGCGGCTCTTAATTCCACGCACAATATGTGCTTGTGGTCACCGCAAGGCTGCGGGTTCGACCCCCGCGTTCGGCTCAATTCCGGACAATCATCCACTTTCTTTTTTGATCCTTCTTTTTGTAAACTTGACTAGATGTCTAGTTGTTAGAGCTCTTCTAGGATCGAGGGTTCAAAAAGCCTGCCGGGCTAGCTCAATCGGTAGAGCGTGCGGCTCTTATTTCCACGCACAATACGTGCTTGTGGTCACCGCAAGGCTGCGGGTTCGACCCCCGCGTTCGGCTCAATTCCGGACACCATCCGCTTTCTTTTTTGATGTGTTTTTTGTCAACTTGATCTTCGATCAATCAAAATGACAAAAAGACAAGGAGAGTCTCGCAATATGACCGCAGAGGTGATCTGTTCCCTGAGATTTTGAAGCCTGACCTCGCATATTATATTGCATCATAGTTATGATTTTGACTCTTGTTTGAGCAACCCCAACGCGAGGAGTCCAAGTAATGTAACACGTCGCATCAAATCATGGCGAATGTAAGTAGTGCAGCCTCTTTTTTGTGCATGTCCTTGCATTCGAGACACGTGATATCTTTCAGATCGATTGATTCTGCCAGCCAAGAAAGGCATCGAACCTTGGTTTCGGACCGATCCGATTAGTCGAACCATGGTACAGTGGTTGCAATTGTGAGTCTCGATATCGGCGTGCTATTTGATTTCCATGATGCTGGTATGGAATGAACAAGGACGATCCTTGCCGCACCGCTCGAGTGGTCCAGAGAAAAAGAGTTTGTCCAACTCTGGAGATTTCCAACCATTAGTCGCTCGTAGATGAGGGCACAGACAGACCTATATCTCGGTTCAACCGTGGTTCGAATTTGACAATTTATGACGTCCTGGTTTCTGGAATACAACTGCAACTGTGTAACGAATGCACAAAGTGGCTTTACACGATTTCTCAAAAAAGTCCATAGGTTCTCAGATGTACTGCTTGAGACATTCGAAGCCATGACCGCAATATTCGAGGTTTATCAGTATTGCCTTATCTGGCCCACAGCGGTATGATCTGCAGTCAGTATATTGATCCATGGTCGGAACGCGATAAGTTGCGGCGACAGCACGAAGAAGGTCCCTTTAAGACCAAGAAGTTCAATAGGACGATAGAAGATCCTTCCCCACAGCGGGGTTGGCAGAAGCCGCAGAATCTCACCGGGTCAGGAACAGGTACAGTTTTCCGAGTGTTCAGAATAACGTTTGTTCACCGATATTTGAAATGAGACTTGAATGCATCATAATAGCGTATTTCTGCATGCTAGAGGGCATGTGCCCGATGCCAAACACCTTGATATGACAGATCCTACGAGTCTGTACTACGGGATCTGACAGCGAGTCGTGCTGTAGGTAAACTCGCAGTCCGAATCACCGATTATCGGAAGTGATGGTAGCTGCAGCTCCAGAGAGGAGGGAACGAAAGCAAAAGAGTAAATATATCTTGACGCACGAGCAATTAACTAGCCCATCACCGCCCCCTGCAGGATCCCGTTGGCACTCCGCTTGCGCCAGAATAATAATATCTTGAGTACTGTCCTTCATATGCGAGACGGGGATAAATGAAACGGTCCAAGAAGGACCGGACGATCGACCGTTTTTAGACTTTCATGCAGGATGATGGAACGAACGGAAAGGGTGCAGATGATTCGAACCGCGTGGTTTTGTGGCGGGGGAGGTGGGCTGTGACAACCAGCCCGCGATGAGACGGAGTAATTACCGAGATTCGACCATTTGCGTGGGTATTATCTGGGACGAGTATTAACTGGTTTGCCACAATTCCAGCAGAGAATAAAGAACGAGGTCGGGGAGATGGTGATTGACCACAGCTGGCAAGATTTCATCTGTGTGGAGGTATAAGTCGAGGATCCGTCCTGACTCCTATGAGCTCTATAGGGCCACGACCCCAAGCCACGTACGGTGAGCCGTTAGAGTCAGTATACCATCATGAGAAAAACACATCTAGTGACCGTTGGTGGGGTTGAAACAGGGAGATGAGAGACGTTGCATAGCCCTGCCACTGCTGTTATCAATGACGGCGAGGATTATTATCGACACCTGAGGTACAGTACTTAGACATCAAGCTGCAACAACTTCAGGTGCTGCCAGTAGTGTGACGTGAAACCACGAGCGAACCTTCGGAAACAGGGGAAAGAATGCCATCAGTGACGCTGTCATCTGCCCTGGCTTCTGGACCGGATCATCAAGTCTCTTGGTGCCCTAAGAATAATGGGGTATCGGAGCCAAGGCAGACGGTGATGCATTCTTCCATAGACAGCGACCCTGCATCTCTAGTCGATATGACCTGGCTGGGTCCAGGCACTGACATACCAGAGACAATGGACGAGAGGCCGCCGTGCTTTCTTAGGCTGTGAGATGGAGCTGTCGCAAGGCGGGAGCGAGCAGGGCCAGAGCTGGCCCTTGTGTGCGTTGGTGGTCACGCTGAGTTGTCGGGATTCCTGAGGATCAAGGCGGATAACATCCAACTTCCCCTCCCTGGCCACGGGATATCATCGATGAAGCAACTCTCTGTCATCTTTCACCCTTCCACATTCACAGCGCCACCGTGGAAGAGCGCCAAGTTTGGCCTCGCACCCTGCGAAATCCCCCTTGTCCTTCACGTACCTTTTCTCTTGTCAGCCTTGCCCAGCCTGCGTCAGATACTACTTCTTAAATACCGCCTACTATTATCTGACTCGCGTGGGCACGGAGCCATCGTCCGCGTCCAGTGATTGTCTTCCAATTTTCTAGAAGCACTTTCATCAGGCGGCGTCTGTTAGCAGCTTTTAAAGGCTAACTAAGCCATACGACTTGCAGCGCATGCTGTCGCTCTTCTGTTCAGTCCAAGGAGTCTTACCATATCCAACACTTAGTCTATGCGTTTCTGTGCCCTGACTGCCACCCATAGCCATGGAGCACTCGATCTAACTGATACCCCATCTGAGATCCTTCCATCCCTATATCTATACCCATCTGTTTAATATTAGAATTTCTCCTCCCCAGCACTTCTGTCGATTTGAAACAAGAATATCACTGGTCTGATAATATCCGTGTTTTATCCATTCTTACGAGAAACCCCACCCCAAGCAAGGTGCTGTGTGCACAATGGGCTCCCACAGCAGATCCACTCAAAGTCGCCATGGAAAGAGTGGCAGTTCCAGTTCAACCTACAGTGACGGCTCTGATCACTCGAGAAGCACTGCCCCGACTGTCTGTAGCGACCGTCCTTTTGTGAGGCATTTCGATCCTTCTGACCCATATCCTACTATCGATCCCCGTGACTCCATGTCCACTTATGCTTCTACAGAGCCATCCCTAGACGATGATGGCGAGGATGTACCCTACGAAGTGGTTGAGGAAAGGCATGAAGCGTTTCCATCAAACCCCATTCCCTCTAACCCATCGACATTCGCGGTTCTATTTCCTTCAACGCGACGGATGGTCATTAGACATGACGACACCACTATCGACGGCAACATGAATCTTCGAGTCGACAATTTGATCCCTGACAAGGCGGGTCGTCAGCAAGAGGTGACCTTGTTCCATCTGCGCATGCACGACCTACACAAAAGGGAATTCTCCTTCCGACGTTATTGCAGGGACTCTGGAAGAGAGGTCTGTCATTCAACCAGAAAGCGCAACGCACACGGTGTTGAGAAGCGACCGGTCTTGGAGAGATCGTTGAGCACCGTCTTGGAACGGTTCCGACGCGGATCCAGTGGGAGCACAAACACGACGACTGCTTTGAAACGTCTAGATCCAGGAACGGAGGAAGAAGCGTTATTCGACGATGAAAGTACGTCCAGCAAAGATAGCCTGGAAAAATCAGCAGGCGATGAGAACACTATCCTGCTTGAATTCTCCAACTACGCTCATGTTGAAGTTAAGAGGAGAGGAAGCGGCTCATCGAAGCGGTACGAATTTGAATACTGGTCTACCAGATACCAGTGGCGTCGCGAGTACAAGAAAGATGGAGAGTTCCAGGAGATATCATTTCACCTGGTTGATATGGCAACATCTAAAGCTGTGGCTCATATCGTTCCTGAGCCCTTGACCCCAATGGAGAGTATCGAAGAGAAAAGCAAGGGCGGCTGGATTCCGCCGTCTTCGTTGTGGATCAGTGATTCGTCCGTCTACGAGAAGATGCACGATGTCGCAGAGTAAGTCCAACAATTACTATTAATCTTGTTCTGGTACTAATAGACACAGTGTCTTTGTTGCTACTGGGTTGATCGCTCTGGTCGATGACTGGATCAGACGCCGCTGGCATAAGAAGCGACAACTTCACCTAAGTATCCCCAGAAAAGCTTCCTTTATAGACCATGTGGATACCAGAAAATTCATTGAAGGCGTCTTCCACCGACGCGGGTCTGCCGACTCGCGTTATGATACCCAGCAGCAGGCCTCGAGTCATCCTTAGATCCATCTTCGTACTCATGATAAGGCATATAGCAAGCTAAGGGGTGGCTGTCTTGATTTACTTTTGAGTGATGTTTCTTATGATGCAACTCTCTCCCCTTATGGTACTTCGCCAATCAAAAACCCTCCAGACTCGAGCTTGTACATCAGTATGGGTGACGCAGCCTTTATGTTACGAGGCGAGGCACCAGGTTTGGACGTACTTCTTCTTCTTCTTCTTTTCTTTTTTTCACATTACTATTGTTCTCTTATTTGGGCCAGCAGTTCTGTCACGGTGAACGGATCAATATCAGTGATTCCCTGGAGATGCCACAGTCATCATCTCATGACACTAGCTAATATGTGATGTGCTGGAGATGTACTATAACGTTATCACCTCTTGCACTAGACAACATACAGTGAAGTTTTAAAAGACCCAACTTGTTCACGTTACCTCGTAGTGATTGCAAGCTCAACACAGCTCACTGCAGTCTATTTTTGGGGCGTACACGTTGTATCTAAGAAGGATGATCGATGGCTGTTGTGTGTTGTCGACACGGTCAGATAGACTGGGTCACCTGTTCGGGAGCGGGCAAGTCAACTCGCTTCGCCTCGAGACCTCCGTTCTTCCAACTCACCCTCCCGAACTTAGACGAACAACCTTGTCCGCACAGCAGACCTTTTGGAATTGATCAGCCTGTTTAATATCTAACGAAGCTGTTCATCTCGTTTCTTCCTCGAACCTCGCAATGACCGCCTTGATGATGCAGGTATGAATGCCCAACACGGTGCCAGAGGAAAGCAACGAATCACCGATCCCCTGCTCCGGACAGGCTAGGAAGAATCATCTATATCCAATGTCTGTCTTGCCTTTCATCGCTGGCATTGCGTCTGCTGCATGTCAGTCAGAGAAGGCCAGGATGTTGAACTGTCAGTCTCGCGATATCAAAGACTTCTTTGCTTCGGGCCACCGTTCTCTGCCCGGGGGAGGCGTTCATGCAAGTCGATCCGGTTTGCCTCCGCTAGCAATCGCCGCAGGAATGGAGATGCTTTTTTCGGTTCTCTTCTGTAGCATGCAGAAGCGTCTTTCCCGGGCCTTGCTCTTATTTAATCACTGCTGAGCTGGCATTTTTTTTCTGGGCCCGCTTTGAATTTGCGCGGCCCAACTGGCTTACTTTGACTGCCAGAGTTTCTCAATTCGTCGCTGGCTGTGATGGGTCCCCCTCCGCTTTGGGCAACGAGGCCCCCATCTCGAAAACCTCCACCTTTCGGAGAAGAGTTGAGGCCAATGCATATTATTACCCAGCCAAAACCACGTTCCTGTTGCTGTTTGGGGGGAAGTTCGAGCCCGTCCACCCTTTCCGCCGCCTGGGAGGTCGTCCCGCCGGATGGCCCCTCGTCTCGGAAATGCCTATGGCTACAGCAAAGACTAGGATCGGTTCTTGGGAGTTGACGTTCTTGACACCAGAGATTTTAATAGGCGTGCGGCGGGCCGTCCCAGCTTGCAGCCTCAAATGATCCGCATTGCTCCCTCCGTGCATCCTGCGTTCACTGGGTGGAGGATAAGGAGGGGCATTTCGCTGACGCGATGCAATTGCCCACAACAACATGCATGAGCCCGTCCTTGGGTTTTCTGGTTAGTTGCAGTCTATGTTGCGCGAAATGCTGTGGCTTTCACAGATACGCTCTGCACGCCGATGACAACCCCCCCGGTTTATATGACTCCCCGCCTCCCATATCTGTCACGATATCGAGAGGGGCAATGGACTCCTGCAAAAACAATACTTAAATCTTAATATTCCAGCCCGTTGCAGTCTTAACGCTTCTTTGCAGCTTCCGCATCATTCTACCAAGGGAGGCATTTCTTTGACAACCTACTAGCTCCTACGATTCCCTCACGTGTGGTGGCATTCTTTGTGTTTCTTTCAACATCAAGATGTCTAGTCCTCAAGGAAATGGCGGCAGTCGTCCTACTTGGCAAGAACGGCTCGAAGGTCTGTGCAGTTTCTTGTGGACCGTGCACTCCTGCTAATTAGTGAAAAAAGATCACTGTAGAAGAGCTAAAATGCAACCTCCGGTTTTCAACATCGTCTCGGACCGACGAGGTACAGTATACTCTCTATTCTCTACCTCCATCCAGCTGGACAAATTACATCCTGCATTCAACTGTCTCTACAGTTCCTGATGCTCAAAAATGGGGTTTTCAAGACATAGTGCAAAAATGAGGCTGAAATCTATGCTAACAATGCTTTTCATCTTCTAGGAGGTCGTACTGCTTGGTCCAGCACAGTTACTGTCCAGGGGCAAAACATTGCTGCTCGCTACTGGTATGATGGCCAGTATATAAACAATGCAAAAGAAGATGCCGCAGAGGTAGCTCTCATGCAACTGAACGCCCAGACTCGTTCTCCAACAGTTTTCCCTGGACAGTTAGCCCCTCAAGCGAACGGGTACGGCCGTATGGGGTATTGAAGCCAAAATAATATTCTTCTGGGGCCACAATCGCTCCGCAGTCTTCTTGTGCTCCCCGAAGGCACAATGGATAGCACTGTTCTTCTGTCAGCGACAAATCTTTTACAAGAGCCCGGCAATACGCAGACGCCGTATACCCTCCGGCCGCGTTGACGGCTCTGACTGCACGAGTCATCATTTCATGAATGTCGCTGCTCTTTCAGGTCTTACATACTTTTCGGTTCTTCAATTTCGATTCCTGTGGGCGGCACTTTCGCTCTGGCCGCCTTTGTACCAATTCCCATGAATGTTTTGGGAGGTTGTCGCCCGTTCGTCTTTTCTTATCTCGCAAGCCATTCTTCGCATGGAATGGCAAAATAAGTGATGGTAATGTTATACGACTATGCGCATGATGCTATGTACCGCCGATCTCTTATTTCTCATGTATTCATTTGCATATTATCTGTTGCATTTTCTTTATTTGGGATATCCTAACAAGCACAAGCCGCGTTGGATGGGTTCGCATGAAATAGAGCACACGATATGAAACCAGCGCAATCACAAGCTCGGTTCATAATTCGAAGCCAGGATTGGAGTTATACACGGAACGGGGGGATTTGCTCTGTTAAGTCTTGTCAAAGTCAGCTTGGGATACTACAACATGGGCATTCAATCTGGATTGGCCTTAAGGCCAACATTGCTTATTGAGATATCGTGTGGCGCTTTGTATGGTTTCTTGTCGTTGCCTCTGTTGAAAAGAGCCCCATACGGGATATTAGTTTCCAACTTCGTACTCGACCGTGTTGTTCCTTGCACACACTCCCTTGTGGCGTATGCATCTTAATGTTCCGGTTGCATTTGAACTGTCAGATGCAGAAACCTGTTCATTTCTAATAGTAGGAAATGACACCAACGATTTAGCCAAACTATGCGCTCCCTCGGTGGAACACTAACAAGTTTCCAGAAAAAGACAGGGCGCCCATTGGTCACGGTTCTAATTATGACTTCTTGCATGCATACCCGTTATGCAATATCTCATGCATTCCATCGCCCAGATCAACCTTAATCTTAAAACCTGCATTCAGATCTCAGTATGCGAACCTCTTGCCATTCATCTGCCCGCTCCTCTTTGCATTCAAGAGTCCATAATACAATCTCAGAAGGACACACCCAACTGCAACGAACAGCAGAAGCGCCGCGTTTGTCCAGTGACCTGTTGGATAACCTCTCTTTGCCTCATTGGCCTTGTATATCCACACACCTACGATCTGGCCTGGCGCGCCAAACGAAACGTTCATTGCAATCGCGAGGCCGGCTCCCGCTGTTGAGTGTATGTTTGATGATAGCCAGCCAAGTAGGGGCGGGATGCATGCGAAAGAGCCACTGGTGGCGACGATGAGGCAACCGTAGCGATGCTAGACGTTGAGAGGAATATATGTAAGCTAGAGTAGACTGGGAGTTCTTTGGTCTTTTTTTTTGTACATCATGCGGTGGTAAGGATGGGAAGCATGTTGTTTGAAGACTTACGAGATATGCGTCTGCAGGGAGGACAGCAGATGCTAGGAAGCCCATTGCTCCAATGAGGGCGAATGCGGCAGAGTGGAGGCCACGGCTGTTAAAATTGAATGTGTTAGTTCTTATGCCGTTTTACTTATTTATTAAAGTAGGGTCTTTCTTGTGATGTGGAATGTTCATGTATGACTTCAACGTACGAATTGAAATGATCCGCTGACCAGGAAGCGGCGACTGTTACGACGTATGCGACGGCCCATGGTGGAACAGTCATCAGCTGCGCTTGCAGACTAGAGTAACCCAGACCTGCTGTGAGAGAAGGCGTAAAGAGGGATAAACTTGAGAACGGAGCGGATATTCCGAAATAGACCTGTTGAGTTTGTGAGATCGTGTTAGTTAGTACAGTACATATCAAACACAAACTGTTCTCCACTCTGATCGATGCTTCAGAGTCAGATAGTATAACTTACAGCATAATGAGCGTATAACCTCCAATCAGCCAGAACAGCCTTAGCATCCTCCCATGACATCGCTTTTGCATTGCCCTTCGAACCTTCATCTTTGAGTCTTATCATGGCGAGCTCTCGCTCCTCCGCCGTGAGCCATCTTGCCGTTTCTGGATAATCCGGTAAAAAGAACCAGATAAGAAAAGCAGACGCACAAGACGGCGCACCCTCAATGATAAAAAGCCAACGCCAAGCAGACAGTCCCTTTGCGCCGTTGATGTGGCCCACGCCGTATGCAATAGCGCCGCTGAATGCCCCGGCTAGTGTTGCAGATGCGAGAATCAGAGCAACCCGTATGGATCGTTCCGAAGTTCGATACCAGAAGGTCAGATAGTAGACTAGACCAGGGAAGAGTCCGGCTTCAACTACGCCCAGGAGGAAACGGATCCCTGTCACTTGTGCGTAGGTGTGCGCGCCACCGAGTCCCATTGATATCGCACCCCATGCTAGCATGAGGAAAGCAATCCATCTCTGATTAGAGTCAGTATTTTTCCGTTTTTGGGCTAGAGGGATATCAGGAGCCATACGCTAGGTCTGAGCTTTTTAAGAAAGTAATTCGATGGAACTTCGAAGAGGGCGTAAGCGATAAGAAATACCATTAAAGCGATCCTAATGAGTGTCGTCAGCAGTTTCTCCCTATTTTGAGAGAAATCAAAGCTTAGAACTCACGTGTATTCATACGAAGTCATATGCGTCTCAGATAAAAGGTCATTATGCGTTTCGGAGTTCAGAACCTTTGCATTTCCTGTGGGGCGGAACATCAGTAAAAACTACTCTATCTGAGCATCCAAAAACATTGTTGGAAATACCGATATTTGATCGATCCAGATAGCAGAGTAAGTAGATGCCGGCACATAGCGGCACGATGCGAAGATCTTGCTTCAGAATGAGAGCCCTCTCGCTGGCGTTGATTGTTCTTAGGTCTAGCGTCGCATCTTTTTGATTGCAAGAGTTCTCCTTCGCGCAATATTAGCTAGCGTCCATGATCGACCACCTGTAGGACATAATTATCTCAGATGGTTGAGTAGGTAAGGATGCGAGTAATCGTACATAGATGCCCCCTTCGAGATCCTTAACCGCCTTTGCGGGTTCTTTCACAATATCTACCTCTGACATTTCCGTGGAACGACGCAAAAAAGTGACTTGAGGACCCTGGGTTGGGGAAAGATTCTGGGGAAGGTCCCTTTTTGAACCCGCCGAGAGTGTGGGGTAAAGTATGTGTTAGCTGGACTTAAGTACGGGGTACAGTATTATACGGAGTACTATCAGGGCATTGGCCATAGACTCCATCTATCTACGGGGGAACTAGTGAAGGAAGGCTCTGTAGCGTGGGACATAACATAGTGCAACAAGCAAATATTCTTTCTGTGTATTGATTATGATGCGACGAGGACAGCACTTTCTACCTACATGTAGCACATTCTGATAAGAAACAAGATGTTGATGTTGCACAGGATCAATCCAGATACGCGACGAGGAAGTACGGGCTGTCCATCGCTCTCATCTTGACCGCTTTTTAGTCCCTTGGGGGCTAGATCACTCTAGGAAAAACTGCATCCTGTGGATTATCAGGGAGTTTCCGATCGCCGAGGCTGAGTTCACTGTGCCAAGATCCAGATCATGTCTATGCAGCGAGGAGCAGCTCTTTTGTGAAGGACGCTTTTCCATACTGATTTTTATTAGCATGATATAGATCGCGTGCATTGATTGACAAGGAACATTCGATAAGAGAGTATCGATTCGACTGTTTTTGACTTTCCACTTGTTAGTTAATTAGCCGCGGGATACATGCGGGGTGCGGGAAGATAAGGTTGCACTACTTATACAGCTACTAGTATATACTCCGTACTTCCATGGTATGACTCGATGTCTGTTCCATTTGCAGATGACATGTTATTGCCCCTCTCCTTTAAAAAAATGATGATCTATAGACGATAAGTCCCCGGATCATTTCAACGCGACAATGCTTGATGTCGCCACTCTTGAGTATATTTAGTGTACTCCAGCTATGAGGTAGGAATACTGACCTTACGAGGAAGAAAAGCCATTGCTTGACAGTGAAACTGCACAACACTATTCGCAGGCTGAGAGGATATCAAACTGTTAGCTTAAGGGTAGTGATGGAGAGAGACATGATAAGCTCTACTACCCGATGTTGCCGCCATCTTGTCTCCATTATAGGATTGAACTTATATCACAAAATGACTCTCTCCTCAAAGATAAATCAATAAGGACCGTTGTATATTTTCAAATGAGAACAAATTTATTGTATACTCGATACAATCCCTTAACATTCTACGCTATGGAACCACCTCTGGTCTCGAAGTACCATGGCCACAGCGAAAGACACCCTGCGGAGAACCCAGATTTGACAAACATCAGATCGGCTGTTGGTCATATCAGCAGTAAAGTATTGAAGATGAAATTCTTGTATTAGGAAGCAATGCGGGGAGTGAGATAGTATTTGTTCTGCAGGATGAATCTGAACCGTCCATTCCAGACTACACCTGATAAGAAAGCATCAGACCTCGAGAAATAATGTAACTGATTGTTGAGTGATAAGGTATGTTTTCAGTATGGTTAAGCTAATGATGAAAGTATCTCTGCAATATCCATTATTTTCTATCTCTGAAATACCGCGGCCCTTTCTGCACCACATGTTAGTTATCAGATCCACATTACTAACATAATCAGCTACCGAGTTAGGATCAATCAGCTTAAAGGAATAGAATCGCGCTATGAAATACGCGCTAGTGGCCATATATCAACGCCTCCGAAAGAAGAAGTCCCTTCCAAGCGCTTGTTAAATGCAAGGACATGCAGGTTCCCAATTCAACGGCACATTATTTTAAGAGCGTATATATAACGGTCTCGAGTCAGCGGACTCTTTGAACTTTTTCCCAAGTACAGCAGAAAGCATAACTAAGAAAGATCCTAGGGCGCGACAAGTGGCCCCTTTCTTTTAAGCATATTTAGTAGAGATAGGAGTAATAGGAGCAAGAATTCTTTCTCAGCCCAGAAGCATTGTAGTGAAGCAACGGAAGGATGGCAGCAAGCAGGGGCCGACGGTACTTAGTAGAGGCGGCAGCGGAAGGATCATACTTGTGGACTTCGATCTGGGACTATATACTACACTAGGTACTTTATCACCAGAAGTAGAATATGCGTATTATCCCAGAACTCTCCAGCACGAAAAAACGCCCCAGGCCAGGCGGAGATAAGGCTGTAATGTCCGATAGTCAGGCCACTTAGCTCCAGCCAGCAAAGCATTGCATTAACCCCCTTTTTCATCAACTTCCAAGGTTGACACCCTGGAAATCTATCCATTTCTCATTTCCACTGAAGAAACAATTCAAGATGGCTCCATGCAAGAGCGCAGAGGCCGCACTGTCAGCAATCAAGGATGACAAGTCCAAGATCCTAGGATTGACGATCAACGGCAACAAGGTTGAACCGGGACAGCATATCCCCAAAGCAGGTACGTGACTCCTAAATGCCAGCAGTGGCCAATTTTTTCCTTGCTATCCTTGTCATCAGCACATGATGTTTACTAGTTCTAACAGAAGCAACTTCTCCCCCCGAGCTATCTTTCAACACGACCTCCGGCACATATCTCGTGATCAACGTCGATCTCGATGCTCCTTTTAAGTCTTTCAACTTCTTGGGCCCCGTTCTCCACTGGGTGCAATCGGGCTTGACACCTGAGGTGACAGAAGGCGGCACCTCTGTGCTGAAGCCTCACGATACTCCTGTCATCGCCAACTATGCCAGGCCTGGACCCCCGCCCGGAAGCGGGCCGCACCGTTACGTGTTTCTGCTCTATGAGCAGCCCGAGGGCTTTGACGTGACCAAGTACGCGCCGGCTGGAGGCAAGCCCGTCGGCGTTAGACGCAGGATGCGGTATGATCTGGATGCGTTTGAGAAGAAGGCAAACCTGGGACCCGTTATTGCTGCCAACTACTTTACCAGCAACTGATTGACGCGCGCATGATACTTCATTTGTTTACTTTTGAGAATTCGAGCACAGACACACGCTTGTAATGCTGAAAGGAAGATACCCTCGTCGTATTAGCTAATCGATCTACGCTAACTACTTGTCTTCAACTTATAAGTCAAGATTCCATCTCATGATCAGATAATAGGTTCTTTAATTATCGTCCACATTATTATCATTGCTGTAATAATATTCCGTTAACGACGACCTACCTAGGTAGGGGGCATACGTAGGTGGTTAGTTGCACTAGCAGTATATTATGTAATCTGGGGCAGACTTGCAAACACAGCAAACGGTGACATCGGAGATCGTAAAATATCTCCGTTATCGATTCCGCGGGGAAGGAGATATTCAATTGCGGAGGGGAAATAATAATTTGCGATACACCGCATTGGAGATCCTTGGGTGTCTTTTATCATATCATCTGTCCATATATATAATTCAGAGCTTTAGCTCGCAATAATCATACTTCAACGCTTCCAATTTCCAACCTCAGCGCCCAGGGGAGCGTGGAAATGTCAACAACTGCCACGCGCAAGGCAATGCCGTCGGCATTGACCTTTGATTTAATAGCTAAGTGCTCTGTATGTCGTCAAGAACATTCCAGCTTCTCGAATTTTCACGTAATATCTGACATAATGTCAATCTATCCAGACAACCAAAGCTCGCGCCAGCACCCTCCATCTTCCACATGGAGCTGTGCCACTTCCGATCTTTATGCCCGTTGCTACGCAAGCCTCTTTGAAAGGACTTACGCCAGAACAGCTGGCACAAACAGGTTGCATGCTCTGCTTGAATAATACGTATCATTTGGGACTGAAGCCGGGTCAAGCGGTGTTGGATCAAGTAGGCGGTGCACACAAGTTGCAAGGATGGGATCGAAATATCCTAACCGACAGTGGTGGGTGGGTTTATTTCCGTTCCATGCTTTGATTAGGTGTATGATGTTAAGGGGGAGGTTTTCGTGGTTCCTAATATAATTCCCTGAAAACGGGGTTCCTTCAGTAGAAGGTTTGATACTTACTACTTTCCTCTACAGGTTCCAGATGGTCTCTCTCCTGAAACTAGCAAAAGTTACGGAGGAAGGTGTTCGGTTTCTCAGTCCACACGATGGAACGCCGATGTAGGTGGATCCCCGGATATACATACCTTCAGTCATTACTGTCGTAATGCGACTTGCTTACGCTGTTGAAATTCGCACAGGCTCCTAACACCAGAACACTCGATTTCGTTACAGAATTCAATCGGTTCAGATATCATCATGCAGCTAGATGACGTTATTGTCACTACCTCTCCTGACAAGGCTCGGATGAAAGAGGCCATGGAGCGCTCTGTGCGATGGCTAGATCGTTGTATTGACGCCCACAAATATCCTGAACGTCAGAATCTGTTCTGCATTATTCAGGGAGGTCTAGACCTAGAAATGCGGAGGCAATGCTGCGCAGAAATGGTGGCTCGAGACACCCCGGGTATCGCAATAGGTGGGCTCTCAGGTGGTGAAGCGAAGGAGGACTTTTGCAAAGTGTGCGTTGGTTTCAGCAGTTCCAGTGCAGAAATTTGATCCACTGACAGATTACCCCAGGGTGGATACTTGTACTGGCCTTCTTCCCGAAAAGAAGCCTAGATATGTCATGGGTGTTGTACGTGTCAACCCTTCACTTTTTCTTCTCGATATCGCTAACAGATTACAGGGATACCCCGAAGATCTCGTTGTATCTGTGGCTCTGGGTGCAGACATGTTTGATTGTGTCTGGCCAACAAGGACAGCAGTAAGTTGCTTTAGCTTAGCAATGAGACTTCTTCCAGACAAATCCCAGCTGACGCAAGATCCTAGCGTTTCGGAAATGCTGTAACCAGCTATGGAACATATAATCTCCGCAACCATTCTTATGCGGCCGATTTCTCTCCTATAGAAGAAGGCTGCGAATGCATCTGCTGCCGGTCCACTGAAAAGGGCGGCCTCGGAATAACCAAGGCATATATCCACCATCTTGCTGCAAAAGAGACAGTTGGTGCTCATTTGTAAGTTCCCCGTGCTCTTTTCTATATGTCAGATTACACTTGTTGTTGACTAATACCCCCAGACTTACAATGCACAATGTACACTACTTGCTCTCTCTCATGGGCTCCGTCAGACAAGCCATCATAGAAGACCGCTACCCCGATTTCCTTCGCGAGTTCTTCGAGAAGCTCTACAAGAACAAATCGGATATACCAAAGTGGGCTGTCGAGGCATTGCGCGGCGTAGGAGTTGATCTGCTGTCAGAATAGAAAGGCTACTATTTTTACTTTTTTTTCTTTTTCTTTTTCTTTTTTTTTTTTTTTGGTGGGCGCTCGAAATATCTGACACGAGACAATGAGAACATGACGCGCAAAGGATAATTAATAAATAAAAGTTATTTGAATTAAGAGAACTTTTACATATTGCTCTAATGGCTTTAGTACAGCTGAGCTGATTCTGTTGAATGTGTGCATTTCCTGCAACCACGTTGGTGGTGCAATTGGTCTCTTCGATATTGACCTGCTTGCTTGCACTGGAAGTTGATGTAGAGATGTCCGTACTGGTACTGCTTAGCCTAATCTGGAGATACTTTTACAAACTCCGTATTATATACAGACGCTTCTGTGTATGATTGTTAAGTAAAAGAAAGAGAACGTTTCCGATGCGTATGTATAGTATGTTCTTCTGTTTTGTTGAATATATAGAATTGATTGATGAATCGATAAGTTCATTATAAATTATATATACAATGCAAATCAGATCGTGATATATCACCTCGACAATTGTTGATGAAAAAAGTCATGGGAATCAGCCATTTCTATGTAATGCGCTATGCTATGAGATTGATTCGATGTCAAAAAGCAACCTGAAGCGAATCGCCAATGCATTAAATTCAAAAAATTGCAGCCAGAAGGCTGCGGGGTATATATATAATTGGCGTATGCTTGGTATCCGGAACAACATGCATAAAAGGAACAAAACAAAACAGATTATCACCACCGAAAAAGAGTATTTGAGATGGGATGGCCCAGATCATCATCTATTTTCCCAACATCACGCCAGCTCCTCTCATGAGAACAATAGTATCTCCTGACTTCAACTTTCCATCGCCAATTGTGTCTGAAAATTCGAGAAACTCCCCGGATTCGATGTGGAAAATCCTCAATTTCGCCTCTTCGCTGTCTGCTCGATTATTCAGATTCTCAACGCCAAGTCTCCTCGCTGCATCATCCAACACTCGTCCAACTTTCCATCTGGTGTCAAAGAAAAGATTGCTGGTAGGAGGATCTGGTCTTTGCGTGGTTGAGGTCCCGACGACATGTAAATAGATACGTTTGTCGGCGGGGATGCTTGCTTCGCCCTTGGCTGTCTTCTTCATCGTGTTCACCTGTACCATGCGTGAGGCGGCCGAGGTTGGTTTTGGTTTTCCGTTCGGTCCTATTGAAGTTGCATTGTTTCCCCATGTTCGAATACGAGAGAACATCGACTTGATTGTGTCGTTGGGCGTTGATCCTCCATGGCCCGGACGTGCTCCAAGAGGGATTAATTTTGAACAATCATGCTCTTCTCTCAGCCGATGTTTCAAGCAGTATTTCCGATTGCACTTATCGCAGTGCACAGCGGGATCTTTCGCGGTGTCGATGAGCGTTTTGCACGCCGGATGGGAACACTGTATCGAGTTGTAGATGGTTGGTTTCTCCAAAGGAAGACTAGACGTGGTTGCTGTATTCGCCGCCTGTCGTCGTCGTGCCCATTCTCCAGCATGGCTGCATTTGTGTGCTGTCTCTGTTCGATGGTCGAGACAGAATGTGCCCTTGCAAGACTCGCAGCGGAAAGGGAGGAAATCGAGCTGGTGACAGTATTCGAACTGACAGTTGCGACCGATCGCTTCTAGGTCGTGGTCGGGAATTTGGCTGAATGATTCGGGCTTCTTTTGGTCCGAATCAGATGGTGTCTGTCTAATCGTTACCGTGATCGGAGACATTGTATTGGGTTTATCGAGAGTGACAGACTGGGGAGAATCCAGGGAAAAAAGACAGTTCTCAGAAGATCAGGTCTTCTCGTTTCTCAAGATATTAAAAGAAAGAAAAGCCAGGCAGACAGTACGCGTCATGAGCGAGTGGCAAACGCCGATGGATGGATGTGAATGAGTACAAAGCAGCCTTGGAGCTGTTGCTGACAGACTGAGCGGAGCAGCCAGACACGCGGAGAAGATTCCTTGAGGCGCAGCTGTGGCGGTGCTTATCTAATCTCGATCTTCGCACAGATCCATATCGGGAGCTAGTCTACTTTTGGAATAGCTCAGTTATGCGGGGAAATGCCAACGTTTAGGTAAGCTAGCTACCCCGCAGGATAACGAGTATATACACCTACTCTGGAGTGCATTATATCGAGCTACGTACTAGGAATAACTCAAACGATTGGAAGTATCTTATACACCATTTCTAGCGAGAAGTAGAGCCCTTATCATTAACTGAAAAAGAAAGAGTCAAGATTGGAATTTTGATTGATCGGGATACGTAGTAGGATACTCAAAACAACTCTCTTGAAAATACAGCCCATAAAGATTATGAAACAGAAGAAAGATCAATGAGAAATAGGTGATTCTAGACACGCACAGGAGGGTATATTGACAAGATTAGCGAACGCAACACCCAGACATAGTAATACAGTCGGCTAAACCGGCAGGTCAAAAAAATGCTCCAACATTGATGCAGGCAAGCCAGAGATTATGGATATCTTCTCAGTGTCGGATCCCGACAGACCGTGATGATGCTTTCCCCGTGCAATTATGGCATATGCTCGTAGGGGTGATGGGGATGACCAGAAGACGACGGGGGCCGGTTTTCCACGCGGCTTTCATCGACCTGGTGAGGAACGGACACCTGAGTTTTAGCGAATGGAATCGGTCCAGTAGACGTGAAAACAGGTAGATTCTGTTTGGGCTGCACCACAGACGCAGGTGGCGAGTGTACCGATATCTGCGGTGATGGCATATCATGTGAAGTACCTGGAGTAAGTGGGGGAGACATGGTATCTGAAACAGATCGCTGAGGTGGTCCAGGGATATGGCCTCGCACGACCTCCCCAACATTACCGGTCATCACGGTCATTTGTGGCATGTTTGGCCCTGATACCGTAGGAGACGGAGAAGAAGGCCCAGACATTGGATCATTGTGACTTTGGGCGAGTGGCACTTTTTCAAGTTGCGGTAGCTGATTCCCTTCAGTGGGCTTTTGCTTGATCTGTGCTGAAGGAGGCTGAGGGTGGCCAGCACCCTTTGCAGCCAAGGGCGTCCTTGCTGCAGATTTGGGAGCAGTAGGTTGAGGTTTCGATGTCGCGGACTTCTTAGGAGACCTGGACGTAGTCTTCTTGTGCTGATCTGCAGCGTTTTTCTCGCGAAGAGCATTCTCTTCAGGTGATGGAACCTTCAGTTTGATATTGAGTTTCCGCACTCCCGCGGCAAGATTATCCATATCGTTGTTCTGCGTCTCTCCACCCGCAGAAACTCGCCTCTGTGTACCCGAAGTCGAAGACACACCAGCCACCGAAGACGCTGCCGAGGGCTCTGCCAAAAATGGTGAGGGCACTTTCGGCACAGGAGGAACGGCTTTTCTAGGGCTAGCTGATCGCTTCGGTGTTGAGCCACGGGACCCGCTCAATTTGGTCTTTTTTGCGCCCAACATATCTGACGGTTTTGTGCCAGTGGCCGTCGCAGGTCTTGAACTGACTTGGCGGCCGTCGCTGGATACCCGAGATGGGGTCCTCGCCCGTTCTTCCCGCTGAGGATCGGGTGCATCTGACGCCAAACTAGTAGCACTCTGTCTCCGGTTGCTTTTGGAGGAACCGACAGCTGGCGACTTTCCGCGTGAAGGATCCGGGAGATCAGCGACATCGCCGATGGTAGTTCTCCGATTAGTCTTCGGTGCCGGACGCCTGGGCGTCGAGGGAACAGATGCTTTGGGCTTCCTCTCACGAAGTTGCATGCGACCCTGCTCCTTAGCAGGCATCTGTGCCCCTTCTGGGGCCGCTTGTCGTTCTCGGCGAGCTCGAGAGGAGGATTCCACCTTGAGGTCCTCCGCGCGACAGCTCATGGTCTGGCGATCGCTTGGTATGAGGACCTTGAATAGCTCATGACTAGCAGTCGACCAGTTCACCTCAGGAAGTGGGGGAGGGATATTTAATTCACCACCTGATTTGCGATCCCGAGACGGTGTGACAGCTTTAGCGGTAGACGCCGCTGTAGGAGCAAAGAAAGTAGGCACCTTTTCACGCGGTTTGGATGGTGTAGTGGGCGGATATACCAAAGCTTCCAGTTCTTCTAATAACTCAGGTGCCCACCATTTGGTATCAAATATAATTGGCTCTTCAACGTGTGTGGGAGAAATATCACCGGCGTTTTCATTAAGACCTAGGCGTCCGATCATTTCCAAAGCGAGGCCATTTTGCTGGGCATCAGCACCAGAGACATTGCTTCGTGGATCCGCTAGACCTGAGATGTGACTCAATACTCCGCTGGTCAGTGCCCGATCACTGTACCCTCCCTCAAGAACACTGATGACTCTGCCATCGACCCCCAAGCCTTCTTCGCCGGCAAGCCTTACGATGTCAGAAGTGAATTTAGCGTAGAAATCGGTAGGAACATTGACCTTGTGCCTCTGCATGCCAGCACTTTCCCATTCGCTGGCATCAAAACCGGCAGAGATGAATATGGCCGCTTTCGGGACCGGGCCAGAGGGCGTATTTGCCAGTTGTTCAGTGTGCAGGCGTAAGAAATCGCGGGCCTTTTTGAGCAGTACTGAATATTTGTCATTGTACAGTCGCCAGAATTCTGTCGGTGTCTTCCATGGCTCGAGGTGAACGTTCCATATAGATTGTCCATGCGCATTGTCGATGCATACACTAGCATTGCGAACCTTGTCCTCTTCACCATATTCACACGGGTATGAATTGATGTCATGGAGACTAAAGTAACCAATCGCGACTTTCTTGAAAGGAGCAGCGTTCTTCCCGGCAGCGACCGCTTTCCGGTTTTGCTCCCACGCAATGGCCTGCGAACCGTCCCCATGATGTAAATCGAAATCGATAATCGCAGCATGGGTGAGACCGTGTTCCATAGCAGCATGGCTGATACTAACATGGACATTGTTGATCCAGCAGAACCCAGAAGGATGGCCCGAAGAACAGTGATGGCCTGGGGGACGGATGCATACGAAGGCGCGCTTAGTCGAACTAGGTCCAAAAACAGCATCCACACCTTCGCACACTCCACCTAGGGCGCCCTGAAAAGCGTCCAGAGAGTCAGAGCAGAGATAGAGATCACCTTCGTGGAGCTTGGGAGCGTTCGCATCTTCCTTCCCTGAACTGCGTGGCCGAACCAGCTCTTTCTGGTTCGAGGCTAGCCGCTCTCCTGCCGCAGCGCACATGGTCTTTAGATCATCCATCCACTTAGTGCCGTGGATGTGAGTAACTGCAGGCGAATTCAAAGGTATGCTTCTGGCTGTTTTGCGGATCTGAAACGGCGGCACAGGGAGCATCTTGACGTCCAGATCTGGGTGAGGGGGGAATTGTCCACCAGTATGCCTCTTGCCAATACGCACATATGCAACACTGAGGCCGAGTACAATGGCGCGAATACGCTCTGGACGCTCAACAATAGTATTCAGCGCTGCCTGCGTCGATCTCGGACGCGAGAATCTGTGTCCATAACAAGCATCTTGTATCACAACCAAGGTTTCGGACTGTAAGTCCTCCGAAGAGTGAAATTCAACTTCCTTCTGGAAATGTTCAGCGGCAATAGAAGCAGCTGTGGGTGGTGGCTCTTCGACCACAGGAGACTTCGAGCGCATGTTGGTTGCTGAAGGTGATGTCAGGAAGTTCGAGGATGACCGTCTAGACAAGCTGGGACGCGGAGAAGTTGGGCCACCGGCGGTATAAGTAGAACGCAGGGAGCTCGTCGACACGCGTTTCTTTAAGCTTGTCGTTGATGTCCTGCGATCATCACGAAGGGAGTTGCAGCTGGGAGTCTTCCGCGGGGTACGGACGTTCCCTAATGGCGATAGCTGTCGTAACTGCGATGAACTTTTCTGAGACAAAGCAGGTGACAAAGCAGGCGAAGAAACAGGTAATGGAGTCGCTGAGGCTGTCCCAATAGATAGTCGATTCAAACCGTCAGACAAACCCGTCGCATCGTTGCTTGTAGGCGGATGCCGCCCTCGAGGTGAAGCCCCCTGGGCGTAAGGGGCCGAGTACGAGGAATCATGGCGCATGCTGGGATCCATGGTGACTGATGAAAGAACAACAGCACCAGCAGAGTCCTCTCTGGCGCACCTCGTGAAAAGCCTTGATGGTTACGACAACACGAACATGAGGGGGAGGCGCATCCATAACAAAAGAAAGATGGGCGCCGTTGGACCCTTTTGGGGGGCATTTGCGGACAAGGGATGCGCGCGGGTCGCGTCTGCGGCCCAAGCTCCCCTCGTGCTCTCCACTTGGTGCAGCCCTACGCAGGCAACATCAACATAAATACATTCTTGCTGCTGGTTTTGATTCGATGCTGTCTGACGGGCTGTAAACTGGTATGTTTGATATCGGAGATTTCTCGGCCCTCATACATACCAACAAAGTTACTGTACTTCGACAACACACCAGTATCTTGAGTATGAAGACATCCTGAATACAGCTGTTTACAGAACTGGTGCAGACTTTTACACATGGAACCTTTGTCATATACTGTCCAAGCACTACATAAGGCTTGATATGAAGCTAACCATGTGTATCGGTGCATCTTGGCCTACGAGTCAGGAATAAAAGCCAAGAGTGTTAGGTCATCAAGATGATCTTATAATATCCTGTAACATGATCTGATCACATTGAAACATTCTATCCCGCAGATCCAATCCAATATTGCACAATACCTAGAACTCCACAATTGAACCAACTCCGGAAAAGATAGCAATCAATGCAATCCCAACAGTCCCCTCCTCATTGTAGACTTCCATATTGACCACCATCGTCTTGCAATCTTGTCTCTCCCCGTCTTTATAATTTCCTTGCGTCCCTTTTTCTCTGTAACCCAAGAGCTGGTTGCGTGTCGGCTACAAAAGCATTGCAATCGAACCGTTTCTGTCATGATGCCAGGGCAGCGTCCTCGAATGCGCGCAGAACAGTTTGTCTTGCCCATATCTTCCTGGCACTGGCACCATTCGTAGAAGGTCATAGATTGTTTGCACATGGTGAGCGATTGATCTATCGCGTGTAGGTAATAAGATATGTTTCTGTTATCTTATGAAATCGTGTAATGTGTGATGTTATGGCTTAGATGAGTGTAACACTAGTCTTTAAGAAGCCTATCGAACAGTCAGAATGGATGCATATACGCGACAAAGTGTTAAGAACTACCTAGGTATCAGGGACACTGTCAAGAACGGTATATTCAGAAACTGATTATTCCTCTTTGGCTATTTCTTCGCGTTTATATCTTTGGATTTATCTTTCAATAATCGATCTTTTGGTTCTGCGTTTTGTTGTTCAATAGATAATGACAATAATGAACAGTGACCGACGATGACGCGAAGACAAAGATCCAGCTTGTCTATGAAGGAGAATAAAGTAAAGAAAGTGTGTCAGTTCTTAGTAGTATTTGTTTCTTTAGATCAAATGATCAAGGAATAAAATCTCGAGCGGATAAGATGCAGGGCTAATGCAGACTGTTGAGGTGTGTAGAAGAGGAAGATAAGGAGAGATGAAAAGAGAGTTAAAGGGGCAACCATATCCAGGCTGCAGGTGTTGTGTATGTGACTTGACGTAAGGTTGACTCGACATTCATTACATATAACATGGTTGGGAATTCTATTTCTGGTACGAAACATAGTGACGGAGGCCTAGGAGTTATATTCCGCTGGTAGATATGTACTGTAAGAAAGGAACCAAGGAACTGCACCGGAGGACTGGAAAAGGAAAACACAACAGGCACCAGTACTCTTTGAAAACTCATAGTATTTAAATCCTAAAGTATGTACATATGAATACACTACACTGCTTTGTCAAAGTTAATTCGCTCTGGGTCTACTTTAGACGCGACTCTTCTTATCTCCCTATTCCCTCATTTTTATCTCCTAATTACACAATAAATCTGGATCTAAAAGCAGCTAGCAGGTTTTATTATGCTGTAAACATAGTATAAGCAAATTATAAGACAGGTTACCACGTAAATAGTTAACCGCCTTCGTACGCCGACATAATTAGGAGAATGCAGTATCAGGTCAAAAAAGACTTTCGCAGAAGACTTTACCACAAAATCCCTTATCGATTCTATGTGTTCTCTTGCACCTCGTCAGCTAAGCATTTAATGAAATTACAGTAGGCGGCGGTCACTGAAGTCGGATTGCCATTTAGATAGTCACTAGAATATCCAGCCTCCTTGAGCGCGGCCAGGGAATTGGAGAAACACTCGTGGAAGCGCGCTGCTACTGTGTATCTGGTCGATACAAGATATGTAGCGTGTTTACTGAACAACGATAAGGTTGGTTCGTACTCTAATTATATTAGTTGAGCCCATTTCATCTGGGATTTCTATGGACTCACTGATAAGGAGCAACACCAGGGTGGACCCCATTGATCTCCTTTTTTCTTCGATTATCTCGTCTTCGGTTACTAATTATATATCATAGGCAACAATAGCTTCGGAGCGGTCATTGGCGGCAAGGGATGATTTCGTCGCCGTAACGGAGTCCGGGACCTTAGAGAATTCGGCGGGATGATCGTTTCCCGTGGGATTTGGCTGAGATTCTTGTGATTTTTGGTTTGATTCAAACGGTTCTTCTCCCTGATAGGCGCATCTATCTCCTTGAGCTGCTCTAGAGTAGGAGTAGAATCACCCTAGCAGAAGGTTTCGACGAGAGGACTATGGGTGCACAAACTGCGCTATTGCATGGTATGGCGGGGCTAAGGAAAGAGATGGCCGAAGCCACATAAGTACTCTGTCCTAACAACGCATTGACCAGAAAATGTAGCTGAAAGCTGCTTTAAAGGCGATAACTAAAAGGCATAGAGCAGGGACATTCTCAGCTTTAGGAATAGGCAAAGATATAAATAATGCTGTCTTTGCAATTGATAGCTATAACGCATAGCATTTTTTATATGCGAGCGGCATAGTATACCACGGTGATATTTTTTATATATGCTCGCACCTTCTTATTGACAGCAGTATCTAATCCAATGTATAGGAAAAGCACGTAACCAGAGTCTGTTTTCTTAAGGAGTAGCAGGTATACACCCCATGGCCTCCACGCTCGTGATAACACGACGGAACTCCAAAAGGAGTCCGCGCAGTTCGCGGAGCAACTCAGAAACGTCTGCATCGGAACTCGCTTCACTGGGCACCAGAATTGGCGCTACATTTACTACGTCAGTGATGGACAATTCGATGAGACAGGATCACTTACCCTCGGGGCTTCCAGCAGGGGGAAAGCGGATACGTGCAGCGGGGGTTGAAGGAGGAGCGACTTCTGAACGTTAGCTCGGAACCTCCCCGACTCAGGATGGGAAGGGGACTTACCAGCTCCGCTCATATCCTTTGGGGGCATAACTGCGACCGGGCAGAAGAAGATGCTATTGTTTTGCTTCAGAAGCAGACGGGGCACAGCGGAGGCTGTATACTTGTTGGCCAAAGGCCACAACGTCACAGAAGGGAGGGGACACTTACTGGTAGAGGGGCACGAGTCCGAAGAGAGGTGGCCGAGGAGAGAAAAAAGAGGGATAATAAGACTAAGAGATAGAAATCACATAAGGGCAGGAGGAGTATTAGACTACTGAATATCGAAGAGGCTATAATAGAAGGAAAATATAGCAAAACAGAATAGACCTAAGACCTTCTCTTGAGAAGTGAGAATATAGTGATACTATGTATTAATGTAGAAGTGGACATTAATCATGTACCACATAAGAAGAATCAGAAGGCTCTTAATATCAAAGACTTTAAGCATTCTTAAGTAAGAAATAGTAGGAAATAAAGGGCATAGAATAAACGACTATTTTGTCGAGGGCCTGGAGAAGAAAGGTATAGAAAAAAGCAGCTTCTAAGCGACATTGTCCGTATATCTGAAGGGCAGGATGATGGCAGCATCGGATGTCTCCTGGTGGCCAAGCAATACAGCAGCGATGGAGAAACAAGAATACAGCAACAGATTAGCGACAAGAAGAGGGGAAGAGAAAATAGAGGGACAGAGAGAGGATAGAAAGAGAGATATTAATTGTAGCCGACTGTTATCGGCAATTTAGCAAGAGAATAAAGAAGACGTGAATGGAGAGAAGCGACATGTCTTTCTTCCCACGCTATTCAGGAGCGAGGAGTAGCCCGAACCATCAAATGGCTTCCACAACAGACAGGAGTATGGTCCACATCATAAGTAGCGTCTTGCGGGTGGTTTTGGGTCAGGAACGCGAGTCCCTTGTTATCGAGTTCTTCCCACTTCACTTGGCCACGGAGTGTGACACAAGTCTCCTTCCGCAACTTTTCGTCGACAAGAATACACTTCCACTTCGTTGTTGTGCCTGGCACTGGAATAATTACAATCGTTCCGTTGTCCAGTGCGGCTTCGATCTTCTTGTTCAGCGTGATACCATTGCGAGGGTCGAACCGAATAAACTCATCCACTCCGAAGATATACGACGTTTCTTCTCCCGTTAGGGATTTGGGCACCAAATGAGCTGCTTTAACTAGCTCAGCCTCCATCCACCCAAGCAAGTGACAATATAGGACGGTATTGCCCTCTCGCGAAGCAGCATAGTAGTTGACGATATCTCTCCTAAATATACTTGAATCGAATATCAGTTTTCTCTGTCTGGCACGCTTAAGGAAAGATCTGTCCAGTGCTTAGCTGTCGGTCTTGTTTCGCTTATTTTTCTCAGCCTTATATTTGAGGTCTTCTTCGAGCAAGCGTCGCTATCGTCTTATCAGATTTGCGTCCTTATATTTGACGCAGAAGTCTTCAATACCGCATTGAGCTCTTTTCGGTATTTATTATCACTAAGTTCTTTCCCTTCTATGCCTCGTGTAGTCCGTCTTGATAAGGTTTAATGTAGTCGAGTTCACGCTGCAAAATAGTGCATTCTGCAAAAGGTCAACTTTCTCCTAGAAAAATAAGATCTGAAATTGTGGAAGATGCAATCGATATAATAGAAAAGTAGGATGAACTGCTATAACTCGCGGTGTTTCTTTCGTCACGCAATTTGGCGTTAACTAGGTATCAAGGATGAATATCCTTCAGGAATTGCCGGAGGCTTGACCCGTTTCCGACGTCAGGGTTCGCACCCGACATGATTGCAGGTCAGTCGTTTGAGGAGCTCGATACGGTAGGACGGATACATAAGATGTATAAGAGGTATCCCAACGATAGTAGTTCCCGTAATTACAACTGAGGAATCGATGGGCCTGGATATATGACACTCACGCTAGCAGACGATGCTTTGACCTCAATCTGCTTCTAGACCTTCCCAGAGGGATAATGTCTTGCGGTATCTCCACGGGCTGGCCATGATTGTACACCTGGATGACATTGGACATGCTACCATTTGTAAAGGAACTGGCGGGGTCGAACCCCTGATGATGACTTGACTCTGTCAAAGGTCAGGTTTGAAGGTGGTAAGAAGGCCAAGTTCTTATCCTCAGTCGGAGGAGTACTTACAGTCACTTAGCTACCTAGTTAAATTCACTAAGACAACTGAGCAAACTACCCCGCTCTAGCACCTTGAGCTACTATATCTCTAAACTGTATCAGAAAGAGAAGAAGAAGAAAAGAATCTTCCTACAATATGCAGTATTGGAAATAGTAAAACTGTTTTATAACTCGTTGGATCCTCTTTACCAGATAAGACAAGATATAAGTACCGCATAAAAGGCTATTAGAACTGTTAAAGAAAGATATAGTCATCTATAATATTACAGGAGATGTCAAATTTCCCTTTTTTATCCCGCGCGCTTTTATACGGTTCTATATAGCTATTGACTGATTTGCGCTCACGGAGTATAAATAAGTAGCAATACGTGCTCATTAAGCTTTAAACAATTGTCTATAGTCTTTGGCTGCTGCCTTAAAGATTTTGTACTATCTAATAGTAATATCATTCCAATCATTGTTGAAAACTAGCTTCTGAGGTAAATTCTAGGAGCTAGATCGTTGCGCTACTAAAAAAACATTAAGTTATTAAGTCCACTGACCTAATATTCTAAGATATTTAGGAGAATGGAGCAAACTTAGGCTTTCCGTCAGCAGATTCCCTTGCCTTGAACCATGGATATATAGCTGATACCTATGCCACAAAGGAGCAGACAATGCCGATTGGGAACAGGATAAGTCGCATCGACGTACCACTCTTAGGAGAAAAGTTACCATGGCTCCGCTGAAAGATATCTTAACATGTAGAGGTGACTTGAACCTTGTCGCTCATTGGCTGTGAAATATGGAAGGAAACACCCCTTTTTGATGGAAATAACCATTGTTTATAGGGAATAGTAGGCAAAATCCTCCCATGTTATTTTTTCTATAGTGGGAGGCCGCCGTGGAATCTGCCATCTACTTCGATCGAGGGGGTATAAATAACTAGCCAGAATAATAACAAAGCTTTCTCTTTCCATCACATCCAACACTAACTCATCCTGCAACTTCACTTGCACTATCTTACACGCTATTACTTATTTGTAACAAAAATCTTTGTCTATCAAAAGCATCTTCAATATGAAGCTGAAATCGGGATTCCGCATGTCTCCTAAGATTGGTTCTTCACGACCACTAAAGAAGGAAAAAGAGAAGGAGAAAGATAGTTGCGAGAAGCCTTCTCGGCGACGGTCCCTTACTGAATCTGTCCAAAGCTTGGTCAAACACGCTTTCAGTCGTCGTGACGATAACGGCTCACGCAAAAGCGATGGGCATAATATGGGAAACAATGGAGGAAAGCGCACCTCATCCGCAAAGACTGCCACTTCCTCGTCTTCTTGGGTCAAGCTCCCCCCTCCTTCAGACGATATAGTTTCTTCTCCTTCTTCTTCCTCCTCCTCTTATTATTCTTCTGCTTCTCATATCAATACTGTTCAAACTCCTCTAAGGGAAGAACAACAAGAAATACATGAAGAGAATGAAACGTCGCAGCTCTCTCTTCCTGAGGTACCTTCTTCTTCACCGTCGTCTGATCCGATCGCTACGTCGTCACGGTTGCCTAAGATTCGAGGAAAGGCAGGCCAACAGAAGGAGAAACCCTCGAGAATTCCGACGCCGACGAAGACCTCTTCAGCAGCTCTTGGTCCCTCCAAGGCAGCTCAGTGTCAGGGTCCAGGCACCATGAACACATCCGCTTCAGAGAAAGTAGATGAGGGTAAGGACCATTGCGTCGCAGCCATGGTAGTGGATATGGAGAAAGAGGGCCTCTTTAAGCAACCACTGCAGCGACAGGAGAACCTGAGAGGAGGAATAGATGGAAAGGAGATCAAAGAAGTGACCTCCAGCCCGCCCAAGAACCAGCAGGCAGCTAGACGGACGAGTCGGCTTCCTAGGTCATCAGGACACAACACTCCCATTGCTTCTCCCGAAAAGCGAACCACGAACATGAGGATGTCTCTTCCTGCGTCAAAGTCATTGTCTACCGGTTTGTCGTCTGTCCAGACATCTCGTCGTGGATCCTTGCCGCATACCAGTTTGCCTAGTAACTCCACTAGGAAGCTGTCAACAACAGCAGTGCCACATGGAAATCGGAAGGACCCTGCAGAGCCGTACCTTGCAGTTACATCCCCTGGTAGAAATGTTACTGGACGGATTGCTGTACAGACAGACCGAAGACAATCCAACGTTAGAGTGTCCAGTATTGCACAAAGGCAGCTTCTTGGACCTCTGGGTCCGCCTATGCCACGGAGCCAAACTTTTAATAGCTTTGCTCAACCTCAGAAAGCCAAGCAAATTCCATCAGGAAAAAGGATCATGAGTAAAGTGCCGCGAATTTCAGACGTTTCAGACAGGAATGGCCACGACAAACCGCAGAATGGTAACGAACACGCAGAGATCGTCGAAATACTCAAGGCTACGCGCCTGTCCAAAGGTGAAATTGAAGACGAAGAGCCGAAGAGACCACGGAAATCCGATGTGATAGATGCTACATCTCGAGATTTTGAAGCATATGAGGTCGGATCTAGTATCCTCGAGGGAGCAAAGCAGGAAATTGAAGACGAGGAGAAGTCAGAGAAGATGGTAAGTAAAGACGCCTTGTCCAACAATCTTAATTTTTCTCCCAGAATATACAATTTAACTGTGGAAACCAGGTTTATGAGGCCAAGGAAGAGGAATGGTGGTTAGGTCGCTTCATGACCTTGAGCAGTGGCTTCTACTTCACCGATTCCTTCGACTCGCCGGACCTGTTAACATGGATAAAGACAGACACCGGAATTTCACGGCCACCTGAATGTTTGGACGAGTATCTGGGTGATATCCGTACCTGTCGTGTCTTTATTCTTCTTGAGAGAATGTGTGCCACCAAGGAAGCCAGGGAATCGCTGCGACATTTCCGAGACGAATACATATCCAGTTCTGGTGACGAGTGGACCGAGTGGCTATCTGATGACTATCGTCGTCGGTGGAGGCTAGATAATGTTGCTCGCTCCAAGGCAAACATTCCGGAAGGAAACGTTCCGAAGGGGGACGGTCGTCGACCCTCGAGCAAGAGAATCTAGGACAGTCGTGGGAATGTGTTAGAGGGAACCAGGAGAACCTTCGTTACAAGGCACTAACTTTCTCCGTTGTATTTGTGTATTCTGAGGGACCAGTGACCTTGTTGAGTTTGTGTCAGTTAATCACGATGTATGGGAGCTGGCGGGACTGGCGGAGACCAAATTTTCGTCCGGGTGAGAACATTTCTGTTGTGATTGATTTTCTATGAGAGTAACCATGCTTTTCAATAATGTACAAGTGTCTTGAGAAATGCAAACCGTTGACGCCATGGAAGTCGTTCCTGAAACTCCCGTAAGATGCATGACCTTGGAAAATATACACGACTCATGAACGATTCCTTATTTTCTGCTCCTTAAGAAAGCCGCAACTTGTTCGTGTCTAGTGACGAAGAACATGCGTTTCCTATCGGACTTCCACACCAAAACTCCGATCTCCTCTGCATAACGACATGGAGCCTCGTATTCAGAGAGGCTGACGAAGTCCTTGAAAAGGAACCCTGGAGTGGCCTTTATACGATCACGCTCCAGCTGCCATAATCGGATTTGATCGACCACAGTAGGTGGCAGCACTGACGGTGGCAGTCCCGCCGTATTGGAAGTGGATTTGGTGGCATTGTGCTTGCGCATCTGCGGATGTGCATGGGTCGCCAGATACGAGATGATCTGGTCAGCTGTGATACCCATCTCCACAGCACGGCGCACCGACTGTCGAGTGATCTTTCCTGTAATGAGGTTGGGAAAGCGGTACTTGAGGGTGGTGAAGAGTGCAATGAGGGAGATCTGGAGAGGTGACGAGGTATAGGCGTATAGGCGGTAGTTGGTTTCGATGATGATGAAACCAGAGCTGGTTTCGCTGGGAACACCTGGAGATGTGGTAAGTGCTCCCGAGATGGCATTGTTCAGCGCACTCGAGTCTGAGGTGAGAGTTGTTGCCAGACGGGTCGGATAGAAGCGAGTTGCTTCCGCGATGGGAGAGTGTTGGTATATGATTCCGAAGTCGGTGAGGTCGGTCAATGTCCGCAGTTGGGTCGATGAGAGGTGCGCTTTCTCATATGACTGGCCCAGTTCGAGACTGCTGAGAAGAAAGAGGAATGACAGGACCTCCACGGGGTCCATTCCAATGGCTTCTGCGCTCTCGACATACAGAATCAAGATATGCCAGACTTGGGTATTCACTTCTTGCAAGACGAAAGCAAATCCATCTTGAGTGATTTCCACTCGACGATCTCGTATTTCGACCAGATGGCCTGCCTGTAGAAGTTGTTTCACTCCTTTGCTCAGGTTGACGGGTGGTTGTACGCCCACTCCGCTGGTTCCCACCATATATCCAAGGACACCTTCCCACTGTCGCCTTGCGTATTCATCGAGACCGGCCACTGAAACGGGGTTTGGATCTGGAGTCGTGGTCGGCACGCCGAAGGACCGGATGCTGTCACCTCCCGTGAGGGCCTGTCGAAGGGATGAGGCGAAAGGGTTCGTCACCATGTACGCTCTGACATGATCAGATGTGGTCGTATTCGAAAGGATATGTAGTCTTCCTAGAATTGATAACGCATGATCTCGCTCCCTTTCGTTTATTAAACCAGTCAACCAAATGCTATTCCTACACCACGGAACATCTGTAATTATCCTCACTTCTTGCTGTCAGGTTTGACCCATAGCTCCAGATCGGCCGCTGGGAGTGGATCCTTCATGTAAAGCAGTGCCATAACAAAGCATTTTGCTGGTGTCTGATTAGTGCAAGCTTCGAAGGAGTAAAGATACTCAACGAGCGCATACCCAGATCAGGCAACATGCGCCTGAAAATCGCAAGTGCCGTAGATGGCTGCTGGTATAATTTGTAAAAGACCGTCCCCGGAAGACTCTCGAGGTAGTCGAACGAGCGAGAAGATGTCGCCGGCATTTTTGCAAGTCCGCGGAGGCAACTGTGCCGTCCAGCTACTGTCACCTGGCTCTCATGTCGCGGAGTCGAACACTCGCAGTTTAAACTATGCCGCTATGTCTTCGATAGTAAGATAAGGCTGGAGCTGGTCCGGACGTCTAGAGTGACCATAGACGCATTCCGTCATCTTGTACCGTTCCCGAGGTCAACATGACCTACTACTAACTAGTAATACGTTGATCGCTCGTTGCAACAATCGACTGGTTTGGCAAAATGACTGCATTGAGATTTGTAAAATCTGTAAGTATTATCGCTGTTACTTGTCATAAATCTGCCGAGAAGATCAGCTGTTAACTCTGGGATCAGGTTTGGGAGTCCTTCCGGGCTACTTCGGGCCTAGAGCCGAGGTAGGTCAATATGGGAACGGCCTGGATTCCTGCAATTGATACTGACCACACGGTCACCTTGGTATAGGCTTCTGGATGGTGTGAGTTCCGAGCCTGATTTCCTCAGAATGATGGGCCAGTTTTGTTATTTTCTGCAAAATGCGCCCATGATTTTATCTAGAATAGTCACTGACCATGAATTTACTAAATAGCTCCGTGTCACTGCTGCCAGACCGGGCGTTGTGAACTTCGAGCTAGATGTTAAGAAAGAGCATACGGTGAGTCAATTAATTGAAATTTGTTTCAAGTCTTCACGGGGCATGTTGCCCCAGATAGACCTGATGCTGGCCCCCCTGCCGGCGAAGATTGAATTCAACATTGTCTGCCGGATCTTACAGCTCAATTTGCCCCCTTTCATCATATTTTGTCGAAATTTATAAACTCCTGTGATTACTTTATACCTAATACAATACACAGAACCGTCTCAATATCCTACATGGCGGTACAATCGCCAGTATGGGTACGTATCACCAGACCTCCCTCTTTGGAGCTTTGCTTGTTCATTAACTGGCCGTAGTTGATCTTGGCGGTTCCCTCGCTGTAGCTTCGAGAGGTCTCTTTGCTACAGGTGTTTCCACTGACCTCAATGGTGTGCATATGACACCCTGAATCAGACCCTCTTTGCATGTACTAATGATCGAATCGACAGTTACCTATCTTAGCTCGGGTGGTAAGATAGGTGACAAGGTTCTTGCTGTAAGCTTTTACCACTTTTTACACTTGTTATTAATGAAATATAAAGAATACCGCTGGCAGCATGACTATTTTACTAACTTGCGTTGCAGGAGGCCAGCTGTGATAAGTGTAAGTTTCCCCTTGTTGCTGCGCCCAAAATAGCCGGCTTCGGTTTGGATTAAAGTCCTATTCTCCGGTCGAAAGAATGTGACTTGTTCAAAAACTAGAGCTAACAATATTTGTTTTGCATGAATTTCAGTCGGCAAGACCCTCGCCTTCACATCGATACAGTTCAGGAACGAGAAGAATGAGCTCTTCGCTAGAGGCAGCCACACAAAGTAGGTCTTCCCTTGTTGAAGTATCTTGACATAATTGGTTGCCCAGAAATGTTCAGCGCGCTGATACAAGGCACAACTCTTGGCTAATCAAAATTCAAAACCTAGGTACATCGCCCTGGCTCACAAGGACCCGCAGAACATTGTGGAGGAACTCAACCCGAAGAAAGAGTCGAAGTAATTTTTTTCTTTCTAAAGACGTTATAAAGTAAGAATAGCGCTAGAATGATATATAAGTTAGATTCGGTCTATTCTTCATATCTCCCAGCCAAGCTGCTATAGAATTCAGAAAGAAGATGGTATTATGTGTATTGTACGGTTTGAGCACACGATGAACTTCCAGGGAAGGGGATTGTACTGTATGACGTGCTAGACGATTTGCTCTGGAACTAACGACGTATGTTGGAAAGCTTCCATATACTCTCCGTATCTACTCAATGTAAAGCAAAGATGGTCGTTAACACGTGCATTTGTTCTTGCCTGATGCGCATAAACATCTATCACAAACACAAAAGCGTGCTGTGTCCTCTTGAAAAGAATAAAAAACATAACTATCCTACTCCATCGTCTGACAAGTCTTGCCTGATGCGCATAAACATCTATCACAAACACAAAAGCGTGCTGTGTCCTCTTGAAAAGAATAAAAAACATAACTATCCTACTCCATCGTCTGACAAGTAGATGTCTTAGCTTTTAATGCAGGAAGATGAGTGCCCCATTCAGAGGATTGAATTCTCATGCAGCGGATCTTCTTCCTCCTCCATTCCCACCATGGTCTCATCCTCGATAGTAGCATCGCCGTCCAACCCAACATCATCAACGACAACACCTTCCGCACCCATCGCTTTGATCTTGGCTTGCGTCATCTCGAACACATACTGCCCAAGATGCTCGGTGCTTTCCATGGGAGTGCCCTCCACGCTCTCGTCTAGGGTGCGAGCGGTTGGGTACATCTCCCCGGGGACAAGCATCAGCTTGTCTGGACGCTGGAAAAGGAGATCAAATGCTGGTTTGAGCTCCAAGCAGGACTCAAAGACCTCTCGCCGCCCAAGGACATACAAACCAAGCCGTGCCCGAGATAGAGCAACGGTGAGACGACGGACATCACGGAGATAGCCGACTGTCTTGGTTCTTGTGAGGGAGAGAATAACATCTAGGTCATAGATTAGTTATGAGGCATTGAAGAAAATACAAACATCACTTACAGTCATTCTGCTCGCCCTGATATTTGTCCACAGTCGTAACTATCTTGGGCATACCGATCAAAGAGTTCTTGGCGCAACGGTGATTCAGGACATCCATTATCAACGCCCTCTGGCCGGCATAGGTGGTGAGAATTGAGATCTTGGATGCCGGATATCCTAGGAGACGCATGTACTGGTAAATCGCCACGGCGTACTCTGCTTCACCTAGGTTCTGTATGAAATGAGGAGAAGGCTCTCTCTCACCAACGCCCTGGTAGTCAGGGACATTGATGAACTGATAATCAAACTGAAAGCCAGCATTGGCCAATTTGAATTCCTGCGCGGTTTCAACAACTGGCAGATTTCCAAGCTTCTTATACCGCCACTTGAATAGTTCTGCGATACTGGGTCTCGCTCTTCCTTGCTGGTCGAGAGTGACCACAGGCACGCCAAGTCTCACCAGTCTTAAGAAGAGACTTTGTTCAAAATTGGCATACTGACGGAATGCCATGTTCTGAACAATAGGCGAATTTTGGTAATGGTCACCGCAAAGTACAACTCGCTTTAGAGGAAGCTCTCCGTTCCTCATGTTTTGAAGAGCACAGGGAATGAAACTTTCGATTTCCGTTATCTGGGCTGCCTCCTCCATCACGACGTTATCATAACGGAACCCAAGGTCAGCGATTTCTTGCCGCCGCATCGCAGCATGCGTTGAAGTCATGGCGATTATCCTCGCTTCTTTGAGTAACAAGTAGTTTGCCTTGTCTCGAGGTTGTCTCAAAATCTCAAAAGGACGGATGTCCTCCAGCTCAGAGAATATCTTATCAATATGTCTTTGGCAACCCGCCGCGACGTCCAGAATGACTTCTTTGGGAGCTGTCGGATCAAAAACAGGATGCGGAGCGTTCGAAAAATAGGAATGGAAAGGGAACGCTTGGATTATATCGTCAACAGAAGCGTCATCTGAGTGTGCTTCGTCCCAGAACTTAGCCCAGGCAGGCTGTATATAGACCGTATTAAAGTATCCGGCGGTCTCGCAAGTGCTTCCATGTGCACCCTGAGCGCCAATAGATGCTGCAAGACGGTCCACTTCTGCAAGATACTGCACACGGTTCTCCAGAAACGACTCTACTCTTCCAAACTTGCTGTAATTTGACTCCGTCTCCAACTCTTCTTCACCATGACCAAGTCGCAGAAGATGACGCTCATCTATGTCAAGAGCGACAATCTTCTGGAATAATTGATTGAGTGCCTGGTTGCTATGCGCGATGAGTAATGTACGTTCCTGAGGGAAGTTGTGGTAGATATTATTGATTATTTGTGTCGTGACATCCGTTTTACCAGTTCCAGGAGGACCGACAATCACAGAGAGACCAGGCTGGGTACCGGAAGCGATAGCTTCTACTTGAGCTGGCGTAAAGCGGATTGTGTTCAGTTTTGGAGCGTCGACAGGGTATGGACCAGGGTTTGGTGGTTTATAGGTTGACACGTGAACTGATGGGGGCGCTGCTTGAACTTCCTGGACATGACCTCTTCGTCTCTTCTTGGAGGGCTTTGTTTGAGGCTGCTCGCTGACGCTCTCCAGCACGTAAGGTGGACCGAAGCTGGACGTCTCGTTACCCGAAGGCTCGATAGTCATTCCGGGGAAACTCTCCACCAAATGTTGCCAGTCCAAAAATGTATCGCGGAAATCGACCGATTTGGCTCTGTTAGGCAATTGTGTATATTGTGCCCCAGCTGGATCTCCATATCCAAGGAAGATCTCCTGGATCCAGGATGGGAGCGCTATATCAGAGACGGCGAGCTGCTGCATGGTTTGTAGAATAGGTCTGAAGTTGTTCTCTCTTCCTCTCCTACGGGCGATGACATTGATCAGAGGATATATATCCTGCTTTCCCTTGGCTTGTGCGTCAGTGTCCCTCTTAAAAGCTTCCGCATCCAGGTTGACAAGGAGTCTCCTAAGACGGGGCCTGTAAGTGTGTCCATTCGTATTGCCCTGTTGAGGTTCACGCAGCGGGCGACCATTCTCATCGAGAACTTGAACAATCTCAGCTGTACGGAGGTACATAAGCCGGGGGCCTTCTGCCGCACTTCTGTCTCGTGCACCGCCTAGTGCCAGAGTCCGTGGGTGTCCCGTTTGTATAGCGAGCAAGAAGACAGTATCATCGGGACGAAGAGACTCCCATTCCTTTCTGATATTGTCCCCGAGGCGGCCCACTTCGATAGCTATTTCAGCCCTGACAAAGGCAGGCCTCGTAGACCCGACTTTGGGGGGTGCCACCTCAATTATCGCGGGCTTAGAGATAGGAATCGCCATTCGAGAAAAGCCACCAAATGAGACGTTGCCACTTTCTCTGTCCATTCGCGGCTGGAGACGTTTCACAATAGCTTCCATATCCTTGCGAATCTCGAAGAAAGCTTCAGACCTATAGAGAAGAAATGAGCGCCAAAGGAAGTCACCTAAACTGAGATACTGAAGGTTAAGCTTTGGGATAGCCAAAGGCGTTGAGCCATCATATGTCTCGTTCCGCAAGAGAGACGGCTCATACAGGTTCTCTTCTGTCGGTACAATGCTCAGCTGAGCTGCGTATTCCTGGAAGGACTGCTTGCGCTCGAAGGAGGACAAGAGGATCTCCAGGAAAAGACGTCTACCAGGGCCAATTTGAGCCTGCTTTGGATAGATAGTCCGAAACCCGAGATGAGAGCACAAACTCGAAAGTTCAGAATCCTCTAAAGCAGCCAGGTGGCCCTCGAGTTCAGTTCGTTGATCGATACTCCCGTAGTTTGATAGTGCCAGAATGGTCAGTTTTTCCTTGAAATGTTTGATGGCAACCCGCTGTAGTCGTGCTAGCTCTTGGCAGTGAGCGTCATAGACAGCTTGTGTCGAGAGAGGCTCGCCTGTGTAATCGTTGATCGCGAAATTCATGAAATGCTTGAGAAGCGTGTAGAAATCTCGAAACAGCGCATTCTCCTCGACTTGGTAAAGGTGCGAAAGGCGAATGATAGGTAAGAGGTTTAGGTCTTTCAAGAGCGTGTTAACATAGCGCCTTGTTGGGAGCTGACTATCGAGATCAACAAGTAATTCGAGAAAGCGTTCGCAATAACGTAGATTCTCAGGCCGATCTTTTTCAATACTGTTCACTTTCTGGATAAAATCCAACACCATGGTATAAAGCCATGATCGCTCGAATCGGATTCTTGCTTTTGTGGCATCGTCTGCAGCTTCATAGCGTTTTCCAGCTGCCCGCCAGGCCTTCTTCAACGTGGGCACCGTTTCCAGCAGCCGCTCTCTCTTGTCGTCTGATGAGAGGTTATGCCATATTGAGATAGAAACGAGTGGGGCGCATTCTTTGCGGAGCATATTATTTTCGAGAGATTGAAAACTGCTTATAATAAACGAGAGAAGCGCCAAACGGGAGGTCGTCGGTAGCGATTGATCAAGGCTCATGGATAAGACACGGCGAAAAAGGCTGGAGAAGTCATCGGCACGGTCCGAGAAATGCTCTAGGATGGTAAGTTAGTTATGATGTGTCGAGAGCCAGGCAATTTCAATCTTACCCCATATAGGCAGATGCTCACGCTGCTTGACGCTGACAATGATAGCAATAAGCAGAACATGATAATTTGATGCATCTTCATTATATGTTGGCCAAAGGAACCTGGACCAGGTTAGCAGCTGTCGCATACTAACGACGGATAAATTAACTCACTTCTCCAACACATGAAGGTTCTCTAAGATCAGGAGAGAGCGTAGAGAAAAGGCTTCAGCCTCCAACGGCTCCCATAGCTCCTTGATGACATCCTGCTTGGCCTTGCGGGCCTTCGACGGCTTGAGCCAGTGGGCTTTTGCGAGACTCACCCACCGATTGTCTTCCTGGAAATCGCTCACAGTAGGACGAGAATCGTGGCCCTGCGCCATCGCAGAACGTGTCTGTTGACCCATTCCTTTGACGTTTGCTTGTCGTGAAGTCCGGTTGGATGCCCGATATATCTGCGCGGAAGCGCGCGAAAACGGGCGCGCTAAGCGTTGCCGCCAGCGCCTAGCTCCTGCGGATTCTGACTGGCCGGGGACCAAGAGCTGCCCAGCTATTATTGACCCCGGAATCGCAACACCAGGTCTACCTGGAGCCGTATCGCGACCATGTCGCACATCGAGTCTGTGCAGGTCTACAGGAGGCTCATCGAGAGCCTTCTGTCCAAGGCAGACGAGTTAAAGCCTGATAAGCAGATCGAGCCGCCTCTCACGGAAACGGATTTTGGTGATTCAGCTTGGCACATCGAGGGTTCTGATGCCAACGTTCTGAAGAGAGAGAATCAGCAAGCGAGTTATGCTGCTGTCGAAACCGCCTTTAGGGAAAAGTTCTATGATCTACTGGTTTGTCGCTGACCTCAGAAGAGTGAACTATTTACAAGCTCTAACCATCCTCTTAGGCTACAACATCTATCGACGACCCTTCTTTCGTACAAATATGGCATCTTCTGGATATCGTTTCAATATTCTCGGACAATGGTTAGTTTTATGAAAAAAGAGTACGGGTTAGGGAGGCGGCTGACACGTATCAGAACAGTGCGAACCGGGTTTGATATTTTGGCTTATCGAGGAATTGCTGGACAGTCAGACAATCGATGGATGCAGGAAAGTCTTCGACTACCTCGAGTCGCGGAGAGAGCGCAATACAGCGGTAAGCTATCATATAACTCAGGCTACTATCAGTAAAACATTTGCTGATTCGTGAGTGGATAGAAACATTTCAAACAAAAAAGCCTGATTATTCTCCGATCATGCAATGAGCTTCTTCGAAGACTTTCACGAGCAGAAGATACTGTGTTCTGTGGAAGAGTATTCATATATTTATTCCAGAGCTTTCCGCTGGGCGATAAGAGTTCGGTAAATTTGCGGGGCGAATATCACACTGAGAACGTCACCACCTTTGATGAAGTCTCTAGAGAAGCGCGAAAAGAGAAACTGGAAGAAGAGAGTGCTGCCCCGAAAGAGGAGAGATCCGGAGATACTATTGACGCAACAACCAAGCCTTCGGATGCCAAGAAGGAGAAAGATGCAGGTAAAGAGCCTGTTGATCTGGATACGTTGTATCCTATCTTTTGGGGCCTGCAGGCAACCTTCTCTGCTCCAACAAGACTGTTCGACCCAGGCCACTTCGCATCTTTTAAGAACGGTCTAGAAGCGACACTCTCTACGTTCAAGCGTATCAACACGGATCTTGACCCTAGGAGCGGCGCCAAGGGATCAGATGAAGCTAGAAGAGGCACAAAACGCAAGCGCACAACGGATGGATCGGAAGTCACCAACAGCTTCAACCCGAAATATCTAACCAGCCGTGATTTGTTCAGTCTGGAGGTAAGTCTGTAACTCGACGCCGGGGTATTCGCATATGCTAACATTCGGTGAAGATTAGCGATATCGCCTTCCGTAGACATGTGCTCGTGCAGGCGTTGATCATTCTAGATTTTCTTCTGTCGCTCACACCGAAAGCGAAAGCGAAACTGGCGGATTTGACAAACAAATCCGTACTTTATAATTTTGTTCTCAACGATGACGACGTAAGCTCACCATTGTGCCTCCCCGGGCATTACTAATAATTTCCAGGCAAAATGGACGACAAACATCCGGCGCGCAATCGAAGATTATCTTCAGGAGGGTGTGGGAGGCAAATTCTATTATCGCATGGTGGACAATGTTCTCTCGCGAGACAAAAACTGGATTCGCTGGAAGGCAGAGGGGTGTCCGCTCATTGAACGCCCTGCTGTGTCTGTCAAAGACTATTTAGATGCGCGTGAGACAGCAGCGAAGACATATGCCAATAAGCGTCTCCGACCTTCTCCCATGGGTTCTCTGGATCTGAAGTTCCTTTCCGATGCCGAAACTCTGGGCAGTCTTGAGCGCCTCAAGGCATCTGACAGGTAGGCACGAAATGCTAGGCTAGAAGATCGTGACTAACATTATTCAAGGTTCTCAAAACCTGCCCCCGATTCTTTAATGATGGGAATTGTTGACGATGACTTTGACCTTGAGATGGCACAGACTAAAGAGGATAAGGACAACGCGATGAGGTCCAAAGCTAGCAAGATATGGCGTACGTTGCGGCTCTGTGCTAAGAGCAAAATGCATCAGTTCGACAAGATTGAAGATGGCAAAAATATCAAAGTCCTCTTCGAGACCCCTCCACAGCCCGAAGAACCACCGAAGCCAACTACTGAGAGCACGAATGACACCGGGAAGCCCCATATAGAATCAAAGGGTGATGACAAGGAGAACACTACAACTGTGGACCAGCCGATGGCTGACGTCAAGCCGGAAGACTCAGAAAAGGCAACGGAAGCCCCAGCATGAAATTGATGATGACCCTCACCATGGCTTACCGAAGTCAGCGAACAATTTCACATTTTCGGGTGACAGCGCTTTTATCTATGACGGGGCCACCTCAACATTGACATACTTCTTGGTGCAGCATACCCGTGAGCAGTCCATTCTCCGTAAGGACCGGGTGCTCCCCTTACGACTTCCTTTCCACTTATCTCGTGATAAGAATACGTCGGTGGCATCTTCAAGCAGTCCCTGCAGGTTTATTGTCATATTGGGCATAACTACATGGTTGACTGCTAAGTCGTACACAGAATGCGGCGCGAGATGATGATTTCTCAGTACGATAGTGTGGAGACCTACAGACAGGCTCGTCCCAGTGGAAGAGAAGCAAATGTGCAAAGGAGGCAGCTTAGTGTGCTCTCTCCCTAGCCCATATGGAGCATAACCAGGGATATCTATGGGACCGAAACAACCCTAGTATGACCGACACAGTGGTGTTACTGCAGTGCTCTACCTTCGGTCTCACCTGGGTTCTCGTTGTGATAACACCACCATCGTGTGGATAAATAAGCATGTACGATACATTATGAAATAGCGCAATTTTCGAGAAAATATAGGAACCATTGTAATTGTATGACAGCCGTGTGCTTAAACTATACCGCTGGTAGTCCTCAGGACCCCTGTGATCATCCGTCAAGATCGGCTGCGTCCGAGGTTTGCAGATCTTTGACCCCGCCTTAGCAAGATGCGCACAAGACGACCTTGCAAGCAAAGATGTCTAACGAGTGTGAAAATATAGTGGCGAAAGGGACTCCGGTAATATTCGAGATCGGAACTCGTAGCATGCAAGTGTCAGAAGATGTTATGTCCAGCTGTGAGACATGGAGATAGATGAATATGGGAGTTGCCGCAGACTCCAGAGTGCCCTAATATCAGGCAACCAGCTAGAACGAGTCTAGAACAGGGGAGGTTCTAAAACAATAGTACCTGGCTCTGGAGAGACGCTATCAGGCCAGTCTGTTCTTTGCCTGCCTTCTTTCCTGCTGCATTCTTGTTTGAGGCTACTAGTTACTGGATCCAATAAGAAAGAATTGTTTCCGTATATGTCATCTTGTACGAATAATAGCCATTCACATAGAGGATGATTATAGTTCTAGAATCAAAGATGGGAGGCTTATTGTTCAGCGTCGCCGAGCTCCTCGAATCGCAGCATCGGGAAAGTAATCAACGACACAGAGGAATCTTGCTCAGCCCCCGGATTTCTTAACTCGAGATCTTCTGGAACCAGTCAGAGAGTTCCTATATGAAAGACAAACGCATTCTAGGAGGTTACAAGAGTCATCTATTGCGGGTCACCAACCAGATGTTCGCAGTTTAGGGAATTCATGGGCTGGTGGCGGAGTGCTACGGACCAATCAGAACGCGGGTGTTGTTAATTGCCTGATAACGGATGCGGATTCCCATCATGGTATGACAATGGCCTACGTAGTAGATTCTTCAAGTCTTCAAGATAAAAGGATCGTGTTTTCCCTCGATCTAGAGATTTGTTTTTCATTATTATTCTAAGCCCAATTATCAGAAGCTGGGTCTCTTTGTTCTGCCTTGAATCAGAAAAAAATACCCGCTGTTTGTTCTTCGTTGCTTCGATCACCACCAAACAATACCTCAAGCCACAACATTTACCCATACAAAAAACCTCACCTACTAGCCAAGATGGTTCACCCTTCAACTTGCTGCAACATCTCTAAGGACGGTGGCTGTGTTTGCGCCGCGCAGGCCAGGTGCTCTTGCGGGAAGGAGAGCGCGGGACACTGCACATGCAACAAAGCTTCGAGCGAGAACAACATTACCGGTCCCAGATGTTCATGCAGTATGTTACGCTCTCTCTTTTGTGCCTGGGGGACTACATAGATTACTGACATGTTTTCGTGTAACTAGGAGCACGACCTGCTGGCCAATGTACCTGTGAGCGGTCTGCAACTGAGAACCGATCTGTATCCGGCGATACCTGCCCTTGTGGAGCTAGACCTTCTGGTAAGTCTTGAATTCTTCTAATCTGTCTTTTTATATGTCATCAGAATGCTAACGAGAATGGTTACAGAGTCCTGCACATGCGAGAAGGCTGGCGCTGTCGATACTGCCGCTGAGGCACTCGAGACTGACTTTACCACCCAGAAGTAAAGTTAAGTTAATGCTGGTCGATTGGTATCTCAACATCATGCATGCATCATGGCGCCGGGTATCTATGAAGTTTATGTCGATTTCATCGGGGTGTAAAAATTGGGATTGCTTGTGATATGTTTGTATATATTAGCTTTAATTCACGACTAGGCACATTGGCCTGAAGAATCCTTTGCAATGGCAATTGAAAAGAATATAAAGAATAATCGTATAGCTCACGGATATCAGTAGTAGAAGACTATCAAAATACCCTGAATCCCTGTCAGAGATCAACGGACAGTTGGGGAATCTCCACCTGTCTAGAAAGATTGGAACATTATTGGATAAATATTCAGGGACATTGTTTGAAGGAAACCGATTGGCTGATCGAGTAGTTGTCGTGTGTTTTATCCATACCATAGATAGATAAAGATGCCAAGTCGGGAGCTTGCATGATTTTCCGAAGAAGTAGAGTGATGAGATTAATATTATTAGCCCAGCCTCTCTCTCTTGGCAGATAAGTTAAGTAAGTTGGTCTGGTCTCGTCCCTTGTCTGCCTGTAACTAATATGCACATTTAGTATTGTTAGGAAGGCGGTCGGAGTGCGCATCAATATTGTTCCTTGGTCCAACGGCGGACCTGGCGCGATCGTCGGTCGGCAGCGCCTAAGCTGCGGAACAAACGGGCTACGACAGACAGTCCGCCGCGGTCTAAGGATCATCAGGAGGTTCTTCTGCGCCTTCGCGAAGAACACTGATTTGGCAGGAACTTGATCTCTCCGTCTCTTGATACTCGCAGTCGGGTAATAGGCTTTCAGATGCGTTGTCCGTCCGTTCCGCAACGTCGCTCTTGATCCCGCCGCCCGGACATACCGCGAAGCCCCTATCAGATCGAATCCCCCTCCGATCTGCTCTTCAACAACCACGGACATACTGGCGATGATCATCTGTTGGAAATCGAATCGAGAAGAAAAGGTCATGATTGCATAAACGCTGCCCAGACAGCTCAAAGGGACGGAATAGCACATCAGGAGTGAACCGGTGCATTCGCGATTGAAATCTGCAAGCCAACATGTCTTCTATGCGAGGTCTCGTCCAGTTCATCGCCGACCTGCGAAACGCAAGGGCGCGTGAGTTGGAAGAGAAGCGTATCAACAAGGAACTGGCCAATATTCGACAGAAGTTCAAGGATGGAAATCTGAATGGATACCAGAAGAAGAAATATGTTTGCAAGCTGCTCTACGTTTACATCCAAGGTTACGATGTTGACTTCGGACATCTCGAGGCGGTTAACCTCATCTCCGCCAACAAATACTCTGAGAAGCAGATTGGATATCTATCCGTCACGCTGTTCCTACATGAGCAGCATGAGTTGCTGCACCTAGTCGTGAACAGTATCCGGAAAGATCTCCTGGATCATAACGAATTGAACAATTGTCTGGCACTCCATGCGGTCGCCAACGTCGGAGGAAGAGAAATGGGGGAGGCTCTGAGTGCTGATGTCCATAGGCTTCTGATCTCACCGTAAGCTTCTTCCGATTCTCGCCCGAACAATGTGCTAGAGGCTTACTATTTGCAGCACCTCGAAAGCCTTCGTGAAGAAGAAGGCAGCCTTGACCCTCCTCCGCCTCTACCGCAAATATCCCGATATCGTACAAAACGAATGGGCCGAACGAATAATCTCCATCATGGACGATCCTGACATGGGAGTCACACTGTCCGTGACATCACTTGTTATGGCTTTGGTGCAGGACAGGCCGGAACAATACAAGGGTAGTTACATTAAGGCTGCGCAGAGATTAAAGAAAATCGTGGTCGATAACGAAATATCTGCCGATTATCTCTACTACCGTGTGCCCTGTCCCTGGATTCAGGTCAAGTTCCTGCGTCTACTTCAGTATTATCCTCCTTCTGGTTCGTGACGCCATTCATATTCGTCATTGTTTGCATATTGACATCCATCCGCAGAGGACTCTCACGTGCGAGAGATTATCCGCGAGTCATTGCAGCAGATACTGCACACGTCGATGGATGCGCCGAAAAACGTCCAGCAGAACAACGCTCAAAATGCCGTTCTCTTCGAAGCAATCAATCTTCTTATTCATCTTGATACAGAACATAATCTCATGATGCAGATATCTTCCCGGCTCGGGAAGTATATCCAGTCGCGGGAAACCAACGTGCGATACCTCGGACTCGAGGCGATGACCCATTTTGCGGCAAGAGCAGAGACTCTTGACCCCATCAAGAAGCACCAAAATATCATTCTCGGTTCTCTGCGAGACCGTGACATCAGCGTACGTCGTAAAGGTCTGGACCTTCTTTATAGTATGTGTGACACTTCGAATGCGCGACCAATTGTGAATGAGCTTCTACGATACCTTCAGAGCGCGGACTACGCTATCCGGGAAGAAATGGTCCTCAAAGTAGCAATCTTGACGGAGAAATACGCAACGGATGCTCAATGGTATATTGACATCTCTCTTAAGCTGCTTTCCATGGCCGGTGACCACGTGAGCGACGAGGTCTGGCAGCGTGTGATTCAAATTGTTACGAACAATGAGGAACTGCAAGCCTATGCGGCGCAGAATCTGCTGGGGTACCTGAAAGCAGACTGCCATGACAGTCTGGTGAAGATCGGTGCCTACGTCTTGGGAGAGTTCGGCCATCTAATCGCAGAAAATGCGGGATGCAGCCCGATAGAGCAGTTCTTGGCCTTGCAGGCTAAGATGCTATCTTGCTCCGATAACACGCGGGCAATGATTCTCTCATCGTTCGTTAAGTTCGTCAACCTTTTCCCTGAAATTAAGCCCCAGCTTCTGCAGATTTTCCGTCTGTACAGTCACTCTCCAGACCCGGAGTTACAGCAGAGAGCATATGAGTATCTCTGTTTGGCTACCATGCCAACAGACGATCTCCTCCGAACTGTCTGTGATGAGATGCCGCCATTCTCCGAAAGGGCGTCCGTACTTTTATCACGCCTACACCAGAAGACTGCCGGAACGAGCGAAAAGAGAACGTGGGTTGTTGGTGGAAAAGATGCCAACGCGGATCAGAAGGAGGTTGCGCTGGCGCAAAGTGCCGGACTGAAGCGTTCTTTCACCAACGCTGCCAATGGGGCTGGAATAAATGGAAGCTCAAAGAGTGGTGCAGCCGCCAACGACCTTGCTGGTTTAGACCTCATGAGTACCACCGCCCCTGAGACTCCTAACATGGCCAGCGCTGCCCACCTCAGTCCAGACTGGGAAGTTGGGTTCAACAGACTGTACTTTGAGAACGAGGGAGTGCTTTTCGAAGACGCACAGATCCAGGTTGGATTCCGATCCGAGTATCGGGCCCATCTTGGAGTGGTAAAGCTGTACTTCAGCAACAAATCTGCCTACCCCATCGGGTCATTTACAACGACCATTGACAACCCAGCGTCTCCCAATCTCAAAATCGATACGAAGAACCTTCCTGAGCCATCGGTCCCGGCGGCTGCTCAGACACAGCAGACATTAACATGCGAAGGTCGAGGACCTTTCACTGACGCGCCAACCATCCGAATTTCCTATCTCGCTGGTGCACTCCAGGCATACACATTGGCATTGCCCATCCTGATGCACAGATACATGGAACCATCGGCGCTCTCTGCGGAGGACTTCTTCAAGCGCTGGCGTCAAATAGGAGGGCCGCCTCTGGAGGCGCAGGTTACTTTCGGTGTGACAGGAAAGGGACGAACAACAAACGAAACCTTTACACGTAGAGTCGTGGAGGGGTTCAGGTGGAAGATTCTCAATGGTGTCGACCCGAATCCAAAGAACATTGTTGGATGTGCGGTCTATCAAGTGGAGGGTGGTAAGACGGGCTGTTTGTTGCGACTTGAGCCCAATTATGAGAAGAATGTAGGATCATTTCGAGACACTCATGGCATCTGGGAATGCAATGCTAACGAGTTATCAGATGTACCGAATCACGGTCCGTGCTACCCAGGAGCACGTTGCCCCGGCATTGGTCAAGCAGATGGAACAGAAACTTTCCCAAGGTATACCGGAAGACCGTTTATGAGAGGACAATGTGCCAAAGGATCGGGGAAGATCCTCTACATTTTGCGCTTTCTTTTATTCTTTCCATAATACCGAGCGACTGTTCCCTCTGTTGAGCTGGTTACTCTTCTTTCTCTTTTCTTGCTTTATCTACCCCCGCATTGCAGCGAGCGTTTTGCCCCAATTCCTGGTCTCGTCGCGTTGCTCTTCCGCGCGCGATCTGAATTTTCCCAATCCATTGAGCTGTACAGGACGTACATACTTCCTGATAATTAGACACGATTGGACCGCTAGTAATACGAATTAAGACGTATTAATGCGTCCGTTTCGTCCATTCAAACGGTTGCAACCGATCCAAGAATAATTAACGCTAATGCTTCGTGAAAAAAAAAGAGACTGTACAATTGTATCTTTGTATCCGTCCCGATCTCTCGACTTATTCCACCATCCTGTCAGGCATCTATATGATCTTCGCCTCCGACTTTGGCGGCCGCTCTCCAAAGATCGTCGTCCCAACCCTGACCTGATCACTGCCCAGAGTGATGGCACCTTCGAAATCCTCACTCATTCCCATGCTCAACTCGAGCTTAGCATCCTCGCCCTCCAAACCCAATTCACGCACGATCCGATCTCTCGTCTCCTTCAAGCAGACGAAATCCTCATTCTCATTCCCCGGAGTCGTCGCCTTCGACCGCGCAATAGCCCCAATCGTCATAACACCCTGCAACCGTAGCCGAGGACACTTCTCCCGGATAAACCGACACAACCCTGGCGCCGCCTCAGGCTCAATACCCGACTTATTCTCTTCGCCCGAAGTATTCACCTGCACAAACACACGCAGCTTCTCCTCCTCTCCACTCTCCTCTCCCTGCACCTTCTTTCTCTCTCCCCAGCCCTTATCCAACAAACTAGCCTTCTTCTCCGTATCAACACTCTCCACAGCCCAGAGCCCTCTCACATCCCTCGCGAGTCCAACGCACTTATTCGACTGTAACCCTCCAATGAAATGCCACTTGATATCCGCGGGAAGTAACCGGCTTTTCTCCAGTAATTCCTGAACGTAATTCTCGCCGAAATGGCGCTGTGCGATCGGCGGCTCATATAGCGCGAGGATGTCTGAGACGGGTTTGAGTTTCGAGACCGCGACGAGTCGCACGGGCGATGTGCGTGGGTGTGTGGATTTCGAAGTCGCGGAGGCGATGCGCGACGTCACGCTGGAGAAGTTGGATGTGAGGGTCGAGATACGGGCTGGAGAGGCGGGCATTATGGTCGGAGTGCTGGTGGAGGATGGTGTAGTCATTCTTTAAGTATGGGATCGAGTAGAAGAGAAGACAGCTTTTGGATATAGGATAACTAGGTAGGTAAAAAGAGAGCTTTTGAGGTAGAGACAGAATAGATGCTGCTGGTCGAACTGCGCGTTTGTGGATCTTTTTCTTTTCCTCCCGATTAAAGCCTGGTATAGCGCATGGAGGGCAAGCTGGAGGTAAAGAGATGCTATGAGTCGCAAAGGGGGGGAAATAATAGAGGGGAAACTGATATCTTCACATCCAGCTGTTTCTGGAACGATAAGATCGCGGTCGAGGCCGGTCACGTGGGCATGTCAAAGACGTCGACTTGGAGTCAATTCGCAAACTATTATTTATTATCATTAACTAATAACTATGTTGAACTAAAACCTCGAAAGCAGAATAATATTAGTGAAGTGGATGAGTCTAAAGACGACGAAGATCCTGCCGATGAATACTAGGTAACTACTGCTACTGCTACTCTGCAACCTCAACAATCAACTTCGTACAACTCACCCCGCGGAGCAGTTTGTCTAACCCAGCATTGATAGCCCCCAAGCCTTTTCCCACAACGTTCGGTTCCGGACTCGGCCTGATGGTTCCCTTGGCCAGGTTATCCCTCAGCCACGTCCCAATCCAGTATCTGAACTGCTCCAGCCTCTCCGCTTCCACCATCGACGGCTGCACGAATATCGTCTCGACCCCATTCACGACCTCCGCATCTGGAGGAAGCACAGGGGCCGACGCGATCTTCGCCGTCTTCATTTTCTTCCCTTCTTGACCTTCTCCGAGGAATGTCTTAAGCACAGCCTGACATGGCGCCAGCTGCCCGGTAGCAAGAAAACAGTGCCGGATCACTAACCCGTCCTCCTTGGCCGCTGAAACGATGGCATCCACAACTTGTGAATCTTTGTAGTCGAACACGCGGTCCGCGCCCAGTGAACCCACATAACTCTTATTCGCCGCTCCAGCCGTGGCGTACACGGCTGCGAAAGAAGAGTTGGGATCTTCCCGCAGCAGTCGCGCTGTTTGCACGCCCATGGTGCCGACGCTAGAAGAAGCACCCCAGATTAGGAGAGCTTCTCTTTTTTCTATGTTATGATTCTTTTGCTTCCCTCCGGCAGGGCCAACAGGGACTGGAGCAGAAGTCACTGCTTCTGCCACCCGGGGGATCCCAATGGCATCCCACGCGCTAAGGGGTACCTCGACGGCGACAGGCAAGGTCGCCGCGTGGTTCCAAGACATGTCCTCGTCCGGAAGAGGCACAGCATGCTGCCAGGGGACGAGACACCGCTCCTGAAATGCGCCGTAGTCTGGATCGCAGGACTTCCAGAAAAAGGCGGCGTAGGCGGCGACACGGGTGATACCAGGTCGGAAGAGGGCTGTGGGGACGTTGTCGCCGACCTCGAGGACTAACCCGGACATATCGAAGCCGATGACTGTGGGGTAGCTGGGTATGAAGAGGCCTTGGTCACGCATGTAGGCGTCTGCCGGGTTGAGGGCTACTGATTTGACAGCGATGAGGAGCTCGTCTGGTCCTGGCTTTGGGGTAGAGCGGGTTTGGAGCTCAAAGGGTTGGCCTTTGGCCAGGGAGACGGCGGCGAGGTGGGTGGCCATTGGGACTTGTTATGTGAATATAGTAGAGGTTTTCGAAGTAGAGGATCCAATATGAACAGAGCCTGGTATTCAAAGGAAATAGTTTCATGATTCTGATCCCATAGATATTACCCTCTCTTCGTAGGATCTTGCGGGAAGCCCTTCTTATACAATCAAGATATCATTTCAATCTATTTACGCTGATGTAGTGACGGCCCGTCCGATGCGACATTGTGTTGATTATATAGATGGCCGCAGCCAACCAGAGACCTCTGTATCCGAAGAACAGTTAGCGTGGATGATGTGTTTCCGAACGGAGGTTAGCGTAGGTCTATGGGTGTCTCTGACAATGTAAATAATCATTAGTTACAGCTCGGGAAAATCCCTCACAGACAAGCTGCGCGAAGCATTGAATGATTGACCAAGCATGGCCTCGACTGGTCCAAGAGAGGTTCGGGAGCGTAGGACTCCGCGGAGATCGAGATATGGCTGCCGAAATTGCAAGCTCAGAAAACTCAAGGTGGGCACCCGGCTTTCGGCTTTCCTAGACTGAGTGCTGCTTGGCTGAACGAATTTCCTGGACCCCTTGAATAGTGCGATGAAGGCAAACCACATTGCAAGAGATGTAGTTCATTCGGGGTATTATGCAACTTCATGTCGAATATTCCCGACCTGCAACCCATCGCTGATGGCACGGGGAGGCCACTGGTGGTTCGAGGAAAAGCAGAGCTTCAACCCCCTGTCGCCAGTGCTGTTTGGACATCTGACGAAACCACATTCTATCAATTGAACGCAAAGTGTCAAGATTTCATCACCCGGTATCTGGGACGAAGTCTGATCACCCCAGATGACCCGAATATGATACACGTCAATCGCAAGCTCCTGAGACTATCCTTCACTGTAAGTATTATTATTATATCTTACATTGATTCCGTCACCATCAGACAGAATTCAAGCGGGATTATATACATTATGACCATGAGCTCGTCTAACATATGGCTTACTGTATAGTACCCTTATTTAATGCACGCTTCTCTAGCTGTGGCACTTACATATGACCGCCATCTGAACAGCTCATTAGGCTGTCGTCGCAGTCTGGAAGAGTGCTATCACTGGTCTCAAAGCACAACTCTTCTCAACAGGCGATTACGAGAACCGATTGAAGCAAAAGATAAGGATGCAATCTGGGGCACTGCGGCTGCTCTGGTTATCTTGTCCTTCTCGTCCCCTGATGCATCCACGCCGGAAGAATCATGGCCCTTAAACTCCTCTGACCACTCCCATTTAGACTGGTTACGTATGAGCAAGGGTAAAATGTCCCTATGGCACATAGTCAACCCGCTCCGATCGGACAGTCTGTTCCATGTCATGGCAGCGACCTTTGCTCAGATGCATTCACCCTTCCCAGAGAGCGGTATAGATGGTATACCAAGGGCCTTGGCTACCACGTGTCTCCTTAAAGAATCATCTACAGCGAAAACCAATCCGTATTTTCATGCCGCCCACGCGGTATCCCAGATTCTTGCCCTCCCGGATAGCGAGGTCACAACGGGTCAAACTCAATTCTTCATGCGAAGTATTCATGGCCCTTTCGAAGACCTGCTCCGGACAAGGGACCCTGTAGCGCTTTTGTTGCTGTATCTATGGTACCGCAAAGCAAGTCGGAGTATATGGTGGATTGAGCTTAGAGCTAGAGTGGAATGTCCTTCTATTTGCTCGTACCTACGACTATATCATAAAGGGAATGTTGCGGTACAGGCATTTCTTCCAGGAGGCGCTCTTGCTGATGAATGGGGTTAGGTGGGCTTCCAGGGTTTGAATGCTCTTTTGTTTCGGAATTGTCAATATGAAGAACTGCAGTAGTGGTTTTTGACACTTCCACTAATTTTAATGGTTCGGCGAACGCCACACTACGAGGTGGCATCGACATTGTGAGGTAGCAGTCGTACAGTACATCTTGGAGTACTGTATGTTATAAATCCAGGCTGGCTCCGAGCACTCAAGATACTCAGTATCAACTTATTAAATAGACTAATAATGCATAATTCAATCAATTAATGCCAATTCCGTGAGTCACTGACTCAAATATCTTTGGGGGGATCTCCAATTAGCTTTGTCCCCTGGAAATCTAGTCAGTAATCCGTGTCACGGATACAGATGACTCAATATTGCGGGGAACTCTAGATAGTTATCGTTTAAAAAGACTTAACCTCGCCCTGAGAGAAAAAGCCCGGGCTTATATTCCTTTCAAGCACAGGAGAGCTAAGAAAAAGATAGCATATGTGCAATTGACTCAATTCTCGTTCTACGAACATTTTTTTCCTTCCTCGGAAACTGGGGGGAAAAGACTTCAGAAAAAACGACACAATTCCCAGGAAACGAAAGAAAAGCAGAAGCAAACCATCAGAGCAAAAAAAAAAGATAACAACAAGTGAATCAACATGCCTCAGAAACTCCACTACGTCACTCTGGACGTCTTCGCCATCGAGCCATTCAAGGGCAATCCCCTAGCAGTAGTCTTTCTGCCCCAAGACAACACCTCCAGCATCACACAAGACAAAAAGCAACTCATCGCACGAGAATTCAATTTCTCAGAAACTATCTTCGTGCATCCTCATGATATCTCCACTCCTTCCTCGCGAAGAATTGACATCTTCACTACTTTACGCGAGATCCCTTTTGCCGGCCACCCGACCATCGGCGCCTCGAGCTGGTTCCAGCGCCATTCTCAGGATCCCCATGACCAGGGCGTGAGAACCATCGTGACGAAATCTGGCGATATCCCCATTACTAAATCGGATGATGGAGTGAGTGTGGTAGCGCAGATTGCGCATAATGTTCGCATTCACGCGGCGCGGTTTCCGTTATCTGAACTGTTGAGATTGCATTCTTCTCTGGAGCCATTTCTGAAGCAGAAAAGGGATGGGTTCCCTGTCGTTTCCATCGTTAATGGTATGAGTCAGATACATGTCGAACTACCTAGTCTTGAGGCCCTCGCGGCTGTGCAGCCCTCTGCTGGTGGGGAGATGATCCGCGGTGATAGCGGCTATCTTGACGATGGATGGCGCGAGGGATTGATTGTCGTTTACTTCTTTGTGCGGAACGTACTGGACGCCGCTACGGGTAAGACGGTCATTCGAACCCGGATGTTCCTGGGTAGTCTGGAAGATCCGGCGACAGGAAGCGCAGCGAGTGGTTTGGCGGCATATCTGTCCCTGACAGATCCTGAAGTTATCAAGAATGGTGGAGGGGACTTTGATATTGTGCAGGGAGTGGAAATGGGACGAAGGAGTGATATTGGGGTTGGGGTTGCTTTGACTGGAGATGGGAAGGCTATCAGGAGTGTAGAGCTGAAGGGTGCAGCAGTCAAGGTTGCAGAAGGTGATATTATGGTTGTATAGTTGATGCTTGATTTTCTCGTATTATTACTGCGTTTGTAATGGAAGCATAGTTATCCTCATTGCCTATAAAGAAATAGGAAGGATTTAGTGCTTTGTCGCGTCATAATATGTACGACACGGGTCAATATGGTATTTAGTGTCTACTGCATCCTTCAGCTACTAGTTATCGAAGGCACCTTGCATAAGCGGCTTATTTCCATGATAGATGTAACTAAAGCCTTGATTTTTATGAAGTCGCCTGCGTATACTCCATTTTGAGAGCTACGAGAATGGGAGAAGTACTAGAAAGGGATCCATAACGGCAGTAATAGTGAGAGCGCTTTCATCAATTCCATTAACCCCTTCCTGAGATTCATCCATGCCATAACCCTAGTTTCAAACAATATCCAGTCCTTGCGCCATGCGAGTTATATCCCAATGCTTCATGAAAGGTCGTAGCACTAAAATGTATACAAGGAATTGCTGTTGATAGCGACGATTATTCCGAATCACTGTCCACAACGAAGCCCCCTCTCATTTGTCTGCGCGATGGTGCTACAATTGGTGCGTCCTCGTCATCGTCGTCGTCATCGACGGTAGCTGCATTGACAGCAGTGGCTTGTGGTTTGGCTGATGAACGGTCTTCGGCAGCTGTTTGACTCCGCCTTTCTTTGCTGAAAGCGAGATCGTCGTCAAAGTCCATTTCATCTTCGGCTGAAGTAAGCGGCGTTTCATTGTCGACGGCCTCGTTGCTGGCGGAACCTGCTCTCGGAGGGCTAGGCGACTGTTCGGCCACGGTCATGAGGACATCATCATCGCTCTCACCATCATCACTGCCTCCTCCAAATATGCTGGGCCGAGGACGTTTACGCCCTACGCTGCTAGCCTCCTGTTCACCATCCGTGCTCATTCTCTTCCCGCCCTTCTTTTTGGTCGTCGTCGATTCCGCTGGATCTTCCACGATGCCGGTGAGCAGAGCTTTCCGGATCCGCTTGGCTTGAGCCTTTCTTCGTTCCTCCTCCAGGCGGAAGAATTCTTCATCAGCGTCCTCATCACTTTCTTCGTCGCTGGCATGGATATATAGATCACTCTTGATCTTAGCTTGCCGTGCCAAGGCATTGGCCTCGCGGGTACGACGGCGAGCTTCTAGTGTTTCATCATCCAGCGGTTGATGCTCCTCAGTGCCCTGTCGCCGCTTGCGTCGCTTCTGTTTTAATTCTTCCAGTACATTCGACTTCGACCGAATATTCGGAGGGAATAGAGGACCATCAGGAATGATATCTTCACCTTCCGAGTCGGCTCCAAAATCAACCTCCATAGGCCCTTGGCTATCGGCTCTGGTGCTTCTGTTCACTTTCCGCCGAAGCTGGTGCCGAGGATCTTCTCCGTTGACCTCCTGCATAGGATTATTTCGACTCTTTTCAATCGTGTCCTTGATATCTTGTAACGCTTTTGCCGTGAACGAAGACGGAACAACCCAGGATGTGCCAGGGACATCTTCAAGTCCGAGCCGTTCAAGCCCGATTAGGTTCATCAGAAGACGAAGTTTGGCATTACCAAACATGGCTGCTCGACAGGCTTCGTCGGCAGGTTTGATACCTATGCTTGAATTAGTAACTACCACGTTGGTATTATCACGATGTCAAACGTACTAATCATAGGATTCGGTGCTGCAGAAGCATCAGGATCTTCTGCTCGTCGAGCTTCGTCCTGAACTTCCCATGAGCCCCTCTCTTCTGCTGCTGAACCAAGGACGTCGCTGATCCACTTCACAAGATCGCCTCGGCCATCCATCATCAGAGCCGAAACAACTACGGCTAATTGGTCGTCTTTTGTCGAAGCAGCCTGAGGGTGGACTTCCAGCTCAGCGGGGGCTCTCCTCTCAGATAGCGTCTGTCTTTCGTAACCGTATTCCAGGTAGAACAATGTCGCGTTTATTTTGCTGAACAGCATCTCAACAACGAGGGCTGGGCGTTGATCCATTTTCTTGACCAATCTCCGTATCACTTGTTTCACGAATTCTTCCCAGTCACGGAAGCTTGGCTTACTCTTGTCGAGGCCTTCAGGTCCCTTAATCATCCGATAGAATAGGTTGATAATATCAACTCGGAACAATAGAACGCTCATCTCCTGCTTAAAAGCGACACGGTAAAAGAAACGATGAGCACGTTTCAGTTGTTCTTGGTCCAGCTCCCGATAAAACTTCGTGAAAGCCACAAATGTATCGACGGATTTTTGATTGCAGAACTTGGCGGCGAAACGGTTAAAATCGAATTTTCGCTCTTTCGATACTCTAGCCGCGTCGGCGAGCTCTTCTGCCTCGGAGCCATCTTCTTCATTCTCGTCGTCATTGCCACCATCGTCAGTGGGATTTGCAGATTGCTCTGCCTTCTTCCGTCTCGCACGCCGGCGCGACCTTACTTGCATGTCAACATTCTCCTTCGAGTATCGCTCTAGCATACGTAGGAAGACATGGCACAACTCTGTGCAAGCATCCAAGTAGCCAAAACCTTGGTCTTTGAAGCCGCGCACGATAGCTAGAACCCTGTCATGGGTAGTTTCTTCATAAAAGATACGGTTCTGGATATTGTCGGCGATTTCCTGGTCCTCTTCGAGTGATGAAAGAGCCATCTCCTGTACGGTCAACAATATCTGTGTAAAGCAACGCATGGACGCGTTAAGGTCATGCCACTCCTTATGGTCCATGAAGTACTGCATTGCACGATTCAGGAAAACGAAAGTCTCCTGGTTGAGAACCCCTGCGACCAGGGAAAAGCTGTCTGGCTCAATCTCTCTCGAAGTACTTTTGTTTTTCTCGCGCTGCTCCTTTTGACGGGCACGCCGTGCGCGCTCGGCTTGCAGGAACCAGGAGATCACATAGAAGAATTGCGGAGTGTGGATATCAAGAACGCGATCGGCTTCACGCTCGATGGCCTTTCGCACGTGCGTAAGAAGAGGATTAAAGCCGGAGTCCAGAAATTCCTCTACAAATGTTCGGAGATTCCCAGTAGCTTGCGAATTGAGGTGGACGGGCGTATCGAAATCGTTATTCAAATTGACATCATCATTTCTGCGTTGCTGTCGCGGTTTGTTCCACTTTTTGGTCTGATCCATTTTATATAACGTTGTTTGGCCGTCTTTAAGGGTATCTTGTCCCGAAACCGTAGAGACCTTGGCGTCGTCTCGTTTTACCCAAATCATGGTTCCAAAACGGCCGTGTCTGGTTGGTGCGTTCTTCGCGTACTCTCTTTTCTTGCTGGATTCCTTGCCTAGCAACTCGCTAAGCTCATCTGTTCGCTTCGCCTTGCGTTGAGCATCGTCCATGAAGAGTTTCTCCACATTAACTCCTCGGATGAGGTGGAATAATATCTCCAGCAGAAACACGTCCTGAGTATTGAAGTCATCCCCCATGTTCGAGCACATCGTGAGCAGTAATGCGAAAACGTCCTGAGCCTGGAAGGCATTGATGGTTGCAGACCGTGATGTCTCCTCTTCTTCGCCCTCAGCAGCTAGGCGAGGATTTGGCGCGATGGTTGCAAGATTCCGAAACAGGTACAGAATTAGCTTGAGGATACCCTCGTCTCGAGCTGTGCGTTCCGACCGCGGAACAGCCATACTAGGCAGGCCTAACTTGATAATTGCCCGAAGCATGCCGGTGCTGCTCTGGTCGAGCAACCCCCGCTTATATTGAATTTGTACCTGCTGCAGATATGGCATATGGCGATGATGGTTGACGGTCATCTGGCTGTGCGGTTCGACAGGCCATGTTAGAGGGACGAGCAATTCCACTAAGAGGGGTCAGCCATTGATCCTTTCTCTGCAGTTCGAATCCACTCACAGCATGCTAACGCGATTCTTGTCATATGCTTATGATTCTGGCCCGATTCCCACCACAGAGATAAAATCGGTACCAGGTCTCCGTTCACTATATTGGCCTCTCCAAGACATCGCGCCACGTCCATGCGATTGGACTTCGTATCGTACAATTTCAGCCATCGTTTGATGTCCCGCAGACACGCGAAGGCATCGTCTCCCAGAACATATTTGTCCGCATCCACGCCGTTAAAGCCCCCGAGCTAGCAAAACAGAGAATTAGTGCCCACAGCCTCCAGAGCAAAGACAACGCGCGCAAAGATCAACTTACCGCAGTGACCAGAGAGTAGACATAGGCGCGAACTTCGGGATCGACGACCTGGACATTCTGCCCGACCTGGACGGCTTCAGTATCCATCCTGGCGACGTCAATCCCGGTGGATGGACTTGGCCTCAGTAGTATCTGGCTATCAGCAACATTGATCCCTTTTGAGGATCTCTCGATATTAGATAAAGACCAATTAGAACGCGAGAACGAAACGCGTCGACGCGTCGGCCCTCGGGACCGGCTGTACTTTATGCCGAAGGGCCGAGAATAGCCGATGACGTCGGGCCAAACACGTGCGGGACTCCGGGGTCGGCGAAGTAATTATTAGGATGCGGAGAGAAGTAATTAATTAATCAATCAATCTGTTTGTTTGATCTGCTCTCTGTCGCTTTCTCTTCTTCAACTGCACTGTTGCTAGTTGCTCCCTCTTTTGACAACATGTTTGCAGCCACCCTAAGAAGAAGAGGCCTTCCAATGGCCGCCCGCTCCTTCAGCACCACGGTCCGCATGTCTGCTGCCGAGGTCAAGAAGCTGGGTGTGATAGGAGCCGGTCAGATGGTGAGCATTCACAGTTTTCAAGGCCACGCCCCTCAACTACATTCTAATACTTCATTAGGGTCTTGGAATTGCATTGGTTGCTGCTCAGAAGGCACAGGTGCCTGTAACCCTTGTCGATAGCTCCCAGGCTTCCCTGGACAAGGGCCTCAAGTTTGCCGGTACGGTTTTCTCTGGGAATTCGCAGCCTCAAACCTACCACTGACCAATGATTCTTTATAGACAAGCTTCTAGAGAAGGATGTCAGCAAGGAGCGCATCACCCGCGATGCCGCAGACGCTGCGCGCGCCCGGCTCTTTCCTAGTACCAGCCTGGACGACCTCTCCGATGTAGATTTCGTGATCGAGGCCGTCCCCGAAATCCCCGACTTGAAGACCAGTATTTTCTCCAAGCTGGCCCAGATCGCTCCCAAGCACGCCATTCTGGCTACAAACACTTCCTCCATCTCAATCACCAGGATCGCTGCTGCGACTACAACCGACAAGACAGATCTTCAAGCGCCCTCCCGCGTCATCTCTACCCACTTCATGAACCCTGTCCCCGTGCAGAAGGGTGTTGAGATCATCTCTGGTCTCCAGACGTCTCCCGAGACCGTGGAAACCGCAATTGCATTCGTCGAGCGCATGGGCAAAATCCCCGCCCGCTCCGCTGACGCCCCTGGGTTCTTGGCCAACCGCATCCTGATGCCGTATATCAACGAAGCTATCATCTGTCTGGAGACGGGAATCGGTGCCCGTGAAGATATCGATAGCATCATGAAGTATGGAACTAATGTTCCCATGGGACCTCTCACCCTGGCTGACTTCATCGGTCTGGATACCTGCCTGGCTATCATGAACGTGTTGCACACGGAGACCGGTGATAGCAAGTACCGGCCCTCTGGCTTGTTGAAGAAGATGGTCGATGCGGGCTGGCTGGGTAAGAAGAGCGGAAAGGGATTCTACGACTACTAGAATTAAGTGATAAAAACGTATATAATATTCAGCGTCGCGGTGGTTATGATTTCAACCCAATCTTAAGATTCCGAATACCCTAAAGCTAGCAAGAAATGTGTATGAAATGCAGTCTGGATAGTTGTTCTCGGTGTTAGTCCTATACTATGAATGGACCACTCATCTAGCCTTACATATTGAGTCGACAACTACAATTGCGAAGAAGACATAGCTCAAGATCAAGATTTTCCATAACTAAGATCAAGGGTATCATTTAAATCAAAGCCGCCTGCAAACGCTCCCCCTTTTCTGAAACGTTTTGAAACATAAAAATCTCTTTTCGCACCTTTCAAAACTTCCTGAGAAACTCCTTAGTCGTACACCATCAAGATTACGAGATTGGAACTATGCGTTACGCTGATCCAGAGAATTTCTTTCCAGTCCAGGTGGAACCGTGTTCTAAGTACTGTTGCCGTGTAATAGCGACTTGTTTCAGTTCTTCTCTGTTCGTCGCGAAACGTGATGCACCCAGCCAAGTGGAGCGTATGGGGCTAGGATAGAGGTCAATATGAGCCTGATATCGGGATGGGGAGAAGACAATACTCACTCCTTGGGCCTTCGGACTCGTACTTCACATTCTGCGGACGCGATTTGACGGAGATCACGGTATCTGGATGTTCTCGTAAGTAACAAAACAGTCAACGGCCCTGGAAGAAACTTACAGTCTCTCCATAAATCCCGGGATCAGAGAGTTGCCGCCCACAACTAGCACATTGGCAAGGAAAGCAGCCTGTAATGCTGTGGGAAGGACAGATAAACTCTGCATGATCACATCCGGGATCCCAGCCTGCTTCATCCCAATATCACTCGGGTTGAAGAGGATTTCCGGGACAGTGAACCGCTCATTGCCCAGGACGAGGACATCTTCAGACAAGGACTCTCCACCAACTCCGGACAGAAGGCTCTTCCTCTTCTTCGCGTTGAGGAAAGGATCATGCGGTCGCACAAATCCTTTCTTGTTTGCGTTGGGATCTGGCAGAACATAATCCACCACAACCCCCTCCCCGGGATCAGGTTGGCCGCGTTTTCGGTTCCCTTTCCAGGTCCGCTCCATATCGCCGGAGAAGTCCCCAGTTACATAACAGACAGCCTCCTTGACCTCATTCATAATGTACGTCTCATCCACCACGTTATACTGTCTTATCGAGACCATTTCTTTGATATAATTCGTAAGGTGCTTGCCACCTAAATCGAGTCTTCGTATCCCGCGCTGAAGCGGTCGGCCTTTGTACACGGGAGTAACAGTAGTGTGCGAGTAGCCAGAATCGACGACCAGCAGGCATTCTATCGGCACGACAGAAGAGTCTGTTATCTGCTTTCCAGGATCACCAAATAGAGAATGTAGCTCGTTCCATGCGTTCAGTGACGGGCCTGGGTAGAAATGGTGCCAGTCAGCATACGAATTCGAACATGCTCAGGGACCTGTCGACAATAACGTACCAACGCATCTCAAATATCCTCCAAATCCCCATTCCTCCATTACAATCTCGTCTGCGTTCTTCTGCAGCGCCGGCAGCCCGTTGGGTGCCTCCGTGAGCACCAGAGTCGTATTCTCGGGGTCGGTAATGTGCAGATTACTATTCCGAACCGTCTTTCCATCGAAGAAAGACTGTTCCCAAATCTCCTTCTGTGCTTCCCAGTTCACTATGTAGCCTTTCTCCACTGGTCGACGGAAGGCTACTTCGTTCCATTCGGCGACGTGCGACGAGAGCTGCGAGGCGAGAAAGGTTCGATTCCCGCGAGTTTTGACAAACGCATTAGGTATCACGGAACAAGACGAAAGCGCTTCATCCTCATCTTCTGGAGGTGGGAAGGAGGGTGCGTAGCCTGCCTTGATCGTGTATGCGCCATTGTCGATGATGAAGGTCTTTTGGGGCAACTCTTGCACAGAAGGTACGGGTTTTGCCGGCGCGCGAGACTTGCTAGGCGCCATATCCGAGTGAGCTGTCGTAAGGATTCAATAAATGGATATCGTGAGAGCCATAGACCCCGACGCAGCTGATCACGCCGTTCGCTGCTAAGTATGCTGGAAAATCGCGAGCTATGTATTTGCTGCGGCGCCGCCAATGTACGCGGTTATATTTGCGTCAAACAGCGCCCCCACAAGGGAGCGGAACCGGTTCCGGCCGCCTTACTACAAAGTCGGGTTCTTTGCAGGATATAATGTTGCACTTTTTGAAACCCTCCCAGAATCATAATGACAGTAGACCTACTGCAATATGATATATTGTATGTCGGCGTACTGGTTGCCCTGGTCAGAAAATAAGCCACCTCACCGTGTCTCCGATAAGTGTATTACCATCTCCGGTTTAGCAAGCATGGTTTACTCCATCTATACAGTCGTGACACATATCTTGAATTGAACTAAATAAGAAGGGGGAGCTAATCTGAGTTTCTTGTGTCTTATATGACATTTGAATCACCCTTCAGGACATTCTGATCACACGCTTAATCAGGAGGACCAGGCTGCAATCCCCACCGTCGCCAAATGCGTTCGGCAACATCGATATAGTGTGGTCGTCCCGACCATTTGAAGTCCACCATATAGCTTCGAAAGATGTCAGCAGACATTTCCACATACTATATATACTCTCAGCTTACCATTTCTCATTCTCAGCATCCCATATGAGAGTCGGATTGCCACCCTTACTCACAACTCCACATCGTTTGGTATCCCTGTGTGCAAGTTGATTAGTACAGAGATAGAAATATCACTTGCTTTTACCCGAAAACTGGTACTTACTCTAGTGCTTCTTTGAAAGCTTTAAAAATCCTTTTCCTTTCAGCCTGAGGCATGGTTTGATAGTCGTAATCCCCTTCACCAAGTGGGACTCCAGGACACCAGGTCATAAGAAGATAAGAGATGAATCCAGTGGGCACAATTCCATCATCTCCTTGTTTTGTATGCAATTCTGCAACCAAGTGCGGAGCATGCTTGGCTGTATTTTGTGTGAGTTTACGCAAAGCCTTAATCTCAGATGCCATATCCTCAGACCGGTTGATATCAGCTTGTGCTTTTCTGGCAGCAGCGCTCGTAAACTCAGCATCGATCCAAGGGATTCTAGGTCAATCAGATTCAATAGATTAGAAAGCAAAGACTTCGATAAAAATTGGGGATATTATGTAGTAGCCTACTCCATGTAAATTTTTATAGCGTGTTTAACTCCTAGACCATCTTTCTGCTTGCATGAGAATACCGCCCGTGCGACAGAGCGCAAATTATGAGCAATACTCTCTTCCCTGGTGATCTGGATTGAGTTCTCACTAATTTTTTGGTCGAGCACCCAAATGACATTTGGATCATTAGGGAAAATGATCTCTTTTCCTTGCCAAATGTCCGGTCCGAAGAACTTCATCTTCGTATTTAGAAGCTTTTGAGGTCGAGAATAGCTTTCAAATGCTGCTACGGATTTTCTCATTCAGTCCCAGTCCTATAGAGGAGAAGAAAAAGGCTCTATCACTGATTAAGCTCAGCCTTCGGGCAAGAATTGCTTTCTTTCTAAGGTTGCACTTTATGTACGTAATTCCATAACTTAGCACGTCCCATGGGAGGTCATGTGCCGCCGGACCTTAATAAATATCATCGTCATCGTCATTAATATCATATCAAAATGGCCGAGTCTCTCTTACTCCTACAGAAGCCCAATCGCTGGACAGCCAGGCATCTCGAAGTCGCTAGAGTGAGGGTAATTCAAGATGTATCTGCAGCTGAACTTCTCGGGGACTTCTACCCAGAAGATGGAGATCCTGGTGAGAGACATGCATAATAGAGCCCCCTATATTCCAATACAACATCATTCTAATCCTTAGAATTGCCCCAGCAGAATTTGAAAACATCGCAGAACAACTATGTGGCCCGAGTCGAGAAGAGATGGAGAGAAGCGTCGAGACGATGCATCTCACGTACGACAAGACGGCCTTGATCGCATTGTTCGAAGATCTTTACATGATTCTGAAAGTGGATGTGAAACAGTATCGTTATTGGTTTAAGCACTGGCTGTGTAAACTGGTCGAGGGAATTCAGTTTCGAACATCTTCACTGACCGGTCTATTTGTGTATGTCTAGCCATCCAACACTAAATCATTAATGGGTCGGTTCTAACTACAGTAAAAAGGAATACCTCCAGACGCACAACTGATATCAGGGTTGACATACCACGATTATCGCGCGCTCATATGAAGGTGGATTGCACTGTTTTAAAATTCAACAAGGAAGAAGATTCTCTCACTATTCCTCTTGCAGTTCTTTCTGTAAGTGTCAATATATCCTATCTTGAACTGTTCATTACAAAAGCTCTGACTACTCAAGATTATCAAAACGAAATGTGAAGAGAGCGTTGAGATCTCTCGGTATGAAGTCCCGCAGTGTTTAGCGCAAACCATTATGGCCTACTCTCGCAACCCCGGACTGGAACAGTACTACGGATTTGTTATTAACCTTGATCGAACTGTTTTGCAAATCAGCAAGGCTGTTGTGGGTCAAGCATACCTAAAGAGCTTCTGGGAAGATGGATCTATCACCGAGGATATACAACTACATCGTGCAAAGAAATTAGACCTTCTTGATCGTGATGGACGCAGGGAGTTCTCAAGGCTTATAATAGGAATATCTAAGTTCATTTTGGCAAATGAACAGTCGAAGATTATCCAGGAAGGACTGCACTGAAAGGAGAGATGCAAGCTTTAGGGGAAGTTCCCACGTAACGACCATGTGTAGGCAGACCCGCTGCCATCATAAAGTGGATGTGTTACCTTAAGGTCCATAGGGAAACTTCGAAAGACCACTAGTTTCTCTGTGGGGTGTATGAAAGGGCTCGAGATGTAAGTATGAGAGGTAGGTGGCGCTAAGACAGCAGCTAACCAACCTCACCTCAGTGCCGTGGATCGTAAGGCACCAGGCTTCCTGATCTTGCCAGTTCTGAATGAGACATCACCTGATCCAGCATCTCCGATTTCCTGCGCAAGTACAGCTTTCTTCCTTCCCACTGTTGTGCTTGATACCGCCAGAATGTCGCCGTTTGGCCTGGAACGATAAATCAGAACCGACTACATCGACGGACAGTCAATTCAACAACTTGCCTCGAACGAAATGTTGGGATACCTGCCAAGCCTGCCCGATCCTGTGTGTGAACCCTCGCTGCCGATGACCAGACCACCATCCAACCTTTCCTTGTATCGTTTTCCCCAGTGAAGCACTTTCCGCCGAGATAGGCATCTCGGGGAACCAGTTTAGATGCCTATCTGCATCTTGGTCGTCAGGACGGTTTAGGCGATCCGTATTGGCCGAATCCTTGGCCTTAGCATCATCTCTGGTGGCTAGCCAAATCTTGAGTTTGGTATCCGTAGGTATACTTCGATAGTTAGCAATATGATACTCAGGAACCGAGTCCAACTATGCCCACTTAGATAGAAAGAGTCATGAAGAACCCCCAATTCCTGCGTGAGTACAGTACTAGCGAGTTCCTGTAGACAGTTTTTTGAGGCAGTTTCCTCTTTGTTTTCATCTGAAGAAGCGCAGATGTCGCTTTCTGGGCTCGGGTTTTCGATGTTAACGCGCACCTTCTTGCTCGTGACGCATTGTTTGATCTTGGCGGGAAACTGGAAGTTCTCCAGGTCCTTCGCAGAAGTACGTGGCATCCGCCACGACGGGTCAAACCAGTATAAGACGTGCAATAGGAGTTGCTTCACCTGGGGGCCGTACTTTTTGCACTCTTGATGAAACTGTGCAACGCTAGGGAGTGCAAGCTGATTCGCTGTACCGCGCGAGGCCAGACGTTCAAAGACTTCGCAGTACGCGTCGTCGGAGAGGAGGATTAGGAATCCGGGGCGTCGATAGTTAGGTATAATCCAACCCGGCGTAGTTATGGGCTTCGCCAATTTGGGCCACTGGACCTCGTCGTTGTCGCCATTTGAATCAAACTGGTCCGCATTGATCCCATACCAATTTCCCTTTTGCTAGTTATATCACAGGCAACAATAGCTTCGGAGCATTCTAAGCTCCTATCGTACGCGTCGGCATACGCTTGTTCAAGGTGGACAACCGATATTACTGGGTGAATATCCCAGTCGTCCGGGAGATCCAATTCGTATGTCAACCGTCCAACACGCCGTTTGATGTTAAACGGGCCCTTCATCACTGGTGAGAGTTTCGAGGATTGCAGTATCGTATAACCCGTAGATCCGGGGCGTCTGGTGAGGCGGACGTATACCTGGTCGTGTAGCAATGGAGGTTCATGATTATCATCGAATACTGCGGCCATCTTAGCCTGAACAAGGTCCATCGCATCCAATACTGCTGCACGTAGCTGCTCCCGTGTAGTAACAAAGTCATTGTCCGACGTGATCCCCGTTGGCAAAACGCGTGGTCGAACCCCATACAGCAGTTCAGTCGATAGTGGGAAAAGATGATTTTGTCGCCGTAACGGAGTCCGGGGCCTTAGCGAATTCGGCAAGACGACGGTTTCCCTTGCTTTTTGTACCTACGGAACTGTCGCTTCAACGTGCTGAGAGTGCTTGGAAGCCGTTTAATCGGACTGATATCAGTGATGGTCTGTAGAATTTCGAGAAGGGAAGCATATTGAGATCGAGATATTCCAGTCTCTTCGCACCACAGGGCTAAAGAAATGAGAAAGGTTTAAAACGTTCTTCGAACGATATTGGTGGACTTCCTCCGAGATGTCTTCAGGTATCGGCGCAGCAGAATAGGGGTATTCCTCTAGCGTCCATGACTTGAAAAGTTTGTAAAGCTGCTTCACGTACCGAATCAAAGGATCAAAGTTAACGGGATGTATATATTTAGGTTAACCTGCTGAGTTCATAGAGATAGGAATATTATTCTCCCGAAGCTCATCCTCAGAAGATGTTAGGATCTGTGCTTTCAGGGGTGTATATACTTATGGATAAGTCAGTCTTAAGGCATTTTCCATTTCTGTGTAATGAACTCACCAGCGTCGTTGTCATCACCGATATAACCCCATCTAAGCGATGGGGCCATTCGCCAGTATAGCCATATTATCTTCCCACTTCTTCCTTGCAGCAGTTTCCATGTCTTTGAACAAGCGTTTGGTACGAGGTTATGAGTATAGAACGAAGATTTCTCTCTGAACGTTCAAACATTGGGTCATCACGTCGTAGAAGGGGAAGGACGACTGCAGTGCCAAGGGCTTCTCTCGGGCGTCTTCGAAATACATATAGACTTTAAAGATGTCTATAGCACGATCCATCTCGTTGGCCCATTGCCAAACGAGATGGGGAAGAACAATAACGAGTTCAGGCTTGATATATGGTCTTGGAAACTCGCACTCAAGCATGCTCATTCGGGAAAAATCGACTCAGTGAGAGGTTATCAATGTTGGTTACGCGGAGAGCACGCAAATGCTCTTGCTCTTGCTCCCAGTTGGAGGCCGAACAATGACGGTCCTTTCTTATAAGGCTGCCTTTCTTCTTTGGTAACCTCTTTTCTTGGTCTCTCGCAGTTTCGTCCTCAACCCGCAGCGTGCTGTCACTGTGGCATTCTCGTGTCCGGTCGTATGTACTCAAGGAGCTGCTCTTTGGATGATGGCCGGATATGGCGGGAAAAGTCAACAGTGTCGGGGACGCTCTCACCTTGAAGAGAGATATAGAGACATGTTGTCGATATAGAGGTAATTCTTGGAGAAATGTAAATATATAACATTGTTGCAGCGACCTCCAAGAGAGTATAACTTTCCACGGAGCGAGCTTTAATATAATCACTCCACCGAGCGAATAAATTCCAAAAGAACAGATGCCGGCATAATATAGTGAATAAGTAGCACGATGTAACCTTTATAAGAGTTGTATTATATCCATCGAAACAAGGGCGAAGATATTGGATAGAGCAGAAAGATCTTTGCTGCTATTGCTATATGATTTATATCCCAGATATACAATGAAAGACAGTATAGATGCCTGTATGTTCAAGCGAAAGAGATCTGTGAGCCGCAAACTGAAGATATATATCTTCATGCGAGGAGGTCACTAAGTGCAAAAGAGTAGGGTAAGCCCCGCAAGGAACTCTCCAGCTAGTAGGGTATCTCCAAAAAGCCAGGTGAATAGCATCTCAGAAATAATTACGATGTGGCTTGTCAAAGGGAGAGGCTATTCAATAGCATATAATACAATGAATGTAATATCCTATCTCCCTTTAAAGCTTTCCCTGGCCTATATTATTCACCCAGGTCTTTCACTGAGTACTCTCGACAGTTCACTCTCCCAAGCAATCGGGAGATGCTTTTGATGAGCTTCATATCACTTGTGAATAAGAGGTCAGGTCGAATGGACTCGTACAGAACTGCCGCATCGCTTCACTTGTAGATTTATGTCCGCGAAACTCTGTTAATGAATACATGTTCTATAGCTACCTACCTTGTTGGTTGAGATGACTACAATTCCCTTGCAGAAGCAATTAATTCGGCTTGCTTTTGCTTGCCCTAAATATATGTATGCTTCAGCAGACAAGACAGGTGACGACGGAACCCTAATCAGGCCGACCCCTCGCTAAACCTGATCGGGAAATATTCCCCAAACTTTACTCCGCCAAAGGTTTTCTTTGGAGCTTTCCAAGCCCATGATTATTAACTATTGTATGCGAGATTCAGACAACACCTGCAAGATCTAATTAGAGATTGAGACTCTCGCAGGGAACACGGAATAGAGGGGACCTGTTTATTGATTCTTCGCGTCTTTTTTTGTACATTCTTTTCTGGAAAATCCTCTTCTCCCCCTCCCTCGCAACCACCATCAACGTCCATCATGGCCGACAAACTACAACGCCTACTCGCTACAACATTAGCTCTAACAGACGAATTCCAATCCACACTCTCGACAACACCCGCTCTATCTTCTTCAGAAAAAGAACCAAACACCAAACCCACCGAAGGACCAGCACCACTCCCTCTTCTCTCCGCTTCAGCCACCGCGCTCAAAGCCCAAGTCACGAAACTTTCCCTCCTCGCGATCAATGCGCCGTTCACTCCATCTGCTGTCAACAGCGTTCTGTCCGCAATTAACGAATCAGTCCTACCATCCCTACTTACTGCGGCGTTGTTGATTACCGATGCGGCGTATACGAAATCGTTCCGCGCGGAGGTCCACGCGCTTGTCAAGACTCTTTTGAAGGAGCTTTCGGGGCTTATTGGCGACGTGAAGAATGTTGCGGATAAGAAGGACAGGGAGAAGAAGGGAGGGAAGAAAGAGGAGGAGCTTCCGCCGGCGGAGAAGGATAGTGTTGTAGTAGCGACTGGGAGGGTGTGGGATGCGTGTGATGTGGTTGTGGAGATTGCAGGGAAGGGTGTTGTTGGGTTCGTGATTAAGCGGGTTGAAGAGTGGCGCGATTTGGTGAAGGATGCAATTGGGGAGTTGGAAGAGTGGGATCCCAATGATGAGGAGGATGATGAGGATTGGGATAATCTCATCAATGGTAGTGGTGATGATGATGATAAGTCCGAGGATGGTGACGAGGAGGAAGAAGAAGAAGATGCAGCGGCGTTGAACGAGCATAAGAAGATGGCGCTCCGTGCACTCAAGCCCATCGCGGCAATCTATCCCGCCATCGTATCCAACCGACTGAAGAAGGGTGGTCTAGAGACCCTAGCCGACGTTCTCTTGCCGTCTTCACATCTTCGCGCACTCGAGACTTTGATGGCGGATCTACAGAGCATACCAGAGCACATTGACGAAGCTGCTGGGTCGTTGTATGAGGCAGACATCGAAAAGTCCTCTTCCTATCTACGCAAAGCTAAGGGACGGGCGGTTAAAGTTGTTCAGTCGTTAGTCTTGCCCTGGACGATGGCAGAGACAGAGGGAACAGAAGCAAAGACTCCGGAGGAAGATAAGTTCAGCGTGTGGTCGAAGACCTGGTTGAAGGTTATAGAAGAAGTAATGCCGGCGCTAGATGAGACGACGAAATAGCCAGAGGACGAGCTTCAGACTCCCACAGGGTTCTATGATACCGGTCTCTAGAATTGACGACTGACGCGATTATTTTATTAACTCAGCATGAGCATCCTTCTGAATTGTGAGTAGAATTCAATAGAATTTATTATATATAGTTCCGAAATTTAGTATAAAATGGTACAGGATCGCCCGTGTCAGGCAAAAGGGCTAATAGACACACAAGTATTGAAAGAATAAAGAATAATCGAATGCAAAGACCACCATGAATGCAGCCAACCCGAAAGGCCAGCTTTGACTTACAAAGAGCCTGTCAATTGCAGGACTGCGTGGTTTATGAGAACGGCCAATTTCTCAATACCCATCGTCGTCTGGCTGGATATCCTCTCCGTCGTTCACCCATTGCTCTAGCTCCTCAGTCGAGATCTGCCCCTTGAGCCATTCCAGAATAGCCTCCGTGCCCTTCAACACGGTCTGCCACCTCGGAACCTTGAACGTATTGCCCGTGACCTCGAATCTCTTCAATCCTGAACCACCGGTCCACTTGGGTCCAGAGGTTTCTGTTGCCAACAAGCCAATCTTGGGAGGAAGGAAGTTAATATCGTTATTGCTCACGTCGAGGACTTGAAGTCCCTTGACGGCATCGAAATCGAGGCTGGAGAACTTGTTATCTGCTGCAAGTAAGGTGACGAGTTTGGGATACGTGTTACGGAGGGTGGGCAAGGCACCAGCCACACGGTTATTGGAGATGTTGAGAAATGTGAGAGACGGGGCGGATAGGTTCGATTCGAGACCCTCGAGTGAGGTGATGCCAGAGCCATTGATGTTGAGGTTCTGAAGATTGGGAAGGGAAATCGCCGCAGGAAACAGTTCCATAGTGTCCAAAGGATTTCTTGAGAGATCAAGGTCCGTCAAAGTCTGGGCCAGGAGACTAAGGGCTGGCACGGGGAAGTTTCGCAGCTTATTTCGCTGGAGATAAAGGAATCGGATGTCGTGAGAAGATGACAACTGCGCCAGATCCTCGGCTTTCAATTCAGTCATCTCACTTGAAGAACGGTCCAGGACGCCTCCAGGCTTGACCTTCCACGGACTCGCGCCGACGGGACTCTCTGGTGCAAGAGTGAATTCGGTCTTTACAGAGCCCTCATCTTCGTCCTCCGTGTCATGAGGCTCCGGGGCCAATCGACTGCGTAGATCATGTTTGAGATCTTCCGTGTTCATGCTCAAGAATCTCTTCTCGCGCAATGGGTTGTTCGCTATGCGGAAAGTGAAGAGGTTCTCCATTTGTCCAATTTTGTCATCCAATAGTCTAATATCATTGCCCGTCAGATCGACGTTTCTGAGATTTTGTAGCTCGACGAAACCTTCTGGAAGCGCGGTGATGCGATTATCCTCCGCTGACAGTGTTAGGAGTGCCTTCCAGGATGACACGTTTGGAAGAGTTGTTATACGGTTCACATCCAGCGAGAGAGTCTGCAAACTAGGCAGCTCCAGCACATCGCCGTCAGACAGTCTTTGCAACGTATTCCCGACCACGTTCAGGACTTGCAGTGACTCGAGTCGAGTAACCGAAGCCGGTATCAGGGCACCCTGAAGTTGATTCTTAGGAGCAATCAATTCTGTCAGTGGGAGTCCGCTCAATATCTCGAAAGGTAGACGAGTTAATTGATTTTCTCCGACATTTAACACCTTGAGAGATGTCAACTCCTCCAGGCCATCAGGCAGATCCGTGAGTTTGTTACCATGCAGATCCAAGACCTCAAGGTTTCTCAAACGGCTGATGGCTGGCATCATAGTGCCCTCCAGGTTGTTATTTGCTAGTTTCAGGTCCTTGAGCGTCTCGATCTCAGCAATAACACCTAGATCTTCCATGCTTAACTGATTGCTCGAAAGGTTCAGACTATGCAGTCGCTGCAACCTCCTCAGACCTATAGGTAGAGCATGCAATGCGTTTCCATGCAAGTCTAGCACTTCTAGGCCCCCAAATTGATTGCCTTTACTGTCATCCTCCATGTCAAAGCTCTCCGGATCGACATCCGGAAACGCAGCATCGGACAATTCCGTCAGTTCATTATCGGCTGCAATAAACTTCACAAGGTCCACATTTTCGAACCAGTCGTTAGAGCTGTTAGGGTCGAAGTCGTACATGGTCAGGACCTCCTTGGGAATCTCTTTGAGGTCCATCGCGGCGATATTCAGTGTACCCGAAGTACGAGCCGTGTCCACGCGCTTCCGAAGAAGCCCATTGTTCGGTTCTTTTGAACGAAGGTTAAACGGATCCTGCACTTCAGACCATGAGTCGTTGAGGGCTGTGTCAACATTGCTCTTCTTCGTGGCTTTCCTCGCTGCCTTCGCCTTTGCGATGCTGTCCCTTAATGCGCTGGAAGATTTGGAGACCTTTCGGGTTTCGGCTTCTTCCTTTTCCTCATGCACGCCCATATCTGAACCACCCGACGTAGCTGACGACGCTTTAGACACGGTTGAAGATGGAGATGTAAGATTCGACGAGAATATTGATGATGTTTTCCTAGTTTTCTTGATCGCCAGAGGTCGGTTTGTCTGGTCGGTTTCCGTTTCTGCCGGTCCTTCAAAGGTTCCGTTGAGAGAAAGGCGTGACCGTGAGGGTTTCGATGTCAAGCTTCTAGTTGTACCATAGACGCTTGTTCTTGCCGGCACGGTTTCGGATCGTCTGTCAGACGTCGAGGTACCGGATAGTTGTGGCCTGGCTGGCTGTGATATGTTCCTCCCGGGAAGTCTTGTTGTCGTTGTCTTAGATGCAGGATCCCGGACAGGGCTAACAGAACTAGCAGATCTCTGAGAACCGGAGGAGCCTGGGGGACGAGATCCTGGAGCGAGCCGCATTGATGACGAGAGACGCGAAACAGACTCGTCTCTACTCTGTTGCCGTGATGACGATCGTGATGGCGATCTCGAGTAATTGGTCATCGACGAGGCTGGACGTGAGGGAGGACGCATCGGGCTCTCCGCAGTGAAGAAACTAGACTTCCTCCTTAGAGAAGCTGGCGACGGTGGAATCTGGGAGAGCGTCTCTATGGTCCTATCCGACAACGAAGACACCGTATCTCTCTTCGGCCCTGGTGTCTCTGGTTCGTGAATGGAGCTAGTCTCCCAATCCGGTTGTTCTCCAGCGTCGACATCCTCCACCCCGAAGTTGCTCCCATAACTGGGGCGATAGGCGAGAGATGTCCTGTGTCTATTTGTTCTTTCCGCACCCTTGGTCGGGGATGATGGCCTCGGAAGAGGCTTTTTGAATAGGGTCTCTTCCGAAGGCCTGCGCAACCGCGCGACATTGACGCCCGGGTCAGCCTGTAAGCGTTCCCTCGAGGGAGAAGGCCTGAGGTTCTTGGACGGCGATGTCGTTGGCACCGGGATTCTGGAGACTAATCGTGGAATCGCACTGGGCGCCCGAAGCGGGGATCGCTGCCTGTCCATCGTGTTTCGATAGCGGGATTGCCTTGACCGTTTGACAGTCCGAGAGTTTGTAGTTGTCTAGAACGTGAGCCCCAAGAAGCGCAATCAAGTTAGTCTGATGGATATCCCATATCGCGGCAGGATCCCTCAAAAGATGGTGACCAAAGAAAGACCGGTGGAGAGCTGTGTTCGCGTGCGCTCCAAACCGTACGCTTCTTTCAAGGTTTGAGAAGCTCGAATGAAGTCAGCATTGACGAGAGCTTTAACGTAGTTCGTTGCGGTGCGTTCTTATTGTTTACCCCCCTGTTCCTCCGAGCAAGAAGTTTGGGCCCACGGTTCACTCAGGGCGCTATCTGGTGGATTAACTAAGCAGGGTAAATCTTTCTCAGTTAGCTTCACTTTTGGAGTATAAACTACGAAGGTACGTACTCCAGTCATCTTTGATCTTGACACTTGAGGCTGATAGCCACTCTCCTAATATTGACGGCCATAGTTGAGGGCGATTCTTTGACCGCAGAGTCGGCGGGTGATCGAGCCGGAACAGGTATTCATTACTGCTCTTTCAAAAATAGTACCAACTGCTACCCTAGAAGGCGCACATCTTTGTCAAACCCTGTAATGTATAACTACAAAGCATGTAGTGGGTTATCTGTATGTATGTACCATTTCCCAGGACACAGTCTCGAGTGCTAGTCATTATTAACTAACGCCTGTGACTATGGATACAACAAAGGAAAGGTGCGTGTGGACTACCTAATGTATCTGCACCCTTGTGTCCCCATAAGTAGGTATTTATTATAATTCTCCGTGATCCTTGGACCCATTTGAGCCCATTATATCTGGCTAAGAAACCGGTCCAAAATAGAATCAACTGTGCTGCAGCAATCCCTCTTTCTAGTGACCCACGTGTGGCTTTAGTTATCCCTCGAGTCCAGGACCACGCGATACTTAGCCGGTTGACGGGAAGATAGACAGATGGTTGATTCTGCATTGACCAGCATCCGCACTGGGATCATAGCCAGCTGCCAAGCCAACTTTGTAGAAATGTTAACTTAGACGAGGTAATTTGTATATGGTCTATCTATACTCAACTCGACCAGAAGAACTTGCTCTCTAGAGTCTAGAGTGTCACTAAGACCGTCAGCAACCTTGGAAGCTGAACAATCTCCTGCAGTTCACAGCAATCGAGCCAGTAACGAATCGACCCAATGCGTCTCAGCCCAACGAGGAGTCGTCAACACAGGGCGATCCGATCGTCCAGCCCTGCAGAAGAACGAGACGAGAGAACCAGCCACATCAAGGACTGTAAATGGAAAACTCCTTGCGGCGTTGCCCTGCGCAACTGGGCTGTTTTGGCCTGGCAGGGCTGACTCAGCCGCTCCCCGCTGTCCCGATCGGGTATAGCCGCATTCCGGGCTCACGTGGTTGCGGGTGGTTGGCGCTGGTTGGTTGTGGTTGGGCTGACAGACACAGCCAGGAACTCCCCAGCCTCCTCGTCGACTCCGCAGCTCGCGCAGTCCTTAAGGCATCGTCACTCCGCGCCATCTTCCTCCCCCTCTTCTCTTCATTCCTCACGCCCTTGCGATTCCATAGCAGCTTCATACCGATTCCTCGCGCTCTCTGCTTGCCATTGACGCGCTGTCCGTGTCGGTCGCTGCGATTGTCTGCCCCAGACCCGTCCTATCAGCGATAAGCGGTGTCGCCATCACGAGCTCCGAAGCCAACCGTCGTGGTTCGAACCACGTCATTGCCAGTCAATCTCGAGCTCACACGATTCTTTGGGGCGCGTCGCGCAGCGTGTTCAGAGTATCTGGCAACTGAGTCATTCTCTGTTCTGTTGCGCTGGACTCGGGAATTTGCTCCTGTCCGTCCTCTCCCATTCTCACCACCACCAAGGTACGTTCCGGACTCCCTCCCTTGGTAGACTCTACCCTGACGCAGAAATGCTGACACAGAGAGGCAGTCATCCCTTCGATATGGACTCCCAATCTTCTCAGACCTCTCAGACCTCCCTGGCTCCGCCAGCGGAGATCGCAGTGCCAAGCACCCCTGCCCGCCGTCCAACTCTATCTCCTTCCCCAGATCTTCGTCCGATGACAAGCCAGGACAAGGCCACTTTATACTCGCCCCCACCGATCTCGTCTTCCGACATGACTCCCCCGCCTTCTACGCAGATCCCCGGAGCGCCCCTCAGGCGGTCCCGCTCCCGGTCCCGATCTTCCAACCGTTCTTTCCTTGCTTCCCCTCCTGACACTATCGATAAGAGCCTCTGTGCCGCATATGGGGCGTCGGAGAACCTCCCGAGTGTCCAGGACATTGAGACGGCCGACGAGGCTCAGCTCCGAACGATTGCGAAGGAACTCCTCAGTGTAGCGCAGGAATCGCGCATGTCTGCTCTGCATTTCAAGCTGCAAAACAGCCTGCAGACTTTGGCCAGCAGCGAAGCGGTGAAGCGGGCGGAGGTGGAACAGCAGCTGGCGAGGAGAGAAGTCGAGATCTTGCAGAGCTCAGAGTACCGTGATCGCCATTCCACTCCTGCCTCCAAGACGTCTGCTTTGAACGACCAGCTGCAAACCGCTCTCCGCCGTAACCAAGACCTCGAAAGAGTGAATGCTACGTTGGAAACGAGATTGCGCCGCGCAAAGAGGCTCATCCAGGAGGAGAAGGAAAAATTCGAGCTCCTGGAGGAGGAAAATGGCCTTCTCAAGAAGCGTATCAGAGACAACCGGGAGCACTTCTCGCGCATGATCGACCAAGGTTCGCTTTCGTCCAGTCCCCGCGCTGAATTCCAGGCTCCTCAGAGGAAGCCGATCTCTACATATCCCGAAAACACAGAGTCTCACTTGTCTCGTGGTGGAAGCCACGATGCCTTCGCCGCCCTCCTTGCTGCGGACCAGGTCTTGAACGGAGAATCTGCGAGCGTTGCTACGACACCCGACCGAAACCAGAGGCGACACAGCGGACATGTTCGTGGGGCTCACTCCATGTCATCTCTTCCTGCGACACCATCTCGGCCCAGGGCATTCTACGAAGCTCAGTACATGACTCCTGGAAGCAAGCAATTCGATGGTCGCGTGAAGATATCGGATATCGTGTCCCATGAACGACAGGCCGAGCGTGACGGCCACGACAGAGACAGCACCATCTCCGCATCTGACGCAAAGGAGGCCGTCACTGATGAAGATGTTCCTCCTTCCCAAGCTAGCTCCATGGCCACGAACATGCTACGTCGCAATCCTGGCGATCACAGTGCCAGGGCACCTGCCAACGTTGGTAGATCGAACAACCTTTTGCAGACTAAATTGTTTGGAAGGGTCCAGAAGGCAGGTGTTGAGCGTCCGAGCCCCTCGAAACGCAAAGCAGACTTCGAGGAAGACAAGACCGTCACGGCCAAGAAGACCAAAGCTCCTGCAAACGTCGGACTGGGCATTGGGCCTTGGGGCACATCTCGCGCATAGATGTTTTACTTTCTAGTCACGGTGAATAACTCGCCGTTCTAGCTATTGCTTTCATAGCGCTTTCTCTTCATTTTTGTGCTGTCTTCTTGCCTACCTTTCTGATGAACATATCATGACGAGTGATGAACATAAGCGTACTGCTGGATTTGGGTCAATAATTCTGACATGGATAAGGGTTTCTAATTGGGTTATTTATGCAAAATTGTGCTACATTTCTGTGTTGTCTTTGTGTGTTACAGGAGTCTAGAGGGTCAGCTCGAGTAGCTTTGGGGTCTCGAGTCTGCAAGTATAGCTTGCATTGAGGCTGAAGCCTCTATTATGTATTTAGCTACATCCAAACAAGAGAAATCATACATCATCTGAAGATCATCCGTTTCTTTCCACCTCCCTCGTAAGTGTAAGTTAATCCGCTCCGTGAAGTACTTGAAGTGGCCCTCGCAGACTTCATTGATATGTCCCGGGTCCAGGGAAGAAAAAATAAGGATAATGGAACTCACGGCCTACGGATGAAGCATTTATGATAGACAGTAATATGATCTTCAGATTATAATTCTTTAATTATTCAATTATACAATTATCAATTATTAGTATGAACTGGAAGTCATACTCGAAGACAGGGCTAGCCGGATGCGGTAAGGAGGGTAGGGCTCGCTAAGCGAGCTGCGGCTCTGCGCGGTTGGCCACACCAAAAAAAGTTCCACCCGAAATTGAAACGAAGCGCTTCTTGCCCTGGAGTCTCGAGACACGACCAGCAACACCCGACGACGACGACAACCCAGAGGACTTGATCCCCATCCGTCACAATGGTGCGTTTCCTGATCCGATCCGATGCGATGCTGTTCATTTGAGATGCTCAATCGTCTGAGCGAGCCTCGATATGATGTCTGTGGGGGAAGGATGAATTGCTGATCTCATGTCTCTTGGGTGCTTTATAGGCGATCAAGCACAACAACGCTATCCCGCACAACCGTGAGTAGAAACAGTCTCGAGCAGATTTATTTGGGGAATCGATATTGTCAACTCAGGAAATATGGTGATCTGACTGTTTTTTGTCATTTACAGACTTCCACAAGGACTGGCAGCGTCGTGTCCGCGTGCACTTCGACCAGGTACGCTCTTTTCTCCCGCACAAGTCACCCCTCGCACAATCGAGCCAGAATTCTACGAAGGATGGGAATGAATGGATTTCGATACGAGATTTTTATGGGAACCGTGAAGGGACTGACAATCTGATTTTTTTTGCTCGATATAGCCCGGCCGTAAGCACCGCCGTCGTCAGGCCCGTCTCGCCAAGGCCGCTGCTGTTGCTCCCCGTCCAGTTGACAAGCTGCGCCCGGTTGTGCGATGCCCTACCATCAAGTACAACCGCCGCGTTCGCGCTGGTCGTGGCTTCACCCTTGCTGAGTTGAAGGTAAATTCTCGGGTTCCCCCCCCCCCCCCCCCCTCTTCCCCCGCAATTCGGGCAGCCATTCGGTTATCGCGACATCTGAAATGAAACTCGACATGAAGGAAAGGAGAAAAAGAACAAGAAACGGCTGCTTTGGCGGGTATATAAGAAAACTTCTCTGACAATCCTCGTTTCGAATTATAGGAAGCCGGTATCCCCCGCAAGCTCGCTCCCACCATCGGTATCTCCGTCGATGGCCGCCGTACCAACTACTCCAAGGAGTCCCTGGCCGCCAACGTTGCCCGTCTCCAGGAGTACAAGGCCCGTCTGATCCTCTTCCCCCGCAAGAGCGGTCAGTTCAAGAAGCTTGACTCTTCCGCTGAGGAGGTCAAGGCCGCCCAGGCTGCTTTCGCCGCCGAGGGCAAGACCCAGGGCTTCGCTACCAACATCAACTCTACCCTGCCCATCAAGAACATCTCCGCCGCCGAGGCCGTTACCGAGATCAAGCGTGACTCGCTCCCCAAGGGTGAGGAGGCCGCTTTCCGCCGTCTGCGCGAGGCTCGCAGCGAGGCTCGCCTGGCTGGTGTCCGTGAGAAGAGAGCCAAGGACAAGGCCGAGGAGGCCGCCAATGCCAAGAAATAGATGTGATTCTCTGTCGATGATGATCCGGTCGATTTTCGTGTCAGGGAATAATAGCTGGTGTGGCTTGTGGCGTGGCGTGGCGCCCTTCTTTTCATGTTGTCCTTAAAAAACTCGGAACCTCTGGAAATGCAAATGTCCCAATTTCTTCATGTCTTATGACTTTTCTCCCTCCCTCTCTCTCCCTATATCTCCGTCAAAGAAACCAAGGGCATGAAAACGAGATGCCAGAAAGTGAGCTAGCCATGCCATATGGTTCAATGTGTGAAGACCTAGGAACAACAACAGTCTTCCTGAGTCCGAACATACCGGTACGTTAGTCAATGAGCCGGAAAGGATACAAAAAAGGCATAGTAAAGAAGGGGAAAGGAAAGGAAAGGGAATCAGAAGAAAGGAAATACAGCAGTAGTATGGTTTCATCATGTGGAATGGCAACAGTAAAAAACAAAAAAGAGGAATATCCAAGATCAATATACCAGTCCTACTTAGTTATACACGAGTCCTGTCTGGGGTTTTTGTTGGTTTCATACAGTAGTTCCCTGTGTAGAAGATGTCTGTCCTTTTTCCCTTTTGGCTCTTGGCTCTTGGGGATGTCTGATTTCTAGAGTTCATCTAGCGATTTATTATTTACTTTAGAGGGGAGTGTCTCGCGAGATATTAATATATCATGTACTGTACATAGTGAAAGATGAACTCATGATATTCTATGCATAGAGGAAGTTGATGAGAGGGACATTAAAACATTTTTCTCTCTTCTCTCTCTTTTTTTTCTCTTAGGTTAACTGACTGCATGCACCACAGCGTGGAAAGGAACATACACCTAGACAACCCAACGAATCCATAGGATGGCTCAGTGCTTAGAGAAAGTAATATAAGCTATAATATACATCTACATCTACATCCACAACTATGCATAGAATAAACACAATTCAATAATAACTCTATACAATGGTATAATAAAATTCCCATGAACCTCGCGCCCCGCTGCAAAACACACATGAAAACCGATAAACACCACGTCTTCGTTAAACCTGAGGTATGTATGTACTGTACATACGTTTCTGTGGTGGGATATTTTCTTTTCCTTTCTTTTTAACTACCTTGACCGTTTTGATTTAGCAACATCGTTCGGAAACAAGAGACTCATTACTCCTTCTGCGGCGCGCAGGATCGAATCACCATTAACGCTAGCTCCTAGGTCGTTTTGTTTGGTCGCTGCTCCGAGAAGACTGCGGAATAGTCTCTTCGCGTCCCGCTCGACTTTTGCACTTCCTGATTCCAGGACGGGGGTCGAGAGACTGATTTCCGGATGGAGTTGCGGCTCCGCGGTCCATTCGTCGAGAGTTAATGTGCAGGATATCAGGATTCGAGGGTCGTTTGCTCGTCCTGAGGAGAAGAGCATTGTAGTTCGTTCTAGATGAGGCGCTAGGAGTCGAGGATCGGTTTCTAGATGCTTGTCTGGATCTGAGAATCGATTGATACCACCGCCTACGATCAGCGTATGATAACGGTTTTGTAGTCTAGCCCACAGCTGGGCGCGGGATATCGTAGCTTCCCAGTAACGGTTTAGACCCCAGCAGAGGCCTGAAATGTCGAGTTTTAGAAGAGGGCTAGAAAGTCGAGTCTGGATCCACCGGTTGATCTGGGGCGGTAGCTGAGCAGACTTGTTCGATACCGATATTGATGTGACGGACTGGGTGTCTGGGTTTGTTCGGAGCGTTATAGGTACTCGGTATATATGCTGCGGATATGGGTGTGGTGCGGACAGAGTAAGTTCATGCGTTTCGGTCAATGTGCCCGAGACTGATGTGGATAGCTTTGTGGATTGCGTTGTCAGGGTCAAAGGAGCAAAAACCGTGAGGTACGGTTTCGCGTCAGCCAGCTCCTGGAGAGCAAATGGGTTCTTTGGGACTTTGGACGGCCGATTTGCCTTTGGTTTCTTTTTCGAGAAAGGGAGTAGCGAAAACAGGGCGGTTGATAGAGATGGAGTATCCGAATCAGGAGTAGAATCTGGGATTCCGGTTGAGATTTGGGATGTCAATAAGGATCTAGCATAAGTCAGCCAGGTCTCACTTCCTCTTCTGCTACGTGTGGGAGCTCACATGAGTTTGCGCGTTTCATCGCTACTGCCCTCCAGATAAGCATCTGGATGTTCCGATCTCTTTGCCCACCTTTCCAGTTCCGCGACCTCGTCTTTGAGCTGACGAAGACGCGTAGATAGCTCCTCCTTCTGTCTCTCTTTCTCATTGACTTCTCCCCGCGTCTCACCCCAATCCATTTTTAGCCCTGTAGTCACATATTCACGCTCTTCCTTGGAAGGCCTCGTGGCGTGTTTGAGAGGACTCGATCCCACCGGTTCTGAGATGCGACGTTTCTGCCGTAGTCGACTAGGGCTACTGCTCAACAGCCCTCTTGGTCGTTGAGGTGCCTTTTCAAGGCCTAACTCGGTAGGCGTAGGTGGCAGCTCAGGTTCCCCATTGTCGCCTTCTGAAGATCTGGACTCGGATGTTCTTCTTTCCTCCTGATTTCCTGCTGCATCGCCCGCTTCAGGCGGCGATCGACTTTTAGATGCCGTAGCCCGCGTTGCGCGCACGGGTTGTTCCGATGCTGCAGAGGCTCCAGGAACGAGATCTGCGGGCGTAATCCTCGACGAGACTCTTCTTGGAGGCGCAGTGAAAGCCTGGATGCCGCTCGCTCGCCGTGGAGATGGCGGGCCCATGGACAACCTTGGACCTTTGCCTGGACTCCATGACGCGCTCAGCGAAGGCCTCAATGCCTTCCTGTCGCGCAGCCCAAATGACCTCTCCACCGTCTGCGCTCTCTCACCACCTTCATTGTCTCGTGTCGTGTGTCGCTCTGGACTCTGTGTGGGTGATCGGGTATGCGCACGCTGTGGTATACTGGATCGTGATCGCGCAAGACTAGCTTTTGTTGGCGACTGAAATGATCTCTGTTGCGAGCGTGCCGGACCATCATCGCGATGGAGGGGCTGTTGTGAAGCCCCCGATGCATCGACAGGGACCGATGTCGTCGAACTTGTCTTGCGCCGCTTGGCGGGTGAGGACAGCATTGGATGGGACGCTCATGGGACGGATACCCTCACCGAGCGAATATGCGACGCAAAGACAATCCCCTATTGTCCCCTCCTTAAAGCCCGCGGTTACTGCTCGTGTTGTTGTTGATTATTTAGATTCACTTTCCATCGACGCGTTCCTGGATGGTCGGAAACCAGTTTGTGCTGTTTGCATCTGCATATGACATCGTTAACCGCCGCTGCCTTGTATCCGAATCGAATCAATTGCTTTGCATCTTACCCTCTTTTTTTGCGACATGGAGCCTCTATCGCTCTCTACCAGAGGGCTCCTGCGGAGGAGATCCCTATGCCCATCCTGCTTCCGTCGCCATCTATTTCAATCCCGCTCTTTCGCCCGTCCTTCGCGCATTGCGCCACAATATCCCTCCGCCAATTCGGGTATCCGGAGCAGACACTTCCACCGAAATGAGCGTGGTCCAGAAGAGGAAGTAGAAGAGGAAGCCACCAGGCAGGCCTTTCCTCAAGGGAGCTATTATGCGGAGATGCTCGCTTCGCCGCATCCATCCAGTCGCAGAGCCGTCACTACGAGGAAAATCGAACCTCCACAGAAGAAACCCACGCCCTCTTCGACGACCGAACCGCAGTCTCCGCGCGATCGAATGGCCATTGTCTTCGGTTCTCGACTCGCTGGTCCGGGCCGTTCATCCCGCTACAACCCGGCGACTACGCCGCCAGAATCCACATGGAAGACTGTCAACGGCGTCCCTATACCGCCTCGTCCGGTGGAACCTGATAACTGCTGCATGAGCGGCTGTGCGCATTGCGTGTGGGATGATTTCCGCGATGATATGGAACAGTGGGCAGCGAGGGTGGAAGAGGCGTATGCTAGGGCCAAGGCAAAGGGGCCTGAGAAGGATCTGCGCCAGATGCAAAGACCCGAGGTTCGGAGCGCGAGCGTCAGTATGGACGATGATGGAGGTGGTAGTGAGACAAATTGGAACCTTCCCTCAGCTACGGATGAAGAGGAACTCTTCGGTGGTATACCGGTTGGGATTCGGGAGTTCATGAGGACCGAGAAGAAGCTGCGCGAAAAGCATAAGGCGCAACAGCAAACTGCTTAAGTTCGATTTTACAGGCGATGCCGCCGTGTATGACTGAAATCTTTCAAAGGAATAAAAAAACAAGAAAAAAAAATAGAGATTCCGGTTAGATCCTAATCTTTTGTTTGTCGTGTACTATTAGTTTCTAGCGATTGCATGATGTGTTGCATAATAGATTTCAGGGTCATGAAACAGAGAGTTTATATATCTGAGCCATATACCAATTAGAGATTGAATGCAAGTTATAGTGTATTTCTTCATATGTGATATCTAAACTAACATTTCGGATTATATTGCTATTATCAATTTCCCAGTAAATACTAGTAAGTCAAGCCAACAATTTCGAAGAATCCTTTGAGGTAAGAATCCGTAAGAGTAGATAATGATATAACTATCGAAATATATAAATATCCCCACAAACTGCCAAGACATGCCGGGCGGTCAACAAGAAAAAGTCCGATAAAACCAACTGACCGCCCGCCATCATTTTCTCAGATCAAAAGACATGATACTTGATAACAATAATTAATCAAGTCCTCCCCACGACCAAAAGGAATTGCACTCAAGCGAAATAGCTTGAGGAATTCTCTAGTTCCTCCTCCTCTTCCTCCTATTACAATTATCATTATTATTATTACTCACTGAGTGAAAGAGACGAGGAAAATGACAACCCCCACCAACGAAGCAGACGTGATTTTCAACAGGGCCAATATCGCCCTCGCACGAAGCCAGAGACTTGTCGCATCATGGCTTCCGCCCAAATCAGACGAGGAGCTCGCGCAGCAGACAAAGTCAGAAGAGGAATTGCAGAGAGAGGAAGATGAGATTTTCACCGCTGTTCCGGAGAAGTATGTCCCTCCCGACCCTTCTTTTTTCTTGGAAATTTTTTCCCCCTGCTGGTTCTTGAATTAGATGGAAAGTCCATTGATTTGCTTCTGCTAACGTCTTTTTTCTGGGGATGTGTATAGACTTGGACTCGGTGCTCCCCTTCCCAAAGCCACTGAAGATGGGAGTTGGAATCGAACCGAGCTTAGTTCGAATGATAAATTACGACAACAGCTGATGGGTAAGGGATTTGCGAAGGCAATGGCGGCGAAACAGCGCCAACTACAGCAGAATATCAATAGACGTCCGGAACAAGGCAAAGCTGGCGCAAAGTCCTCCGCGAGAACTGAGAATGATGGTGGCGATGACGATGACGACGAAGAGGAGGGTCGTTCGGCGCTTGGGAATAAGAAAAGAAAGGTGGCTGCGACGGTAGTTGAGGATGGTGCGAATAATGAGATCGCTGAAAGCAAAGAGTCTTCTGCTTCTACTCCTGGCGCGGAGTCGGGACGAGGAAAGAAGAAGAAAAAGACGGGAAGTTATCTCGACGAGGTCTTGTCTCAGCGATCAAAGAAGAAGAAGAAATGAGCTGTCTTGACGGGGTTCGAGGTTAAGAATTACAACTGGGGGTGCTACAAAACGCGACCATCACAGTGGGCATCGCGGTCCAGCCGGAGCGAACATACCGTGTATCGCATGGGATGACAGGCGCTTCTCTATGCTGGAACAGCTATTCACCAAGGGACTTAGCTGGAGATATACATGTCCCAGGGAGACCTTCGGGGTCAAGGTGTAATCTTTGGACCAGCGAAGAGATTTTACGACTTCTCAGGACGACAACGACCTCTGGGCCCATCAAGACTTTTGGGCCAAGAAGGACAGAAGACTGCAGGAGCGTTGTCTGTATCCCAGAAACATTTCCGTCTAGAAGTAGCAAGCTTCCGTGACACCTACAGAGATCATGCGGTTGGGGAGAAATATTCCCTCTTAACATCTGTCCACCTGCTGCATATCAGGATCTGAAAATTTCAATGTAGATTTTGGCCAGAGTCTGGTCAAATTACCCAGATCTCCAACCAACTCAATACCAAATGAAACTTTTTATTCCAAGAAACGTCACTGTCCCACTGTCTTCCTCCTTTTGGACAAACGGGTTCCCACTAGCTGCATAAATGATCGGGCCTATCAAGGGCGCGGTTAAGACAACAAGACGACCATTGAGATGGGAGGTGATATATAAGACGCGGCACGAATAGCCAGATCCATGTCAACGCCAACACTGAGATGTATGGAGAAAATTGGGGCAAAACTCGCTTCCCGTTAGAGCTGGTCGCAAAAAAAAAAAACACTCAATATATAAATCCCGGGTCAAGAATCAAGTTTAGTAATTATGTAATAATATACAACAAAATGTCCAAAACAAACCGCGTCACAGTACTGTATGGATATCTTCACTGTGCATATGCGAATGCATCAATTGGATGGTATAGATATAACACCGACCGCCAATTGCAACGCCGTGTAGAAATTATGTAATCCAAAATGATATCAAGAAATGGCATATCGGACGGGGGCGAATCGTCCATGTGCTACCAAGATTCGATCGTCCGGGTAGATGCAGCCATATATCAGAGTTACTGCAGTCTCTTCCGCTTCCGGTCTTCAGCAAAAGCTGCTTCATCCTCGTCGGGGCGCTCTGCCGTTTCAGCAGGGTTCAGCAAAGAATGCACGTTGCTCGCCATACTCGAACGTCGCGTCGCAGGTAATGATGACTCATGTCGTAGGAACTTAGGGCCACCGATTGTCCAGCCGTTATCAACATTTATTGATGAAGGACCATGGCCGGTCGTGAGAGGTGGAGTACCATGGCGGGACATGTCCTGAGGGCGCCTAGGCCCGCCCATCTCGTACTGAGCCAGGACTTCACGAACTTGCTGATCATCTGGGGCGGGTGCTCGATGGGGTGACGGGGGCCACTGACTGTTCGGGTTCGCAGCTGTGTCGCCTGGCGCAGAGGGAGAGGTACCTGGGAGCCACCCATGCTGACGGATGTCAGCCGAGGTGTGCCGACGAGCAAGATTTGGCCCCGGGGGAGACGAGACAGATGAAAGAGGATGAGGTACCGGAGGTTGTTGACCAGGGACTTGAAGTCGATTATAGCCCGAAGACGCGTTCGGTGCAGCAATTGAACCGTATCGACGCGGTGATACGGCCAGATGTTGCGGGACAGGGGGGCGAATGCTTCCTCTCATAGCATCAACCATAGAAGGTCGGCGGCTTTCATCCTGTGGCACTTGGCGAGGGGAGAGCGGAGGGCCAGGATCAATGGACATATTCGCAAAGTATGGCTGGCGACCGGAGAGAAGAGTCTCCTGTGGGTTCTCTAGAGCCCGAACAGCATCCAATTGTCGCTCCACATCTTTTTGCATGTTCGAGACTGGTCAAGAAGTCAGCAAGCATCGCAGGCTTGGAAATGCTCCAGGATCCTCACCATCGCGGTATAACGGGCTGCTCCGATCCGGAACCAATGCCATCAGGAAATGGGACATCGAATGCGTCCACTGTAAGGCGTTAGATAAGGCCCAAGAGGGAGTGTAGTAAGAAGTCACAAACCTGGCAGCACTTGACAAGACTGTCCGTCATTGTCTGACACCTTGTGCTCAGAGCAGCATTACTCTCCTCCGCGCGGGTGAGACGACTATGCATATCATATAGGCTATGTTCAAGGTTCAAAAATCTCTGCTCCGTCGCATCATGGATGGGTTCAGCCGGAGCTCCTTGTTGGGGTACACCTGGTTTATGGTTCGAAAAGGAATCCCGATGGATAAGAGCATGCCGGGATGCGCGTCGCTTGATTTCACGTAGTCCGACCAGGTCTCCTCTCTTGAAGTTGCCATTCCCATGCTTGAACTCCCATAGAGCAGAGTCAGGCGAACCGGTGTGGAAGACATCGCTCACTTCTTCACCATTAGTTCCTAATGTACCAATGATGTCGGCAGGGGTACTGTACCTTTGTGGAAACCGTACATGTTCAATTGGCGGACGAATGATGATATGTTGGTATGTTTGAAATATTGTCTGCGCAGAATACTTAGTATTGTGCATTACAGCTGCAGGCGACTGGAGAGACGTACGCAAGAACTTTCGAAAATTCAGATGTGGGAGACATCACGAAACTCTCATTCGAACTCGACCAAGAGATCAAATGTTGAATGCTCTGATCTTCGAGCATACTGCGAAGTGTTAACGGTACTCTTCCCTGCGATAAATTCTTTCCACGTACTTGTATAGTTTATGGATAAATGCTGTCTGCACAACCTTGGGTTGCTGGGCCGCGGCCGCAGCCCCAATCGTCTGATTGGGAGCAGCGCTGTTCGAATTGCCCGTCTCTGAAGATCCATTTGTATTGTTCATCCCTCCGTGTTCCCCGTTTTCGGGGCTGCTACGGGCCTGGCCAGCCCCCGACGTAGGTGTGGTGACATCCATTGGGTCACCTGGTGAGTGATCCGAGGTGACTGAAGTGGTCAAGACAGGAAGATTGCGCGTTTTGCCAGGTATATCCCGTGGGACGGAGAAGGGACTCCTCGCGGGTGGATCTGCCACTCTATTCATCACTAGGATGCGATCGAAAGACTGTAAGAAGAAGAGCAATACGCTGAGGCGTCAAGTCGGAAGAGATGATAGGTAAACACTTCCGAACGTGCTAAGCGCAGCAGCTCTTCAACGCTGAAGAAGAGCACAGTCGTAGGGATATTTTGCAACTCCTCGTCGACGTTTTAACGGTTGCGATATATAGTGACTGTGAGGATATAAAGCTACCGGGAGCTAATCAGGGCACGGAGGCTATAGTCTTGTTGCACATTTCGAGGTGTCAGGTAACGTTGATATACCGAAGGACTGCGGCGGAAACCAGCAGAGTCTCTTTTGACTATCGTCTTCCGTACGTCCTCCGGTCTGCTAGAGTCAACCGTTTAAGCTGCGGGGAAGCGATATCGCGACGGCGTTGCGGCGCGTGAAACGAAACAGCTATCCAACTGGGAGCTCCCAGCCATACACAGGTTGCTGACAACTTTCTCCGCAATGGGCAATGGGGGAACGAAAAGAAGTTGGTGTTCCCCGTTCACAGCACCAAGCAGTCAGCCGTGTGCCGCGTGAGATTTCTTGAGGCCCTAAATCGGAGAGAATGCGACGGGAGAATCGACAAGCGGCACCGTTCGCTGTGAACAGTCAGAATCAGCGGACGGCAGAACCAGTGCGCCAATGCGGCAGATGTCCCCAAGTCTGTATCAACCGGTCACCAGGACGATGGACAATCGAGGACGATGGGAGATGAGGGGGAAGACGGTTGGCCATAGAGGGAGGAATCGAGAAGTGAGAGAAGAGGGAGAAAGAAGAGCTGTGGAGTTTGGGGCGGGTCCGTTCGATAGGGAGAGCCAGACCGGACCAGCATAAGAAGCGCGATAAAGCACCGGCCCGAGGAAGATCCCTCGAGGAAGAAGGTCGAGCAGACGCCTAGAAGTACCGAAGAACTTCTTAGCCAGGTCGCTATTCTACAACTGTACAACAAGTCTTCTGCACGAGATAGCTGCGGTGCTGTTCTCCCCCTCGTTGTGCGTGTATCTTCGACTGACTATCTATCCTCACAGCCCGCCAAGCGTCTCGGGTTCTGCGATCACGGCAGTTCCCACGGGTTTCTCTCGAGTCCAGAAACGCTGCTCCATTCTTCGACTGTTCCATTCTGACCCGGTCCATGGGCTCGCCTTACCGGCTGACCTTCGAGAAGCCCGCAGTGGCAAAATAATCCGGAGCTGGCCCGCTTGTGGGATAGTGAAGAATGATCCCTGAGTTTGTACTACTCGAGCCACCACGAGGGCAGCTGATGGCAAGAGGCTCATTATAATAATAATCTGTAATATCGTCTCTCTGTGTCATTCCTCGTAAGGCGATCGACCTATGATCCCTCCAGCGGTCGAGCCGTTGGCTTAGATAATAACCAATACAATCTTGCCCCTTTCTTCCTGCACGATGTATGTACATGTGTATTAGGCTCTTCGCACTACCGGTATATCATTTTTCATCTCCATCAACTAACGGCCCTTCGAATCTGTCCTGTGTACAGTATCTATCGATGATCATAGTGCGCTATTTCTTTCCTATTCTGTGACAAGTAATTTCTCTGAGAACAGTGTGTAAATTTAGCAAGATCGACCGTTATTATCATGATTGACATTTCTTTATGCGACAACAGCTCACGGACCCTCTCAGCCAATCACTGGTGGCCTAATGGGGCACACAACGTCCCGCTCTCCCTGCTGTTAATTATGGACTTGGCAATTCTGCTCCATACAACACCACCAGACAAATCTATGTCATGAAAAGAGCTATCGTCTTGTCTGTATACTTGATTCGAAATTCGTGTCAATTTTAAATGTTTCTTGGCCTGAGGATACAGCACGCATAGCCCGCAAACGAGGAAAACCGGTCCGCGATTATTCCTCCGGTATATCTTCAGCATTTATCTTAATCTTTGCTGTCTGCCTTCGTCTTAAAAAAAATAATATATCTCATTCAGACGTGAGACGACTGTTCTTTTAGTCTCACCCATCATTACTGAGTGCTCAGACTGAAGGTGGCAGGTGGGGACGATCTGATCCGGTCTTCCATCTGAGAGAAACTACTATCCAGGTTTCTGCCTGGCTACTAAGGTCGTAGGTCTTGTGCATCATGGCTGAAGATTTAAATTCGACAGCCTTAGATATTATAACTGCCTTCGAGGCTCTGGACACAAAAAAGGCCCGCAGAACAGCGTACGAGACTGAGATACACAACTTCGAGCGATTTCCTACTGATCATCTCTCAGATATCATGGAATCTTGGATTTACTTGACCTTGATGAGTGGCGCGAAGTCAAGGAACGGGCAGAGTCAAAGTCCCTCAAGCGTGATATCCTGGGTTCACTTCCAGTGGAACTTGTCGCTCGCATATGCCAGCTGCTTGGGTTAGCAGACATAGTAGCTCTGCAGTCAGTATGTTTCACTCGAGGACCTCAGTCTGTTGTGCTCTTCCGAGATCATTCATAAGTCTGACATCAACTCTTTCGATTGTGCTTCCGGATAGTAGATAGTGGCTAATGGACATGCACATATACCCAGGTGTCTACACGCTGGCATGAGTTGCTATCATCACCCGTCATTTACAGAACTGCTCTTCGGTCTCATGGTATAAATGGACCATATGACCGGTTCTCTGACCAAGAAATGCATTCCATCTTCGTTCGACATGCAAAACGGAGGCTTCGTCTAGAGCTAGGGCGACCTTACAGCGAAGCCTTCTATCCAGCATTACTGGGTCGCCTGGGGTCCGAGAACGTAGTAGCATATTGTGACGGGCGATTGCTATGGGCCGATCGAGACCAGGACGACGGTCCCTTTGGTCTGGCGCTACTTTCTCTAACTACTGGCACGCTATCTCGGTTCTTTACCGAGGAGAGAGAGGTACCGTTCCATGTGGCCGTTTCTGATAGTGCCGTTGCCATGATCTCAATGCGAGGGTATGAAACCGTCTAACTTTCCCCAGAGCTTCATCTATTTTTTTTTTCTAACATTGCTGGCTCTGAAAGTAATTGCTTTGTCGCCAATTTCACGACTTCTGAAGAGGCATGCCTCCGTCTACCCTCCGCCGGCGTCTATTACTTCACAATGTCCGGCGACCGGGTCGCTGTGATCACTCGCAATTGTCATCTCTCTTTCTGGGATCTTAAGTCAAAAGTCACGAGAGAGTTCAAGCTCGACGTTCTACCATTGTGTGTAGCAATCCATCCTACCGAGGATCGCTTTACAACACTACATCTAGAACATGACGGCGTTAGCTGCAATAGCTACCATCTGCACGACACGGCAGTTGATGAACTTGTCGTGACGCACTACGACGTCACAGGAACCACGATCACCAGACACCAACCATCAACCGTACTCCGACCGTTCCCAGAAAACACGCGGGCGTCGACAATGTACAGACGCGTCGACTCAGCCGCCTGCAACATAGGAGTCTTGCATATAGCACCGGAGAATCAGCCCGATAAACCTAATTTGATGTGGATCTCTTACGACCCAACAACTGACAAGATATCTACTCGTTTCGTCGACAAAAAGAGCAGTGATACATTCCTAGGCAGTTTTACTGGGTGGCGGGCTACCCATGTTTCTAACAACTTGGTATATTACATCTCCCCTCAACGTGGAGGCTGGGACGAAGATGCGGGACCGTATATCTTGAACCTGGATACCGGTCTCGTACATGAACCGATGGATATCTCCCTACTACGTACTCAACAAACCCTAGAAGAGACGATCATCAATGATGATACCCCCACAGATTGGCTTGATCGTCCGATGAATGTCTTGTTACGCACGTTTGGAGACGACCCCTTCTTTGGGTGGGCGACTCAAACCGGATTCAAGATCTACTGCTTCGACGAAGATATCGACATGAGCTGGGCTCAGACAATACCCCAGCAAGGATGATAAAAGCCAATAGTCGAACTCTTGTCATTATCGTGTGACAATTAGAAAAACTGGAATGAAAAAAAAAGTACAATGGAAGCAGCGCACCACCACTAAGCAAAAGTGCAAGGTGACAAAGGTCGCGGAAGGAGGAAAAACATGCAACAAGAAAAAGGACACAGGGTGACCACAGTCTATCTATCAGTCTAAGCGTCGACTCAATACGATCCTTGTATCCAAATATGTCATGAAAACCGTTCAGGGCTGACAAAAATCCCCGAGTCTCTTCAATTCAGTTACATCGTTCCCTCCCATGGGTCTCGGGAGACCTTCTATGGACTCGTTTCTGCGTAGAGCGGTCAGCATATCTTCATGAAAAAGACATGTGATCAACTCTTGAGTCTCTCCACACACACAAACACATTCTCTCCCTCGGGAGCTCTTCACCAGACATACAAAGATAATTAGGGCAATGGAGTTAGAGAGGATCATATGAAATTGCTGGTGCGGTGCTTAGATACCGAGGGTGAACTCGACTCCGACGTCAATATCCCGAGCCATCTTGACGACCTTGGAGAACTGGACCGACTTCTCGGCGGCGCTCTGGAGGTCCTGGATGGAGAAGATCTTCAGGCCAGAGTCGTTGATCTGTGAGGGATATTAGCCAAAAGAACATCATCTCTGTAAATGTGCGAAATCATGGACATACCAGCTTCTGAGCCTGCTCCATGTTGGTACCCTGCAAACGGGCAATGATGGGGGTACGGAGACCCATGTCGTTGACGACGTGGATCAGACCCTGTGCGATGGCGTCGCAGCGGACGATACCACCGAAGATGTTAACGAAGATAGCGGTGACCTTGGGGTCGTTGGTGATAAGCTCGAAGGCGGAGCGAATGGCAGCAGGGGTGGCACCACCACCAACATCCAGGAAGTTAGCGGGGCTTCCTCCGTTCAGCTTGATGATATCCATAGTGGCCATGGCGAGACCGGCACCGTTGACTATATCAAATTAGTATTCACTACAAGCCTAATCCGAGAAGAGCGATACATACCCAAGCATCCAATGTCACCATCAAGCTTGATGAAGTTCAGGCCGTGCCTACATCAGCAGTTAGCACTTATCCACGCCAACATTGGATGGCTGTCATACTCAGCAGCCTTAATCTCGTCAGGGTCCTCCTGCGTGGGATCCCTCCAGGAGAAGATCTCCTTCTGTCTGAATTCGGCGTTGTCGTCGAATCCAAGCTTGGCGTCCATAGCCAGCACCTGGTGGTCGGAGGTCTCTGACAGAGGGTTGATCTCGATCTGGGTAGCGTCCTTCTCCACGAAGACCTTGTACAGGTTCTGGATGGTAGTCTTGGCATCCTCGATGCACTGCTCGGAGAAACCAAGGTCGGTAGCAATCTTGCGGGCAATCTCGTCGGTGACGCCAACGTTGATGTCGATGGGGGTTGTGTTGATAGCGTCAGGCGACTCCTTGGCGATAGCTTCGATGTCCATGCCACCCTGGGAAGAAGAGACGATAACGGGGCTCTGGGTCTGACGGTCCATGAGGATGGCGAGGTAGAATTCACGCCTGGCAAACTTGCGCTCACAAATGTAGACCGAACTGCAGAGACGGCCCTTGGCACCAGTCTGTTTGGTGATAAGCTTGTGGCCGATCATCTGGCCGGCGAACATCTTGGCCTCCGTCGGGCTGGTTTGAAGAATCTCCGTCAGAAAATGCCAGGCTCATACACGCAGCAAGCGATGTACTCACGAGTAGATAACGCGGACACCACCCTTCAGACCGTTGTCGAAGGAACCCTTGCCTCGACCACCAGCAAGAACCTGGGCCTTGATGACCATGTCGCCCGTACCTGGGGCGCGCTTCAGTATATAATTTCTAAATAAACAAAGGATCCATATCAAGTACCAATCTCCTTAGCAACAGCCTCTGCCTCCTCCGCGGTGCGGGCGACAGCGCCCTTGGGAGTTCCGACGCCATACTATAGGTTGGCACCTTGTCAGTATGCAGCCGGGTAAACAGTCGCGCTAAGTGTGGTTCAGCTGCGGTAGCTGTCGACATTGGCAACATACTTGTTTCAGCAGGTTGGCAGACAGATATTCGTGGATGGAGAGGTTTCGTCGTTGCTGCTGCGCGAGTCTACTCTGTACAGATGCATCCTAGATAGAGCAAAAACCCGTTCGTGTTAGCGACAGGCTGTCAAAGCGCGCGCGTCGTTCAGGCCAGGGAAGGGGACTTACGGTAGCAGCTCTGAAAGCTGCGGCGACTGGGCGACCGCGCGCAAGCTTGAACATGGCGGACGAAAATGAACGAGAATCGAAAGGCTAAAAAAGAGAAAAAGCGAGATGGAAGGGGGCTGAGATAGAGGGAAGGGGAGTTGGATTAGGAACAGGGACAGGTTTGCATTTTCGGGGAGAACCTCGGGCTGATACTTGGTCTACTTACCTAGGTTAGATGTACGGTGAGTCGCTCTGCGTCGGGACTCGGCTGTCACCTGATGGCGTCCGACTTCTCGCGCCGCCCGATTTGTTTTTGCTCCTTTGGATTCTTAAGTATAAGAAGGGCCTCGTCGCCCTCTTCAGAAAGCATTTACGCGCTGGGGGCAGCTTTCAACCCCGCGTGGGAGCTTCACCATCACCATCCCATCTGCGTGTCAACTGTTTACTTTATCTCCAGCTTCCCCCCGTGACCCACCCGGCTGGCTAATGGGAGCCAAGCATGTGGATAAAGACATAACCGTATATAGAGCAGCTCCTCAACTGTATACGGACCTCAAGCAAATGCTCACAGCTTCAGGGTTTTATATCTTTTGACGTGAATAACCAATGGCAATATTTACCTACTACTACACTGGCAATCACTGCCTCAACCAATGTCAATGAAATGCAACTGACAATAACAACCGCCGTCAACCAACATATAGATGGGCCCCAGTCGGCAACCCCGGAAGCTTGTCGATCGCTAGATTCAACGTCCCTGGAACACAATTATGGATATCAAAAATAATAAACAGGAGCTAACCACTGCCATCATATGATCATATGGTACATACATTTACCCTCCTGTCATCCTCTGCATCAATCGGTTTTGCGTCCTTGCTCTCTCCGCACCTTGTGCAGTCCGAACATCCTCGTCATGATCCGATCAAACAGTCCCCACCAGGCCCAGCCTCCAGACACAAGCCAGATAAGCCAGGCTCTATTCCCTTCCCAGATCCACGTCTTACTACCCCGCGCCCACGGCCAAAGCCATCTCCAGGGAGCTGAGCCGTAAAGGATCTGGTTCACAACGCTACGCGCATAGGCTGCGTTTGGCATTGCATTCTCTTGGCTGTGAACCAGTCGCCGCTGGTACTCGGTTTCAACGGCCGCATACAACGAGTTCGGAACGAGGGTGCGCTTCGTGCGCGCAATACGGGACTGAACGCCTCCTGTGATGACCGTGGTCACCTTGACGCTGCAGTCGCGAGTTGTCAGATATGACACAGAGAGACAGAAAACCGTGGGTAGGACAAGGAACATACCCGACTGGAGCTAATTCGACACGCAAGGCATCACTCCAAGAGTGCAAAGCGGCCTTGGATGCGTTGTAGACGGAGCCAAAAACGTAGGGAATAATCTTGTATACCAAGTCAGCCCAGGCTTCTTTCAAACAGTAGTTAGGGACAAGATCACATACTCCAGCGACGGATCCAATCTGGACAATAGTCCCCTTGGCCTTGATAAGCAGCGGGAGAAAAGTCTGACACATGAGGATCATCGAGAAGAAATTCGTCTCGAACGTCTGCCGCGCTTCAGACAGCTGGGCCTCTACCGCAGGTACAGTATAATCTAAATCCAACAAGTTAGCAATCACGATAAAAAAACATAAAAACCAGATAATAGCAAGATGTCCTGCTTCCATACTTCGGCCCCTGGCATAATTCTAATATTAGCAATGCGCTACGCATGAAAAACACTCATACAAAGAAAAGAAGAGAAAGAATACTCACGCATTATTAACCAAATAATCCAATCCCTTCTCACCCACTCTCTTCTCAACTTCCTCGAAACACGCCTTGACGCTCTCCTCATCATCCACGACCAGACTCAGCGTTTCAATTCCTTTAGCTTCTAGATCCGTGAGCGTCTCTCTGTTCCTCGCCGTTGCGAATACACGGAGTCCATTTTTATGGAATTCGAGCGCTAGCGAATGTCCAATTCCACCTGGGGAACATCTGGGAATTGAAATTGATTAATTAATTAGCACATGAGTATTCCTGATGTAACTAGGTAGGTAGTTACTTGGCAGTGAAATTGAAAATTAGGAGAAAATGACAAAAACAAGATGCTGATGGAGTGAAAGTCAAAAAGAACAAAAAAAGGAAACAAAATAGACTCATTTGAATAACTTAGTTCTTATTCTCGTCGTGGTAGTAACTTAGTTAATTCAGGTAATTAACCGGGTCATTTTGGGGCTACATGGAATAACGTTTATGCATCCCTCGAGTCTCTCTTTGCACTTACCCGCTGATAAGGACAGATTTGCGATCCATCATGATTCCAGACCCGATAGTAGAAGAATTCGAATATTCTTGCTCATTACTCATTTTTTTTTTAAAGGATTCCGTAAACGCTTTGAGGATTTTGTTTGTCAGATAGGGATTTACCAATGGATCGAAGCGATGAATATTACTTATGGGAACGGAAGATCGACACTTGGCCTCGGCATATGGATAGATTAGGTACCTAGCATTACCACGTGATCGAGCTACGGCTAAGGGTCATAGAGCTGATTTTTCCCGCCGCAGCTCTGTGATATTTGTCTGGATTTTTGACATGATAGCGTTCGTCTTTGCCGTCGTCTTCGTGCAGAATTGTGTGGACGGCTATTAGACAATATATTGGGTTAGATAGTATAACGATCTTGCATGTTGTTGCATAGCGATCGGGTCTATTTTAGATAAAATGTGTAGGTATTGCGCATCGATGCAAATGCGTCTGCATAATGCTATCATATTCAGTAAAATAGGGATGGATTCTAACATCTAACTATCTGGGTATTAGTGATAAGGTAAGATAAATCGAAACGTCAAATTCTAGGCCAATGGACGCATCCAAGGCTGTGTGCTATATAGACGATGAAGAAAGCCGCTAGAACGCTCTGGGATATCACAAGAAACGAGCAATGGTTCCAAAAACAAAAGTATCAAACGGACAAGAAGAAGATCTAATCAATTCAAACAGGGGTACTCTCCCCAGACGAATGAGGTTTGAGTTCCTTGACTTGAAAGCCACCCTCATCCTTATCCTCGCCTACTTGCGGCCAGAGGATGTGATGCAACATAACCGCGCGGACCATCATATAACAGACGAAAAAGTACATCAAGATCAATATGATGGTCATCACGCAGCCGATTATCTGAATGGGCTTGCAGGAAAAGGCTTTTCCGATGGCAAAGGTGGCAGTGATCAGGGCGGTGTTCGGGAAGACGAACGAGAACCATCCCATTGAGAAAATCATACGGCCGGGTCCAATTGCGGAGACATGGGCCAAGGTTGCAATCCAGAAAAAGAATATCGCAAGTCTACAGACAGACAACGTCAGTGATCACTATCAGGCTTGAAAGGAGCTAGAAAATGCATACCCCCATAACCACAAGGCGGAAAAGTTGGCGACAACTCGAATGACATTTGCGGCAAGCTCCCCGTCGCCCATGAAATCGGAAGGGAAAGATCTCTTTGCATTGGCTGCCATGTTCACAATCCCGGCGACGGTGAAAGCACTAGGTCCGACGGAAACGAACATTCCCGGTCGAACGTTTTCCTTGGGCAGCTTCTGCGTCATTAATCGATAGATGAAGGCCGCATATACCGTCAGGGACATGAGAAAGCCGACTCCCTGGATAGTGGTGCCTCCGATGATCACGCGCAGAGAATGGCTAGGCTCAAGTGTAGCACTTAAGATGCCGGCGTGGGGTCCAATGATCAGCATGGGATAGGCCGGAAAGATCCAAATGGGGGTCATCTGTGCGATGGTAAAGGTCTGTGTCGACCACCTGCGCTGTGTTAGGCCCTGCGCTCATCAATACCGGAGCATACTCACACAATAAGGTAGATCCCAGCTGAGAGGATGACGGCAAGAGTCGCATCTATCCAAAACAATATCTCGACGGCGTGTTTGAGCCATCCCCCTGTGTGTTCCGGTCCGTACTGAGAGATATTGATCAATATCGTCCCAAAAGAGACTGCAGCGGCAGGGACAAACAGAGACTCGGTCGGATGCATGAAGGACGCCTTGAAAGTGTAAGGATAAAAGCAGAATCTCATGATCAACAAAGTCCAGATGCAGAGATAGAAAACGATATTCATCAAGAACACTACCACCCCGATGGTTTCCAGACCGCGGAAGCGGAAAGGAACTTTTGAATCCTTAGCGCCTTTGTTTCTGTAGTACTGGAACGCGATGTCTTACCTGCGTATAGCACATTGGCGATTCCACCTGTCGCCATCGTGAGCGTGAAGTATGCCCATGTGAAATGACGGATCCGCTGTCTCCAACTGAGTTTGCCGGACCGTTCACTAGGGACTCTGGGAGGAATGGCATGGTCTACCCCCGGGATATTATCAGAGACCGATCTCTTCTCCGAATTGGACGTGACTGGACGAAATGTCGACCCCGTATCATTTATCGCTCCCAGGGCGGACGTATGAGCCTCCCGGGCGTTCATGGAGAAGGGATACTCGGCCGAACCGATGCTGACGGCCCGCTCAGCATCTTCAATTGTTGGCGTGCGATATCCATCTTCTCCAGGGCTCCGCCAATGCCTGGGAACTTCCATATAGTTTGACATGGCGATCGGGGTAACCCAGCATTACTGGTCAAATCGACCTGGAGGCTCTGCTCTCGTCTTCAGAGCGGAGGATGCGACAGCCTGGCCTGCGACTGGAATGAAGTGCCTGCACAGAAAGAGAGGATTATGCCAGTCTCTTGAATCGCATCGCATCGAAATCAGCATCCATTCAGACCGATCTGGGACGGGCATCCGGTCTCTTTTTCACTCAGTACGTTGAGCGAGGAGATCTTGGGGGACAAAATCCGTGTTACCCGACCATTTCATTTGGGCCAACGAGCACGCCGGATTTTTCGCGGGGAGACAGCAGCGCCAATCAGTGAGCGATCGTCGAACAGAAAACGGCTGGACGGAACCGATTAATTGACAGAATTCTCGACTTCGCGCGCCATCTTGCCAGGTATGGACGTGACATCAGCGAGTTTGTGGCTCAAGTTCACCGCGCAGTTGGTCTTTGACTCTTTGGGCGCGGTTGGAGCGGGGAAACTTGCGCCTGTCAGAAGGCTAGTTGATTCTTTTCGCTGCCGAAATCGCCGACCCATAATTATTTTATTCTTATGGTATTAGTTGATCAACCCTGCAGATACAGTTGCTTTGCGTAGAAATAGACTGTGTTAGAGATCCAGGTAGACCAACAAGGAGCTCTCCTTTTTAGTCGACTGGCAGAAAGCCATCAGACTGTTCAGCCATCCTGGCCGGTTCGATCTGCGGCATGACGTTTCTTGAGGATTATATAGAATGAATATCTAGAGTAGATATTCTTAGCGTCGTTCTGACTAGACAACGGGCTTCAATGCTTACTTCGGCCAATGAACTGTTAACAGACTTATTGAACTGGAACAACATCTGTGTATTTGTATTCAGTCAATGAATGTACTCGATCCAGCCGCACAATGGACCCGGTTCTCTTGACTGTTATACGGTATAGAGCATGTTCGTCTTGATCCTCGATAATATACCTAGGTAAGTAATAGACCATGCCACATATGGATTATATACTCGCGTGCTGTAACCTCTAGCTCGTTCGTTGCCGCTCAGCGATGGGAATGGATTCGCACAAACCATAAAGCAATAAAAGTAACAAGGCATAGTTAACACCCACACCAAAGAATGACCAAGGGATATATACAATGTCTACCTAGAGATAGAATTTTCTCTCACGATTCCGTTTAACGAGAACTACTACTCTGGAAAATGCCAAGCTCGAAATCGACGCGGGTGGTACCGAAGACTAGATAGATATTATTATTTAATCAATTGAATATTCTTGGCTGCAGCGGACGTGGTGGCGCATAGCGACGGAGACTTCCGACGACCTTTTCTTCTTCGAAGCGGGGGGCGGAGCGTCCATACTGGTTGTCCGCGGTTGCGACAAGCACTAAAAGTGTCAAAGCACGAGCAACATTTTTTTCCCTCTTCTTCTTCTGTGTGGTAAACCCCTCCGTTCTGCTCGGAAATCTCTCTTGATTCTTTTCATATATTCCTTTCCGATCGACAATAATAGATCGCGCAATATCGCTATCAGCCTGTCCTTTCAGCAACAAAGCCTGTTATATACCCCGCCTGCTCTCGTCACCAGCAGGTCCATAGATCTCGTCGCATTGCATATCCAGTCTCTCTTACCTGCAAGATCGTTACCGGGAGGACGTTACCCAATAAACAGCCATGCCTCAGAAGTTCTATGTCACCTATAACCAGGTATGTCTCGCGTCAGTCGGCTTCCTCTGACGTCTTTGCGCGGCCGAGACGTGTTACAAGGATGGCGCATCTAGTGCAACCATCTGGCGATCGCTGGTCCCGTGCTTGGACTAAAAATGATATGTTGTCTAGGTGCACAAGCTGTGCCAGAAGTCGGCAGAGAAGATCCTCAATGAATTCCATCCCAACCTCATGATCGCTATCGGTGGAGGAGGTTATGTCCCCGCGCGTATCCTTCGGTATGTTCCCCGTCTGCCAGAGATACCCCGCTGCCATGAGCATGCCGCGTGCGTCATGGTCAATAAGGCCTTAAGGAGAACCACATACTCATGATTCGTTGCGACACAGATCTTTCCTGAAGCGCGCTGGCGAGCCGAACATCCCCATCCAGGCTATTGGTCTCTCTCTGTATGAGGATCTGGGCCGCGGTGACGATCCCGAAGAGGCTCCCGGTACCAAGGTCACTCGCACGCAGTGGCTCGATCTGAGCTCCCTGGAGATGTCCAACCTGATTGGAAAGAACATCCTGATCGTCGATGAGGTCGACGACACCAGGACAACGCTTGAGTATGCCGTCCGTGAACTGCAGAAGGATGTCGAGCAGGCGCAGCAGCAGCTTGGCCGCCAGGGCGAGAAGACCACCTTCTCAATCTTCGTCCTCCACGTACGTCACAGTTTCTCGTCTCCTGTATAACCGCATTGCTGACCCCCGTGCGCAGAACAAGAACAAGGAAAAGAGGGGCAAGCTGCCTGCCGAGATGATGGAGTCGGGCCACTATCACGCTGCCGTGACGACCGACGATGTCTGGATCTGCTACCCTTGGGAAGCGAAGTATGTCTCTCCGGATGATCATATCACACCGGACCTGATGCTAATCTTTCTGAACAGGGACATTGACGCGCACGACGAGATGGCTAAGCAGAACCCCCTCATCTATTAATCGACACGGAGTGGATACCCCCCCCCCCCCCCCCCCCAACGTCGCACTCATTTGATATATCCTTTTTTTTTGGCGGCATATATTCTATATCTATATCGCTTTGCAGTTTGTATAGCATCTGCATATCATGTCATATCACGAAGAATTCATTGGGTAACGGAATCCGATAGAGAGAAAAAGGAAAAAGACCCGGTTGGTGCTATGGTAATGGTTAGAGCATTAGTTTGCTAAATTTTGCAAGCATATTTCATAATTTCTTTTGGGTTTATTCTGCAACGTTTTCTCTTCATATCAATCACCTAATCTCACTCAAAGTCGGCGTTTCAAGTATCTGGTGTCTAAAACAAGAATCTCATATCACTCTCTGCCCGACGGATTAGTGTACAGTGCAGCAGAAATAGCAATATTCCAGGCAAAAATATCATTCAGAATCCCCCCTCTTTCCCATGCGCCATGATTCTTTATAACCGGTTTAGAGGAACGTTATTTGGAATAGGAGGAGCCCGAATCGACAGAGAGAAAAAATCCCAAAAAAGAATAGAGACGAAGTATGAAGAACGAGCACGATATTTACTCGACCTCGACGTTTCCTCTCCGGAGCTCTTCCTTGGCCTGCTCAATCTCTTTTTGGAGCTCCTCGTGAGCTTCGGGGACGTCGTTAAATGTGAGAATGGCCAGGCCTAAGCGGGCCATCAGGTAGCAGGCGAAGGATATGAGACCGTAGAAGGGAAGCTGAGTGGCGCAGGAATAATTAGCATTAAATGATGGCGGAGGAGCGAACTGCTGTTAGGTACGTACAACAGGGATGATCTCCGTCTGAACGGTCTCGTTCAGGGGCACAAGACCCAAGTAAAGGGACAAATACAACTATAACAAAAGATCCACTGTCAGCATATATATTCCATAAAATCGAATTCTTCAACCATCAGATCTTCAACCCGATGGTATAAAAACAAGGGATGTCGGCTCCTGGGACATACAGATGAAACGAGCAGGAGAACAGAGATGGTCTGCTGAGCGCGCGTCATGATGGGCGAAAAGCTGATTTCGACGACAGACGTTAAAATAATAGGATATAGTGTAGCGCACGATGACGGGATTCTCAGTCTTAGTAAATGAACTTGTTTTTTCTAAAAAAAAAACGAATGGACTTGGGTCAGTTTGAGAATAACTTTCCTTTCGACGTGGAGGACAGCTTTGAGCTTCCGCTGCGTCCCCGGAGCGAGTTGGTCACCGTAGACAGTCGATAACTAGGACGCTTAGGCCAAGTTGCGAGCTGTCAGGCACCAAATGGGGTTTAGATACTGTGATACTCCGTACATCCCAGTAGTGGTTTTGTTCAACTTAGTGATTATGAGGGAACTCTACACATTTTTTTGGAATTATTTAGTTTTGAATACGATGATTCTCTACAGACTGAGTATTGGTATTATCTGTTCCTCTTTCTTATTGGCTCTGCGCATTGAACTGCTTGTCGATAAGTTAACTTCCCAGCGTGCCATAAGAAAGCTCCATACCTTAAGCTAAGCGAGCACCGGCTGCAAGCCACCCCAGGCAACATCTACCGTGGGGTCGCGAGTTGTTATAGAGCCATTTCGACCCTAGTTTTGGTCCCCATTTTTGTCTTCGAAAAGCTCATCATCTCCGTTGGACAAAAAGGAAATTGTATTCGTTTTATTTCATCAGTTGTTTGTTCTGCAATTAGCAGAAATCGGCCTTTCCTTAACTACCTCTCAGAGCTTACTTCAGCGGAGCGTTTTAGAGATTCTATAATTCTAGCAACCGCTTGGTTACTCGAATCTAGCGTATGTTCATTATATGGTCCCTGCGCTACCTAGTCACTGGCCTGTCGAGATTCTCGGATAACTTACCTACTTTTTAGGCTCCAATTCGTCCAGCTGTTCCGAGTTTTGCACTGACTGGTATAGAGGGTTGGACGAAGCTCATCGTCTAGCAAGAGTGGGGCTATCAACGAAGGCAGAAGCTGTCCATTTTCAAAGATAGACGAGAGAAGTGTCCCTGAAAACTAGGCAGCTGATCCGAATCTTCCACAATGGATTCCACAGAGGATATCTGGGCCAAACGTCCCCGGACAATCGTCCGGCGGCGATGGTTCCCTTTCAGATAACCAGACTGACCGGATGGTCAAAGAAATCCAACTTCCTGAGGTGAAAGATTTACTGTCTGAATCCACCGTTTCCTTCCCTCCGGCCCCTGCTGCAGAGGGCCCTCAGATAGAGCCATTGGACGAACAGAAGATGTTCAAGTCTCTACAAGCGATCTTGGATGAATCAGAGAAAGAAGAAGGTAGCTTCGCTGTTGGGGAGCTTCGAGCATCTCTGGAAGAAGCAGATGAAGATGCCAGACATGGGACTCGGGACCCGCGAACGTTGTCGTCTGTCAAGGCAACTGTGGAGAAGCTTTGGCAGTCTAGATCCGAGTATATGGCACCAGCTGTAGAGGCTCTAGCTAATGCTAGTCGAGACCGTGAGTCTGCTTTCTCGTTCGAGATCCGTACAGAGCTGATGACTTCTAGCTTCATGGCGGGCCCCATTCGGAGAGTCTGGACTGCTGGACTTTTTCCTCCGGATAATTGCATCGACGGAAGAGGTCGATGACGAGATTTTATTGCATTCTCTACGTCTAGCAGGGAACTCATGTGCCGATACAAGTTAGTACCCCCCAAGGATGCTTTAGTGGGGATTTCTAACCTGCTGTTAGATGAGAATAGACAGATCGTAGTGGACGGCAATTATACGCTTGCCATTCTGAGACTATTTCTGAAGCCCAGTCTCGTTCAAATCGCAATCCCAGTGATATATAATATATGTACTGATTTCGGTGAGTCTGACGCCATGAAATGTCCCTAAACTTATAGCTTACAGTAACTAGAACCTGCTCAGTCCCAGGTTGCTCACAATCGAGTGGCGTACATTCTCTTGAAGTTAATCAAAGACGGCTCAATCAGGGGTAACGCGCTATTAAACTACGCATATGAGCTGATCGAGATGGCTGCTGAACAAGGTAGGCATACTCAATTCTGTGTTGATATTCCTCATTCTGACTTGTCCAGCATCCGGCATCGATAGGTCCCCAGATGGGACTATTTTACTCCTTATGGAAATTGCTTTGGAGAAAGAGACAACGTTTGCTCAGTTCTGCTCTCTGGTCAACAGCCTTGCTACATATCTGCAGAATGAACGATTCCAAAGGGTATGCGTTCGACATGGCTTGGTGGAGACGATATTGACGATCCTGCGCCACTCGTATGATCTTGAAATCGACGAATCTTCGAGCGAGGATGTGGGAGCGTTGGCCCAACTACGCCTTAAAGTTAACCAGGCATTATCGGATCTTTCTGCGCTACCGGAATTCGGCGAGCTCTACCCTCTCGGGTCTCCCTTCTCGAAAGTCTTGGAGTCGTATCTCAATACGAAGGAAGACCAACTGCAGATATGCTCCTGCGTTATGCTTGGAAATCTGGCACGGTCCGACGAAGTCTGTGCCAGGATGGTTCGCGAGTTCCGCATACATGAGCGGTTGATCTCTATCTTGAAAAGCGATGCTGTAGGCGCTGTCCTACATGCCGCTATCGGGTTTCTTAAGAACCTCGCCATTGCCAGTGAGAATAGACCGTTCCTGGCCAGTGCTGGCCTTATACCAGCTGTATCTCGGCTATGGGCGTTCGAGACAGTTCCCCAGATCCAGTTCTCCGCCGTCAGTCTCGTCCGCCAAGTCACTGTATCATCCGTTGAAAATGTCTCGCAACTACTCGAACGCCTCTCTGCGGATCCAGATTCTCCAGCACACAACAAGACTTATCTATCATTACTGCTCTCCCTCTTTGGTAGGACCGATTCTGCCCCCATAAAGACGGAAATTGGCCGCACAATCGCATCTTTATGCCGCACCATCAATTCTAAGACACGAGAGAGCAGCGAAGAAATAAATACGCTATTCGAACGTCTGTTCGATCTGCATCCGGACGTGGCTCGCCCTCTTGGTGCGATGATCACTCAGAAGGAGTGGCCAGTCGTGCGAAGTGAAGGCTGGTTTGCCATTGCCCTTATGGCGTCAAGCAAGGAAGGCTCTGTGGCTGTCGTTGACTGTCTGCAGAACATGGACGTCTACAAGCTCCTCGAAGAGACACTCTCGTCTGATATTCCGGACTCCCTGGACGAGAAAGAAAAGCAAAAGAGAAGCAAGGATCGTGACAATACTATTATCCTAGTACAGGAATTGTTGAAGCATGATGTACGTCTCACCTTGAGCCCCAAGCTTGTGTCATCGATTTGCTAACCCACCCAGCCTCAGACGCTTCCTCCACCTCAGAAGGCAATGCTTGAGGACTTTGCCAAGGACATCAAGATCTCCCCATCATCATAGACTCCATAGATGGTCGATTAGCATACAGTTCCCCTGCTGACGATTTGTGACACTTGGACACTGTATCCATCATGCAGATGCTAATTACGAAGCCGGTGGCATTCCTGGATACAGGGTATTTGGTTGGACCATTTCTGTAGGGATGCGCCGATATTGAATGTAAATATCTTTCCCTAGCTTTGCTAGATAAGCCATGAAACTTTTCTATACTACACTACTTTCTTCGCAGCTATATAGGATAAATGTTCTAAAGTAAGCTAAACGGAGATCGTACCTGAGTAAAAAGTCGGTTCTCGTATCTAAACTACAAGTAAAAATATGGATTCCCAAATCATGAATGAATCCCAGGATAGACCGAAAATACTTACTGATGACAGAGAACACTCAACATGGGTAAATAGTTGCTTGGTTCTTCCAACTGATTTTCCGGCCAAAAACGGTGATGACGTCGGACACGTGCTATCGCCGGCCTTCCCGAAGTCAACTCCAAGAACTGCCAGTTCAAGACTCCTCGTATCCTCTCCTCTTTGTGACAAAAACAGCCCCTCTGGGTTCTCCCAATGCCTTATCGACCAACATGCATCCATGACTTGTATGGCCGTCGATAATTGTACCTATATGAGAACATGAGAACGGCCGCCTTTATCGGCCGCTTCCGTCTCAACTGCGGAGGTTCGCAGCTGCTCCGCTTCGCGCCGAGGTCGCAATTCCGCTTCCCACGCCCACAATATTGGAATCAGCGCAATGGATGGAGGCGCGTGGGCAGCAGGACGCGAGTGGTTGGGACGGTGCTGTTGGGGGCCCTGACGCCGGCGACTTTTCTGGAGCTCGCGGAGAAGGGCAATGGAGGAGGGGAAAAGACGCGCGAATTGAAAATGCTGGAAGCCTCGCGCAGTGAGATCGAGAAGACTGTCGACGATGATGCGCGAGGTTTGTCAAGGGTTCTTCAGAAACTGCAGATCTTGTACTGCAAATACATTTACGAACCGATTGCTACCGGCTTGAGGTTTTTCCATTTGGTGATCATCTTCATCCCTGTTATTGTGACGGTGCCAGCTATATGGTTTGGGAGACGGGTCAAGAGTCGCGGTGGCGAACGGACAGGTACACTCTGGTGGTATGGATTTCTGGTCAGTTCAATGGAACGTGCTGGACCGGCGTTCATCAAAGTGAGTTCTTGCTCCCCAGCTATTGCGGAATATCGCATGGGTTCAGATGGCGGTAACTGACCAATTCCTCAATAGCTTGGACAATGGGCAGCTTCGCGAACAGATATATTCCCTCCTGAACTCTGCAGTCGGATGTCTTCTCTCCATTCCAATGCTCCCGCGCACTCGTTACATGCTACGAAGGAAATAGTCTCCAAAGCGTTCAACATGCCCTTCGATGAGATTTTCGAGGAGTTCCAGGTCGAACCTCTTGGAGTCGGAGCCATCGCGCAAGTCTACAAGGCTAAGCTAAAACCAAGTCTGGCAGCGACGAGTGAGTCGGTAAACCCAGCGCAGCCGACTGACCTACCTTCGAGGGTCCGCAGGAACGTGGATGTCCTGGTGAAGAGCTCCCCACACCATGTACCCTCGTCCTACGTGGCTGTGAAAGTGCTCCATCCCAAAGTTGAGAGGGTTGTCCGTCGGGATTTGAAGATTATGGAATTCTTCGCAGCTGCCATAAATGCTATTCCTACCATGGAATGGCTGTCACTGCCGGACGAGGTCCATCAGTTCGGAGAAATGATGAAACTGCAATTGGATCTGCGCATCGAGTCGACAAACCTGACTATTTTCAGGGAGAAGTTCAAGTCGCGGACAACAGCCTGGTTCCCCTATCCATATACGGAATATACCTCGCGCGAGGTTCTCATTGAGGAGTTCGCGCAGGGCATTCCTCTCTCGACTTTCCTCGAGGTAGGAGGTGGTCCCTACCAGGAGGAGATTGCAGATGAAGGTCTAGACGCGTTTCTCCACATGCTGCTAATTGACAACTTCATCCATGCCGATCTTCACCCGGGAAATATCATGGTCCGCTTCTATAAACCAAGCCAGCTGGACCTGTCATTGCGAAAGGACACCCGTGCGACTGAAGCAACATCCTCCGCAGAAGCTGATGCAACGGAAACAGTTCTTGCACGCCTGCGACCCCATAGCAAAGACCGTGAGGCGTGGAACGCTGCGTTGACCGAGATCGACTCTGAAGGCTACCGTCCACAGCTCATCTTTGTCGATACAGGTCTCGTCACTGAACTTAACGAGACAAACCGCAGGAACTTCATTGACCTCTTCCGTGCCATTGCCGAATTCGACGGATACAAAGCCGGGCACCTTATGGTTGAGCGATGTCGACAGCCAGAGGCTGTCATCGACCCGGAGATCTTCGCTCTGAAAATGCAACATCTCGTCCTGGGCATCAAATCGCGCACTTTCGCATTAGGAAACGTCAAGATCGGCGATGTCCTCAGCGAAGTACTTTCCATGGTCCGTGACCACCACGTACGACTAGAAGGCGACTTCGTCAATGTCGTCATTTCCGTCCTTCTTCTCGAAGGTATCGGCCGGAGCTTAGATCCCGACCTAGATCTGTTTAAGAGGTAAGTCGAGATGAGCTTGAAACCAAGTTTACACTGTTATATATCCTTTTCATATACTCCATATGCAAGCCCAGAAATATATACCATACTACTTCTAGCACCCCTACTAACAATACCAAACTCAAGTGCTCTGCCTATCCTCCGCCAACTGGGCACCGGAACTACATTCCTCAAATCCGTTCGCGAGGGAGATACCTCCATGCTCCGCGTCTGGGTCGGTCTCGAAGCTCGCACTTTCCTCCAAGCTAGTGTTGAAAGTGTTGAGATGTGCGTGAAATATGACCTTTTGTCGCCTAATATCTAGATAGAAAGAAAAGAAAAGAAAAGAAAAAGAATAGTATTAATAAATGGGCAACGTGTTGATCTTTTTTTTTTTTGTTTTTTGTTTTTTGTGTATATAGATATAAGCGAAGATCTTGACTCTTAACTATGAATGGGGTCTTTCCTTTTTGCATGGGAAGGAAGCGGGGTGGGTGGTGTGGTTGGAGAATAGAGTGGAAGGGATATATAGTTAGATTCAAATTTTTTTCCAAAACAGAATAAAGATATCTATTCCTTCTATATACGATATCACGTATGATCATTTTATGCCTAGAACTCTATCATGGTTGGTCTCTGGAAGATATAATAGAAGTATTTTGGAGAGTGGACTAGTCTATAATATAGATACAAGAAGTAATCCCACACCGGTAGCTCTTCTTGATACGTAGGGATAGCTGCGCCGGAATCTAAAGCCAAGAAAAACACCGGGGGCCATTGCATCATTACCGTCAGATATGCGAAAAGATGTCAACAGGACAAAGAACGATGAGGAATAAAATAAGGGGTACCGATATAAAACACGACGAGAACGGAAATGAGGAGATCAAAAAGGAAGCGTAATGTATCATATGACGGAGCCATTGTAAAGGAAGCTCAGTCCTCTTGTCGATTACAATAGTATGGCTTTCTCATCGCGCATAAAGGAAGAAGACTGCGCGAATGCGCTCAACAGGCGTATGAGCCGTAACACCCTTTAGTTCTGCTGTTCTCGGGCAACGCCGCCGCTGGCTCTCCACCAGACGTCTCCGCCCCATTTCATCAGACGTTCAATGGCGGCAGTGGGAGTATCAATGGCAGGTCTGATGTCGAGATAGAAGACGGGCTCACCGGTCGGCTCAGGCGGACCGGAGTAGTAGTCAATGACATAGCGGACTTGTTTTGGTCCCCATGGTGTCTGGCGTTGGACATACCAATCATGTCGGTCAAAGGGGGGTTCAGTACTAGAAAAAACAGATGTCAGTCAGCAAATTCTTAACGATCCGATTACTTTGACCATCCAGTATTCTTCGGGAAGACGGTGTGTGATAGCAGGTGGTTGCTTACCCGAACTTTTCCGGATAAACCCATCCCAGAGCCTGCAGGATTCTAGCCTTAGGAGTCAACTCTTGGGGTCGCCCCTGGAACCTAATCAACCGTGGTGTAGTGTCCTCATCATCAGAAGCCTTCTGTTGCAATTGTTCGCGAATAGAGTCCATCTCCAGATTCGCAGATCCACGCCGACATTTTTCCCACCCGTGCTTCAGACCTTTTGAAAATATCCGCTCCCATTCGACAATCTCAGACCAGGCGCCCTCGTTCAAGAAGTTGTGCACCGCGACCATAGACTCGACAGCATCCTGAGGAGTGTCGGTGTATCCTTTCCGCAGCATAGCATTATACATTTGTTGGGGAGAAGGATACTCCCAGAGGCCGTCGTCGCCTCGGGGAATGGAAGACACCTCTCTTTCAACAGGGAGGTCAACAGTCTGGTTTGGTGCTCGTTCTTGGGAGATGCTCGAGAACATGTAGTTCAAAGGATTGAGCTTGGAGAGAGTTGACGATTTCTGTTGTGGTTGAGACTCTGAGGAAGCGGCCGCAGGTTCGGAAGACGAGCGCGATGGAGGAACGTAGAACGGAGAATTGGGAGACTTGACAGGGCAAGCACTCTGAGAAGTCGTCACCGGGCATTGAGCCTTGGAAGCGGATGATGCTGGAGGAGCGTTGGACACGTGCATAGGACAACCAGGCTAGAATCTAGTTTAGTTATTTGCCCAGATGAAGCAGCGTTGATATACTAACCGGAGGTGATGCGTCCGAGGCGGCCAAAGGATTTGGAGCCGCAGGAGTCGGCTTTGGCTGCGGATCTGCCCAGAACCAACCCATTTTGACGGTAGATGCAATAGATATTTGGGCCAGACACAGAAATTAGCGATGTCCGTCGTTATAGCGTTGAATGATCTGCCAAAGGGAGTTGGGTAAAAAAGCGCGGGCGGAAGGTTCTCGGCGGCAGAAACATCACAGGTGACATAAGCCGCCTTCCAATTCGCCCGGACATTGCCGGACTCGCGCGATCCACGTGACTTCTGGCGAACTTGCCAAAAGTAGCACACTGGATCTATATAACGACGCAGAGACATCTAGAATTCCTCCTGCTGTAGCCAGCGTGTCAAATACATCGCTCCTTGTAAGAGTGGAAAGTATGGTTGAGGTACTTTTCAGAAGGTCAGGTCAAAATTGCTCGAAGCCTTCAACTACTTCTGACGCCCTATGAGAGGAAGCCAGCCACGACATCGCTTCACTCCAGATAGGCTGCCAGATCATATCATGTAGCGATGGAGCGTAGAAATATCCTGTCAGGATTCCCGATAAGTCTTCCCATCTACGCCATCCTTGCACCTCAATGATATGGGTGAGGTGTTGGACAAACCATGGCCGCTCGGGCTGTCCAGCGGCACCATGCGCACCGACGAGAAGGGCCCATGCCACCAGATCATAGCATTCTGATGGCAGTTGAGGCAAGACAGTAGTTACGCAGCGGTCGATCGCATTTTTCAGATGGTTGGTCAATGCTCGTCCCATTCCCGAGGAAGGGGGAGACACGATAAAGAAAAGATTGATAAAACATGTCGAGGAGATGCGGGCGACCACTTCGATGGGATGGAGATTCTCTGCCCCACCTTCAAACCCCCCTTTCGAAGGAGGACGGTAATAATAGCTTGCGAGTTCGTGCTCTGTCTCAAACATCAACATGCGCAATAATTCCCGCTCTTCCTGAGTTAGCCCTTGCGGATCACGGCGATTGAAGTCGTCGAAGAACATCATGGTATGCAATCCTTGTAATGCCCTCTTCAAAGGCGAGCTTAGCAGGCTATTTGCCATGAGTCTCGTTCCGAGTTGATGCAGTGGCGATGCAGGCGGAGGAGTGATGCGCTGGAGGACCCGGGGAGGCAACGGTTGGGGAACCCAGGCCAAAGGAAAGATGGGCTTGCTCTGGAGCCCATTGGCTGTTTTGATATCACATCTGGTACTCATTAGCATGAAATGGAAGCGAGGAAACCACGGTGTTACATACGTCTGGATAGCGCTCACAAGCCCAGCGGCGTTTTTCAAACTGCTATTGGTGATTCCTCCACGTAATTCTACCATCCTTCGTAGGCCTTTCAAATGTACCCTGGCCTCATCGAAGAGACCCACTATCAACTGTTGTTGGTTAGCACAAAAGCCTCATCCCGAGATTATAGACCTGACAAGGAGAGTCCGATCTCCATCAGAAATAGAGGAAGCCAAATGAGTCATACCGCGCCACACAAAAGATTGATGATAGTATCAAAAGCCTCATTGCTGAGTGCTCTTTTAGGATCCTGCACTTTGGCATTCATTTCCCGGATACATCTCGCTTTCATAATATAATAATCGGGCTCATGAAGGACGCGGTATCCGTCTTCTGATGAATCGACTAGATCCCCGTGACGTCCCGCGAGTATGGCCCTATGAGCAGCACTCATGCTCATCAGGCCGAAAAAGCTGCCTGGATCGGAGAGAGCGGATGCCACCATGAGTGACATCTGAACCTCCCCTGGTGCCTTATGCTCAACAGGGAATGTCATCGGAATGAAAACAGTCGCCACTTGAGATCATATGTAAGCAATCATCCAGATGTCTTATGCTAGATGCCAGGAAATGAAGAATACAAAGGAACCGTGGAAGAAAGGGACGAAAGAAGAAGCGAACACAGCGTTGATAATCAGAAAAGTCTTCATAGAGATGCAACATTTTCATCACAATGCAGTAACCCGTAACTCGAGAAAACTACCAAACCAGGACATGGCAGGTGGATCAGTTAGCGCCTGCGGAGTATGCAAACTACATTGGTCTCCTTGAATGCACGAACTCGCTCCTGCTCACTGTGACAGGCGAACGGCTTTCTTTTCTCTTCTCAAACGAATCACCAAGACAATTGATTGCCACATCAAATAAGAACTGAAAACAAAGCTTGGAGCGGTTTCCTAAAGCAGAACGTTCTATCACTTACCATGAGAAATCAAATGGTCGACCACGGATGGCATTTCACTTGCACCAGGCAAGGTACAGAACGGATCAAAGAACCATGACTTCGGAATGGCCTGAGGGCTGATGGCGCGGCTGGGCATTGTATCAGGCCCTGTCCACAGAACGGGATACTGTCCGGGGCTCGTGTTGACGACATCCATGGCAGACGTCGACTCTGTCTCGTCCTGCGTGGAGGACTCTCTGAACGGCAGCTCATGCTGCCTCGACTCGTCCGTAGACTTCTGCCGTTTCGAAACAGCCTTCGTTCCTGAAGCTCCTGAAGTTCCTCGATCCTCCCGTTTCGGGGTTCTCTTCAGTCCGGCGAGACGCTCCCGACGGCGCACATCTCGCATAACATGCGAGCGGATGGCCTTCCGGGCATTGGCGTCTTTGATCCTCTTGGACGTCAAGTCATCATCGTGATCGATGAAGGTGAAAGATGGGCGATCTGATGGCGCCAAGGATTTGGAAGTCGACAATTCTAGACGCGTCCAATCAGCCCCCGCACCACAGGGTTAGTTTAAAGCCATAAACGATCTGAGATCCTATATCAAGGGCGGCGGGATCTACACGGCAGCCAGCCACAGACTCCCTCACAGTGTGCATTCCACGCGCCCAAGCACACAGACGCCCAGTGGGGCTCCCTGAGCGCCACGATCTTCATCACATCCGCTGTCATTTTCTGACAGGAAGTGAGGGAATAATTATGAACGATAACGGAAACTCCGGGTTGTGGCCAGCAGAGCCAGGGTGGGGAAGAGGGCCATATGGTATATGCTCTATAATATGGTAATATTTCAAGGGGTGCGTGCTGAGCTGAGGATCACCCGCGTGGAAACAGGCACGACAACAGTAACAACACCGCTAAGGAAAGCCAAGGGGAAAAAAGAAGCACACACAAACCTTGATTATTATTGGTATAGCGATTGGAAGAGCCCGATGACTTGTTCGCCGCGGATTCTTGCCCGCTTGCCATTGCGGCCAGTCCCCGAGGACTCGACAGCGGGCCGAGAGCCACCGTTTGGGGGCGCTCTGGGAACAGCGGGGGGTTGGTGGAGTGAGCACCAACAGCGTGGGCGCTACTGGGAATCGACAGATCACCGTCGGAACCCCAGAGCGGCAAGCGACTGGAATCTGATGGTGTTGAGAAGCCCGTTTGTGTGACGGGGACTGGAGAGACGAAAGGCGGAGAACGGGAAAGCCGGCGAGAGAGAGTCAACAACAATAGCAGCACAAGCCCAATCGAGTTATCGGAGGATCGGGATGCGCCACCGGCTGCGTTAGCTTCACTCGTCAGTTCGATTTGTAGTAGTATTAATGATGATATTATTATTATTATACTCGACGACAGCTTGTTCTCCATCTGATTGCCCGGTGCTAATAATCATAATCAGATCGGATCGATACTTAGTAGTAGTACATACTACTACTATTGATTTCGAGTCGAGTCCGTCTGAACTCCTACCCGATCAGGCAAGTCAAGAGATCAAAGAAACCTCGGCACGACTGCTACTGGGGCCAGGAACTAACTACTAGATAGTCATTCAAGGAACTTCTATAGTACTGGTATACGGTCCACAAGGTTTCTCACACTTCGCTGTCGGTCCTTTTGCGGTTTTGTGCGGGTCGAGCTGATCCAAGTACCCAGTAACGACTCCATACGGCCGTAACCATAATAATAACAGCTATACTCCGCAAAAAGACATCCCAAAATATTATCATTCCGAACGATAGCTATGCAGCACCACCTGGTCTCCATCTATCCGAGGGACAATTATTATGTAGTAGTATGTACACATCTTCGAAGGTCAAAAAAGAAAGAAAAGGTTCTAGTGCCTCCTCCACTCTCACCTGCCCCCGGTTCGAATTAGACCAGGTGGTGGGACCCATATCATAATAATCTACACCCGAATATCCTTTGTGTGAACGCCAGCCCTTTCAGACGCCTTGCCTCATATGGTCAGACCCTTTTGGATCGATCGAAACGCGTGCTTCCGCCGGTACCTAACCAGCGTGAGCCATAGAAAACAACCCCCCCTGTAGACCTTGACGTAGATCCACGCGCAAAATATTATTGTCTCTGCCTTCACCTCCAACATGAGCGGCTTTAGGCTTGGAGATCAGTGAATAACCGGGTGAGAAGGGCGTATCCGAAGACCACGGCAAGTCCAACCCAGACCTTGTGTCGTCGAATCCAGCTCTCTCCCGCATCTCGCGCCGCCTGGCCGCCTTCCATGACCGTTCCCAGACGAGGAGCGCTTCCGTTCGGGCGTCGTCGAAGGGCGCTGGTCTCAGGAGAGCACCTCGATGGGGGAGCGTTGGGATCGGGCATGATCTGACCGGTCGCGGGATCGATACGGTTCTGCTTCATCCATTCCCAGTTCTCCTGGTCCAGTTCCGGCCACTCTGTACGGAACTTCATCCCTCCATCTCCTGCCTTGATATTGTTGATTCCCTTGCCGGTGGCATTGACGCCAGGAGCGATGTTGGAATGAGAACCGCCTCCGGTCGAGTTCCACCATCGCGACCGAGCCGCAAACACTCTACGCTCCGCCTCTGATGCGCTCACACTGCCAGTTGTCATTTCCTCGCTCGTCATGAATGACAGGAGACCGATCAGAATGGTCGAGACTTCCCACGCCGGGTTGAATGATTTTGGATGGAAGTCACTGATGCTGAGACACAGTCGAGTCGAAGGCTGGAATCGGCCACTTGGCGTGTGCATGCGGATAGCTGGAGGAGCGAAAGGGTATTCGGGAGGGAAAATCAAGGTACCCCAGTATTGTCCATTCTCATAAGGAGTCTTTGGAGGTCCGGTCAGGATGTAATGCCATCTGGCGGGCAGTTAGCCTTTGCGGGGCATAAGACAGGGGACCCCCCATTCCGAAGTATGCCACGGCACTTACTCTAAGATGTTAGACTCCGAAGGGTGTGCGACGATATAGGGAGGAGGGTTCTTCTGGATGTTTTGGTATTCGCGGGTGAGCTGGCTTTGAAGTTAGTAAAGACCATCCTGTTCTACTCAGGGGTTCAGGATATTCACTCACACGCTTGGAGGCAGCCTTGGTGGCCATGTTGTCGCGGCCGCGGCGCAGAGGATCTGAGTGAGGGCCAGAAGAAACTGAAACTGCACTGTATGAGGAAGACTGGCGATGCAAAAGATGCGCTGCACCTAGTGGTGATTAAGCAAAAATGTGGGTGTGCAGCAGACTAGGAGTATGGGTGATGAATATCCCATAGTAAGACCAGCATACGTTCAATAACCTCCGGACGGCGAGCCCGCGAGACGATGGTCACGTGCATAGCTACCCGGTCCGCATCTACTTATGATCTGCCGTTCTCGGCGGAACAAGACTCGCACACGCGCCTACATCCAAGCTGCCATTGCAGTCGTCGCGATGTCGTCCCCTCTTTCCGCTGAGGAAGATGATGTATGTGGATCTGTTCTTTTGTTTCTTGAAGCTGTCTGCATGTGAAAATAGTACTGTTGCTAACAATATGCCTCTGTAGATCTTCCACCGGCTCCAGCAGCGTGCGGACCAGAAGGTGATGGAGGAACGGCAGCAGGCTATGAATGAGAGGATTCATGCAATCTATCATAAGGCGCAGTCCCGTTTGGCAGAGCTGGTATGTTTTTATAGACGCCCGCGTCGACTGACTGTCCATCCAAACCGGTTCTACGGAATATCCGGCTAATATGTTCCCCTCGTGCATTAGATCGACCAAAACTCGACCTTGCCATGTACTATCTCCTCGATCCAGGTCCTGGGAGCTCCTCATACTCGTCATAGCTTCCTGCAACGGATATTTGATCCATTGCTGAGCGTCAACCAAGACAAGCCCTACACTCTCGCGGATGCCCTGCGCGAGGTCTCAGCCCGCGCAGACAAGCTGAACAGATTTGGTATACTGACGCAGTCCCCTGTCTTGATAGAGCTTATTGCTAATAGAGTAAAGACATCTTCCATCAGCCAGTTTCTGTCTTCCTGGATAAGCCCAATGATCCTTCGAGTTCGCCCACTGACGTCGATGTTTATTTGTCTGTCAGAGAGAAGTCTCGGGTCCTCCTGAAGACGGGAACCGATCTGGGGAATGCTGAAGGTTCTGCGTATGGTAACCTCCTGTGGCGAAACATCTTCGGCGGTGCAGAAAGTCTCAATCTGAATGCATCTTTGGGAACACGGACACGATCTGCGTACCAGGCTGCCTTTGAGACCCCGATCCTCGCTGACCCGGACTTCCGCTGGGAAATTGGCGGTATCGCGAGCGCAACACAGAAGAGCTGGGCTAGCCATGAGGAAGTTCTGAGAGGAGGATGGACGAAGCTTCGTTGGCTGTCGCCATCAGGTCATCGTCATGAGTTTGGCTACAACGGCTTCTGGAGACAACTCACTGGATTGGCAGACAAGGCGTCTCCAACCGTGCGTGCAGATGCTGGTGATAGCGTGAAGAGCAGCATCTCCCATGTTTGGGTCAACGACCGGAGAGATAACCCTCTTCTTCCGTCCCGCGGCTACTATGCCAGGACTCTAAACGAACTTGCCGGCTGGGGTCCATTGAAGGGAGACGTCTCCTTCTGGAAGTCCGAAATCGAAACCCAGGGAGCCGTCCCCATTCCCATCCCCGGTATTAAAGGAGACAGTGGGATTAGTTTCACGACTGGATTCCGTGCTGGTTTGATTTACCCCCTGGGCCTTGATTCCGACGCTCGTCCCCAGCTGTCCCGTATCAACGATCGCTTCGTCCTCGGAGGCCCCACTGACGTCCGTGGATTCCGCCTTGCTGGCCTTGGCCCGCACGAAGGTCCTGATGCCCTCGGAGGTGATGTCTACGCTGCGGGAAGTGCCAACCTCCTGCTTCCTCTTCCCCGTGTGGGTGCGGACAAACCCTTCCGTCTGCAAGCCTTTGTGAACGGTGGTCGACTACTACCTCTGCGCACCTCCCAGAAGGACGCTCCCACGAACAATGCAGAGGTGAAGGATGCAGTGATCTCTACTCTTTCGGAGCTTCAGAATGGACTCCCCAGCGTGGCGGCCGGCTTTGGACTTGTGTATGCGCATCCCGTCGCCAGGTTCGAACTGAACTTCTCTCTACCTCTGGTGCTGCGCAAAGGCGAGGAGGGCCGGAAGGGCCTGCAGCTTGGCATTGGCATCAATTTCCTGTAGACATATGTACCATGACAACAGCGTAGGAACTCATTTTTGTTTTTGTCAGTAGTGCGTGCTCTCCAATCTAGTAGATAGCAATAGTAGTCGGGATGATTCCAGTATTGGAGTATATAATAATGGTTATTATTATTCTTCTTATATACAGTACATATTAGTCTCCCAGTTAATCTTAGGGAACCTTGGCGGGCCGATGGCGCTAAACCAAACGAGCCGCGTAGGGCGGGAGGACACGTCCGATCGCTTACTTAGCTACTTGAGCTTCCAACCTGGCAATAAGAAGATCAAGGACAATACTCTCCTCTGCGGCGGTAGAGGACACACGGACTCAACAGACAATCTCCCGCTGTTTCTCTACGTCCCTGTCAGGCTCTGGAGTCAGCCTCTCTTTCTAACTCTCCATACAATCCATATACACACCACCCGATCGCTAGTCCGACTTTCCACCCCCCGGCCGCAAATGGCCCAATACTACCCCCAACAACAGCCCTACGGGGCTCAGTCCGCGCAGAACCTCCAGTTCTTCCCTTCATCGTATTCCTCTGTGTCTGGACATACCACGCCCTCTCAAGCCTCATATGGCGGCTACAGCATGCCGGCTACGGGCCCCCAGGCCGCGTCGGCATACCCCGTCGGCGGCGGAGGCGCATACGGGGGCTTTGGATCTCCTGCTGCAGGCGTCAGTGGCAGGATGGGTGAGCAGGGAGGATTAAGGACAGGATGGCTTGCTGCGTTCGGGACGGAAGGGTACGACGGCGAGCCACCGCTGCTGGAGGAGTTGGGGGTAAATTTCGAGCATATCAGGACGAAGGTATGCACTGAGTTGCTGTTTTGTTCTGTGGCAATGACGCTGTCGAGAATAACAAAATGCTAATAATACATGGTGGAATAGACATTGACCGTCCTGAATCCCTTTGCTCACATCGACCAGCACCTCATGGACGACAGCGACCTGTACGGTGCGATCCTCTATATCCTCCTCTACGGAACATTCCTTCTTCTCTCCGGAAAAGTGTTCTACGGCTACATCTACGGCGTCGCTGTATTCGGCGCATTCGCTCTCCATCTCATCCTCAGTCTCATGTCCCCGACGCTCGACTCCGTCAACTCTCCCGTCCCCAACGCCGCAGACCCCGATACCTACAACCCACACCAGAAGCCCAACAACGTCGGCCACTTCTCGTCAACCCTAACCTTCCCCCGCTCCGCCAGCGTGTTGGGCTACTGCTTCCTCCCGCTCGTCCTGACCAGTCTGATCGGCATCTTGCTCCCCATGGACACCATGTTCGGCTACCTCCTCACCGTCGCCGCAGTCGGGTGGTGCACGTACAGCAGCTCAGGCATGTTCTGCGCCGTGGGCCGCATGCGCGGAATGAGAGGTCTAGTCGCCTATCCTCTTGCACTATTCTATTTCGTTTTTGGAATCATGGGTATCTTCTCCTCGAGGGGTAGCGGTACTCTAGCGGCCAAGACAAGGACGGCGTGAGCTGAATTGGCATTGTTTCTTTTTTTTTTTGCCCCCTTTTCCGCTTATGCTTTTTTTTTTCTGGCTTGAAGCAGAATTATCAATCATGAAATCTTAAAAGAACTTGAGAATTACTATTGAAAAAAAGAAAAAAATGAATAAATATCGTTAACGATGATGAAATCCCGGTAATGTTGTTGATGATGTTGCATCTCTATACAGAAGAAGAAAGATATCACGGGAGTTATGCTTCATTCAAGTTAGGAATACTTGTCTAAAATTACGTATTATCATTCTCATACCCAGAGAGCTTAAGAGACCCCTCTATTTGAGCAATAGTTAGTTAGTCACTAGTTAAGTATTCCAAGTTTTTTGTGTCCTGTATTAGGTTAGGTAGTTAAGAGGAAATCATGCAATTGCTTACTCTAAAATGCTGATTAGTTACTTCCTATTAAAGAATATGATAAAAGACCCCTTTAAGTCTGAGTAATAGGAAGAGTATTGAGATCTGTTCTATTCTGTTCTATACCTCGATGAGAAAGAAGTCGGGAGAATAAGAAAATTATGTATAATCTAGTTAGTTAAGTAACTACCTCAATTAGTTAGTTATGCAGCGTCATGACTCGTCATCACTATTAAAAGACTAGACTAGACATCCTGATATAGTAATGGATGATCCTTGGAAATGTAATAATGGAATTAAATATAATGCCATGAAATTCAAATTCAGCATTAGATGCGATGCGTAGACTGTTATGTAGTCATTGCGTTAGCCTTGTATTATATTAAATGCATGCATGCAATATGTGATTCTCTTTTTTTTTTTGGGACGGGGGGCTTTTTTTAACTCGTTTTGACTTCCCCTTTTGACGGTGCCCAATTATTCAACCATTCTCGAGCTTTATCCAGATCTCCATTGACGGCTTCTAAGGCTGCGATGCACCATTCGATACCGTATGTTTTACCGCCGCCGCCGCCTAGAACTGCTCCTTCGGCGGCTATCATTTCAGCTAGGGTTCTTCTTTGCTGGCTGGCTTCGTCTGTGCAGAAGTAGAAGGGTGCTGTGTTGATACTGCCGGGTTGGACACTCACGGCGTCGATCAATGGTTTTACTGTGCGGAGTATCTCGGCCGTTGTCATGGGCGCTGCAGGGCCAGATGCAGGAGACATGTTTTGTCGTCCTGTTTTGCAGTATTGGTTCCGGCACCAGGGTTTACCGCATCCTGTCATCATTTGGGAAAGATATCGACGCTCGATTCTTCTTCGGAGGGCTTTACCTTCGGGATCATAACTGTCGGCGTAGAGAGGGCCGAAGCAAATGCTACAGAGACCGAGGGTGTCGTTGGCCTTGTTGTTGGCGCTGCTACCGCGTCCGCCTTCCAATGTGCGGCCACAATTCCTGTTCAGGCATATGCGAGGAATGGGGCGAGATAATCGATTCAGGTCGTGGTGTCGGAGATGTGTCTTCATGTCCCTTAGACGGATGATCTTGTTGCACAGATGACACTCTGTCGTGCGACCACCGTCGACAAGTTCATGTGGAGTAAGACCCGAAAGCAAGACTTCAGGGTCGGCCATGTCTGGATCTGAATCGCCTTGTTGCGGCACGACCAGATGACAGAACTGACATAGGATCGGCTTTCCAGGACAGGTTGTCGTGCGGTGATGTGCCAACGTAGGAAGGCCTTGAGCTTCGAACGGACAGTTCGGGCAATAGTGCACCTTATGGACGACCATATCGTGCTTTGCCTTGCTTGAGGCATCATTTCCATAGGCATCATCATGCGGGCAGTGCCAATGATTCTCCCATTCCGGGGACCTTTTCTGGAACACATTCCCACACCGAGGACAATGAACATTGTTCCTCAAGCAGAAATTCTCGTGCAGAAACAGCGTCCGCTGAGGAACGTATTGGTGGCAATTCTTGCACTGCACCTCGTCGGGACCGTGGGCAGGTGGCTCTTCGCGAGATTCCTCTTCAGCATGAGCAGAAGGCGGGCCCACGCGTAGGTTGTACTGCATCGGAGCTGCGGCCTCTTCCTGAGACGCATCCGGATCGAGAAAACCATGCACGGAGACATAGAGAGACTCTATATCTTCCAACTCCACATTCGTCGGCTCAAGTCGTATTCGCTTCGGCGATCTACTCGAGAAATCACCAAAGACATGCTCGTCGTCCCGCGGCCGTGATCTCTGCCTTGACGAAAAGGGACTGACGAAAAGATCAACATCTGCTTCATCTGCAATCTCCAGCTCAATCTCGATGGGCTGTGTCCGATCCCACTGACGAAGCTCGTAATCCACATATTCTCCCGGTAGAACCTGGCCAGCGACGGGCTCGCCGAAGGTGACAGGACCACCAGTTGAGCTACCTCCCTGCAGACCAGGGGCCCTCGAGGCGTTCTTCATGATCTTTTTCAGCGTCTCCCTAGCCTGCTCCTCATTCAGCGGCTCAATATCCACCTCGAGATCCGTATCCACGATACAGATCCCATTTCCTTCCGGTCGAACACCGTCAATGAGAAACTTGAACTCTTCCCTCCGGGGCCCAGAAACCGTCAAAAACTGTCCCGTCGTCAATGTCGTGAAGTTATCGCGCAGATACCGCTCCAATAACGCCTTCCAATCCTCGGGATTATACCCAGCTTCCAACGGCCGTAGACGCACATAGGTCCCCTTGGGCAATGTCTTCGCACGCACCGTCACCCTCGGTAGTCCTGACTCCGTCAATAATGTCGAGGGAGATCCATCCTGATACCCCCCAGCCCCATTTGAAGCATGTCCCGCCGCAGCGCTGCCATTCATCGTGGGCGCAAAATCACCATCCTCCAGCCCCAGCGCATGTCGCAAAAAGGCACTAAGTCCAATTTCATTCTCCTCCGCTGAAAACTCGCGAATGCCAGCGTAGATTTTCCGACCATTCTGCTGATTCTCAATCTGAAACGTCAATGGCGTAGGTAGTTGTCTCTGTCGATCTGTGGCTTGTTCTCGAGCTCGCGCCTCCGCGGCAAACGTGTATGGATTAAACGGGTCGAATTCGCGCGTATATGTCCGCGACGCAGAATGCGATGTTGTTTCCGTAAGCGGCGCAGCTGCAAGAAGCTGCTCAAGGGCTGATTGAGGAAGAAGTATCTTATCGCCTGGGAGCTTGGGGGTGCGCACTGGCGGGGTGACGGTCAGTTGGGATGACCATTTTAGAGAATCGGGGTCGGTTGTTGCCGTCATTTTCTTTGGAGGGGTTCGTTTTTTTTACTGGTTGTGATATGTTGAAGTGTGAAAAGAAAGACAAGGCATTTTTTTTTTCTTTCTTTTCCCTTTTGCCTTTCTGAACTGAAAGATTAATGTTCCTTTCGAAGAGAGCCGTGTTTTCTGGAAGATACCGCGGATCAGGTAAGGCGTAGTTAGTAAATGAGTGATAACTTGGCGGGGTGGCGAGTCAGCGAAGCACGGCGGGGGAGCTGAACTTCTCATCAGGAGCAACACTCGCTCTGCTTTCACATATACCATGTTTTTTTATATGGAAGCAACTAGCTAGTGATTGATTGATTGATGAACTCAGTCCAGTCTCTGTTTTTGTTTATGTCTTCGTCAAGGCAGTTCTCTTCTGTCTGACGTCATCTTCACCATAGCTAACTAGCTAACTATCATTCATTTCTCGTACAGGATAGCTACACAATAACTAATACACTATAGTTACTGGACATATCCACATAAATCGGTGTTTCTGGACAGATTTGACTGAAGCAAACCAACCGAACAGCCTCACACGGCTCAGACAAGAACCGCAATTTTCATAGCTTTAAGCAGAATGCGTTCCAAAACATGAGCGGGGTGCCTCAATTCAATTTTGAAATGGAATGAAAGAACTAGGGAAATAATCGTCGCCAGGACTTCTTCAGATAGAATCCCAGCGTGAAGCCAAAAAGGATTAAAAAGGTAAAACATCGCTCTCAGAGACGAGATAGTGTAAGTCGGGCCCAGCCGATTCTCAGGCGCGGCGATCAACAGGGGTATATAAGTCATAATAGCTTTCAGCTTTCGTTAGAAGAGGCATGCACGTCCGCCACTCTTCTGTTCTGTAGGCATCGACAGGAGAGATCGACATCAGTAGAGGTCTCCCCTCAGACGACGAGAGCTCGTGTTACACCAGTCACACTAGAAAGGGTCGAATAGTCAGCCAAAGTCCTCACGCTAAGACATGGACTGGTTGCTACGTACCATTCGTGCAGAGCATCCCTCGTTGTGCTCGACGCAGTAGTCTCCCCGACAGCCTTGGCAAGTTCGCTGGGAGTCAAGCTTGCAGCTGGCACACTGGATCAATGTCAGATATATCGTCGATGATGACGACAGGAGCCCGATTCTTACAGTAGGACCACATTCCCAGCAATCTCTGCTCACACCAGGACCAAGACGCTAAAATTAAAAAACATCGTTAGCAATGCTACGAGCCCTAGACATGGTATCTATTGTTAAAGCCATCACTCACCCTGCGCTCTTGCTCCTCAGCTTCCGCAGTCTGGTTGGTACGAGACCCCCGGATCGCTGTTTGATGAGGCGACAGACTTCTGATGTTGACCCTTCCAGGTTGGGGAAGACAGGACGAGCAGAACCACTTGTTACAGCGATGACACCAGCGGTCGGTCAGACAGTCGACGCATCTGGCAAGCAGAAGCGGGCTGTCATGCCCAGGCATGACTGGACATCTGGCCGCTGAGATTTTGGAAGAATGCAGTGGCGGAGGACTGAGCAGAGGGAACTGCTCCTCCGGGGACTGGCCCCAGGTTGCAAAGCCTTCCGGGGCTTTATGGCATCTGTCACAGCCACTGGGTCCAAGTGCTACAGTTGCGATAGCAGGTCCCAGCAGGCGACCCTCTGGCTGAGGCCCGCTCCCGCTGCTGGAGGTGTAGAGATCCACGTTATGTCGAGGTCCACGGCACAGCACCGCGTCAAAGGATATGATACCCTCGCATTTCTTCAGAGTTTGCGCCCAGCCATCTTCGATCGAACCCCTCAGCAGCTTTCCAGAGGGCTTGTACCAGTCGTCAAGACTGGAGTCGCTGTCCGGAGCAGCAGCCCTAGTCTCCGCCGAAGGGGACGCAGAAGAAGCTATCTGAGAGCTCCACCAGTCTCGATATTTGGCCCGAGATGGAGAGCGCGGCGCATTCTTCGCAGTGAAATGGTAGATCCCCTTCACTTTCGGCATGCCCTTGGGGCGCGTTGGCCGGACCGCATGCTGGAGAGTCTGCATGAGCTTCCGCTCGTTGAGGTGCAGGCATTCTCTGATGGAGAGGATGGTGACATTGAACCGATCGGTCAGCACAATATCGGCGACCAAGTCCGCCGGGACCGAAAGACCGTCTAGGATAAGGGTGCGGACATCCTGGAGGATGGACCGCCGTCCAAGATTGGAAAAAATCCCCCGCAGCGGTCCCGAGTAGAACTCGTCTTCTGTTAGAGACTCGTCCATGCGCTCGTCAATGGGAGATATCCGCGGCAGCTGCGCGCCCCGGCATCGAGACAAATCGAGGTATCGGAATACGTACGGCGTCCCGAAGATGGCGGAATGCATGCGTCGCGAGGTCGCGGCCAGCGACAGCAGGGACGAGACCGATAGATAAGGCGCCATGTGGTCGAGGATGAGGTTGTTCGACAAGACCTCCACCAATGTCGGGCGCGGTTCCGCCAGCATTGTGACCATCGGTTCGTCCTGATCAACGACGGTATCGTCATCGTCGGACGAGATCTCTCGCGCAGTTGTCACCAGGCCCAGATCCTTCGCCGTCATGGGCTGGGTGCCATAGACGAAGTGCGATGCGCGATCTACGAGGTTCTTGCGGTAGGCGGCCATGGCGCCGGCGGTCACCTCATCGCCCAGCATCATCACGGGTAAGGCATTGGGCTGGATCTCCTGCAGAGCGGTTCTGGCCTTGCCCAGCTCACTCTCGAGCAGGGTAATGGTGGATTGTAAAACCGCAGGCATAGCTCGGATGTTGTGAGGATCTATAGCCGTAACAAGGGTGGACCATAGCTCTCCGTCGGACATACTTCAGCACGAGGGAGCGGCCGCAATATAACTTATCACCGCGGACGGGGAACTCTAAGCAACTTAAGCGAAATGGCCTGTAAGTTAACGACAAGCGAGTCGTCTGACCAAGCTTCCGGGGGAAAGAAATCTCGACAGCTCAACCCACGCGATACGATACTCTGGCGATAGCAGCTGGTCGACGGCGATATCGCGATGGGGGGCCCGGCTTATCCGTGGCGGATCTGGACGCAATGGTGTGGGGGCAAAGAAGAGTCCGAGAAGAAATAAAAATAGTTTAGAAGCCCAGAGGCAAAGAACCGGTCAGGGACGGATTGCACCGAAAGGAGGAAAGTCTGGGGTAACAAAAGTAGCCGGCGAGATTTAGTTCAGTTCGGATTGAAAGCTGATCGGAGGAAGAAATAATGTCGTGCGAGTGGAGCAGCGCCAAACAAGAACGTATCGTATCTATCTGAGTTTCTTTCTTTTTGTTGGGACGTCTGCGTAAGTGGTAATTAAGTAGTAGTTATTATGAATATGTAGTAACTGTCTCTCAGCCGTTGGAGACCCGTGGGATGAGTGAGTTCAATTGGCAGTATGTAGTAGAGTTGCAGTGTAGTGCTAGTATAGTATAATATATTCACCGTGCTGCTGCTGCTGCTGCTTGATGATTATTGTCACCATCTCCCAGGGGATGATATTTCATATTTAATATCACTGCCCAGACAATCTGGTGGCACGCCAAGATCTGGAGCTGAGCACGATGAAGCGCAAGGAGGAACTGGCACTCTCTGGCCCAGGCAGGGATTGCAGTATACTGTTTTTCTAGACTGCTTGGCGTCCAGGTCGACGATGATTCCAAAAGCCACCGTTGACTCGTGGGGATAGCGTGATGACATGGTGATATTAAACAATAATAATAATAATAATATTCTGGCAGCTGTCTCTGGCTGTTATTGCACCTCTGCTGATCCCCAGAAACAGACAGATCCAGGATGGGCGTGGGGGAATAATGAACGGCGACTCTAAGCACGAGTAACATCACTCCAACAGAGCATCCGATCATCTCGAGTTTCTTTCTTCTCCAACTCCAAGGCTGTCTGCAACGACGATCATCGATCCTGATCGGCTTCGCTTCTCCACCGGCAAAAAATCTGCCTTGGTCACGCGCAACCGCCAGCGACGCGTCAGTCTGTCAGATCTTCCTCAGATTCAATAATCGGCGGTTGTTTGCAACGCTATCTTCCTCACACCGCACGAGCTAGCTGAAAAATGTCACCGGTAAAGACAGGGTCAATATGCTAGTTAGTTAGTACTACTAGTATCTGAGTAACTAAGGATTCCCGCCTTCCGCTCCTCTCAACATGTATCTAAGTACAGAGTGGTGAGCAACTATCTAGAGTACGGAGTAGAATAACCCGGTCCGTCTCCCGCATCTCCCGTAGGTAGTCTCTCTCCCTCGGCCCCTTTTTTGCTCTCGAGATTCTCTTTAACTATCTCTCTTCTATACTAACTATTCATTCATTCTTTCGTGACCAAGCTATCTACTCCGTACTATTGTACAGACCGTATAGTTACTACTCTGGAGCTCCCGTCTCACCAAACATACCCCAACCCCCTCCCCCTTATTCTATCCAACCATGACTATTCCAAAACCACAAGTCCTGTCGTGTCAGCCTCCCGCCGGTCGTATCTCCTGAGCCCAGACAGATCCTCAGAAAAGCAAGGCTGCCAAGGGTTACTCCCCCCAACTCTTGGCTCTCTTGGCAAGCTTCAAGTTTCTGGAGTTCTGTACTCCTGCACCGTCGATCTGGCGTTCAGGAATCCGTGCCAAGTAGCGCTATCAGAACCAGAGGAGGTCCAGAGCGAGGCGGCCAAGAGAATACTATACATAACTTATGCTTGCTTGGTTCGTTATCAATAATACAATAATACAATAATAAACGTTTTTACTATTATTGCTGCTCAGGAATTCCACATACCATTTCAATATCTGCTCCGTATTTTCATTTCTATTGATTCTTTTTTGACCAATGGAGGAAATTAGTAAATGGCGGCTAGTCTTGCTATGCTATGCAGTGATGCACATACATAGCTATGCTTGGCATAGTTAGTTACTAGAGAGGTACGGAGTACAGTATGATAAAAATACCTACGGAATAGTTACTAATAAATACTAGTTAAGTTAACTATATCCCAATGATGCACTCTTATCAATGACAATAATGACATGTCATCTGTGCGACAGCACGAACTGCCCCGGAATTTTCGTATTAACCCTTTTCATTTTTCCACATTGAGCAAGTCCCTCAATACCTCCCGTATGGTATATACATACAATGAATAGGAGATAGGCGGTGTGGGTACGAGATCCTCAGACTCCGAAGAGTAGAGAGAGAGTATGGAAGTAGAAATCCGGTTCCTTCCATCACTCTACTTACTTAATTAATCAGGTCGATAACTAGTTACTTATGTTGAGGACGGAGTTTCTCGCTTTGCTTTAACCTGCTTCTGCAGCTTCTGCTTAGATGATTAGTTATTATGGCTTGCTCTCTTGAACTTCACCCCTTTTGCGCTTGGTTTTACCGTCTCGGAACAGTAGACGAAATACATGAACATTCACCCCTGACGCGTGCTGTTGTTGGTGCTTCTTATTATTTGGTGAAAGTGTGTCGTTGGTAAAAAGATAGATACACTGTATGAGGTACTAATATGGAGTTTACTCTAACTACCTAACTATGTAGTTCCTACATACTGTCTGGCGCTAAAACCAGAGGAGGTGGGTTGACATAGTATGATTTAATGGCATTATTTAGTTATCGTCGTGTATTTATAACATCTTACTTTCTCATCGATCTCCTGAACTATAGCAGGATGGAGGACTTTTTTCATTTCTCAAATGTAGGCTTCATTAGCACATTATTAGGAGATAGTACATGTATATTTTATCTCTTCGATCTAACCAAACGTCTGATGTCTGTAAGAATACCGTTCGTAATGTCTCGTAGGGCGCCAACGCTCTCGACCTGTATATATATGTTATTCACATGATCAGCAGCAGAGAATGGGGATATGTATCTATATCTATCTCTAGATATATAGATATTACATTGGGGGGGAGGACTTACGACTGGATAAATGACGCATATAACCATGCTCGTCCAAACCCAAATAAAAGACACAACAACCCACCCGGTGAAGAATGACTTGTTGAAGATATACCTGGTTCCGAATAGGGTGAACGGGACCAGAATAACAGCCACGAGCAGAAAGATCGTGTTGGCAGCGATGGCGAGACGCTCTGCCTTACGTACTAAAACAGGGTCCATCGGATCTATATGCGGAGCGTCGTCAAGAACTGGCTCTTCGTCCCCGTCCCCGGCAGTACTAGACACTGGCTGGTCGTCCGTCCCAGGTACCGTGGCAGAGGCCTTCTCAGACGTCAATGGCCCGGCTTTATCATCCACGATGGCTGTCGGTTCGTCTTGACGTTGAGTTGCGTCTTCGACGTCGTGGCTGCACGTCTGGGATCTCCCTAGTGAGATGCCTTGGATCTTGTTCATGCGGCTGATATGCTTCGGGTCCGTAGAGACATATTTCTTCGGGAACGCATAGGTTAGGATAACTGCCATGATCGTTCCAACTCCCCAGGATGTGATGTTGCCTGCAACGGCATTGGTGGCATCGCCTGTACTGGCCACAGTGATCTCCCCTGATCTTTTCCACGTCACGATGAACCACGCAATTACTCCACAGACAAGTCCTATCCACGGAGATACAATGGCCGCGACGGTCGACATGCGGCGCCACAGAAGGATCATGCCCACAGGGACAGCGCCACAGAAGGATCATGCCCACAGGGACAGCAGCACCACCGACGATTACGCCCAACACTGTCAGTAACCAGGTCAAGCTTAATCCGACTTCGTTCAAGATGGTGCAGAAGACGGCGAGAACAACGGCATATATTACAATGCCCCAGTGGCTGATCCGAACCAGCTTTGTCGACGATGTCTGTGGACGGTAGTAGGTCTTGTATATATCGAAGGTCAAGAGTGAGGAGACGGCAATAAGCTCAGCGGACGTGGAGCTTGTAACTGCCATGAAAAGAAGGATAAGTATCAGCACCGCGCCCCCCTTTCCCAGAAGAGCTACAGCCGTCGCAGGCGCAGATAAACCTGCATTGACCTGTTCGGCTGAGAGAGGGTTTGGGTATGTTGGGAATTGTGCACTTCGTGTCAGAGCGGCACATCCCAGGCCCATTGCGCTGGCGAATCCAAAAGGAATGCCTGTTTCCTTGTCAGTTCAACCCCAGAAAAAAAAAAAAAAAAAAAAAAAAAAAAACCAGAAACAGGGAGTCTGTTCGTCTTACCGTACCAGGCGATTCCGCCGAGAATATAAGCTTTCACTGATGACTCTGGTCTCGAAGCAATTGCGCGCTGCCAGTACGCCTGGTCTAGCCACACTGTACTGAACCCGGCCACGAATATGTCGATAGCGAATACGAGACCCCCGACAGAACGAAACGCCAGATACGACCCACCGGTGTTTGTATCAATTGGCATATCCTTCGACGCTTCCACAAGCAAGTCGTAGAATTTGGCTGGGCTTCCAATGAGATCGCTCGTGGAGTAGACCAGAAAACCAAAGACCAAGATAACTATAAACAACAGGACTGTGTGAGTATAGTCGGCGATTAGTGTTGAGCGTAATCCGCCTGAAATAACATAGGCTGCAACCACGAATGGGATCAGAAAACATGCAGCGATCACGTTCATTCCGGTCAGGGCTGCAACGACTTGGGAGCCGCCTAGGACCAGACATGCACCAACTAGGAGATTAGTTGCAAGTCCATTGAAAAGATAGGTGATGTGAGCAATCTTTCCATGCCGGGCCAGGATGATCTCAGGGAACGTATGTGCACCCGGCGCATTGGCCTTGATCTTGAGGGCGATGAGAGCGAAGAGCAAGACTTGCAGCGTCCCCATGGCACCGTACCACATAGGGCCGCAGACTCCATAGGTATAGGCAAAGGTCGAACTCGTCAACAGCGTCGCGGACCATGTCCATGAAGAGACAATGCCAGCAGAGATCAAACCTGGCTTGACAGAGCGGGAAGCCGTGTTGAACTCTTCAGCTTGCGCAGTCGAAAATGATGTATAACGATTCTGAAGCCAGGTGAGTCCGAGCATAAACAACGCAAAGACCCCACCGATACCAATAACTATTCCATACCCGGCCCCCGGTGGTAGGACCTGAAGCTCGTGTCCTGCCATGGTCGAAGGAAGCCCCGCGACGAGCTAGGTGGAACTAAGAAGCCCAAATCCTGCAAGGATGTAAATTAAGTGTCATGCTGGGAAATGTAGTAGACGCATGGGCCGATATATGTATCTGGATGCCGAATGATTGTAGCATGTCGGCGATGATATTCGTTATCAAGGCCTATCAACGATATCTAGTTATCTCCTGTATGGTTGGAAGCTGTCAGGGCGCTAATCGCGACCTTCTGGTCTAGCCCCGGTGCAGATCGTACCCGTGCGCCAGTAAAATGTTTGTCTGTTGACTGATAAGAAACTGAAAACGAGAAAAAGAGACGCGATCGGGACTGTTGACTTGGAAGTACTACCGACCTCCCTAATCGGGTGATGCCTTAAGAGGAACCCGCTCGACTAGCTACCGAATCTACGGGATAGATATACATTCTCCGACTCTCTGAAGTGCGGCAAGACGTCTCTCATAGTCAAACGGTGCACTGAACGGTACATAGATGTCGCTACAGTAGTCATTATTGCCAAGCTGCGAAGGGTGTGAGCTCGGTATGGCCATTGCACTAACCATGAATACATACAAGTACATGCCGTCTAGAGTCCGATGCTTCAGAAAATAAGGCCTTTGATACCGATGCATCGGTACGGCCCGTAGAATGACCTCCCCATGCGCCAATTACTTCCAGAGCTTGCCCAGAGAAACCTCCTTGTCGTCATGCTTGTTGAGAATCTTAGCTGTCGCCAGCTCGAAGTCCTCTTGCGTCACGTGTACACGCCGCTCACGCAGCGCATACATACCTGCCTCAGTGCACACACCCTTAAGCTCAGCGCCTGAACAGCCGTTCATCTTCTCTGCGATCTTGGACAGGTTGATACCTCGAGTGAGGTTCATCGACCGCGAGTGAATACGCAGAATGTCCGCACGAGCCTCCACCCTGTTGAAATAGTCAGCATATACCATGAAATCAAGAGAGTACAAACAAGATGTACGAAACGGATCAGGACGACTCACGTTGGCGGGGGGAATTCAATCTTTCGGTCGATACGTCCCGGTCGCAAGAGGGCTGGGTCGAGAATATCGAGTCGGTTGGTGGCCATGATGACCTTGATATTCTTGGTAGGTTCAAATCCGTCGAGCTGGTTCAGCAGCTCCAACATAGTACGCTGCACCTCCGAGTCACCTCCGCTGCTACCTTCCACACGGCTCGAACCGATACTGTCGATCTCGTCCATGAAGATGATACTGGGCGCATGCTCTCGCGCCATCACGAACAGCTCGCGCACCATTCGACTACCTTCACCAATGTACTTCTGCACCAGCTCCGATCCACTCACTCTGATGAACTTGCAGTCTGTGTGGTGGGCGACAGCTCGAGCCAGGAGGGTCTTACCCGTTCCGGGCGGACCATAGAGCAGCACACCCTTGGGCTGTGCGATACCAAGTGACTCGAACAGTTCCGGGTGCTTCAGACCCAGTTCGATGACCTCTTTGATCTCCTTGATCTGCTGATCTAGACCTCCGATCATGTCGTATGTACTGTCGGGCACCTTCTCCACCATCATCAGAGAGACCAGAGGATCCACTGAGGAAGGTAGCATCTTCTCCAGTTTGTATGAATCCGACAGCAGTGACACTCGCTTTCCGACTGTCAGTTTCGCGATATCAACGCCGTCCGCGATATCGACCACTAGATGGGGCGGATACATGTCAGCCAGATCTTGCACTGAGTCCCCCCGAGGCCAGCAACACACTCACCATATTTGCCCTCCGGGTGTACCTTCACCAGCACCTTCTTGGTGCTCATGACCTTGACCACTTCGCCGACATAGGAACCGGGTTGCTGGAGTAGGCCCAGTTCTTCTCGTAGCAGGCGCACTCTCGAGTTGTAGTCATTTCGCTGCGCCTCTAATCGTCGTAGAACCGCCTGTCCCTGAATAATCTCGAGCTTGAGGCCCTCAATCTTGTTGCGATAGTAGTTGTCGAGAGCCATGATGGGCGGCGGATGGCAAGGGAGACAGGCTGCGGGCAGTTGGAGATGAGTTCGATAGGAACTACTAGGAAAGCCCAGGCTGATTGCCAGAGGCGGGATCGTAGCACTGCAAGGCCTCACTGGAGAGTCAGGCCAAGGACGGGGATGGCGGGGTCGTAACAAAAGCGTGGGCGTGAAAGCTGTCAGTCAACAGCGGGCTGGCGTGTCTGGTCGGATGAAGCTAGATAGGCGAGCAGCAAGCAAGCAAGCTGGAAGCTGGTCGAGCGTCTTCACCAGCCACAGTTGCTGACATAACATAGTGCATCACCTGCGGTGGCTTGAACTGATGTGGCTTGACGGAACTGTCATAGTTGCCTCTTCGGGACTAGCGGCAGGCCGTCCAGGTGACCCAATCGCCCAATCGCAGATCGCGATGGCGGCAGCTGAGCTGAGCCTATCGGGCTGTTGTTGATGCCTCCAGCCAAGTCCATGCGCTGCTACTGTCTTCTCCATCCTGTCTGACTTGCATCTGGGAGCTCCGCATGCCCAGGTCTCGTGCGACTGCAGGAATATGCGTCATCTTGCCTCCAGAGGTATATAGTATTATCGAGTCCAGGTGTCAATAATAACTGCTTATCTGCTTAGTTTGGTCGCTGAGATAACCGCGTCCTGCGATATTCGCGACGGAGAATAAGTCGACTGGAGCTGGCTGAGTGATCTGCTGAAGAACGCCCCCGCAACATGTACATTGGGCCTTTAGGGTCGACTATCGCCGGTTCTTTCTAACGGCGTGGCCATTGGACACTCACGCTGTGCGTCCCTCTTTGACTCGTGTCCTCCTGCCCTAAGGCTGTTGCTTGACTACAAGACGACACGAGTGCCAGCACGATGACGACGGAAGGAAGCGACGCCTCCTCTGTGGAATCCCATGGACACTCTTTCAGATCCTCTGAGGCACCCCGTTTCTCGTCTATTGTACGGGCAGACGATGAACAGTCTCCGGACATGGCTCGTCCAGCCAGGTCCGCTGAGAGAACAAGGCCGAATTATGGTATCTTTTTTCCCATTATCTCTCTTGCTCATTCTTCTCTTCATTACAGAGCTGACGCCCTTTTCTTCTTTTCCAAATCATAGGATCCATTGGACCTTCAAGTTCAAGTATTCAAGAATCTTGTACGGATCGAGACCCGCAAGATGCCTTCCAGTCCTCTTCTGGCCGTGGTCAGCCGTCGCAATCGCCCTCCATAGCGCCGATGCAGGCGGATAGAGCGCGGAAGCCTGCCGTGTTGCGTCGGATGTCATCAAAGAAGCCAGGACCCCATCGAGGGCAGGAATTCTCGACAGACGACGATATCGCGGAGGTCGTACAGGATACCTCATTGCCGCAAGCAGCGATCCCTGAGGCTTCCCCTAGAATGCGTCCTCTAAGAGAAAGGAGCTCCACCATTAGGCGCAGAGGGAACGCAACACCCAGCGCGCTGGCACGACATGAGTCGAGTCGGAACGTCGACACAGAGCCTGGGCCAGATGAACCTGATATAGATGACTCTGGCGAGCCATCATCCTCACGAGGACAAGAGGACGACCAGCGGGAAGAGGGTGATAGCAGCGATGCGGAGAGCTTCACATTAAAAGATCGCCAGGATGCGATCAACGAAACACACCCGTTTGGGATCAGATTATGGAAACCTGCCCTTTACAAAAAGAATCGGTCCGTCGATAAGACTGCAGAAGGTGACATCCATTCGTCACCCGGAGGTCGCGTGAACAATCTCTTGTTCTTGGTCAACTTACTATGGACATTGTTCTTTGGATGGTGGCTTGCGATCGCCGCATTCATAGGCGCTATCGCCTGTTTCCTCTTCGCTTTTGCGCCCAGCGCCGTGGCTTATGGAAAGGTATTTTTGGGACTCTCGCGCTACTTAATCTATCCTTTTGGATCGTTTGTACGCCTGGACGCCGACGAGAACTACGCGGAAGAAGATGAGGGCGAAGGCCGCAGCATCAGCGAATACGAACAGTGGCAGAGCGGTGACATCGAACATGGCCGGCTGTTCTTTGGCCCCCCTAGCAATAGATCCCTTATTGGCCGTCGTAGGAACAGTATCGACTCCGCCATCAGTGAACATGACAGTCTTCTTGGGCGGCCCAGGAGAGGCGAGCACCGCGAGCGAGCCTATTCCCATGCGAAGCGCCGTCTGTTCGGCCGTGGGGAGTGGACGCTTGGTCGTGTTGTGTTTTTCACATTCTACTACTTCCTCGTCGGCCCGCTAATGCTTGCTGTCTCTCTCGTGTGCTGGATGCTTGTCTTCTGGATTCCTATGGGACGCGTCATGCTCATTCTGTTCGACCATCTTCGTCGACATCCTTTGGCTCTGTCGTTCCACTCTGATACAACATCCTCAAGGTCGAGTTCGTCATCTTCGATTCTCCTCTGCACGTACCGTGCTGCAGGGACCCGGTATTGGAAATATACTGTGGATGGAACCAATATCTTCTTCATAAATCTTCTGGGAGTGGTGCTTTTCGTCATTGTCGATTACTGGATTCTGGGCGTAACTCTCGGAATCGACTCGTGGTTGACTCACCCAGGTCTAATATTTACTCTCGCGCTTATCTCGATCATACCTCTTGCATATTTCATCGGTCAGGCCGTGGCATCTATCTCAGCCCAGTCGTCCATGGGTCTGGGTGCGGCTATTAACGCTTTTTTCTCCACTATCGTCGAGGTCTACCTATACTGCGTTGCCCTGAGTGAAGGTAAAGCCCAGCTTGTCGAAGGTAGCATTATAGGTAGTATTTTCGCGGGTATCTTGTTTCTCCCAGGATTATCTATGTGTTTTGGAGCTATTAAACGCAAGACCCAAAGGTTCAATGTTAAGTCGGCTGGTGTTACCTCGACCATGCTGCTATTTGCGGTCATTGCCGCATTTGGGCCCACACTGTTCTACCAAATTTATGGTAGTGTAAGTGACAATGATTCCTAGATCCATCCTGACGGTTGCTGACAAGGATATTTCTGTTGTAGCACGAGCTCAATTGTCGATCATGCGTGAATCCAGGTCGCAGGGAAAGAGACTGCCGTCGTTGTTACTTTTCTCAGGTCCCGGCCGTCAACGATAAATTCTTTATCAAGGCCGTCCAGCCCTATTCGTGGTTTTCGGCAGTATTTCTCTTCTTGTCATACGTTATCGGTCTTTGGTTTACTCTCAGGACTCATGCCGCCCTCATCTGGGCCACGGAAAATGACGAAAAGAAGGCGGCAAACTCTGCCATGGAGTCGTCACTATACGATGGCCGAATTCACGAGCTCGCCAATGGACCCCACCCGACAAGCAGCAGCAGCAGCAATCTGCATAAGAATTCCATCCGAGATTCGCAGTTGTATAAGCGCATTCTGGGCCAATCCTTGAGACAGGTTGGTCTATCAGACGGCAACCTGGAGGGTAGCTGGACACACAGTGATACCACCACTATGCCCGAGAATCTCACCCCGCATGTCGTACCTCCCAGGGGCGGTGATGATGACGACTTCCATTCCGGACTGAACCTCCGTGGCCTCTCTGATGAAGAAAACGAGCGTCTCGCGCGTCAAGTAGCCGAAGTAGCTGCAACTGCTGCAGCGGTCGCGGCCCGTGATGCCACCCGGTCTCGAAAGCCATCCTTTGTGCCGCATGGCGGAGGGCGTCAAGGGCCTCGACATGCTCCTGAGCGTCCAACAACCGGTCCTGAGGAGCATGAAGACATGGGTATCGCCCTTGACCATGGTCAGTCCAGTGGTGGGCACGATGCTCCAAACTGGAGCAAAGCCAAGAGTTCCATTATTCTCTTGGTCGCCACATTCATGTACGCTGTCATAGCTGAGATGCTTGTCCGTACTGTGGACGTGGTCTTGCAGAGCATAGATATCGACGAGAAATTCCTTGGTATCACCTTGTTCGCGCTAGTGCCGAACACTACTGAGTTTCTGGTATGGCATCTCCTCCCGCCAGTTCGTGAAGATATTCGATGCAGAAACTGACGTATATAATCACAGAACGCTATTTCTTTTGCAATGAATGGGAACATTGCCTTGTCCATGGAGATAGGCTCTGCCTATGCTCTGCAAGTGTGCCTCTTACAGATTCCAGCGCTCGTCCTCTTCAGTGCTGTCCATTCGCGATTCATCGAGCCGTCGGAGCTCCTGAGCCATTCATTCAAGTAAGATATTACCAAAGCCCAATCAATCCAGTGACACCGTGATACTAACCAACAACCCAGTCTGATCTTCCCGCAGTGGGACATGGTTACAGTTATCCTCTGTGTCTTTCTACTCTCGTACGTATACGGAGAGGGCAAGAGCAACTACTTCAAGGGCTCCATTCTCGTTCTTACTTATCTCACCGTTGTGATCGGCTTCTATCTATCTGGGTACAACACCATGGAGACGATGGAAGTTGATCAATTCAACACCTTGGCTGTGGACCAGGGCTATTGCGAGACATTTCGCACTCTAGGAAGGGGTTCTAGCGGCCCTGCCTACTGATCTGTCTGAACCCAGCTCAAAGAGAGAGAAAAAAATAAGTACAAAAAAAACAAAGGGACACTATTTATCGAGACCCGCCCCATAAAGCAAAAAGAGCCTTGATGATATTTTTTATCAGTATGACGCATATGAGATTTTGTTTCATTTTATGCAATCTCTGTTCTCTTGTGTTGTTTTATCTAATCTTGCATGGTGCGGGGTTTGTTTCTCTGCTTTCTTTTTTCTTGCCCGTGGCGTTTATTATCTTGTTGTCTTTTTCTACAAATATTCTTATTCTCGCTGCATCTTTTTGCATTGAAAATCTATGTGTCTTTTTTTTTAGTCCATTTCCATGCATGTTTCTGGGCCATTGTCAATCTAAATGAAAAGCGTCTTCCTATACTGACTGGTGCATGTATGTATGTGTGTATATGTGTGTGTGTTGGAGGGAGAGCTGTGTCTTTTTTTTTACATAACAAAGCATTATTATTATTATCATTATTACTATTGTGCTTTTCTCTTCTTTTTTTATCTTATTTTATTTTAATTTTTGGCCTTTTTCTCTAAATGATATCCCTGTAATTCCCTACATACATATCAGAGAGAGTCTGCTTAATTGAATGCGATGATCCACTTATAACTATCGCATACTTTCCTAGAACTTTGCTCTGAAGGTGTAAAATTGTAAAAGAAGAGAGGAAGAAGGCTGCGCAAACTCCGATTAATTGCATATCAACCCCCGAAATAACATTTCCCCACTAGTTAACTATTATACTATGACTATACTATATATGTACTGTCGGCTATTATCCGCTTCATGATGCATTCATTATACTGGTTATCCTGATCCATAATACTAACCGTGACGTATTTCTGCATTCGTTTATTTCGTTTCTTTGAAGACTTCGTCCACCTTGCTGCGGAATTCTCGCTGCCTGTAGCATTGCTCCAGGAACACTTCATATTTGACCTTCAGCAGCGCCTTCTCGCGCTCATCCGTGGTGGGATCGACTTTCTTGCCGGGCTTGCTCATCCGGTCCATGATGGACCACAGATCTTCCGTCTTGCCCTCGGGGTCTGCGCTGGCTGCCTTGGCGCCCAGCATGGCAGCACCATGGCACACGGCGGCGTGAACATAACGGGGGATCAGAACGGGCATCTCACATGCGGAGGCAATCAGCTTGACCAGGATGTCGTTCTGGCATTGAGATCCGGACATGAAGATGGAGGTGAGGACATGACCGGCCTTGTTCATCTCCTCGATGATCTGCTTCGTCTGCAAAGCGATGAATTCTAGCGTCGCGTAGTAGTACAACGCAAGTCCGTCGATCGACTTATCAGCGGACAGACCGACGATGGAGCCTGACATGCGCGGATCCGCGATGGGAGAGCGGTTACCCCACAGGTCACCGTAGAAGAAGATATGTCGGCCCAGATACGAGATGCTTGGGGCGTTCTGCTCATGCATCATCTCCTTCAGGTGCTCGTTCAGATAGTCGTAAATGTTCGTATGATACGATTCGGCGATCGAAATGGCCTGGTTGAATGCCGGGTGCGTCTCGATAACGTGCTTCAGCAGTTCACCCGTAGCAGACTGTCCACCTTCAGCCATCCAATATCCGGGAATGATAGTGTCCTTGTACGGACCCCAGACTCCTGGGACAAAGACCGGGTTCGGAGACATGGCCAAATGACATGTCGACGTTCCTGCAACGGCAGCCAGACGGCCGAACGCCTGCGTCCGGTCGTTTTTCGCAACATCGGCCGCCAACTGTTCCTCGTCCAGGCTGACCTTGGCGCCGACAGTACCGATCCAACCGGCATAGGCATCGATCACACCGCTGCCGATGGCAATACCCGGCGGCAGGCCGAGTTCGTTGGCGGCCTTCTCGCACAGCGTGCCGACCAGTTCTCCTGCACTGAGGTATTCACCATTCTTCTCACAGTTAGCTAGCATGCACTTCCAAAGGGACCAAGGTATAGAAGATAAGTGAAAGGAAAGGGCTCACCACCCCCTGGACGCCGCCCATGCGCTTGAAATCATCCTCAACTAGGTCCTCCAGACCGATTTCTCGGAGGAAGTCTTCCTGCCAGCCCTTGACACTGCCGTCGACACCGACGGGGACATAACCCTGCTTGCAGACAACGCTGCAGAAGCTTCTCTTTTCCGTGCCCGTGGCAATGTGTGTCAGGGCATCCGCCAGGTCGTAGAACTTGCAGCGGTCAAAGAGCTCCTTGGGCATGTGGTTCTTCAACCACAGTACCTTGGGAATCTCCATCTCGATGGACATCTTGCCTCCGACATAGCGGAGTAGGTTGTGGTTCGTAGCATTGATCTTCTCGGTTTCCTCGACAGGACGGTGGTCCAGCCACAGGATGACGTTACGGTCTGTATCGAACTTGGGGCCGGTCACAGAGACGGGCTCATCGGTGTCCTCCGCGAAGACGGCCAGCGAGCAAGTGGCGTCGAAACCAATACCGCGGACGTGAGTTGGGTCAATGTTGTGCTGGTCAATGGCACGCTGCACGGAGACACAGATGCATCGCCAGATATCCGATGTGGATTGTTCCTGGGAAAAAAAAGAAAATGACCGCGTCAGTATCAGTAGTCCTGGAAGATTTGGACCATGGCGACATCTAAGGAAAAATGAGAAGAAGCACGTACATAGTAGCCAGTCTGCGGCTGCCAGAGGCCAATATTCTCAGAGGCCAATCCGACGATATCACCCTTGTTGTTGATGATACAGGCACGGGCACTGCCTGTTCCAACGTCGATACCGATGTAGTAATCCATCTGGACCTGGATCTCATCTCTGGGGTCTCTCGACATCTGCCGCGAGGACTGACGGCGGTAGGGAAGCGAAGAGGTCGCCATGGCTTTGTTTTTATTCTTGTCGATTAGAGTCCGGTCTGTCCTCTGTGAGCTTCTTGCAACCAGGGCAGGCGCCCACTGGGACGTCTACGGACCGTTCGGAAATGACGAGGACGAGTCTGCTGTTGACTTGTGAGATGTCTGAGTACCGCGAGACGTTACGCGAGTACCACGGTGACAGTCCCAGATTTGAACGGATCAATTGGTGACAGGAGCTCTGATGTAATTAAAGTTGTACAGTACGACAGGGAGAAGAACAGTGAAGCAGCGAAACAGAGTAAATCGAAGTAAGTAGTAGTTAGATATAGTAGTTGTAGTAGGAGCTTAGATCTAGAATCTGATGGACGAGAATGGACAACAATTAGTTAACGGCCGGAAACGGCGAGGGCGGTTGGGACGTCGGAAAGCTCGTATTCTAGATTCTAGAAGATGCAGAATGCCCTGTTGGTTGGTACGACGAGAGGGGCATTTTTTTTGGCAGGTTGGCTGGCTAACGAGCTATAAGAAACTAACGACTAGATAATATATTAATACACCGGCCCATCGAACTGAGGGGTCACGAGACCAGCCAGAACAATGCCATAGATTTGTCTGGACTTGGATAGCTTCTCGTGGTGTTTCCTCGGATCGCCAGTCGGTGTGCTGTGGTCCGGTTTGGAGGGGAACGACCGGCGTCCCCAGTGGCATCGGGATAGGCGTGATTTTGTGATATATATCAGGAGGAGAGTAACAATATCCTTAACTGGTTAATTAATTAATTATAACTCTATAACTAAATAACTAATTAATTAATTATCACCAATAAATACCTAGATAATAATACATACTTGCATGGATTCTGCCGCATGTTCTCCTCCGCCTTTTGGCTAATTGCGGGGACTCGATGAAGCTCGGGCCAATCTGGGGCGGAAGAATCCCTGGTTCTCGCCTTTCGAATATTACGCTGACCGCCCGCGGAAACCACACATAACTCCCCGTATCGTCACGTATCACCTATACCTACTTACATACGCCGACCTCACTGATGATACAGACATACGATAATAAATAACTAACTAATAAGATAGTTGGTAAAGAAGAATGACCCCCATCCACCTCTCACCATGACGCCTCTTTCAATCCTATATCTCTTCCTCTCCCTCGTCACCGCCGTCCTAGCATCATCTCCTTCTACCAACCTCCCCTCAGAGATCTTCTACTGGCCCATCACCGCTGCGCAACCTGCTCGCCTCGCTCGTCTCGCATACGACCCATCAACGCTCAAATCCACCCTCCTCGACTATACTCCTCCCGCAGCCGAACAAGACAAGGACAACAAGCAAAATGACTTGATCCGCATCGGTTTCTTTACCTCAACCCCGACAAACCCGAAGCAATGGGTCGGTAGTCTCGTGTCTCGATCTGCTCTCGTCAGCGCCGACGAGAAACCCGTCTTCCGGCTTCTGGTCGACTCTCAGAATAATGACTCCTATCATGTCTCTATGTCTTCGTCCAAATCCACTCTATCTCCCAAGAACAAGGACACCAACGCTGCTGATCCGGTTGAGATCTTCCGCTCTGAGATCCTGCCTCGTCCTGCACTGAATAGGCCTGTGGTTGTGAGTCCGGATGGAAAGGGTCCGGAGGAAGTGGTTGAGAAGACTTTGTTTCAGAAGTATGTATTCCCCTCGCCAGAAACACCTCTCTCTCTATGGGTTGAGTGGTTCTTGGTTTGGTTTGGTTTGGTTTGATTTGGTCAGGCTTGTCTTTGAGAAAAAATAATACTAATACTTACGTTGTTCTGTTAGGTACTGGTGGGTTTTGCTCATCATCACCTTCCTCGCTATGACGGGAAGTGCAGAGCCGGAGAATAAGTAATTGGTTCTGGTTTTCTTACATCCCTCCCGTGGTATAGTGGGTTTGTTTTATGGTGTTTTGAATCATGTAGAAATAAAGAATTCTTGCAATAATTATTTTCTTTTCTTTTTTCTTTCTTTTTGATAGATAGGGAGGTTAACCTATATCTGTAATGGGGACTGGATAGTCCTTTTTCGATTTCGGATCAGATTATGAGGGATGGTCCTTACTTAGTTATGGTATGGGCAACTGTATAAGTATAACTAACTAACCATGGGATAAGTAAGTAACTATGGGCGGAACCCCAAATCCACTACAGTATGATGGGTTGGTTTATATTGTCAAGTCAAGTCAATCTCACAATCTTACGTGGATGAAAAAGGCAAACGATGCCAATGTCAAGATATGGTTACATCTCCATATGAAAAGGGGATTCTTGTCATTATTCATTGTTTGCAAATCCTCAAAAAAAAGAAAATAAGAGCATATCTTAGTATGAACATGCGACCCTGAATTATCCGACCCTGACCTAGTTATCGGATTTTTGTCACCATCCAACAACTCCATACGCCCATGTATCCTTTCTTTTTCTTTTTTCTTTTTTCTTTTTTTTTCTTGCCTGGGGAAAATTATCATGTCTGCTGTACATGAATTTGAATTCGATTGCATTATCCCACCCGCTGTAGTAGTGGTAGAAGTAGTTGTAGAAGATCAAACCCGATCACTCTGTACCCATGTACCCCCGCGTCCATCCAGGTCCAAACTACGCGTCATCCTCGCTCCTGTTCCCCCTGGTCCAATGTCCCAGTACATGAGTCCACGGTCCGTCACTGCGAGTAGCTCGTCTTCGCGCGTCGTGAAACTCAGCTTGAAGCAGACCGCGTCCAGCTGGAGCACGATCGGATCCAGGTTGATGACCTTCAAGTCCTCCCGCAGCTTCGATGAGTCCGGATAGAATCCAGTGGCGTTCTCTTCGATCAGGACCTCGGGCTCGAGCGCCCAGATGTAGACCGTCTTCCAATTGGCAACTGCTATCCGGTTCCCGTTCGGTGAGGTTGCGACGATGCAGCCTACGGAGTTCGTTGCCACTGTCTCCTCTGGATAGTGACGCAGTCGTGCCACGACCTTCCAGTCGGTCAGACGGCGCCCACGATCGAGATTCACTACGTGGCCGCAGTTAACGGCGCGGCAGCGAGCTTCAGCTCTCAGGATACAGGGATATATCGACTGGTTGAGTCGATCTCTTCCCAGTCCGAATGCAAGATACTTCCAGTCACAGACCGTCACGTTCGTGTTATTGTTCGAGATTCGTGGAATGTCCTGCGTAGCATGCAGGGCAGCAAATGGAATCCCAATGGAGAACGTGAGAATCAGCTGAGGAGTGAGCCAGCTCCAGGAATAGTTGTGGCGCAGGCGCGATACCATCGAGAGCGTCCCATTGTCGAGAGATTGATAGTGATCATAGACAGTGCATCCAGTATGGTAATACAACAATTGACTGTCTCGGTCATTGAAGGTCATGTGGCTTACGGCCGACCAAGGCCTTGGGTGGAAGCTGGCATGGCTACGTCTTGCCGCATTGTTCACGTTAGCGGGTATATCGCCACCTTCATCAGCGATGACATTCGACACGTATCTCAGGCCTAAGGCAACGTTAGCAGTGGGTAACTATCAACTTTGTTTTTTCTTTGCCAAACTTGACCGGTCACGAACAGGTAACTGAGTTCTCCTCCGCTTGCGCATCGGGAATGCCGTCATACAGTACAACTTCATGCACGCTGCTGTCGTGGCTATGCTGCCAGGAAATGGCGAATTTGTACTTGTTGGCCACAGCGAGCGCTAGGGGCTCGTATTCGTCATGATCCGTTAGAGAATAAACAGTGAGGTGATCCTCGGACGAGTCAGTCTCGTAATGCACCACATACAGCTCAGGCTCCGGCGGTGACTGCAACGCCTGTCTGATAAAAGGGTGATGCATATCATCCTCGTTGGTTTCTATCTCAGGGATGAACCGGTGGAGGACAGCAACACTGTTGTCACTGGCAAAAGCCACTCTGAGGATCTCGATCCGTCCCGGCTGGTCGTAAGGTGGCCGCAAGACTCCTCTCGGGAAAAGCAATCCGTTCCTGGTGAAATAGGTACGGACTATCCCGTCCCCTTTGAAAGCCAGCGCCAGATTGACATTACCGGAAGTGGTAATCGCGCAGGCTCGCGGGTCGATGGCTCTTCCTTCGGCAATATGAAGCGTACGACTAGCACGGGCGTCTGCTCCATATAGGAGTTTTGCTGCACGCTGGCGAAGCAAAAGCCAGAGTTCCTTCGTCTCGAGAGGGTCTGCTAAGAGGGTCGAGCCAGGGGTCTCTTCCAGATGGTGGATGACCACTTCACGACATCCTGCAGCAGCCTCATAGAGCCTCCGGCAGGAGTAGGCTGCCTGCAAGTAGCTTGGGGTGTCGGCATAGTAGAAGATCTGCTGTATCAGCTCAACGGGGAGTTGAGACAACATTTTTGGATGCCAGATCTTCTGGTGCTTGACATGAATGAGTGAGTGTAAAGTGACAAAAAGAGAAGAAAGCAGTGATCAAGGTGATTTAACAACAATCAAAGCAACGTTTCCGTGGTATTCCGTGTTAAAGACCCCCGTTAACACGGCGTCAGCGCAGCTTTCACGACTGTTTATATACGGCTCGGCGTTCTAGCACAGCAGACCCCACCTGGCTAACATCGCATAAGTAGACACTGCTCCAGCCTTGTGGCAGTCCATGTGGAATAGATTTAAAAACCGCAGTAAATAGACAGATTAGTCCAGGCAGAAACGTGCACTGGAAGCGTTGGGATATCCGGATACATAGCTAGAGGTCCAACTTATGTGGCTCTGGGCGCGGAGATAAACCTCACCATTGGCGGCGGGTCTGGGCGCTGCCTAAATGTCCTAGGCAATAATGACGGCCAGTGTGGGCAATCAACAATGAAGTGCACCTTAAGTTACTAGATAAGAAGAGAATAATTAACCAGAAATTACAATAATAATTCTTTTGGATTAATATCTGCAAGTGTGCCCTGTGGAAAGCTAGCTGGATCCAGAGCCACATCCCTGCAGTCCAATACTCTGCTGCTCCTGCAAGATATAATAATTAACGCTACACTATGCACACAGAAGCCACTGGAAGAATATCAACAGACTTTGAGAATTAGCAATTCATACACGCCATGAGGGTCATGATTTCTGTGTCCCTATGCGCCTGCACCGTTTCTTTATACTGCTTTACAAACAATGGGGTATACATCAAATCATCCCGGTTTAACTCCGCACACCCCCCTGATTCGAGGATCTGCCGTCATCATCACCCATCCGCGAGACGAACCACTCCAGGACGCTCTCGTAGCAAAGTACGAATTGGCTCAGATTCTGGACCATACTTGGTCTCTGAGTGCGGAAATCCTCCACTGTTTTGGCGACTAGATCGACATCGTCGCCATAGATCCATCGGTTGCCGCCCGGGGTCGGCTGCTCCGCTCCACCAGGGGCTCGGCTTTCGGCTTGCTGGCGCTTCAGCATGTCCAATACACTGTCGACAGTACAGAAAGTTCCTGTCCGTCCACACCCGGCACTGCAATGCACCAGCACAGGGCGGCGGCCAGCCGGCTCTGCGTCCTGTGGGCCAGTATTGTTACTAATCGATCGTGCGATCTTGTTGCATTTCTCGACCAGTTTCAGGAGATGGGCCGGTTGGGATGTGGTCCCAAAGTCCGGCCAGTACGGGTACTGCAGCTGCGTGATCTCTCGGAGCGGCTGGAAAGGGAAAGCAGAATGCCAGAGCGTAAAGTGCCGCACAATGATATAAGGATCCTTTCCAGCAGACTCAGGGGCTTCTACCGCCCTTGTGCTCTGGCCACAACTGAGATAATCGGTGGTCTTCCGATCGTCGAGAGTAGGGGTCACATATGACGCATCCGGTTCCAGACTGTCCGAGTCGATCGATATACGCTTTTCAGCAAGAGTCTTGAGTTTTAGAGGCCCATAGTCCCCAGAATGCCAGTAAGGGTGGCACTTGACATGTCCTCTTTCGATTTCTGCCGTCAGAGCGACGATGACCCTGACATCCTGCTCCCAGACTACACGCCAGAAATCCTGCCATTCTGTCAGGAATTGCCCAAACTGAACCTGGAGGGGGGGAGAGAGAGAGAGAGCCAGATACGTACATTAAACGTGTCCGGTACTGGAGCCTGTGTGGCAATGTAACTCTTATTAGTATACTCCGCCTTGACGTGATTGGCGTTCACGTAGTCACATCCTCCCGACGGGACATTTTGTAACCGGACTCTCGAATGATCGAACGGATAGATATCGTTGTATCTGTTCTTCGACCCCTTCTCTATCCCAGCGACTCGGAAGCCTCCCGTGGGTAATTCGGGCCCGGGCCCATATGAGACCTTGGAAGAAAGAGCCTCGCGCATGCGATACAGCTCCCTCTTTTCAATGTCCAAGAATCTCTCGGAGACGGCGTGTCCGCGATCTCTGACGTCCGACGCATCACGAAGCCAGGATGGCAGCTGGTTCTTCTTTTCCTCGGTTAAACCATCCGGAAGCTTGACAGCCATCTGGCCCACACCGCCCACGAGATCCATGTTCTGACGAATGTTCCCGAAGAACGGGTTGGCCGCCGAGGACGATTCGGGCAGAGCGCAGCCGCCAACGACGGGCGCTATAGAAGGAAGATTGAGGTTCATCGCGAACGGTTTCTCAGTCACCTTACCTGGGGTGGCTTTTTTCTGCTGACCTTCAACCCGATCCGGGAATCGACTGGAGAAGGCAGCAAATCCGCCGCACAGAATCAGAGTTTCGCCAGCCCATCCATCAGCGCTGAATTTTCTCAGAACGTTCAATAGTTGACTCGCGTCCTGCATCTTGGATGTGTTGGCGTCGTACACGACAATGCGAGAGCACTCCTTCCATCTCGAGAATTTCTGTTTGTGCTCTTGGTCGGTGAAGGTGTCCTCGAGTTTGCTGGTGTTGAACGAGGGTCGTTTGAGAAGAGTGGTAGGAATACACAGGCTGAGGGCCCCCCGGACATGTCCCTGTGCAAAGTGAGGAAAGGGTCGCACATCGAGCACCAATGTGTCATCGGGCTGAGACATGATCTCCGCGAATTTGTCCAGCGGGATAAGGCGAGCGTTGCCATGTTCGAAAGAGGCCGGTAGCGTTTCCGCGCGTTTCGTGACGCGGAACCCAGACTCGGAGATCGAGCGTCCAATGCTGGATGGGTCCAGGGAATCTGAGCGATTCTGAGTGCCCTGCGGCATCTGTGGTGAAGCAAAGCGGGCAACGGATGGCTGGAAAGTCGTGGGTGGCGGGTTCATGCTCCCCAGTCGAAAGAAACCAGGGCCGGAGCCCGTGGACTGTGCAGGGACATTTCCCGCTGGTTTCGAGTCGGCAGATTGCTGGGTGTTGCTGTTGCTGCTGTTGCTAGATGCCTCCCCAAGCAATGGAGCATTCTGAGCTGATCCAAAGTAATCGTTTCCATGGTGGGATCCTGAGAAGGCAGGTCCTGCTTCATCTCCGGCACCTCGTCCATGCAGCGGCTTGAGGTCGAACTTGGTGGCACCGAGATAGTCTCCCAAGGCCAGATTGGAGGCAGGCATCTGGAGCCGCGGAGCCGGGGTCGACGAAGGTTGCAGGAAGGCTTCCCAGTTTCTCTTGGTATAGGGGCCCGGATTTGAATCGGGTGGATTGCTGCTATTTTCGACTTCAATACAGAAATAGTTGGGACTCGGGGTCCTCCCCGGGGCTTGTTGCGTCGAGCAAATCCCCGTATTCAGGAAGGGCGACGGGAAGGGCACGCCCGTCCCTGGCGTCCGCACTGGCAGGCCTCCGGGCGTTGTCGAGACAGGATGCACTTGGGGTCCTGGACTCCAGGGCGACGAGGGAGACAGTCGGGACGTTGCAGTCACTGATGACATGGTTGTGTGCGTGTGGTTCTTCTTATTCTTTTCAGACAAGACAAGACGGCGCCGGGGTGCGCTCTGTCGTCTATCGTCTAACCTCCGCGATGAGATAGGAAACGAACGAACAGGCCATTTTGGACTTTCCGCACAGATCAAGAAGGTACCGTCGTAGTCGTTGGCGGCAATGTTCTCTCGTTGGAGTTTCGAGACCGTCGAGACAGTTTCGGGCTTTATCGTGCTACCAGTGTCGAGACAGTGAATGCAGAGAATGAGGACTAGAAGAAAGCCGTTACTGGATCGCCTATGGTCCCCGGGGTTGCACGTCAGCAGGGCCAGTCGGGAGGCAGACAACCAGGCTCAGCGTTCAAAGCGGAAACGAAAGAGGGCGCGGACCCAGGAGTCGGGGAGAGGGAGAGAGATGGAGGCGAGAAGAGGGATGGGGATGGGCGATGAGTCGCCAGATCTGGGCGGGAACGCAGACGGTTTCCGGGGTTCTGCGATCAGGCAGTTGTGGGGACCGAACAGAGGAAGTCAGTGGTAGTCAGGCAGTGTATTATTATATTATGTATGGTATAAGCAATGAGTACCATAAGTTGGTTGGTTGGTTGGTTGGTTAGTTAGTTAATTAATAATAATATTATTAGTTAGTTATGGTACTGAATACTCTCTCTCTCTCTCTCTCTCTCTCTTCTTGAAGGGCGGGAAGAGCGAGAGCGACAAAAGGGCCAAAAGCCAGTGGAGCACATTGATATCACCGATCCACCGCCAGATGACGTGATGGCCGCTCCTTAGCCTCACCAGATGCGCAAGATGGCCGATTTTTTTTGTGGGCATCCGACTGTTCTGGAGCGCGCGGGAAAAAAAGGGTTAAAAAAAAAGAGGGCAAAAAAAGAAGAAGAAGAAGAAGAAGAACAGGGTGAAAAGGAGCGGTGCGTGCTCACTGCTGATTGTCCCCCCGTGCCGCGGATTGTTATTCTAACTTCTGGAACAACGGCCAGCGCCCCAGGAACGGCAAGAGTGGCGATTCATGGCGATTATTATTATTTTATTATTAACTAAGTATCTATCTAGTAACTATCTAGTACCATAAGGTAAGGTATGCTCTCATCAGCATCAGATCAGCTTTCCCCCCCACTGCCCTGCCCTGCTTTGCCTCTGCTCTCCTCTGCTCTGCTCAGCTCAGCAGTTCAATAATGGGGGAAGTGAGGGGAGTGACGAGAATGAAGGATTCGCCTTTACTCATTATTATTCTACCAGTAGAAAAATAAGAAGCAAGACGGCTGATGAAGATCAGTCGCGGGTCTGGGTCTGGTCTGGACTCTGACTATGCGCATGCATGATTTCATCTCTGGTACTCTACTGCCCGTAGTTGAACTCGTCCTCATTCTCTCTACTACTAGCGATGGATCTGGTCTGGTAGTCGGTCGGAACCGCATTGTGGGGCCCTTTTTTGGGTTCTTTTTTTTTCCCTGACCGCACGCACTGACATACAAGTATGGTATGTGCATATGGTACATAGCGAGATAACCATAGCGAAGTACTCCGTAGAGCAGTAACGAAACAGTTATTATTATTATTGTTGTTGTTTTCGGGTTTTCCAGTCTAATTATTGATTATCAGTCCACTTCGGTTTGTTCTAACTAGAGTACGACACACCCGTCATTCGAACCCTGCCGTAGGGCCTCAAGCCACGAGGAATGATGCTCTCTCTCTCTCCTGGGACTCGAGAATCGTGCAACGACGTTTCACGGGGACTGCATCAAGGTGACGCTTCTGTTGGAGCTCCTGATAAGACAATGACCAGGGTGGGGATCCAGCCACCGACCAGAATCAGAAACAAAAGTGATCAAATGTTGCAGATCTCTGTCGAATGCAAGAAAGACGGTAATTAACTCTCATGCAATGGGTATTATCGTTACATTATTATTATTGTCCCGCCCGCACCAGGCTACCTACCAATCCATACTCTAGAGTCTAGAGTATGCGTCCACGTGCCACTACTACTAACTAACCCCAGCACCGTCTCACTGCCATATTTAATATCATTCTACAGCACTCGTGTATATACCCAGACTCAACGGACGGGAGGCATCATCTGATAACAATGGCACCAGGTTGTACTTGTACATGTACAATCCACACGCTCATCGACTCGAACAGAGACCGAGGTGCGGCAAATGGAAGTCTGGCATACAGGGACTGATTGGTGATCCCGGATGCCCGGGATCACCGCCCTAAAACCGCTGACACATAATAATAACAAGAACGGGTCCTAAATATAGATACAACGTATGCTCTTGCTATTATATGGTATAATCTGCGCAAACTGCTGGCAGCGCGATGAGCAGAGGTTGTGGTTGCTATACCGTTGGGGTGAGCGGAGAGTATAATATCATCCTGGAGAGTGCACTGGCTGACGAACAGGCCTTCGCGCCCATGTCATCAAAAATCTCCCGTATGTGTATGTAGTATGTCCAAGAGGCGAACGAGACTACCGGAACCAGCTCGGCTTCCTCGGTGACTCTCAGGCGCTCACCTAAGCTTCAGATGGAAAGCTCAGGCTGACTGCCAATGGACCGATCCAATAAACGGTGTCACCTTCAATGCGACGCCGAAATTATCCTCTCCACGTTGGCACAGGGAGTCCTTCCGATGCAGTCTTTCGCAACGGTCTGCGCAACGCGGGAATAGCTTCGTTTTCGAAGGACTCGCCAACTAATCGACCTAGTATAACGATCGTGCAACGGAGCCATCATTTCCTCACAAAACGGAGGCGAGGGAAAATCAAGCCTAGTTTCCGTTTATAGTCTTCCATCCGGCTCGCCCTTGAATCTCTGAACGCGTTTCTGTTCCCAATCATCCAGGTCTTTGGCCATCAGTCTCTGTGGTGGGATAATCATGTCAGCGCACCGGCCTCCCTCTCAATGGACATGTAGGCCCGAAAGCGGCAGCATCTTACATAGTACTCTTCTCTTTCACTGCCAACAACTCTCCTCCGCGGGTTCCGCTTAATTCCTTCTGCTTCGCCGTCCGGGCCCTTCAATCCGAGCTCCATGGCTTCCTCCTGGCTGAGTTGCTGGACTTTACGGTCGTATCGCTCATATCTCAGTGCAGTCGCCGGCGTGAGAGCAAATGAGGCTGCTACCATAACCGAAATAAATGGCAGGCCGAAAAGGACGAATGGGTGTTTGGGTAATTTCGACCGGTAAAGGGCACCGAGGCGTTCGCCTAGAGAAGACGACGCCGTGGTCGTACGACGGAACCTTTTAGACTGGAAAGCCGGCATTGTTGGCTCGGAACCTCAAAAGGCTGCCTCGTAGGACCGTGGGATATCCGTGTATATCGAACTCTCAGAAGTTAATTGAATGCTCTGCTGGTGCGGACAATGAAATGCGCGGAACCAGTCAGACTCAAAAGATATAACTAAAGAGTACTTACGGGTAACTAAGTAGCTCGGAACATTGTTCATCCGTCAACACAGCAAACAATCATGCTGGATCGGTTTCCCAAGCTTTAAACATAAGAACGAATTGCCTGCTAGGGATGTCTGCAAGCTGGTAGAAGATCAGCTTCGACTGTCTTTAAGCGGACGATCAGATCAGAGGTGAGCGATTTCTCGTGGCCTTTCAGCTATCCTGCGAGTCTAAGTTGACTTTTTTTCCCTGCCTTTTAATCAGGATCCACGTAGCTATCCTACGCTTCTCTGGAATCCTCATACGCATTGCGGTCAGCGCATCCAGGCTCAATAGCGCGATATATTCGCAAGCGCTTCGCGGCCGCAAGCTCATCTTCAATCTTCTGGCTACTAACGCGCAACCGTACGTGCCTAGTCGACAATGTCTTCTCTATTTGGAGGCGCGGGCCTTGGTGCCTCGACAACACAACAGTCCGCCAGCATTTTCTCTCCGAACAATTCGACAAGTGCCTTCAACAAACCAGCGGCAGCTGGGGGTCAGCCTACGTCCGGTTTCTCTACCTTTGGGGCTCAGCCACAGCAACAGCAGGCAGGACAGTCGTCGCTGTTCGGACAAAGTCAACAACAGGGCGCCGGTGGACTTTCTGCTTCCACCCAACCAACACAACCTGCTTTTTTCAACAGCCTTCTAGAGCGGGGAAAGAAACGCCCTTTGTCGACGAACGTACAACATGACGGTCTTGGAGAGATCCCAAGTCTGCAGTTGGGACTTGACGATATTCGGAGAAAGGCCAGGCAGTTAGGCTCTGGTGGAGTGGGAGGCGACCAGCAAAAGGGTGCCGATACTAAGGCGTGAGTAGATATTTTCGTCTGCTGTTCTGAATGCGACGCATCCTAGACGCTAATTTATGTCCTAGTCACTTTCTGCTTGCAGCCTCTGGCATCTCTCCTGGGCGTGCCATGCGCGATCTCAAATCTCTAGACACCCAGGCAGCTGCATCAAGCCCGTTTAAGCAGCCAGATGTGTTCGACCCGGACAACGAGAAATTCCTGAGAGGAATCCAGCAGCGAGGCCGGCAGGCCATGATCACGGAGAGTCTAGCTCGTGTGCACCGTGACTTCGATGCGTTCTTGGAGGAAAAGGTCACTTTGAACTGGGATGAACAGCGCCGGAAGGTGTTTGAACACTTCGGGCTTGCTCAGAAGGGTGACGTGCATGCCGATAGCTTTGCTGCCACGACGAAAGGTTCTTTTGGCCGCTCTCTGAAACAGTCCAAGCAACCAGGTACTCCTGCCCGTGAAACACTCGGAGCTAGCAGGAGAAGCGTCTTTGGTCGATCGGGGTTGGACAAATCTGTCATCGGCTCGCCGGGCAGTGGACTGGGTAGGTCTCAATTATTTGGCGACCAAGGAGAGCGCAGCGAACTCTTGGGTGTCCAATCACCGGACACTAGCTTCTTGCGAGAGAAGATGGGATACTTTGCAGACAAGGTGCAGCGGTTGAATTCTGCTCGACTCCAGCAGAGGACTTTCCCCATCCTCCACGAGTTTGCGCAGGTTGAGGAGCATGCAGGTGGCGACGTAGGTCTCTGTTGAAAACCTCAAGCAAGCATTCAACTGACTTTTTCAGGTTCCTCGTCAGCTATGTGACGCATACCGTGCTCTGATAGCGATTACCAAGGAGGACCCGAGCATCGATAATCCTTCAGACCCCGGAGCCATCAGAGAACGACAATTCTCTGAAGATTATCTAAACGAAAGCGCAAATTCTCGGGGAGCGACAAACCTTAGACGTAGGATCATTGAGGGATCAAGGACTTTCCTGGAGAAACTGTTTTACAGCGAAATTGAGAATATGATCGCAAAGAACCCCCGCGAAGCCCAACTGGGGGGTGTGCCGACAATCATCAGCAAGATCCGAGCGTATATTCGACTTCGCGCTGCGAGAAAGGACTTGGCCCCCGATGGCACTGAGCTGCAAATGGTCGGCCAAGACTACTGCTGGATCCTCATCTTCTACCTGCTGCGTTGCGGTTTCATCCACGAAGCGGCGGAATATGTTAGCCAGGACCCTGGATTCAGATCTCTGGACCACAAGTTTGTCACGTACATGACAACCTATGCGCAGAATCGACGGTTACCGCGAGATCTCCAGCAGAAGATAAACGGAGAGTACCAGCAGAGGGCCCGCAACGCGCCAGAGAACACAGTCGACCCTTACAGGATGGCCTGTTACAAGATCATTGGACGCTGTGATCTCGGTCGCAGAAGGCTGGACGGCATCGTGCAAGGCGTAGAAGACTGGATGTGGTTGCAATTCTGCCTTGCTCGAGAAGATGACCGTGCTGAGGAGACTGCAGGCGATGTCTTCGGATTGGAGGACATCCAGACGGATATCACAGAGATTGGCCAGCGCGTCTTCACCAAGGGACAGGAGGGACCTGGCGGCTATGGTACCTTCTTCCTTTTACAGATCCTAGGCGGGATGTTCGAGCAGGCTGTTTCATATCTCGGTTCATATGCCCCAGTCAGTGCGGTCCATTTCGCCATTGCCTTGAACTACTACGGGCTTCTGCGCGTGTCGGACTTTTACACTTCTGGCGAAGAACTCTGTAGGTTTAAAAAAAAAAGAACCCTACTACTTGTCGGTTCCTTGCTAATATTGATAAACAGTGTCCTTCTCCACCAAGCAATTCCCACAAATCAATTTCGGTTACCTCATTACCCAGTACACGCGGGAGTTCCGTACTGGCTACGTCGAGGCAGCCGTCGACTATTTCACTCTTATCTGCTTGAGCTCTGACCTCCCAGGTGCTCTTGGAAAGTCGCAGGCCTCGGTCTGCCACGAGGCTCTGAGAGAGTTCATCTTGGAGACAAGAGATTTCGCGAAACTATTAGGAGACGTTCGTGCGGATGGCACTCGAATTAAGGGTGCCATCGAGCAGCGCCTGGACCTCATTAGATTGGAGGACCAGGATACATTCCTGAAAACCATCACTGTCCAGGCTGCCGCTGTAGCAGATGATAAGGGCTTGATAACTGACGCTGTGCTGCTGTATCATCTTGCTGAGGAGCATGACAAGGTCATCGAGATTATTAACAGAGCACTATCTGATGCGGTCGCTATAGAGCTCGGCGGATCAGCCATGAGGTTGCAACCCTTGAAGCCAAGAACCACCAATGACAGTCAACCAGAACCTTCTGAGCCTGGAAGCAGTCTGAGTCTCACAACAGTGGACGATCCGGTGGTCCTCGCCAGGAACATGATTGGCCTGTACAACTCCAATGCTCTGTATTACCAGCGCATCCGCCAGATCAACCGTGACGCCTGTGGGGTGTTGCTTCGCATGATGGAGGCCAAGATGGAAGTGGAAGCCGGAAAATGGACGACAGCTCTCGATGTAAGATCCCCTCTCTCTCCATTCTCTGCTCTTTTCGAGACTGACAAAAACATTCGCAGACCATCAACGACTTGCACATTCTTCCGTTACGCGCTCGCGGTTCCGTCCAGTACATTCGAAGTGCCGCCCAGGCTTTCCCATCCTTCCCCGCTGTTATTTCCCGTAATGTCGGCCACTTGATCATGTGGAGTATTACATGCATTGGCCATGAGCGTGAGAGGCTGGAATCTGGCGCCTACGAGAACGAGATCAGGAAGAGCTTGGCAGATGAACTGCTGGTAATGGCTAAGGATCTGATGGTGTTTTCGGGCATGATCAAATATAAGCTGCCACCGAGGGTATATGAGACTCTCGCACGGGCTGGCGGAGACATTGGAGCATATTAATGTGGCACGGTTTATAGCCCAGGCGTTGGATGATTATCTATGTAGTCATTTTTCGAAGAATCAATACTACGGCACTGCACAGCTCTGTGCCTCAATTCAGGACAGTCCGTGCTATCTTAAACCAAGCGTCACATTTGCCCCTATCTGTTTTGTAGAGTTCTTTGATTATATTTACTATATTTATGGATATCTTGTATGTTTACAGCAACCCCGGAAAGCCCAATTCGTCAAACCAAACCGAGGAACGGGAGGCGGTGTACTTAGCTAAGCCTCCGTCCATCTCGGCATCCCACCCAACTAGTTATTCTCCAGCTGGCAAGACGAGATTCTCCGCTGAGAGGTACTTTCAACAATGTAAGTTCAACAAGAGAGAAATAAAAAAGAGGCTCCGTGAGTTTACAATTATTAGGTGCGACCATGTATAAGCCATTCTTTGCAAGATAGCGACTTTCACGAGTAATCTTCCGAGGCCGCAGCCGCGTACATGCCGTCTGCGCAGTCGCGATGGACCAACCCTTGCCCGAAGGGAACCCCGTCTCAGTATCCAGGTCTGGTCCGTCGAGTCCAGATGCAGGCGCAGACACAAATGCACATCAGAATGGAACGATAGCGGCACCCACACGTGGTTCGGGACCAGCCTCCGATGCGGACGTCGATGTTGATAGCGACTCTGCGCACCACGATATCATGCAGCTCGACGAAGACAATGAGGTTTCAAAATCTACCGAACCTGCAAATGCTGAGGCTCAACAAGAGACCAGACCTGAACAAGAATCGCAGAACGGCGCATCTCTGCAAGACGATCGCCGTGAGTCGCAGACTCAGGTCGAGATAGCCGCTCGAAACGGGCCGGCGAATTATAGCCTCTTCGACAACCCGCCAAACATCGCACGGATAAGACAAGTGTTATTTGAATGCAAAGACCCGATCGAAATCAGTTTCGAGGAGTTTGAGACGTACTGGCCGTTTATCGATAATGTCTGGGTCAAGCAGAGATCGAACTCAAGCAAAGAGGGACACTGTACGACGGACTATTATATGTGTCGCCTGCGCCGTCCAACATGCCGCACGTCTCAGGCTCGACCTTTACAGGAGGGTAAGCGGTCCAGGAAGAAAACTATACGGGAAGGTGGAGTCTGCAATTTTCAAATCAAGGTCGTTCGGTTCGAAGGGGCATATTCGACAGTGACCATTGCGAGAACACCTGGGAGCAGTCGAGTCCATTCTCACGATCTTGATTACATCGATAAGGTGAAACGGAATTCAGGGCTCATGGAGTTTGCGCGAAGGGAGGCTGTCAAGGGCTATCTGCCGTCGTCGATTTTTACCAAATTCCAAGAAGAGCCACAGAAGCTCCTTGAAGTTGGAGGTAAATTCTTGACCGTCACTGACGTGCGCAATGTTTCTTCCAAGTGGCGGATCCAGAATCCAGAGATCAAACTGGTACCCCATCACGGCTATGAATACCAGCAGGGACATGGTATCGTAAGAGTAAATGGGACCAGCAATCAAGATGAGACACTACATCAAGAAATAGTCGAGCAGAACCGGAAACCGCCGCTGCCTCCAGATACTCTACCTGCCCCCCAGTTTCCTCTAGACTTCCTAGAGCCCTACTTGCCAAATCACGATGAGAGGCGTCGACTCCCTCATGTCACTCTATCATATGCATCATCCATGGATTCGAAGGTTTCGCTCATGCCGGGGATGCAGACCGTGTTATCGGGGCCGGAAGCAAAGCTCTTGACACATTATCTTCGGTCTCGTCATGACGCCATTTTGGTCGGCGTCGGGACCGTGCTTGCCGATAATCCTGGATTGAACTGCCGGCTCGAGGGTGCAGGTGGTTTCGGTGGTCTTGGAAGAATGTGGCAGCCCCGGCCAGTCGTCGTTGACCCTACTGGCAGATGGGATGTCCATCCTGAGTGCAGGATGCTCCGAACAGCGGTGGAAGGCAAGGGGAAAGCGCCCTGGATAGTTGTCTCTCCCGGGGCCCAGATTCACCCGCAGAAACTGATGATGCTTAAGGGATACGGTGGAGACTACCTACGGATCGTGGAATATAATCAGGGCTGGCGACTACGTTGGGAGGCTGTTCTACGTGCGCTGGCTGCAGAAGGAATACAGAGTGTCATGATTGAAGGAGGTGGAACCGTCTTGAGCGAGCTCCTAAACCCCGAATATTCTGATTTCATAGACTCGATTATCGTTACTGTTGCACCGACCTATCTTGGGAGGGGTGGAGTGAACGTGAGTCCGGACTCCAAACAGGACGACGATGGAAAACCAAAAGCTGCATTGAGTCCAAGAGATGTTACCTGGACCCCGATGGGGCAGAATGTCATCATGTGTGGGAAAATCAGAGTCCCTCCTCCGTCTGATGCGCCTATTTCGTCTGGTATAGAACGTGTTTCTCGCGAAGGGTCCTGAGCAGAATTGCGGCATTTTCATCTAGAACATCGCGATGATATTCGGAGGACTAGTGTTGCAGGTCAGAAAGCGAGACGCATCATTATGACTATGCAGAAGTGAACAGACCTTGCGACGCCTCCTGGCACGTTACACGGCTCGCTGGCTACGAAAAAAGTCCACCGTTTTTCCTTCTCACAGTGCTGGGCTAATTCGTCCAGATCGAAAAGCTCCCCAATCGGCATTCCCCATCCTGCCAAGAGAACCTCGTGCAGACACAGATCGCTTGGGGGTGCTGTTTCCATTCTGTGAGCGGCCGTGACTAAGTACAGCAGATTCGAGAGTGCGACTTACGATATGCCTCGAAAGAAGGGTGGTCTCCAGCGACTGCAGAGAAGTTGCTCCAGATCCATTCGAGAGTTTCTTTGCTCTGCTCCACGCCAATAAGTGCATGTGGTATATTCTTTGCCAAGCTGGTCAGCTCCTCATCTGAGAGTGCTCTGAACGCTTCCATATATCCTGCATAACGGTCAGCGATATTCAGTTGAGCATTTGATAAAAAAAAAAATGGTTCCCACCAACGCGAATAATGAGTATATCTCCGAATTTTATGTCGGTTTGCTGGAACTCAGCTACTGCCTTGAGATGTTCTACCGGGATCGGATGCCTCTTGAAGATCTCAGCCGGGATATTGTGTGCTAGCCGCCAGCGGTGGTGGTCGAGGAGGACACCGCGCCCGACGATGCCATTTTTGGTCCATGCTAGAATGGAACCTCAGCGCGCTGTCCCTCGAGTGTCTACGTTATTTAAGGATATGCAGGAACGACGTACCGTGAATCCCGTTGACATTAGTCTTGTTCGGGCCGTGGATGTCGTCCATTGTGACACCATTATAGAATTTCTGCTCTTTCTGGTACGCAAAGTGACGCAGACCGTCCCCTATGATCATGATACTTTCGTCAGAAGAGTCTCGCCTGGAGGCCACTCAGTCCCCATGAGAGAAGGGGGCAGAGGCAAGGACATGGTGATGCGTACACTGGCTGCTACTCTGAGTGTTGAACGTCCACACGTCGTCATTGACGATCCGAGGTGTCTTTGCAATGATCTCTTTGTGGAAGATGTGGCGGCCAAAGAAAGGGATCTTGTCTTGGGCATCGAGTGGCCAGTTGAGTGAGATTCTAAGAAATCCATCAGCATATTTCAGACCTCAATATCAAACTAAGTTACGAAACAGAGAAATAAAAAGCAAGGATACCCTGCAGTAGTTACGAATTGAAACTTATTGTCTGCTATTCAGAAGATCAAAAGCCAGTCAGACAGAGCAAAGATCACCATGTAGTACGAAGCCAGATTTAGAAACACGAGTATCATAGCATAGTTACCTTTTGCCCGACCGAATCTCCTTCGCGGCAGCGAGGACCAAATCATCGGTCTGTCTATTGAGAGTTCCCAGTTCATCCTTCTCCCCGTACAGTCCCCACGCTGAATACGGCGGATCGCCCTCTCTCAAGGGTAATTCTGAGAATCTGGGAATGTTCATGTTGTTTCGAGACATTATATGTAACAATCACTTAGACAGAATACTTTAGGTAACTAACTAGGTAGTTATCCTATATATCTTTAGTGATAAAATATCCGAATAAGACTACTCCTGACTCCCTGAGACTTGGTTCTTTATATCATCCCACTTATGAAATTTGCGGGGGAAGTTCGCTCAGAAGTCCGCTTCACTGGTTAAATAGGTAGGTAGTATTACCTCGGGGTGGTCGGACATCGCTTGATTGCCGATCGAGGTTTGTTATCTTGATCGGAGAAGATTTAACTTATTACTTAATGTCGTGCCCGGTTGTTATGTATATAACTTTAATTTGGAGATGATGATAATGCGGGGATTTAGAGATGGTTTTTTCTTTTTTTTCCCTGGTGAAGGGGGCGAGTAGAGTAGAATGTCATTAGGTAGTTAACCTGTAGTCCTCTACAGACACAGGCTCCGGGGTGGATGGATACGTTGCTGTACATGATAGTTGACTAAATCAATCAATTAACTCCCCCTTCTATTCAAAGAACACATGGTCTATTCGCCTCGCATTAGTTCTGGGGACTTCTAAGAATACCAGTCCAACACACTGGCGATGGGGGTTTGTCGATGTTATCTATTGGTGAAAATCAACCGTTGAAACTCCAGATAGTAGGGGACAAGGAAGGTATACTCTAAACTCTGGGGTCCATAATAAATAACGTGATATTCTATTGTTCTCATACTCGAAACATACAAGATAAAATTCGTAGGATAATGCGAGCGAACAGTTCTCTGTTAAATAAACATAAACACCAGTTGAGGCGGTTATAGGTTTCCTCGAGATCCATATGAAGCGAATATGATATAATAATGCCCCTCTTCGCTACTCTGGCTAACTAAACTTCAAAGGCTCCGAACAAGCAGATTCATCACCGAAGGGGCGATTTTTGTTTAACGAGTAAGATTAGTATAATAATATGTTACCTATGATAGACTCGGAATGACGCGATGGCCCCCTTAACCGGACCAGCAGTGGGATCTGTGGGTGTCAAATGTATGGAAATGAATATATGTGAATAGTATTCTTAATATCTACCTACTTTCCTATTGTTTGTCAATAGTCAATAACTACCTAACTATTAACCACTCACTAGGTGGTTCTCTATTTATCGAGTCTTATTGTGTCATCGCCCGAGTGCGCCGGAATGCTGACGATCCGACCAAGCTGTGTTAGCGTGTTTTGCCCATAACAACGGGGACCTTTTTTTGTGTGCTGCGCTCGCCCCCGAAAACTACTCGACTTGCTCTCTCCAAGAACAAGACAGAAAAGACCGTGTAGGATCATACCTTGTATTCCTTCTTCTTCTTCGTCTACTACTACTTATCTTACTATCCATTGCTGTCCTTCGTCTTACAGGGTTCTCCTTTAATCATGCCTCCGAAGAAGGCCGCAACGGCTTCTGCCACTGCTAAAGCTTCTACTTCGAAACGGGCTGCCGCGACGAAAGCTGCTGCCACTACTACTACCAGCAAGCGTACCACAACGGTAACTAAGACATCGCGCAGTACTACTACTTCGAAGGCTGCGAAGGCTGCGAAGGCTGCCGCGCCCGCGAAGACTACTACTCAGCGGAAGACCGCGCCGGTTGCTGCGCGCAAGTCTGCGAAGTCTGAACCCTCTACTGCCGCGCCTGCTACGAAGAAGCGCAAAGCTGAAGCCGAGGAGGAAGCGCCTCCAAGAGAGCAGAAGAAGCCCCGTGTTGCTGCGCCTCCTCCTGCTCGGAAGCCGAAGCCCAAGGTTGTGATTAACCAGCCGCCTACGACGCGCCTGAATGTCTACGTCTGTGGCGAAGGTAGCTCTGGTGAGCTGGGTCTCGGGACGGCCAAGAATGCCGTCGATGTCAAGCGCCCGCGTCTGAATGCGAACCTGTCTGCGGAGACAGTTGGTGTCGTGCAGGTGGCCGTGGGTGGCATGCATTGTGTTGCTCTAACTCACGACAACAAGATCCTCACCTGGGGCGTCAACGACCAGGGCGCCCTTGGCCGGGACACCACCTGGGAAGGAGGCTACAAAGACATCGATGACAACAAGAGTGACTCGGATTCGGACGATGACAGTGACAGTGGTCTCAACCCGCATGAGTCCACGCCTACCGCTATCCCTTCTGAAGCTTTCCCTGAGGGAACCGTGTTTGCCGAAGTCGCTGCGGGTGACAGTTCCAGTTTTGCTCTCACTGATGATGGCCTTGTTTATGGATGGGGAACATTCCGGGTATGGCCTTTCTTCCCCCTTCTCCTCGAATCCCGTGGTATTCCTGCGATTGGAAACTAATCTGTCCCTAGAGCAACGATGGTATTCTCGGGTTTGACCCTGAACATCGTGTACAGACGAGCCCCATCTTGATCCCCTCTCTCAAGAAGATCAGACATCTCGCTTGTGGTGACAATCATGTGCTTGCACTCGGCGAGAAAGGCACCGTTTATTCTTGGGGCTCTGGTCAGCAGAACCAACTGGGTCGCCGCATTGTGGAGCGTAACAAGCTGAACGGACTCCAGCCGCGTCAGTTTGGTCTTCCCAAGAACATCGTCCAGATCGGCTGTGGTGCTTTCCACTCGTTTGCCATTCATGAGTCTGGCAAGGTGTACGCGTGGGGCCTCAACAGCTTCGGTGAGACTGGTATCCAAGAGGGTGCTGGCGAGGATGAGGCTGCTATCCTCCACCCGGAAGTTGTGGAATCTCTCTCCGGAAAGCAGATTACCCAGCTGGTTGGTGGTGCCCATCACTCCCTTGCGGTCACGAGCAACGGTGACTGCCTCGTCTGGGGCCGTGTTGATGGATACCAAACTGGCCTCAAGATTGACAGTCTCCCTGAGTCTGCCGTCATCAAGGATGAGCGTGGCCGTCCTCGTATCCTGATCGAACCCACAGCCGTCCCCGGAATCAAGGCAAGCGTCGTGGCCGCAGGCTCCGACCACTCCCTTGCCATTGACACCGAGGGTCGTGCCTGGTCTTGGGGATTCTCAGCAACCTATCAGACCGGACAAGGCACTCAAGATGACATTGAGGTAGCCACCATCATTGACAACACCGCCGTCCGTGGAAAGAAGCTCAACTGGGCTGGTGGCGGTGGTCAGTTCTCCGTCCTCACTGAGCCGGTCAACTGAATGTCGCGGCTTCTCAAATTCTAAGGCGCGGTTAGGGTCCAATGACATATAAGGGTGTCCGGTGCCATTCGGGTTGTGGATAGCTGTGTAGAATAGGTGTTCTTATTTGCGCTTTGTTCTGGGCTTTGTCATTATCGCAGCGTTGCATAACTTATCGTGGTTTTCTGTTTCTCAGAAAAGTTATCCTTGCTTAGTATAATAATCATATCTTATCTTTCTTTGCAAGAAATGATGTCTGGCGCTTATTCAATTCGTAGATATAGTGTTTCTTAGGAATGCTCTGTTAATTCTTCGATGATAGGGCAGCTTTCGCGAGATCGTGGAGGGTTTATGGAAGTATCTATGGTGAATATAAGATCAGACGGGATAGAAGCAATAAGGAATGCTATTCATTATTATGTTTCCATCCAGAGAGGTAGAGCTCATGATAACTGGTCGTAATATCGAGTGGGTCGTCTAGCCATTTTGGCAGGGGAAAGAAGGTCAAAGTCAAGGTATAGTACAGGAAGGCATGGTAACTACCATGGGATGTTTGCATCCGCCATGGCTTCGAGGTCATCTTCAAAATCCTCTTCGGGGGCCCTTTCTTCAATCGGGTCTGGCGCCGCAGGCTCATGACGAGGGTGATGTGATTCATCGTCCCTCGTCTCCTGTTCGGCGAGGAGGGCATCCAGCTCATCTTCCTCAGGCATATCTTCACCACCCGCGTTCTTTCTTGTGTCATTTCCTGCATCTTCATCATCTGACATGAAGAGCTTCCCGTCATCTCCAGCATTGGTCCGTCTCCTTTCTGTTGTGACCCTCTCTAATGATGCCGCGCCATTGGTTTCCATAGTCTGCGCGAGATCGGTGACTCCAGAAGAGTTTTGTTCCGCTGTCGGGGCAGCAACATCACGCGAATCAGATGACGTTCCTTCAACGCGCGTTACGGAATACGACTTGTCCTGGTTGGAGCTGTCATCTTCGCGACGGTAATCGGGCCTTCCCTCGTCGATCCATTGTCGTCGCATTACCTGTATGCGTTTCGAATGCCCGAGTTTCTCGATCATGGACAGACCATCCGCGAACTTTGCACGAGGGAAGAGATCATCGAGCCATAGCTGATAAAAATTCAAGAGACGCGCTGCATCTGAGAACTAGAGCGAAAAAGTCATCAGACTGTCTCACGTAGAATGGAAGAAACGAAGTTCTAACCTCGTGCCCTTTGCCCTTGAATCTCAACTTCTTCGCCGTGCTTCGTAGTCGTGGGATACCTTTCTGAGAAAGTAGGCTTTGGCACCATTAGCAATCACGCCTGCGGTGAGTCCTATCGAATGACTATCCACCAGAACTCACAGAGACTCGTCGAGTTTCGCAATCGGCTGCCGTTTTCTCGTAACGACTACTTCTTCGTCGAGTCCTAAGCCAGGTGCTTGGGCTGGGGCCGCCTGATTGGAAGATGCCGCGTCAGGCGCAGAATTCCTTTGCGAGATCTCTCCAAGGACTTCGTCGAGACCGACATCGTAGTCGAAAAGGTCATTATGCGGACGGACGTCTCCGTCGCTGATGTCGCTCATATCGCTCAGATGGTGTGTTGATGATTGGAATAAAAGACAATTACAGTCGTCATGGACTGTATTCTCTGATGTATATGTTAGTTGTAGCGCGTTTCTAATACTGTAGGGAGCATGAAGACAGCAATCGTATCTAATTACATAGGTACTGATATTGGACAGGACGCGCTTCGGATGGACGTGACGCGATCTTACCGAAATAGGAAAGTACTACAGAACTCCAGCTTCGTCAGGTCGATATTTTTTGGTGTCAGTTTGATTCTCGTGGCATATCTCTAAAATATAAGAGAGACGGGTTATATGATTTCTCTTGTAAATGAATAAAACTATTGATACCAGAAAGATAATCTGTTGGTCTTTCTTTCTTTCTCTTCACTAAAGCGAGGGACCATTCATTTCATTCCGTAGCGATTATGTAAGCTGGAATTCTCGACCAAGGTATACTTATGAATTGCATGATAACAAGACAGAGAAGCAGAAATATTGACTGGAATCTCGGAATCTAGCAATTTTTCACGAATCTCATTGCAGAATCCGGGGATGGTTGCTTTGCCAGAGGATGTCTAATCATTGACGGCTCAATGGTTGTTCGGCCGGCGGATTCGGAAATACTTGCTAGAGGGACATCTGGCACTAGTATGAATCGGGTTAGATATATCATGCCTCGCGGCTTGGCTTAGACCTCCCAGGTCTTCGTCCAGCTTGATCGCGGTGGGCACTGTACGGAGTTGCCAGCGCTAAACTACCAAACAGTCGACTTATCTGCGCAATACAGGGCCTCAATTGCTCTCCAGGATGGCCATTGAACACGATAAGGTGCTTGTCCCGCCGAAGCGGGCCCGCACTGACTATCCGGTATGATTATTTCCAACCTTCTCCCACCTTGAACCACTTTTGCTAACCGTGCTCAAAGCTGATTGATGCCGACCCGTATGCCATCTCCCATACAGATGACGATGCAGAACCATATTGACGATAACGCAGGCACTTGAGACGAGTATTCGGATACGCCAGGCCCTCTGACTATGCCGTGGCCGGAGGTGCGGCTGCCCTTTCGCCTCTCGCTTTCTGGGTTATGGAAAGAGTCAGCCCTTCCCATGTCGGCAAGGGTGGTTTCCCTCCTCTGATGCGCCTGGCAACGGCCATTGGTGTCGTTGGCGGCTTGCACATCTTTTACCAGCGATCCTGCAGTACGTCAATGGCCAACAAGCATCCCTTGGCAGCTGTTCCGTGGATCAGCAACTAATGCATGCACAGATCGCTTCTACGGCTTCACTGAGAACTCTCGCGAGGTGGAAATGGATATGAGAGAAATGGTTGATAAAGTTAAGAAGGGAGAGCCTCTCTATGGCACATCCCAGCTCTCGCCTTATCTCCAGGGCGTTGCTGCCAGAAACTCTCGGTATTCGGAGCTGTTTTCCCACGTTATTCCGTGGTTCAACATTGTCAACCACGATCAGGCAAGTTACCCTGGACACGATTAATGTAACATCGATAAATAGCTAATTCATCTATCTTATACAGCACGGTGTTGACACGGCCAAGTACTACCAGCAAGCTGAGCGGGAACTGGAGAACGAGCGATTGGCCAAGGCGGGCTCTTCATGAGAGCATTAAAAAAAATGCCCAAAGTCATTATTAGCCGAGGAATGCCCATGATCTGGCGTGGGTTCTGTGTACATAATTCCGGTGCATTATGGTCGAATGTTCAGTGCCTTTTCCCCCTATCCTTGTTAACATTGTCGGTCTTTAATCGCCGATGGTCTGGACCGGGATCTTGGCCACCGGAATATCACGAGCGCCTGTTCCCTCCAAAGCCAAGCGGCGTCCTGATCGAGTAGATCTGACACGGGCATGCAGATTGTGCATTGTGGCCATCTGGACAATCTCAACTATCGTCGTCGAAGCTCGTGTTGAGCTCCCGGTTCCTCTTTGGTCGGGGATTAGGTGCTTTTTTTTTAACTGTCGTCAGTCCATGCCGGATATTATCATAGGGAATCATCACGTACCATTCTCATTTTCCTGTATGTAAAACCGCCGGAGTAGCATGATGGCTTCCTTGTGAAAGAGACCGCCGTATACGGGATAGGGCTGATCTATTCCGGGGCTGTCCAAATTGATGCATGCGTTAGTACCAGCCTGAGCGAGCTAGTCGTGGAGAAGTAGGACGAACTCTGAATGCAACGATAATACGCTCCCAGTGCCTCCGAAGCGCTCGTTTCCACAGCCAAAGTATACTGCTCTTATCTGATACTGCCTTAGAGCAGAGGCACACATGATGCAAGGTTCAACTGTCACGTAAAGGTCTGTCTCTCGGAGAATTACACGCGGATATTTTTGTAGTGCCTCTTCGATCGCTAGGAACTCAGCGTGTCGTGTGCCCTGCCAGATACAGTTCAGCTCGTACTTGAAGGTATTGATTGCATAGTAGCTTCACTCGGGTCCAAAGAGACATACATTCATCGACTTATTAGTATCGTTCATTCCGCGAGCAATCACCTCTCCTTTGTATACCAATACGCATCCCACAGGCGTCTCACCGGTCTCAAGGGCTTTCTCTCCCTAATGAGGGTCAGCGCCTCTTCCCTCTTGGAATAATATGAGGTTTCAATACCATAACCAGAGCCTGTTTCATGAAATACTCATGCTGCGTCTCATTGTGTTCTTGTGACTGGTTGCTCTCCGCAACACCAGCACTCGAATTCATGGCTGATAGATACTACGATGTATGAAATAGATATCCTCAGTGGCGCCGTCGCTCCGCTAGTCACCGAAGATATGCCTAACTTCAAACCAGTTATCGATGAGCGGTGGTGGGGGAAATTCGATCTATCGGGCTATATTGTATTCCCGGCGAAGAATTTTCATCTTTAGTCAGATCAGTCAGATAATTTAGACCTCTTATCCGGAAAGTAATATATTCTGCCCGAACCTGAAGAAACTGCAGGTGGATAAAGGCCCATGAGTCGTAAATTCCTCTTGATTTCTTAGGAAGCTTCAGTGGTTTTCTCTTCAATTTTACCGTACAGTACAATACCAAGCTTCCGTAGGTATTTAATAGTACGCAAGGTACGGTTGAACGCGCCGCGTCCAGACTCCACTTCCATTTTAAACTTCTTCATTAAACCCCTACTACATGTATTCGATGTGTGACTGACTGTGGTTGCCATGGCCGCTCAAGATGTAGCTGGCTCTCGATATACAGTGCGAGAAAACGGCAACGTTGCATCGATGGAGCTGGCTACCGGTGTTCTAGCTGCTCAGCTTGCACCGCATCTATCACAAGCTAGTCAACAGCATCAATTTAACCGCGAAACATTTTCGCAGCTTCGCAAAGAGCTTTTAGAGGGTCGATGCAGCCAGCTGAATTTAGAAGATAGCGTGACTGATGTCAACAATTTGGTCTGCATCGTCGTAAAAGCTGGTCTTGAAATCGGACATAGAAACGGTCACCTGTCTATTGCTAGCGATGTCGACGGGCAGATCTTGGACTGTTTGGATATCATCCAAGCAGCTGTTGAGAAGGTGCCTCAAGTTCTTCTAGAATTCTCCAACAATGAGATTCTGGGAAAGGACATAAGTGCGCCCTTGTATTTCTGGCTCGTCATTCGGTTAATCGATCTCTTATGCAACTGCAACCAGAGTCTGCTAGGAAGGATACGTAGCCTTCTCTCATGCATAGTATGTTCGCAATACAGGCTTTCGCCTTCGAAGACCTTCAGTTTCTCTATTTCAGGTCTACTGCGAACTTTCATAAGAGGTATGCCAACCGTTTTGAAGCCTAGGGAAGCAACTAATACGCTGCAGATGTAACGAGGTCAGTCGAGGCTTTCGACTTTTCGACATCTCGAAACTCCTCATGTACAATCTCTTTTCCTAGATCGCGACGATCGTTCGCAGCGGAACTAGAAAGACTGGATCTCACCCCTGAGCTTGCGAATATGAACATGATACTTGGGCCTTTTCCGAGAGTAATCGTTTCTGTCTTAGAGCTGAGTTCCGCATTGCTACCGGTGGATGTCATCTCGACTTCAAATGGTCTAAGTTCAGTCATCCGCCATGACTTTGCTTGGATTCTTGATGTATATGTGCAGCTATGGCACGGCGTTGTCGCATGGGAGCCAAGTACAGAAAAAAGAGCCCAACTTCATCTCCACTTCTTGGAGCATCTCGGGATCTGCTGTGACGCCTCCGCTTTGTTGTCTGAGGAATTTTCGCTTGAGATAAAAGCTATATGCATTCGACTTCGATGTATCGCTGATATATTATCCTCCAGCGCTGCGTGCCAGGATTCGAATGTTCAGCTAGCTTGTCGCCAGGCTGTTGAAAGCACTGCAAAGGTCGCGAGGCGTTCGGCGGTTGTCGCAACATACATGGGAGACATCCTCCTCCCAGTCCTAGGAGAGATAGGCTATAGTGACACGCCTCTGCAGAGCGTGAAGTTATCTCTCAAGGTACGTGAACTGACCGCGTTGGAACATGAGATGCTTATGGAATACTAGGAGCTGGTTTTGAGCATTCTGAGCGAGGCCCTACACAATGCTCCCAACTATTCTAAATACCCAAAGTATGGTTATGGTTGTCAGAAGCGAGCCTTAGACCTCCCAGGAGGTCGGCAGACGGAGGACGGTCTGCTAGAAGGTGGGAAGACGCCTCAAGGTAGTCCGGCGCGGAAGCGTATCCGCCTGTCCAAGGAGCAACCGGAACCTCCCCCGCCAGATGCATTACAGACGCTTCTGTGCAGAGTATACAACCTTCTAGGTTGCGAAGCTCCAGGGAGCCTCGAAGATCTCCCTTCCGTCGCTCAGTGAGTTACTTTTGCAGACCTCAACCCCCTGGAAATGTTGCTAACTATGATTATCCAAGGGAAAAATTTCCTCCCTTATCTGATGAGAATAAATGTGCTCTTGTAACAAACTTGGGAATGATAGCATGTGCAGGTGCCACTGGTCTGTCAGGAACTCATGACGGGCCAGACTCGGAGTTGGCGCCATGTTGTATATGTGACATGAATACTCCTGAGGAGCAGGCTCTTGTCCCTTGGCGCAGCCCCGGTTTCAGCGCAGTAAGGTCAACGTTGACGAATATTTTGTCTAACCTCGGCCGTACTCCATCTCCTAGAATCGCGTCAATGCTGGCATTGCGAAGGATTCTCGTCCATGACCCTGATAGCAATCAGCTAGATCTAACCTCATCAATGTTTGGTGAATTGTGCCTTCATTCGCTACGGAGCTCTGTTAGGGAGATTCGATTAGCTGCCGGGTATTCACGTTCTGTCTTCTTTTTATAGGAATTGCACTGACTCCTCCACAGATACACTATTACGGCGTTTTTACGCCCATGTCTAGACCCAGAAGTTCGCCGGTCAAACTTTGTGGTCGTCCTAGAATGCGTTAAGACACTTGCTGAGAAGCGAGAGATACCAGTCCAAGAAACATGCATTCTTTCTTTATGCAGATTTGCCGAGTAAGGCTACCATCCGTTTTAGTCAAGATCACGGCTCATTCCTTTCTAGGATATCCGGCGACGAAGAATTGAATCTAATTCTTCTGCGACTTCTTGAGTATCTGGGACATACGAATCCATATATCTGTGGGGTGGCCTATGTGGAAGTAAGTAGTGGCTTGTACCTAGGAATCACTTTTGGGTTGCTTCCTTGCATACTGTGACCTCCTGTTTCTATATCAATTCCCCGTGAGGAGTCTCCACTGACAGGAGCTAGCTTTTGAAACTTTCGCAGCGGCTGTCAATAACACCCGCGGGTCTCTTTCGACCGTTCTGGAGGACCCTCTCAGTTACAGTTGTCAAGAACCTACAAACCAGGCCACACATGGCAGAACAATTGTGCGACCTCCTCGGAATGAATGTCGATGACTTCCTTCGACTGACGGAGGTCCACATTTTGCCTTATCTGGTATTAATGCGGAAACGAGATATTATCTCGCGAATCGGTGCCAGCTACAAGAAAACAAAGTCTCCTTTTGAGTTATGCTCAGAGAACAATAATCTAGCGTCTATTCTTGCCTTCTTACTGAGCCAGCCTTCCTCGGACCCCGAAGGGATGATTATCTCCCTGTTCCAGGACGTGGATGTCCAATTCAAAGGCTGTACTCTTGCAACGTTCCTTAGAACCGAGCCGATTCTTATCGCATGTGAGCTTCTGAAAAGCCTGGGTGACGCGGGTGATGGGAAAGGAGACAAGGTAGAACGTCCTGTCAACTGATTTGTTCATTTTACTAAATATGTGGACAGTTCCATCGAGCTCTTCAACTTCTAGCTACTTATGTTCCCCGCAAATCGACGTCGGGACATGCACCATCTAAGAAGCAGGATCTTCTGGGAAGCTTTATCGAAGAGCATGTTCTTGGTATCATCACTCAGTTCGCTCACACTATCAACGACTTCCAGATAAGGCAGCCAACAATGGAGAAGAAGCGCAACATTGTCGCTATCGGAGAAATGGTCAAGATAGCGAAAGGCCACATCAACAGTGCATTGCCTCAGGTTAGTGAACATATACTTTTTCTTGGACGCATATATTTTCCTCTGTCTGATTGGAAACTGATTGTTCCAGATCTGTGCTTGTCTTAGATCAGCATTGGAGATCAAAGTGCTCTGCGACCATGCCTTTTCCGCTTGGAGCGTGCTCATAATGTCCCTTGATGAGGATGAACTGGAGCCTCTAATTGACCAGACTCTCGCTATAATCATTAAATACTGGGAAGACTTCAACGCGCGCAGCAGACAGCAAGCCCATGATCTCGTTGATTACATTATGAAGCATCATAGTGACCTAGTGCGTGAGATATTCCATACGATGCCATCGTTATCATCCATACCGGTCCTGGGTCGATTTGAGATCGAATTGAATCAACTGAAGGGGCAGATGGATGTCAGGTCTCGTTTCATGGCTTTCAGCAGACGCTGTCAAAACGAGAACGCAGCAGTTGTCGAACAAGCTTTGAAGGAGCTTGTTCCATATCTTACTCAGAATGAGGAATTTCTGCACAGGTCCGTTCTTAACGAACAGCCAGATGCTGTTGTTGCGCAATTGACCCGGTCCCTATTGGACTGCTGCGTGAAGTTCAACGCTAGTTCTGACAACATAACGATCCTGTCCGCTCAGTGTCTCGGCCTGGTCGGTTGTCTCGATCCGAATCGTGTAGAGACTGTGAAAGAGAAGAAAGACATACTCGTGTTGTCGAACTTTGACCGCATGGAGGAGACCTTTGAATTCATCTTGTTTTTCCTCCAACACGTTCTAGTAGAAGCTTTTTTGTCGGCTTCCAATACCAAGGCACAAGGATTCCTTGCCTATGCTATGCAGACCTTGCTCAAGGTCTGCAACTTGCACTCAACCGTCACTCAACGATCCCGCGAAATGCAATCGGATGACAAATACCTCCGGTGGATGGATCTTCCTGAGACTGTTCGAAACACCTTAACTCCGTTTCTGACATCAAAATACACAGTCACCATTGGGGCTGTGAGCACCAGCTGCACTTATCCGTTGTTCTCTTCCAACCTCAGTTATGGCGAGTGGCTTCGCACCTTTGTGCAGGACTTACTGCTCAAAGCCAATGGTGATAATGTAAAGCTGATATTCAGTGTTTGCAGCCGCATTATCAGGGGCCAGAACATATCAATAGCCTCTTTTCTTCTTCCATTTGCAGTACTAAACCTTGCAGTTGGTGGCACCGACCTTCAAAAACAGCAACTCCAGGATGAACTTACGAGAGTACTTTCCCATCCTCTCCCCGAAGAAAATAGCCAGACAAGGGAAAATATAATTCTCTGCAGTGAGGTATGCAGTATCGAACACTCCATATTGTGCCCTTTACAACAAACTAACTGTTATATAGAGCGTTTTCAGCGTCCTCGATTACCTCTCGAGATGGCTTCATGGCAAGAAGAAACAATACACAAGCCTGGCCAGTTATACTTCCCATGGTAGCAAGTCTCATCATCGTGAGAGTTACAGGGATTCTCTACTGGAAATATATTCCGCCCAGATCCAGAGCGTTGAAAATCTTTTGTCACAAATACCGGCAGAGGTCATTTCGAAAAGAGCAGTCGAGTGCAAATCCTTCTCTAGAGCGCTATTTCACTGGGAGCAGTATATCAGGCAACGCAAGGCTCGTTCAGAGAAGCAGGAGCCGACAAAGCTTGGTCCATTGTATCAACGTTTGCAGGATATCTATACGCAGATCGATGAACCCGATGGGATCGAAGGCATATCTGCCCATCTGCATGTCCTTAACATTGACCAGCAAGTTCTAGAGCATAGAAAGTCTGGTAGATGGACTGCAGCTCAAAGTTGGTATGAGCTGCAGCTTGACAAAGAACCGAACAACCACGACGCTCAATTGAACTTACTTACTTGTCTCAAGGATTCTGGACAGCTAGGTACTAACCCATCTATGCTATCAGGTTCTTCTTTATACTGACGGACACAGACGCGCTTCTCAACCAATTTGAGGTATTCGAAAAGTCCGGAGCGTCCCTTGCTAGACTCTTGCCCTTCGCCGTTGAAGCTGCTTGGACAACCAGCAAATGGGACAAACTTGATCACTATCTGCAGATATGCGTGCAGCAGAATGCCGGTAATTTTAGTATCGGGATCGGCTCAGCTCTCAGTGCCCTCCGACAAGGCAAGAAGGCAGCATTTAAGAAAATCATAGAGCAACTACGATACAGCGTTGCTAGATCCCTTACTTCAAATTCCATCGCTTCTCTACAGTCATGCCACGATAGCGCTCTCCAGCTGCACGCCTTGACCGAGATTGAATCCATAGCAAATATTGGTTCTGACGAGGGCGTTGATCGTTCCAACATCCTAGAAGTACTTGATCGTCGTTTGGATGTCCTAGGAGGCTATCTTTCAGACAAGCAGTACCTCCTCGGAGTTAGAAGAGCAACTATGGAACTTTCGTAAGTGTAGACTCAAAAGTGCATGCACTGTACTAACATGTTGAACAGGACTGCTTTCCGGGACTCTGATATTGCCGGTGTTTGGCTAATAGGTGCTCGCCTATCGCGCAAAGGCAATCTTACAGGACAAGCGTATCACTCTGTCCTTAAAGCAGCAGAACTGAAGGACAAGTCAGCTACCATTGAGCACGCTCGACTTCTGTGGAAAGATGGACATCATCGCAAAGCTATCCAGATATTGGAGGGTGCAATAGCAGCTAATGCTTTTGTTTCGGCCAATTTCGCACCAGACGAAAAAGATTCGGTGTCGTTAACTTCGAATAGAGAACAGCATCAGAATATGCTTACTGCGAGGGTACAAATGACCTTTTTACTTTTTGCCCCCTCCACATTGTATGAGTTGCTAATGTGGCTTTAGGCACTTTTGCTGCTAGCAAAATGGACCGACAGAGCTGGACAGACTCAATCCGACGTTATTGTGCAGAGATATCGCGAGGCTATTAAACTCCACACTCGGTCAGTAAATGTCTTCCTCAGCCTAACAGTAGAAGCTAACGCATGCTACAGATGGGAGAAGGCACATTATTATCTTGGGAAACATTATAATAAGATCCTGGAGTCAGAAAAGGCCAAGCCTCTTGGGAAAGAGGCGCAGATATAGTATGATTTACCTTCAGCTCCTTAACGGAGACATCCTACTGACTCTCTTTGAAGCCTTAGCGGGGAAGCTTCTAAACTCGTTATCGATAACTATCTGCGCTCCCTCGCCCATGGAAACAAATACGTGTTTCAAACGCTGCCAAAGGTATTAACACTCTGGCTGGAGCATGCATCTATCGTTGATCAGCCTTTCGACCCCAAACGGGGAGATAACGAGTAAGCTCCCGATGCACATCATCCGCATAAACATTGCTGAAAACAAATCCAGGGAATTCCAAAAGCACAGCATGAGTCAGCGCAAGAAGAGTCTCGATGATATGCACACGCAACTGAAGAAATACTTGAACCGAATGCCGGCTGTATTGGTAATAACCCAGTTTGGCAACTACTTTAGCAAGACACTGACGTTATTAGCTATTTACAATCCTTCCCCAAGTCGTTGCGCGCATCTGTCATTCCAATCCCACCGTATACGATCTGTTGACAAAGATAGTGGTGAAAGCCGTCAATGCCTTCCCACAGCAGGGGCTGTGGACAGTTCTAGCTGTAGTGAAGTCATCTTCCAAGGACCGTGCATCTCGAGGCATTACATGCCTTCAGAAGATAACGGTATGCTATCCAATTTCCTATGGATATGCACTGGACTGACTGGATGAACAGGAAGCGACAAAGAAATTGAAAACCGAATCATCGGTGACTGATATGAAGATGTTGATAAACCAAGGCCAAAAGTTTTCTGACGAGTTGCTCAAATTGTGCACCGCAAGGGTCGAAGAGAAGGCCTCAAAAGTCAGCCTTGCACGAGACCTTGAGTTTAATCCTAAAGTTGCACCCTGCCGTCTGGTGGTTCCATTCCAAGAAATGCTCACACCGAGTCTTCCTGCTAATCACTCTTCGGATTACCTGAAAACATTCAGAGCGTTCCCCCAAGATACTGTCATTATTGAAGGTACGTCTCTGCTAGCGCTATCATTCGAGATTCACTACTAAAATCAGCAGATGTTTCGGATGAAGCACTAGTCCTGAGCTCTATGCAGAAACCTCGAAAGATCAGCATCCTTGGATCTGATGGGAAAGTCTACAGCTTGCTTTGTAAACCAAAAGATGATCTCCGAAAAGATCAAAGACTTATGGAGTTCAACAATATGATCAATAGGTTTCTCAAGAGGGACATCGAGTCGAGCAAGCGACGCATGTGTAAGTTACCCCCTATAAAGAGATGGCTTAGGTTGACCAGGAAAGATATCAAAACATACGCAGTCACGCCTCTAAGCGAAGAATGTGGCCTCATCGAATGGGTTGATAACCTGAGAACTCTGCGAGAGCTTGTTATCAAATTGCTGAAGGAGCGAGGAATCACCCCTAACGTTGGTACTCATGCTCCTACTCCGCATCCAAATGGAAGCTAACATTTCGTTCAGTATACCGAGATTAGACAATATCTTAACAAAGCATGTAGCGATGTCTCAAACCTGCCATTATTCACAACCCATGTCCTATCAAAGTATGAGCAAATCCATTTGCGGTGAAAGGGAAAAGGCTAACGAGAACCTAGATTTCCTCCTGTCTTACATGAGTGGTTCGTTGAGATGTTCCCGGAGACGGGGGCATGGTTCTCCGCTAGGCTAAGATACACTCGGTCTTCTGCCGTAATGTCTATGGTTGGATACGTTTTAGGGTTTGTACTTCTGCTCCAAATGACGGGTGCATATGTCGGCTGACCATCGGTACTCGTAAAGACTTGGCGACCGGCATGGCGAGAATATCTTATTTGAAGAGGGGAGCGGCGGTATTCTCCATGTAGATTTCAACTGCCTCTTCGACAAGGTCAGTAGATGAAGAAACGGCGTATACTCGGTTTCTGACGAAGCGATAGGGCCTAACCTTTGAGAAACCGGAATTGGTTCCATTCCGACTTACGCATAACATGGTCGATGCCTTTGGCGCTTATGGATATAACGGTAAGTCGAGTTGGCAGATTATTCCGCGTTGTACGGTATCTAACATTTCGTCCTAAATCATAGGTCCTTTTCGGAGAACATGTGAGATAGCTCTCGGGCTTTTGCGCCAAAACGAGGACGCTCTCATGACGATTCTGGAAACGTTCTTATATGACCCGACAACCGACTTTATCGGGAAAAAGGTAACATATGAGGACCCTTTATGCCCACGTTTCTTATCCCTCATCGACCTGCTAACTTCAATATTAGAAGAGGAGGACGAACCCAAATATCCCAGAAACACCAGAGGGAGTCTTGGAATCTGTGCGCAACAAGCTCCGAGGCCTGTTGCCTGGAGAGTCTGTCCCGCTTTCCGTTGACGGCCATGTGGATGAATTGATTTTGCAAGCTACTGACAAGAAGAATCTGGCGGCTATGTATATTGGGTGGTGTGCATTTTTCTAGGAGCATCGGATATATTGTTTTAATTGCTCTGTTGGATATGGTCTTTTCAACGAATTTCCTAGTGTAGGCTACATCATGTGTTATATCTGAGCTAGGATGACGATATTTGCATTATTGTTCTCAACACACTAGACATTTATGACGGTCCTTGCAAGCACGCAAGTTGACTCCTAGATACATCTTCGAATAGCACATTGGCACTCACAACATAGTTTACAAAAGAGAAATAAAACGACACTGTATCCATACCACATTCCCAAGGACAAATGATACAGGACGAAGTAGTAGATGCCACCCATAATAAGACCGAGCGCCTAGAACGCCTGCTTGCTGATTTATCTTCTGCCAGCGCCGTATCGACTGCGGCTTCGGTTTCTGCTTGCACTTCTGCTCCTACCGCTGTAGCTACTGTAGCTGCTGTAACTGGGACTACGGCGTCTGCGGCGTCTGGGACTGTCTCTTCGTAACGAGTCTCTCCCGGGTGAAGGAGACCTCGAGGGTGACGACGGCGTGTAAGAGCGGCCGCGCCTAGGGGAACGAGATCGGGACCGTGATAAAGACCGTGGGCGATAGCGATCATGTCTGTCCATTGCACGCGACCCAGCATATCTTCGCCCAGGAGGCGATCTGCGCCGGGGTGGAGGGGAACGGAAACCGCCTGCTCGTCCACCATCCAGAGGGGGTGGCCGTCCAAAGCCAGAGCGTGGGAAGCCGCCTCGACGAGCAGGTGGGGGTGAGCGAGAAAAGGCACGACGAGGAAGGACAATGGAGACGTTGAGAATAGCTCCATCTAGTTGCGCCTCATGCATATGTGAAATAGCAGCTTCGGCATCTGCGACTTCATAGTAGAGGATGTATGCGGTACCTCTGTTGGTCATAACTGTGATACTGCGTCAGCTACTTTGCCAATCGAAGGCTAGAAAGCAAAGCTCGCTTACAAGCTTTATTCATTGGCAACTCCAGGCTTTGTATCTCTCCAAAGGTACCAAATATCTCGTACAGATGTTCCTCCGTGACATTTTTAGTCAACTTCTCCACGATAATCTTGTTCAAGGAAGTCAGTCACAGTCTATAGTAGAAATCTCCCTGAGGAAGACGCGCGATTTTGCAAAAGAGTGAGGGGCATCGTACCTTTGAGCTCCTTCGAGGACTCTCCGGACTGCGGCTCCGCGAGTAGGCCCTGTCTCTATACCGGCCACCGGCCCTGTTCCTGCTGTAACTTCGGGAGCGTCCTCTGTCACGCGATGGTGACCGACTATAATTTCTCCCTCGGTGCCCATTGTGACGTCCAACGCCAGGCGAAGGACTTCTGGTTCCTGCACGCGGGCTCGTCGGCGAGCGAGGAGATACAGAGCGACGGGGAGAGCGAGACCGTGATCTTTCGCGACCGGTAGCTGACATCTCTGGCGAGCGTGACCTAGATCTTTCTGTAGATACAGACCTAGCGCGCATGTTCGATACTCTCGCTAATGGCTGTGGTAGTGGTTGGAGTAGCAGGAGGGAGGGACCCGGCACTGGAATCGAGGAAGCTTGGGATTGCTCAAAAGGTATGAATGCTCTATGAGAACCGCAAAATCGCGAGTGGGACAGCGAGGACAGATCACTGCGATCCTGCTCACGCCCGAAATTCGATTCTCAATGGCCGTGAAATGAAGGGGATGTCGATCAGGTACGGTGGTTTCCCACCGGGCAGATTTCGAGCTTCCGCATAGCTAGAGAACTCACCGCCTTCTTCTCCGCCTTTGCATCTATCTCAGTGCCATAAGTATGCTGCTTATCATGGTTGTAGGACATCAATGATGATCTCCGTGGACTACTGCATAAATATGTACAAGGTTCCCATATACGTTGGTGTGGTATTTCATTATTTGCTTATTTGTTATAGTAAACAGATAGTAGTACCCCTGAGAGCAGATCCAGATCTAGCTCACACATCAAGCTAATCGATCCTTCTAAGCATCATGAGAGCTTCCGAACTGTTCGTATTCCTGGACGACCTCTGGCGTAATCTGGCGTCGCACTTGGCCCAGGGCATATTCAAAATGCTTCCACATGATCTGACCTTCCTGTCCTGTCTCTTCCTCCTCGTCTAATGCTGCATCTCCGGCAGTCTCACAGATGCTTACAATCTCCGCGCCTGAATAGCCTTCAGTCCTCAGGGCGAGATCAGCAATGTCGACCTCCGGATGGACAACGGACTTTCTTGACCAAATGCTCAGGATTTCCTGGCGCGCCTCAAGGTCCGGTGGCCCAATATACAAAATATTATCCAACCGCCCGGGCCGCATAAGGGCAGGGTCAAGTACATCCGGTTTGTTCGTCGCTGCAACGACAAGAACATTCCTCAATTCCTCAATACCATCCATCTCGTTCAATAAGGTAGTGAGCACGTTAACTCCTCCCTGAGAGGATGAGCCTCGCTTGTAGGCGATTGCATCTATCTCATCGAAGAAAATGATGCTTGGCCTTGCAGATCTAGCCTTCCGGAAGATCTCCCGGAGAGCTCTCTCAGACTCTCCGACATACATACTCAAGATTTCTGCGCCTTTGACAGCAAGGAAGTTCAGACCTGCTTCGGTAGCCAATGCTTTGACTGTTAGCGTCTTTGAGCAACCGGGTGGTCCGTATAACAGGATCCCCTTTTTGCTGTTCACATTGAGTCTCTTCATACGCTCCGGGAACTGCATGGGTTAGTCTCAATGTTTACTTCCAGTCAAGGGGGGAAATTCTCACCTGAAGGGGTCTCTGAACGGCTTTCTGAAGACGCCGTTTAATGTCATGCTGTCCACCGATGTCAGACCATCTAACCTTGGGCGTTTCAAGGAAAACCTCCTTCATGGCAGTTGGTCTGATATCTTGCAGTGCTAGAAGCACGTCGGCCTCGGAAATTTTCACCGACACGAGGCCGGTATCAGTCTCATGGGCAGCCGGCGCAAGAGATTCTGTATGACCTCCAGCAATGGACGCTGATTCAAGAACTTGTCGATTTCTTGCCTTGCGGCATGCGAGTTGAAGGAGGGCGAAAAGGTCGGCTCCAACATAACCGTGCGTCTTCTCCGCTATGATATCTATCATTTGATCACTTGGTTCCAGAGATGACCCTCGGATTGCTCGCAAAATTTCTGCTCTATCCGCCGCGGTAGGAACCGGCAACTCAACCTCAATAGCCAGTCGGTGCGGAGTCCTCAGAGCATCGTCAACATCATTGGGATGGCGAGTAGCAGCGACCACCAGGATGTTGGCACCCTTTATTCCATCCAACGTCTCGCACAATACTGATCCCAAAGAGCCCGGTTCCTGGGATGACTTTTTGGGAGCGATGAATTCCAATTGATCGATCAGAATCACACTAGGTTGGCAACGTAGTGCCTCTTGAAATGTCCTGCGTAGTTTCGTTTCGCCTTCTCCCACATTCCTGCTTATCATTGAAGTGCCAATAGTGAAAGACCTCTTCCAGCCAGCGGCTTCGATTTGTCGCAACAGTGATGTTTTACCAGTCCCCTTCGGTCCATAGATGAGAATCCCTCGGCTATGCTCGTAGAAACCGGGCATTTCAAGCCTCTGTAGGCCCGCGTTGAAGTCTGAAAGGCTTTCATTGATTTGCTCGATCTGTCTTGATAGCCCGCCTAGGCCGAACGATTGTACTTTCAGCGTTCTATCTCTATACGTGGTACCTCCGCCATCACCTATTTTCACTTTCGATTGACCGGTAAAGCGGTATATGGTATGAGATGCGCCAGGATTGGTACCCGACAGTTCGACCACCCTGAAGCTTCTACGTTGGCCCTTCACCTCCACTTCGAAGGTCAGATTAACGGCGAGAACTTCGCATCTTAACAAGGGATATTCTAGACACCATTCCCAGTGCCCGATATCGGTCTCAGGCAAGACACCAAAAACTTCGAGCTTCTCGGGATCTGTACATTCTTGCAGGCGTACAGTATCCACTTCATCGAGTTGCTGGTCCGCCTTGCATATCGAGACTTTATCACCAAGTTTGATGCCATAACATTCTTGTAGTGCCTTCGAAGTCTGTACGACGGTGTTCTGGATATTTTCGACTGCGGCCCAAGCGATGGCGGTTTTTGGAGACCCCTCTCCCAGTCTTAGATCGCAAAGGTCACCAGCCCTTAGTTTAAGGGATGCGAGAGAAGATGAAGAAAGGTTGATGCGGAACGAATCTCTCAAGTCGTTTCTCGGTTGCTTCGACAATGGCCTGACCGTGAATGTGCGGTTTTCAGCCATTCTGATATTCTCCGCGGTCTCCTAGCTTCCGCGCATGAACTGCGATTAGAATTACAACCGAGTACACTTTTGAGTCGAAAAAGATAAATGAAGGAATGAAGGAAAGAAAGAGAGCGTAATATGTATATGAATATATATACAAGAGGACAGCTGAGGGAACGACAGAGACATGCGCAAAGAGAAAACCCAAAGAAAGCAATCTATACGTAGGTTTTCGCGATAAGAGATTTCCACGGATCAAAGTTTAAAAAATCACTCCAGCCCCGCCAAATAACATACTAGTAACTCTACCACATTACTGGCTAGCTTTAAATTTTAGGGATTGACAGGCTTTTCCTTTTTTTAGGCCATTCAGTCGTTATGGCTGAGTTGAGTTAACTATCTTTATACTGACCGTTGCTAATATTCAAGTCTTCCGACGTACCCAGAGGGGTATATCACCGAGACCGATAAATGCGATCCGTTACTACTATCTAACTACCAAGTTAGTTATGACCGCGGAACCTAGCTAGCATTTCTTGTCTATGGTGCTCGAGAACTGCCTATCGCGCAAACAGGATAATCCGTAGCACGACGCAATGTCCTATACCGAGATTCTTCAAACTCAGCTTACGCGATGTGTCGTCCCTTAAATCAACCGGTGCGGTGCTTGTACCGACATCAACAGCGACGACAGCAACATTATTGTCGACCAACAATTACCTTTCAAAATCGCCGCTTCCCAGCTCTTGGGATTCATGCTATTCCCAACTCGAGACCTTCAACGGTATCTACGGACTCCAAGTCAGACGAGCTGGTGTCAGACATCGTCAGAGGACGATTGGACCATGGTGTCCAGGTTGACCAGCACGGACAGCTGGAGATCGTCTCCGAAGAAGTCAGTCGCCAGCCGCACAAGACTGCATTGATTCTGTCGCGAGCGAGCAAGTCTTTGGAGCTATATGACTTCATTCGATTGCTAAACCACAGGGTGGCTGCTAAAGGAAATCTTGATTTGGAAGGACCTGAGGAAGGTGACTTTGTTTCCAGGAAAAACTCGATCGAATGAATCTCGCTTTTCTAACAAATGATCCCATAGTTTTCCCGCTGCGTCACCACCGAACACTACAGAAACGAGATACTTGGATCCTCACTTTCGCAACACCAGCACAAGCTAGGGAATACCAGAAAGAAGCATCTGAGCTTCGCCATCTTGCCGCGCGCTTCATGTCCGATCCATCATCTGGCGTGAGAACACCTCACCATCTAGGTCAACATGGGCCGCGACCATACGATTATACCCTCACATCGCCTTTCCAGAGCCTCTCCCTCGTAGCACAGCTGGCCCCGTTTGACTTCAAGTTACAGCGCGGTATGAACACCCAAACGAAACTGACTCAGGAGAGACATCCGGGCCGAAAGACGTTCCCAGTGAGACTCTGGACTGGCCAGTTCAGCGGCCAGCTGAGTACAAGGACCATTAAGAACTTCCTAGAGCTGGACGGCCAAGCCCGTGGCAGCCCCTGGAGAATATCAGAGGGAGAAGATGCAGTCATACGATTAGCACACTATTTTACTTCAGGAATTTCACGAAACAACCTCGATGAGGATAGCGAGTCGCATATCTCAGGCTCTATAGGGAATTGGTGCATTGGGTTCCAGTGCGCATCGGATGCCAGGCGTTTTGTCCGTGTCTGGCACAGAAAACACTTCCCTGAACGTCTCGTTGGTTCCTCGCAGGTAACTATCAAGGCCGAATGTTTATTTTGAGTGCTACTCGTACCCATAACGATACACTTTTGACTTTTCAGTCACAGTATTATAAACCAGGTTCCGTTCAATATTATGTTTCTTCTTCCTCTTAAATGCTCCCGTATCCCATGCAAATGTACACCATGGCGTTATTTATACTTTGCGTACGAGTTTCATTTGCTACAAAGATGAGTGTGGCTTATAGTCAAGGCCAGCTCCAGTTTGCATTGCTTTACCTCGGGATAGTCGGACTACCAACGGCAAATCATCCATAGATACAGTGACCTAGTCGGTGTTATCCGCTTCTTGGGCGCCAGAGGGAATGCATGACACATATTAACGATCCGAATTCCCATTAATCAACTATCGGAGAGCACCAGAAACAATACGCAGAAAAAGACGCCATCTAGACAAGAGAATCAAACAACGGAGATACAGGAAGAAAAGGGACGTAGAAATGGTCACGGGGCGACGGGCTCATTTTGAAAACTGCTCGCTCAATGTCCCAAGAATACTCTCCAGACATTTCGGGGAAACGTAACAAGGGTCCCCCTGCGTAGTCATGAAAACAGAAGACAGATAAAACAAGCATTAGTGTGGCATCTAGCAGCATTTCCCACCGAGGTTGCCATTCGCGCCGCTTCCTTGATCTATGTTCACGCCTTGGGCACCAGCTTGCTCGGACCGAGAGTTATCCATGTCCTTTTTGATGTCCGAGGCCAGAGTGTAGAAAGCTTTCTCCACGTTAATATTGTTCTTCGCAGAGACTTCTAGGAATGGTACGCCAAGTTCATCAGCAAGCGCCTGGCCCTGTTCAGTTGAGACAGCTCTCTTCTCCTCCCAGTCGCACTTGTTTCCGATAAGCATCTTGTGTACACCTTCGCTCGCATGCTGTTCGACATTGGAGAACCAGGTTCGAATATCTATGAATGTGAATATGTCAGTTGCCATACACTGCAGCCTGACGTCAGGGTGTTCTTACTGTTGAATGAGCGCTCGTCCGTAACATCATAGACGAGAAGAATGCCCATGGCTCCTCTGTAGTAAGCCGTTGTGATGGTCCTAAAGCGCTCCTGTCCTGCTGTATCCCATATCTGGAGCTTGACACGCTTGCCATCGAGCTCGATGGTACGAATCTTAAAGTCAATACCGATAGTTGTTATAAACGACGGCGTGAAAGAGTCCTCGCTAAATCGTAGAAGACAGCATGATTTGCCTACACCCGAATCACCGATGAGCAACAGCTTAATCTGTATTATCCCAAATCGTCAGCAAAGCATGAAATCGATGGTGCAATCTTCCGCGAGTCTCACCAGAAAATCGTAGTTCCTAGTGCCCGCCATTATCGGTGGTAGCCAACGCAAAGGGATGCGATTGCGAACAAGAGCAGCTGAGACTAGTCGTTGGAGTGGTTTGGACACGAAGAGGTTCCACTCAATGAGTAGATAGCCTGTCAGCGATAAGATATGGCAGCGTCTACAGGCGCCTGCGATCGCCAGAAGATGGTAAGCGCGGACCTCCCCGTAAAGACGTTCGAAGATGCTTCGTCACTCTTATGATGTCGGAGATCAGGAGGTTTAGTCGAGATAAACGGCAATGGCGAGTATCCGCAATGTAGTGGCAAGGTGGCAAAGGCTTTCAATGAGACGCTAGCTTGCCTGTTCTATCTTGATGATACCAAGCAAGCAAAGCGTAGTGATGCGATGAACTTGGAAGGACGTCGCTGGGAGGGGGGTGCCTGGGCGTTTGCGCGGAGGTCGGAGTCGCTCCATGGATCGGGTCTGGAGCTGGTGGCTTGGGAGTGGCTAGTGCGTTGATGCAAGTTGGAAGTGTACCATATTATTTGCTCTTCCGCTCATGGCGTTAAAACCATTGCATTGAACCAGAACTATCATTGTAAAAGAATAAGGGAAATAATAAGATTGTAAAATAAATAAATCAGAAAGCTGCGAGCTTCTTATCTAATAGTGATCTCCTGCCCGAATTCCAGACGTTGAATTGAGTTACGCGAAAGTACAGTACATGCGAATATCATTTGTCACAACCAGCAGGCTTATTACCGAGTCAAATAGCTGCTTTAAAGAGAATCGATGCGCCGCTCATGATATCAGATATGTAATTTACGTAGATACACATAACTAAATCTATATACGTCTGTACATATAAGCAGGTGATCGCATGCGTTCTGCCTTGCAGAGCACGGCGCGCTTTTATAGATCGCCTCGCCGGAGGCCATCGTCTTGCAGGTGGCCTGGAAGGGAACGAGCTCCTTCAGTGGAATTTATCCAAGCCATTTTGAATATCCCCATCGGATCCTCTCGATGATCCTGAGCTGCTTTTCCGTGCCAGCGTTGATATTCATAAGATCACTCATATCTTCCTGGAAATCACGATAGACCGGACCCGGGAAAAACTTCTCAGCAGTTTTCTTAAGAACCTGGACTTCGCAAATAAGCAATCCGTGATCCTTATATGAGAGGATTCCATTTGGAGTAGGCGACGCAGACGTCAAAACCCGGTCAGCGTTACTGGTTTTGTCAGCCTCGTGTACAGTATTAGCCGTAAACTCGCTTATACGTACCGCAGTGCGCGTCTCATTTCATCTTGCTTCTTTCCTCTTCTTAGGCCCTTTCTATTTCCGAAGATTCCGCTGAGCCAACGGAAGACTGCATATGATGCTAAAATCCCAGGTGTAAGGCCGACGAAACTACTTGCAGTCAGTTCTCATATTCGTCATTATCATCTGAGAAGGTGATGCGTACCCAAATACAAGCTCCTGGCTTTTGAGTAAGGCATCAATGCCTCCAATTGCGATTTCCACATCGACCTTTGTCTTCTGTATCTGAATGAGAAGCGCACGAACAAGATTCCCACGGACAGTTCCGCGGAAGGGTTGTCGCAAATCCTGCTCATAGGCTTTCAGGACAGGCGTCAGGTCGCCTTCTCGGACTTTGGCAGTGATGGACTCGGTGTCTAGTTGGAATTGAGAGGCTTCTGCGGCGGGTTCTGGGTTGTCAAGTACAAAATCGACCACCATTCTCTCTAAACTTGCACGATCCGCCTCTAGACTGTTCTTGCTCATGATCGCGATTTCACTCTTCTCATCATGCCTTATGGTGCCGATCAGCTTCCCAATTGGTCCAATAACCCAGTTCTTGCCGAAGTCAACTACAGTTGAACCGAATTCAGCGATCCAACTTAGCAGTTCAGCCTTATGGTTCGTCAGTATTTTAAGAACAGTGCTAAGAGAGCAAAGTCCTGCAGAGACCGGAAGCCAGTATCGTACGAGAGGCGATGGACGACCATAGTCTCTGACTAGCATGTTGGAGGAGAACTCGTGGCCCGGTAAACGCTCTCTCAGAATATTGATTAGGCGTTCGATGACGAGAAAAGCGCGAGTATGGCTTTTGCTGTCGGCTCCATGACTTTGCAGGACATCAGTTTCGCACTCTATGGTTGAAAATACACCATCCTCAAACTCGTTCAAGCCAATATCGAGGTTCGTTGCATTTCGTAGAAGTGCCTCCATCAACAGTACACTCTTGGAGACAGTGTTGTGCCACTCATCACTGGATGGACTGTAGATACCGGCATTTGTGGCTTCCTCCTCAAATCCGAAAGAAAGACATTCATCCATAAGCAGACCAACGGCGCTTGCATGCATTTCCCTCATCATTTTCAATAACCTCCGTTTTCGCCTCGCCTCAGACCTGCAGACGGCAAATGGAGATAGCATCCTCAACTTAGCCCGTTCGATAGATTGCTCTCGAATGCTTTGGCGGACCAAATCATGGAACTTTCCCCAACGAGCAGAAATTGTCAAAGTGCCCATTGTCTCTTGGTTGCCATAGTGCCTCTTGAACGTCGAGTAGATCTCCGTTGCCCGGGAATACAACCTCCAAGGTGATGTTTGTATCGTATAGAGACCGGTATACCAATGTGACCCAAGTACCTCATCCCAGTACCAAATTCCGTCGTTCAGTGACAAAGTTCGAGTAAGGAAATTATCCATTACTACGCCTAGGGTCTGGACTGCTGCCTTGGCAGCGACCAACCAGAGTAGATCGTTCACATAATTATCGAGAGCTCCAGCTGAGAAATTGATGTTTGGTCCTAATTCTTGGACTTGGGACAGTATGTCAATGAGTCGATGCTGCTGCAGTAATGGTTGCGAAGATGTGACTGAAAGTGTCCGGACAATCGCAGTCAGATCCGCTGTATCTTTGGTCAGGTAAATAGTGTCCGAGGTCCTATAATCTCCGTGGGAGTCCTCCTGTCCATTGTGTTGTTGTACTTTTTCGGAGTCGCGCAATTGGAGTCTATCGATCTGTGCATCCAGACGACGGATGTTCCTAGAAACAGTTAGCATGATGTGGAACCAAAATGGGAACCTCAAGATAGGACTGACTCGATTACCACAGACATGGCGACTTTGGTTTTGGGTTTGAACGAAACCAAAGCCTGGAAACGCGAATTAAGTGACAATGGTTGTTGACACCTGCCAACAACGTGCAGCCGGGAATTGTTGTTCCTGGGCTTAAGAGTATGTCGTCATTAGAGTACGATTTATTTCCACGGCCAATAATCTCGCGATACTGAAATATTTATGCAAAACATGCAAACACCTTGCTCGCAAAATCCGACTCAAATGAATAAATACGCCTTCATAGCTTGGATTTAATCGTCTATACATCTTGGCCACTGCCTGGGATCTCAGGATGCTTCAAGTCCAGAGCTTCTTCTAAGTAATAGTTAGTTATTAGTTAACTATAGTTATTATTATTAGGTAGTTATTACAGGCAAGCACAGAACAAGCATCACGGCTGACTAAGTCACATCTGTCTTGTGGGGCATATCCATGGATCCGTAAGAAAGTTCAGCAAAATGTTCAGAGCCTCCCGATCATCACAAGTTAACCACCAGATACTAATCTCTCGCCTGCATCTGACAAGATGGGTGTCCAGAAGAAGGTTCGGAAGTATGCTCAGATGAAAAGAGCAATCAGTCTACGTGACAGTCGGCTGTTAGTCAAGGATGTTCTCTTCTCTTAATCTACCAGATTGCTAACAGCATATAGGAAAGAAAACCAAGAAAAGAGCAAGCAGAAGACAGAGGAAAAGAAAGATGATATCGTCAGAGAAGCGTAAGCTCACCGTCTGCAGGTTTCTATATGGATCGAAGACCGACCGTATCTTCCTACTTACACACTCTTCAGTCCCCAGGTTTCCTCCGCTCTCTTTTTCCAATACAACACTGCTCTTACGCCCCCATATTCGGTACTGGTCGATACCAACTTCCTATCGCACACTATTCAGCGCAAGCTCGAAGTGGTTCCTACAATGATGGATTGCCTCTATGCCAAGTGCATTCCTGTCATCACGGACTGCGTCCTTGCCGAGTTGGAGAAGCTAGGACCGAAATATCGACTAGCTTTGCGCATCGCAAAAGATCCCAAATTCGAGAGAATAAAGTGCGATCATAAGGGTACATATGCAGACGATTGTTTAGTTGACCGGGTCATAAAACACCGCGTCTATATTGTGGCGACAAATGATCGTGACCTGAAGAGGCGAATCCGGTACCGTCCTCGCCTCTGCACCAGCATAGTAGGAACTAAGACTAACAATTTTTCTAACAGAAAAGTTCCGGGTGTCCCTATTATGAGCGTCGCACGTGGAAAATACGTGATTGAGCGTTTACCTGATGCACCAGAAAAATGATTTACGTCCCCCCATCCACCGACATTGAGGTTCTCGAAATCGATAAAGGACACGGCCAACCTCGTTCTTCGATAAGCCAACCGAATAAGCCAGGCGAGCATGGAGCTTTTTCCGCCTCGACCTCTAACGAGAGAAGCAGACTCTAGTCTCGCACCATCATGGCATCGTTCTCCATCTAAGTCCTTTTCTCAGGGCGTAAGGGACATGATACCGATTTCTTCCCTAACACTCTTACTGTTGGGGAAAGGGATCTATTTCGCTACATACATACGGAAGTTAGAGACAGCAGTGCCTGATCGTAATATTAACGGTATGAAGGTGGCATCTTCAAAGGTACTCTCTTCCTGGAAACGCAAAATCAGACATTACAGGATCGCGTTGTGGAAAGGCCATCTCAAAGGACGTGCGTTTCATGAAGGTTTTATTTAGCGACATGATTCATCATTACTTTGATTATACAATCGTCCACGCAATATGTCGGGCCATAGTGGTTTGTTCATTCCCGTTAGGGTCATGGGCATCTACGGCGCATGTTGTTCTGTCTCTCGGCCAAAATGGCCAGTCATGGGATCTAGTGTCATTTGCCGAATTGAATGACGTGTCGGCCAACCTTATTAATGATCATTCAACCGTCTGCAACAAAATGCTGATATCTTAAGTATGCCAACCCGAGTTTCAAGATGACAACACAGACTTCTGCTATTCAGCCCATCTTAGCTGCTAGAGGTTGGTTTTGCTAGCGGAAGCATATACGACTAGGATCGGCTGCTCATTTGTGGGCTCCCAATCAGTTGCAACGCGTAGTAAATTAATTTAATTGAAGGTCATATCCTCGTACCCTTGGGAGACCCATTTGTTGTAACAGGAACCAGATTCCTCATATACCGGTCGACCGTAATGATATCAATGTAAATATATTAGTGAGTAGATATCTATCAGCAGTTGAAACATACACCTAACATGCGACATAGCGATGCGCACATTGAGCTGTGCAGAAAAAGCCCCAGGACAGTCCAAGAGACAGGCTTGAGAGGATGCTATTCAACTAAGCGCCATCAATCTCAATACCAGGCCTTGCAAATCTAGATACGGCGGGCAATAACAAAGGACCAAGGCGAGATGTGAACATTATACATAAAAATCTATGTCCGTAACTAATTATTAAATGCTGCTGTAACAGAAAATATTGATGATAGCCGCTAGTTCAGCATCATCAAACGAAACGCGTATCCTGAAAGTTTCTTCTGGATACAACCAGAAAATTGACTACCAGACTCCGAAGTTGGCCAGGAGGTGGACTCCCGTGCAAGGTTCGATTCGACTACCTCATCTGGTAGATCTCACTCAGACTTGTTGGCGGCCTTCGCAAGCCTTTGCTCTCTCTTTCGCTTCATACTCTCGGGCGAGTATTCAGTGTCAAGCAGATAATCCCACCACCTAAAGCTGCTAGAATAGTTGCCAATGAATTTCTCGTGGTGTAGGTCATGGTGGTCGGCGCCAGCCCAGAACGGGAGGAAATGATGTAGACTCCAGGGGAACTCGTAACCGCTGTGCGCGTCGATGGCCTGGAACAGACGCAAGACAATCCAGACGTACATCGTGACGATATGCAGGTCTCCAGTGAAGGCACACCAAAGGATCGGGCAGCCGACGGTACCGAAGCCCAATGCCATCACTTCGATCGGAGAAGCATACTCAGCCGCTAGACCGAATGGTGCCGAATATTGGTGGTGGATCTTGTGAACGGCCTTGTAGAGAGGACCCCAGTGGAAAGCACGATGCGAGAAGTAGTGCCATGTGTCCTCCAGCACAAAGAAGATCGCAATCTGATACGCCATCGTCCAAACCGAAGGGAACGGGACCGAGGTTTGGAGGCCGCAAAACTGGGCCATAGGGTGGAAGAGCCAGATCTGAGGCAGTTCGACAGTGAAATGGCTAAGCAAGACCAGTTTGGCACAGTCCCATTGCTCCTGCACAGAGGGCACTTTGTTCTACTCATTGTCAGTCTTGGGGCTCACTGCACTCGATATTGGTTACACTCACGCTCTGGATCTTATATTTTCGGAACCATCCCAGGGTGTCGACGATAACCCACGGCAATGACCGACCGAAATAGACGAGTTCGTGCATCACAAAGGACATGATGCCAGTCGCTAGGACATCATTCTGCATCCAGGCGTACCATGCCGCCCACAGCCTCTCAACGACGTTTAAGTGTACATTGTACTTCGAGATCTCCTCGAATTGGCCCCAGTAGGTGTCTGGAGGAGGGGAAAGCAGAGTGGTAGAGTTCCTAGTAGAGTCAGTCTAAGAACTGGAGGTGCTTTTTTCCCTGTTCATTTTTCGTTTTCAAGTTCGACATACATCTTGGCGGCTTGGTGGACAGAGCCACAGAAGCAAGAAGGGCCTTTTTTTTTTCAACGGCGGGAGACGGGCTGCAGTCTCCTCTGTTGTTTCTTGGGAGTGTCCTGAGATGTGATCGCAGTAGGAGACTCAAAGGTAGGAAAGGTGTCTACTAAGCCTGAGGCTCGTTGAGGGTAGGGGGGTGTTGTGTAGTGTCAAACCCCTAGGGACGAGCCGTATTTCAGGGACGGGAGAGAGCACAGGCCACGGGAGCCAGCCAGACATCCGAGTGGCGCGATTCCTGGGATTACCAACCGGCCCTCGCATCATTCCATCGAGTAAACGCCGTCTTCCCCTGACCGGTCGCCTACTATTGGACGGTCTCCCTCGGCAGTCTCACCAGCCGGTGTCGGGTGAACCACCGTGGATCGACAAATCGAACGTAAATCCCGGGTGCCTAACAAGGCTACACTTTTTGCGATTGTTTCTCTGTAATTTGCACTTTATAACTAGAGATTCTATAGTAGCCTATTTTAAACTATAAGAAAAGTAATAGTTAAGCGCTTATAATTAAGTAAGCTAAAAAAATCTATAATTTAATATTAATATTAAATTTTAATATATATAAAGTAATTACTTTTTAAAAATTTTTAAATATATATATTATAAGTAAAATAATATAATAAATAAGTTTTTATAAAATTTTATTATTATTTATTATTTTTAAAATATTTAAAATAATATATAATATAATTTTATAATAATTTATAAAGTTTTAAATTTAAATTATTTTTTAATATTAATAATAAATTAAATTTAAGCTTAACTTAATTAAACTTAATTTATTAAGATTATTATTATAATATTTTAATTAATAATAAGTTAATATAAATAATATTAAATCTTAATATATAAGTAGCTTTTAATAAAGACTTTAAGCTAAGAAAAAAAAGAAGGAAAAATTTATCTATAACTAAGCTCTTTAATATTTTATATATATAAGCTTTTTTTATTTCCTATTATTTCTTCTTTTTAAATAAAGAATTTATAGATTTAGTAGAATTAATAATATAGAATAATTTTATTATATTACTTCTTTTTTTAAGTTAGTTTATTCTTAAATTAATAATAATATTATTATTTATTTTTTCTTATTATAGAATTAATAGTATATTTATAAAAGTAAAGTATTCTTTACTAATAAAATTATTTTTATTTTTTACTATAATTACTTTTAATTTTCTTATAAACTATTATAATTATTTTTTAACTTACTATATTTTAAGAAAATTAATTATATTTTTTTAATTAGTTTTCTTAGTTAATATTATTCCTTATTAATTTTATTATTTTATTTTATTTTATACTTAAAGAAATATTAAATTTAGGCTTATACCTTAGCTTAGCTAAAGCTAAGCTTAGCCTATCTTAAAAGCTTAGCTTACTCTAGAGCTTATTCTTAACTAAGTTAAGCTTAACCTATCTTATGCACAGATTAAGTATAAGCTTAGCATAAGCTAATTATATAATTAATATAAGGTTAGCTTATTTAAGGATTAATAATAATATCTATATAGTAAAACTCTTTAAAATTTATAATATATATATATATATACAATAGCTAATATAAAGCTAAGAAATACTATTATTTTATCTCTAAATACTTAAAAATAGCTAAGAATTAAATAACTATAATTAATAGCTAAATTAATAATATTTTTAATTAATAGCTATATAATATTCTTATTTAAATATATTTAATATAACTTCTATAGAGGCTAAGTAAATACTAAATATATATTTAATATTAATTATATTTAGACTAAATACTAACTTCTTATAAAGTAAACTTATATAAAACTATAACCTTTATAAAGTATATTTAAACTAGTTTAAAGATATAATAAGCAATTAAAGTAGTATTAATTCCTATATATAAAATAAAGATAAAGAATTTAAGATATATTTTAAATTCTCTTTTTATATAAGACTTAATTAAGTATATTCTTTTTATATAAGTTTTAATAAAATATATACTAAATATATTTAAAAGGCTATTTTTTTTATAAATATTATTATTAGCTATAGTAATATCTCTAAGATTATAATTAATAATATTTAAGATATATTATTTATTCTTAAATATTTAATAACTTATTTTAATAATATCTTATATTTTATTTACTAAAAAAAATTTTTACCTTATAATTATTTTAATATAAATATTTATTAAATATTTTAATAATTTTTATTAAAAATATATTTATACTTTATCTTAAGCAGATATTTAAGATATTATAAGCATATGCTAAATATAGCTTAAATTTAATTTAAGCTTTATATTTAAAGTAATTATAAGACTTTATCTCTTCTATTTTTTTTAAAAGAATAAAAAAAATAAAATTTAAAATAAAGTATATTATTAAGTATATAAATATAGTAGTATTAAATATTATAAATATATATTAGAATATATGCTTAAATAACGCTATAAATATAACTATATTAAACTAAATATTTTTAAAATGCTTTATAAAGAAATAAGCTATATATCTAATACTACTTCTGCTAATAAATTTTTTAAAAAAAAATTAAAAATTAATATAATAGATTTCTTTATTTTTAAAATTAATAATTAGTAAGGTATTATTTTTATTTAAAAAGTAAAATATAAGTATACTTAAATTAAACTTTAGTAATCTTTAAATAATATAAAGTAAGTTTAACTCTCTATTTAATCTTAGCATATATTAAATATATTTTTAGCTACTAATTATCTTTATTAATTGCTTATTAGTAAATAATTTTAAATTATAGTATATTATATAAGCTATCTCTATATATATAGCTTAAATTTATATACTTTAATAGCTTATAAAATATATAATACTAATATTTCTATTTAATCTACTTATACTTATATTAATTATATTATTTTAAGGCATATAATTTATAGTAAGTATTTATTCTATATATATTAAGTATATACTAACTATAGGTCTAGGATTTAATTACTCTTAAAGTATATTTAAAGTCTTATATAAAAAATATAATACTTTAATTAATATTTTTATTTTTTATAATTAGAATTATTTTCCTTTTATTCTTTTTATTTATTAAAAAGATTATATATATTTTCCTCTATTACTAACTAAGTTAAGTTAAGATTTTACTTAAGAACTTATAGATTTAATTAATTAAGGAAATATTCTTACTATAACTGCGCATATATTATATATATTTTAAGCTTATGCTTTATATATATATAAAGAGCTAGGGTAAGAAAGCTCTTTAATCGGGGGTAATTAGCGAACTAGTCGAATAGAATATAAGATAAGAGATTAAGATATAGGTAAGTAATAATCTATATATAATAAGGTTAAAGGTTTAATTTAGTTATAATTAGAATAAATTATTAATCTATTTAACTTCTATTTCTTTAGAGGGTTATCTATTAGTTTATTTAGTTTACTAGATTATTTAAATAACTTAGTCTTAATAGCTTTATTCTATAACTAGCTAATTTAACTATTATATATAAATCTAGTTATCTTATTATTTTATATTCTTTATCCTAGGTCTTAGTAAATCTATAATATTAGTATTATAGCCTTAGTTTATAATAATATTTTCTCTCTTTAAAAGGCTTATTCTAAGCTATATAAAGTTTATTATATAGATTTAAATATTTAAGTATAGCTATAGTAATAGTAATAAGCTACTATTAAAATATGTTTATTATATAAATTTATCTAATATTAGCTTTATTTTAATATTTTTACCTAGGAGATTAAAAGTATTTTTCTTTTTTATTAACTAACTCTTATCCTTTTACCTATATATTAAGCTATTCTTTTCTTATTTCTATAGCTCGTTTAGTGCTATTTTTAATAATTTAAATATAGAAAATATTAATAGTTATATAGGTATATTAAAATTAAAATTTTTAAGTTATTTTCTCTATAAGTCTTGCGCGTGCGCTTAATATAAATTATAGCCCTTTAAGTTTATATAATAATGCTAATTAATATAATAATATCTCTTAAGCGCTTTAAGCGCATTTTATTTCTTTTAGGCTTTTTTAATAAAACCTCTATGCCTGCCTTTATAATAGCTAAAAGCTAGCTTTTCTATAGCTAGTTTAATAAGAATAAAGAGTAACTTAAGCTAATTTTTTTTCTTAAATCTTTAACTACTACTATAATATTAAAATAAATAACTTTTTTTTTTATAAATAATATTATTTACTGCTATTAATAATAGTAGTAAAATATCTTTACTAAAATAGTTTATAAAGGACTTCTTAATAAAAAATACCTTTTACTTAAAATATACTAAGATTAATTTATATCTTATAATATAATTTCTTCTATATATAAAAAGATACTAATTAGTTTATTATATTCTCTTTAAAAATTAAAATATAGTTATAATAATACCGCTTTTATTATATCTGCAGCAGAGAAAATTTTTATTTAACTAATTAAAAAACTATAAAAGAGATTAAAGATAAAAGAGATCTTTAATATAAAGATTTAAAGAACCTAGAATATTATTATAATTTTTATTCCTAGAGTTAAAGTTACTATTAAAATACTTTCTCCTTAGATTAATTTAGCTTTTACTAAAATAGTAATATTAACTATTATTATTAATATTAATATAATAAAAAGTTATTTTACTACCTTTAAAGTAAATTTTATTATAAATCTTTTTAGCCTAAAAGATTTAATTAAAGATTTTCTTCTTATTTTACAGGAGATATATCTTTATTATTTAAAGGCTTTAGTATAAGATTTAAAGCAATAGTATATTTATTCTTATATTAATATAAAATATCTCTATTATAAGGGCCTTTATAAGCTATATATCTTTATACTACTAGCGTATAAGGCTAAGTTAATTTATATTTAAAGTCTTAGCCGAGAGGCTTATCTCTTAAATAATTTAAAGTCTTTTAATAAGGCTATAAATATATATATTTCCTTTATAGAGGTATATATATAAAAATCTATATTTAAGACTATTAAATACTAGCTTAATACTATTATTATTTTATTAACCTTATTATACTTTAAATTAAAGTTATTATATTTTCTCTAGAAGTTATATTAAATATTTTATTTATTAAACTGTAACTTCTTATATATAGGCAATATATTTACTTAGTTATAGGGACTGCCTCTATTCTTTAATAAGGAGAAGAAAGAGATTATTAAAAGGTTTTATAGTAGTAAAGTAATTAAATAAAAGAATTTTATAAGCCTATATTTAAAGCCTTAGCTAAAGCTAGCTTAATTAAATTAAATTATTTTTAT